TTTTCCATGTTTCACAAATTTCAGAAAAATAAAATCAAAATTTATGAAAAACTAGCTAATGTCAATAATTGAACCCCTGGTGTTTTAAAATTTTTGCCTTTGAACTTGTTTTTTCCGGAAGCGGAAGCGATTTTTATGCCACTTTTCTGCGGCCAAAAGAGGGCGCAACATGCCGCTCTCGCTCGCCGAGAGCGGGAACCACTGATAAGGATAATCAGTGGATAATCATTAACATTAATCCGAGTGATTTTACAAATTTCAGGTGATAGACTAGTGATCTTGCAGATATCAGAATATTTACTGTATTTATATATTTTAAATGAATAAAAATCGATTTTTAAAAGGTTTATCTTTTCCGAGAATACTTTTTTTTATCATTTTTATGCTTTATTAAAGAAATAGATAATTTAATTCAGAAAAAGAATCTTTCGTTTTGCATTTATTAAGAATTTTTCGAAATTATTATCAAATTTGAAATTTGGCAATAACTGATGATAACGATGAGTAATTTTAGATCTGAAAAAAGATGAAGCGTCCTTGGATCATAGAGAATAATAAAGCCCAAAAAAAAACCGAAAAAATAAGTACCCCTGGTCCCTAGGCGAGTTCGTAATTTTTTCTTAGATCGCCCCGCCCACGCTTCATAATAATGAAATCCCAAAATTTTTTGCAGATTCATGAATGGCACATCTAGCTCGACATAACTGCACTTTTAGATTTTTGAAAATGTTACGTTTACGACATTTTGTCAAAACCGAAAATTTATATTTTCACGTCCCAATGGTAAGACCACGAAAGAAGAGATTCTCGCGATTTTTGAGCTGACAAAACCTTCAGGTGTTTTTCCGAACAATTATCGAAGCGATCTTCATCTGGTATTACTTTCAAATCTACGCCTGGACTCTTTACATGCCAGAGGTAAGCCCCTGTCCCCCTGTCTACCAGACAAACCGTTTTCTAGACTTACCAATGCGACCGCGAACCATGCAACAACATCGTCACTTGCTACATCTCCCGCCCGCATCAGAAGACGATCGCGATTTGGATCATGTTCATTACTGGCTTGATCACGGTTTTCATCGGACTCATTGAGTTTATTCAACAAGTGCCGAAGATCGGCGCCGCCTGGAGTGCGAGACACGACGATATCACGAAAAAGTACAAAGTTGAACAAATGAGCTCTGAGCAGATTCGACTGACTTCTATGTAAAATTGATAATGGACGAATAAAACTCACATGTTGACAAAAAAAAAATTGAATTTATTTTCCACAGAGAGCAGGGAACTTAGGGCTACTGATAGGGCGTTCGATGCATTCAGAATAGTTAGGACAACTCTCTTTGTGATGAGGGAATTTCTGGACAGTTTCTGGTTTGCAAAAAAGTTCAATCAAATTTTTAGAGAAACATAAAGATTGCAGACCGGTTGGTCCAATCACGATTTTTTGCTGTTTGACAGGCGCTTTTTCTTTTTGCTGTTTCCCACGCGTTTTTTCTTTCTCTGTATCGCACCCTCTTTTTTCTGTCCATCTTATTTGTCGATTGATGTAGTGAACCATGTTTTTTGATCGCCATTTTTTGTTCGTATTACCGTCCATGCAAACGAAAGCGTTGTGAAAACTCTTAATCGATTCGTAAAAATTGTGCATCATTTCTATCCTGTTAGGATTGTCGACTGATGGACGGATGAAGTCATTCTCGTCGCCGGATCCAGCAAATTCAGCGCAGTTATCTTTCACTCTTGCACCAAAATTCTCGACTCTTTCAAAGAAGCCTCGTATTTTCTTCGGTGTTACGGCAAGGCAATCATTTTCGCTTTGAGAGACTTTTTCGAGAACAGTCTCGTAGGCTTCAACGATTTCTTTCCATGCGGTAGCTGATGAAATGCTCAGCGATTTACTCACAATCGAAGAGAAAAGCAAAAAGAATATCTAAATAAAATAAAATTATTCTGAAAAGAAAATCTCTTGAAATACCTTCATCTTCATTTTGAAATGAAAATCGTTCTCTCTGAAAAAATCGAGAAACACATTCGTTTTTCAATTTGACGAAGTCGCCCTTTCCACTAGATGAGTTCATGAGCGAAATTCAGCACTCTTGTAATAGAGAGCTCTAATGGTATGTCATGCAAGTTTAACCACTTTGTTCATACTTGATATTTTTTTGCCGTTGCGTTGATATTTTCTGTTTTTGATGATTTGCCATTTTTGAACGTAGAAGATATTTGTCAATTCGAAGTTAAATAGCTCTCTAAAAAACTCATCTTATTGTTTTTGAAAACAGCCTACTCTTATGTTTGTAAAAATAAGTTAAAAAACCTTCTTATTTTCTTCTTAGTTCCCCGAATGGACTCGATTCCTAAGACGATTTTCAATAAAGATTTCTGAGCGATACATGAAGATAATCGTCTTGTCGAACTTTACATCGGCATCATGGTATGAACCCTTGAAATTTATTTTTTCAGCCTTTTTGAAATCAGCTGTTTTCTGAAAATATTGATTTCGAGAATAAATGGATGAAAAGGGTTGAGACCTAGATGCCAATGTAGAGCTCGACAAGACGATCATTTTCATGCATCGCGTGCCCAGAGTTGCAAATTTGCTGAGCTGAGTGAGCTGAGCTGGCTGAGTGAGCTGAGCAGTCACTCAGCTCAACTCAGCTCACTGATTTACGAAAATGAATTTATCTGCTCAGCTCAGCTCAGACAAGTATCATTCAGCTCAGCTCAATGATTTTAACACAATTTCACTACTAAAAAATAGCTCAAATCAGCTCACTCAGCTCAGCTCAGCTCGAATTTGGGTCTGCTCAGCTCAACTACCTTAAAAAAGGTCTGCTCAGCTCAGCTCAGCTCAATGACCTCTGAAAATGGCTAGCTCAGCTCAGTGAGCTCCGAAATAGGCCAGCTCAGCTCAGCTCAGAGAATTTCTCACTCAGCTCAGCTCAGCTCAGCGAAAATAAAGCAAAATTTGCAACTCTGCGCATGCCTGCTCAGCTAAGTGGACTTGGTAATGCCGATGTCCGAAAGAAATGGTACTTTTACAACCTTTTCGACAAGCCAATAGATCGTGAACCATTCAGCAACATCGTCACTTGCTACATCTCCCGCCCGCATCAGAAGACGATCGCGATTTGGATCATGTTCATTACTGGCTTGATCACAGTTTTCATCGGACTAATTGAGTTTTTCCAGCAAGTGCCGAAGATCGGCGCCGCCTGGAGTGCGAGACACGACGATATCACGAAAAAGTACAAAGTTGAACAAATGAGCTCTGAGCAGATTCGACTGATTTCTATGTAAAATTGAAAACACACGAATAAACTTTAAAGCATAAAATAAGCCGACAAAATAAAAAAAATGAGTTTATTTTCCAAGAAGTATACTTGGGCTAGTGGTAGGTTCGATGCATTCAGAAAAGATAGGACTAGAGTGGGTCACTTTCATGATTGGTCTTCCGAACTTGATTTAATTTTATCAGGTGATAGATCTGACCCGAATAAAGAACTTTTTTCAATAGATTCGGAAAAAAAATTTTTTTGGGGTTCTTTTTTGAAAAATTCATGTTCGAAAAAATGGTTTTTCTAGAATAACTTTTGGGCACACCCCCATATCACGTGATATTATGACGTCATCAGATAGAACTCGTCAAGCTCGTCAATTCGATACCCGAATCTACTCCGGGAAACTACAGGAACTTATCTTATACACATTTTAAAGCTCTGACTATACCGGAATTGACTCTAATTTGACCAAAATTTTTCAATTTTCATGATTTCCCAGATTCTGCAAAAGTATTTTCCCGGAAGGGTATGGAGGTATTTGAGGGCTCAAAATGATCAGCGCAACGAGCTCTATCAGATAAGCTCAAAAAACAAAGCGTACAGAAAAATTGTTAGAAAAGTGACCCACCCTAGATAGGACACTTCATTTTGTGAGGAAGAGCGAGTTTCTCGATCCTTTCTGGGTTACAAAAAGTCTCAATCGCTTCTCCAGTGAAACAAAAAGGTTTCCAACCAGTTGATTCAAGCAAGAGTTTTAGCTGTTCTTCAGGCGTTTTTTCGTTCTCTCCGCATCCTCTTTTTTCTGTCCATCTAATTTGTCGATTGATGTAGCGAACCATGATTTTCGATCGCCATTTTTTGTTCGTATTACCGTCCATGCAGACGAAAGCGTTGTGAAAACTCTTAATCGATTCGTAAAAATTGTGCATCATTTCTATCCTGTTAGGATTGTCGACTGATGGACGGATGAAGTCATTCTCGTTGCCGGATCCGGCAAACTCAGCGCAGTCATCTTTCACTCTTGCAGGAAAATTCTCGACTCTTTCGAAGAAGGCTCGTATTTTCTTCGGTGTGACGGCGAGGCAATCACTTTCTTCTTGAGAGACCTTTTCGAGGACAGTGTCGTAGGCTTCAAGAATTTCTTTCCATGCGGAAGCTGATGGAATGCTCAGCGATTTACTCGCAATCGAAGAGAAAAGCAAAAAGAATATCTAAATAAAATAAAATTATTCATTAAAATCTCTTGAAATACCTTTATCTTCATTGTTAAATGAAAATAGTTCTCTCTGAAAAAATTGAGAAACACATTCGTTTTTGAATTTGACGACTTCGGAAGTCGCCCTCGCCACTAGATGAGTTCATGAGCGAAATTCAGCACTCTTGCAATAGAGAGCTCTAATGATATGTCGTGCAAGTTTAACCACTTTGTTGATACTTGATATTCGTTTTCCGTTGCGTTGTTGATACTTTCTGTTTTAGATGATTTGCCATTTTTCAAAATAAAAATATAGAATTTCTAACAAAAAAAAATACTTTTAGAAAAACTTGCTAACTAGAGCTCCCCGAATTGACCAATTTCAAGCGGTTTCTCTAGATTTGCTTCCTCAGATATTCAAATAGCGCGCGGCGCGCTCTTATTGGCCTCAATTTTCTCTCTAAGGAAAAAAATTAAAATCCATTTTTTCAGAAAAAATAGAGAAATAAGAAAAAACGAGAATAATGGGATTCAAAGTGAACAAAAAATTTGCAGATCATTATGACTCGTACAGACGAAAAGAGACATTACAGGTACTATTTTCAGCGCGAATAATTGATAAGAGAAAATAATTCTAGCGCTTCAAAGACCGCTTTGGGTCATCAGATGAAGAATCAACTTCCGAGGAAGAAGAGGAAGACCCGCAGTTCACCAAAAAATCTACTCTTGGCTTTTTAAAAAGTAAAATTTGCCCTTGATTCTCCCTCAAAACCTATCAAATTCTAGCGCTGGATGCGTTGAAACGAAACGACCCGTCGATTTACGATTCCAAAACGAAATTTTATGAAACTGATTCTGAAGAGGATGAAAACGAAAAGACGAAAACAGAGAAATCCTTGACTTTGAAAGATTACGAAAGAAATGTGGTGCTGAAGAAGGGCGGAATCGTCGATGAAGAAGCTGAAGAAATGGAAGAATTGACCAGACCGTCTACGAGTGGGAAATCGCATAAGGTACGTGAGTGAATGGAGTTCCAATTCATGAGATTTATTCAGGAAGAACAAGAAGAAATCAAGTCCGAATTCGCAAAACTCGCCGAGTCCGATTCTGGCTCCGATTCCGAGGATGAAATCTTTTCGAAGAAAGCGATCAAGTCCGGCGTCGCGACAGAAAAGGACATTGACTGGGATTTGCTGGCGAATAAGAACTTGGACGAAAAGGAAAAGTTTGTCAAGCAGTATTTGATGAATGCGGCTTGGAATGAAGATGAATCTGATCAAGGTAAGACCGACTTTTCTTCGCTTTTTCACCATTTTTGTAGATTATTCTTCTGGAGAAGAACTTGTCGCGCTGAAATACCACAAAGAAAACGGCAAAGCAGCTCAAGAATCGTCCGAGGAGGAAGAAAGCGACGGAGAAGACCTCTTTTCGTCGAGAAAACTTGAAACAGACGAAGTCAAAGAATCTGTCGACGTTTTGAAAACGAAGTTTGAGCGAGAAGAATCGAGGGAACCAAAAGCTTACCCGAGAAATGGTGTTCCTGACAGCTTGCGACAGGTATTTCGCTAACTACAGTAGCCATTCTGTATTTCTTGAGATCAGGAAGCCGCTTGCAGCTTCTCGATTTTGGGATTTAAAAGCGCTAGAATTGTCTTTTCTGACAATTTTCTTTAGGATACGAAGTCAGAAGCAAAAGCAAAGAAACGACAGGAAAAGAAAGAACGCAAAATGAAGAAAGAAAAGGAATACAAAGAAAATATGGCTAGAATGAAACACATCAAAGAAGAAGAACTCATGGCGAAAATGGAAGAGCTCAAGTCCGGTAAGAAATGCCTCATTCTCTCCTTAGCCTTATCTTCCTTCTTTTCTAGCGCTTGGAGTGTCCGATATCGACATCGATCCGAGCTTGTTGAAGGGCGATTTTGACCCGGACAAGCACGAAGAACTCGTGGAAAAGCTAGCTGCGAATTTAGGAGAAGACGAATTCGACGAAAATGGAGAGCTCATAAAGGTATGCCCGCTTTTCTACACTTGATATGACTTGTGACGTTTTTAGCCGGTCTTTTCCGACCTGGAAGAATGGGAAGAAGAACAGGCAGAAACAAAACGAAAAGCGAAAAAGGAACGAAAGCAGAAAAAGAAGCGCGGTGGCCGTGGACGAATTCGCGAGACAGATGATTACGAAGAAGCGAAAGAAAAGTTCCCCGAAATTGCCAAAGAAATCGACGAGCTGGACTATCAAGTTGATATGGTCGGCGACACTGCCTGCAAGTTTAGATATCGGTAGGAGGATAAAAAGGGAAGTGGTGGTCTTCTATTGTCGTTTTTAGGGAGGTTGACAAGGAAGATTATGGACTAACAGCTGATGAGCTACTGAATGCTACAGATGCAGAGCTGAATCAGTGGGTCGGTTTGAAGAGAGTCACTCAATGGAAAGGTAGGGAGTCACTCTTTTGACTGTATTTTTATTCTTTCTTTCAAGACGATGGATTTACGAAGAACAAATTCTGGACGAACCCGAAAAAGATCGAAGCGAAAAAGAAACAGATCTTCAAAAGTATTTATGGGGACGAATACGAGGTTGAAAAGGCCCAGGAGCCGAAGAAGAATCGAAAGATTAATTCGAAACGGCGAAGAAAGCTGAAGGAAAGACAGCTTTTGGAAGAAGGCGAGGACCAGGTTAGGCTTTTTTCTTGATGTCGGAGATAACTGATTGTTTTCAGGAAGAAAAGAGCGAAGAAGAGCCGGCGCAGGAAGTTGAAAAGAAGGAGAAGAAGATAAAGAAGAAGCGAAAGCACAAGGGACAGTTGGACAATATCACCGACGATCGATTCAGCTCCTACGGACTGACGAAAGACGAGATCAAAAAGATCAAATATGATCCTGAAAATGCCCTCAAATACAAAACATAACGTTATTGTATAATAAAATTGTCTTTATTGCAGCAGATCATCAGAAATATGCTCATGTATTTGTTAAAACTATATGAGACAGTCAGATGAAACATAATACGTAACAATTTGTTTTGTGAAACTTTGCTTTGGGACGTCGATTTTCAGTCGCACAAAATTTAGATTATCTGAGTCAATTTTAATTGTTCCTGAGTCTTTAATAGCTCGATCTCTCGAACTCAATATTTTCCTTGGATCCAATTTGTTATCACCATCAAAGCTAGCTTGCAAGTACAGCTTTCTGTCAATAGGCGAATACAGGATGAAAACCAATTCATAGTAACTGTCTCTTTCGCGAACCAACGTCTCCAATCCATATCCAATGAAGAGAATTTTTTCATCAGCCTGAGTGTGATAAAGTCGTGGATAGTAGTAAATCCCGAAGGTTCCTTTGAAAAACTCCTCATTATTTGGCTTTGAAAACAAAACTTTGAAACTCAAGTTAGTTGTGTCATCTTTCAGGGCATTCAAAAATGGTTCGACATCGTCACGAGTATGATATTTGAAAAGATTCGGTTTAGGTGGGAGGCTACTATGTATTGGTTTTTGAATTGCTGGGATTGCAAGGGTTTCCATTTTCGTGTTTATCTCATCGTTTTTGCTTTTTCTTGGATTTTCGTAGACAAGATCGTAGACGTTTTCTGTATTTTCTTCGGAATCAGGCTCAATAGAATTTAAAAATTCGACTTGATTCTTCAAATTTTCGATCGTTTCAGTGAGGTTCTTTTGACCTTGGATAGCAGATTGATACTTTTTCTCCAAAACGCTAAACATATTTTCCAATGTTTCGATTGTCTTCTGGCTAAGGGCTTGATTCTCGTGATTCAATTCAATTCTCTCTTCCAAAGCAGAGATTGTCAGCTTCTGATTCTCATTTTGATTCTCAAGATCGCTAACTTTTTCGACGAGCTCGTCATTCTTCTTTCGTAGTTGATACTGCTCTCTTTTCAGGCTTGTTAGTTCAGTTTCATAAAAGCCCATTTCTTGTCTTATAAGAAATGTAATTTCTTCTTTCGAGAGAGCTTATGAAAGAATGAATGCAAAACTTTTGCTAAAAAAATACCTTGACAAGCTCTTGAATCGCCAGATTCTTTTTCATACGAAACAAAACTCTCAGGAGCAGGTTCTGTGAATTCAGAGTGGGAATATTCAGACATTTTCTCTCTTTTCTGTTCTTTCGAATTTACAATATTTGATCGGGGATACGAATCACATTCGTTTGGCAAATAATAACGATGAGTAGACAAAGCTTTACGAAGACGGAGAGATTTCATGAGACCGTATTACAGTAAAGTCCCTTTTGTCGCCATTTAATTGATGAAAAATTTTAATCGAATTTTTTTAAGTTTGAAAATCAAATTCAGTCGTGACTTTAATTTGACTTGTTATTGATGAAGCAAACTGTCAGTTAAAATCTCTTTCACCACTCCAGTCGTAAAAACGGCCTTGTCAGCTCGCATCTCCTCAATAAAATCTCTCTTTCAAAAACAACAAAAAAGCGGCGAAGAGAAAACGGATGATTTATATAATTTCAATCACTACCGGTCCGGAAGGAATTGCGATAAATAAAGAGAATGGAGAAGTTTTACAAGTCAAGCTTTTTGGTCAAAATGGACAAGAGACGAAATGGGTGAATTGCTCGATTGGATCTTCTTTTAAATCTTCGACTCTTGAAGCCTTCGAAATCGAAGCCCCGGAAATCGGCTCCGTCAAATTCGTCAAAGTCCGCCTCAACAATCAAGTAAACTACCACCAAAATCTGACCCACCAAGAACTAACTGGCCTTTTTGTTTCGACAGAAAATGACGCTGGAAAATTCTACTACAGTGGGTTTATTCATTTTTGATTTATTTACTTATTTGTTTCAAAGATTCGAGCGAAAGAAGCGATGCAGACGAATTGAGAAGCGGCGCTTTGTACAAAATAGGAAAGGTCTTATGCTTGCATTAAAGAGTTTCCATTGTCGAGGACTTCGGATAGAATGTAGGTGCTTGGGATCATTCCGTAGAGCTTCTTTTCGCGAAACCATTCGGTTCCTATTCGCGCGAGCTCGGATGTTTCTAGAAATATTTTTTATCAGAATTTTTATCTTTTTTTTTTTGTAGATTTTTTTCTTACCTCTGAAAGCATTCATTAATTCATGAAATCTCGCTGGCTGGTCGGAAAAATGAGTTTGAATATGATCCAGTAAACATGATTTGATTCGTTCTGCAATCAGCTGATGCTGTGGCTAGAAGACATTCAGACCATATTTTTCCTTTTGCTACCTACCCGTTCGTCCAAAATGAACATAGAAAACATCATCAAGCAAATAAGCTCTGTCCGATCAATCCTAAGCTTTTTGTAAATAGTCGTAATCCTCATTATCTCTTCTGCCATTTTCTGCGCTCCGGGGTCAAAATAAGTCGAGAAGCTCTCCTGGGAAATTTTTCGCCCGGAGACAAGGAGGAGATGCTTTTCGTCAGAGAACCAAAGTTGGCGGTAGATTTGGTCAAGGCACATGACATGCGGCCAGGATTTACAGAGGGCTTTGACCTTTAAAATTGTCATCATGCATCAGGTTGAAAAATACCTGATCATCAGTAGACAACTCTCTAAAAGCAGCAGTTTGTTTTGCCCAAAGCACTTTTGAAAACAACACCTGTTCGTCCATTCGTATCACGTGATCGATCACACTGTATTTGTTCACGAAAATCATCCCTTCAACCGCTTTTCGCGCCTTAAAAATCTCTAGAAACCAGCATTTCACCCCTCCTTACTCTTTCCGCGACTTGTTCTTCGGGAATCCAAGACGATGTGATATCCTTAATGATGTCCAAATTCGTCATTCCAAGGATCGAGTCAAAGCTTGTCAGAAAATTGGCCGGTTTTGGGTCAAAATCGGTCATTTCATTTTTCATTTCCAGCGGTTGAAAAGGATGTTCGTTATGATTCTGGTCCGAGCTGGAACTGACGAGTCGTTTTTTCTTGCGATTTGCTCGGTCTTTATCGTATTCTTCTTTCAGCGCAGATCGGCCGCCTCGATTACCGCCGATTCTCAGGGCTTCGCGCTTCATTCCAAGAAGGATACATTTCTAGAATGAAAATTGCCAATCAGAAAAGGGATGAGCAGAAACTTACGTTGTATCTGCAAGAAGAGCACTTCTTCCTCGTTGTCTTCGTGATCGTACATTGATCATTATTCGAGCAATAGTATTTCTTATTCAGCTGAACGATCCGCTTAAAGAATCCCTTGCAACTCTCGCAGCTCAGTATTCCGTAGTGATATCCAGACACAACGTCGCCACAGACTGGACAGGGCTCTCTTTGCTTTTCTCGGCGATTTGAAGGGGGAGACGAAAGCTCGTTGTTGGCAAATGAAGGTTGTTGGTCGAAAAAATCATGAGAAGTCGAAGGACTTGGTGTTTGATTATTGGGATCTTGTGGGGAGTCCTGCATGTTTTCGTCGTTTTGCCAATGTCGGTTATCGAAAAAGTCATCCATTGGCTGACTTATTGGGTATTGGTACTGCTGAATAAGGGGTTCGTGAGTGTTAGTATTCTCTCGTTTCATTGGTTCTTGGTCAATTTGGTTAACTCTTGTTTCGTTGAAAAAATCATCCATATTTTTAAAGAGTTCTTCTGAGAAATGTCGCTCAAGGAATATAAAGATAACTTCGCTATGTTATTTGCCAACAGAATAAAATATTTGTTCGATGAAGCAGAAGAACAAACGCGACGGGAGAAACAGGATCGGTCACGTGTTTGTCTTTCGATGTTCCGAGCGGAAAGAATATACAGTTGTTACCCCATTTAGTGAGTTCACTCCTTGAAATGACCTCTTTTCGAATTGGAAATTTCGAATAAAAAAGAAAATTCTGCGAAAGGGCAGATTTTGAAACTGTTGTCTTTGGTCAAGTTTGAACGAGTTGAAGAGGTTGTTACGTAACTGAAATTTTGTAACTGTTGGTCAGGAAGTTTTTGAGATTCGCATTAAAATTATGAAAAATACTGGCTATCTGGCTTTTTACACAAATGTCAGTGTTGTCAACGATGTCGGAAGTGTCAGGAAATATATTAAGACCAAAAAGTCCTCCATTCAAATTGCGGCGACGAAATTGCCAACTCACTATCCAAATCCGAGGAGCTGTTCCTTCAAGATGATGCTGCAAAAGAAGAATCGAACCGTGTGGAGCTTTTCAACCAGCATTCGACCGCCCCGTTTCACGAGCAAAAGGCGATCTTCTTCACATCCGGTGCTGCGATGGACAAATTTGCAAAGTATAAAATTGTCGACCAGGGTGGACAGCAGCCAAGTTATCTCAAATCTTTTCTTGTTCAAACGAGTTCTTCCGCTGGATTGGAAGGGATCGAGTGGGAAAGTCCTGTGACGGTTTCTTGCCAGATAAAATGCTCAAAAACGACGTCACGAAAATCATCTTTTGAGTCAAATACATCTGAAGATTTCTCTCAAATAACTCCTTTTGTCGGTAAGCCAGCATAGTTTTTTAGCTTTTTTTAATGAAGAATTCCAGCTCCAGCAGCGCTAGAAAAAGCACCAGAAAAAGCTGACACATCCGATTTTCCCAGCGAAAATTTTTCCTACAAATCGTCCGAGCGACCTGTTTTTGCCCGGCCTCTTCAAATAAGTCGTCCGTCAGTTCCTGTGCTTCAAGAGTCAAAGTAACCATTATATAAGCGATTATATAACTTCTCTTTTCGCATTAAATTCTGGCTGTTGGTGATATTTACTGTTCAGTCGCGCGCTACCGGCGGAGTTCTCTGATCTGGGCGTTTTGAAAAAGTGCAAAGTCCGCAAGCGAAACTTAGAGGCACGGTTTTTCGGGAGACGCTCGGTTAGAATACCAATTGGTATTCAAATACCAATTTTGGTATTCAAATACCAATTTTGGTATTCAAATACCAAATTCGCCAAAGAATACTAATTTCGCCCGCCAAAAAATTTGAGTGTGCGTTCCGGGCCTGTTTTTTAGGAAGCTCTAGAGGTGATTTACATATTTTTCAGGGAAAAAAATTGTTTCCGCTAGAAAAAATTGGTATTCAAATACCAATTTTGGTATTCAAATATCAATTTTTGGTATTCAAATACCCAATATTTTTGGTATTCTAACCGAGCGCCCCCGGGTTTTTCCTCTGTCTTTTTTCGGTCAGAAATTTTTGCGTCAGAAAAACCGGAATAGGAAAAAGTGCCTCTTGGTGGCAGCAGATGGTCTTCGTCAATTCATCTTTACGAAAATGTCGAAAGGAAGGAGAATGAAAATACTGTCATTTACAAAGAAGACTCGAAAGTTGAACCATTACCTCTTGCTCCTGAGATACCAGTAGAGGAAGAAGGAAGATATCATTCAGGAATGATCATCAATAAAATTATTTCTTTTTTGAAAAAAAATCAGCTTTTCTTGATCTCAAAAAGATGTCGTCATCAACAATCACGAAGAAATAACACGAGCGAGCTCCGACTCCAACAAAATTCCTTCGACAATTTACAGATTTGAAATCAAGACAGCGAAAAAATTCTTCAGCAACTCCGTCACTCAAGCCACTCTTGTTATTTTGAATGAAGATAACGACCGACTCGAGTTCTTTCTTACGAATGAGAAACATCTCAAAAAGGCAAGAACTCTAAAATTTTCCGATCGATAAAATTTCTAGAGAGAAAAAGGCGAGCCAATCGCTCTGGATGGAATCTACGCGAACCAGAGAAATGAGTACTCGTTTGAAGTTGTGGATTCTTTTGGGAAAATTAGCCAATTGAATCTAGATCTGGCGAAAAATCTCAGCGTTGAGTACATAAGGGTTATTTTCGAATGTGGACGATTGATAATTTATGCTTTTTCAGCTTTATGAATTCGAGGACAGCGTAAAATTCACAGAAATTCCGATTTCTTTCGGTGGAAAGCAAAAGCTTTATAAAGGTGTCAATTCTTTTCCTGTACTAACTGCATTTTGAAATAAATTAACATTTAACGAACAACCTTCAACTTGACGATATGGTATATTTTTAAATTGTTTATTTACCGCCTGTACAAATATATTTCTACAATAAAGAACTGATGAATGATTGATGCTCAGTGAGAAAAAGTGAGTGCAGACGATGAATATTTCAAACCTGGCCGTCATAAAGATCGTACCAGCCGGTCCACTGGGACTCGAAGATCTTTATTGACATTTCAAGTTCTGGCATGACCATAAGTCGACAAAGCTCCAGTTTTTCGCCTTCTTTCGACAACTGAATTTTATAGATGAAAAAAAAATATGTAAAGAAGTTGATCGATTCAAAAGCATAAATTTGTATGGGGACACCCTTAATTGAGCCACTTTAATCGTACCTGATAATTTTTGATCTTGACTTGATCGTAAGAAAACTGACACTGAAGGTCATTTTCCTCACAAATAAATTCTTTCTCCAAACAAGTCTTTTTAACTTCATCAAGTTTTTCCTCCAAAATCTTCAAATCTTCTCCAAATCCTTCATAGTCGTCAATTTTCTGCCAGAAAACTTTGCTGAAATGTTCATAGATCGCGTTGTCCAAATGATTCCAGCTTCTCATTTTCGATTCTAGCTCCGGTGAGAGTTTCTGCTTTTCTGATCGTTCGTTTGTGACGAAAAATAGGACATCCTCCCACTCCCAGCAAAGTTCTTTCTTGAGAAGGACCATGCTTTCTTTGAAATAATCTGTCAGCAAGACCAAATCAAATGTTTGCTCAAGCGCTTGCAAAATATTTTCCTCGTTGTTTTCACTGAGCCATGGCATGCCTGCAATGTGAATAATTAAATCTTAATTGTAAATTGCTCGAATAGAGCGTTCCCTACCCAGATCGAAGGCCATATGGTTTCGCGCGAAAACATCATTTCCTTTGTTTCCATATGGCTCGTCTGCGTTCCAGAATCTTTCGGGAGAAGAGTAGAAGGCTTCCAAGGATTGAGCTTTTCTGTAGGGAGTGGTTATTGACCGGAAGTAGCCGAAAGAGCTCTTATTTTGGGATGATGATTCATAATATAATATAATATAATATAATATAATATAATATAATATAATATAATATAATATAATATAATATAATATAATATAATATAATATAATATAATATAATATAATATAATATAATATAATATAATATAATATAATATAATATAATATAATATAATATAATATAATATAATATAATATAATATAATATAATATAATATAATATAATATAATATAATATAATATAATATAACTTCTCATTCATCCTATTCCTCATACAACGACGGTATGTCCCTTAAGATTGTGATCCTCTTCGCCTCCGGAAAAATTTCGTACAATTCTCTCGACGCTCGTAAATGATTCGCAATAATCCGCGGTTTCTGCCCAGACGGAAGTTTTTAATAAAAGTTGTTTTGAAGAAATAAGGGTATTCGAAGCGATTTCCGTCAGAAACAGGCATGGCAATTGGCAAATTATTCTTCATTCCGAATCTTCGGATAATGTTCTGGAGAGTTGATGAGCCGGTCTTGTGGGTTTTGACGAAAATGATGTCCTCGACGGGTTTTTGGCAGGTTTTCGAAGCGGTTTTTGGGGCAGTGAAAATTTCGGTGATTTCGATTTCTTCCCTGTAATCTCGCTCATGGAGAATCTTCGAACTTAAAATATTTTTCAAGCTGCCGAAATCGCATTGTTTACCTTGAAAGAGATCTGCGATACTGTATAAAAGAAAAAAATGAAAGCGCCACTAGAATTCCAAATAGCCATTTTCTCTGAATCGTTCTTCTGTTCATTAACCCTAGTTTTGAAGTATCTTTTGTTAGGTTCATTGTTTTTTCGGGCGTCACGGAAAACAGATTTTTATGACCTGTTTATCTCAAAAAACGGTACTTTTTTTGAATTTTATGAATTTAACGACCCATTTTTGGATCTGAATGGCTCATTTTAGTACTTGATTGGAACGAATATTTACCGGTCAACAAATTTCCCCCGAGGCTTGGTCAGGCTGACCTTGGAGGTACAGTTGCAGCTCTTTTTTGAGCGTTTTTGAATAATTGACGGGTGGAATATGCATGCTTGATGCAATAAGAAGCGGAGAAAATGCTTTTCGTTTCAATAACTTTTGAATAATCAGCCTTTTCTGCGTCGTAATAAGGCTAATAAGTCGCGTGATCGGATTACGGACGGCTCATTATCCGTCAATTTAGCATCAGTTATGCAATTACATGCGCTGGCCGCGGGCGAGTAATCTCCTGAGGGCAGCAGAGAGGGAAGAGAGTATATAATGAAGGTCGATTCAGCAGAGTCAAAAAAGAAAAATTTTTTTGAACAAAAAAATTGACAATGATTGAAAACGATCCAAAAACGCACTGTCACAAGGAAGACCACTGCTGTGCTCCGAAAGAGAATCACGTGAGTACTTTTTCGAAAAATTTTTCATTTTTTTTTCTACGAATATTTTTTACAATTTTCTTTGTAGACGCACGAAAAAACCTGCACTCCTTGCGAAACGAGCTGCAATAAGACTGAATGCAAATGATATGACTCGCAGCAGATACTGTTGCTAATGTTCCTGTAGTTTCTTATATCCCGAAATACATATGTACTCACTTCTCTTCTCTTGTCTGAGATATTTTGAATTTTTTGCAAAGAATTTTATTAACATCAGTTTTGTTTTGAAACAGTCAGAAAACAGTAAATTCTTGGCAATCCATAAATTCCAGATCGTCAAAATCATCCCCTGAACAATTGATTTTATGGGTTTTTTCAAGAGACCATACCGATTTCTGATTGGCTTCGTCGAAACTCTGATGATCGTCTGTCTCTTGCATCTTTATTTTCAATTACTAAATAGGTTTTTTTCTTTTTTAAAAGAAAACTATCTTACCGAAAGCATTGCGTCTCTCAGAAGGCTTGACAATCTGAACCCTCGCATGAAGATATTTTCGGTAGTTTTTGTCAATTTGCGACTCGTTTCGAATAGCATGATAAGCCAGGACGTCGACAAATTTGTTGAAACAAACAACCAATAGAAGCATCCAACCAACAAGGGTCAGAATGACCAGGGTCGTATCTACTGGATCCCAAGTTCTATAAGAGATTTAGAGGAGGGGGAAAGGGGGGGGTAACTTACTTTTCGTGGTTTTCTTGAGAGTCGGTTTTGATTGCGCCGACGATTGTTGAGTTGTCTTTTCAAGAGTTTTTTGAAAAATTTCGGGAACAAAAATATTTTTTAATTTATTCATTCGATTTTATCGTCATTGATTTCAAAAGGCTTTTCTTGATTATATACGGGAGTGTATTCTTCACAGATCTCGGACCCAAAATTGATATTCATATTATCCTCACTGACTTCAAACAGAAATTTGCATAAGTGCTTTTTGTGGATTGAAACTTGATCGCCATAGATTTTTCCATGCTACAATTGACAACTGCTTGAGAGGCAAAAAGAAGGGAACTTACCTTTCCGACATTCATTTTTTTTCAATTCTCGGTTTTCTCTTTGAAGAAAAAAGAAGGAGCTGAAGGTGATCACCCGTCGCCATAATTAGCTGATGAATACTTATGAACTTGCATTCTTATTTCCCTAAGGTTTACCAAACAAAGCCTTATTTTGATTATTTCGCGATTTCATTTTTTAAATATTAAATAAATTCATGTCAATTTGACTACTTGTAGTGTCATTGATGATTTGGAGAGCCAGGCTCACCTTGTTTGCTCAGTAATCATACTCTTGTGCAAATTTCCCCGCTATCCGAAAAATGCATTTCAAAAGATAAAAAAGATGAACTATTTTTTCTTATTTCTTCTTTTGAGAGCGAAAGCAGATAGGACCTATAAATGGGGAGAGAAGGCCAAAGAAAAACTAGAGAATGGAAAAGAAGGTTTTCAGAATTTAATAGAATTTTTTCAAACTGGATCAATTCAACCCTCGCCTTCTCCTCTTTCCGCAGAAGCTCAAGCTGCTCTAGGCCCCGCAGCATTTTATGATTGTCAAAATACAGTTCATTACTGGCCACGAGAGGGTGGTCTAACGATGGGATGTCATGTGACAAGATGGCAGCCTGGTGGTCTTTCAAAATCATCGAAAACTCTGAGCTCTCTGATCGAAGAATTGAAAGAAAGCGCGAAAAAAGCACGAGTTCCAAATTTTCAAACATACCAGCTTCTGCTTGAAGATCCCGATAGAAGACTTGATCCCGTGAAAGTAGAAGTGATTGATATAAAAGAAAATCGGGTTTATTTCAACACGCCGGAGGTGAACAAAAACTGGTCGCGCGGAATCTTGAATTTGGAACTGGATGGTTTGGGAGTGCTAATCACAAATGAAATTGTCTTCCACGATTTTTTCGATAACAGATTTTATCCACTCGTCCTGGAGGGATCGAAAGATGAAAAGAAAGGAGACGCAAGAGAGTTCTCGTTGGTCAAAGATCTTGAAGGAGTCGACAAAGCGGGAAGAAAAGTCAAGTACTTGGAGCTGAATTTGAACCAAGTCCCCGGCCATCATGTTGAAGACGGACTTGATATGCTCAAATACTTCATCAAGCACAGTTCTCTTGGATTCTTCAACGAGAAAAACAAGCACCAAAACGTCACCATCGCGCACGGCGAAAGAGTTACAATGGCCGATAATCTTGGACAAGACAGCTACTCTGGACCAGTTCTCCACGGCGCTAGAAATATCAGCGCTTTCACGACTGTCGATAATCTGAACATCCTCCGATTCGAGGCAATGTACGAATCTGACGCGGCGCACTATCTTCAGTGGAAATATTCCGAATTGCATTTTAGGTAAAATTGCTTATTTCTCCTTGGCCCTTGTTCTAAGATAAATCATTAATTGGCGCAAGACATCAACAAATTGCAAATTGTTGATGATTTGTTTATTCATTTCTCATTTCTACTTTTATCTCATTATCATTGTTCGTAAAACAGAGCTGATTTCCTTGCTGCTGAGAGTAAATAGAGCTCTGTTTTGGTTGAACATCTAACAATCGATCGATCCAAAAACACAAGGGTCCATTTATTGTCCATCATAACAGCTAAACGTGAGGGCTAAGCACAAATCTACCCAATCAGCCAGTTTTTCCGAAGTCAAGCTTTTCTTTTAGCCTTGGAAATCAGTCAAAAATCATCGGAGTCATCAGAAACCCGTGGAAAAACAAGGTCGCCATTATCCTCAGCGTCGTTTTCTCCATCATCTTCGTCCTTCTCGCCGTCATCGGATATCTCTTCTGGAAGAATAAGAAGCAAAAAGAAACAAATTCCAAAGAAATGGACCGATTAATCCCGCAGTCTTTCGTGATCAGCAATACGAAAGCGTTTCAAGAATACATTCAAAAGGTGGAAAAAGAAGATCCAATGCTAGCAAATGGTCTCAAAAAGCTTTATATTCCGAATGAAAGGATCAAAAGAACAGAAAGAATTCTCGGAAAAGGCCAGGTAGGAAAATTTTTTTGTTTTTGAATTGATAATCAATTAAAATTTTAATCATATTGTATAGTAAAAATGGTAAAAATCTAATATTAAAAAGGTCAGTTAACTTAAGGATCCTATTCGATAGAAGATATGTCGATGATTATAAAGAATTTTTCTCAATAAAATTAAGCCTTTTATTTAACCAGGTGATCAATTTCAAAATCAAATTGTGGTTTCTGGACATCAAGAATCTCACCTCTATTTATCTATATTTTTATACTAATTCTTCTAGTTCGGAGTTGTATCAGTAGCAATTGTCGACGGAAAAGAATGCTGCGTGAAGACGTGTCGGGCAGACATTTCGCCACCTGACGATGTCGGAACGGGTTGCAGAAAATTTTTTTTGATTCAATCTTAGATGAATAAGCAATTTTTTAAATAAGCTCGAAACCCAAAAAAAAAGATTATCGAGAAGTGGAGGCCTTCCGCAAGCGCATGCTAGAGCTGAACCAGGATTTGTTCAAGGAGATTTTCAAAGAGGCATTCGAAATGGCGAGATTCGAGCATGAGAATATTATGAAATGCGAGGGTGTCAGTTTAGACGAGAAGATTAACCCAGAGAAATGGCTTTTTCAATCAGCAATTTTGGTATTTTGATTTCGAAAACGAGCCATAAAACAGATAATTCTACCGCTGATGGATAGAGGAGATGCTCTGACATTTATCAGATCTCCTGAAAGCCCTGTTACTTATAAGCTTTGCATGCAATTCGCGATGAATGCAGCGGATGGAATGGACTACTTGTCGACCAAGAATGTGATTCATCGAGACTTAGCTGCGAGAAATTGCCTTTTGGAAAGTAACGGAAGTACGTACCAATTAGAGCCAATCAAATCGTTCGATTCGGCCTGCCAGCCAATCAGATAACGAAAAATTTTTTATTTTTCAGCAAAAATTAATCTCCGAATATCCGACTTTGGCCTTGCAAAACACATGGAAAATGCATACGGCGATTATGACCAGTACAGTATGCAAACGATGACGAAGCTTCCTATCAAGTGGCTGGCGCCTGAGGTTTTGAAAAATAAGCAATTTACGACAATGAGCGATGTTTGGGCGTTTGGAATTCTGATTTGGGAGATTTTTACGAGAGGGTTGGTTCCTTATGGACCCCAGAATAATTGGAAAGGTAGGCTTTCGCCTCAGGAGCTCTTTTCATCTCATTTTTCTAGAGCTTGAGGAATACCTCCAGTGCGGCCGGCGACTCGACAAACCAGATCACTGTGACGATGAACTGTACGATACACTTTTATACTGCTGGCAATTCGAGCGGCAGAACCGACCTTCTTTCAAAGAACTCTCGACGTTTTTCAGGGAGCATTACAAAAGACTCAACAAAAATGTAAGTCACTTTTCTAGACGTCCGAATCAGAAATGAGAATGTTAAAAATATATCTTTTAGTTAGAGAATAAAAGCAATAATATTGTTTTACAGCAGTGATACATGACATCACTTTTTTACCAGTTACCAGTAAATGCTCTGATTTTTGCCCGCCCAAAATTTGGGCGATTTTCCGTCAATTTATCCACTCGATTATAATATTTCTAGAGCATCAGTAAACGGCGGCCAACTCAGCTTCGAATGCCACAGACGCCCGAATCAACCGACTTCGAAATCGCCTACGGCCACGAGCCCAAATCCAACCCTCTATCCGTCAAATCCAATCAAATCTACGAAGTCGCTTCGAGAAGCTCCATCGCGGAAAATTTCGAACAAGAAGTTTACAATGGCCTGCAAGACTACGTTTCCCCGCCAACGATTACTGGGGGCGATTCGGTGGACGACCTGACTTATGTTGAGCCAAAAGGGTTGAACAGCGCTGTGGATATTTGAGGACAATGTAAATATAGAATCCTGACTCCAACCCAAAAGACCCAATTTCTGATGAATGATTTATGTTAAATATACTGAAAAGAAATAAAGATGTTGAAATTTTCCTAAGTAAGGTGATTAACTGAAGAATTAATTTTTTAAAGTTAGGGTTAGGGTTAGGGTAGCTGTTTTTTGATTGGCTGGGGAAAAATAGGGATGGCGTCGGAGGCTGACAAGAAAATTTCGATAATTTTTGCGTGGAAATTTTCAACCAATCAGAAGCCTAGATAACCAGCCAATAAGCATCGAAGTAGCCGCCTACGCAAAATTTGTCGAAATTTATTGTCGGTTCCTGACACCTCCCCAAAAAATGGCCACTTATTGAAAAATAATAAATTATTTTTTAAACTTTTTGTGCTCTCTCGTTTTTTTATCTAAAGTACTGTATATAAAACTCTAACTGTCAATATGGTCTGCCAGTCACAATCTCAACGAGAAAAAATACTGTCTCTTGAAACTCATCTGTTTTCTTTGAATATATTTTGATCACAAAAAATTAGTGGTAAAACACCTTGTTCGACTTCTGATCAGCACTTTTTTCCACGTCAATCAATAATTTTAACTCGTGTTCCACTTTTTCCATTTTTTCGCTTGAAAACAATTAATAGAACTTGGCAGGTCAATTCAATTTTTGAATAGTAAACGGATTTTCTCTGTCGATATGACAACAAGAGGATTACAATTCATTTTATTTTGACAATAATTTAACTTATTTTTGGATTGTTCAATTATTTTGAGATAAACAGCGAAACGTGAGAAAACAGAATTAGTACGAGCTTTTCCAAGGGGTAATTATTGATGCTCAACGAAGCAGATCTAGGATGTCGGGAAACTTGATTTTCCTAACTGAGTTTCAAAAATATTTTTTGAAGACAATTCTGACAAAAATGATAAAATTAAAAAAAAAATAAAAAATATCTTCTCCACCTTATATTTTCTTTGAATATAATGAAATAAGGATGTCACTTTATTAAGGACCCCCCCGTCAACAATCTTCGAAAAATCTTTTTTCGGAATTTCACAAATTTGACCCCGGAAATAGATTCTACAGGTCGAAAAACGATTTTAAGGCTTCATTTTTTGGGGGTCTATCTCGACTCTAACACCCGCAAAATCGCGTTTGAAAATCGAACTTTTCGACGAAAAATGACCAAAAAGTCCCAATTTTGCTAAAATTTCAGATTTTCCTGAAATTGGTCCTCAAAACTTGTTAACAATTGAATTGATTGTATTGCGAGTCAAACAAGAACATTTCTAACCCACTAGAAAAAGCTTATGCGGGAGAATGGATTCTGATTTTTCCTCAATCAAATTAGTCGCTCAAAAAGAGCTGCATAAATACGTCGTTCGTTACAAATATAATTTTTTTCTTGGACGCTAGAAACGTGAAGGGCTCAATTTAATATACAGGAAAAGGGCTCAAAAAGATGTTTGGGCCAATTATCTACGTCTTTGATAATTCAATCAGGTTTTTACCGTATATTTTTACGAGACTTGAGCAATTTTAGGAGATTCATATTATCGTTCAGCTTTTGAGAGAGCTAAAGTATTGAAATTTCCAAGAAAATGGTCGAAATGAAATAAAAAAAAACTGTAAGTCTAAATCAAAACCAAAGTCACACGTAAAACATCCTGCATCCTGATTCCCAAACCGGTAGATTTTCCATCTTGAAAAAATCCAAAAGGTTGCGCAAGTCAAACCGCCGTTGCAATTTCTAGAGGCCACCGCCGCTCCACCAAGCTGTCGTGTTACTTACCCCTGAGTCTCTCGATAAAATATCTTCCCAAGATTATCCCGGAGAAAATTTCAAGTTCGACAAGAGTCTAGAATCTATGGAAAGAAATAGTTTTCTCGAGTCTTTTTAGAGATCATTTTCATGAACCTTGTTTCGCACGAAATGCAATTTTGTCCCATTACATAAAAATAAGGGTGTCACTATATTAAGGCTCCTGTTCATGATGTCAAGTCGCTTACTATTTCGGTAAGACTTAGAAAGACGGTCGAAAACGGTCTTTTTTGAGGAAAAGATTAAAATAGAAAACCTTGAAAACAAAAAAATCAGCTGGACGTAACTGAAGAAAAAGATAAGCTGGAATACTATCATTTGCTCAAAGATATTTTGAACTAAGAAAATCCCTATATTTCCCGCTGAAATCGACTTGTTGGTAAAAAACTTCAATAATTCTGCTTTTTACAAAATAAGATTTAGGTACTATTATGGGATTATAAATGATAATCCCTAGTTCTTCATTTCATAAATCATCACAACTGCTTTTCAACTGTTATAAAATAGTGATAACTCATCAATCGGCACACAAAAAAATGTATGTTAGAAGCTTCAGTTTCTTGTTTTTCATCTTTTACCGTAAACAGCTATTGATGGTCATTAGAAAATCAATCGTTAACTCACTTCTTCGTCGCTTTTCCGAGTTCCTCCGAGGGCGCGCGAGAGCTCACGGCGGCGCGCGGCGCGCATCGCAACGCGCTGTAAAATAACGCGCTTGAAGTTGAAATTTCTCAAGTCCGGAAGAGTTCGAAAGAGAAATTATCTCGACTCTCCAACTTTTTAATTTTCTTATTTGATTGATAATTTACTTTTTTTGATCGAAAGATAGAGACGTCAACCTGAGCAAAAAAACATACAAAAAGGTATTTTTTTTTATCAATTTTAAAGAAAAAATCAAGTTATTTAATAAATAGTCGATAAAAATAACAAAAAACTCTATTTTTATATTCTTGAAATTAATTTGATTTACTAAATTTAATAAATAGAAAGGAAAATTGTCAGTTAAAGAAACAACATTCACGATTTACCGTCAATTTAGGAATTTTTAAAGATGCTAAAGATTTTGTAGATCCAAAGATACTGAAATTTATGTAATCAGCGAGTAATTTCTTTCCTAAAAAAAGCCAAAATCGAGCTGACAAAACGGAGCTTGATATTACGTACGAGATGCTTATTTGATTTGGCATCTGGGTATTCGCAAGGGTGCCTAACGCGGCGGCAACGCATTACCGGTGCGTCTAATTCCAGTAGCCGAACGCTAGAAATGCTACTTTTTTTAATCAAGCCAACAAATTACACAGCTTTTGGAAATAAGATGTTTCTGTGGAGTGAGGATATCTCCTTCAATCGGAAAAGAATGAAATTTTTCAAAGAAACTTTGCTTCCGAAATTAAGGGGATCTCAAAGATATTCTCCTTTTTTCGGAGTAAAATCCTTAAAATTGATCAAGCTTTGAAAAAATAAAATTTGCGAAAATTATTTTCTTAAATCTGATTGGCTTAACGGCCGAATGCGAGCATTTGATTGGTCTTAAATTTGATCCAATCAAAACTCGGTATTCGACTTGGAGGCCAATCAGGGTTTAAAGAAATTATCGCGATGAGTAGTACATGGCGCATCATGGCATTACTGAAACCTCAGCTGGCGTCTTGGTACGTCAATAATGATTATTTACGCGGTCGGGTCTCGAGTTGTGCTTCGCTTCTCGTAATCTTATTCTTGCGCTTCTACTTCTATTCACGTTATTTTTCAGAACGAAAAGCATGGTAAAGCTAAAACTACTGGCACTTGCCGCAAGCTCAGTTCATGGAAGCGACATAGCTACAAATACTCAGTGTAGAAAGCCGGATCAGTGGTTCAAAAACTTATCAAGGTAAGAAATAATGGAGTTAAAGGACAAACAAAAAAACCCTTGGAACAACACTTCGGGAACCTGTGTTGGAAACCTGAGTCAGGTTTTGTCAAAGCATTTTCAGAAACCTGACTCTGGTTTTCTTCACAGGTCGGATGTAGCTTGAGGAAAACCTGAGTCAGGAATCTGAAAATCTTTTTGGAACCCTGACTCAGGTTTTCGACACAGGTTAGGATGAAGCTTGAGAAAAAGCCTGAATCAGGGTCTTGAAAATCTTTCATGAACCCTGACTCAGGTTTTAACGCAGGCTGCGGAGCAAAAGATTGAAATGAGTAACGATTCAGAAATCATAAAATATTATTTTTTTTTTGCAATTTTTGATTTCTTTGAAAGCATGATCCAAAAGACCTGCATATTTATGATTCGATAAAAGCGATAAGTACGCGTCTCTCAAGGTCGCACAAACAAAAATGCTTCTTTCTAATCTGCTTTTTCGGCAGATGCGCCGCGGCGAGTGGCCGCTCTCACTCACAAAATCAAATCGGAGAGGCTCATCTGCCAAATCCTCTTTTACATTTGTCTCTTTACATAAGATTTCTTTCTTCTAGAAAAAATGATGAAAATCGAGAAGCAGCTTGCGGTTTCGAGTCGAAAAAAGCGCGGCTTAAATTGCGGCTTCGAGCCCAGAAAAAAATTTACTTCTTTCGGCTCGAACCCGCAAGCGGCTTCACATTTTTCATCAATTTTTCTAGAGATTTTTCGCCTCGGATAAGCGATCTTCATGAGAACATCTCTCCCTCTCTCAATTAACCCCTGTTACACGTTTTTCTAGCCGTGTAAATTTCTCGTGCCCAGACGAACTGACCGACTCCTCGAAGTGCCAAGTCACCTGCCCAGATGATTACACGCCGTCTATTCCAGAAGTCACTTGCTCCTGCACCAGATTTAGGTGAGTCCACAAAAATATAAAAAATCGCTGACATCTCCAATATCGGAGCTTACGTTAGTGAGAAAGTTCTTCTCGAGAACGCGCACTCCACATCTGTCAAATTCCTGTCAGAGCGAAATCGCTCCACTAATTTTCGGAAAGCTCTCATATCCGAATTAAAAAAATTGATCGAAATAGTCATTCTGCGAAGCCGCTTGCGGCTTCGTTTAAAATAAGCCGCAGAGCGGCTTTTCATAGAAGATCATTCAAACCCTGACTCAGGTTTCATAAATCATAACTTTCATAAGAGTCATAAATTCACGATTATTTAAATTAATGAAAAGCCTAAAAAGATATGTCAAAATCTCAAAAAATAGTCAGCATTGAAAAAGGGCTCAAACGATTATCCTGAGTATGAGTAAGTAATCCCCGGATTACTTGAATCCGATTGATAAGAGATCACGTGTTAGCGGTACAACCACTAGTTTTAGCAAAAAATTCTGTCTTGCTCGGATTATGATGATCATGAATCTGAGATACTGTTCAATTTTTTTACGAATTGAATGGGTATGACGAGATTTTGGACCGTTTCGAAAAGTGGCGTGAAAGTTTACAAATATATCTCCTTCAAATCGAATTCAGTGGTGTTCCGCGAAACAGATGTCAATGGCAACCAAAGCGGTCCTTGTACAAGCCGAGATGCATTCCGCCCGAGCCAGCGAGCACGAGACGTGAGTAGAAAATGTGAATTTTGACGATGATTGAAACTTGTTGAAAACAATGTTCATAACGTTCTTTTTAACAGCAATTTTTCAGTCTTATAGTAGTTTTTCATGAAAACTCATGAAAAACAGATAACTTTCGCTAGGGTTAGGATTGATTTTTAGGTTTGTAAAAACAATAAATTTCGAATTTTTATTTTCGAAAAGCATAATTTCAAATTTTATTTTGCTTTTATTGAGTTTTATTTTTTTTGAAAAATTCGAAAATTTTTCTTTATCCCAATTCAGATGTCGACTTTCCAGACAATGTATATTTTTTGCAATCTTTTCATTTTCATTCGTTAAAAGTTCGCTCGGCGTACGTGTTAGGTACAAGTACAAATCCATCACAGATGTCTTGCTTTTTGATCAGGTTCAGCTAATTTTTTCCGCTTTCCGGCTTATCAAAAACATCCAGATTCAAGGGCACTTACATGATACCCGAAAATGTTATGATAAAATCACAAATTCTTGAGAACTCTTGAAATCTACCAAACTTAGAAACTCTTAGTAAAAATTATTTTTAGGCATGCAGCGATTCTTCCTATCATCAGACAGTAGTCCAGTACAAGTGCCCTTCAAGACGGATTTTGAAAAGGTGATCATGACTCCTTGGCAAGCTCGACAAAGACGACTCGATGGCGAGAATGTTCCAGCTCGACATGTTCAAAGAAGACCTGATGAAATTTCAAGACCGAGAAGGAGAGATGAAAATGGATTGATGGCAAGATCAAATCAGAAAAATGCACCTCAGTAAGTCGAAAAAAGTAGCATTTTTCTAGGTGGTGGTATCGGGAACCGACAAAAAATTTCGACAAATTTTGCGTGGGCGGCTACTCGGCTGCTGATTGGCCGGTGTACCAAATCCAGGCATCTTATTGGTTGAAAATTTCTACGCAAAATTTGTCGAAATTTTGTCGCTTCCTGACACCTCCAATTTTCTAGTCGAGAATTTTCTGAAAAACCGTCGTATATTTCAAAATTATCGATACTCTTGCTGATTAAAAAATCGACGAATCATCAGTTTTTGTGTTATTTTTATGAGCATATTCTTACCTCGCCCTCTCCGCAAAATATATTATTTCAAGATTTTTATCATCTTCCCAAGGTCGAATTATAAATTCTTCATTGCATATCTTATCATTCGTTCGTTTCATACCTTTTTCCTTCAGGTGGAAAGAAAAGAAGATAAACGGCGTCTACCAAGTTCCCTTCAAATTCGGCTCGATCGCTGAATTTGGCTTTTCTCAATCGACGAAGAACTCGATTCGCGAGCACTTGGACTGGTTCAACTCGGAGACGAAAAAGTGCATCGTTTTTAAAGAAGACGATTCGGACTCGTTCAACGGCGCTAGGTTGAAAATCATTGGTGCCCAGTCCGGTTGCTGGAGTTATATTGGAAAGCTTCATAAAGAACAGTTGATTAGGAAAGGGTGATAAAATCGTTATCAGTTGAATTTTCTGATAATTCAGTTTTCGTTTTTTTCCGCCAATTCTTTAGGGTTCGGCAAAAAATATCGAAAAATTATGCGTGGGTGGCTACTTGGCTTCTGATTGGCTCGTTTGGGGAATCCAGGCTTCTGATTTGTCGAAAATTTTCAAGCGAAATTTGCCGGGATTTTTGTTGTTTCCTGACATCTCCTAACTTGGGGACCCAAATTTTTTAAGCGATAATCGTGAAAAATAAAAATTTAAAATGTCCACTTTGGACACAAATGACCAATGGGGTTAAAAAGAAAACATGATGCATGCTTTTTCATGAAATTTGGACATATTTCCGACTTTATGTTTCCGGAGTGGAAATCGATCAAAATCTATTTGATAATATATTTTCCGGCTGACGTATCTATTGCGGCTCATATTATCTTCGCGGTCGGATACCGAATTTTCTCTAAAAAAACAACGTGATCTTCTTCAAATCCAAGAAAGTTTTTGTGTATTTTTCGTAAAAAAAAATGGGAAATTTGAAAACAAATCGAATTCATTTGCGAATTTCGCCCATGCCACAGTCGCATAATATTCAATCGAATAGAATTTCCACCTCAAAAACCAGCCGATTGTGTAAATTTTTCGTTCTGTTTGTAAATTTTGGGCCACCTTAGACTCGAAAAGCTGCGAAAATTTGGTTGAAGGGGTTGTAGAATTTATAATTTCGGGCGCTAACGGGAGGAGGATTTAACATGTTCTAGGGATAAGCACGAAATTTAGCTTTGAGAAACATAAAATCTAACAGGTTTTCTAGCTTTTTGATGATTATCTTTTTTGTCCAATCAAAAAAAACGCTTCGATAAAAAATTCATCGAAATAACCCCTTGCCTTCGAATTTTGTTTTTCTCGCAGCGTGATAGGCGCTGATATCATGTTTTCACAGCAGAGTATGCCTCACGCATTCTGGACGAGCTGGATCCAATCGCGTAAACTTTGACAACGTTTTTTCCGTAATCGGCGCTAAAGCTGCGCCTTTACGTTCACTTTGCATGAAAATACTCGAGATAAAGGCGGGTTTTCACGTCTGTTAAGAAACAGAAAAAAATCCATAAAATGAAGTTCAATGTAAAATTCGGTTTTCGTCATAAAATCTCGACGTAAGCAATAATTTTCGAGTTTTAGGGATTTTTGAAATTTTCAGGGATTTTTTCTTCAAAAAATTTAATCGCCAACGTTGCTCAATAATTGACAGAGATTATGTCCGCGGAATGGCTCTTCGGAATGTGAGCTGCGGCAGTCGAGAAGCCGTTTTTCGTAAAACTGGTACTAGACACGTTCAATTCGCGAGAGGGTTGCTTTCAGAGAGGGGTTTTCATTTATCTAAAGCGTTGGGCGATACCTTTTTTAATCCCCGAAAAATGATAGAGAAAACTTCATAACATCAGGTTTCTTGAAAAGGGGCTAAAATCGGCAAAATAAAAATAATGAATTTGACCAAAATATCGACATTTTTGACCAATCAAATTTGGCCAATCAGATTTCAGAAAAAAAATTGTCGAAAAAATCCGTTTTTTTTTGTCGAAATTTGGACAATATTTTTGTATCAAAAATGTCGAATTTCTCTATTTCCAAGTCTTCTTATCACCTCAATCAGTCTTGGTTCTGGCTGCCATACTCTCGGCCGATCCCTTCACGAATTCTTCCACGCGCTTGGTTTTCTCCACGAGCATCAGCGACCCGATCGAGACAACTTCGTCGACATCCACTGGGAAAACATCCGAAACGGACATGCCTCGGATTTCTCCAAGATTTCCATGAACCAGTTTTCTGATAATTTCATCGGCTACGATATCAACAGCGTAATGCATTACTCGACCGATGCTTTTTCGAATGGTAACGGCCCGACTCTGACGCTCAAAAGCGGCTTGAATCCGATCACGAATGGCCAACGACTTCGTCCGACGACAAAAGACATGATGGGCATCTGCAAGAGTTACGGCTGCGATCCTACTTGCGGCAACGAGCTGGAAATGTGCAACAGCGGCGGAGAACAATACTTTGCCTCTCGCCGATGCGATGGGTTCGCTGATTGCACTGACGGCTCGGATGAAATGGGCTGCGAAGAAAACTGCTGCAAAAAATGGGAGTTTGGAGGCGAAGTTTTTGAAGAACAAGGAACCTGGGCAGGGCAAAAATGGTACCGATCGCCGAGCAGTTCCAAGGTCATTTATTTGAATGACAGGATGGGATTTTGGATTCTCGGGAGAACGCTCGGATCGGATAGTGCTTACTCTTTTGGAAACTTTGCGCCGGGACAATGCGCCAACGAAGGTAAAAAAAGACCCGTTTTTCGACCCAAAAATCAACCCATTTTCTTCAGCATCCGGTTGGTTAACCTACAACGATCAAATCAACGAGTGGGATCCCGTCAACTACATACCCAACTGCCTTGACCGTAGCAACGAGTTCGACATGACGACAACTTTCGCTCCTCCTTCTGGAATCCACTGGCAAGTCGATGACATGCTCAATGGAAACTCAACAGGAAACGCGACTAGTTGGGAGGACGACTATCTTGATGAAGATCAGAAGTGCTCGGAATTTGATCTTCCTTGGCTGAGCGCTGGAAATTGGACTTGTTTAGGACAGTGTTTGATAATTTCTTCTTTTAGTTTTTCCTTTTTTGATCTAATTTGGCTCTTATCGAACTCGAAAAAGGCGATAACGCATTCGGCGATGTCGACCAGGGCGACTTTTGCATCCCCACCTGTCCAGCCAACTTCGAGTTAAAATGTTCCTCCGGCGACCTTCTTTCCAAAACCGCTCGATGCAATGCCGTCGACGGTCACGTGTTCTTCACCCACGACCATACTGACATCCCCTACGGCGGCTGCGATTGCGTCCCAAGCGGATGCAACATGTCAGAATTGCCCGTCAGCGAGTTTTACAACTGGATGTGCAGAGATACCAGAGGCGGTTTTGTTCCTGAAGGGACGCTTTGTGAGCCAGAATGTAAGAAATGGCATGAGACAGCGATTCCAGTCGGTGGTGATGGCTTAAAAAATCTATAAAGTCTTCAATTATCTTCTTTCGAAGGATTCGAACCTGGTCTATCGGCGCCGCATTTTTCAGTGACTTTCCAAGAGTTGACATTTCTTCCGAACCAAGGAGCCTTGACATTGTTCTTATATTAATTAAGAAGATAACCTAACCTCAGTAGCGCCATTTTCAACACGGTCGATTTGCTTGATCGCTCGTTTCCGACGATTTCCTTCGCATTTTCCGAAGGGTCCCTTCCATTGAATGTAGTTGTCTTCTGGTGGAACGCAACCTCCCCGAATCGATTTCTTTTAACTCATTTAATGATTTCTATAAACTTTTGTACTCACGAAAAGACCAGGCTCACAGTCGCAAATTCCAAGATTCTCTCTCCAAGTAAATTTTTCTTTGCAACGGCAGGTTTTCTGGTCATCTTTTAGTTCGATACTTCGGATTGTAAAGTCGCAAGTGCAAGCGCCATTTTCAAAACGGCTGGTTGGACCAAAGCAAGGTTCGCCTGAAGTTGTTGTTTGAGATATGGTTGTAGTGGTCGTAGTTGTGCTCGTTGTGCTTGTGGTGGTAGTGGTTGTTGTTGTAGTTGTTGACGTTGTGGTAGTAGTCGTCGAGGTAGTTGTATTTGTTGAAGTAGTCGTGGTAGTCGAGGTGGTAGTTGTGCTCGTTGTTGTACTTTTGGTTGTGCTTGTGATGGTGCTTGTAGTAGTTGTCGACGTACTTGTTGTCGTAGTTGTTGTTGTTGTGCTTGTAGTTGTGGTGGATGTAGTTGTCGTTGTTGTAGTAGTTGTAGTTGTTGTTGTTGTCGTCGTAGTAGTGGTCGTTGTGGAAGTCGTAGTTGTCGTAGTTGTACTTGTCGTAGTGGTAGTAGTGGTAGTTGTTGTTGTTGAAGTAGTTGTCGTTGTTGTAGTTGTCGTTGTTGTGGTTGTCGTCGTAGTAGTGGTTGTCGTCGTAGTAGTGGTTGTTGTCGTAGTCTTACTTGTCGTCGTGGAAGTAGTTGTTGTTGTAGTCGTAGTTGTGGTAGTAGTTGTGGTTGTTGTCGAAGAAGTTCCTCCTAGCGAACACATATTACCTACCTGTTCCCAACCATCAGGACACACACAGAGGGTACTATCACCCTCGCTCAGAATCGCTCCATTATAACAAGTGCATTCTCCGTCATTTTCCGTTGCCCCTGGTCCTGAGCATTGGACACAAGGAGCAACAGACACTGTGTTCTCGTCAGTATTTGGAAGGTATCCAGGAGAGCATTCGCATTCGTAGCTTCCAACTTGGTTGATGCAGGTTTGAGTGGCAGCGCAAAAGTTAAGCGCGTCATCAGAGCACTCGTCGAGATCTTCGCACTCAAGACCGCCATCCGACATGAGGACTGTTTGAGCTCCAGTAGAGGAAAAGCCATCGTCGCAGGCACAGAAAGCAGTGGGAATTCCGTCATCGTTGTTGTTCACGACACAGGTCTGATTCCCACCACAGGTTTGATCAAAACAGGGAAATTTAGGATTGCAAATGACGTCTGGCGCAAATGAATTGGGAAAAAGATCGTCTTCTGACAGCTCCCATGATTGTCCGAAAACGTACGGCTCGTAAAGATTGCCACATGCACAATTAGCTTCCGTTTCGGAAAGGGCAACGCACTCAGAATTTGCTATTGCGTCACAGGAGTAGGAGTTGCATGGATTAATTCTTTATTTTTGGATTGATAAATTGATTTCATGAAAAACAAAAATGATTTTATCATCCCTTTCCTTTCACAAGTAACCCCATCCACTCCGACTTGACCGTCAGCATCCGTCGATTCGAAGCCAGGATAACAAGCGCACTCGGCAGTTCCATCGATTTGAATCATGCAATTCGAGTTAGCAGGGCACGGGCCATTTTCCTCCACGTAAAAGTCGCAAGCTAAATTGGCCTTGATTTGGACGGAGGGCAAAAGGGGGACTTTACGAGTTTTTAAGACGCATGTTTCTTCCAATAATTGCCCATTGACTTCGATTTCGGGGTCTTGCGGGGTAAGGTAGTAGGAGAATGCATCGTTGCAGTAGCAAGTCAAGGTTGTTGAATTGCAAAAAGCATTGTATGCGTAGCAATCAGAGTTTTCAGCGCAAGTGAGGTCGGTTACTCCAAGGCAGGATACTGTTCCTAGGCACAGGATGCCCAGGAAGAACTAAAGATTTCATAAAAAAAGAAAGAAAATTTTAAGTTTAAGTTTCAAACTTTTGTTCTGTTATCTTTTGATTAATTTTGTTTACAAACTTTATATTTCATTCGTAGTTTCGTTTCGTTTTTTTCTCTACTGATATTATGATCGCTCACGTAGCGCTACAACACCAGGAGCTTAAGCTTTTACGATCTGCAGCGAGATTAATCTACAATGCCCGTCCAGGCTGATAAAAATTAAGGGCTTATCCTCCGATAAATCTTGAGAATTATGTTGTCGGCAGCTTGTTTCGTAGATTCGGCCTTGTATTTGTATCAATTCAGAAAAAAACTAATCGAAACAAATGTTTATTGCTTTTTTAATACCGAAGGAAATTATATCAGTTTCTTTGGAAAATCAAGTTTTACAATGTCAAAATGACGTTTAAAAATATTAAATGTTATTACGATTATTGACGATCATTGAAAGCAATATTTCGAGAGGATTTTGTAGGCTACGTCAACAATCGTTAAAAGAAAAACCATAAATCGGAAGCACAGATTTACGGTCGAACTAAGATGAATGGGGAAAATTGTTTTCGAAGATTGCTCAAATCAAAGTCATTAGACATCATTCACTGGCTCCAATTCTCGATGAGTCTGTCACAATTTAATGTGTGTCTCGAATTTGAGTTGATTAAATAATGCTTTCAAAAGATAGTATTTTCTTTCAATTCTATTGACTAGGGAAATATATCACTGAAATGCTTTATCGAAAATTCAAAAGATATTAATCCTGCTGATGAAAATAACCTGCATTTGAATCTTCATGAACCTTGTTGATCTCGGAAAAATGCAAAATCGTTTCACAGGTCAAATAAGCTCTCGGATTTATGGATGAATTTTGCCAACCTCGCTCTTATTTACGAGTGGTTGAAATAACGTTTGATTGTAAACAGGGATTAAGATGCTATCAGGAAAAAGCTTTATTTATCAGTAAGAATAATTGAATAGGCTTGGGGAAGAAGATGCCAGACTTCTTTTTTCATATTGATTTGCTCATTCGCCAATTTAATAAATTCATTTTTTGGTCCGTAGTAAATGAGGTCGTTGTAATTGTCGTAGCAATATCTGGTCATCTTGTAAGAGGCGTAGTATCGTCGGTCAAGAGGGATTCTTATTTGCGATGATGAAGCTGCACTGAGCGTATTTTGCAAAATGTACTCATTGTATTCGATTCCGGCAAGAAGCATTTGGTGGAAAATGACGCTTCCTTTGGAATCCAGATAAGCGCCAGTTACACTCAACGGGCGGGTGAAATGAAAGTTTTGATGAAGAAGAACTAGAAAAAAAATAAAAACGATGACAATTATGAAACAAACCTTGCTGAAAATCAAGCTCTCCCTCTAAATCGCCACTTTCTTTGAAAATGTCAAAGCCACTTTTGTTCAAAAAAGATGGATATTTAAGCCTTTTTAGGAGTATCTCGACATCGGTCGTTTGAAAATCCCCCTTAGCGTTTCTTGGATTCAGATTAAATCCCAGCAAGCTTCGTGGGTAAATAACCATCGTCAAGATTATAAAAATTTTGTGAAGAGAATATTTGCTCTCCATTTTTATATCAGTCGTCTGAAGGTCATTTTTGATGGTCCATCGAACAAGAATGCTGACAGAAAATGGGACGGAAAGGAATCGTTCTCTCTGAGCAATATTTTTCGTCGTCAAGTTTTCGAATTCAAGATCCATCATTCTAGCTAGTCGATGTTTCAAATTTTCCATTTCAAGCGACTTCGTAAAACTTTGGTTCTCCAGACAATAATAAAAATGAGCGTTTTTGATTGTGATGGCTTTCGATAACTTCTCGATGTCGTCAATTTTGAAAGTTTTATTTGATAACCATTCAGCGTTCAAGATCTTAAAGAGAAATCGACGGTTCAAATAAAAAATATCTGGACAAACTTTTAGTTTTCTCTTTATTTTCTCCGCTTGATCATGTGAAACTGGGCTGAAGCAAAGATTCCATGCAGTTTTCCACTCGCACAGAATAAAAACATAAATATTCGAAAAATATTCTCCGGTGGTTCCACAGAGCTGCCAATTCAATGAAAAGGCCGGAGATCCCGAATCTAAAATGAACAATTTTGAAAAATAAATGGAAAGCTTACAAAGACATCGATAATTTGAAAATCTGCTGCCTCTTCTGACGTAACCAAGTTTTCGATAGCTTTCTCTTCCTGAGCGATCCCAGACGATTCCGAAATCACTCCATTTTGGCACCCCATTGACGAGAAGAATATTTTCCGGCTTCTGGTCGAAATGCGTAATTCCAATTCTCTCCAAATAATCGTCTCCTTCCTTGACTCCAATCGCGATTTTCTTTCGCTCTTCAAATGCCAAATCGTCTGCTTTTAGTCTACCTCTTAAATCGCCGTCGCATCTTTCCATAATTGTGATCCACCCTAAGCAGTCTTGCTTTTCCCAATCTTCACTTGCGAAAAATTCGATATTGCAGGAATTTTTGACGAGATTTTTATGAAATGGAATCACTTGTGAATCATCATCATCATCATCTTCAGAATTATCCTCCGCTATTTCGTAGCCGTTTGAAAGATGAATCTCAAATCTCAAGTCGTCATCATTCAGATCATTTGTAAAAAGAAACGGGTCAAACGCTTGAACGCGAACAGCGACTTCGAAGCCCTCGAAATTTTCCGTCAAAATAATCGCTTCGCCCCCAATTGAAATCGTTTTCTCAGCAAGAAATTCATCAAGTAGCCATTCTCCAGTTTCTTCATTCAAGTCTTTTCGCTCGATCAATTTTCCTTTCAATTGTGGGTTTCTAGCGAGAATCTCTTTTTGAAATGCTGTCGGCTCAAATACATCAAGAAGCAATTCTTCGCTTCCGAGAATTTTTCCCCCCATTTCATATGAATGTTGGTCTTCAAAAAGAACTTGAGTCCAATTTGCACAATCATGATTATAAAATTCCATTCTTTCGACAGATAAAATGAGCCTGTCTAAATCATTTCTACTTGTTGATCGCCTGAGTTTCCGCGTAAAATTTGGCAACCATTTTTCGACATTTTCTCTTGCCAATTCCTCTGGATGAGTGGTTACTCGCATGAACAAAATGTCAAAAAAAAAAGACGTGATCTTATAATGAGAGTTCTTTTTACTCGAAAAAGCAGTCGTTACAGAATCTCTATTTGCTCTGGTTCTCGTTATATATTTGCCTTATAGTCAGAGAACGACTGTACTAATGAATATTCACAACTGCCTTTGAAAGGCTCTGAACTTGAAAGCAACAATGCGGAAAGGTGCTGACCTTAAAATTCGTCTCGAACGTAACAAAGAAAATAAAATTTATGGCATAATACGGCAACAGCTTGTTGTCAGAAGTTTATTAGTTTCGAGGCAGGCCGCAATCAAGACCACCTAAAACTATTTTAACGATAACAAAGAATCGAGAAATTAATCAAAAAAGTTCGTTTTCCGAAAATGGAAACGAGAGAAGTCAATCGCGAGGTGGTGGGACGAAAAGAAGAAGAGGGAAAATGCTCGGTAAAGAAGGGAAAATGGCGACGTCCTTGGAAAGTGTCATTTATTTTTGATCATAAATATTTTTCACTGAAAAATTGACATTTTAAAAAAGCTTCGTTTTTTTAACCTTCATCATTTATGTCATCATTGGTACCTTTTCCTTCGGAAAGCTCGAAGGCCCAGCAGAAATAATCCGCTGCAAAGAATCTCAAAGGGCGCTTGTTGAAATGCGGGATTCCTTCGAGATCAATTCCGACGGGCAATTCGTCCTGTCCGAAAAGAACCTAACGGATATCATCGCAACGGCAGAGGAATACGCAGGAAAAGGCGTCCCTATTTCTATGTTCAAAGAAGATCCGGAGGAGCCTTGCCCGATGAACTGGACACCTAAAAGCGCTGTATATTTCGTGATGACCGTCGTGACCACTATTGGTTACGGAAACACTGCGCCTAAGGTTTGTCAAGCTACGAGTTCATGTTAAAAAGGACTTTAGACTGTGGGAGGCAGAATTTTCTTTATTTTTTATGTGATACCGGGAATCGTTCTTTGCGGCGCTCTTCTTGGAGAAATCGCCAAACTCGTAAGTTTTTATCTAAAAAATAGCATGAAAAATATTTTAAGTATACATTTATTCGGAAGAAAATAAGACGACGCTTCGAAAAGATTCCTCTTTTTCTGAAATTTCTCTTCGTCCTTCTTTTCGGCATTGGCTTCTTCATCTGCATCCCTGCCATGATCGTTTGCTTGGTAGAAGGCTGGACCTATTTTGAGGCTCTGTATTTCATGGTGGTTACGTTTACTACTGTTGGATTCGGGGATTATTCTGTTACCCCAGGAAGCAACTATCAATTTGGCATTGTGATTTTCATTTATCTCGGGTATGAAAACATTCTTCTTTTGGCTTTTTTCATCAAATGTTCTAGCCTCGCTTGGTTGGGATCAATCATCGGCGCGATTCAAGAAAAGCTCGAAAACCGACTCGAATCTTCAGAAAACAACAACGAGGATTAACCATCTTTCCTCCAAGAAAAAAGCGAATGACCACTATAAATCAAAAAATAAAAAGATCAGCAAAACTGTTATTTGCATTGAAATTCTTCCTGCGTTTTTATTCGCGTCAATTCAATGTAACGTGACAAAATCATGTCTGTGGGCTCCAAAGTTTGCTGCCGGAGGAAATAAACATTTTTTACCAAATCTCTCTTCAAATACGATTTTTCTCTCGCGAATTTTGAAAGATACAGAATTGATAACAGAGGGATTGAATCATGGCAGGGTGGCATGTGATAGAGAATTACCTGCAAGAGACTCAGAAGCATACAACCTTATTGGGCAAATACTGGATTTCGACTTTTCTAGCACTAAGGAACGGGCTTTGATAACTCATACAAGGAAACATAATTTCAATCAAAAACCCTGTATAAAGACTTCTCCTTCTATTCTCCATCGTCGGTAGCGCCTTTGGAGGGTCAGATCTAGAATGCGACACAAAAACGCCTGGTTGCGCTAGAATGTGCATCAATCAATTCTTCCCAATCACGCCAAATGGATATTGGGCGATTCAAATGCTTTGCGTTTGTCTCCCAATTATGCTTTTTGTCGTCTATGTCAGGTGACAAGCCAAAAGAAGAGGCAATCGCAAATACTGCCATTTCTAGTGACAAGAAGCAAAAAATCGCGATTGCACGAAAGTTGCGGCTAGAAGAACTTGAAAAAGACAAGGCCAAGATCGAAAATGAATACACCGCAAAACTGAGAGCGCTGAAAGAAGACCTAGAAAAGATCGACTACTCAAAGGTAGGAGAGTTTATTTGAGAGTCTGCGCCCGTGACTGTGAATTTGCACATCTATTTAAACATGTCGCGACCTGTTGAATCTGGCGTTTTACTTTTCCTGAGTCAGGAAGGACCGTCAAGAGGGCGACTCATTCGAAAAAAGCTCAAGTTCTTTTGAGGATTACGAAACAATCCGTGGTGTAACAATCGATGGAAAACAGCTTGAAGCACAACTCAAAGAAGAAGAAGATCGGTAGGATCATCCTTCTTTTTCCTCCCTTTTTATCTTCTTTCAGAATCAATCAAGAATGCGAGGCTCGACAAAACGCCCTAGAAAAAGCGAAAAAAGACGAGAAGGAAAATAAAGATGATGATCGAGCGACAAAAGCGACCAAATCTGAAAATTCGACTCCTTCCGTTTTGTTTCTTGCTTATGTAACAATGGGACGTGAAAATATAAATTTTCGGTTTTGACAAAATGTCGTAAACGTATCATTTTCAAAAATCTAAAAGTGCAGTTATGTCGAGCTAGATGTGCCATTCATGAATCTGCAAAAAAATTTTGGGATTTCATTATTATGAAGCGTGGGCGGGGCGATCTAAGAAAAAGTTACGAACTCGCCTAGGGACCAGGGGTACTTATTTTTTCGGTTTTTTTTTGGGCTTTATTATTCTCTATGATCCAAGGACGCTTCATCTTTTTTCAGATCAAAAATAACTCATCCCAATTATGAAATATTGCGTTATTCATTATTTTTACCCATTATGTAATAGTTTATGAGGATTATACTAAAAATATTGGATATATAGCTGTGATTGGCCAGTATATGGCCACCTAAGGTCACTTTTGGTCGAGAATTGCCGGAAGACCTCCTGGAAGACCACCCTGGTGGAAGAGTTACTGCTGGAAAACAAATAATTAAAAAGATAATTAAATAGCTTTGAAGGGCCAGTAATTGCCATTTTCGGCTAATTTTGGTCACTCTCTGCTGGAGGATCTTCCGGAGGACCAATCTGGTGGAAGATTATGTGCTGGAAGAGAAGTATTTCAAAAAGTCATTGAACAATAATCAAGGGCTAGTAATTGCCATTTTTTCGGCTTATTTTGGCCATTTTCTGCTGGAGGACCTCCCGGAGGACCAACCTGATGGAAGAATGAATGCTTGAAGACAAGAATTTTTAGAATTGAGAATTAGCTCGTTATTGCCATTTTGGATAAACTTCGATCACATCGGTCATTTCCAAAGTGTGATAAAATAGAAGCGCGGTTGTGATGACCTGCTGCGCCGCCTCTTCTGAAGCGCCATAAGTGTCAAAATGAAAGTCTACGGTATCATGCTATGTTTTGATCAGTTGTTTCTATCAGTTGGCATTGGCCTTTATAACTTGACGTGAGTTGGTTTTATCATCATCAACATGCAATTTCCCATTTTTGTTCAGCTAGTCATCGCAGTTTTGTCCGCAACTCTCATAGCGGACTTACTCCGGGACAACAAAAGAGAGATCTATGAAGGGCTGAAAGTCTTTTTCGGCTCAGATGCGTCTGCGACGAATTCATCGTCGGAAATAAGACAACGCCGCTCTGCGGAGCAAGAATTCGTTGACAATCGAAAGTATTCTTTTGAGGTCGAGGATTCGTTTCTAACCTCGTAAGTATTCTTAATCGTATTTGGGGGATCAGTCAAGACAGTTGATTCGGAAAACTACTTCTGGTGTTCATGGATTAAAATCCGTGACCCAGCATGAAAGAGTCGATGATACACTTGGACTGAATAAGTAACAGAAATCATTCATAAAAACATTTGACAGACGGGTTCAAGGTCGAGGGGTCAAAGAGGAGGGTAGTCCGATACAGTTCCATACGTGGTAAATATGCCATATGAAGGCCTCGGCGAGCGTCATACTTGCGACCTCAAAAACCAACGAATTTTGTTTGTCAAATTAACAGAAATCTCTTCAACTAAGAGAAAGATACACACTTTAAAATATGATATTTTTTTATTTAAGAACTTTTACCGCTGATTAAATGATAAAAGTAAAATAATTGTATAAAATTAAATTCAACTCCCATTGTGAATAGAATTTATTATTCATTAATGTAGGACTATAAATACAGAAATATTGGTCTTAATATGGATTAAAATCCGTTTAAGACGTGTTAGATTTGAAGAAAAAAATAAAAATTTATTTAAAAACAAAAGCTGCTGTTTGTGATAATTGATAATTTTCCTGTCTAATTATGGATAGAATCCGTTTTAGACAATTTTTTCCAAATTAACGATTCAAAATGCATGCTTATTGTTTTTAAATATATTTTTTACGAACCAATTATTTGACGAATAGTAAGCATTGAAAAAATCCTTTTGGAATTAAGTAAATGCGAATTTTAAGACGTAAGCAAATATTTATGATCAAAATAAGTTTATTTGTCTTATTATGGATAAAATCCGTTTAAGAAGCTTCTATCTAAATTTATTATAAACAATGTCTGCTTATCGTTTTATATATTTAAATTTTTTAATTTGATCATTGAACAATCAGTCCTTTGGTTTATATACATTGGTTTCCATTTGAGTGATTTTAACATAAAAATATTAATCAGCTGTAGAAGATTCTTCAAAATCTTTCTTTCTAGTATCCACGATACGGCAAATGTCATTATCGGTAGCGAAGAATTCGCCGAATTCACGCTGAACCTTAAATACCCAGGACCTTCTTCGATGAGTGTCCAGTTTCCCGACACAGGAGAAGCAGTGATATCATCTGACCTTTCTTGTGGCGTCTTTTTAGGAAAGGTGGCTTTTCGTTTAAATACAGCTCAGTAAATACGATTGTCATCATAAAAAAGCGCATTTTCTTGCTAAAAATATGTTTGTCTCCATCGAGACCTTTTTCAATTTGAATATTGAAGCCGAAATTGTGGAGAAAATTAAGCTATCCAACCCTCAGCAAGAAGAATTTTTAAATTCCATCGTAACAAAGATTTTGGGAGGATGCGACGCGCATCAATTATTTCAATTGTCCGTCAGGAAAGAGGCATTTTATAATTTCTTATCATATTTATTTGTTTTCAAGACATCTAAAATCTTGAGTGCCCCTTTTTAAGATCACGAAAAACGAGTGAGCCCATAAAATCTCTATGCGGTGACCTATTGATTGAGGCATTCCAACGATTCCTCACTTTTCGAAATTTTGCTGATCGAAACGATTTTCTTATACGACGACTCATTTTGTCGAGTTTCATCGTGACTACATCTTCAGCTGAAAAAGAGGAGTTGATGTACATTTCACCTGGATTCCAGTTCAAAAAACATGAGCGAGCTGAGAGAAAAAAAACTTTCAATGACCGTGTGGTGGACAATGAGTTCATTTTTTGTCAAAAAGAAAATTTACTGGATTTAAAATTGGCGCTCGCTTACGTTGACTCTCTCAAAATTTCAATGAAGACAAACTCAATCCTTGATTATGTTATTTCCGATGAGCGTATTGAAAATGATGATTTTCAAGATAAACATAAGAGGGGGTTCGATTTGACTGCAGCAGTGGACGAAATTAGTTTTTCACTCCCCTATTTTGGCTCCTACCGAGGTTCTGAAATTTTAAAATATTGAAAATCTGAACTTCAAAATTAAGCTCATAAACAAACCGAGGACTTGGAGAAAAGAGTGAATGTTGCATTACAGGAACTAAAAAAGAACCAACAAAAACTTGCTGTTGCTATTGATGACTTCCGATCAACACCATTCAAGAATGATGATAGTTTAAAAATACAAGCAAAAGCCGACTCAGTTGAGTGGGAGCAAGTAGTTGATGACAACATGCATCGATTCGAGGCACTGTCGAATTTTGTCAAATGTCTGCTTACAAACAGTCAGCCGTGCGAGGATATCGGTATATTATCAAAATATTTCTTTATTAACAATCTTTAGATTACCATACCCAAGGGTTATTCAAATCTTTGTGTAGAGCGAGCCAGAATCAGAACACGACAGTTGAAAGGCAGCATTTAATAGACCACTCCTGCGAGCTTATCGGTATTTCTATGTCTAAAATTTCTATTTATATTTTTAGTTGCAAATTATTTGTTCAAAATAGATGAGCCTTCCTTGAGTCTTTATAAAGACAATCAAACTTTTCTTGGACTTCAACTCTCAAGTAAAATGCCAGGTTAAATTTTATTCACAAATATTGCTCAGTGGAGATAAAAATGCCTGCGAAAATTTCCCGATACAATGCAGTCAAAGTCGAGTCGCGCGGACGCGTTAACGCTGATGCTTACGAATCGCCCGATTTCAGCAATGCAATAATTGTGCGCGAGCATCGGGATAATCAACATTATTTTCGATCTTTTAAAAGAGATAGGTTTGTTTATCAATGATTTTTATTATTAATGAATTTATTAAGATGCGAGCGGGGTATTGGTGAAGCATATGTTTGTAAAATGAGAAATTCAAAAGAAGGATTCGGACTTTACCAGCATATTCGTATCTCTCAGTCTGCTTTCACTTTCGGCCGTGCTCATTATCATTCTGATCGTATTTGTATCGAAAGTGGACATGATACATATGCTGAAATAAAAACCAATGAGAAAGTTCGAAGTCAAGGTAAAAACTATTTCAGTAAGTGAGCGTCTAAATTTTTTTTAAGCGGGAATGATATGCCTACCAAGATATTCAAGAAGCTATAACGCAGTGATAAAAATGCAGACCTTCCTTATTCCTAAGCGAATGGTTTCATATACTCTTACGCCAGCGAAGCTTGATAACATGTATCAATTCTCATCTTTAACCCCGGAAACATACTCATGGTCGCATAGTGCTCTTACCATGCTTTCAAACGGATTTAATTTAACTGAATTAACTTATACCCACATTGATAACTTTTTGTCCAATCGCTCAGAAAATGTTTTTTCTTCTGCAAAATCATTTTTTAGAATTCTAATTAGTGATATCAAAATATTTCTTGTCATTGTTATGATTGTTCTCTCAATTATGTTTGTTCTACAATTTGTTATTAAAAGTTTGTAATAAAAAATTATTGTATTTTTATTCAGATTTTCATTATTAAATTGATCCAATGCTTCTCATTATGCTCATCATTTTTCAAAGGTAATGTTTATCACAATGATGCATTTCGAATTAAAATATTTTATATAAAGCGACGGAGCTCCTCTAAGTCATCTCGATCTTAACGTCTACGAACGCAGTTTAATCCAACTCCAGCGTCATCTCTACCGAATGCTTATAAGTCCGAGGCTTTTTCAGATTATTTTTCTTGCTTATCTCTTGAAATTTGTAAAAAAGAATTATATTTACGTTTCTGTTGTTGCAATGATACTATTTGTTGAGTTTCTGTATGATAAATATATTTGAATTTTAGAAAATATCTTCTGACTTTTATTCTTAGAATGATCTGGTTTACAATATTCATCGGATCAGTTGTCTCGATATTTTTAATATCACTCACCCTTTTGAATCAAATTATCAGAAAAGATGCAGTTAAAAGATCAATCGTCGGACCACTGGTTATAATAAGTGACTTAAAAGGTTAATTTTCGATTTTTTTCTATAAATAAAGATATTTCAAGATTATCCCGAATTCAAGCAGTGTTGTAAATGCGCTAAATTCTTCAAAAATACTGATTATTCCGAACACGAAACTACCTGCAATGGTAGGGCGTAAAAATTTATCAATAATTGTATGAAATGATTCTAGGAACTGAATGTCGTTCTTGCGGCAAAATTTTTCTTCTTCCAGACGAATATAACAGTCATCTTCATGGTAAATGTAAATATCGAAGGGCTCATCACTCGCCTCAAGAAATCAAAGTTCCAATAAAAGACTTTCCGAGAGGTGATAGTAGCAAATTTTTATAAAAACTAATGAATATTTATAGGTCGCTCAAGTCAAAATCTGAAGCGTGTTCAGTGCATTTTTTGCTCGGAAAAGATCGCAAAAACAAGATTTTTTACTGAACATAAAAGTACTTGCAATGGAATCCAGTGCAGATGCTGTCTTATGTTTATTCCCGCGTCAATTTTTCCCTCGCACGCATCTTTATGCACGCTGAATTTTCGCAAAGATCGAACTGACGAAAAAAATTCTCAAGAACTTTGGGAAATCTTCGACAAAGATGTTCAACTTTCTGATAAAAAAAAAGAATATTCTAAAGATGACAGAAAACGTCGATATGAAGAAGCAAAATTTTCAAAAGAACTGGAGGAGGAAGAACAGTTTATCAATCGGAAAATTGCACGTCAATGTCAAGCTGAGGATAAATTGATAAAACATACAAAAAAACGCATCGAATCCATCATCAAACAGCTTGATGAAAAGACGATAACATCTGTGTTTTACTCACTTGGACTCGTGAAAATTGAATTTCTCAAAGATTTTGTCCCTCGATTCGCGGAGATATCAACTGATGCAAAACGTTCATTTATCGCTTCAATCGTTCCATCACGACCCGACTCTTCAGTACTTCCATATATTATTCAGTCAATGAACAGAATTGAAGTCAGCAAGCATGCAACATTAACGGCGATTGAAGATCGCCGAAAAATCTTAGAAAATCAAGTTATTCGAAAGAGCCGAGGCGAATTACTGAGTTCTCAACAGAAAAACGATAGCAACAACGTGGTTGGAAAAATCCTGCCCGATCGTATCGAAGAACCGGTCTACTTTGACGCTACGAAAATCAAAAACCGATGATTTTTGGCTTCAGATATTTAATGAAATTGGCGCTTTTCACGAAACAAGGAATCTCAAAAAGGGCGCAGAAGAAATCGTTAAAGTGCAAAAACTTATTTTATCCGCGACAACTCATGAAGTTTACGCACTTGCTCGAGAACGATTGGGATTTTATGTTTCGGAGCATCTTTTGAATAAATTTCGCCCAATAAACGTTGTCATAAGAAGTAGCGATAATTATTGGGGTCTTCAATGCCAATGCGAAAACTGTACGAATGGACAGTCATCCATCAACTTCATCAATAAAATTCGCCGAGAAAATATGACGGAAGATCAGCGTAAAAAATACAATTGGATAACCGTCGAGAATTTCTTCCAAAGAAGTGTCTGTGGAGACAATATTTATGAAAATTTTCATTGCGCTGATATTCGTAAACATTTCCGTAAGTCATTTTTCTTGATCTTCTATTTATTTTTTGTGATAGAATGCTTTCGACACTTGAAAAATGAAAAATCCTGTAACCGATGCAATCATAAATGCGATTCAAGCTCAATCGACGATATTTTAAACGATCTCTTAAAAGATGTTAAATCATCGGAACATAATTATCGAATCCCTCATTTTAAGGTAGTTTGACGCTTTATTTGAAAATTAATTAATTCATGTTAGGTTAAATCAAAAGAAATTATTTGGGTGCCTCAAGGATCTGAAACAGCTCTTATGAAATTCAAAGAGGCGTTCCAATTTTGCTCTGAAAGCCTCCAGAAAATGCACGCCCATCATTTCGACAGAAAATTATCACACGAAAAGCGAATCAAGTGTTCAGCGGGTGAAGTCGAACTTGATCGAAATCAAATTTACGTTGAGGTTGGTAAAAATTTTAAAGTAAAGATAAAAGAACAAATTTTAGTTTGACTATGGCAAAAATTTCTCGATTTTACCTTCAAGAAGAACTCAAGGACAATTTTTGGTAAAAGTAGAATAAAATTTGATTTTAACTTTTTTTAGAACAGCAAATCAGTTGCTTCGCTGACTTATATCTTTTCCGCGTATGATGATATTGAAGAGCAATGGTTTCGAATGGTTTACCACGGTCTTTCCTATGAGAAGGATATTTCCAGTATAAAAATACTTGAAGACATCGCATTCGAAGATGCATCCAAGCGTAATCTTGATCTCTCCGGAAGAAAAATCCTCGCAGTCAGTGACAACTCCGGGGGGGAGTTCAAAAATAGGTTTAGTCTCTCCATATTGGAGAGTCTTCGGCCGACATGCCTTCGATTTAAATGCCCGAGCCATGGAAAGGTTGGGTGAGCAAAAAGTATTTTTAATTGTAGGCTTTCTTTTTTTTTCATTTTTCATAATTCTTGTTATTGATAAAAATTGTTCATCCAAAAAAGAGTCTTATCGATGGCTATCATGGCTTTGTGCCCTCGATAGCGGACAAGTACAACAGTCTTGATGAAGGACTTGATCTGCCTGAACTGATTGAAAAACTTCGAATTGAGGAGAATCGAATTCGAGCAGAAAGGCCATTCGAAAAATACTTCGAACGTGTATTTGTAAACCTGGAGAATTACGATAAACTAGAGCGGAGAGAAGTGTTCCCCTCGACTTTTCAATGCCGAAGAGTGCGAATGGCATGTTTTTCAGAAGATCGATCGAAAATTCAATTCACAAATGCCATCTGTTCATCAAATTGTGATTCTTGTGCTGCCGGTGATTTCTCAAATTGTCCAATGACATATCGAGAAGTTGTTGAACGCTCAATTCGTGAAGCGGACATTCGACACAAAAATAAGAAGGATAAAACCCAGTCTCAAAGCCAAAGCCAAAGTCAAATGGATTGTGAAAAGCATTTCGATCCAGACAAAAATCAAAGCCAAAGCCAAAGTCGAATGGATTATGAGAAGCAATTCGAACCAGACACAAATCGAAGCCAAAGCCAAAATCAAGCGCATTCCCAGAATCACAGCCAGAGTAAATTTGTAAATTCATCGTCGATCAATGCTGATGGTGAGACAGAGACCGAGAACTTTGAAGAAGAGGAGATACCTAAATCGGTCGTTCATCCGCTTCCAACACTTATTGTTTCCGAAAAAGAAGACGAGAGCGCAACACGAAATCCTCCTCAACTTTCTTTGCCTAATATCGATATTGATATGAAACAAATAAAGAGGGCTGTTCGCGAAATGACGGAAGGTAAAGACAAAACCTACAAAAAAGAAATCGCGGATCGTCGCAATTCTTTCAAACCAAATAGAGCCTATTATTTGGATGTTCTTTGCAACCTCGTCAATCTTATGAAGAATGAATTTTCTCAAGAAGTTTTACTTGTTGATCCAAATAAAACTGCTGCCATTCTCGAAGAAACGAAAAATGATATTCGGAACTTCTGGCCAAGAATTTTTCATTTTTATGGTGGAGGAATGGAAAATGTCAATCGCATTATCTTCACTTTTTTCTTAAATGAAGAATCGATCAAAAATAAGTCATTTCTTGGTATCGGAAGAAAAAAGGGTCATTTCGTTGTCGCTGGTCTATTGAAAGACGAGAACAAGATAATCCTGTATGATCACGCTGACAGTCCAGAAGATTATTGGAGTTACGGTATGTCGTCATATTTTTAAGGATAAATAAGTCTATTTTTAGTTGGCGAGATTCTCACGAAAGTTAACAGTCATATTTGGGGAGATTTTTTTGACGTCGAAATCCCGGAAACGATGCCGCAAAACGCGGATGACTGCGGCCCACACATGATCCTGGATTCTGAAATTCTGTCGACTAAAAATTATAGTTTTATAAAGTCCCCTTATCAATTTAATTCCAAAGATATTAATTTTTTGCGTGAAATTCATTTGAAATTCTGGACTGCACAAAAATATGAAAAAACTGCTTTCTTTGAATAAACTTGAATTAAATCTTTAAATTCGTTTCCTCCTGTGTAATGATAAAGTAAGGGATAAAAAGGATGTTATAAAGTTTCAGCCCCGTTTTTTGATTTTTAAATTTAGGGGGCTTCACGGGCCTTCGGGCCGTTTCAGCCCCGTTCCGTGATTTTTAAATTTAAGGGCTTGACGGCCCTTCGGGCCGTTTCAGCCCCGTTCCGTGATTTTTAAATTTAAGGGCTTGACGGCCCTTCGGGCCGTTTCAACCCGTTCCGTGATTTTTAAATTTAAGGGCTTGACGGCCCTTCGGGCCGTTTCAGCCCCGTTCCGTGATTTTTAATTTAAGGGCTTGACGGCCCTTCGGGCCGTTTCAGCCCCGTTCCATGATTTTTAAATTTAAGGGGCTTGACGGCCCTTCGGGCCGTTTCAGCCCCGTTCCATGATTTTCAAATTTAAGGGGCTTGACAGCCCTTCGGGCCGTTTCAGCCCCGTTCCGTGATTTTTAAATTTAAGGGGCTTGACGGCCCTTCGGGCCGTTTCAGCCCCGTTCCGTGATTTTCAAATTTAAGGGGCTTGACGGCCCTTCGGGCCGTTTCAGCCCCGTTCCTTAAATTTTAAATTTAGGGGGCCTGACGGCCCTTCGGGCCGTTTCAGCCCCGTTCCGTGATTTTTAAATTTAAGGGGCTTGACGGCCCTTCGGGCCGTTTCAGCCCCGTTCCGTGATTTTCAAATTTAAGGGGCTTGACGGCCCTTCGGGCTGTTTCATCCCCGTTCCTTAAATTTTAAATTTAGGGGGCCTGACGGCCCTTCGGGCCGTTTCAGCCCCGTTCCGTGATTTTTAAATTTAAGGGGCTTGACGGCCCTTCGGGCCGTTTCAGCCCCGTTCCGTGATTTTCAAATTTAAGGGGCTTGACGGCCCTTCGGGCCGTTTCAGCCCCGTTCCGTGATTTTTAAATTTAAGGGGCTTGACAGCCCTTCGGGCCGTTTCAGCCCCGTTCCGTGATTTTTAAATTTAAGGGGCTTGACGGCCCTTCGGGCCGTTTCAGCCCCGTTCCGTGATTTTCAAATTTAAGGGGCTTGACGGCCCTTCGGGCCGTTACAGCCCCGTTCCGTGATTTTTAAATTTAAGGGGCTTGACGGCCCTACGGGCCGTTTCAGCCCCGTTCCGTGATTTTCAAATTTAAGGGGCTTGACGGCCCTTCGGGCCGTTTCAACCCGTTCCGTGATTTTTAAATTTAAGGGGCTTGACGGCCCTTCGGGCCGTTTCAGCCCCGTTCCGTGATTTTTAAATTTAAGGGGCTTGACGGCCCTTCGGGCCGTTTCAGCCCCGTTCCGTGATTTTTAAATTTAAGGGGCTTGACGGCCCTTCGGGCCGTTTCAGCCCCGTTCCGTGATTTTTAAATTTAAGGGGCTTGACGGCCCTTCGGGCCGTTTCAGCCCCGTTCCGTGATTTTTAAATTTAAGGGGCTTGACGGCCCTTCGGGCCGTTTCAGCCCCGTTCCGTGATTTTTAAATTTAAGGGGCTTGACGGCCCTTCGGGCCGTTTCAGCCCCGTTCCATGATTTTCAAATTTAAGGGGCTTGACGGCCCTTCGGGCCGTTTCAGCCCCGTTTCGTGATTTTTAATTTTTCGACCTTGCTCCCGCTCCCCCCCGCACCCGCAAAAGTTCGCGGGAATTTCGAACTCTGGTTGCTTGTTGATCAAGGCCGTTTTTCGCAATCGATCGAGTTCATTTTCAAGATCTTCCATCGCTTTGAGCTCGTTGGCGACCTGTCTCGATATTACATAAACATTTTTTGGGGAATCCAGCTACCCTTCATTTAATTTTTAGATCAAGATTGGTAGTTTCTAAAAACAAAGCTAGTTTGAAAAAAATCTGTTTTTTTTGGGCTTGAGGCGTGTTTGAAAATGAGCCAAAATCGTTATTCTTCTCGAGTAAGTCCTCTTTCGAGCTCTCTAGCGCCTAAAATGCTTGATAATTTTTTTTTTCGAAAATTATATTTTAAGCTGAAGGATAGATCTACAATTTAGAAGTGTTAAAAATTCAAAAGTACAAGAGCATCTATTGGTCAGCGCTGTTCAAAAATACGTGATTTCGCAAAACCAATGGGGACCCCTTAAGTTTCTTCACCTGTGCGATTTTGCTCTCGAGCGTGTCTTCCAACTCAGCGACTTTTTTCCTGTCCGCCACGAGTTCCTCCATCGCATCTTCCAATTCTTGTATGTGCTTGTCGCAGAGCACGTCTTATCCACGCTCTACCTGGGCGGAATGCTCCTGCTCATTTTCCAACTATTTGAGCAAAGTTTCGAGTGTCTCTTTAAGCTCGACGATTTCTGACTCTGCCGTCTTCAGCCGGGAAAGGAACCGCTCATCCTTCTTGTTTTGCGCTTGTTTTTCCTCGACTAACAACATGGAGAACTTCTTGAGCATTTCGATCTCTTCCGAAGAGTCTTTTGTCAATTTCTCGTAGTTCCTCGAAATCCTGCCGTAGAGTTTTTTCTTCTTCCAGAAGAAGCTTCATTTTTTTGCCGGCAGGCCTCGGACAATAATTTTTGTCCCGAAAAAAGCTCATTTTCTATTTTACCTAAAAGATTTTCAAACTCGTCGGATTTGTCCATGTATTCTTGATGTTTTTCTTTTCCGAACTCTTCCATCAGCTAAAAACTCGTATGAGCAACTTTTTTCTTTCAAGAAATAAAACGGACTCTTACTTGGTGATGTTTTTGCTCGGTGGAGCACATTTCCCTCTTCAATTTTCGCATCGACTCCTTTTGGTGCACAATGATGCTCTTGAACACCATAGCTTTTTGCCTCTCCCTGATTAATTAAAGAGACTGATGTCAAGTAAAATGACTGTTTATTTCATGATAAACTGGAAGTAAAACTAAGAGAGTAAAAATAATAAAATGAAGATTGGAGGAGTGAATTAAAAAAACATCGTAAAATATGATGGAGATTATATCAGTACATAAGTTTTTTTCTGAGAAGTTGAGACCCTATCAACTTTCTCAAATTGGGCATGTCATCTTCGCAAAAATCGAAAGCCGCATCGCGGGAAATATATTCGGCAATAGTCATGCAAAATATAGCACAATCTGAAAGATATTAAATTGGTGATTTTTAAAAACTGTATTACCGTAAGAATTCGTTTGCCGGGGGACTTCTTCTGAAATCGATTCGGACTTCCAGTCATCGCTCAGTGGACAGTTTTGCTTCACCTCGTGCTCGGTCTAAAATTATCAATTTGAAACATTTGAGATCAATCAAAATTACCTTCAAGTACTCAAGAAGAATCGACAAGCATTTCGGGTTATCTCCACCCATTGAATCGCAATAGCGGAGCACCTTTTTCTTCGTGTCAGCAAAGGCCAGCGTCCAATGAGTCCCGCCAACGTGGATCGGGAACAAGATGATGTCTGTCTTGAAAATGTTGCATTTCCGCGTCCATCGTTTGACTGAAGCGTGGCCTGCTTCTTGAAGCTTCTCATACAAATAACTATTGAATGCATGTACTCGAAGCATGCCCGGATTTTGGAGAGATCGCTGCTCGATCAACTTGATGTACAAGTTGATGACCTAAATAAAAATGAGTTCAGTGAAGAAAATTTGACTATTTTTCATACCTCTCCGTCCACCCATTGTGTTCCGCTTAAGCTACTCAGATGATCTTTGGTGATGAACATTGGCGAAATCTCCGCGACAATGTCATTCGAGTTCTTTCCAACCAAAGCTGCACGGTCTTCACTATCCATTTCATGGATTTTTTTTATATTTGCCGGACGCTTCAAAGCCGAATTTTTTTTCAAGCGAAATTCAGGCAGCAAAATAGGCTGGAGATAGAGAGAGTCTGCCTTATTCAGTTCAGAAAGATGGGTAAGACAAATTTTTTCGGCTGTTTTGATGAGATTTTTCTTAAACTTAGGCTGACATTTAGTTTTGTTGACATGATGTATGAAATTAGGAAAATTACTTGACATGTAGTGGATAGAAAAGTACTTTTCATCTATCTTAAAATTATCTAGTCTCGCCAAAAGTTTCAGTGGTAAATCTCTTGTTTTTCTTACACCATATCTTTCTCGAAGCTCTCTTTCTCTCTCTCGCATCGCTCTCGCTTTTTGCTCTGGAATTTTCATCTCGAATTTTGGTGTTCGAAGTACCAAGAAATTAAAATATATACCCAGAAAAACAGCTGACAAAATGCGTTCTTTTGAACTGCATCAGCGATGCAATCATTTTGATCACAGTCGCGGCTAGAAAAATCAGCAGTAGGGTCGTTGAGCACCGCACAATCCACTATTTCTCCGAAACTCGAAAAATGATTCTTGAGCATTTCTTCCAGTTCCACCGGATCGTTTATAATTTCGAGTTTGGTTCAAAGAATGGTCGTACTGAACTACAAGATCGCAAGCTATCGAATTGCTCCAACAGCTCGCGAGAACGTGCACCAATTCTCGACGATCAAATAATAAAGGCTGTTGATGCAGCGAGCGGAAAACTCAATCATGTACCAGTTGTTCGAGGCTCTGCCCTGGAGATACCAGCCAAAATTCGCTGAAGAGAAAAAGAACCCTCCAAAAATGCGGCATTATTTTTTCTGGCAGTTTTTTCTGGCAGACACGGTCGAGAACACTTGCAATTGCACGATGAATTACCTGCGCGGCGAAAATGACTCGATAGAGAAAGCAAATGCAGCGTTCAAGATCAAGCCACATGCGTCGCCAAAATCGTCAGCGGTTTGCCAAGTTCATTATTGACCCGTCAAGAACAGCCAAGTCAAACCGAGAAAACAGGTGCGACTGTCTCAATCCTTGCTCAGAAACGATCCCGGAAGGGCAATTTGTCCAGTACGGGCATGAAAATTGACTGTATGGATTGTAGTCTTACTGTAATTTTGAATCAAGCGAGTACAAAAACGGACGGGAAATGCTGCAGCAAGTTTGCAGATCGTGTATTTCAAGCCAGCGGAATGAAAATAGTTGAGAATCGTTGGAAGATCTTTTGCGTCGGATTTTACGATAAAAACTTTTGCATGGTTCTTAGAAAAAAAAGGGCGTTTCCGTATGATTTTTCTGAGGCGCACTCCAATCACGAATTTCTCAATTTCAACGCAGTACTTTTCTCCCATCGGTGCCTCAACACCTGGAATATCGACTGTAATTGGCTCCCCAATCGCTTTCGAATTCTAGTGATGATTTTGAGCACTTTGGACTTGTTCGCATCTAGCTTTTGTCGTTTTTTAGGAAGAGTGCGCGAATCTTACAAGAACGGTCCCAGACGGAGTTTAATTATTTGTGCTCATTAAATTATACTGAATCAGATCTCCCAAGGGACTTTTGCCAAGAAGTCCGCTGCTGAAGTCTGATAAAAGCCACGTCCGTCGGCGTAGCTACGATTTTGCCATCATTTCTGAGCCTATTTATCGGCACAAGCAATAACCGTTACTGTAATGCCCTGTAAATACGCATTAAAAGAACTCATCTAGCCCTGCAAATAAGCACATAGAAACAAGGAAGAGAATAATCGTAAATAAAACTAGGATTCTCCAAAAGATGGTTTTTTTTTGTTGCTCAACTCAAGCTGCAGTATTTATTCAAGAGGAAAATCGAGTTAGCCGGCGTTGATCTTATCGATGAGATCGTGTAGGTCGGAGCCGTCGACGGTGCATCCAACGGACTGGGCAGTGCCGAGGATTTCTCGGATGGTGCCGGAAAGATCCCGGGCGCCAGATGTCGGCACCGATCTTCTTTGGGGAGAGACCGAAGGGACCGATCTTTGGGGCAAGGGCGGAAGTGGCACCGACTTCGCCACCAACAACTCGGAGGTAGACCTCGACGATGGCGGTTGGATCGAACTTTGGCAGTTATTTCCACTCTGTAATAACACGGGTCAGTCTTTAAAAACGCGGTGACAGATCGAATCGTTGCAATCTGCCCAAAAAAACGGCTGGAGGGACAATTGTCCCGTCCAAGTCTTGAGGAGCGCGCTACCACACCGCTTCAGTAAGCTACTAGCCCTAACCCTAACCCTAACTAACCCTAGCCTATCCCCCTCGGATGAGTTTGTTCTGTCATTTTGCTCAGTGCCCCCTAACCCTAACCTCAAAAATAGAAAGTACATTTAGCTAGAATTAGTTCTTATCAGCAAAAGTCTTAATGGCATCAGATAGAGGAGAGATTTTTATTCCTGGCTCGTGATTCTGATTCTGGCGGGTGCTCCTTGGCGCCTCTTACTGTTCGGCTAGTAACTACTGAAGCGCGGTGTCGTAGCGCGCTCCTCAAGACTTGGACCGGACAATTGTCCCATCTCCCCCAAAAAACCTTCCCGCTTTCTGGTTCAATCGAATTTGCTGCATCTAAGAATCTCTCTTTCTTGAAAATCCCTACCGAAATGTTCGAACTGCTAATCAACAAGTCACTTACGTTTAACCGTATGCGTCTCGGTCAGAGCACCCCCTGTGCGGCTCGCGGGGGAATTTTTTTCACCCGCCCATCTAGAAGAATTTATGCCTTATTTTACGCGTCTTCGGAGCAAAATGGGGTGAGTCTCGTGTTATCAGTGTCTTGGAGACAGATAATCTTCAATTTTTGGCGTTTTTCAGGCGAGCTAGAGACTGTTATGTAACAAATTTCATGTTCTGGAGACGAAAACGCACCAACTTTACGCGCGTTCCTTCGATTTTCTAGACAGATTTCATGTTCTCGAGACAAAAAATGGCTATTTTTGACGGTTTTTTACAATTTACTCATTGATGAAAAATACCAACATATCATTTTTATGATCTAAGAAGATAGGAAATTCGATGTTGATTCTTATTCTTTTTGAATTTTTGAATTTGGACCAAAAATGGCCGAGAAATTGGCAAAAAAGGGGCGCGGGGGAAAAAAGTTCCCCCGCGAGCCGCATACGGTTAAAATTAAAATTCGGTTATTTTTATTCAAGGACAGATTTTATCACGCAGTCGATAATGAAAACGGCGATGGTAACGCATTCCACAGAAGAACCTCGTCGTTGTTGATTCAGTTGCTGTGGTTGTTGAAGAAGTTGTTGTTGAAGTAGTTGTCACGACGGACTCCTCTTCATCTTGAACTAAATAGAGAATTTTATACAAAAATAAGGATTTATGGAGTTAATTGATAAAATTATACAACTAGATTTTATAATAAATAGTTCATCATTAATTTTACCTGAAAACTTGATGATAATGACCAAAACGACGACCAAAACCAACAGGAACATGATTTTTTCCTTCATCTCTTCAAATTTTCTCATTTAACCAGGGGTTCATTTATTGATATTTTCCATGTTTCACAAATTTCAGAAAAATAAAATCAAAATTTATGAAAAACTAGCTAATGTCAATAATTGAACCCCTGGTGTTTTAAAATTTTTGCCTTTGAACTTGTTTTTTCCGGAAGCGGAAGCGATTTTTATGCCACTTTTCTGCGGCCAAAAGAGGGCGCAACATGCCGCTCTCGCTCGCCGAGAGCGGGAACCACTGATAAGGATAATCAGTGGATAATCATTAACATTAATCCGAGTGATTTTACAAATTTCAGGTGATAGACTAGTGATCTTGCAGATATCAGAATATTTACTGTATTTATATATTTTAAATGAATAAAAATCGATTTTTAAAAGGTTTATCTTTTCCGAGAATACTTTTTTTTATCATTTTTATGCTTTATTAAAGAAATAGATAATTTAATTCAGAAAAAGAATCTTTCGTTTTGCATTTATTAAGAATTTTTCGAAATTATTATCAAATTTGAAATTTGGCAATAACTGATGATAACGATGAGTAATTTTAGATCTGAAAAAAGATGAAGCGTCCTTGGATCATAGAGAATAATAAAGCCCAAAAAAAAACCGAAAAAATAAGTACCCCTGGTCCCTAGGCGAGTTCGTAATTTTTTCTTAGATCGCCCCGCCCACGCTTCATAATAATGAAATCCCAAAATTTTTTTGCAGATTCATGAATGGCACATCTAGCTCGACATAACTGCACTTTTAGATTTTTGAAAATGTTACGTTTACGACATTTTGTCAAAACCGAAAATTTATATTTTCACGTCCCAATGGTAAGACCACGAAAGAAGAGATTCTCGCGATTTTTGAGCTGACAAAACCTTCAGGTGTTTTTCCGAACAATTATCGAAGCGATCTTCATCTGGTATTACTTTCAAATCTACGCCTGGACTCTTTACATGCCAGAGGTAAGCCCCTGTCCCCCTGTCTACCAGACAAACCGTTTTCTAGACTTACCAATGCGACCGCGAACCATGCAACAACATCGTCACTTGCTACATCTCCCGCCCGCATCAGAAGACGATCGCGATTTGGATCATGTTCATTACTGGCTTGATCACGGTTTTCATCGGACTCATTGAGTTTATTCAACAAGTGCCGAAGATCGGCGCCGCCTGGAGTGCGAGACACGACGATATCACGAAAAAGTACAAAGTTGAACAAATGAGCTCTGAGCAGATTCGACTGACTTCTATGTAAAATTGATAATGGACGAATAAAACTCACATGTTGACAAAAAATTGAATTTATTTTCCACAGAGAGCAGGGAACTTAGGGCTACTGATAGGGCGTTCGATGCATTCAGAATAGTTAGGACAACTCTCTTTGTGATGAGGGAATTTCTGGACAGTTTCTGGTTTGCAAAAAAGTTCAATCAAATTTTTAGAGAAACATAAAGATTGCAGACCGGTTGGTCCAATCACGATTTTTTGCTGTTTGACAGGCGCTTTTTCTTTTTGCTGTTTCCCACGCGTTTTTTCTTTCTCTGTATCGCACCCTCTTTTTTCTGTCCATCTTATTTGTCGATTGATGTAGTGAACCATGTTTTTTGATCGCCATTTTTTGTTCGTATTACCGTCCATGCAAACGAAAGCGTTGTGAAAACTCTTAATCGATTCGTAAAAATTGTGCATCATTTCTATCCTGTTAGGATTGTCGACTGATGGACGGATGAAGTCATTCTCGTCGCCGGATCCAGCAAATTCAGCGCAGTTATCTTTCACTCTTGCACCAAAATTCTCGACTCTTTCAAAGAAGCCTCGTATTTTCTTCGGTGTTACGGCAAGGCAATCATTTTCGCTTTGAGAGACTTTTTCGAGAACAGTCTCGTAGGCTTCAACGATTTCTTTCCATGCGGTAGCTGATGAAATGCTCAGCGATTTACTCACAATCGAAGAGAAAAGCAAAAAGAATATCTAAATAAAATAAAATTATTCTGAAAAGAAAATCTCTTGAAATACCTTCATCTTCATTTTGAAATGAAAATCGTTCTCTCTGAAAAAATCGAGAAACACATTCGTTTTTCAATTTGACGAAGTCGCCCTTTCCACTAGATGAGTTCATGAGCGAAATTCAGCACTCTTGTAATAGAGAGCTCTAATGGTATGTCATGCAAGTTTAACCACTTTGTTCATACTTGATATTTTTTGCCGTTGCGTTGATATTTTCTGTTTTTGATGATTTGCCATTTTTGAACGTAGAAGATATTTGTCAATTCGAAGTTAAATAGCTCTCTAAAAACTCATCTTATTGTTTTTGAAAACAGCCTACTCTTATGTTTGTAAAAATAAGTTAAAAAACCTTCTTATTTTCTTCTTAGTTCCCCGAATGGACTCGATTCCTAAGACGATTTTCAATAAAGATTTCTGAGCGATACATGAAGATAATCGTCTTGTCGAACTTTACATCGGCATCATGGTATGAACCCTTGAAATTTATTTTTTTTCAGCCTTTTTTGAAATCAGCTGTTTTCTGAAAATATTGATTTCGAGAATAAATGGATGAAAAGGGTTGAGACCTAGATGCCAATGTAGAGCTCGACAAGACGATCATTTTCATGCATCGCGTGCCCAGAGTTGCAAATTTGCTGAGCTGAGTGAGCTGAGCTGGCTGAGTGAGCTGAGCAGTCACTCAGCTCAACTCAGCTCACTGATTTACGAAAATGAATTTATCTGCTCAGCTCAGCTCAGACAAGTATCATTCAGCTCAGCTCAATGATTTTAACACAATTTCACTACTAAAAAATAGCTCAAATCAGCTCACTCAGCTCAGCTCAGCTCGAATTTGGGTCTGCTCAGCTCAACTACCTTAAAAAAGGTCTGCTCAGCTCAGCTCAGCTCAATGACCTCTGAAAATGGCTAGCTCAGCTCAGTGAGCTCCGAAATAGGCCAGCTCAGCTCAGCTCAGAGAATTTCTCACTCAGCTCAGCTCAGCTCAGCGAAAATAAAGCAAAATTTGCAACTCTGCGCATGCCTGCTCAGCTAAGTGGACTTGGTAATGCCGATGTCCGAAAGAAATGGTACTTTTACAACCTTTTCGACAAGCCAATAGATCGTGAACCATTCAGCAACATCGTCACTTGCTACATCTCCCGCCCGCATCAGAAGACGATCGCGATTTGGATCATGTTCATTACTGGCTTGATCACAGTTTTCATCGGACTAATTGAGTTTTTCCAGCAAGTGCCGAAGATCGGCGCCGCCTGGAGTGCGAGACACGACGATATCACGAAAAAGTACAAAGTTGAACAAATGAGCTCTGAGCAGATTCGACTGATTTCTATGTAAAATTGAAAACACACGAATAAACTTTAAAGCATAAAATAAGCCGACAAAATAAAAAAAAAATGAGTTTATTTTCCAAGAAGTATACTTGGGCTAGTGGTAGGTTCGATGCATTCAGAAAAGATAGGACTAGAGTGGGTCACTTTCATGATTGGTCTTCCGAACTTGATTTAATTTTATCAGGTGATAGATCTGACCCGAATAAAGAACTTTTTTCAATAGATTCGGAAAAAAAATTTTTTTGGGGTTCTTTTTTGAAAAATTCATGTTCGAAAAAATGGTTTTTCTAGAATAACTTTTGGGCACACCCCCATATCACGTGATATTATGACGTCATCAGATAGAACTCGTCAAGCTCGTCAATTCGATACCCGAATCTACTCCGGGAAACTACAGGAACTTATCTTATACACATTTTAAAGCTCTGACTATACCGGAATTGACTCTAATTTGACCAAAATTTTTCAATTTTCATGATTTCCCAGATTCTGCAAAAGTATTTTCCCGGAAGGGTATGGAGGTATTTGAGGGCTCAAAATGATCAGCGCAACGAGCTCTATCAGATAAGCTCAAAAAACAAAGCGTACAGAAAAATTGTTAGAAAAGTGACCCACCCTAGATAGGACACTTCATTTTGTGAGGAAGAGCGAGTTTCTCGATCCTTTCTGGGTTACAAAAAGTCTCAATCGCTTCTCCAGTGAAACAAAAAGGTTTCCAACCAGTTGATTCAAGCAAGAGTTTTAGCTGTTCTTCAGGCGTTTTTTCGTTCTCTCCGCATCCTCTTTTTTCTGTCCATCTAATTTGTCGATTGATGTAGCGAACCATGATTTTCGATCGCCATTTTTTGTTCGTATTACCGTCCATGCAGACGAAAGCGTTGTGAAAACTCTTAATCGATTCGTAAAAATTGTGCATCATTTCTATCCTGTTAGGATTGTCGACTGATGGACGGATGAAGTCATTCTCGTTGCCGGATCCGGCAAACTCAGCGCAGTCATCTTTCACTCTTGCAGGAAAATTCTCGACTCTTTCGAAGAAGGCTCGTATTTTCTTCGGTGTGACGGCGAGGCAATCACTTTCTTCTTGAGAGACCTTTTCGAGGACAGTGTCGTAGGCTTCAAGAATTTCTTTCCATGCGGAAGCTGATGGAATGCTCAGCGATTTACTCGCAATCGAAGAGAAAAGCAAAAAGAATATCTAAATAAAATAAAATTATTCATTAAAATCTCTTGAAATACCTTTATCTTCATTGTTAAATGAAAATAGTTCTCTCTGAAAAAAATTGAGAAACACATTCGTTTTTGAATTTGACGACTTCGGAAGTCGCCCTCGCCACTAGATGAGTTCATGAGCGAAATTCAGCACTCTTGCAATAGAGAGCTCTAATGATATGTCGTGCAAGTTTAACCACTTTGTTGATACTTGATATTCGTTTTCCGTTGCGTTGTTGATACTTTCTGTTTTAGATGATTTGCCATTTTTCAAAATAAAAATATAGAATTTCTAACAAAAAAAAATACTTTTAGAAAAACTTGCTAACTAGAGCTCCCCGAATTGACCAATTTCAAGCGGTTTCTCTAGATTTGCTTCCTCAGATATTCAAATAGCGCGCGGCGCGCTCTTATTGGCCTCAATTTTCTCTCTAAGGAAAAAAATTAAAATCCATTTTTTCAGAAAAAATAGAGAAATAAGAAAAAACGAGAATAATGGGATTCAAAGTGAACAAAAAATTTGCAGATCATTATGACTCGTACAGACGAAAAGAGACATTACAGGTACTATTTTCAGCGCGAATAATTGATAAGAGAAAATAATTCTAGCGCTTCAAAGACCGCTTTGGGTCATCAGATGAAGAATCAACTTCCGAGGAAGAAGAGGAAGACCCGCAGTTCACCAAAAAAATCTACTCTTGGCTTTTTAAAAAGTAAAATTTGCCCTTGATTCTCCCTCAAAACCTATCAAATTCTAGCGCTGGATGCGTTGAAACGAAACGACCCGTCGATTTACGATTCCAAAACGAAATTTTATGAAACTGATTCTGAAGAGGATGAAAACGAAAAGACGAAAACAGAGAAATCCTTGACTTTGAAAGATTACGAAAGAAATGTGGTGCTGAAGAAGGGCGGAATCGTCGATGAAGAAGCTGAAGAAATGGAAGAATTGACCAGACCGTCTACGAGTGGGAAATCGCATAAGGTACGTGAGTGAATGGAGTTCCAATTCATGAGATTTATTCAGGAAGAACAAGAAGAAATCAAGTCCGAATTCGCAAAACTCGCCGAGTCCGATTCTGGCTCCGATTCCGAGGATGAAATCTTTTCGAAGAAAGCGATCAAGTCCGGCGTCGCGACAGAAAAGGACATTGACTGGGATTTGCTGGCGAATAAGAACTTGGACGAAAAGGAAAAGTTTGTCAAGCAGTATTTGATGAATGCGGCTTGGAATGAAGATGAATCTGATCAAGGTAAGACCGACTTTTCTTCGCTTTTTCACCATTTTTGTAGATTATTCTTCTGGAGAAGAACTTGTCGCGCTGAAATACCACAAAGAAAACGGCAAAGCAGCTCAAGAATCGTCCGAGGAGGAAGAAAGCGACGGAGAAGACCTCTTTTCGTCGAGAAAACTTGAAACAGACGAAGTCAAAGAATCTGTCGACGTTTTGAAAACGAAGTTTGAGCGAGAAGAATCGAGGGAACCAAAAGCTTACCCGAGAAATGGTGTTCCTGACAGCTTGCGACAGGTATTTCGCTAACTACAGTAGCCATTCTGTATTTCTTGAGATCAGGAAGCCGCTTGCAGCTTCTCGATTTTGGGATTTAAAAGCGCTAGAATTGTCTTTTCTGACAATTTTCTTTAGGATACGAAGTCAGAAGCAAAAGCAAAGAAACGACAGGAAAAGAAAGAACGCAAAATGAAGAAAGAAAAGGAATACAAAGAAAATATGGCTAGAATGAAACACATCAAAGAAGAAGAACTCATGGCGAAAATGGAAGAGCTCAAGTCCGGTAAGAAATGCCTCATTCTCTCCTTAGCCTTATCTTCCTTCTTTTCTAGCGCTTGGAGTGTCCGATATCGACATCGATCCGAGCTTGTTGAAGGGCGATTTTGACCCGGACAAGCACGAAGAACTCGTGGAAAAGCTAGCTGCGAATTTAGGAGAAGACGAATTCGACGAAAATGGAGAGCTCATAAAGGTATGCCCGCTTTTCTACACTTGATATGACTTGTGACGTTTTTAGCCGGTCTTTTCCGACCTGGAAGAATGGGAAGAAGAACAGGCAGAAACAAAACGAAAAGCGAAAAAGGAACGAAAGCAGAAAAAGAAGCGCGGTGGCCGTGGACGAATTCGCGAGACAGATGATTACGAAGAAGCGAAAGAAAAGTTCCCCGAAATTGCCAAAGAAATCGACGAGCTGGACTATCAAGTTGATATGGTCGGCGACACTGCCTGCAAGTTTAGATATCGGTAGGAGGATAAAAAGGGAAGTGGTGGTCTTCTATTGTCGTTTTTAGGGAGGTTGACAAGGAAGATTATGGACTAACAGCTGATGAGCTACTGAATGCTACAGATGCAGAGCTGAATCAGTGGGTCGGTTTGAAGAGAGTCACTCAATGGAAAGGTAGGGAGTCACTCTTTTGACTGTATTTTTATTCTTTCTTTCAAGACGATGGATTTACGAAGAACAAATTCTGGACGAACCCGAAAAAGATCGAAGCGAAAAAGAAACAGATCTTCAAAAGTATTTATGGGGACGAATACGAGGTTGAAAAGGCCCAGGAGCCGAAGAAGAATCGAAAGATTAATTCGAAACGGCGAAGAAAGCTGAAGGAAAGACAGCTTTTGGAAGAAGGCGAGGACCAGGTTAGGCTTTTTTCTTGATGTCGGAGATAACTGATTGTTTTCAGGAAGAAAAGAGCGAAGAAGAGCCGGCGCAGGAAGTTGAAAAGAAGGAGAAGAAGATAAAGAAGAAGCGAAAGCACAAGGGACAGTTGGACAATATCACCGACGATCGATTCAGCTCCTACGGACTGACGAAAGACGAGATCAAAAAGATCAAATATGATCCTGAAAATGCCCTCAAATACAAAACATAACGTTATTGTATAATAAAATTGTCTTTATTGCAGCAGATCATCAGAAATATGCTCATGTATTTGTTAAAACTATATGAGACAGTCAGATGAAACATAATACGTAACAATTTGTTTTGTGAAACTTTGCTTTGGGACGTCGATTTTCAGTCGCACAAAATTTAGATTATCTGAGTCAATTTTAATTGTTCCTGAGTCTTTAATAGCTCGATCTCTCGAACTCAATATTTTCCTTGGATCCAATTTGTTATCACCATCAAAGCTAGCTTGCAAGTACAGCTTTCTGTCAATAGGCGAATACAGGATGAAAACCAATTCATAGTAACTGTCTCTTTCGCGAACCAACGTCTCCAATCCATATCCAATGAAGAGAATTTTTCATCAGCCTGAGTGTGATAAAGTCGTGGATAGTAGTAAATCCCGAAGGTTCCTTTGAAAAACTCCTCATTATTTGGCTTTGAAAACAAAACTTTGAAACTCAAGTTAGTTGTGTCATCTTTCAGGGCATTCAAAAATGGTTCGACATCGTCACGAGTATGATATTTGAAAAGATTCGGTTTAGGTGGGAGGCTACTATGTATTGGTTTTTGAATTGCTGGGATTGCAAGGGTTTCCATTTTCGTGTTTATCTCATCGTTTTTGCTTTTTCTTGGATTTTCGTAGACAAGATCGTAGACGTTTTCTGTATTTTCTTCGGAATCAGGCTCAATAGAATTTAAAAATTCGACTTGATTCTTCAAATTTTCGATCGTTTCAGTGAGGTTCTTTTGACCTTGGATAGCAGATTGATACTTTTTCTCCAAAACGCTAAACATATTTTCCAATGTTTCGATTGTCTTCTGGCTAAGGGCTTGATTCTCGTGATTCAATTCAATTCTCTCTTCCAAAGCAGAGATTGTCAGCTTCTGATTCTCATTTTGATTCTCAAGATCGCTAACTTTTTCGACGAGCTCGTCATTCTTCTTTCGTAGTTGATACTGCTCTCTTTTCAGGCTTGTTAGTTCAGTTTCATAAAAGCCCATTTCTTGTCTTATAAGAAATGTAATTTCTTCTTTCGAGAGAGCTTATGAAAGAATGAATGCAAAACTTTTGCTAAAAAAATACCTTGACAAGCTCTTGAATCGCCAGATTCTTTTTCATACGAAACAAAACTCTCAGGAGCAGGTTCTGTGAATTCAGAGTGGGAATATTCAGACATTTTCTCTCTTTTCTGTTCTTTCGAATTTACAATATTTGATCGGGGATACGAATCACATTCGTTTGGCAAATAATAACGATGAGTAGACAAAGCTTTACGAAGACGGAGAGATTTCATGAGACCGTATTACAGTAAAGTCCCTTTTGTCGCCATTTAATTGATGAAAAATTTTAATCGAATTTTTTTAAGTTTGAAAATCAAATTCAGTCGTGACTTTAATTTGACTTGTTATTGATGAAGCAAACTGTCAGTTAAAATCTCTTTCACCACTCCAGTCGTAAAAACGGCCTTGTCAGCTCGCATCTCCTCAATAAAATCTCTCTTTCAAAAACAACAAAAAAGCGGCGAAGAGAAAACGGATGATTTATATAATTTCAATCACTACCGGTCCGGAAGGAATTGCGATAAATAAAGAGAATGGAGAAGTTTTACAAGTCAAGCTTTTTGGTCAAAATGGACAAGAGACGAAATGGGTGAATTGCTCGATTGGATCTTCTTTTAAATCTTCGACTCTTGAAGCCTTCGAAATCGAAGCCCCGGAAATCGGCTCCGTCAAATTCGTCAAAGTCCGCCTCAACAATCAAGTAAACTACCACCAAAATCTGACCCACCAAGAACTAACTGGCCTTTTTGTTTCGACAGAAAATGACGCTGGAAAATTCTACTACAGTGGGTTTATTCATTTTTGATTTATTTACTTATTTGTTTCAAAGATTCGAGCGAAAGAAGCGATGCAGACGAATTGAGAAGCGGCGCTTTGTACAAAATAGGAAAGGTCTTATGCTTGCATTAAAGAGTTTCCATTGTCGAGGACTTCGGATAGAATGTAGGTGCTTGGGATCATTCCGTAGAGCTTCTTTTCGCGAAACCATTCGGTTCCTATTCGCGCGAGCTCGGATGTTTCTAGAAATATTTTTTATCAGAATTTTTATCTTTTTTTGTAGATTTTTTCTTACCTCTGAAAGCATTCATTAATTCATGAAATCTCGCTGGCTGGTCGGAAAAATGAGTTTGAATATGATCCAGTAAACATGATTTGATTCGTTCTGCAATCAGCTGATGCTGTGGCTAGAAGACATTCAGACCATATTTTTCCTTTTGCTACCTACCCGTTCGTCCAAAATGAACATAGAAAACATCATCAAGCAAATAAGCTCTGTCCGATCAATCCTAAGCTTTTTGTAAATAGTCGTAATCCTCATTATCTCTTCTGCCATTTTCTGCGCTCCGGGGTCAAAATAAGTCGAGAAGCTCTCCTGGGAAATTTTTCGCCCGGAGACAAGGAGGAGATGCTTTTCGTCAGAGAACCAAAGTTGGCGGTAGATTTGGTCAAGGCACATGACATGCGGCCAGGATTTACAGAGGGCTTTGACCTTTAAAATTGTCATCATGCATCAGGTTGAAAAATACCTGATCATCAGTAGACAACTCTCTAAAAGCAGCAGTTTGTTTTGCCCAAAGCACTTTTGAAAACAACACCTGTTCGTCCATTCGTATCACGTGATCGATCACACTGTATTTGTTCACGAAAATCATCCCTTCAACCGCTTTTCGCGCCTTAAAAATCTCTAGAAACCAGCATTTCACCCCTCCTTACTCTTTCCGCGACTTGTTCTTCGGGAATCCAAGACGATGTGATATCCTTAATGATGTCCAAATTCGTCATTCCAAGGATCGAGTCAAAGCTTGTCAGAAAATTGGCCGGTTTTGGGTCAAAATCGGTCATTTCATTTTTCATTTCCAGCGGTTGAAAAGGATGTTCGTTATGATTCTGGTCCGAGCTGGAACTGACGAGTCGTTTTTTCTTGCGATTTGCTCGGTCTTTATCGTATTCTTCTTTCAGCGCAGATCGGCCGCCTCGATTACCGCCGATTCTCAGGGCTTCGCGCTTCATTCCAAGAAGGATACATTTCTAGAATGAAAATTGCCAATCAGAAAAGGGATGAGCAGAAACTTACGTTGTATCTGCAAGAAGAGCACTTCTTCCTCGTTGTCTTCGTGATCGTACATTGATCATTATTCGAGCAATAGTATTTCTTATTCAGCTGAACGATCCGCTTAAAGAATCCCTTGCAACTCTCGCAGCTCAGTATTCCGTAGTGATATCCAGACACAACGTCGCCACAGACTGGACAGGGCTCTCTTTGCTTTTCTCGGCGATTTGAAGGGGGAGACGAAAGCTCGTTGTTGGCAAATGAAGGTTGTTGGTCGAAAAAATCATGAGAAGTCGAAGGACTTGGTGTTTGATTATTGGGATCTTGTGGGGAGTCCTGCATGTTTTCGTCGTTTTGCCAATGTCGGTTATCGAAAAAGTCATCCATTGGCTGACTTATTGGGTATTGGTACTGCTGAATAAGGGGTTCGTGAGTGTTAGTATTCTCTCGTTTCATTGGTTCTTGGTCAATTTGGTTAACTCTTGTTTCGTTGAAAAAATCATCCATATTTTTAAAGAGTTCTTCTGAGAAATGTCGCTCAAGGAATATAAAGATAACTTCGCTATGTTATTTGCCAACAGAATAAAATATTTGTTCGATGAAGCAGAAGAACAAACGCGACGGGAGAAACAGGATCGGTCACGTGTTTGTCTTTCGATGTTCCGAGCGGAAAGAATATACAGTTGTTACCCCATTTAGTGAGTTCACTCCTTGAAATGACCTCTTTTCGAATTGGAAATTTCGAATAAAAAAGAAAATTCTGCGAAAGGGCAGATTTTGAAACTGTTGTCTTTGGTCAAGTTTGAACGAGTTGAAGAGGTTGTTACGTAACTGAAATTTTGTAACTGTTGGTCAGGAAGTTTTTGAGATTCGCATTAAAATTATGAAAAATACTGGCTATCTGGCTTTTTACACAAATGTCAGTGTTGTCAACGATGTCGGAAGTGTCAGGAAATATATTAAGACCAAAAAGTCCTCCATTCAAATTGCGGCGACGAAATTGCCAACTCACTATCCAAATCCGAGGAGCTGTTCCTTCAAGATGATGCTGCAAAAGAAGAATCGAACCGTGTGGAGCTTTTCAACCAGCATTCGACCGCCCCGTTTCACGAGCAAAAGGCGATCTTCTTCACATCCGGTGCTGCGATGGACAAATTTGCAAAGTATAAAATTGTCGACCAGGGTGGACAGCAGCCAAGTTATCTCAAATCTTTTCTTGTTCAAACAAGTTCTTCCGCTGGATTGGAAGGGATCGAGTGGGAAAGTCCTGTGACGGTTTCTTGCCAGATAAAATGCTCAAAAACGACGTCACGAAAATCATCTTTTGAGTCAAATACATCTGAAGATTTCTCTCAAATAACTCCTTTTGTCGGTAAGCCAGCATAGTTTTTTAGCTTTTTTTAATGAAGAATTCCAGCTCCAGCAGCGCTAGAAAAAGCACCAGAAAAAGCTGACACATCCGATTTTCCCAGCGAAAATTTTTCCTACAAATCGTCCGAGCGACCTGTTTTTGCCCGGCCTCTTCAAATAAGTCGTCCGTCAGTTCCTGTGCTTCAAGAGTCAAAGTAACCATTATATAAGCGATTATATAACTTCTCTTTTCGCATTAAATTCTGGCTGTTGGTGATATTTACTGTTCAGTCGCGCGCTACCGGCGGAGTTCTCTGATCTGGGCGTTTTGAAAAAGTGCAAAGTCCGCAAGCGAAACTTAGAGGCACGGTTTTTCGGGAGACGCTCGGTTAGAATACCAATTGGTATTCAAATACCAATTTTGGTATTCAAATACCAATTTTGGTATTCAAATACCAAATTCGCCAAAGAATACTAATTTCGCCCGCCAAAAAATTTGAGTGTGCGTTCCGGGCCTGTTTTTTAGGAAGCTCTAGAGGTGATTTACATATTTTTCAGGGAAAAAAATTGTTTCCGCTAGAAAAAATTGGTATTCAAATACCAATTTTGGTATTCAAATATCAATTTTTGGTATTCAAATACCCAATATTTTTGGTATTCTAACCGAGCGCCCCCGGGTTTTTCCTCTGTCTTTTTTCGGTCAGAAATTTTTGCGTCAGAAAAACCGGAATAGGAAAAAGTGCCTCTTGGTGGCAGCAGATGGTCTTCGTCAATTCATCTTTACGAAAATGTCGAAAGGAAGGAGAATGAAAATACTGTCATTTACAAAGAAGACTCGAAAGTTGAACCATTACCTCTTGCTCCTGAGATACCAGTAGAGGAAGAAGGAAGATATCATTCAGGAATGATCATCAATAAAATTATTTCTTTTTTGAAAAAAAATCAGCTTTTCTTGATCTCAAAAAGATGTCGTCATCAACAATCACGAAGAAATAACACGAGCGAGCTCCGACTCCAACAAAATTCCTTCGACAATTTACAGATTTGAAATCAAGACAGCGAAAAAATTCTTCAGCAACTCCGTCACTCAAGCCACTCTTGTTATTTTGAATGAAGATAACGACCGACTCGAGTTCTTTCTTACGAATGAGAAACATCTCAAAAAGGCAAGAACTCTAAAATTTTCCGATCGATAAAATTTCTAGAGAGAAAAAGGCGAGCCAATCGCTCTGGATGGAATCTACGCGAACCAGAGAAATGAGTACTCGTTTGAAGTTGTGGATTCTTTTGGGAAAATTAGCCAATTGAATCTAGATCTGGCGAAAAATCTCAGCGTTGAGTACATAAGGGTTATTTTCGAATGTGGACGATTGATAATTTATGCTTTTTCAGCTTTATGAATTCGAGGACAGCGTAAAATTCACAGAAATTCCGATTTCTTTCGGTGGAAAGCAAAAGCTTTATAAAGGTGTCAATTCTTTTCCTGTACTAACTGCATTTTGAAATAAATTAACATTTAACGAACAACCTTCAACTTGACGATATGGTATATTTTTAAATTGTTTATTTACCGCCTGTACAAATATATTTCTACAATAAAGAACTGATGAATGATTGATGCTCAGTGAGAAAAAGTGAGTGCAGACGATGAATATTTCAAACCTGGCCGTCATAAAGATCGTACCAGCCGGTCCACTGGGACTCGAAGATCTTTATTGACATTTCAAGTTCTGGCATGACCATAAGTCGACAAAGCTCCAGTTTTTCGCCTTCTTTCGACAACTGAATTTTATAGATGAAAAAAAAATATGTAAAGAAGTTGATCGATTCAAAAGCATAAATTTGTATGGGGACACCCTTAATTGAGCCACTTTAATCGTACCTGATAATTTTTGATCTTGACTTGATCGTAAGAAAACTGACACTGAAGGTCATTTTCCTCACAAATAAATTCTTTCTCCAAACAAGTCTTTTTAACTTCATCAAGTTTTTCCTCCAAAATCTTCAAATCTTCTCCAAATCCTTCATAGTCGTCAATTTTCTGCCAGAAAACTTTGCTGAAATGTTCATAGATCGCGTTGTCCAAATGATTCCAGCTTCTCATTTTCGATTCTAGCTCCGGTGAGAGTTTCTGCTTTTCTGATCGTTCGTTTGTGACGAAAAATAGGACATCCTCCCACTCCCAGCAAAGTTCTTTCTTGAGAAGGACCATGCTTTCTTTGAAATAATCTGTCAGCAAGACCAAATCAAATGTTTGCTCAAGCGCTTGCAAAATATTTTCCTCGTTGTTTTCACTGAGCCATGGCATGCCTGCAATGTGAATAATTAAATCTTAATTGTAAATTGCTCGAATAGAGCGTTCCCTACCCAGATCGAAGGCCATATGGTTTCGCGCGAAAACATCATTTCCTTTGTTTCCATATGGCTCGTCTGCGTTCCAGAATCTTTCGGGAGAAGAGTAGAAGGCTTCCAAGGATTGAGCTTTTCTGTAGGGAGTGGTTATTGACCGGAAGTAGCCGAAAGAGCTCTTATTTTGGGATGATGATTCATAATATAATATAATATAATATAATATAATATAATATAATATAATATAATATAATATAATATAATATAATATAATATAATATAATATAATATAATATAATATAATATAATATAATATAATATAATATAATATAATATAATATAATATAATATAATATAATATAATATAATATAATATAATATAATATAATATAATATAATATAATATAATATAATATAATATAATATAATATAACTTCTCATTCATCCTATTCCTCATACAACGACGGTATGTCCCTTAAGATTGTGATCCTCTTCGCCTCCGGAAAAATTTCGTACAATTCTCTCGACGCTCGTAAATGATTCGCAATAATCCGCGGTTTCTGCCCAGACGGAAGTTTTTTAATAAAAGTTGTTTTGAAGAAATAAGGGTATTCGAAGCGATTTCCGTCAGAAACAGGCATGGCAATTGGCAAATTATTCTTCATTCCGAATCTTCGGATAATGTTCTGGAGAGTTGATGAGCCGGTCTTGTGGGTTTTGACGAAAATGATGTCCTCGACGGGTTTTTGGCAGGTTTTCGAAGCGGTTTTTGGGGCAGTGAAAATTTCGGTGATTTCGATTTCTTCCCTGTAATCTCGCTCATGGAGAATCTTCGAACTTAAAATATTTTTCAAGCTGCCGAAATCGCATTGTTTACCTTGAAAGAGATCTGCGATACTGTATAAAAGAAAAAATGAAAGCGCCACTAGAATTCCAAATAGCCATTTTCTCTGAATCGTTCTTCTGTTCATTAACCCTAGTTTTGAAGTATCTTTTGTTAGGTTCATTGTTTTTTCGGGCGTCACGGAAAACAGATTTTTATGACCTGTTTATCTCAAAAAACGGTACTTTTTTTGAATTTTATGAATTTAACGACCCATTTTTGGATCTGAATGGCTCATTTTAGTACTTGATTGGAACGAATATTTACCGGTCAACAAATTTCCCCCGAGGCTTGGTCAGGCTGACCTTGGAGGTACAGTTGCAGCTCTTTTTTGAGCGTTTTTGAATAATTGACGGGTGGAATATGCATGCTTGATGCAATAAGAAGCGGAGAAAATGCTTTTCGTTTCAATAACTTTTGAATAATCAGCCTTTTCTGCGTCGTAATAAGGCTAATAAGTCGCGTGATCGGATTACGGACGGCTCATTATCCGTCAATTTAGCATCAGTTATGCAATTACATGCGCTGGCCGCGGGCGAGTAATCTCCTGAGGGCAGCAGAGAGGGAAGAGAGTATATAATGAAGGTCGATTCAGCAGAGTCAAAAAAGAAAAATTTTTTTGAACAAAAAAATTGACAATGATTGAAAACGATCCAAAAACGCACTGTCACAAGGAAGACCACTGCTGTGCTCCGAAAGAGAATCACGTGAGTACTTTTTCGAAAAATTTTTCATTTTTTTTTCTACGAATATTTTTTACAATTTTCTTTGTAGACGCACGAAAAAACCTGCACTCCTTGCGAAACGAGCTGCAATAAGACTGAATGCAAATGATATGACTCGCAGCAGATACTGTTGCTAATGTTCCTGTAGTTTCTTATATCCCGAAATACATATGTACTCACTTCTCTTCTCTTGTCTGAGATATTTTGAATTTTTTGCAAAGAATTTTATTAACATCAGTTTTGTTTTGAAACAGTCAGAAAACAGTAAATTCTTGGCAATCCATAAATTCCAGATCGTCAAAATCATCCCCTGAACAATTGATTTTATGGGTTTTTTCAAGAGACCATACCGATTTCTGATTGGCTTCGTCGAAACTCTGATGATCGTCTGTCTCTTGCATCTTTATTTTCAATTACTAAATAGGTTTTTTTCTTTTTTAAAAGAAAACTATCTTACCGAAAGCATTGCGTCTCTCAGAAGGCTTGACAATCTGAACCCTCGCATGAAGATATTTTCGGTAGTTTTTGTCAATTTGCGACTCGTTTCGAATAGCATGATAAGCCAGGACGTCGACAAATTTGTTGAAACAAACAACCAATAGAAGCATCCAACCAACAAGGGTCAGAATGACCAGGGTCGTATCTACTGGATCCCAAGTTCTATAAGAGATTTAGAGGAGGGGGAAAGGGGGGGGTAACTTACTTTTCGTGGTTTTCTTGAGAGTCGGTTTTGATTGCGCCGACGATTGTTGAGTTGTCTTTTCAAGAGTTTTTTGAAAAATTTCGGGAACAAAAATATTTTTTAATTTATTCATTCGATTTTATCGTCATTGATTTCAAAAGGCTTTTCTTGATTATATACGGGAGTGTATTCTTCACAGATCTCGGACCCAAAATTGATATTCATATTATCCTCACTGACTTCAAACAGAAATTTGCATAAGTGCTTTTTGTGGATTGAAACTTGATCGCCATAGATTTTTCCATGCTACAATTGACAACTGCTTGAGAGGCAAAAAGAAGGGAACTTACCTTTCCGACATTCATTTTTTTTCAATTCTCGGTTTTCTCTTTGAAGAAAAAAGAAGGAGCTGAAGGTGATCACCCGTCGCCATAATTAGCTGATGAATACTTATGAACTTGCATTCTTATTTCCCTAAGGTTTACCAAACAAAGCCTTATTTTGATTATTTCGCGATTTCATTTTTTAAATATTAAATAAATTCATGTCAATTTGACTACTTGTAGTGTCATTGATGATTTGGAGAGCCAGGCTCACCTTGTTTGCTCAGTAATCATACTCTTGTGCAAATTTCCCCGCTATCCGAAAAATGCATTTCAAAAGATAAAAAAGATGAACTATTTTTTCTTATTTCTTCTTTTGAGAGCGAAAGCAGATAGGACCTATAAATGGGGAGAGAAGGCCAAAGAAAAACTAGAGAATGGAAAAGAAGGTTTTCAGAATTTAATAGAATTTTTTCAAACTGGATCAATTCAACCCTCGCCTTCTCCTCTTTCCGCAGAAGCTCAAGCTGCTCTAGGCCCCGCAGCATTTTATGATTGTCAAAATACAGTTCATTACTGGCCACGAGAGGGTGGTCTAACGATGGGATGTCATGTGACAAGATGGCAGCCTGGTGGTCTTTCAAAATCATCGAAAACTCTGAGCTCTCTGATCGAAGAATTGAAAGAAAGCGCGAAAAAAAGCACGAGTTCCAAATTTTCAAACATACCAGCTTCTGCTTGAAGATCCCGATAGAAGACTTGATCCCGTGAAAGTAGAAGTGATTGATATAAAAGAAAATCGGGTTTATTTCAACACGCCGGAGGTGAACAAAAACTGGTCGCGCGGAATCTTGAATTTGGAACTGGATGGTTTGGGAGTGCTAATCACAAATGAAATTGTCTTCCACGATTTTTTCGATAACAGATTTTATCCACTCGTCCTGGAGGGATCGAAAGATGAAAAGAAAGGAGACGCAAGAGAGTTCTCGTTGGTCAAAGATCTTGAAGGAGTCGACAAAGCGGGAAGAAAAGTCAAGTACTTGGAGCTGAATTTGAACCAAGTCCCCGGCCATCATGTTGAAGACGGACTTGATATGCTCAAATACTTCATCAAGCACAGTTCTCTTGGATTCTTCAACGAGAAAAACAAGCACCAAAACGTCACCATCGCGCACGGCGAAAGAGTTACAATGGCCGATAATCTTGGACAAGACAGCTACTCTGGACCAGTTCTCCACGGCGCTAGAAATATCAGCGCTTTCACGACTGTCGATAATCTGAACATCCTCCGATTCGAGGCAATGTACGAATCTGACGCGGCGCACTATCTTCAGTGGAAATATTCCGAATTGCATTTTAGGTAAAATTGCTTATTTCTCCTTGGCCCTTGTTCTAAGATAAATCATTAATTGGCGCAAGACATCAACAAATTGCAAATTGTTGATGATTTGTTTATTCATTTCTCATTTCTACTTTTATCTCATTATCATTGTTCGTAAAACAGAGCTGATTTCCTTGCTGCTGAGAGTAAATAGAGCTCTGTTTTGGTTGAACATCTAACAATCGATCGATCCAAAAACACAAGGGTCCATTTATTGTCCATCATAACAGCTAAACGTGAGGGCTAAGCACAAATCTACCCAATCAGCCAGTTTTTCCGAAGTCAAGCTTTTCTTTTAGCCTTGGAAATCAGTCAAAAATCATCGGAGTCATCAGAAACCCGTGGAAAAACAAGGTCGCCATTATCCTCAGCGTCGTTTTCTCCATCATCTTCGTCCTTCTCGCCGTCATCGGATATCTCTTCTGGAAGAATAAGAAGCAAAAAGAAACAAATTCCAAAGAAATGGACCGATTAATCCCGCAGTCTTTCGTGATCAGCAATACGAAAGCGTTTCAAGAATACATTCAAAAGGTGGAAAAAGAAGATCCAATGCTAGCAAATGGTCTCAAAAAGCTTTATATTCCGAATGAAAGGATCAAAAGAACAGAAAGAATTCTCGGAAAAGGCCAGGTAGGAAAATTTTTTTGTTTTTGAATTGATAATCAATTAAAATTTTAATCATATTGTATAGTAAAAATGGTAAAAATCTAATATTAAAAAGGTCAGTTAACTTAAGGATCCTATTCGATAGAAGATATGTCGATGATTATAAAGAATTTTTCTCAATAAAATTAAGCCTTTTATTTAACCAGGTGATCAATTTCAAAATCAAATTGTGGTTTCTGGACATCAAGAATCTCACCTCTATTTATCTATATTTTTATACTAATTCTTCTAGTTCGGAGTTGTATCAGTAGCAATTGTCGACGGAAAAGAATGCTGCGTGAAGACGTGTCGGGCAGACATTTCGCCACCTGACGATGTCGGAACGGGTTGCAGAAAATTTTTTTTGATTCAATCTTAGATGAATAAGCAATTTTTTAAATAAGCTCGAAACCCAAAAAAAAAGATTATCGAGAAGTGGAGGCCTTCCGCAAGCGCATGCTAGAGCTGAACCAGGATTTGTTCAAGGAGATTTTCAAAGAGGCATTCGAAATGGCGAGATTCGAGCATGAGAATATTATGAAATGCGAGGGTGTCAGTTTAGACGAGAAGATTAACCCAGAGAAATGGCTTTTTCAATCAGCAATTTTGGTATTTTGATTTCGAAAACGAGCCATAAAACAGATAATTCTACCGCTGATGGATAGAGGAGATGCTCTGACATTTATCAGATCTCCTGAAAGCCCTGTTACTTATAAGCTTTGCATGCAATTCGCGATGAATGCAGCGGATGGAATGGACTACTTGTCGACCAAGAATGTGATTCATCGAGACTTAGCTGCGAGAAATTGCCTTTTGGAAAGTAACGGAAGTACGTACCAATTAGAGCCAATCAAATCGTTCGATTCGGCCTGCCAGCCAATCAGATAACGAAAAATTTTTTATTTTTCAGCAAAAATTAATCTCCGAATATCCGACTTTGGCCTTGCAAAACACATGGAAAATGCATACGGCGATTATGACCAGTACAGTATGCAAACGATGACGAAGCTTCCTATCAAGTGGCTGGCGCCTGAGGTTTTGAAAAATAAGCAATTTACGACAATGAGCGATGTTTGGGCGTTTGGAATTCTGATTTGGGAGATTTTTACGAGAGGGTTGGTTCCTTATGGACCCCAGAATAATTGGAAAGGTAGGCTTTCGCCTCAGGAGCTCTTTTCATCTCATTTTTCTAGAGCTTGAGGAATACCTCCAGTGCGGCCGGCGACTCGACAAACCAGATCACTGTGACGATGAACTGTACGATACACTTTTATACTGCTGGCAATTCGAGCGGCAGAACCGACCTTCTTTCAAAGAACTCTCGACGTTTTTCAGGGAGCATTACAAAAGACTCAACAAAAATGTAAGTCACTTTTCTAGACGTCCGAATCAGAAATGAGAATGTTAAAAATATATCTTTTAGTTAGAGAATAAAAGCAATAATATTGTTTTACAGCAGTGATACATGACATCACTTTTTTACCAGTTACCAGTAAATGCTCTGATTTTTGCCCGCCCAAAATTTGGGCGATTTTCCGTCAATTTATCCACTCGATTATAATATTTCTAGAGCATCAGTAAACGGCGGCCAACTCAGCTTCGAATGCCACAGACGCCCGAATCAACCGACTTCGAAATCGCCTACGGCCACGAGCCCAAATCCAACCCTCTATCCGTCAAATCCAATCAAATCTACGAAGTCGCTTCGAGAAGCTCCATCGCGGAAAATTTCGAACAAGAAGTTTACAATGGCCTGCAAGACTACGTTTCCCCGCCAACGATTACTGGGGGCGATTCGGTGGACGACCTGACTTATGTTGAGCCAAAAGGGTTGAACAGCGCTGTGGATATTTGAGGACAATGTAAATATAGAATCCTGACTCCAACCCAAAAGACCCAATTTCTGATGAATGATTTATGTTAAATATACTGAAAAGAAATAAAGATGTTGAAATTTTCCTAAGTAAGGTGATTAACTGAAGAATTAATTTTTTAAAGTTAGGGTTAGGGTTAGGGTAGCTGTTTTTTGATTGGCTGGGGAAAAATAGGGATGGCGTCGGAGGCTGACAAGAAAATTTCGATAATTTTTGCGTGGAAATTTTCAACCAATCAGAAGCCTAGATAACCAGCCAATAAGCATCGAAGTAGCCGCCTACGCAAAATTTGTCGAAATTTATTGTCGGTTCCTGACACCTCCCCAAAAAATGGCCACTTATTGAAAAATAATAAATTATTTTTTAAACTTTTTGTGCTCTCTCGTTTTTTTATCTAAAGTACTGTATATAAAACTCTAACTGTCAATATGGTCTGCCAGTCACAATCTCAACGAGAAAAAATACTGTCTCTTGAAACTCATCTGTTTTCTTTGAATATATTTTGATCACAAAAAATTAGTGGTAAAACACCTTGTTCGACTTCTGATCAGCACTTTTTTCCACGTCAATCAATAATTTTAACTCGTGTTCCACTTTTTCCATTTTTTCGCTTGAAAACAATTAATAGAACTTGGCAGGTCAATTCAATTTTTGAATAGTAAACGGATTTTCTCTGTCGATATGACAACAAGAGGATTACAATTCATTTTATTTTGACAATAATTTAACTTATTTTTGGATTGTTCAATTATTTTGAGATAAACAGCGAAACGTGAGAAAACAGAATTAGTACGAGCTTTTCCAAGGGGTAATTATTGATGCTCAACGAAGCAGATCTAGGATGTCGGGAAACTTGATTTTCCTAACTGAGTTTCAAAAATATTTTTTGAAGACAATTCTGACAAAAATGATAAAATTAAAAAAAAAAAAATAAAAAATATCTTCTCCACCTTATATTTTCTTTGAATATAATGAAATAAGGATGTCACTTTATTAAGGACCCCCCCGTCAACAATCTTCGAAAAATCTTTTTTCGGAATTTCACAAATTTGACCCCGGAAATAGATTCTACAGGTCGAAAAACGATTTTAAGGCTTCATTTTTTGGGGGTCTATCTCGACTCTAACACCCGCAAAATCGCGTTTGAAAATCGAACTTTTCGACGAAAAATGACCAAAAAGTCCCAATTTTGCTAAAATTTCAGATTTTCCTGAAATTGGTCCTCAAAACTTGTTAACAATTGAATTGATTGTATTGCGAGTCAAACAAGAACATTTCTAACCCACTAGAAAAAGCTTATGCGGGAGAATGGATTCTGATTTTTCCTCAATCAAATTAGTCGCTCAAAAAGAGCTGCATAAATACGTCGTTCGTTACAAATATAATTTTTTTCTTGGACGCTAGAAACGTGAAGGGCTCAATTTAATATACAGGAAAAGGGCTCAAAAAGATGTTTGGGCCAATTATCTACGTCTTTGATAATTCAATCAGGTTTTTACCGTATATTTTTACGAGACTTGAGCAATTTTAGGAGATTCATATTATCGTTCAGCTTTTGAGAGAGCTAAAGTATTGAAATTTCCAAGAAAATGGTCGAAATGAAATAAAAAAACTGTAAGTCTAAATCAAAACCAAAGTCACACGTAAAACATCCTGCATCCTGATTCCCAAACCGGTAGATTTTCCATCTTGAAAAAATCCAAAAGGTTGCGCAAGTCAAACCGCCGTTGCAATTTCTAGAGGCCACCGCCGCTCCACCAAGCTGTCGTGTTACTTACCCCTGAGTCTCTCGATAAAATATCTTCCCAAGATTATCCCGGAGAAAATTTCAAGTTCGACAAGAGTCTAGAATCTATGGAAAGAAATAGTTTTCTCGAGTCTTTTTAGAGATCATTTTCATGAACCTTGTTTCGCACGAAATGCAATTTTGTCCCATTACATAAAAATAAGGGTGTCACTATATTAAGGCTCCTGTTCATGATGTCAAGTCGCTTACTATTTCGGTAAGACTTAGAAAGACGGTCGAAAACGGTCTTTTTTGAGGAAAAGATTAAAATAGAAAACCTTGAAAACAAAAAAATCAGCTGGACGTAACTGAAGAAAAAGATAAGCTGGAATACTATCATTTGCTCAAAGATATTTTGAACTAAGAAAATCCCTATATTTCCCGCTGAAATCGACTTGTTGGTAAAAAACTTCAATAATTCTGCTTTTTACAAAATAAGATTTAGGTACTATTATGGGATTATAAATGATAATCCCTAGTTCTTCATTTCATAAATCATCACAACTGCTTTTCAACTGTTATAAAATAGTGATAACTCATCAATCGGCACACAAAAAAATGTATGTTAGAAGCTTCAGTTTCTTGTTTTTCATCTTTTACCGTAAACAGCTATTGATGGTCATTAGAAAATCAATCGTTAACTCACTTCTTCGTCGCTTTTCCGAGTTCCTCCGAGGGCGCGCGAGAGCTCACGGCGGCGCGCGGCGCGCATCGCAACGCGCTGTAAAATAACGCGCTTGAAGTTGAAATTTCTCAAGTCCGGAAGAGTTCGAAAGAGAAATTATCTCGACTCTCCAACTTTTTAATTTTCTTATTTGATTGATAATTTACTTTTTTTGATCGAAAGATAGAGACGTCAACCTGAGCAAAAAAACATACAAAAAGGTATTTTTTTTTATCAATTTTAAAGAAAAAATCAAGTTATTTAATAAATAGTCGATAAAAATAACAAAAAACTCTATTTTTATATTCTTGAAATTAATTTGATTTACTAAATTTAATAAATAGAAAGGAAAATTGTCAGTTAAAGAAACAACATTCACGATTTACCGTCAATTTAGGAATTTTTAAAGATGCTAAAGATTTTGTAGATCCAAAGATACTGAAATTTATGTAATCAGCGAGTAATTTCTTTCCTAAAAAAAGCCAAAATCGAGCTGACAAAACGGAGCTTGATATTACGTACGAGATGCTTATTTGATTTGGCATCTGGGTATTCGCAAGGGTGCCTAACGCGGCGGCAACGCATTACCGGTGCGTCTAATTCCAGTAGCCGAACGCTAGAAATGCTACTTTTTTTAATCAAGCCAACAAATTACACAGCTTTTGGAAATAAGATGTTTCTGTGGAGTGAGGATATCTCCTTCAATCGGAAAAGAATGAAATTTTTCAAAGAAACTTTGCTTCCGAAATTAAGGGGATCTCAAAGATATTCTCCTTTTTTCGGAGTAAAATCCTTAAAATTGATCAAGCTTTGAAAAAATAAAATTTGCGAAAATTATTTTCTTAAATCTGATTGGCTTAACGGCCGAATGCGAGCATTTGATTGGTCTTAAATTTGATCCAATCAAAACTCGGTATTCGACTTGGAGGCCAATCAGGGTTTAAAGAAATTATCGCGATGAGTAGTACATGGCGCATCATGGCATTACTGAAACCTCAGCTGGCGTCTTGGTACGTCAATAATGATTATTTACGCGGTCGGGTCTCGAGTTGTGCTTCGCTTCTCGTAATCTTATTCTTGCGCTTCTACTTCTATTCACGTTATTTTTCAGAACGAAAAGCATGGTAAAGCTAAAACTACTGGCACTTGCCGCAAGCTCAGTTCATGGAAGCGACATAGCTACAAATACTCAGTGTAGAAAGCCGGATCAGTGGTTCAAAAACTTATCAAGGTAAGAAATAATGGAGTTAAAGGACAAACAAAAAAACCCTTGGAACAACACTTCGGGAACCTGTGTTGGAAACCTGAGTCAGGTTTTGTCAAAGCATTTTCAGAAACCTGACTCTGGTTTTCTTCACAGGTCGGATGTAGCTTGAGGAAAACCTGAGTCAGGAATCTGAAAATCTTTTTGGAACCCTGACTCAGGTTTTCGACACAGGTTAGGATGAAGCTTGAGAAAAAGCCTGAATCAGGGTCTTGAAAATCTTTCATGAACCCTGACTCAGGTTTTAACGCAGGCTGCGGAGCAAAAGATTGAAATGAGTAACGATTCAGAAATCATAAAATATTATTTTTTTTTTGCAATTTTTGATTTCTTTGAAAGCATGATCCAAAAGACCTGCATATTTATGATTCGATAAAAGCGATAAGTACGCGTCTCTCAAGGTCGCACAAACAAAAATGCTTCTTTCTAATCTGCTTTTTCGGCAGATGCGCCGCGGCGAGTGGCCGCTCTCACTCACAAAATCAAATCGGAGAGGCTCATCTGCCAAATCCTCTTTTACATTTGTCTCTTTACATAAGATTTCTTTCTTCTAGAAAAAATGATGAAAATCGAGAAGCAGCTTGCGGTTTCGAGTCGAAAAAAGCGCGGCTTAAATTGCGGCTTCGAGCCCAGAAAAAAATTTACTTCTTTCGGCTCGAACCCGCAAGCGGCTTCACATTTTTCATCAATTTTTCTAGAGATTTTTCGCCTCGGATAAGCGATCTTCATGAGAACATCTCTCCCTCTCTCAATTAACCCCTGTTACACGTTTTTCTAGCCGTGTAAATTTCTCGTGCCCAGACGAACTGACCGACTCCTCGAAGTGCCAAGTCACCTGCCCAGATGATTACACGCCGTCTATTCCAGAAGTCACTTGCTCCTGCACCAGATTTAGGTGAGTCCACAAAAATATAAAAAATCGCTGACATCTCCAATATCGGAGCTTACGTTAGTGAGAAAGTTCTTCTCGAGAACGCGCACTCCACATCTGTCAAATTCCTGTCAGAGCGAAATCGCTCCACTAATTTTCGGAAAGCTCTCATATCCGAATTAAAAAAATTGATCGAAATAGTCATTCTGCGAAGCCGCTTGCGGCTTCGTTTAAAATAAGCCGCAGAGCGGCTTTTCATAGAAGATCATTCAAACCCTGACTCAGGTTTCATAAATCATAACTTTCATAAGAGTCATAAATTCACGATTATTTAAATTAATGAAAAGCCTAAAAAGATATGTCAAAATCTCAAAAAATAGTCAGCATTGAAAAAGGGCTCAAACGATTATCCTGAGTATGAGTAAGTAATCCCCGGATTACTTGAATCCGATTGATAAGAGATCACGTGTTAGCGGTACAACCACTAGTTTTAGCAAAAAATTCTGTCTTGCTCGGATTATGATGATCATGAATCTGAGATACTGTTCAATTTTTTTACGAATTGAATGGGTATGACGAGATTTTGGACCGTTTCGAAAAGTGGCGTGAAAGTTTACAAATATATCTCCTTCAAATCGAATTCAGTGGTGTTCCGCGAAACAGATGTCAATGGCAACCAAAGCGGTCCTTGTACAAGCCGAGATGCATTCCGCCCGAGCCAGCGAGCACGAGACGTGAGTAGAAAATGTGAATTTTGACGATGATTGAAACTTGTTGAAAACAATGTTCATAACGTTCTTTTTAACAGCAATTTTTCAGTCTTATAGTAGTTTTTCATGAAAACTCATGAAAAACAGATAACTTTCGCTAGGGTTAGGATTGATTTTTAGGTTTGTAAAAACAATAAATTTCGAATTTTTATTTTCGAAAAGCATAATTTCAAATTTTATTTTGCTTTTATTGAGTTTTATTTTTTTTGAAAAATTCGAAAATTTTTCTTTATCCCAATTCAGATGTCGACTTTCCAGACAATGTATATTTTTTGCAATCTTTTCATTTTCATTCGTTAAAAGTTCGCTCGGCGTACGTGTTAGGTACAAGTACAAATCCATCACAGATGTCTTGCTTTTTGATCAGGTTCAGCTAATTTTTTCCGCTTTCCGGCTTATCAAAAACATCCAGATTCAAGGGCACTTACATGATACCCGAAAATGTTATGATAAAATCACAAATTCTTGAGAACTCTTGAAATCTACCAAACTTAGAAACTCTTAGTAAAAATTATTTTTAGGCATGCAGCGATTCTTCCTATCATCAGACAGTAGTCCAGTACAAGTGCCCTTCAAGACGGATTTTGAAAAGGTGATCATGACTCCTTGGCAAGCTCGACAAAGACGACTCGATGGCGAGAATGTTCCAGCTCGACATGTTCAAAGAAGACCTGATGAAATTTCAAGACCGAGAAGGAGAGATGAAAATGGATTGATGGCAAGATCAAATCAGAAAAATGCACCTCAGTAAGTCGAAAAAAGTAGCATTTTTCTAGGTGGTGGTATCGGGAACCGACAAAAAATTTCGACAAATTTTGCGTGGGCGGCTACTCGGCTGCTGATTGGCCGGTGTACCAAATCCAGGCATCTTATTGGTTGAAAATTTCTACGCAAAATTTGTCGAAATTTTGTCGCTTCCTGACACCTCCAATTTTCTAGTCGAGAATTTTCTGAAAAACCGTCGTATATTTCAAAATTATCGATACTCTTGCTGATTAAAAAATCGACGAATCATCAGTTTTTGTGTTATTTTTATGAGCATATTCTTACCTCGCCCTCTCCGCAAAATATATTATTTCAAGATTTTTATCATCTTCCCAAGGTCGAATTATAAATTCTTCATTGCATATCTTATCATTCGTTCGTTTCATACCTTTTTCCTTCAGGTGGAAAGAAAAGAAGATAAACGGCGTCTACCAAGTTCCCTTCAAATTCGGCTCGATCGCTGAATTTGGCTTTTCTCAATCGACGAAGAACTCGATTCGCGAGCACTTGGACTGGTTCAACTCGGAGACGAAAAAGTGCATCGTTTTTAAAGAAGACGATTCGGACTCGTTCAACGGCGCTAGGTTGAAAATCATTGGTGCCCAGTCCGGTTGCTGGAGTTATATTGGAAAGCTTCATAAAGAACAGTTGATTAGGAAAGGGTGATAAAATCGTTATCAGTTGAATTTTCTGATAATTCAGTTTTCGTTTTTTTTCCGCCAATTCTTTAGGGTTCGGCAAAAAATATCGAAAAATTATGCGTGGGTGGCTACTTGGCTTCTGATTGGCTCGTTTGGGGAATCCAGGCTTCTGATTTGTCGAAAATTTTCAAGCGAAATTTGCCGGGATTTTTGTTGTTTCCTGACATCTCCTAACTTGGGGACCCAAATTTTTTAAGCGATAATCGTGAAAAATAAAAATTTAAAATGTCCACTTTGGACACAAATGACCAATGGGGTTAAAAAGAAAACATGATGCATGCTTTTTCATGAAATTTGGACATATTTCCGACTTTATGTTTCCGGAGTGGAAATCGATCAAAATCTATTTGATAATATATTTTCCGGCTGACGTATCTATTGCGGCTCATATTATCTTCGCGGTCGGATACCGAATTTTCTCTAAAAAAACAACGTGATCTTCTTCAAATCCAAGAAAGTTTTTGTGTATTTTTCGTAAAAAAAAAAATGGGAAATTTGAAAACAAATCGAATTCATTTGCGAATTTCGCCCATGCCACAGTCGCATAATATTCAATCGAATAGAATTTCCACCTCAAAAACCAGCCGATTGTGTAAATTTTTCGTTCTGTTTGTAAATTTTGGGCCACCTTAGACTCGAAAAGCTGCGAAAATTTGGTTGAAGGGGTTGTAGAATTTATAATTTCGGGCGCTAACGGGAGGAGGATTTAACATGTTCTAGGGATAAGCACGAAATTTAGCTTTGAGAAACATAAAATCTAACAGGTTTTCTAGCTTTTTGATGATTATCTTTTTTGTCCAATCAAAAAAAACGCTTCGATAAAAAATTCATCGAAATAACCCCTTGCCTTCGAATTTTGTTTTTCTCGCAGCGTGATAGGCGCTGATATCATGTTTTCACAGCAGAGTATGCCTCACGCATTCTGGACGAGCTGGATCCAATCGCGTAAACTTTGACAACGTTTTTTCCGTAATCGGCGCTAAAGCTGCGCCTTTACGTTCACTTTGCATGAAAATACTCGAGATAAAGGCGGGTTTTCACGTCTGTTAAGAAACAGAAAAAAATCCATAAAATGAAGTTCAATGTAAAATTCGGTTTTCGTCATAAAATCTCGACGTAAGCAATAATTTTCGAGTTTTAGGGATTTTTGAAATTTTCAGGGATTTTTCTTCAAAAAATTTAATCGCCAACGTTGCTCAATAATTGACAGAGATTATGTCCGCGGAATGGCTCTTCGGAATGTGAGCTGCGGCAGTCGAGAAGCCGTTTTTCGTAAAACTGGTACTAGACACGTTCAATTCGCGAGAGGGTTGCTTTCAGAGAGGGGTTTTCATTTATCTAAAGCGTTGGGCGATACCTTTTTTAATCCCCGAAAAATGATAGAGAAAACTTCATAACATCAGGTTTCTTGAAAAGGGGCTAAAATCGGCAAAATAAAAATAATGAATTTGACCAAAATATCGACATTTTTGACCAATCAAATTTGGCCAATCAGATTTCAGAAAAAAAATTGTCGAAAAAATCCGTTTTTTTTTGTCGAAATTTGGACAATATTTTTGTATCAAAAATGTCGAATTTCTCTATTTCCAAGTCTTCTTATCACCTCAATCAGTCTTGGTTCTGGCTGCCATACTCTCGGCCGATCCCTTCACGAATTCTTCCACGCGCTTGGTTTTCTCCACGAGCATCAGCGACCCGATCGAGACAACTTCGTCGACATCCACTGGGAAAACATCCGAAACGGACATGCCTCGGATTTCTCCAAGATTTCCATGAACCAGTTTTCTGATAATTTCATCGGCTACGATATCAACAGCGTAATGCATTACTCGACCGATGCTTTTTCGAATGGTAACGGCCCGACTCTGACGCTCAAAAGCGGCTTGAATCCGATCACGAATGGCCAACGACTTCGTCCGACGACAAAAGACATGATGGGCATCTGCAAGAGTTACGGCTGCGATCCTACTTGCGGCAACGAGCTGGAAATGTGCAACAGCGGCGGAGAACAATACTTTGCCTCTCGCCGATGCGATGGGTTCGCTGATTGCACTGACGGCTCGGATGAAATGGGCTGCGAAGAAAACTGCTGCAAAAATGGGAGTTTGGAGGCGAAGTTTTTGAAGAACAAGGAACCTGGGCAGGGCAAAAATGGTACCGATCGCCGAGCAGTTCCAAGGTCATTTATTTGAATGACAGGATGGGATTTTGGATTCTCGGGAGAACGCTCGGATCGGATAGTGCTTACTCTTTTGGAAACTTTGCGCCGGGACAATGCGCCAACGAAGGTAAAAAAAGACCCGTTTTTCGACCCAAAAATCAACCCATTTTCTTCAGCATCCGGTTGGTTAACCTACAACGATCAAATCAACGAGTGGGATCCCGTCAACTACATACCCAACTGCCTTGACCGTAGCAACGAGTTCGACATGACGACAACTTTCGCTCCTCCTTCTGGAATCCACTGGCAAGTCGATGACATGCTCAATGGAAACTCAACAGGAAACGCGACTAGTTGGGAGGACGACTATCTTGATGAAGATCAGAAGTGCTCGGAATTTGATCTTCCTTGGCTGAGCGCTGGAAATTGGACTTGTTTAGGACAGTGTTTGATAATTTCTTCTTTTAGTTTTTCCTTTTTTGATCTAATTTGGCTCTTATCGAACTCGAAAAAGGCGATAACGCATTCGGCGATGTCGACCAGGGCGACTTTTGCATCCCCACCTGTCCAGCCAACTTCGAGTTAAAATGTTCCTCCGGCGACCTTCTTTCCAAAACCGCTCGATGCAATGCCGTCGACGGTCACGTGTTCTTCACCCACGACCATACTGACATCCCCTACGGCGGCTGCGATTGCGTCCCAAGCGGATGCAACATGTCAGAATTGCCCGTCAGCGAGTTTTACAACTGGATGTGCAGAGATACCAGAGGCGGTTTTGTTCCTGAAGGGACGCTTTGTGAGCCAGAATGTAAGAAATGGCATGAGACAGCGATTCCAGTCGGTGGTGATGGCTTGACTTGTGGGGCTGATGGAAATTGGCACGGAACTACCAAGGTAACTCTTTGAAGAAAAAAGGTCAGAAAATGAAATTTTCAGGTTTTGTGCAAAAGCTGCAATAGGCCAAGAATTCTTCAAGGACCAACTTCTGGCGAAATCGAATGCAGTCATCTGAGCGGCTGGAGACCAATGAATGGCAATCAATTCGGAAATGGTCAGGTTTGTCGGGCAAAATGCCCCGCTGGCCAGAAACTCAGCTGCACAGGTAAAGGACTTGTTCCTGGTGAAACACTAGGAATTCAACAATGCGCGAAAATGGAGGCAAAGGGAAACGGAAAGGTTAGCTCGATGGGATGGACGAACAGGCAGAAGTGCCACTGCGTTTATGAATGCGACGAAAGTATCTACTCGAAGCAGCTTGGAAAAAGAGTCAAATTCAGGGTAAGAAAAAACGGTTTAGAAAACATCTAAAAACATTCTTAATACTCATTTCGGTCAGATTTTTACTAGGTTTTTACATTTTTGACCCAATTAGAAAATCATTAAGGGGGTCCCCAACGATTTTTCCGAAATTGGCCATTTTCGACCGGCGCTCACGCCGACACCGACTTATATTTTCCAAAAAATTTTTCACGTATAAGTAGATCAAACCCAGATCTAGTGAAGCGTATCTCAGATTTTGTTAAATCCAACTACATCTCGCGCAACGGCGCCGAGAAAGAGAGCATCTCGCAGAAAATCGCGTTTTTGGCCATTTTTTCACCTGAGATTACTTCAAAAATTTAGGTTACAAAAATTTTTTTTCTTGCTGTTTCTGAAAGCTCTAACACTAATCTAATGAAGCGTCTCTCAGTTTTCTCAATTTCCAAAAAATGATTATGTAACAGAGACGATCAAAAAAATGTACGCTTTCGGAATTTTCAACGATGTGAATTAGCCTCAGGGCATAACCCAAACCCATTTTGTCGGGTATTTACAGAAAGCTGAGCTCATAGGCTTTCTAAAAATGTGCCATGTGCGACCCCTAGGCAACTATAAAAAAGGGTTGATTCTTAAATTTTTATGAAGATGCAGCAAAATTGCACACTTTAAGGTCGATTTAAGACACTTTTTTCTACAAGAATTGAAAAAAGCTAGGGACCTTTTTTGCAGCTTTTTCCATGAGGAATTTAGATCTGAAGAGAAAAAAATCTAATTCGCAAAATCGAAAAATCGTGGGGGACCCCCTTAAATACAGTCTAAAAAGCAGACTGACTGTTAAAAAAAATGTGACAAGGTTGGGCAAGTGCAAAAAACGGGGAGGTGTCTGGAACCGACAAAAAAATCCCGACAAAAATTTTAAATTTTTTCATGTACATTTCAATCGCCCACCATTACCTGCTGCGCTAACGAACATTTCTCAAAACTGCCTAGAAATGTCCATTGTGGCCTAAGAAGGCCATTTCTGCATAGTTTTAAGAAAAAAATCTTCTCAAAAAATTTTAAGAGTATTTTTTCTGAAGTGTCTATTTTTTGAAAATTTTTGTCGGAATTTTTTTGTCGATTCCAGACGCCACCCCCAAAAAACGGCGGTACTCTTCTTTGATGTCAAATAAAAAACATGTTGTTTTCAAGATGTCTGGTGGTTTTTGAGAGTTCCGGTCAAAGCGGTTTAAAATTTTGCAATGACATGTGCGATATTAACGATTTTCACTGTAATACTGACGTAATTCGCTAAAGTTCGCAAACTGAAATTTTTATTCTAGCGAGTTGGCGCAAAGAAAAACCCAGTTAAAACCACCCTCGCCGTTGTCCGACGATGTCCGAGAAACAAACAAAAGACCAATGCAAAACCACAGTGCAAAAATGGTCTTTGGCGAGGTACACCCTTAATTTCCCAAATTCGAATTCAGCTAAAAATAATTTAGACGCGAATACTCAACAATTGAACCCACCACTTTGCAAATAATTTTGAACAAATCACGAAAAAAAAAGAACAAAATCTTCCCGATTGGAATTTTTTGGAAAGCCGCTTGTACAAAAATGAACATGCAAAAATTGCGAAGAGAGATTCATAACTTATCAATTGACAGTTCAAAGCAAATATCAATTGAGAATCGTAAATATTTCACTGTATCTTTTTCCCTGTAAATACAATATTTATTTAACAAAAGTTTTGTTCATTTTATTCACGCAGGAGTTCTCACAGAAAAGTTTCTCATGAAACATTTTGCTGGTCGGTACCATGGGTCCCCTTAAAAAGAGCCAATCAGCGGCGAGCATGTTTAAATTCTTACCTGCAAAAACTTTGACATTTTCAAAAGCTCGGGGATCCTTGTTTTCTTCAATATGCACAAGAATGTCATTTATTCGTATCGAATAAAAGATCCCATTTGAGTCCTCAACTTTCTCCCTGATTAGACATCAGTTCCATTTTTTCTCTCGAGAATTATGGTTAACCAGGTCCTTGGGCAAGTTCTATGGAGCTCCATTCCTTCATCGGGATAGCGCATTTCTGAGGATTTCGATATTGCTTGTCCAGATTTCCATTGACAGCGTTCGAAAATTGAAGAGCCATCCGATAGCTATTGAACCAAACAGCTGGTTTCTGGGTTCGAGCTGTCCCCTAAGTCTTTGAAAAGTTCGATTTCGAACCCGAAACTGGAGCTCTGTCGCCATAATTCGTTCGATCTTGACCAAGGGTAAATCTCAGCACGCTTCCAAGGCCTATTCCAGCCGCTAATGGTCTTTTACTGCCTTCATTAATATGCCCAAAAAGGAGCCAATAACAAGCGAATGAGGACAGCTCCTGATTTCAAATTTGATCATCCAAGTCCGATGCAATTTTTCGACGGTCTGAAGCAATCTGTCTCTCCTAATCGGAAATTCATTCGAGTCAACAGGAGCAGTTCGATTTTCCATCAGCGGAATCGAGATAATCGAGTCCAATCTTCTCTATACAAAATATAATCTCTCTTATTGCGCTTCAGTCTTACTGTAAGAGCTTGCCAACGAGAAAGTTTCCCGCCAAATTTCTTGCCAGAACGAAGGGTGTCTTGAATCTGCTGAGTTTGTTTCGAAAAGTTGCGTTCTAAATTGTCGATCCGCGCCTCTCTAGAATCAAGAATTTAAACAATCAAGTGACGGCCAAAGGAGCCTAAGAGCTCCTTTTGTCAAGGACTTACATCTTGGCATTCTGTTGATTGATTTTCTGCATGCTGGCGCTTTGAAAATTGCCCATGACTTTCATTCCTTTCAGCGCTGCTTGAATTTCGTTGATTTCTTTCTTCGAAACTCCGGATTGAGGGGGAGGCTCCTGCTTGCCTGCTGCTAACAAGCCTTTGACAGCGCCGGGAGCGAGTTTTTCCATTCGCATTCGAAGGGCGAAGCTTTCGACTTTTGCTCCCATTGCCGTAGCAGATTTGTTCATTTCTTCGATGGACTCATGAATTTGGTTGACAGATTCGACTAGGTCCTTTACTGTTCTTGCGATGGATTTTTGGATTGCCTATTTTTCTTGTTTATCGAAAAAACCTTTTGGGAACCCGCGATGTTTACTTCACAAATTTACAATGTTTCAAAATCAAAAAAAAAAATCCCGGATTTTTTTTCAAATTTTGAAAACTCCGGCGTTGCGCTACTCAGAAAACAGTTTTGGTTTTTTTTTCTTAGAGAGATGCATAAATCAAGCGATTATTTCAGTATTGCTTCGGAATCTGAAATAACCGAAAGTCTTCCTGGTGATTTCTTCGAAGGCAAACTAGTCAAGAGTAAGCACAAATGTATAAAATCGAAAATATTACTCTTAGTTTAGGTCTCATGAATGAAGACGAAGATATTCAGTCAATTAGCGAGCCAATTTTTAAGAATATTGATGGTTTTATCGCGGAATTATCCTCTTTAAAATCACATATTATGAGCCTTGAGCAGCAGCTCATGTCAAAGAATCAGGAAATAAAAAGCCTGAAAGCTTGTAAGTCGAAGTTTATTTACAATATTAAAGAAATAATCCTAGCTCTTGCTCAAAGTGAAGTTCGAAATATGAAACTCAATGAAAAAATCGGTTCACTCAAGCCGTCACTAGCCGATGAAGATATTCTTGAAGAAAATATCTCTCCGTTAGAGCTTGGAGAATCAAGAATGAATACGAGTTCCTTGAGCGAGCCGCCACAACGTTCAACAAGACTTCGAGAGTCTAAAGAGTTTTTGAAAAATAGAAGCTGTCGCCGAAACGGGAAAAATTTAATTTTTTCAACCTCAGTAATGTCAGAAAATGATATTATTCGTCCGGTAAGTTAAATTGATATTGTCTACTAGTAGTTAATTATAGGGTGATGCCAATAAAAACGAGTATTTTTAGGGAACTTATCGCTTTCTCCAAGAATACGATGATGATGTTCTGCTTGGACAATTATAAATCGGCTTATTCGGCGGCTCACAAAATCCAGTCCTTGTCAAGCATCTTCCCACGTGATCATCATCTCTCACTTTCGTACAATACGGGCAAGGTTTCTCATCCTTGATTTCCTCCGCATCAACTTTATTTCTTCTGAAAAAATTCATCCTTTCTTCATCTTTTTTTCCAAAGCAATAAAGTTCTCTCTACAAAACTCTGACAAACTCCGATGCCTTTGGCTCAAGAATCAATTAGATTGTCAAATGATCATTTGAAAGATGAATATTTGATGGCACGAGGATCCGCAGTATCCTGTTCAAATCATTTATTTCGCATGTTTTTTCGAGACTTGTCAAAGACAAGAAAGATCCGCGTTTCTTGGAAGATTCGAGGGAAGCAAAGATTTTTTAATGGATAAAATTTATTCAAGAATCAGAATGATTTTCCTTCACGCAGGTCCAACTCCATCACCAACTCCACCCCCAACGCAGCAGTATTCGATGTTTCGACTTCTTTCGTAATGCAGATTCTAGAATATTTTTTGGCGCTCAAGATATTACTAAAGTAAATACCAAAAGCGCCAGAACCACAGTAACAATCGGTATTCCAATAATCGCGCCATATTGCGTGATAAAATATCGAAAATCCACCGCGCAGAGACTTTCACATTCGCTTCTTGAATAAAACCATCCGATACCAAGACAAATAAGAGAGCATAAAACGATGAGGACATAAATGATCCCCGGCGTTTTCGGTCGAATTCGGCAGTAGATAAAATCAAGGACGAAAAGCTTCAGAAAAATTTCAAAGCAAGTCAAGAAAAATGCGATTTTTATTGAAAGCTCATCTTTTCAGGACTCGAGAAAAATCAGTTATTTTGGAAATTTACGAATAAAAAAATTATTTTTTTGAGTCAAATTTATCAAATCCGGTTCCTAAAAGAACGAATTCATTAAAAGCCAACGTATAAATCAACAAAAAGTCTAAAAAAGTAGACAAAACAAGCCAAAGTTTCAACATTTCTCTCGATTATCAATTTCACCCTAGTAACCTGTTATCGGCTCACCCAAGCTCAATAAGGTGATAATCGTTTTCAAGTTCAAAGCCATTCCAGACATTTTCGATACAGTTTCTTACCCATTTTCTTCTCTTTACTGTAAGACAGGTCTTTATCAAAAGACAATTACAGAAGCTGGCAAATTCCATTGTTCTGAATAACTTTGGCGGAAATGACCGATCAAAAAAGCGCAAATAAAAGTTTTTTTATACTTCCCCATCTGAGTTCATTCCTCAATAAAAAAAAGACTAAAAAACGCAACTGTGGGAGAAAAAAAAGAGAGATTTTATGAAGAAAATTGCCATTTGGCAGATTTTCCTTTTTGAGTTTGTGTTGGCCAGTACTCTTATTGAAAGGAACAAGGTTGAAAAAAGAGAAAAAAATATTCTAGAGCGATTTTTCATCCTTCATATTTTCTAATTTTCAAAAAAGCCAATGCTCAGCCCTTCCTCAAAACTCTTCCTGCACCCTCAATTGTACCTCCCGAATCTATGAAGACTACCTCGGCGATTGTTCTCCAACCGTCTCGGTAGTCGAAATCTGCAACAGCTCAAGATGCTCTCTTCTTGAAAACAAAAACGTCACCGGGTCGACAATAGTTCAAAGCACCTGCTCGACCTTTTTGGACAACAACAACGATTGCCAGCTTAATTGTTCCTCAAGAACGTATCCATATTCTGATTCATGTTCTGGCGACGTTTTTGTTACAGAAATATGCGATTTAAACAGTTGTGAAGTTTTGTACAGCAGAGCAGTGACTGTTGACATTGTCGAATGTTCAGTCATGCCGCAAGAGAATCTGCTCTGCGATGGAAGTATCTACAAAGCGGCTTATAACTGGGACTTGTTCTTTCCATGCTTTTATTACAAAAATAGCGATGAAATTTTCTGCCAAAAGAAATCTTACTCGAACTCAATCAACATCACCGTTCCTGTTACTCAACCCGCTTTGACAACAACCACAACAACAAGTGCTTCAAACATTCCCACTTGGCTCCCCAATCTTCTAGAAAACATTGGCATTCTTGCGGTCGGACTGTTTATTGGCTTCTTTGATGACCTGTTTCCAGCAAAAGAGATGATAACAACGACTGTGGCTACAACAACTCTAGCTCCAGAAAATGGGCTCTCGGATGTGGTCATCGCCGCGGGCGGATTTTTGACGGGTATTTTATTTCTGAGCTTGATTGAATTTCTCGCTGGAAGTCAAAATAACGAAATTTTGGTAACTTGCCGTACTGTGGTCCCTACCCTTAATTTCTTTTCAGACAACATTGGCTCCTACTTTATCCACCATCCTCACAACCAATTTCCAAGAGGAGGACGTCCAAATTTTAGACGAGTTTTTCGTCTACGATTCTTGCGCAACTTCACCTCAATTATTTGAGCTCAACACTGGGGAATCTTTTATTTCACCTGGCTCTCCTTTGTCTTATAACTTCGTCAATTGCGATGGGGAGCTAACAAATCTAAAGAGTGTCGCATCGAACCAGGGCATTCAGTTTAATCTGGTTTTGTCTGAATACGATCCGGTCGACTCTCGAATTGATTTTTCGAATTCCAACGGGGATGTTTTTTCGTTCGATATTGACATTTCCGATGAAAACTGCGCGAATCCACGACATTCTGCATTCCGAAAATCGCTGGAAATGGGCTTTCTAGAGCGGCAGCAAATTTCAAATTTCAAAATGAAATTTGCTCTTTTGACGGAAGATGAAATCAGCGAAGAAGTTCTCATCAACGAAGCATCTTCCAGCTGCTACGAAGCTCTAGAATCGATGGAAACAGGAATGATCGACTGTAAAATCATCCGATTCTCCTCACCAGAGCCGAATACAAGGTCGAATTCTGCGTCAAATTGCAAGTCTTCCTCGGAAGTGACACTAGTTGCCCGATTTTTGGACAATTTGGAAGTTGAAATCAAGGAAGAGATTATTCAAAATATTTCAATGGAGATTGAAAATCGACTGAATTCAAAAGACGACGATGGCAAAATAGGCCAAAACGAGGTGTTGGGACTTCTGACTCCACAAGGTCAGTGACAGAAAATGCGTCATGGAAAGCGCTCAAGCTCTCTGTTTTAGATAATCAAGGTCTATTTATCGCGCAAATGGTGGTCCTTTCTTTTTGCCTTTGTATCGGGCTGGCGGCGAGCGCGTTCCAGGTGCAAATGTATCGAGCTGGTGCGAGTGGAAATGCACGTCACAAGGGCCCGGTCAAATAATTGAAAATCGATACTGTAAGATAGATTGATTACAGTGGGATAAGTTTCAAATTTATTTCAAGTATTTCCGCAGTATAATTTCAGAGAACAAGATTTTTGGAGTTGTTTTTTCAAGTCTTTTAAAAAGCTTCATTTTGATTGAAAAAATTTGATGATTGAAATTGACCAATAAGATGGCTCGATGAAGCGATTTTACTGTAGATTTGAAAGCTTTTTCCCTAAAAGATAAATTTGTGGGCGTTCGGCGTCCGACAGCAATTATACGATGACCAGGCTTTATTTCGGCTCATCCCTGAAATGGGGAAATGGATTTTAGGGGATCAAATTAAGAATGCGTGGATGAGCCGAATCCTTGTAAACAGGCGAGTCTGGGGATTTTGATCGTTTTAAAATGGCGCTCGTAAGCGAGCAGTCTCAGACATGCGACGCAGGATATCTTCGAGCACATGCCGATTTCGTGCAGCTGGTCGACTAGAAACTCGTTGATCGTCTCGGTTTTCGTCACCAGCGCCGCTAGAAACAATCGGTTGAAAACAAAATTAAAGTGGAAATGAAACCTTCAAGTTTTGGAAGCAAAACTTTCATGATTTCCGGGTCGTCGATCATGTAAAGCTCCTCATTGGACGGATTCATGTCGACATTTGACTCGGGAGATGGCGCTGCTGTCGGAAAGCCTTCTCTTGTTTCTTGACAAAGGATCTGGTTTTCTTGCTTCCCATAAAGAAGAAGCAATATCAGAATTTGCTGAATATGGATTTTGAGGTCTATAAAGCAAGGATCCTAAGGGAAGCCTACAGTCTCTTTTCTACAGTCAAAAAATAGTCGATCAGCTATTTTGTTGGCATTTTTTCTCTAATGGAGTCGGCCTACCTTCATTTCGGGTTCTTTGAAACTAGGATCGCTGGATCAAAAAAAGGCAGACTCAAATTAAAATCGAAAATGGAAAAAAGCAGAGTGCGCCTGAGAGCACTAATGTATACCTTCTTTATAAGCGCGAGAGTAAGCGCGTCAACTTTCGCGCCCAAGTCGGGCTCAATCAACGACCCGAGATCGGATCAGCTGCTTTACTGTAGCATTCGCTCTTTGCCATAACAGATTCTCTTTTGATAATTGCCATTCTTTTCATTTTTGCTTTCAGAAAGAAAATCGACATAGAAATGTCATTTAATCACATTTTTAATTGATAAAATGAATTTATTTTTAATCATCTTAATTTATTCAAATATTCATAATTAAAGTATGACCATGTTTTTTGAGTCACTTTACAATAACGTCATTCTTATAGGTCATTTTAATCTTTGGGATTCATTTTTAAAAAGGTCAGGAACAGAATTAAATTGAACAAAAAGGATTGGTCCTCGATAAAAATATTTTTTCAGCAATAATATTCCACATATAAATCCCGTAGTTTTGTTTCATTTCATTTTCATTCAAATTCTAGGGCGACTCCAAGCGACTCCAAGCGAACTGATCGCCAATCAGTTCTTTACCAATTAGGCCATAAAGGTCGATTATTATCAAATCTGAACCTTTAATTCAAAAAGATCGCACTCCGAAAAGAACCCTTCTTTGCTCATTTTGACCGTTTCAAAGACTCTTGGATCGCTCTTGTACGCGATTATTTTTCAATTCATTTGGCCGATTGCTGGAATCGTGCCGATGATATTCATTTGGTACGAGTATGAAACTGATGACAAACTCATATACGAACCATTACCACACATTTCTCACTTTTTGTTGTACTTTTTGGTCATCAAGCTGGTCTTTTTTATTGGAAAGATGTATTTGTACTATCTCAAGAAAGAGTTTACGAAACTTTCATTTTTGACAATTTTGAAAAAAAAAAGATTTCAAACTCACAAAAGTCGAAAGAATCCCAATCAGAGTTCGAAATTTGTTGGCAGTACTGCCACGACTGCCACTGGCAGCTGCCAATTTCGGCAGTCACTTGGCAGTTGCAGTTACATTTTTCAAGGGCTGGCAGTAACTGGCAGCTGCCAACCTACTGCCACTTCGAAAGATATTAATTTCTTTCTAAAGTTTTCTTTCTAGAACCACAAAAAACAACGCTTATGATCCAAATTCGCTCCTGAGACCTATATTATTCAATCTTTTTAATCAGAAGAGACATTTATATCTAAGATATCGTCTCTTTTATCTGTTTTACTTGTCGAAAAGACTGTTTTGAACTTAGTTTGACTTTAAAATTTTTTAAAAATAGTATCGAAGTTGGCAGTTTTTGGCAGTCGACTGGCAGCTGCCAGTGGCAGCTGCCGATTTTGGCAGTCACTTGGCAGTGGCAGTTGCAGTTTAGAAAAGGCTGGCAGTCACTTGGCAGTGGCAGTCGCCATTTCAAAAAAGCTGGCAGTCGCTTGGCAGTGGCAGTCGCCATTTTCTTTCAGATTTCGAACTCTGATCCCAATTCCTGAAAGACCATCCCCTCATCCTCGAGCTTTTCCTGGATAACGACATCGTCGAATTCCTCCTCTGCAACGGCTGGGAGCTCCTGGTCATCTACTTCATGATCATTCGCTACATGACTCCAGAAAACGACGTTTCATTTTCAGCAATTTGGTTCCCTGTTTTTGAATTTTTGATGGCTTTCATTCCCGGAATTTTCGACATCGCCCGGGCGGTCAAAAAATATTACAAAAAGCGAAACTCGTCGAAATCTTCCGAAACCTCGAGCTTGAAAAAAATGAACAAATCTGAGCGATGCACAAAATTGATGATGACGATTTGTTCCGAAGCGATTCAGATTGTTGTTTTGATGCTGACGTTTTTCATTTTTATGCTGAGCCTGATTGTTTCCTCCTGCATTCCAGCGGATAATTATATCGACGCCCGGTAATTCTAGCAATTTCATGATCTTATTACCTCTTCAGCTTGCGAGTTATGTCCGAAAACGGAACGATGCTGAACAAACAAAGCCCCCTGGCGCAAGAAAAACAAGACCACGACCTGAACTCTGGTCCAATTTGTCACCTCTTCCCGAAGCAATATTTCGATACTCACATGCGTCTTGGGGACGAATGCCTTCCGAAAACAAGCGAGTGGATGACCATGGAAGATGGTTGCGAACTCGCGCAGTTGAGGACAAAACCGATCGTTGTCAGTCACACTTGTTCAAATCCCGTCGAATATTTTGTCTTTGTCGCGATTCTTATCGCAATGGTAAGATAAAGCCTTCTTGCCAAATCGATAAAAATTCTAGTTCCTTGAATTATTCGTCCTGCTTTTATACGTCTGGAAGCGATACGGTCAAATTCTCAAGAAAGAAATCCACCTCCGAAAATCATCCTACTACGGCAGGAAATCGTCAGTTTTTGCTTCTCGATTCTACGACCTCTCAAATTCGCAAACAAAAGATCAAGGCATTCTTGGCCACGAAACGACCGCTCCTGGAAAATTTTCATTGAGAAATAAATGAATACCCGATTTTTTCGATTTTTTTTTCGTTTGTTTTCAGATAATAACCTCTCTAGCCCTGCGAAGGGAGATAAGGAGAGGTGGAAAAATTTTATAAAAACTGTGTTGGAAGATTAGTGGAAGTCAATAACTTGATGACACCCTTAAAATGAATTTTCGAAGGAGAAAGATGGAAGATTATGATGTCTTGAAAATCAAGTCTAGAAGAGAGAGGCGGTAAGAATTTTATTTCAACCAAACTGGCAAAGAAAAAAATATTATAATTTTGAATAATGAAAGAAAGTTGAACTTAGGAAAAGACGTGAGAGGGTATAATTTATGCAAAGGCTTCTCTGTTTCCTTTTTGATATTCGAAGGGAGTCATGATTTCGTAGCTTCCGCGGTCTTTTTGTTGATATCTTAAATTTTTTTAGAAAGGATGAGATAAATGAGTATTCTGGCCATTTTGGCCTCTAGAAATGTCAATTACCTGTGAATAAGAAGAGCAAAAGTCGAGCAAATAAGCAAGAAACCAACAATTATCGAAGCCAAAGTGATCCACTTCATCATATCCCACTTTTCCCGATTTCGTTCTTCAATAATTTCTTGCTTCAGTTTTTCTATTGGTTCAATATTTTGCTCTTCAATCGTCTGAAACCCACATTTCTTATTTTGAAAGAGAAGGAAAAGATACCTCTTCGATGAGTTCTGTTATTTCTTCCTGGAGATTTTTCACCTCTTCATTTGCTTGCTTCAATTCAGGATCGAAAATTGAAATTTTCGATGTTACAGTGTAGTCGGACGAATCGTAGAATTCGATGATTTCGGAAGATGCTGATGGTTGATCATCAAATTCAGTGCTTAGAAAAATGCTCAAATTAGCCCCTTAGGGGTAAGCCCAAGGCCCTTAGGGTAAGGGTGTCAGACAAACTGCCCATTTAACGATGAATCTTACCTGGATGTTAAAGTTGTATCCTCCACCATCGTCGAAAAAACGATTTTCTCATCAATTGCTTCCTCTCCAGACGCCTCCAGATTCTCCAAAAAATCTTCGTCATCGGATAAAAATGATGAATTGGACGATGTTGCGAGGACGATCGTAAAGACGGAAAAATTAAACAGGAAGTCTGAAATAAAAGTCAAATTTTATTGTTGCTGAATTGCTTTATTAGCAATATTCATGTCGATATTTTGAAAAAGATGCCCCTCTGAATGAACAGCGGGGATTAAAAATAGAGATCCAGCTTCATTAAAAAAGCTAAAGACTTCAAAGGTTTACTTGACCAAATTTCAATAATAAAAATAAATATTGATGGTGATTTTCATGTCATTATGGTTTTTATATTTGGAGAAAGAGGCCCTAACAAGGGGGCAAAAATTCGATTACACAGAATTGTTCGGTAAAACAATTTGAAATAATGATATGCACAAGAATTATTTTTTTAATTCCTATTGGAATAAAAGAATACAATATTATTGTGCCTAGACTTCGATTCTAGTGAAGTTTGGCAGAAAATTTCAAAAATTCCTTCAATAGCCAATCAAAAGATAGTGTCAGCCTTCCCTGCCAATCAGAAGCCGCTTTCTGAAATTCGTTCTTTCTTGTATTCTTATAATAATCCTTATATCTTTTCTTATATTTTCAGTAAAATGACCCTCGTTGAGCTTTTTGAGGGTCTACAAAAATACGCAAATGTTTGCGGATCTTTTAATCCGGTTAGACTTTACAGCTGGTTACAAAGTTCTTATACAAAATAAACTCTTTGTAAAAGACTTTTCTATCACATTTATGCTCTCCTATCAATTTTTCTAGAGAAAAAGAATCTTTACTTACTTGGAATTCTCATCTTTCGTTTTGGAAAATCTCTTGAGTCTGAACTTTTTGCCGAATTATTCCTCTTCTCTTCTTTTATTTGGGACAATAAGGTCCTCAGAGAGATACTTTATTTTACTATTTTATTGATGTGCGGGTGCTCACAATGAAGCGATTCTTCTTTTTTTTTTTGATTATCTGGATAAGCTTATGTTCGGCTGAGACGTCATAAAATGTGATAAAAAGAGTGTTGAATTTTCGACCAATAAGATTTCCGCGTTCCGCTGATAAGCCAATCAGATTTCAAAATAAAATGTCCCAAAAATTTGATTCTTTTTGGCCAAAAATTTAGGATTGGTGTTAAGATTCTTGAAAATTTGACCAAATTTTGGTCAAAAATATTGATTTTTATAGATTCTAGCCTAATCCCCAATTTTTTTTTTCAATTTTTTCACAGCCTTTCCTATTTTTCGAAGTTTTTCTTTGAATTTATCGCGATTTTTCTTCACTTAGTCGATAGTTACAAGCTCAATTACAGCGTCAGTTATCTCGTGGTTCGAAAAAAGTGATTAGGTCGTTTGTGTTTGGGCACAGTGGTATCCCTTTATTTAGGCACGCAGCGGACTTTGTGACGCCAGACTGTGCGCTCCATGAGGCTTCGCACTTCAGAATTATTCAAAAGGGCGAGTTTGGGGAGCTTTAATTTTGTAACCTCAATTATGCACGACTACTGTAGCTGCATTTCCACATTCCAAGTTCTTTGCTCAGATTGAACTCGCATCAATCTTTCATTTGAGCAGGTTTTTCTAAAAGCTTCCGAAATGACTTTTCTTGGTCAAAAATATTTTTTTGGAAATTTATTATTTTTCAGCAAAAAAAGATCATCAAGTGTCAGTAGCCAAAGCCTTTAGGATAAAAACACCAAGGAATATCACGAGAAAATTTAAGCAAAAAGACAGGTTCTTGCCAGCAGCAGTTGGAGCTTTCGCATTCTTCTTTCCTAGAAATCTCAGTTAGAAAGAAAAAGTCTCCGAAAACTTACGAGATTCCGAAATAACCACAATCAACTTTTTCCCTCGTCTCTATTTCACATTGATCTTCTTCCGGCTTTGGTCCTCTGATGCAATCCGGTTCATTGTCGAAATTCGGGCACCAGCGGCAACCACGATTCTTGCACTCGTTTTGCTTGTCGTCTCCGAAAAAGTCTCCGAGGCAATTTTCTTTATGATCGCAACTGCAGGACTCGCAGTCCTGCTTTATCGTTGACAATTGAAGGGAAAAGGTGGTTGTTGGTTCTGAACGAGTCGTTTTTGTCTCCACGGGAATTGAGGACGATGGATTGATAGAAAATGTAATGGGTGATGCTGGAGCATCTCTTGTCGTCGGAAAAGGTGAGTCAGCATTTGTTGACTGTAAAAAAGATGATAATGGAGATGATGAGGATGATGATGATGGAGAAATGGTTGTTTCAGCGACTGATGTTTCTAAAGCAATTTTTCTTGTTGAAGATTGATCTGTGTTCGTCGTTGTTTGAGGTAAAGTTGATTTTACTGTTGAAAACTGAATACCAGAAGTTGTGAAAACGGAAGTTGAGTCGCTTGAGGAGTTTTTTATTCTCTTCTTGAGAAAAAGAGGCGAGCAAATTATTAAAACGAAGAAGGAAAAAGGCAAAAAAATCTGTGTTAAAATTTTGATCATCATTTTTTTTCGATGTGAATTTTTTTCGGAGCGCGTTGTTGATTTTATAGTTTCTGAAGAGACAATATCGAAGGCGATATCGATGCATGATGTCAGATCTCTGTGAAGACGAGACGGGAGCGAGTTTTCTTAATTATGAAATACAAGGACTGATAAGAAAGAAATTCCGACTGCCGAGGCACATGCGCGCGTGGCGTGGTCAAAAGCATGTTCGGAGGTAGCCGCCTGATTCATGATTTTCTCGTCATTTTCGGTAACTGGCTTTTTCGCAAGAAAATTTATGAGATAACGACAGTTTTTTCTTGCTAGAATATATCCTCAAGTCATCATAAATGTCTCATTACGCTCATTTAACCATATTATTTTATAATTATTTTATTATTATCTCGTTTTACCAGACAAGCAATTTTGTTAATTTTTAGAACCCTGGAAACGGGGCAATTGAATCTGAAATGAAGATATCCAAAACTTATTCCCAAAAAATGAGTTTCTTGAATATTTTGGCCGTAGGACATTTTGTTCGGTCAATCAAAAAAGGGAGCGTTAAATATTTTTTTTCGAAAAGAATCGCTCGCAAACGCATATCTGTGAGCGGTGATTGCATAAAGCGATTGGTTTGATTTCACAAAATTTGAGATCAGCTGTTTGGCCATATTTAGGTTGAACGACGCTCTTTGCTGACCAAACAAAGACCCGGATCAATTTTATTTTCTCCGGAGCTTCGACAAAAAATGATGAAGAAAGAGAAAAGCACTAATGCTGGAAGAAAAACTTCTCCTTTCAGAAGTCCTTTTAGATACTCTGAACGAAAGAAAGCAAGATCAAAAGAAGTTTTGGCTCGAAATTTAGTGACCTCGGTCAACGATCTTCAGTTGAACCACGCCAAAGAAGTCACCAATGCTGCTTTCAGAGTTCTTGTTGAACAGGGCTCTCGCGCAGCCGAGACATATCTGGCGCACTTGGAATACATTCTCGGCGGCATGTGCCAGATTGACATGAAGTATTTCAACCGCTTGGTCGCTCCTAAACCAGCCGAATGTGAAAACCCAAAAACTAAAAGTGCAAGAAAGCAGCTACTAGAATTCATAAAAGAATGTCTACTGAAGCCCAAGAAGAAAGAAGAGGAGCTAGAAGCTACCAACCTGCAGTATCAGAAGCTCGAGAGAAGTATCATTTCTTTGCAGCGGGAACTTGAAGAGTTCAAGGACAAACTTATTCGTCAAAAAGAAAGAAACAAGGCTACTAGAAATTCTTCTCTTCTTTTAGAAAAATGGTCCGAGGAAAATTCTGAGAGTCGTTCTTTTCCGCTAGAAAGCGAAAGTTCCGAACGAGTCGTCAAAGAAGACGACAAAAAATCCAATTCGACTTGGTTTCCTGGCGACAAACGAGCGAGGTGGGAAAGGCCTTGTTTCGAGAAGTACGAAGTCGTCGTCGTTGGCGATTCGCAACTCAAAGAGTTTGGAAGGAGAAAGATCAACCGAGCTGGCTACAATATTACCTCGTACAGCGGCTGCGACATTCTAGAGCTGCTCTGCATCCTACGTACTGGCGCGCTCAAGGACCCGCAAACAAACAAAATCAACCCTTTCTCGACGAAATCGAACAGAGATAAGTTTCAAAACGGCGACAAGAAGAAGATGATGCCTCTGTCGACCATCTGTCCGTGCTGTGAGAGCAACTGCATGAAGAAATTCACCGGCCGACTCGTAATCGGGATCGGCCTCAATAATGCTCTCAAAGCGTCACAAGCTGCTTTCGAAAATCAAGATGTCGGCAAACTAATGCATTCTCTGCACAGGGACATCAACTACTGCATGCCGAAACTGAAGAGTCTCCACTTCGTCAAGCCGATCAAAGTGCCGCGATGGTCGTTCCACGGCGAAGAGGAACAAGTCTCGCTGGAAGTGTACGAAGAGCTGTTGGAAGTTCTGGAAGAGTACCCTTGTTCGCCCGCCGCTCCAATCCTGACAAAGCGAGACTTCAACAAGGATGCAGTTCATCTTGCCCCGCGAGCATCCGAAAAATATTGGAATGCTCACTTCAGCGCAATCGAATGCTCATGAAAATTCGAATTCTTCTACTGTTCCCTTTTTAGTCAATAAAATTCAATTGTCAAATAAATCGCTGCGACCAATATCTCAATACTTTGCCGATAGTTTTTGATCAGGAGGAAAAAGGGATGAAAAATATTTTGATTAGTCAGCGTGAAATCGAGAACTTGAGTTCAGCATATTTTATGAGCGATGATAAACGCTTTTTCTGATGGCTTAAAATTTACGAGACAGTATTCTCACCTTTTCCCACCCCTTCTGAGCTTCATACAAAGTTTAACGATTGAACGATAGTTACAGAGAGTAAAAAAACATCATGGGAGTTCAGAAAGATTTGACTTTGCCGGATTTGATCCGGGCTCGAATGGGAAAAGGGTCGAAAAAAACGCTTTTATTGAAGAAAAAATTGGAATCTTTTTTTATAATTTTTTTGAAGAAAATTGTCTTTTTCGACCCAAAAAAGACCGTCAAGTAGAGTTGGACATGAACATGATGAAACGCTCCTCAAACGTCTGCCGAATCGCTAACATGTCCTACAGATCTGCCGAACTTGTTTCTAAGGCAAGTGTGTTTTTTTCTGTGGGAGTTGGATGAATGAACTGTTCTAGAATATTCTGCGCGATGATCTTGCAATTGATGATTTGAAAACTGGCTTGCGAAAGGTGGACGATAGATTGTATGATTTATTGCACAGCGACACCCTTAAAGCAGCTGAAGCTTATGCGAAGGAAAACCTTCAAGAATCAAAGGTTTGTTCCTCAGAGCTCAATATATGTCTTTTAACTTAATTTTTTCAATATAAAAATCATAGCCTTAAATGCACAGACGTGCTTTTTTTAAGGTTGTGCAATTTATTTCACCTACTTCCTCATTTTAATACCCAGAACACCATACATATTTGAAATCAGTGAAAAAAATCTAGAAACTTGACCGTTTTAGTTTTTCGAAATTCACTTCCGGTTACGATTCTAGAGCCGGAAGTTCACGAAATTTATAAGAAAAGCGTGCATAGGACCTATCAAATTGAAGCTCACAACGAATCTAGTCATTATTTATCGGAACCGAGTCTTACCGCGGTCAAAAACCGCCGGTAAACGACCGGTAAAAATTGAAAAATTTCTCATTAACTCATGCTTTTTTCAAAGTTTTACCGGTCAGTTTAAGCGCGTTTGGGACTGTTTCTTCAAGTATATCGATGATGAGATGACTGAGAATCTTCTGCGCATCAATTTGATAGGTCACACTTTACCATGACTCCAAAATTTCGCCTACTTCCGGCTCTAGAATCGTAACCGGAAGTGAATTTCGAAAAACTAAAACGGTCAAGTTTCTAGATTTTTTTCACTGATTCTAAATATATATAGTGTTCTGGGTCGATAATGGATAAAATCAGAGAAATAAATTGCATAACCTTAAAAAAAGCACGTCACACCATCAGGATTCACAAGTGATATGTGACTGTTAATGTTTATTACCGACGAAAATACCTAACAATAAATATTTATTATAATTTCAAACTATTCTTTTATGGTTTCAAAACTGATAAAGGGACAATTTCTAGAAAAAAAGAGCTTTCTTTTAGCAAAAATTTATTAAATATTTTATTAAATTTTAAAAAGTTTTAATAAGTTCTAAAAACTTTCTTAAATAAATATATTTTATTAAGTGGACGAGCAAATTGAGCGCTATGGAAGGAGAAATCGAAGCAAAGACAGGAAAATCTGTTGGAAATCTCAAGAAACAATATGGATATGTCTAAGTTTTACCACTGAATTGATTTGTACAAGAATTTCAAAAAATAAAGATTTTTCTAGAACGCGCATAATCCCTAAATCCCTCCGAAGGTCTCGTGATCGCAGGTAAAGATTTTTGCAACATGCTTCTTTCCTCAGAATTTTCATCCCTCGAGGCGGTTTCTCAGCGCATAAATAGATCAGTAAAGCAAAAATGCATCAAATTTAAAAACATCCATTTTGAGAGCAAGAGCCACGACAAAATGAAGTTTTCCCTTTTTTCTTTTCCAGTTATTTTCTCCGACTCAAAATTCTACCACAGTTGTTCCTCCCCCGCTTTCATCACAAATCGAGGGAGATCAATGCCAGGTCCTTTAGCCTCACTCTATCCAATTCCAGTCGCGTTGAAGGGACAAGGAGCTGCGCATCAGAGAATGATGAGAGTCTGTACTTGCTATATTGGAATGTTTAAAATTCCTCATACGGAGAGGACTGTGTACAATGAAGAGAGACCGGATTGCGATGAGATTTTGAGGAATAATCAAGCAGCAAGAATGGCTATTCCGGAGAATCTGCGGGCAAAAGAATGGGCTGAAGAAAACCAGAGGTAAGCCTGACTAAGGCTATAGTCTATAGAAGACCTTAAATGAAAAGTCGCGCAGTGGGTTTTTAGAAGCGAAGCCGCAAAGCGGCTTCAAAAATATTTCAACTAAAATCAAGTTAACCTCCGGCGAAGCCGCCTTGCGGCTTCGATTCTTTAAAAGCCGCTTCCCGGCTTTTCATTTGAGCTCTTTTAGGACCCTGATTTTGTGCTGAGTAAAAATCTTCTTTAGCCCGGGCCAAATCCGAGGGCCTTGCTCAGAACTCGCCCAAATATACACCCAATTCAACGAGCAATTGACCCAAATTGGCGGCGGACCCATCCTTAGCCTTTTTCATCGAGAAATGAAAGACGTTCCAAGCTGCGATGACAAGGGATATTTCCAAGCTTTCCAATGCAATCGAAAAAGAACGATTTGCTGGTGCTCCGATCCTTTTGGCAAAGAAATTCTAAACACGAGGGATTATCAAAGAAATTTGTTTAATTTAAATTATTTGCAGATTTCTTGCCAGGTTTGGTTTCCGTCTTTTCGTCAGCTCAAAAATCGATTCAGAGACACGCTGAAAACTTCCACCACCCGACCTTGCCATTCTCTGCCGAATTTGTAGAGCCGCCGCAAGTTCAGCTCAAATCTTCGACGAGCAATTCTCAACTTTCAACCGACACTTTTCTTAGCTTTTTTGACAGTTCTGTTGCAGAAAAACTCAAATCGGGTTGATTCTGTGAAGCAATAAAAAATAATTTTCATATTTGATTCATGGCAATAAAATAAGTCATTTGGTCGATTTGTTATTTTGAGAGAAAAATGATGACAAAATTGATTTTTATTTTGATCCTTTTCGCTCAAGCGAAGAAATTGAGAGTGAGGAATATAAGCTGTCAGTGTTTTTGTGAGAAGTGCTCTTGTGAAGTGCCGTTTTTGAACAATCTGATTGGGGAAAATGAGAAAAGTCCGATGTCGATTTTTGTTTCAATATATTCTCCAGGTGAGATTCAATGCTTTCTTGTAGTAAAACTTTTTCATAAGACAAGGATCTTTGTCCAAAAATAAGCGAATTCGCCGAAAACGTATTTTCGATCCTCAAACTCGGCGAAAGATCGACATTTTATCCCGATCTCCTGACTATTTTAAACCGTCAGCAATCTTCAAAAATCACCCTCTCCTCCCGAGCGGATATTTTCCTGGCCTCTGATCTTGTCGAATCTTCCTGCATCAATTCAAATCGAACATCTCTAGAACAAATTCCACCGGCTCAAGAAATAAAAGAATACAAGTCACTGCTGCTGTTATTTTCCGATACTGTTCCTGAAAATATTCCACCTTCTTTTGACTTTATCATGCCTGTAGCTCTGACTGACCAAGCTGATTTGGAAGGCCTGGACAAACTTAGAGGAAAACTCGATAAACCGTTCTTTTCATAAGATAACAAATAAAATTTATTTCAAAAGAACTATGAGAGCCAGAGTCATTATATGCAGGAAACCAGTTGTTGGGAGGATCGCAGAGCTAGAAAAAAAAATGAAAAAAAATAAAAGAAAACGCTGACCTTTCTTCGTTTTCTTCTCTTGGGAAGACAACTGCGTCGTCGATGATGTCAACGATTGGCCCAATTGGATATGTTTCATCCAGCTCCTGAATTTTTGGTGATTTTTCTTCTTCTCAAAAAGCTACCTTGACGATTTCAGTATCTTTGATAAAATCTATCGCATCATAAATTTCCAGCCTTTTTCCCGCTTCTTGCTTCAATTCCGCGTGCTTATCTTCCTGAAGAGGAAAGGAAGCAGGCTTCATCCACCACCCTTTGAAAAACATAACTTTCAGATTTACCCCAAACCCTACCCATTGGATCCTCTCCATTGACTCTTCTCATGAATTCATTTTTTCTCTCGACCCATCCTGGCGGAAGATTCCAGGCAGAAATAATTATTGGAAATAGCGTCAATGCTTTCATGAAATTTTATTATCAATCACAATGATGGTTGAATTGTTCCCTATTTAAAAGGTAACGCTCCTTTTGCAAATTTTACCCCGCCTAGTGACGTTTTCGCAATACAATAATTCATTTGAATGATTTTTTTGATGAAAACGATCCCCAGTTATGACAAACCAGGGTTCAAAGAATGAGAATAATTATCGCCTAGGATAAAAAGACAAAACTAGATAATTAACCATCAGAAAAACTAAACTTGATTTCAGAAATAAGGAGTTATGGTGCCTGAATCGGTCTGAAATTTTATCTACAGAACGAAGTGAGAAAAGAGCCGATTCATGTGCTTGACATTGACTGACAGTCTTCAAGCGAGCAACAAAAAACTGCCAAAACAGTGAAAACAAGAATCGAAACAATATAGTCTCTGGGCCATTCCATTCTCGCCCATTGTCGTCACAATAACAGCCTCTGCGACGGGATTAGCCTCTCTTCAAAAAAAAACCAGTTCAGAGATTCAGAAAGCCTCACACTTCAGATACAGCACCTTCAGAGTTTACTTCTTTCTTCAAAAAAGGTAAAGGGGGCTTTTTCATGAAAAATAAGGGTATCACTTTGGTATTTTTGTGAACTTAGATATCGACTTGAATAATCAGGTCTTCCTTGATGTCAAACAGTCTTATTGGTGATTGAAAACAGTGTTCCTTGGACACTATCATCACGGGCACAATTCTATCTTTATTTGCTCATTGGCAGAACTTCTTTTTCAAATACAAGCAGCAATAATTGTGAGTCGATTCAGGCATTGTGCTGCGCCGCGCAGGATCGTCAAATATTTGAACGACAGAAAAATCGCCGCTTTCGACTTAACTACGACCCACCGCGAAGACGACTTTTCGAATTCCAGAGACCCTTTTTCTCTTTTTGAAATCAACGAAGAGAATCGCTAAAAATGGAGAGCTTGGAAAATTTAAGCCAGAGCGCTGTCTTTACCCAGCTTCAAGAGGTTAATTGATTTTTGTTAAAATATTTAATAAGAGAATATTCTTAAAAAAATTTTTGAAATTGAAGATTCAAAAAAATAATTTTTTTTTTTGAGATGAAAAAAAATTTGAGCTGTTTTATGATATTTGATCTTGTTGAAACTCACGATGAAAAATTCAGAGACTGGATGGAGCCATTAAAGAGTCGGGAGAAGAGGAGGTCTCCAAAGAGCAAATTGAAAAAGTAATCGAAGTATTGGAATTGACTGCCAAAGTTCAGCATGAGCTTTTCAGGAAAGAGCTTTCTCTTGATGAGATTTTTGCCCCTGCCATAAGTTTTCGTTATGCTTTCATTTTTAATTATTGTGAATTAGGCCTCTCGTCTTTTCCTTTTGAGGAAAAAACCAAGTCTTTTACTTTTTTGAGAAAATTTATGGTCTTTTTATTTTTTGTTCTGAAAAATTTTTTCCGAAGTTTTTTTGTTAATATTTTCGAAAGCTCTTGAAAGCGCGGTCTCCACTCTGTCACAGGCATCGGATTCTGATGTTTTTCAAACACGCGTCCTTCCGTGGATCAGTAATGGTTTCCTAGGTAATCAGATTCTTTCGCCTTCCATTCAAAGAGAGTTAAACTTTGCTCTGCCATCTCATTATACTGAAAAAAGTCAAGGTAAAGAGACCGTTAGAGAGATTATTCCTCCATTCTGACAAATATCGATAAGGTGGGTTTTCAGATAACAATTGAGGTAAAATTTTTGAAGTGGGGAGTTAAGTTAGCGCTCTTAAGAGCTTTCTGAAGAGGTTTTTTCAGAAGGCGGGAATCAAGAAAGAGAAAGTTGACTTCAATCGTGTTTGTAAGACTCAAGAATAAATAACTAGAAAAAAAGGGGAGATGTCTGGAACCGACAAAAATTTCGACAAAATTCGCGTGGAAATTTTCAACCAATCAGAAGCCAGGATTTGGCTCACCGGCCAATCAGCAATCGAGTAGCCGCCCACGCAAAATTTGTCGAAATTTTTTTGTCGGTTCCAGAAGCCAACCCGAAATAAATTATATTCTATATTTTCGTCAGAGTAAGCGGGCGTCAAGAATCGACAAAAAAAATTTCGACAAATTTTTCGTTGGCGGCTTCTCGGCTTCTTATAGGTCCTTCAGCCGAATCCGGGCTTCTGATTGGTCGAAAATTTCCACGCAAAATTTGTCAAAATTTTTTGTCGTTCCCAGAATGTTTTAAGATCAAAGCAGGTTTTTTAACTCTCTTTTTCTTTACCTACTCAACAGTGTTCCCCCAGCTGAGAAAGTCCCATTGTGAGTCGATTTCGCTGAGTCTTAACATTCCCATAAATTGCGTTTTTATATTGTTGAGGGGAGGGCCTTTGTTTCTTGCTCTTTCTATGTTCTCCAGCAAGGCCAAGATCTAGCTATTTCGGGCGAGAAAAGACGAGGATAATCTCGTAGATTTTTGAAAGGGAGAAAATAGAATATTGATCGGATAGGAAGAGAATGGAGCATTTTCGCTCGAATTGTACATTTACTGTCAAAGACGGCAGACTCGGCGAGCCGGTTTACTCGAGAAAAGCGGACAAACTCAGAAGTAAGAGAAAAAATATGGGAACAGACATCATTAACCACCAATCAAAATCTCGCCCTTAAGATAGAGACACCCTTATTGTATCTTTTACTCGGTTAGCAACGAGAATTACGGTAATTAACAAATAGTTTTTTTTTGGAATTAAGGGAGTGACACCCTTATTTCATTTGATAAATAAGAAATTTTTATCTTTAGAGTTATAAAATATGGGTTGCATACCCTTAATTTTGGGATAAAAACAGCATTTAATTTAATTTAAATTTTTAAATAAAGTGACAAATGTCGTGTCAAATTCTTATTGTAAATGCCATCCTCCCATGATTTTGATTCACAGATTTCCGTCAGAGAAAATTGATGAATGGTCTTCAAAAAACAAGTGCTTTATTCAATCGCTGCTAATAACGTCAAATGCGCAGCTTATCTCTCATTTAAAAGTCGACTCTTTTCAAATATTTAACTTGGACTCATAAGTTCAAATACCATAAAAGACGCTCATCAGAACTCTAACATTTCTATTCTTCAGCGCCAAAGGGGCAAGTTTCAAACGACACTTCACTTGTGCTTTTGAAGGAAAAAGTCGAGAAGCAGAAGGAACTCGAAGAAGCGATGAGAAATTCTGCTCAAATTCAGAAGCAGCTCGAGCTTCAGATCAACACGCTCAAGGCTCAACTTGCCGAGGAACAGGAGAAGGTCAGCCAGCTGACTTCGGAACTAGAAGCTCACAAGTTGGAATCTGCTGGAACTCTCAAAGCAAGCGAAGAGGAGATTTTGGAGCTCAGAAAAAAGTAAGCTTTGCTCGAATTTTTGTCAAGACATTTCATATCAATATCTCTAGAAATGCTGATGCCAAGCTCGAGCTGTCTGCTACCAACTCTCGACTTGATCTTGTTGGTGACTACGAATCCCAAGTCGCTCGACTCCGATCTGACATCCGTCTCTTATCATTTGAAAAGCGAGAGCTCTTGACTCGAATTTCGGACTTGGAATATCCCTACCCATTGACTCGTTCCTACCTTCGATCTACCTCGCCCGTCCGCCACATCGGTAAAACTCCATTTTCTCTTAAAATTTACCGATTTTTCTTCAGTGACTTACCGATCCCCTTCTCCAACCCGGGCCGCCCTGACGAATGACATTCGCGCCAATCGACTTATCTCCCGATACAGCAGTCTCTTCTCTTCCTCTCGACTCAACGCCCTGGATGTTCTTCGACGATTTGTGGACGAAGAAGAAATGTGCCGACGAATCGTTTACATTGCAACTGTTGAGGCATTCCATAGTGCCAAGATTGCCTACAGGTTCGCATTCTTTCATCCTCTTTTTCAACCCTTTTTGCTTTTAGATCTTTCAAAGACCGAGCATCCAAAACTCTTGCCCCGCTTCACACTGGCCCAGGTAACCCCCTTATTTCTTGACCAATCACTAATCCACCATCCCTAGAACTCCTTTCTGAAGCCGTTGAAGACTACGTCGTCCGAAACATGGATCTTTTCGATATCGAATCTTGCGTCCGAGATGTTGTTCGACAAATGGACAATAATGCCGTCATTTCTCACCCAGCAGAGTGCGACTTTATGTTGATCAACAATTATATTCGAGAAGCTTGCCAAATCGGTATTAAAAAAACTTTTCGCAAGGATGAATATGATTATTTCTAGCTTTCGAAATGCAGGCAGTAAATCCCCGAATCGATATTGCTCATGCTTCGGAAGGAGAACTTTATGACGAGAAAAAGTAAGAAAACCATTCTCTTGGTGGCGCTGTTGTGCCAGGAGCGCCATCTTGATGATCTTATTGGTGGATAAAATAAGAATCTTTATTTTCAAACCAATAATTCAATTCATATCATCTTTCCCAGATACCGACGAACCTACGATTCCGAATACACCGCCCCTCTTGTTGCCTTCTACACCTGGCCCGCCCTGATGGACGGAAAGGACTGCGTTGCCAAGGGAGAAGCACATACAAAACGAGGAGCGGTAAGATCCCTCCAGCCTTCCCAAAAATACTCTTTCTAGCTCCTCCATACAACCCGTCGTTCAACTTCGCCATCCCCAACTCGTCGAGGTCGATCTCCAACTCGACGAATTCGATAAAAAAATAAACCATTTTTCTCTTTTATTTTCGTAAAAAAATGACTTTCTGAAATCAGCATTTCTATTTATTTAATACAATAAATTGTTTAGTTTTTTAAACCATTTTTTTTCTTTCTTTATTTACAGAAATTCAAGTCAAAAAAATTCAACTTTCCAGAACAGTTCTCACATGCGCTTTGTGAGAACCTCGGAGCAGTTGGCTCGTGAATCGGCGAAGTTTTCGATTCGCTTTGTTATTCGCTTTTGGGCACACGTCAAATGGCAGTTTTCGCTGAATGTACTCATCCCACAAATCGGCGCACAAGGAAATCTAAAAATTCAGCCCCGAGCATCCACATTCTAGTGTTACCTTGTTGCCAACGGTTTCGAATGTCATTCTGTGCCCGACATCATCAAGTTCTTCTGCTTCCTCCATTTCATCCATCCGACTCTGTAACTCCGGACTGCAGCTTGAAGCCCGATCTTTGACAAGAGGAAAAAGCTGTGATTTGAAAAGAGAAATTCGTCGATGAACCCGATTCTCGGCTCTGATTCCATTTTCTTCCAAAAACTGAAAAAAATGACTCACTCTTTTTTGAAAACTGGACTTACGATTATGACATTGTTGCACTTCACGATTTTTCCAGCAAAAGCACTTGTCAGAAAAACAGCGAACGAAAACCCTTTCATCCTTCGAATATTTTTCTCTTCTTTTTCTTTATCGAAAAAAGAATGTGAAGACCCTTGGCATCGGTGATATTTTTATATGACCATCGTTGTTGTTGATAAGGCCCGGGACATGACTTTTTTGGAACTTGATGAGTTAAGAAATGAGAAAGATTATGTAAGGGACTTTTGATAAAGCTCATTCCAGCTGGGGAAAAAACTCACGTTCGCGAAAATAATAAGAAAATGACGAATGAAGAATATTGACTTTTGATAGTCACCTGTTGAAAGTTCCCGTTTTGTGCCTAAAATTTTCATCGCCGCTTTGTAGTGTCCCACTGTATCTCAATGATTTTGATCTTCTGACAGAAAATCGAAATCGACAGGTTCCCCCGGGGCGGCGCATGAAAGCGTTACTCCCTTCGTTGTTGTCACAAAATCCACATCAGATATCTTTTAGGATGCTTTTAAACTTCTGTCATGTCGGCTTAAAATTTGATTTTTAAGGGGATACCCTTAAATTTGGTCAACTGAAAGTTTCGGAATAGAATTAACCCGATCAAAATTTTCACTTCTGAAAAATATTATTTTTAATATTTTTTTTCTTGCTTCAAATTAATTGTTAAATTTTTAATTTTTAGTGATTTTTGAGTTCTACAAAATAAGAAATAAATTGATTTTTTGGATTTATGATTTTTATTTTTTCATTTTTTAAAAACTTATTATTTCGGAGAAAGCCTATTATATGACCTTTATAATAAAGCATAAGAATATCTCGGCGGCGGCATAAACCTTCTTTTCGCCTGTCGACTTTTGTGTGTTCGCTTGCCAAATTATGTATCTCCTATCCGCTTAATGATCCCTCAATGATCAATTAACTCGCCCCGGAGCGAGTTTCGCAGACAATGAAGCCCGCTCGATTTCGCGCTACTATCTATCTCCTTCGCCATATTGCCTGCGGAAAGTGTTGTAAATCCAACATGTGTTTTGCTGATTTTGAAAAATCGATCTGAATTTTGCGCCCTTCTGCGCAATTTGTCCTTAGCCGGAAGCTCATTTTCACGGTGAAATATGCTCATACTTGTAAAATTCGTTTCACAAGATCTTTATATTATTCAGCTTTTCAGCATGCATTTTGAAGCCAAAAATAAGGGCGTCTAGACGCTAAATAAATTTTTTTTCGGATTTTCATTAAATAAATTAAATTATTAATTATTCTTAATAATTTTATAAATTTCTTAGTAAAAGAAAAGCATGAATTAAATTAAGGGTATGACTGCCAAAATCGATGTTGAAACCCTTAATCAGCGATAATTTTAAAGAGAGATATCCTTAATTCCTTCGTATCTCCCATTCTGCCCTTCTTAATTGGATTCTGTCAGGCAAGATCCGACCTGCCAAATTAAGTCCCCAGAATATAAATTAGGAGCGCGACTGTCATCTGCAGAATATATAGACGCGATTATGTAATTATTGAATTCACAGGTTATTTCATGAGGAAAAACGCATTGATACCCTTAATAAAAACGGTGCAAAATCAAGCTCCTTAAAATTGGTTCATTTTCATGTCCCCGTTTCCTGCTGCGTCCAAAATAATATCCGCAGATAAATATTATCCATATAAACAAGATAAGACATGATGTTCAATCTTCAATCAAGTGATTCTCCCTTTTTTCGACCATAAAAGCTCCTGCCGGCTTATTATCCTGCTCCCAATTTGCATCCTTGGCCCCCTAATTTCCTCCCTCTTGCGCGACATAATTTGGCGCCATCCTCCATCTCCTGGGACGCCGCGCTCGCTGGAGGCCATGTGACTCCTATTTACTGTCACTATCTCACTTACTCGATTTTTTTCGAACCAAAAGACCAAGAGAAAAAGAATGAATGTCAACGAACAAAGACCAATCGGACCAAAATGGAAAGGAAGCAAATTTGAGATGCGATGTGGGCTGTTTGGACTTTCTTGTCACGTGGGCATCGTCTTGGTCATAAATATGATCAGCTCGATGGTGGTTTTGGCGACGCAGGGAATCTTTATTTATAAGAAATCGAGTACTTTTGCTCTTGGCGGTTTTACTGGACCGTTTTTAGGTAAGAAAAATGAACATAGAGCTAAAAGAGGATATAGAATCATTCATATATACCTTTTAAAATCTCTTTTATTTCGCCGAAGATCGTCCTTAGCGATCTGAGATCTTCAGCTTTTATCCATATTTAATTTCTATAAAAAAGACATTATGCCCCTACCGCTGAAAAAGCCAAATAAACCATCGCAGATCAAGATGAAAATTAGTTTATTTCTTCGCTCTGCCAAAAAATGCTCGCTCTGTAATCAGATTAATTCCAAAAACGCATAAATCGATGGCCTGATGATACCCTTGACAGCTCGCGGCCAGAGTCACGTGGTCACATCTGCCACGGATTCATGAATATCATACAAGGATTACATATGGATTTTAATGGGAGTATTTTTCATCAGCTCCCTATCTCCCATCTAAGATGGGCCATCTTCAATCCTTAACTTCTTCCTTCAGACATCTTCCTGGTCTTCATTTGCGTCACCATGTGGTGCTGCAATCTTTCAATCACCCTCGTCCGCATGCAATTCGCCTTCGCCATCCTAACAGGTACACGCCAAAAAGACATCAAAGATCAATTAAAACTAACCTTTTCCTTTTAGCAATTTGTTCCGGCGCCCTCTTTGTCATCGATTGCGCCCTAGTTGCCGTTTTCATTTTGCTTGATGAAAGTCAATTTGCGATTTTGGTACTTCTATGTGAAATTGCGGGAGCCTTTGGTCTTTTTTGCACGACAATTCCATTCTTAGTCGGGGGCAACTGGCTTCTTTCGGTCAAACAGGCCGAGGAGGAGAAAAGAAAACTCAAGGTAAAAAAAAAATCAAATTTCAGAGATTTTTTTTGCAATATTTTAACTCGAATTTGACTTTTAATTTTCAAAACTTAAAAAAATTCCAAGACGACTGATTCCTGGATCGTCCGAAACCGCGTCCAACCCGGCCTCCAAATTCTCGACATTGACGAAATCGCCGCTCAAAACACTGCATCAACAGGAATCTACTCGATTTCCGCGAACGATTCTTTTCGATTCTCACCAACAAATGGCCCGATTTTGAGACCTGTTCATCTCGGCGAATGCCCCCCGAATTACTCGGATATTTTTCCGAAGAGCTTTCCGTGGGGAGAGAGAAGATATGAGGACTCGATTGTTGCTGAGAAAGCAGATGATTTTACGCTGGTGAAGACGAGCATTGGTTATCATGTTTAAAAACTGTTTATTGTCTGTAAATAAAGAAGAAAAGTAAACTGAAAAATAGAGCTTTGAAAAAAAATACTCCTAAAAACGCAAAAACAGATGAAAATTACATGTTTTTACGATAGATCTCTAGAAAATAGCATTTTCCATGCAGTTGCAGATCTCTAGAAGAAGAGAATTTATTGTCAAAAAGTTGATTCCAGAAAGCAGATTCAAGAAAATGTCTTCGCCAAAGAGCAAAAACAGCGAAAACGCGAAAAAATCAGATGAACTAAAGCAACTACCCCTCAATTTTGAGCAGGAATCTCAACTCGTCATAAAAGCACTAGGTATTTTAAAATTATTAATTTTGGTTTTCTTTCAATTTTGAACAAGGAATTCTACAACAGCGAAAACGAGAAGGCGTCGGAAAAAATCACTATGGCGACTTTCGAAAAATCGCGATCAAGGAGTTTTACCAATTGGTCTTTCCAAACCTGTACGAGCACTTCGAAGCGACATCCTGGGATCATTGCGCGACGAAAGCGGAAGACTTGACGAAGCTGATCAAAAATTTCTGCGAAAAAGGATACATCAAAGACATCATGAGAGTTTACATGCCAAAAAGGGTAAGAAGCCTTTTTCGGAAAAAATTCTCACTTTCTATTCTAGAGAAAACTTCAGGCAAACAAAAATGAGCATGTTAAAACAAGAAGCAACCTTACTGTTCAAAAAAGGCAACAGCTAGCAGAAGAGCATCTCAAAATGATAAATTCGAGGAAGAAAAGACTAAAACCAGTCCCTGTTGCTGAAATCAACGAAGAGCCAATCGACCTGACAGTCCCTAAAAATGCCAAAGAAGCAGAACAAAAAACGAACAACGAACAAGAACTGGCGAAAAAAGATGCTGGTATTCAATGGGAAGATAATCCAGTTGGAAAGATTTTGATTTTCACGCCCAAAAAGTCGAAAATCATCGCAATTCAGCAGAAAAAACTGCAAAACGATGAATCAGCTCCGAAAGCTCCAAGAAATTCGGATCTTTGGCAGCCCTGGTTAAACCCGATTCCCAAGAAAAGTAAGCCTTTTTTGCTTAAGAAATCTATGATGATGATTTGCCTTCAGAAAATCCTGCTTCTCTGAAAAGAAAACTGCCATTGTTGGAGTTTATCGGCAACGAAACTTGTCCTCCTCAAGATTGTCTGTTTGAAAACCCGGAAAAACCTGGCCAGTTTGAAGATTTCGGCCCAGTTGCATGTGGTGAAAAACCTGTTGGACTTCAAGAATCTGAGACTGCTTTTCTAAAAGACGATAATGAAGAAACTGTCGAGGTGAAAATCGAGAAGTGCGAGGTAATTTTCTCGGTTAGACGGAAGAATTCTGACCTATCTTTTAGAGCCTGGGAAAAATCGTCTTTCAAAACGACCACCCAGAACACTGTTCTGTTCATACTCTTGATGGTGAAAATGAAGTTGAAATCAAGGAAGAGTACATTGAAGGTAAGGATCCTTTCAGAAACCGGAAATTGAGAACAGTTAATTCAGAGTGATCCGAAGGACCTCTTCAAACAAATTAGAAAGATATTGAAATATTCTATTTGACTGTTTTACTTTTGCTTCCGAAAATAAAGTTTAAAAATAAGAAAATGGATAAATAGTTTTGATTATTTTTTGATTCCGATAAGACCATCCCCTAATTTAGTTTAACCTAAGGATGTCGATAGTGTTGTCGAAATTTCGTAAACCCAACACTTCGTTGAACCTTTATCGAGGTCATTTCAGTCGTACTATCATCGCCTAAGGCGCAATTCTATTTTTCAAACTTGCAACAGTTTTAAATGACTATCCCTCTTCACAATCCCGAAAAAGAAAAATAGCTCTAGAGCACTTTATTGGATAAAAACAGAATAACGAATTTGAACTCTTGTTTTATTCTCCCTTTTTCCGCTTAGAAATCAAAAACGGTCTTTATGATGATGATCGTCGCAAGAAAATTTATGATATTTTCGAATCGTTAAAACTCGCCATTTTCTGTTTACTCCTCCATAAAATCGATAATGAATCCAACAAAGGAAAGAAAAGCTCAAAAAGAGAGATCATCCGAGAAGCACGCAGAAGCTGCGTGATTTGTCCAGGCTTTTCATTATTGAAAGAGAGAAAAACGGGGTGTGTTTCGTTTGAGAAAAAATCAGCCAGAGATCAGCGTTTTTACATGAAGAAGAAAGTTGTGACCGGTTCGAGCCGGTTGAAAAAGATGTTAAAAATCAGGGAATTATGTAATTGAAAAATGAAAAAGCCGCACAAAGCGCGGCTTATTTTTCTTAATGATTCGAAGCCGCATGCGGCTCCCTTTTTTGAGAAGTTTTCTTAATCAAAAATCAAAATTAGAATTGAAAATCAAGAAATACTCGGCTTCAAAAATAAGGGTGTCACTATCGTTAGAAAGAAATTTTGAAAGCCGCTATGTTCCGCTACCAAAATATTCTGTTTTGACAGTTTTCTTCCGAATGATGCTCGTTTTCTAAGTTCAGCGGCGCACCTCCACCAGATCACGCAGCCGGCGCGTGATCAGTTCAAAAATATTATTCTTTTCCTCATCTTTTCAGGAATTAATAGACCCACTCGTTTTTTCGCTGATTTCGCTGAAACAATGTTTAAAAATTTTGTCAGCTTCTTGATTTTTATGGCCTATTTTTCTTCTTCCAGGCTGTGCTAATCTTCAAGAGTAGTTACGTAACTTGTCTGAAGAGAGAAATCAGGATCTGGCGAAATTGGAGCAGCACGCAAAATAGGCGTGAGGCACTCTAAATTTCAACTTGAGAGCATGTTGAAATCATCGTTCGATCGTTTTTTTTTATATTGTTCACTAAGTCAGAGATTGTCTACTTTCCAAACTCGCCGCTTACTTAGAATATTGAAGGTCTGCAAAATTTACTTTAACTTCGCGGCTTTTCAAAAGAGATATTTCAAACCCTGACCCAGGTTTTCGAGCTTTGCAAAACTGAGCTGCTTGGTTGAAAATCCCAAAATTTCGAACTCAATTCATTCTTTTTAACCCCTCGTCATTATCATCATTTACGACCGTTTCTCGTAATTACAAGAATGCATTTTCAGACAAGTGAGATTCGTGTCGAATGAGCTGAAAATCAAAGAGAAGATTTTGGACCAAAATCCTGTTTCAGTTGTCGCACGAAGCTTTTAATCAAAATCGATAAAATCGGATCATCCCCTCTCTTCCCTTTTCTTCAACAACGAAAATCTAAAAGAGAGAGAATGCCGCATTCTGTTGGAGTTGGACCAAAACCAATCAGAAACAGAAGAGTTAGGAGAATTAGCAGGTAAAAATTTTGGCGTCGAAAAGGGGGGTTTCCGGGAGTAGTCTTCCTTGATTTCAAAGAAAAAAATCTCCTATAAAAATTTCCCAAATTAAGGGTCTCCCCGAAAAAAATTGACGGATCATTTTATATAATCGCCTTTCTTTGATTGATACAAAAATTTAAGGGTTTCACTGACTTATATTTCATTTTGAAGAAAATTCAATTTTTATGAACTAAAAAATGAGCATTATTTTTAAGGGTCTCACAATGGTAATTCAGAATCAACAAAATGGTCTGTTTTAACTATTTTCTGGTGCGGTTAGAGACCGTAAGATGGATAGGGTTGAAAAAATTGCATTGCTTCTGAGAGAAATAATTTCAAATTTCGCGGACACAGGTGCGCCGCCTGCTGGTTACATAACAATCAGCAGGCACGCATGTGTGATTCCAATCGGGCCTGACGTGGGCCAAGCGCCAACAAGTGGCCACTTGGGATTTGATTTTCAAGGGGATCATTTCCTTTAGTCATTTGTTTTTTTCCATTTTGATTTGCGAGAAAAAATATCAGTAATAAGAAAAATCACCCGATTCAAGAAAACGCATCAATATTATTTTCTAAACAAAAGGTAAATTTAAAAGTTTATCAGAAAATTTCTTTTTTTTATTGACTCAAAAATGAATTTACAAAATTTGATTGACTAAAAAAATAAAAAAAAATTATTTTCTTATACTAAGAAAGAGACCTAGCTTCTCAGAAAATTGCGTTGGAGTGGGTCCTAATCACTTGACAATTATTTGCTGCCCTTGGGTCCCGGGCAAGCCGCAGTTTGGCCACTAGCCAGCCCTGGGCCCCGCTTTCACTCAAACAATTTAATGATTTTAAAACGTACTTCAAAATGACTTCAATGATTTTGACCATTTTTACAACCAATCCATAGAGATCAAATCGGTTCCTAAGAGATTTACTGAAAAAGAAAAACTTTGTTTTTGACGAAAAATGAGAATACCTCTGTAAGTCCCTAAATCGTCAAATTCAAAATTTCTCCTTTCAAAAATTTTGCCCAGAGGGTTGATTCACGCCCTCGATTCTGCCCTTCCCGCCAAAGTTCGAAACACTTGTACGCGCGATGAAAATCGGAAAATGACGCCACGCTTAATTTTGTGAAATTTTTGAGGTTTTTTGAGTTCTTTCAAAGTTCATTTCTCAAAGCGAGATTTTATCATACCGTAAACGGCTGTTTATTTTTTCGTTCGGAGAGAAAAAGAGAATTTTTATTGAAAATGGCGAAAGTTCAGTCTTTGAGGTAAATTATTTTTTTCTTGATTTTTTATTAAAATTATCTTTTCATGGCTTTTTTATTCGAAAAAGCTCTTTTTATTTATTTTTGCAACAAAATTCAAAAATATATTTTTTGTGCTCAAAAATTAAATTCTTTTTTTTTCATCGAAAAGCAAATCTAATTTTTAAAAAAAATTCTATATTATTAAAATTCAAATGACTTTCTTAAAACATTAATTTCTAATTGGTCTCGGTGAAAGAGCACTCCACAATTTATTTTCCTGTTTACGGGGTCCCGTAATTAGCACTTGTTTCATGACGGTTCTGGTTTTACCCGCGGGCGCCACCAAATCTCGACCCTGGAACAAGCCAGGAACGCGAAAATCGCTCTCTCTCTCTTTCCGCTTTACTGAAAAGACGCTTTTTAGACGCTGATTTTTTGACAGTTACGAGTTTTGACCCGAAAACTGATCAAGTAAAAGCGTAAAAAATTGAAAAATATAAGCTTTTACAGACGAAAATCAAGAGAAAAAAAAAGATATAAGGAGGCATTCTCCAAAAGTATATCTGAAAAAAGAGAGAGCTTATTTTAAAGAGGGTTCATAAAAATCAGGCAAAATTAAATACTTCGACAGGTAAACCCTTAATTTTCAAATTTTACGGCCAAAAAATCCCCTAATCAAGGCATTTAAAGTCATTGAAATATAAACATTCTCCATTAAAATACCCCTTTTATCGTTTAAAATGTACAAAATCATCGAATTTTTGGACAATTATCGTCTCATTACATTTTGATTATCGATAATTGAAAATTTGTTCATCTTTTATTGGAGAACGTATTTGATAATTTGAATTATTTCCCTTAAAATAACTTCTTGTTGTTGCTAAAAACTGATTTCATAAGCTCTAACCGGGCGGTTCAAAGAATCGCCCCACCCCCTTTTTCCAGTTACAATATCTTCCAATTTTAGACCTCTTTTTTGGAATGAAGGACGGCAAGACTAATTATGATGATTGTCCATAAATAACCCGCTTGCGCTCAAAAGTAACGTGAACGAATCAAAAACGTGTCGCAAAAGAGAGATAGCTTCTCAGCTCCTAAGGCGACGTTATCCTCTCTAAAAAGAAGTCAAGTTCTAGCGCGACAAGCATTTTTTCTACAGATGCGTTTTAATTATACCACGGAGCTAGCACTTTGCTACGACTAAGTGGCTGGTTTTTTTAGGATTTGATGATGAATCATCAGAAAAACTCGAATCTTCATCAAAAAAAGACTTTCTTTTTGCATTTTTCTAGAATTTGCCGACCTGTTACGTAAAAGAATTGAATTTATTTTTATTTTTAATCTTCTTTTATTAGTTGGGATGTCAAAAAACATCGATAAAAGGCGCTAAAATTTGAATAAATGAGTAATTTTGATTCTGTTGTATTGCAATTTTCAAGGATATTTTCAGGAGCGAAAAGATGCCCGCCGACGTAGCGTGTTTCATCTCGCACTCGCCCGAATGGAAGGCGTTAACCGCGTCGATGTTCGACCTCAGTCCGTCCCTTCTCGACAACAAGCCCCAGCGCCATCGACATCTTCCAAGGACCAAATCTTTTGCTCCTTCTCCTAGCGCCAAAGCAACACAGCTGTACAATACCGTAAGTTTTCTGATCCTCCTTTTTCATTTTCAACCTTTTCCTCCAGATCCAGATGGCGCTAAACACCCAACAATCAAAGCCAAAACCAATTAGAAAAAGTAAAACAACGAAGGAGCGAAAAGTCACGTTTGCTGACGACCACGGAAAACCACTTTGCAAAGGTAAGCCACTCCCCCTTCTCTTCCTCCTTCAAGTTCTCGTTCAGAAAAAATCTTCACAGAGAAACCCGACGAACCAAGCCTCCCCCGACCTTCCGAAAAAGCAGTTCTAGAGCGACTCAGATTGGCGATTCCTTCTGAGACCACTCCGAGGCCGAAGACTTTTGAAATCTGCTTTCCTCAACCAATGTCGGATTATTTAAAATTCAAGGTATACACCCTTAATTTCGCGGCACTCCTTCTTTACTTGTTTTTAGAGAAAAGTTGATGAGCAAAACGTCTCCCTAGAAAACATGGTTATTCGACACCGCACAATTCTTGGCACTATAAAGGTAAAATTTCATCTTTTGAGCCAAATTTCCAAAATGAAAATTAAGGTTAAAAACATCGCGTTTGAAAAGAACGTGACAGTCCGTATCTCATTCGATGGCTGGGAGACGTTCAGCGATGTGGAGGCGACTTATATTCGAAACGCTTACGAAGGAGAATGGTAAATAAATCCCCAGCCTTGATGTCTTTGCTTATCTAAACAAGCGCTCTTAAATATTATGGCTTTATCTGATTCGATAGAACCACGTTTTCAAATTGAGTCTAACTGTCAAATTTGGAATTCCAATTTTTAGAGAGACAAAAATTCAAAAGGGGCGGTAACCAGATTGTCGAGCAGCTTGTAGCGCTTTAGATTACAGAGACATCCTTATCTTTTAACCTGTCAAAACTGACCTTTTCTTTCAGGACAAATACGTTCAAATTCACCACTTCGATCCCGAAAAACTACGATTCCACGAAAACAATCGAGTTCTGCATCTGCTACGCCGCCAACGACACCGAGTTCTGGGACAACAACGACGGCGAAAACTACCGACTTCTCTGCGTCAACCCTGAATTGATCTCTCCGACTGGAGAGGGATCTCCGCTCCCGGCGTTTCTTCCGGAAAAGATACCGGCGCCGGCGAATGATCATGTTTTCTACTGAAGACTCTCTCTTTTTTCTTTTGTAAAATGATTATTTAAACTCTTTTCCGTGGTGGAACGAAACATGCCCAAAACTAAGTTGTATCAAAAAGCGGTGCTTTCTTTGAATAAGTAAACTTATGCTCCCCTCTTAACTTTCGATCCCTCTTTGAAGAATCTCTTTTCTTGCTCCTGAAAACATTGTCAGACCTGAAAACTTAAATTTATTCTGTAATATTACAGTCAAACAATTATAAATAAACGATCAAAGTTCTTCAATTATTTTTATTTTAAAGACGAAAAAATCGCCCTTATTTTGCAAAGAGATTTTACAGACAAATAAAACACGGAATTCTAAAGTCCACAATGATAAATGGAGATGCAGTTGATGATATTTTTACTTCTTCTTTGTTTTTCTTGCTGATTTTTTTGTTTGTTTGGCTTTCTTTGGCTTGTTTTTCTTCTTCTCGTCTTTTGGCTTCTCGTTTTTTTCCGGCTCCTCTTTTTGCTGCATTTCCCAGAGAAGGGTCTGCTCAGCAACATATTCAGGACAGGAACAGGTACCCTTCTCAAGCCGCATATTCAATCCGCCGCCATTTCTTGCCAGCGTTTTGAATCGTTGCATCCAAAGGGACTCGTGCGCCTTGTACTCAGAAATCTTTTCGTGCTTCTTGTAATGAATGAAAGGAAAGATCTCAAAAAGATCTAATGGGTTTTCGGAACTTAAAAAATCACCTTATCAATACATTTTGTAACAAGATAATAATATATAGTAATTAATAATATTTTTCATTTCAATAATTATTTCAACTTACTCAGCATGTTTCTCACGCAGGTGTTTCTCAATTGCTGTTCGACCAAGTCGTGCAACAATGTTTGACTTGTATCCGGCAAGCCTTGATTTCATGTCGGTCGTGAAACCGACATAACCTTTTTTGCAAGGCTTGCACTAGAAATTAAGATAAAGTTATTATTAATCATATGATTGAACAAACCCGAGCGTAGTAGACTACATCAGTATGGTCGCAAGCAAGATTTTGCGTGAGTCTGTAAGTATCGCCTGTCGAGTCAACAATGAATTCTTTGATTTGTGGCACAAAATCTTTGCAATAAGTACAAAGTTCTTTTCCTGGAACTTCCCATGGGTTACGGCACTTTATAAATTAAAATTAAGCAGTCGATTTATAATTTTATCGGAAAATAAAAATTTTGTTTAACTCACGATAACGCCTTTCACTTCTGCTGTAAAACGTATTTTCCCAAACCAATCTTCAATTTCCCATATCACTTGCTTCATGGGTTCCTGCTCATTGTTTTCGTTGCTCGCCGACATTTTCTTAATTTGAAGGGGTTAAACGAATTTTAGTGTACAATTATACAGAAATATGAAAAACTATTAAAAAGAAGCGGCATCTTTTTCTCTCAATATGTCCCTGAATGTTTCACTTTTCAAACTAGTATAAATCGTAGCGCGAGAGAGTCGAAGTTTATCGATTAAAAAGGAAAATGACGGATCAGTATACAGCGCGGCAGTTTCCTTTTTTTTCGCAAATTGAATTCGTGCTTTTATTAACTCCCCAAGTGGAGCGCGCCCCGAGAACTTCCCAACTCGAGCTCGACAATTTTTGTGGAAAAGACCTTCCCGTCGAGATAATTTTCTGAATCTTCGTGGACACACTAATTTAAATGTGTTTTTCACATGGCGTTTTTAGTTTGTCCCTATTTCAGCTATATCTCGCTCAAATTCTAACGACTGTCTCCAAAAAAAGGTCGGAGTTTCGTTATTTTAATGAAATTTTCGAAATCTGCATGTTCGAAAACCTATAAAGAGATGTTTTCAGGTCATAAATGCAGATATATCATCAGGATAAAAATGTTATAAGAAAGTTTCCTCCTAAAACACGTCTGATTTTACTGACAGTTTTCGGTGCCAACCCCCACCGAGAGGGATTAGCGCGACTTACTTTTGGCTAAGGGTGCGGAAGGTCAGTGCAAATACTCTATATTACACTTTATTTTCCGTTCCGAAATCTCAGTCAATAATGACAGCGGGCCTTATCGAGAAAAAAAATGTCGAGCTCCAGTTGCGGAGTTAAGCGATTCCCTTAATTTATTCTCAGCATCTACATGCAGAATATCTTTTACAGCAACAATGCTTTACAAAAAAAGAAGAGACAAATATTTGAACATTTGATTTATTTATAATTCACAGATTTTTTATTCCTTGGACTTCTTCTTGGTTCTTTTTGAGTATCATGCACTGACTTTGCCAAATGATTCAAAATAAGGGATTCCTCGCGTTCATAATCAACACATGAGCAAATTGATTTCTCCTCTCTTTTGTTCAATCCTTTTTCAAGAGTATTTAACCTATTCATCCAGAGTGTCTCATGTGCCCTCAAATGCGAAGCATTATGCGTTCGCGGGTCGTATTTTCTTATCGGCACAATTTCCACAATCGATAGCGGATCTTTTACCCTAATAAATCTTCATCGATAAGCTCAAAAATTAAGGGTCTGACCTCGAGTGAATTTTACGCATGTGAGTTTCAAAGGCAGTGTCCCCGATTCGCTCAAGAATATTTCTTTTATAGCTTTGAAGGCGATTTTTGAAGTTGATTGAAGATCCGACAGAGCTCAAATTGCATTTCTTGCACTAAAAAGAATTGAAAATAAGCCTGACAATATAAACTAGGACAAAACCGTGGCCAAGTAGATCACATTCTTTGAGTCACAGAAGAGGCTTTGTCTGATCACGTGATTCTCGCCCGTCTGAGAAATGAATTCTGTGATTTGCGGGACGATTTTGGTACAGTAAGTGCATCGCTTTTGCGCTTCATTTCTGCGTTTTCGGCGGCACTAGCATTCATTTAGAAAAATTTTCCTCCGAAAAGAGTACCTCGACTCCAAGCCCAAGTTTTTCATCAAAGTCCCAGAACTCATCTTGATCGTCAATTTCCGACTCAAACGAATCAATCGAACTTTGCGACGCAAAAAGAGGATTGTACTTGATGTTATGATTCTCTTCAATCAGCGATGAATTCAGCGATTCCAGCTGCTCGTTCCGAAGTTTTAATGAGCTATTTTCCTCTCTTAGACGCGCTTTTTTTGCGGTTGGATTCTAATAACTTTTTATAGAGTCGACCAATTTTGGAGTTCTTGGGCGCAAAATGATCCTCGTTAAAAATGAAAATTTTCCAATGCATTATTTTTCCGATAAGAGTACCTTAAAGTACTGATAAGAAGAAAAAAAGCGATATCTTCAGTTTGAGATCATCTTTTGGAGTGATTTCACCAGCAAATTCATCAGAAAGAATTCCTCTGCAATCATAATAGATAAGAAAGTACCAAAAAGTACTGATAAGACCGGAAGTAGCGATATCTCGAGTTTGAGAGCATCTAATGAACTGATTTCACCACCAAATTAACGAGAAAGAAATTCTCAATAATCATGATCGATAAGATGGTACTTATAAGTACTGATAAGACCGGAAGTAATGATATCATGAGTTTGAAAGCATCCTTTCCAATGATTTCACCACCAAATTGATCGGAGAGAAATTTTCAAAACTCGAAGTCGATAAAAATAGTACCTTAAATTACTGATAAGCCCGGAAAAAGTGATATAACAAATTTTTAAGAGTGAAATACAAGGTTGTTGTACGAAATGAAGAAGGTATTGATTGTCAAAAATGGGACTTTATCTGGCTTATCGATTGTTATTAGGCTTCAAGAGATTTTTTCTCGAACATGACCACATTTATCACCAGACATTTTTTCAATAAAAAATAGTTAAAGATTCTGTTCTATGAGAAATTCCGAGTTCTGATCAATTTAAATACGAGAGGACAGCTGCAATAAGCGCATATGGCCATATGATAAGGCAACGTCGAGTATGTTATTTACTTCTTTGGCTCATCTGGCCCACCGGCTGCGTCAAGTAGATATTTTTAAGAAAATCAACCTTTCTAATAAAATGTTCCGGAGGTTCTTGAGAACTTCCGCTCATTTGAAATCGCAGTACAGATGAGAGTTACTAGCATTTAAGCTAGAATTTATTTCATTTGATGATTTAATTCCATCTTATACACGTGAGACCAATTGAAAAAGAAGAAGACAAAAAAATCGGTTTTGGTGTTGAAATCATTCGGATTTGCCCCATCAAAGCCAAGATATCAGTATTTTTTGGTCTTATCAGTACTTTTGAGTACTTTTTTAACTTTGAGATTTTCAAGATTTTCATTCTGATGAATTTGCTGGTAAAATTACCTCAAAAGGCTTTCTCAAACTCTTTTTATCGCTCTTTTTGCTCATATCAGTTGTATTAGGTACTTTTTGAAAAAAAAGTAATGCACTGGAAAATTTTTATTTTTCAAGACGATCATTTTGCGCCCAAGAACTCCGAAATTGACCGACAGAATAAAAAGTTATAAAATCCAACCGTAAAAAAGCGCGTCTTAGGACTGTAGCTTTCTCAGAAATAATCTGCAAACGGCTAAGGAGATCTTCTACTTTTTCAGTTTTTTCTTCGTCTTTTTCTTCTTGAATGGTGATGGAAGACAAGCCTTCGTTCAAACTCTCGATGTCATTTTCGCTCTCAAGAACATAAAAACTCGATTGATACGAGCTCATTTTTTAGCTTTGTGAAGCTTGAGTTTTCTTTTTTCGAAAAGAAAAAGGACGAAATCATGAGGGAAATTAAGCATAGCATGGGATGTCTGAAGGTTTTTCATGAGAACAGACATGGGTTGTCTGTCAGACAAACGGTCAAAATAACAGTCGATTTTCGGCTCAAATTTTCATGAAAAATTTTTTTGGGGAAGATTGTTGATTTTTATTATAATTTTCGACCAAGATTGTCGATTTTGGAAAACTTAGCTTTTCTGATTTTTCGTGTCGAAAAATATTGTAGAAATTCCTCAGATCGATTTTTATGAAGAGTCTATGATTTTCTTCTTATTGATATTTGCCAGCTCGATATCCTGTGGTTTAATTAATAAATAAATTAATCTAAGAAATCAAAATACAGACTTATGAAAAAGGCCAATTCGCAGGGCTTAACCTTTTTTTCTCCTTTGCAAGTGACCTTAATTCGAGGCTCAACCTCTTTCGAGATTGATATTATTTCCTTGCTTTTTGCAAAATGAGTTTTCCATCGCAGTTCATAATGACGCCGAATTTCAGCCCGCGATGGCTAGAGAAATGCATCTTTCAGTTTTCAAACTTTCAAATTTCGCGACTTTTATCGGTGAGTGGATATATTTGATGAGAAATTCGTATCTTTATGGTATGATTTGGGTTAGAATTCGGATGAAGGTATTAATAAACAATTTTTAATTTAAAAATGGTCATAAAAATGCAATAAAAACTCAATTTTCTTCTGCCGAAATCTGATTGGCTCACCGGCCAAATGCGGAACTTTGATTGGTTTAGAATTTTCAGACGCGAAATCATTTTAAGGGACCCGGTTAGGTAGCGCCGCGCCGAACTTCATGCGCTCGCCGTTATTCTTGCGAATGGGATTTTTCAAATTTTCTTTTTGCAAATGATATCTACAGCTCTTCAGCTTTCTCATTCAGTTTTCCGTTTTTCTCTATCACCACTCATTGATGAGATAGATTAAAAAAGGGGATCGCAACTTCAAAAGGCATCAAGTCCTGCAAATTTTATTTTATCTTTTAGAAACCTGCACCATTAAAAAGCTCATGAAATTCTCTACAGATTCCACCTAATGCGCAAAGCTGAAACAGTACTAATAAGCGATACGGGTCATACAAACAAAAATTCCTAGCGCGCGCCCTGCTGGAATCATGTCTCAGGAGCCCAAAATAGCGTCCTGTCGCGCCGCGCCGTGCTGAGCGCGCTAAGATCTCTGGTTTATCAGCCTTTGATCCGAAATAAGTAATGTTTCAGCTTTGCGCATTAGGTGGAATCTGTAGAGAATTTCATGCGCTTTTTAATGGTGCAGGTTTCAAAAAGATAAAATAAAATTTGCAGGACTTGATGCCTTTTGAAGTTGCGATCCCCTTTTTTAATCTATCTCATCAATGAGTGGTGATAGAGAAAAACGGAAAACTGAATGAGAAAGCTGAAGAGCTGTAGATATCATTTGCAAAAAAAAAATTTGAAAAATCCCATTCGCAAGAATAACGGCGAGCGCTTGAAGTTCGGCGCGGCGCTACCTAACCGGGTCCCTTAAGACTGAAATATATAATATATATATAATAAGTATATATATAAGTTCGTTTTATTTGCAGTGGCTTAACGTTTTCGGAACAGCAAAAGTTCCATCATCAGAGCCGAAGTCTTGGAATTACTTGTAAACCTTCCAAAAACAGACAAACGTACCTTTTGGTGAAAACTGCAGAACTGATCAAGCTCCCAAAAACAACCATCCCTCCAGATAGTGTTCTAGAGAATTTAACCCATTAAAAACTCGAAAATTTGTCAGAGGCTCCTACTCAATTTTACAATGCCTCTGACTGGTATTACAAAATAAAGATTTTCCTATGCTGTATCTGTTTGTTTAAACTGGGATTTTTCAACGAAATTTCAAGTCCCTCTACTTGTTTTCGTTTGTCATACGATAGATTCTTATGCAGCAGGGTAAATTTCGATTTGAGATATTCAAACCGGGACTTCGGGTTATTTTGCTGATACTTTTCATTAAATCCTGTCTGAAAAAGCTCACATGACTGAGTGTGTGCGTATACAGCTGTATCTTTTGATTTTTGCCCGTGGTCGCGAATTCTCATCAGTAAATTTTCGGATTCCCCAATATACTCCTCCCCACAACTACAGACAAAGGAATACACCACATTAATGGCCTTTTCCTCTTCCGGCTTAGGTAAGAGATTGGAGATAATCGTGTTTCTCATCGATACTGTTCTCAACGCCGTATGTAGGCTGAATTCGGGAAGAAAGGTTGAGATAATCTTACGCATTTCCCTCGTTATCCGGGACACCCTTTGGGACGTAAAGGGGATAGAAACTGTGAAATTCCTCTCTGGATGCAAACTTTTTTCCTCTTTCCAATCTTTCTTGTCAACCCTTCCCTCTTTCACCACCTTTTCTACATCACGGATCATTTCTAAGGGATATTCTTGGGCGAGATATTTCTCCTCTATCTCTATAAACTCATCCCCCAGGGTTTTCGGATCTGAGTGTTTATATAAAGCCCTTTTATATTCTGACGTTAGAATACCCTTTTTCAATGACAAAGGAGCAATGTCATTTACAAAATTCATTGGAACAGTGTGTTTTCGATGATTACGAATTTGCAGGGTGTTTGTTTCCGAGGGATAGACCACAAAGTCGAGAAATTTTATCCCTTCAGGACTTGACCTTTCAACAGTTACTTTAAGAGACTCATGCAAATTTTGAAAAACTTCGTTGACTTTTTCGAACGAACCGCGTCGAAAAAAGACAATCGTGTCGTCCAGAAATCTTTTATAGCCTAAAATCACTTTTTCCGAAATAAGTTTTTCGATCTTATCTTTCTCAAGCATAAACAGATAGAAATCCGCTAATTTTGGAGAACTACTGTCGCCCATTGATAGACCCGATATCTGACGATAAGTTCTGTCTGCAAACCGAAATGCAGTTAGTTTTTTCAAAACTGAATCCAAAACTGGTCGGAGAACATTTTTTGGAATTGGTCTTAGCAGTCTTTTATTCTCATCCCGGTATCGAGGTAACATTTTGGATGGCGAATTATCGTCATAAATTGTTTTCAAGAGGAGATGAATCAGGTGAGTTGTATCGCAGCTTGGGTAGAGTTTTACTATATCAAAACTTGCAAAATCAACTTCATCAAAATTGAATTTTTGCTCTTTAAACCATAAGCCGAATTCTTTAGACCCACGAAGTGAGAATTTGCTTTTGAGATTATTTAATAATTTTGCCAAAAAATTTTTATGAAAATTTTCACAAACAGAATTTCTTGCTGAAACTATAGTTCTCATATTAAGCTCCTGCTCGAAAGTTTCTTTATGGCATTTGCCAAGTCCATATGCGTCTTTTATCCTCGAAACCGGTTTATTTCTATTGAAAAATTCTTGTCCGCAAATTTTTCCATTTTGCGTAAATTTTGCCTCATTTCCAAAGTGTCCTCCTCAGTTGGATCGGAATTTAATTGAATAAATTTTGTCTTATCTGAAAATTCTCGATGCATAGAATTCTCGTATTGAGAACGGTCCAAAATTAAAATAACTGAGTCTTTGTCCGATAAAACAAACACACTTTCCCTGTTTTCCCGTAAATACTGTCTTATCATCCTGTTACTATTGTCATTACCGAAACAAGTAGTTAATTTTTCGTGAATCGAAGTCAATCTGCCTTTTAACTGAAATTGAGTCATTGGTGTGAGTTGTTGAAATTGATCATATTTTATTATATGGCCCATCAGGCTATCAAATTGTTGGAGCAAATTTATCGAGTGCGGTCGCCCCCCAAGAGGGGCCTTCCAACCTCTTTCTAGAATGTTTATTATATTAGTAGGAATTTGTTTTTTTGAAAAATTTTTTACTTCATATTTAAGTGGTTTCCGAAATGATTGTTGAATTTTCAATTTGCCGAATTTTAATTGTCTTTTTCTGTCGCGTTCCTCATCTCGGATTCTCGCACGATTTTCTAAATCTAAAATTATTATCATTTTTTCTTTTTCACAACCAATACCTTCTTTCTCAAAAAATTTGGATAGACTTTCATTGAATAATATTCGAATTTCCTCGAGTTTGTAACTACAGATTTTTTGTTCATTAATTAAAATTTTTAATCGTTCCCGCTTAATTTTATTTCGACCCCATTTACAAAATTTTACCACCTGAATTGGGATTTTGGTAAAAATTGGAAGTACTTGATCAGAAACGCAGTTGTCTAAGAAATGCAGCGTTTGCCTGGTCCTGTGCAATTTACTTGCAAGAGTATCCAAGGACTTGAAATCTTGATGTCGCTTGCCATAAGAATTGATAAATGATGACATCTCGTCGATAAATGAGTTCGTTTTATTTGCAGTGGCTTAACGTTTTCGGAACAGCAAAAGTTCCATCATCAGAGCCGAAGTCTTGGAATTACTTGTAAACCTTCCAAAAACAGACAAACGTACCTTTTGGTGAAAACTGCAGAACTGATCAAGCTTCCAAAAACAACCATCCCTCCAGATAGTGTTCTAGAGAATTTAACCCATTAAAAACTCGTAAAATTGAGTAGGAGCCTCTGACAAATTTTCGAGTTTTTAATGGGTTAAATTCTCTAGAACACTATCTGGAGGGATGGTTGTTTTTGGGAGCTTGATCAGTTCTGCAGTTTTCACCAAAAGGTACGTTTGTCTGTTTTTGGAAGGTTTACAAGTAATTCCAAGACTTCGGCTCTGATGATGGAACTTTGCTGTTCCGAAAACGTTAAGCCACTGCAAATAAAACGAACTCATTTATCGACGAGATGTCATCATTTATCAATATATATATAATATATAATATATATATATATGAAATATATTATATATTTTTATATACAGTGTCTCTTCGAGGATTCCAAGAAAAATAAGATAAAAAGGCCGATAAAACTTAAAAATAAAGATGCACTCAAGGAGTATATCCTCTTGGATCCGATTTATTATTAGATTTGGATCTTTCATCCCTCTTTCTATATTTTTATAATTTCAACACACTTTTTAATTCAAAAAGAAAACCGAAATAATTGTGCTTCGGAGACAAAAACGGAGAAATATCGACATTTTCGTCACTTACATTAATTACAATTATACTTTTTCTCTCTCTCTTAGTCCATTTGCTCGGGCCTCAGTCACCTGAGCCGTTCAAATCCGAAAATAACTGTCAAAGAATGAGAAAAGACTTGAGGTCAATGTGAGCAAAAACGAGAAGTAAAAATCAGAAGAATGAAATCATGGAAGAGAACTACCTCCAAAAGAGATTTTTCAAGCAAGGGTGCTCGGGAGAATCGAGACTTATTTGCAAACGCATCCATGCGAAAAAGTAAGACATTTTGATAATAATCAGACACTCATTTAATAATCAGGCACTTTATTTAAGGACCACTTCCCCCCCCGTCAACAATTTTCGAAAAATCGATTTTCGGAATTAAAAATTTTGACCCCGGAAATGGATTCTTCAGGTCAAAAAACGATTTTGAGGCTTCATTTTTGGGGGTCTTTTTTGACTCTAAGACCCTCAAAATCGCGTTTGAGAATCGGCCAAAAATGATTTTCTCCGGGTACCGGCCAAGAGGCGCCAAATATGGCGCCGCGCGGCTTTTAATAGAAATCATCAAAATTTTTCTGAAAATTTTTATATTAATTTATTAAAAATCATTTTTATTAATGTAAGCATGGATTAATTGTATCAATTCCAAGAAATTATGAATCCGAAAAAATTTTCTCGCTGATGATCATTGACGAGAAAAAGTCAAAAACTGATTTCGGATGAAAAACGCTAAATAATGCTTTTTTCTGCTTGTTTTCCAGATGAAAATCATATTTTATCATTATTATGAAAAAAAACTAGTTTTATAACATCTATTTCGAGAAAAATTTATAGGCCCGCTGCCGGGAAAAAGCTCGGGTACCGGTCAAAGGACGCCATATATGGAGTACCTCCTTTTATTACCCGGCGCCATATATGGCGCCTTGAGTTCTCGTGAAAATGAGGCTCTGCCAACATTTTGGTCAATCTGAAACGGGTTAAAACCCCTACCAGTCGAAAGGCGATCGAAAAATACTCCTCAAAGTGAATTTCAAATAAAATTTTTTTCCTCAACTTTTGAAGCTAAATGCGATCGAATGACCCATGATCCAAAATTGGAGTACCTTGACCGGCTAAGGTTAAGGACAAAAATCACTAAAAGTCCCAATTTCGCTAAAAATTTAGATTTTTAATGATCAAAAATTGCTCTCAACGAGTTTTTGAGGAAAATTGTTGACGGGGGAGGGGCTCCCAATGCACGTGGTCCAATGATTGGACCACGGGGACTTTGACCGCCTGTAATTCCCGTTGTAGTTATCTGTTTGACCTGAATTTTGTAATGTGAGCTGACAAGACAAAAACGAACCACTCTGTGAAGTTTCGAGTGAAAACTCAAAAGTGGTGGCGTTTTGCGCCAGATTTCTCTTTCGTTCTCTGGTGAAAAATCGGAACGGATTTTTCCATTTACAATTGTTTACTTTTATAGAAGAGGGTTCAAGCTTTCTAGCAATATATTCACGAGCTTTTTTACCCGACGGAAACGTCAATTAGAGCCAAAAGTCCTGAGCGCTGTTTTTCACACTCTGAATTTGGCGCGCCGCGCGGGGCTGGATAATGCATTGTGGTCCAATAATTGGACCCCGTGTTTTGAGCGCTTAGTCGCGCGCCCGTGTAATGAGAAGTTAAGGGGGATGATTCATCCCGGATGATTATGATATCCAAATGTTTCTTCGAGGAATTCTCGATCAGGGGTATATCTGTTAGGGTTAGAATCTTGCCCCTACTACCGGTAGGCCGTCTTGTCCGGCCTATCAGTAAAGAATAAGCATCTTTCTAGACGTTCTATCACCTTGAACTGACCATTTCATTTGCGCCATAAAAATTTAAAGACAATCACGACGCAATCGGATTTTATGAAGGGAAAATGCTTTTAAAACCTCATTTGTGACTGGAAACCGTTTTCAACCTTCTCCAAGCAATTTTTTCGTCTACCGCCTCGTTAATATTTATACATCAATCATTCTCCGTGTTCAGCATACATATTATCACAGTTTTCAGTGCAATACATTTGCTCGCGTTTTTGGACGCGTTTAGATAATTTTAAAGAGAAAACAGGTCCAGAGAAGGAAAAACGCCTTTTTGAAGAAAAAAAAGATGAATGACGAAATTTCTTCTAGGAAGGGTCTAGAACACTAGAACTTGGCCCAGTGTATGAAAACCTGAGTCAGGGTCTGAAAGATTATGAATGAAAAGCCGCCTCTCTATTTTCTGCGGCTTTGTTTTGAAAAAAGCCGCGATGGGGCTCTTCATAAAAAAATTTTCAGACCCTGACTCATGCTTCCAACACAGGTTGCCGAGTCCAGCAGTAGAAAATACAGGCTTTCTTCTGTTCAATAGCAGAAGTCTTCTTTGATGATTTTTCCTTCTTTCTTGACTTGAAAGAAAAATTGTTCTAAAAGAGCTTTTTTGATTTATTAAAAAATAAGTTGTCCTTTCATCGTTTTGTCGTCAATCGACCCGCTTAAAAGATTTTTTAATGGTTTTGCGAATGTGCAGCAATATGTTGATAATAACCATTACAATAACTGCAATGAAACCTACCCGAATATTCAGGTAATTTTTAACTCATAGCGTTTTTCATGATTGAGGATTAGAACCTTAGGCGCAAAACTCTGTGAATGGCTTATGATTGTCTTTCAAAAGTTCTTTGATACAGATAAAAATATAAGTGCAGCGTTAAATTTTCATTAATGGTCTTTTATTTAAAATTCTAGAGAAATATTTTGAAGGAATTTTGTCCCTTAAGTGACATTAAAATAAAGGCGATCGAAATTCATTTTTGTTAATAAAAATGATGAAAATCTAGTTATTACAAGATTAATTTTTGCGTCTGTCCTGAGACGCCCCGAGATCAAATTGGACAGTCGGAAATAATAGTTGACACCTTCTATGTCCACTACCTAAAATATTAAAAGACCGTATCGCTGCGCTTGCATACAGATCTGTCAAGTTCAATCATATCAGATATTTTCCAATACATTTTGCAAACAAGAAAAGATAATAGAAAATAAACTGATCACGGCGCCAAAGTGCAATGTTTAGTATCTACACTCTCTCGCCCCGGGGCGCGACTCATCGCTTCGACGAGACCGTCATTATCCCAGATTCCTCCGGGGATTATTTATCTTTTCCTGATTTCAGAGAAAAAAGTATTTTTTCAGAATTACGCGGCGCAAAATGAAACGCTAGAACCAATCATGGACAACGGGATGACGGACGAAATGGCTTGGAATGTAAGTTAAGGACTTCCCTACAATAAAGAATATTGTTAAACTTTTTTTTCTACTCGAATTTTTCATTTGATCCTAAAAAATATGGTTTTCTCAATTTCGACCAATCAGATTGCAAACTCATGGACTTCGACCAATCATGTCTCATTTTTCATTAGCCCTAATTGAACGAGGGATGATCACGAATCCACGGTAAATCCGAGAATTTTTACCAAAAATTTGGTCAAATCTTTGACCAATCAGACTTGCAAATTCAAGTTATTCGAAAAAACTCGTCCTGATTGTCTGATTGTCCTGTACAGTGAAAACCCAAAAATTGCCCACCCAAAATTTGGCCGCTTTTTCAAAAGTAAAAAATTTTCCATCAGAATTGGGCCCAAATGATGCTATTTTTGATCATTTCAATCTTTTTTCAGGTGTATTTATCATTTTAAATGACAAAATTCAAATAAAAATGTCTTCAAGCAAGCAAAAATTTGAATAAAATTTCTCAAAAATGTGAAAATCATGCCGATTTTCGAAAATTTCGAAACTTCGCTTTTTCAAGGCGAAACTTGACTACCCGACAGAAAACCCAAAATTTGGCCGCTTTTTCGGGAATTTGTATCCGAAAACCGGCCAATTTTCGGGTTTTTACTGTATTGTTTTTTTCGTTCCGATTAAATTCTCACTTCTTTTTAGCAATATGCTGTGATCATTACTTATCTGGTGTACTTCTCTGTCGGCTTAATCGCCAACTTGGCAATTATTCTCGTGCTGATGGTGTCGCCGGTCAAGACCGCTTCGTTTGGGATGATCTGACTAGCGAGCTTTAAGCTTTTCAATCACTTGATTATCCCTTTTTTAAACCGTCCACATTATTCACTTGTCCCTCGCCGATACTCTTCTTTTGAGCGGGATTATACACACATTAACATCCTCCCATAGATTCTCTTTCTTTCGATGTTCTAACATGTCCCCTCAAATGTATCTTCGAAGGTCTGACAATGTCTTACGATGTCATCGTTTTTCCTCTTCAAAATCCCTTTGAAAGACGACTCTTCCGCTAAATGCAGATTCGAGGCTGAACAATTCTAGTTGGCGATTTGGCTGGATGGCTTGTAAAATGAATGAGAGCTTGAAAATGATCAATTTTTTCAACTCCATTCTTTTCATATCTCTAATGGCTGTAGGAAAAGGTTTCTTCTTTTCGAGTTACGTAAGAGTAAGGAGGATATTCTCGGACAAATATGTTTGCTTATTAACAAATCATTTGACATTCGGCAAATTGGCGTACGCAATTTTTCGATAAATGGACCTTTTCGACAGATAGGTATCTCACGGTCGTTCGGGTCAGAAAATCCCGCCCAAAGCCGCCGATTTTTACCCATTCCGTCTGCGTCGTTGTTTGGTTTATTTCCATCGCCATGGTTTCGCCAATTCTTCACTACACTCAAATTCAAGGAAACGAAGGCCAGTTCATGTGCATTCAAAAATTCCCGAGTACTTTCCTCTTCCTTGATTTTATTTATCAATCAATCTTCAGACGATGATCCGCAAATACAACCAGCAGCACCCGTTACATCAAATCCCTTTTCCGGGGGGATGGATTTCGGGGCGATTCCGACTGGAAATTTGCCAATGCCGGGGTTTAACTTGCCGAAAGACCTGCCCACTGTAAATTTCAATCAACTATCACTGTAAGTTATAATCATGAAAATAGCCTTATCAGTGCTTAGGCCAAATGATACTGTAACAATTGATGAAAAAGAAGGTTCTCTCATGCGAAATCGACGAGATTTTCCGCCAATCCAGTTCAACTCGTCAGCTAGCCCAGTTCCAGCTTTGGATTTATCAGGTATTCTGAATACCGTATTCATCGAGGGAATTAGCAAAGTGATACCCTTAATTAAGCTTTCTTTCAATTTTATCGAGTTTTCGGGCATAAAAAACAATAATCAAACCCTTTTATTTGACAGAAAATGCATTTTGCTAGGTCTAAACAGTCTCCCAACCGACGATTCCGACGAAAAATCCGACGAAATTGAGTGCAAAATGGCTGATATCTTCAATTTGCTCAAAGAACGAGTCCTCCACAAATGCCAAACTACCAAATCAAAGATGCTTCTTCAGGTAAAACAAGAAAATTGATGATGATCATTGTATTTTCAGTATCTTTATTCGATCTTCGTGCTCGGCTTCATCATCCCGCTCGGGGTGATTTGCTATTGCTACGGACGTATTATGATGAAAGTGAAGCATACTGAAAAACGCGCGAAACGCTTCGTGTCAAAAGACATCAAAGACAACCCGATGTGGCGCGCGTTTACGGACACAGTGACACAGCCCTTTGTCAAATATGGCATGAAAAAGGAACACTGGTTAACCAAGAGAATATGGTTTTTTGGAGGAGGCAAGGAGGTTAACCAGTAATGAAAGGAGGCGAAAATACACTTGAAAATGCCGATGAATAAGGAATCAACGGCGAGAAGACAGGAAAGGGATGAAATTGATTCCTAACCCTAACAACCTGATTGAACTTTGATGAATACTTCACTCTCCTATTTCGATTATCCCTCTCTAAAGCTTAATCGTTTCGTGACCCTGCTGCTTTCAACATTCGTCATCTGCCGGCTTCCATGGTTAATTGAGTTCAATCTCTCCTTTTTTATGTTTAAGGTATTCTTGGCATTTGGTGAAAGCGCATGGCTTCCAAATCCCTTTGGAGAACTGCGAAATAATAACTGATGTAACATTCTGTCTTGCATACATGTCCAGGTAAAACTGAAGTTTTCGAGCCGAAAATGAGGTTGGAATTTAGCGCGATAAACCCTCTCATGTACATTTTTCTCGGGCAAGATTTTCGCCGACGCTGGAATGGATGCAAATCGAGGGTAACCCCCTTATTTCCGTCGAAAGCAAAACTTTTCTAGATACGAGCGAAGCTGGCAAAATATTCGTTCCCAAGGTGGATGGGCTCGAAAAATCGAAGATCCACGAAAATCACGAGAAACTCTAAAGGACGAACAATCACTTCAGATTTAGCTACACGTAAGAGTTTTCTCACTAAGGATGTTTCGAGTACTTATTTGAAAACTAAAGAGGATTGTGTCACCGTTGGTGCATCGGAAGGGCTCTAGAATGTTTAGGGCTTTTTTGGTAAGGATGATTTCGGAGCTTTTTGAAAGATAAATGCGTCGAAGAGAACATCCTGTGGCGCAACGCCTAGTAATTACATCTGTAACGATCAATGTGTAAATATTGTCGAATAAAATGTATATGATTTCTTTAAGTTTATCAACAACGATTCTTGACAAACTCAAATAATATGAGTCATAGTAATTATTTTAGCAGATAACCTATTCACATTGGATTCTTTTCTTTACTCATATGCAAGACAAAACTTTTGTCTGACAAAAATTTAAAATTTCTGTTCCAACACCAAAATGCAGTTGTTTGTTTCTTTTGGCGTTCTCTCCTCTTAGATTTACCTCAAGCATTTTATAGTCTATTCTGAATGGATCCCAGTTTTATAGTTGGTATTTGAGAGTATAATGTTCCCAAAAGAAAGCCTATTCTTCCAGAGAATGAAATTTGTCATTAAATCTATGTTTATATGAAATAAAATCAAGTCGAAAAAAGAAGAGTTTCTGAATTTTTGAAGTTCTTTGCAGAGAGAAAAAATGAAATGCGAAAATCTTTTCATACAGTTCGGATGGCTTATTCTGAGAATAACAACATTCGTTTCCTACCTTGTTTCTTTTCAAGTCATATTTTTTCTTAGTTCGCCGTTCCTGTTTATCTGGTAACAATTATTTGTTAGATCATTCGATAATTTTTTAAGGATGATGACTAATCGTTTTCTGGACGAAAACGTGAAATATAAATATGCATTCAAAATTCTCTTGCATTCATTTAATTCTCTTGCAGTGATCGCATATTTGTCATTTCTTCCTGCGCCTATAAGGAGGAGTTACTGAGCATAAACAATGCATACAACAGATTTATAACTCATTATCATATTATGAGTTATAATTTATGACTCATAACTTATAAGTTAGTATTATCTCAGTTTGATATCAGACTGTTAAATTTCTTTATTAAAAATCATATCGACCTTTTTTAGCATTGTACTAGCTTATGGAACTCATTTACAGCCTTGGTGTTTTGAAAGCTCAGAACAAGGTTTTTTAGCTTATTTGTCAATTAATAATTGAATATATATTTGTGTTACAAATTAAATATAAAAAAATACGCTATTGTTTTCTAGGAACATTGGGAGCTTTGTCTTGGTTTATTCGTCTTCAGTATTTTATATTGCTGGTTCTGGATTTGTTTTCGAGAAGTCTTAGACGATGTCGATTTTCAGGTCCAACTCGAATTTTTTCTTGAAAATTTGAAAGAAGAGGAGAAGAAGATTGTTCCTGAAATAAATACTCCAAGGCCTGAACAAACTGTAAACACAGTTTCACTTATTGAGGAGAAAAACACTCAAATCAATGGTGAATCACAAATTTAGACTAAATATCAACTAAATTCAGGACTTGAAATGAACATCAAAAGATTGACAAGGGAAAATAAAGGAATGGCCATGGAAATCCATGAGTCCGAAGAAAAAATTAAAAACTTGGAGAAGAATATTAATTCTCTCTTTTCCATGAATAAAAAACTTACTTCTGAGAAAGACGAAAAGACAAATACCTGTAATTTGGCAATTCAGGAAATCCAAGGGTTAAGAATAAAGGAGGAGCTCATGTTGAGGGAAATCGCACAACTTAAATTTCAGAAAGCCTCTCAGGAGCCAAACGAGTGCTCTATCTGTTCTATGTAAGTTTTAAGTCAATTCGGCTCCAATTTTCGAGAATAAAAAATCATGTCTTTTTAGCGCATACGATTCTGGTCAGCATGCGACATCAATCTCAAAAATCTGTGGTCATATTCTTTGCAAGCGATGCTTGGAACAAATTCAGCAGAACACTGGAAGATGTCCTTTCTGCAATAAACCCTATCAATTGACAGACATTCTCCCAGTTTTTGGCGACCTTTAATTTTTGTCAATCGAATAAATAGCTTTTTATTGAACTCTTTGATATTTTTTATTTTGAGGCATTTTCAATACTGTTTAAATTTGTTGCTGAGCGTTTTATACAGGAGAAGGGATGTATGCTGTATTCGTTGTAAAGAAACTGAGATACAAGTAGTAACAGTCAATATTTTCAAAGATTGACTGTCAGTTAAAAAAGGCACCAGGAACTGGTTGAAAGTTAACTGGCAGAAGGTCCAGCACTGGGCCAGTGTGGACGTGAGGTATCAATAAGGTGGTACAATAATAAATTTATCATCTTTCTAAAACAAGATCGCGAAATCGAGAGTTAACGAGCTCTAGAAATCGGGAAATCTAAGGATTTTCGTTCGAACTGCTCGCGCTGCCGGAACACCAATCGGGAAGAAGCTTACTGATTCGCTCCAAATTGTCGACTTCTTCTTGAAGCTTTTGTTTCTTGTCTGTCAGGGATGACTTAAATTAATTTTTTAAGGGTGTCACTGTGTAAACTTATGCTTTCTTACCAAGTTGCGCTCGTCTTCGGCCAATTGCTGGGTCACTATATCAATTTGACCCTGTTGATGTTTCTTGATATCGGCGAACTTTTTCGCCAGTGCCTCCAATTCAGCTTGGATACCCTTAAAATAAATTCATCGACTATCCTTAATTTTCAATAATACCGAAGTCTTAACAGCATAATTTTCTTCGGCAACGAGGCTTCCAATACTGTCAACGATTTCTGGGAGCTTTCTCGTTTTGATTTCTTCGACCAGTTTTTTGATCTCGTCCAAATCTTCTTTACTATCGATGACTTGTTGTTCAGCTCCTTGAGCCATCTTGAGGACTCGATCGGATTCGCGCTTTGCTTCGTCGATCTTAAAAATAATTAAAAATTTGAGATGAGAAGATTTTTAAACCTCTTTTTCTTTCGCCGTAAAAGCACTTTGGATCTCATCGGACATTCCAGTTTTGCTCTCGACATCCTTAATCGCATCCTGAACTCCCTGGAGGATCTTTTCGGCCTTGTCCTTGTTGTTTTCAGCGTCCTAGCAGAAAATGAAACCGTTTATAAAGCTGGTTTTTTACCTCAAAAGCTTGGATGGAAGAATCCTTGAGCTTCTGGGCTCCTTCGTTGGCTTTTTCAGCTTCGGTGTAAATCAATTGGACGTTGTCTTTCAAGTTCTCATGAAGATCCTCAGCCAATTTGACTCGCGATTGCAGTTCGTCCAAGGAAGCGCTAGAATTTTTATCAACGGATTTTCCTCAAAACATGATCCTACATTTGAGTACTGTCGAAATCCTCCATGTCTCCGGCAGTTGCGACAACTTTTCTAAGATCTTGGATGAGACGCTCTGCCTTGGCGGTGAGTTCGTCAATCAAAGCCTTGCTGTTTTGAGAGTCGTGTTTTGCGCCGTCAAGTTGAGCGAGAAGTCGATCTGCTTTGTTCAAGTATTCGCGGCCTTTTTCGTACTCTGCCATTGCCAATTCGACGCTAGAAAAAAGATGATTAGATTTTCTAATACAGTCACGTACCTTTCTCCGAGATCATCCTTCTTCGCCTCGAATTGATTCATCAAGTGATCGACCTTTTTCTGAAGATCCGCGGCCTCCTCTTTGATCAGCTGAGCTTTTTCTTTAACATCTTGTTTGTCAAAGAGATCGCCAATGTTTGGAATCTAAAATAATCACTTTCAACTTTCCCACGTCCATTACAGTATTCTTGTTCTAAGATCGTTATTGGTTCTTGACTTACCCTGACGTCACTCTTGATCTTTTCGTAGAGTTCTACGGCGCGTTGTTTGGCAGCTTTGGCTTCGTCACGGGCAGCTTGAGCTTTTCTCTTGGCTTCGATGATTCGCTCAGTTGTTGCCTGAAAGTGAGATTGAGATTTGAAGAGGAATTCTAAAAAGTACCTTGACGTCGTCAGATCGGATCATTTCAAGATCTTTCTTGAGCTTGGCGAGTTTTTTCATGCTGTTTTCCATTTCATCTTTGGCATTTTGAGCCGTTTCCCGAGCTTGTTGAGCTTTTTCTTGGACCTGATATGAAAGATTAATGAAAATTTTCGGTGTGAAATTGTACCTCTTCGCTCTTGGCTTGAATTTCTTCGATGAATTTGGAAGATTTTTCGGCCAGTTTTCTGAGTTCCTCGTTCTTGAGCTCCTGAGCATCGGCAATGGTTTGGATGGCGTCGAGATCATCGCTAGTGGCGACGATGTTTTCTTCGATCTTGACGATTTCGTTTTCAAGAGTCTTGATGGTTCCTTTTGTTGCTTCTTGTTTCTCCTGAAAGATGAGTTTTCTTTTGAAAAAATGGGGTTTATCAACCTTTGAAGCAGAAACGCTATTTTCGCAAGATTCAAGAGAACTGGCGAACTGATCGAGTTTGAGTTGGACATCTTGGGCTGATTGGCCGGCGTCGGAGAGCTCTTGGATCATTTGTTTGTAGTCACTGAGGATTTCTTCCGCCTTGTCTTCGAGATCTTCCGAGTCCCGCTGGAGGTTGCTCAGGGCTTGATCGAATTCACCATCGGATCTAAGATATATAAGTAGGCTTCCCGCACCATTTTTCTATTTTCAAGGTTCTCTGGCCGAATCTAACCAAACTTGCTGGACATATGCATCAAGACAAGCTATGAAAAACTGCACTAGCCGATTTTTCGAAATGAGTCTCTTTGACACCTTTTTTGGGTGTTTTTTGACGAGAAAAAAAGCACTAAAGTGATTAGAAGCTGATTAGAAGTGCCTTCCCACCGGGTCAGACGTTCGAAGGTAGCCTTGGAAGAAAGCTAAGGAACCATTCTATCGACACACCAAAAATTGGTTTTGCACCTTGATGTTATCAGTAGTATCTGATGCCTCAAAATTGACTGAAATCGTCAGATACGAAAATTCAAGATTTTCAACTTTTGATAAACGCGAGCTATGATGACGTTTTAAAGCTCAAATTGAAGCTTAGGAATCACTGAACTCACTGAACCGGTTTTTACCAAACCAGCCGGTCATTCTAGCGGTTCACCGCGGTTAATCGCTTTTTATTGAATATTTTCACTCAAAAACGAAATAGAACCATGAAATAAGTCAATTCAGAGCCTTCTGGTGTTACAACTCGAGCTAACCGAAGTTAACCGGACGGTTGATAAGGCGGTTCAAAGCGGTTCAGGCAGAAAAATGATCGGAAATACAGCAATATGCACATGAAATTGCTCCTTATTACACGACGATCATTTTGAACATATTTTTGAACCGATAAAACAAACCATGTGGTCAATAAAGCGGTCCCGGGCGGTTCATCGCGGTTCACGCTAAAAATAGTAAGAAATATCGCAAGATGTATATCAAATTGCTTCTTATCTGAGTACGAACATTTTAAAAATATTTTCAAATCGATCGAGCTGACCAGGTGGTCGATAAGGCGGTCAAGGGCGGTTCATCGCAGTACATGCTTAAAAATAGTCAGAAATATGGCAATATGTATATCAAATTGCTTCTTTTCTGAAAACAATCATTTTTGAAATATTTACGAATCGATCGAACTAACCAGATCGATAAGGCGGTTCAGGGCGTTTGATCGCGGTTCAAGGTCAAAAATTAAAAATTGAAAAACAAGAAAATGAGACTTTTTCTATTGATTGCGCCTGTAGGCCTGCTTAAACAATTCAGTCTGAGACGGGGCCAAGCCGATCCGAAGGGGAGGCCAGATCCGTTAACACAATTCAGTCTGGGACTGGGCCAAGCCGACCCGAAGGGGAGGCCAGGCCCGTTTACACAATTCAGTCTGGGACGGGGCCAAGCCGACCCGAAGGGGAGGCCAGGCCACTCTACACAATTCAGTCTGAGACGGGGCGAAGCCGACCCGAAGGGGAGGCCAGGCCCATTTACACAATTCAGTCTGGAACGGGGCCAAGCCGACCCGAAGGGGAGGCAAGGCCCGTTTACACAATTCAGTCTGAGACGGGGCCAACCCGACCTGAAGGGGAGGCCAGGCCCGTTGACACAATTAAGTCTGGAACAGGGCCAAGCCGACCCGAAGGAGAGGCCAGGCCCGTTTAAAAATTCAGTCTGAGACGGGGCCAAGCCGACCCGAAGGGGAGGCCAGGCCCGTTTAAAAATTCAGTCTGAGACGGGGCCAAGCCGACCCGAAGGGAGGCCAGGCCCGTTTACACAATTCAGTCTGGAACGGGGCCAAGCCGACCCGAAGGGGAGGCCAGGCCACTCTACACAATTCAGTCTGAGACGGGGCGAAGCCGACCCGAAGGGGAGGCCAGGCCCGTTTACACAATTCAGTCTAGAACGGGGCCAAGCCGACCCGAAGGGGAGGCCAGACCAATTTACACAATTCAGTCTTGGACGGGGCCATGCCGACCCGAAGGGGAGGCCATGCCCGTTTAAACAATTCAGTCTGAGACGGGGCCAAGCCGACCCGAAGGGGAGGCCAGGCCCGTTTACACAATTCAGTCTGGAACGGGGCCAAGCCGACCCGAAGGGGAGGCCAGGCCCGTTTACACAATTCAGTCTGGAACGGGGCCAAGCCGACCCGAAGGAGAGGCCAGGCCACTCTACACAATTCAGTCTGAGACGGGGCCAAGCCGACCCGAAGGGAGGCCAGGCCCGTTTACACAATTCAGTCTAAGACGGGGCGAAGCCGACCCGAAGGGGAGGCCAGGCCCGTTTACACAATTCAGTCCGGAACGGGGCCAAGCCGACCCGAAGGGGAGGCCAGGCAACTCTACACAATTCAGTCTGAGACGGAGCGAAGCCGACCCGAAGGGAGGCCAGGCCCGTTTACACAATTCAGTCTGAGACGGGGCCAAGCCGACCCGAAGGGAGGCCAGGCCCGTTTACACAATTCAGTCTGGAACGGGGCCAAGCTGACCCGAAGGGGAGGCCAGGCCACTACACAATTCAGTCTGAGACGGGGCCAAGCCGACCCGAAGGGGAGGCCAGGCCCGTTTACACAATTCAGTCTTGGAATGGGCCAAGCCGACCCGAAGGGGAGGCCAGGCTCGTTTACACAATTCAGTCTGGGACTGGGCCAAGCCGACCCGAAGGGGAGGCCAGGCCCGTTCATACAACTCATCTTCGGGTCGGCTTGGCCTCGTTGCAGACTGAATAGTATAAACGAGCCTGGCCTCCCTTCGGATCGGCTTGGCCCCGTCTTAGACTGAATTGTGTAACGAACCTGGCCTCCCTTTTGGTCGGCTTGGTCCCGTCTTACGCTTAATTGTATAAATTAGTCTCACCTCCCCTTCGGGTCGTCTCGGCCTCGTCCCAGACTGAATTGTGTAAACGGGCCTGGCCTCCCCTTCGGTTCGGCTTGGCCCCGTCTCAGACTGAATTGTGTAGAGTGGCCTGGCCTCCCCTTCGGGTCGGCTTGGCCCCGTTCCAGACTGAATTGTGTAAACGGGCCTGGCCTCCCCTTCGTATCGGCTTGGCCCCGTCTCAGACTGAATTGTTTAAACGGGCATGGCCTCCCCTTCGGGTCGGCTTGGCCCCGTCCAAGACTGAATTGTGTAAATGGGTCTGGCCTCCCCTTCGGGTCGGCTTGGCCCCGTTCCAGACTGAATTGTGTAAACGGGCCTGGCCTCCCCTTCGTGTCGGCTTCGCCCCGTCTCAGACTGAATTGTGTAAACGGGCCTGGCCTCCCTTCGGGTCGGCTTGGCCCCGTCTCAGACTGAATTGTGTAGAGGCCTGGCCTCCCCTTCGGGTCGGCTTGGCCCCGTTCCAGACTGAATTGTGTAAATGGGCCTGGCCTCCCCTTCGGGTCGGCTTCGCCCCGTCTCAGACTGAATTGTGTAGAGGGCCTGGCCTCCCCTTCGGGTCGGCTTGGCCCCGTCCCAGACTGAATTGTGTAGAGTGGCCTGGCCTCTCCTTCGGGTCGGCTTGGCCCCGTTCCAGACTGAATTTTAAACGGGCCTGGCCTCTCCTTCGGGTCGGCTTGGCCCTGTTCCAGACTTAATTGTGTCAACGGGCCTGGCCTCCCCTTCAGGTCGGCTTGGCCCCGTCTCAGACTGAATTGTGTAAACGGGCCTTGCCTCCCCTTCGGGTCGGCTTGACCCCGTTCCAGACTGAATTGTGTAAATGGGCCTGGCCTCCCCTTCGGATCGGCTTGGCCCCGTCTCAGACTGAATTGTTTAAGCAGGCCTACAGGCGCAATCAATAGAAAAAGTCTCATTTTCTTGTTTTTCAATTTTTAATTTTTGACCTTGAACCGCGATCAAACGCCCTGAACCGCCTTATCGATCTGGTTAGTTCGATCGATTCGTAAATATTTCAAAATGATTGTTTTCAGAAAAGAAGCAATTTGATATACATATTGCCATATTTCTGACTATTTTTAAGCATGTACCGCGATGAACCGCCCTTGACCGCCTTATCGACCACCTGGTCAGCTCGATCGATTTGAAAATATTTTTAAAATGTTCGTACTCAGATAAGAAGCAATTTGATATACATCTTGCGATATTTCTTACTATTTTTAGCGTGAACCGCGATGAACCGCCCGGGACCGCTTTATTGACCACATGGTTTGTTTTATCGGTTCAAAAATATGTTCAAAATGATCGTCGTGTAATAAGGAGCAATTTCATGTGCATATTGCTGTATTTCCGATCATTTTTCTGCCTGAACCGCTTTGAACCGCCTTATCAACCGTCCGGTTATTTTCGGTTAGCTCGAGTTGAAACACCAGAAGGCTCTGAATTGACTTATTTCATGGTTCTATTTCGTTTTTGAGTGAAAATATTCAATAAAAAGCGATTAACCGCGGTGAAACGCTAGAATGACCGGCTGGTTCGGTAAAAACCGGTTCAGTGAGTTCAGTGATTCCTAAGCTTCAATTTGAGCTATAAAACGTCATCATAGCTCGCGTTTATCAAAAGTTGAAAATCTTGAATTTTCGTATCTGACAATTTCAGTCAATTTTGAGGCATCAGATACTACTGATAACACCAAGGTGCAAAACCAATTTTTGGTGTGTCGATAGAATTGACCCTTAGCTTTCTTCCAAGGCTACTCTCGAACGTCTGACCCGGTGGGAAGGCACTTCTAATCAGCTTCTAATCACTTTAGTGCTTTTTTCTCGTCAAAAAACACCCAAAAAGGTGTCAAAGAGACTCATTTCGAAAAATCGGCTAGTGCAGTTTTTCATAACTTGTCTTGATGCATATGTCCAGCAAGTTTGGTTAGATTCGGCCAGAGAACCTTAAAAATAGAAAAAGGTGCGGGAAGCCTATATATAAGGAAAGAGGGACGAGAAAGAAATCCCACCTGAGCATGCTTGGAGAAGATTGAATCGTCTCAGCAGCTCGTCGAAGTCTATTGAGCTCGTCCTGGTGCTTGTTGTACTCAAATTCAACCAAGTTGTAGCAATCGTCGCATTTCTTACAGCCCTGATCTTTTTCATAAAAGTGATTTCGGGCGCATTTGTCGCACTTGTCGCCTTCCACGCCTTCTTTGCAAAGGCACATTCCATCTTCGTCACATTGGGCGTCGAGAGATCCATCAGGGGAACACTCACAGGGCTTGCATCCTTCGGCGGAAAGGCCGTAGAATCCTTAAATAAACAGGCTTGAATTGTTTTCTTCTGTAAACACGGCTTTCGAAGGAAAAAAATAAAGGAAGGTATCATAAAGAAAATCAGTAAATGGGGATTTTCTTCGAGCTGCTCCAACCTTAAACCCTATCAAGGGGCGTAGCACCCCTCCAGAACCCCCAAAAAATAGGCTCCGGCTTCAAATATCCTTAGTATTGAAAAATTGATTACCTGGCATGCACGAGTCACATTTAGCACCATAAACTCCCGGCTGACACGTACAAACTCCTCGATCATCGCATTGATCATCAACCGATCCAAGTGCATCGCATCCACATCTAAAATCGTCGTTAAAAATCTCATTCCGGGGCGCGATTTCTCTTACTGAAGCGCGAAAACGCAACTCTGTATAAAAATCGAAAAAAAGAAGAATTTTGGCATTTCTTGGATTTTGGGAAGGCAAATAATGGCACTCGATTTTGTTCGAGCGCTCCCATAAAATTTGTTTTATTAGCTTTCGATTTTATATTATCCAGGCTGTAGACAGATTGGATTTTTTTTATATTTCGCCCGTTTTGCGGTTCTAGATTTAAACTCTCCTTGAACCCGAGATTTCAAAAAAAATTCATAGAAAAAATTTTTATTTCAAAAAATAAGGTTGAAAATGATTTTGAAAGTAAAAAAAAACTAAAATAATAACTAAATAAATAAATCTCAAATATTCCCATTTTTACTTACTCAAGACAACCTTCCTCTTCTCCATGACCGTAAAATCCTTTCAAGCAAGTATCGCACTGCTTGCCACCAACTCCATTTTTGCACTTGCACTGTCCATCATCTTGGAAGCAGTTGTCCTCACCAGCTTGGGTTCCATCAGGATTGCAACCACAATCCTTGCATCCCTTCCATCCCTGATCTTGGATCGAAGCCAACGGATTTCCGTAGGTTCCAAGTTCGCAGACTTGGCAGTTGTAGCCTTTTGTATTGTGGAGGCACTTCTTGCACTGGCCTGTGATTCCGTCGCAATTTCCAGGGACACCGGGTTCCATGTTTCCGTTGCAGTTGCATTTTTGGCAGGGTCGGCCATTCAAAGGATCTCCGAAATAATCAGTTTGGCATTTTTCACAGCGGTTTCCGGTCGAACCAGCGGGGCAGTCGAAGCATGTGACGTCATCATCGACACTTCCACCTTCGGCGATTGCTTTTGTCTGGGCACAAGTGGCGCCCTCGGGGCAGGGGCATTTCTGACAGTCTGATTTAGTTCCGTCGAGCGCGTTGCCGAAGAAACCATTGGCGCATTCCTCACAGCTGTCGCCCTTGGTATTGTGGAGGCATTTGCAAACACCGGTATCAGGATCGCATGGTTCCAAAGCATGGCCGTTGCATTCACAGGGCACACAAGGGTTGTACTGATCTTTGACGAATTTCTTGACGGGAGAGCGGGTGAAACCTGGAGCACACTTGTCAAGCGAAGAGTTTTCATACTTGGGGTCGAAGCACTTCTCGACATGGCTTGCTTGATCTCCTGATTGGTCGAAATCGTTGGTGGCGCTACCAAGGGAGACCTTTGATAGACAAGGGCGGCCGGGAACATCGACGGCTATGGTTTCAATGTTGTCGAGCATTGTGATGAATTCTTCATCAGTAAGTTGCGGAATGAATTCCTTCTCATTGACCTTGACGGAGATCAGCTGCTCATCAGTGGTCTGGGAAAGTGGGACTTCTTTGCTGACTTCGATTTGGGTTCCAAATTCGTCAGTTCCGGTGATGGTCACCTTGGCATTATCAATAGCATCCAATTCGTCACCAAGATGAACCTCCATTGTCAAAAACTCATTGTATGATTTTCGCTGGTTTCCAGTAAACTTCTCGCTAGTCGTGACGAAACCGTCTTCAGAAATCACGCCGCCGGAAATGTCATCATAGTCGACATCGTTGCCGTTAAGATCGGACCAACCAGTGATTGTCTTGTCCGCAAAAGGCTCGACGATATCTTTCTTGACAAAATCCGTTGCGGGAGTACATTGGTTACTGTGCTTGTAACAAAAGCACTTGATGCAACCATCAGTGTTTTCTTCATCGGGCTCGTTTTCGACGTTGGCTCCCATGTAGCCATTCTTGCATTTGTCGCATTTCTGTCCGGCGACATTATCTTTGCATGCGCACTGTCCAGTAATTGGATCGCAGCTTGGAGTGTTTTCAATGCATCCAGCGCTATTGCACTGACAGCTTTGGCATCCACCACGGCTGAGGCCGAAAAACTGGGGCTTGCATCGATCACATTGGTCGCCTTCAACACCGAATTTGCAAGAACACTTGCCATTTGCGTCGCATTGTGAGCTATTGGCGCCGTCTTCTGAGCAGTTGCAGGGGACACATCGGCCTGTGGAAGGATCTCGAAAGTGGTCCTTAGCGCACTCTTCGCATCTTGGCCCGGCAGTGTTGTCCTGGCAGTTGAGACATCTTCCATGTCCGAGGGTTTCGTCGTAGACGCACTCGTCTGCGAGACCATTGCATTCGCACTTCTCGCATTCAGCTGCGTCTTCAGGTGTGGCTCGAGCCCAGGGCTTGTTGTTGTACAGTGGTTTACACATGTTACAGTCAGGTCCAGTCGTGTTGTGCTCGCACTGGCATTGGTCGACTCCGTTGCTGTCTGGTAGACATTGGGAGGCGTGGAAGTTGCATTTGCATCGACCCATGACGAAGATTTCCGAAACAGTGTAGTAGTAAGACCTGAGGGCTTTGGGATTGCTGAAGATTTCGTCACCAAAGGTGTTGAGTCGGACGAATCGGAATCGAAGCTTCTGGACAGTCGAAAAGTCCTGGAGCTGAGCATCGTACTTAAAATTGGTCGCGCCAGGTCGCCCCTCGAGAATAGCAAAGAGAATCTTTCCGTTTTGAATCGGCGAAGTTGAGGTGAATTTTGAACTGCAAATGGCCATTTGTGGCATTTCTGCGCGGACATAATCATCAGAAACTTGATCAAAAGTTCGAAGGCAGGAGGAGCTGTAGTACTGCATGGCCGACCATTTGCCGTTTTGGAACTTTTCGATGACCATGGATTCTGGGCGGAGAGAGGTGAAGTTGAGGATCATCGCAGTTACTTCGTAATTCTAGATAGAAATATAAGTATTGGAAGAAGAAGAAAGATTTGCATCCGGAAAAAAAAACGAGTTATTGTTTGAATTGAGGTGACATTTCTTCAGTTTGTTCAACGACTGTCAAAATGCATGTGTAAAAACTTGCAGCTGGTCATTTTTTACCAACAAGGCTTCTTTCATTCGACAAAAATAAAGAAGTTAGAAGCATGAGAACTCGAAAAGGTCAATTGCAAAATTTCTATTTCCGTTATAGACCGATAAAATTCAGAAATCCAGGTGCTGCTTTGGAACAAAGCCAGTAACTGTTTTCGACTGTCAGTCAAGAAAAAATGCCTGGAAGCATGCTTTTTGCAAAAGTTCATTGAGGAAGTATTTTCTGGTGTAAAATTGCTCCCGCGTGCTCGCGCGCCGGGCTCGTTAAAACTAGCTCACCTTCTGAAGGTCAAGGGTGAGGGTAACGTCGTTGTCCCGGATATCCCGGCCGTATTTTCGGGAGGAATAGATGGATTCGGATTGCCACCAAGTTGCAGTAGAATTGTCGGTCAATCGGGAAGCATCGTGGTTTTCGACGGATCCGCGGGTGTTGCAGGTATAAACTTTGTTCTAAAAAATTTCTAAATTAATTTTTTCGAGAAAGATTCTTCTTTTGAGTGAAAATTCCAAAGTTTATCCGGCGGAAGCATTTAACTGTCCCAAAGCCGCAAACGAGTTAACTCACCTCTGCAAACTGGCCATGTCGTTTGTGCTTGAAGAAGGTCTCCGAAGCGACCTGGCCGCAAGTTGAGGAGGCGTCGAAAAGCTTCCCGCTGACGATGTTCTGAAAGTCCGAGGAGCAAGCTTGTGCCGCGCCGAATTCGTCGTAGCAGGGCGAGTTAGCCGAAGCTAACCCTAACAGCACAAGGCTAGAAAAAATGTGTCATAATTGTAAATCGAAGGGGTTCATGTCGCAAAACTCATAATAAGAATTTTAAGTCTGACTTAAAAAATTATTAAAAAAATTTTTAGAAAATAATTTAAAAAATTTTTTTAAGAAAATTATTAAAATTTTTTAGGAAATAGTAAAGAAACAATTTTATCGTGATCGTTCTATATTTTTTCGGCAAGCAAGAATCTTTTTTCAAGATTTACGAGTACTTTTGAGCTGTCTCCCTCCTTTTGATCGTAAACTTTGCGATGCGCTCTTGTCGAAAAGTTCACGTTTGTGAAGCGGCCAGCTCGAGCTAATTGCTCAAACCAGCGCGTTTTATGTTTCCAACTAGTCTACACCTGCACTGCCCTGCATCTGGCTGGTAAATGAACCCTCTGAAAATAGATTTGCGATTTACCTGTGTTTGAAAAGCATTTTCAAGGTTGTTCGTTTCTCTCAACAGAATATGATGAGGAGAGCCGATTTCGATCTTTCACAATCTTACGATTTCCTTCTCGCTGAAAAATATTGTCTTTAGGCTTTTGATCTTCTTTACTGTTTTCATCTGCTGTAACGAAATACAGTTCGGAGTTTTCAATAAGAATAAGCAGAACAAATCGATAGTTTATGCCAAAAATTTGGAGTCAAAATTTTTGACCAAATTTCAAGCCAAAATTTTCAACCGATAAGATATCCGTATTCGGCTAGAAAACTCAAAGAAAAGCCTCAGAAGGTGACTTTAGAAAAATATTATCCGTAAGGTAGGATACCCCCTTAATTATTTTAACTTAAATAATGAATAATTTATTTTCTAGTTTTTTTCTTTATTGACGATTTTGCTTTTCTTCGGCTTCTTCTAAATATCTCGAAATAAAAAAGGGTTATTTTTGGCCGGATTAAAAACGGTAGAAAAATATAATTGTCTTTCAAATAGATTTTTGTGCAAACGAAGGCCGCTGTCTAGAGCTGTAAAATACTCAAAAATCGAAATTGAAATGAGCCAAATTTTTTAAATATTTGACAGGTCAACAGTTGCTCACGTTCGAATGCGCGCCCGAGGCGAAAGTAGCTCCGGGAAAGCGGGGAACACGCCTCGGGGCAAATGCATTGCCCTGTGAAAAAAAATGGTTTTCGTTTAAATAAGTCTTTCGCTTCTAAGAATGAATTGAAAATGATGATGAAAAGATATTTACGATGAGTAAGAATTTTGATTAGAGAGAGGGCAAAAATTTATGATTGTGAGATGGGAGGAATCATTTAACAACGTCCTCGCAGCTGAGCGCGCCTCGATCATCATAAAATGCTCCAACCTTTCAACTTTGCCAGCAGAAATCAATCCTGCGACGGAAACGATAATTATCATTTTATGACGACTTATTTTTCTCATCATCGTAATAAAGACTCATTTTTCTGATCAAAAAGGCATTTCAAAGAAAAATCTTATTTCGACCCGAATTGAATTGTTCGACCAAAACTTGTTTTTTCGACTCAAATTGAAATTTTTGACTAAAGCTTTAATTTTTGACTTGAGTTGAAAATTAAGAACAGAATTTAAATTTTTAACCAAAATTAAAATTTTTGACCAAATTCAAATTTTTGACCAAAATTGAAATTTTTGACCAAATTTAAATTTTTGACCAAAATTGAAATTTTTGACCAAATTTAAATTTTTGACCAAAATCGAAATTTTTGTCCAAAATTGAAATATTTGACCTAAATCGAAATATTGGGCTAAAATAACGGTTTGACTTTGAAAATTACCAATTTCAAATTGGGGATTTATCATCTAAGCCTTTTAAACTAAATACGGTATCTTCTATCGTTTATCTTCCTTGATTTCACCTCATCAAATCTCTCAATTTCCATTTTCAACAAAAAAGAACATGACTGTATTCAGCTTGTAATTATCTTTTCAGCAGCATTCTCAAACAGAGAGACTTCGGCAAATAGTCTCGAACAATGGGTAACTCCTTTTCGTCCCTATTAAAATTCTGTATTTAAAAAATCAAATAATTCTTCAAAAAAGCAAGATTGATAATCTGCGCTTAATTTTGAGCTCTTCAAAAACACACACTCGTGAGACGACAGCTAGAGCAAAAGTTTTATTTCCTCCGCCGAGCGTTTTTACGACAACAAGAAAAGAAAAACCAACAGCTTGATGAGAAATCGGCTTAAACCTAATGTAGACTAGGTGGCACGTGTGAGAGCGCCCCTCTTTTTTACTGCGATTTTCGCGCTGAATTTTGTTAATGGAATTTCTCTTCAAAACGAACAGGACTCATTTATTGTTTCTTCTTTATTTGAAGATAAAAAGGGATACACTGAATTGTGCCGCCTTTTGCCGACCCTTGCCGCTCTGCGCCGCCTAGCGCCGCCCGGAACCAATCGGGTCTCAGAGCGGCGCATTGCGGCACAGACCGGCAAAGGGCGGCACAATGCGGCGCAAGGCGGCACAATTCATTACTCTCGATAAAAATTCTGAAGAAAATCGATTTTTTCTTTGTAATCTTCTTCTTCAATTCTGTCAACCAAATCTTCCAGCTAACATGTATTTGTCGCTGAGGAACAAACTCAATTTGAAAAGAAAAATGAGAAAAAATACATTTTTTGCTGGTGTCGAATTTCCGTGGCAACAATCATCTTGCAAATTTTCTCAAAGCTTGGCAGCGCAATTTTGTTCATCTTTGAAAAGTCTAAATGAAATTCTCTCCGCCAGGAAAAAGAGATCAAAATATCCTATACCTAAGCAGTTGAAGTACATTTTGTTCAAATCATTAAAACTGTTGTTTTCATGAAACTGCGACGAGCATTCAAAGCAAAGGAATACACCCAAAAGATAAAATTTCATTTTTTTCTCGAAAAAGGTAAAATAGCGAATCAACTGTTTTCCTTGTCTACCCAGCTTTATATGATGTCGAATAAATCTCGATCAAAAATTAATCCATTTTGAAAATGAACTATTATTTTTTTCAATTTCGCCTTTTTCTGTCTTATTTTATAAAAGTGAAAGTAAAGCGAAAACGCTTTGACACTTTTTCATTTCTCGTGCATAACTTATGCAGCATAAGAATTATTAATAATGATTCAAATTGCATCTGTTTAAAAAAATAAGAAAAAATCTCTGAATTGATAATTTCTAGAACCTAATTTGTACTTTATTGTGTTTTTTTTTTTCATCAATCAGTTTCAAAATGTCGTACTACGGCCAAAATCAGGGAGACCCTTGGGGTTCAACATACACCTACGGGGACAGTTCTTATAGCTCTCCACCATCCTTCCAAAGCTCCAATTTTCAGCCATCTCAAGCTCCTGCTCCAGCTCTAGCTCTGAATCCAATTCCGACTCCAGTTCAACAGTTCTCGCATTCGAATTTTAACCAGAGCGCAAACCAACCGGTTTCGTCTTATCAGCAAAATAAACAAGGCAGGAGTCATTCGAAACTTCGAGAAAAAAGTTTTTATAGAATCGAACGGGTCGAAATTTTGCGCCTCATTTTGCTGCTGCCTTGTCATAATAATCGCCGCTGTTGGATGGCCCTGCTAGCGCGCATCTTACATTCCCTGCTAATCAAATCGCATTCAACAGAGACAAATACGAGTCCTTCATCGACCCCTCCATTGCGGGAAAGGACTGTAGCTTGACGATTCTTAATCCGAGTAACTCTCGTATCTCCGGTACAAAAATTATGAGAAATAATTCCCTCAAACGAATTTTTAGCAAGAGGAAATGTTGCCTTATCCAATTTTGCATGTGAGGATGCCTTCGTTGAAATAAATGGTATTCAAACAAGCAAATTTTAAAAGCCTAGGAAATATATTTAGGACAGAAATTCTGCGGCAATGAGGAGGTTGACGTTGAAATAAACGATCAGTTCGATTTGATTTTCTTCGGAAATTTCGCCACTGGATCAAGCCCTCCTGGAGTCGGAAGTATCAGAATCGATGTCTACAATCATTAAAGAGAAAAAATGACTTCTAAAAAAATAAACTTTAATCAGTAAAAACTCATTAGAAATTCATTTCCTTTTGTCATCATTTTTTTAGTTTGAACTTTTTGCAAATTATAATTACCTCCTCAAAATGCACGGCAACGTGCTCGTAATTCATGTTTAAAGGATTCTGAGGGTAACGTTCCTTTGTTTTTGGTTACTTTAATCGCACTCAGAGGCCCGTAACCCCCGTGTTTCGGATAACAACATCCCTTTACGATAGAGATGTCTTTAGATTCTATCGAACCCCTGAGTGACACAACGTGGCAGCGGCCTATTTAAACAACGACCTATACCTTCTTTCCTCATCACTCTCTTCTGAAAGAAAAAAAATGAAAATTTCAACCTTTTTGCTTGCGACTTTCTCTCAACTCTCTCGACCCGCGAATGCTGATGAGAGGGTCTTCATTGATGAAGAAGGCTTCATGAACATCGACAATAAGAACTTCAAATTGGAAGAGCAATATCTCAACGACGAGCTCGCTGCGATCCGCGATATGAGGGCGAAACTCTTTTTCGACTGGCCGGCACCAATGTTCGTTTCCCTAATGAAGCCCTTTTCTCATAATTTTTAGTGAAGGAATGCGAGGAACAACGGTCAAGAACACTATAAACGACCAATTTGAAAAGCTCGAAGATCGACTTCGAAGCGACACGGCAAAATGCTTCGGCGATTTCGACATCGCCCCGATTGAATTCCCAGATTTGACTAGCTACGGAGGGAATGAACTGATCAATACAACGATGTACAGAAGATTTCATATTCAGCTCGCGAGAAAAATCGCTGTATATATCCGGCAAGTTTTCAGCACTGGATCTTCTAGATGCACAAAGCAGCAGGTGATCCTGATGCGACGATTGGAGCGACTTCGTCTTATCAGTAAGTTTCTTACAATTCAAAGAGTTTTTCACTTCTTTTTAGCCTTGTGGCACTACTGTCACCGATTCGACTCGACCGTCCCCCAATGCAGCTGGGCATACCTGGACAACAAAAAGAACATTCGTGCTCATCCCCGAAAACAAGCTTGGATCGAAGGCAAATACGGAAAGAACGCTCCATTTCAACAACGAGCAGTCGTCTGCGACATCGATGCAGGAAACAATGACATCGAACAAAAAATCTCCTGCAAGGACGACAAGAAACTCGTGATCGATTCTGCCGTTTTCGGGCGACAAAATGGCCACGAATGCCTCGGGAATTTTCCGAAGGGCCATTTTTCGGTTTGCAGTCACAAGGAGGATGTAAAGAGCTCGATTTCTGATGCATGCGAAGATCAAACAAGTTGCTCGTTGACAACAGGCTTAATTCCAGAAGAGAATAAGGGCTTCTGTGAAGACTCGGAAAAATATTTACTAGTTCATTATTCCTGCGAGGAATAATTTTTCCTCCTGCTTCTTTTTTAAACTTCTCAATAATTGTATTTTTCTTGAAATAAAAAAAAAATAAAATTTCTATTTTCTTAAATTTCGGCAAAATCAAAAGTGATCAGAAAGCATTTGTTGAATTCTTTTCCAAACATGCCTGTAAACTGCAGCTTCTTTGAGTCGATCTTCGTCTGAGGTATTCCAAGACCAGTCGAGCAGGAGTTTGATGTCGCCAAATTTCATCACTGCTTCGTTGCAAACTAAGGGGCTCTTTTTTATTGTCGCGGAAAAATAAAACCTGGGATATCTGGAAGAACGTATAAATGACCAGCTTCAAGCAGTTCAACTTCCACTCCGCTTGGCAAATGGTCTGTGAACTCATTCATGAACGCTAGCATCATTTCTCTCGTCGGCGCGACGATCGGATCATCAAGAGTCATAAAATAAAGCATCTTTCGGGGGTTGGGAAAAGGATAAGTTCTTGAAATTTCGAGCGCTTTTGGATTCAGGTAGTATCCAGATTCAAAACTATCAGCAATGTACAGCGGGTGATCTTGGTAGTGGTAGGCGAGACTCATTGCGCCAGTGAGCCCGTGGGGTCCCCTTAATCGCATCAAGCCATCGTCGGATTGGTGGGCGAAGTCGAGGAGTTTTACGGGGTGATTTCCTTTGATGGATATTTTTTTTTTTAAATGATGAAAAGGAGAAAGAAATCTAATCCATTTCCTGCGTTGGGAAATCGTCGGTTTCCATAAGTCGAATCGGTAAAAACGGGTGCATTGAAACCGCCTTATGGAAAAATGTTCAATTTTCTAGAAAAAAATCTAGAAAGAGGTTTCTTTTATCAATGAAAATCTCTTTCCTGAGCTGCAAATCGTCAAACTAACCAGCTCCGGACAAGAAACAGATGTAAACAGCGCCAAATCAGCTCCCTTCGAATGTCCAATGAAGCAAACCTCATCTCCATAAGCCTTATCATGCTTCAAAGCTCGCTTGATGATGGCTTCAAAGTATTCCAACTCGATTTGTTTTCGGAAAAAGATGAGTTCTTGGCCATATTGGGGCAGATTGTAGCCGACTTCAACGACCAAGTAGCCAAGATTCGCAAGCATTTGGGATCTTTCAAATTGGGTCTTGAATTCTTAGAAACTTCTATTCTTATTTTTCTATTCAAGCCCTTTCCTGGCATCTTGCATCAGCGAAACCCCGCCATTGGTATGAATAATGACCTTGAAAGGGCCCCCAGTTGCCGGATAAAAGACATTACAAACATGCTCTCCTCTCCATTCTTCCTTCACAATCGTGTCTCCGACACCGCTTTCGACCTGTAGCGTTTGTTTTTCTCCCTCAATTTCGACATCGACATTGAAGCTTTCAAACTCGGGAATCATAAATGCCGTTTTCTTTTCGCACTTTCCAAGGCTGACCGAGAGAGGCGATTTTCTGGCAGTTAGATTTTCTGGCAGTTAGACTTTCTGGCAAAGGCGATTTTCTGGCACTGCCAGAAAATCTAACTTCCAGAAAATCGCCTTTGCCAGAAAGTCTAACTGCCAGAAAGTCTCACTGCCAGAAAATCGCCTCTTTTGATTTTGAATCTACAGTTAATGATCCTAGAAGGTAAAAAAACGGAGAGGGTTTTCGACAGTACCACCAATTTTTTCTTACACGTTATTTTTTTAAATTCATTGACAAAAGCCACGTTTGATCCATTTTTTTTTTAAGATTATTGGCTGTAGCAAACATAAATCAGCTTCTTCCGGGAATTTTTGTGTTAAGGCTATAACCTCTCTTTTGGACTCTCTGGAAAATGGACTTCCCTTGGTCGATTTCAAAAATTTAAAAGGCATACATAGTTGTTTTCTCCTAAAGAATTCAAAAATGCAACCAAAAAATATTTTTCATCGGTAATTTTTTGCCCTAGGATCATTCAAAAATCGCCATTCGGTTTTCCGGCAAAACTGGAAGTTCTGAGGTAGAATAAATCCGATAATTATATTAAGTAGGGCATATTCTATGATCCCTATGGAAAAAATAATAAGAAATTGTCCAAATTAGGATTATAGTTCTCTCTTCTTTTAAAACTCTTTTGTTTATAGACTGACGCTTGAGCTCCGCGCAGCCAATCAGAGCGCGATGAATCGCTTGACTCACACGCTCGCCAACAGCGCTCTCTTTCTGGCCTGGAGGATAGCACTCCGCGCAGCGCGTCCACGCGCATTTTTATCCTCAGGTGCCAGCACTAACATGGCCCTAGAGTGAAAATTTGAAGAGATATCGAGAATTTTTTCCATAGGGATTGTAGAGAAGGCTTTAATCTATTTATTGATCGAAAAAAATCTACCTCTGTAATGGTAAAATTCTTCGGAAAACCGAATGGCGTTTTTTAAATGATCGTAAAAACGAAATTTCGAAAGAAAAAATAATTTTTGATCGCATTTCTCAAATCTACGATAGATTTTGAGTATATAAGCCTTTTTAATTTTTGAAATCGATCAAGGGAAGTCCGTTGTCCAGAGAGGCAAAAAGAGAGGTTATAGCCTTAATCAGCCGGTGTTATTTGCATCTGATTTCGAGTACTTGGTCACAGTGGGCACCCACTGAGATAATGGCGCACGCTAATGCTTTATGAAATTGAACTTGTTATAAAACTCTCTAGAAAATTCTTCCTCAGGTGGTGAAATCGCCTTTATAGGCTGGATATTATTTGAAATTCTGCAAGAAACTCTTTTTAATAAAATCTTTTTATAAATTCGAAAACTGGTGATTATCACACAAATTTCATTTCGGAGCAGTTTCAGCAGGAGTTTGCACCTTTCGACGGGAGCGTTTGATCTAAAAGCCGACTATTCAGGGCGCTAAAAAAGACTACGAATTGGGAATTGAGATTTCTGCGCTAAAATGGGAATTGAAATTTCTTGCTGTTTTCGGAGTGACAAACGGGTTCACAGGCAGCTGAAAAGTTAGATTTTGATTTTTTTGAGAAAATGGAGAATGATGAGGAAGAAAAATCGGATAAAAAAATTGAAAATGACACCGATTACACCACCTTCTGAGGAAGAATTTTCAGGAGAGTTTTATAACAAGTTCAGTTTCGAAAAGCATGAGCGTGCGCCATTATCTCAGTGGGTGCCCACTGTGACCAAGTACTTGAAATCAGATGCAAATAACACCGGGTTATTAACCCGTTAACAGGCGCGTGGCTGTCTCACGGCCACGCGTGGAAATGAGTAGCAAATCGTATGCATGGATCCATGATTTCACTCAATCACAGACAGGCAAAAGCGTAGGCAAAATCGACCACCCTGTTAACGGGTTAACACAAAAATTCCCGGAAGAAGCTGATTTATGTTTGCTACAGATGAATTACCATAAGAATTTTTCGGGCAAAAAAATTTTTTTTGAGATATTGGTATATTCTGAAAGCCCGTAAAAAGTTATACAGAATCACCAAATTCTAGGGTCAGATGACGTCATTATGACGTCATCGGGCTGATTTGAAAATTTTGTCTTTGGAACGCTTTTTCGAGCCGAAAACGTTTTTTAATTTTATCTTTCTCGACGGATTTGGATTTTCCATGAAAAACTACGTAGGGACCCGGGATCAAACCATTGAATATCAACCATTACCGACCGGTTCAATTTTTGAAACCGGTCGGTTCGAAAATAAACCTCGGGTCCCTACGTAGTTTTTGATGGCGAACAACATGCCATCAATCGAAAAATCTATTTCCAGCAAAAACCGCCTCAAAAAGCGTTCCAAAGTCTCATGAATTTGGAGCCTTTTCGGACATTTATTCATCATAAATGACGTCATAATGACGTCATTGAGCCCTAGAAATTTGGGAATCGACTAATTTTGACTTGGGCTTTCAGAATATGTTCTTATCTCAAAAAATTTTTTTTCGGCCGAAAAATTCTTATGGTAATTCATCTACAGCCAATAATCTTGAATAAATGGGTCAAAAGTGGCTTTTGTCAATGAATTTTTATAAAACGTGTAAGAAAACATTGGTGGTACTGTCGAAAACCCTCTCCTTTTTTTTACCTTCAAGGATCACTAACTGTAGATTCAAAATCAAAAGAGGCGATTTTCTGGAAATTAGATTTTCTGGCATATAAGATTTTCTGGCAGTGCCAGAAAATCGCCTTTGCCAGAAAGTCTAACTGCCAGAAAGTCTAACTGCCAGAAAATCGCCTCTCTCAGGCTGACCATGTCCCGTAATTGCTCGCTTGAAAGAGTTGTGAACTCTGGAGACGACGGAGAAGTGGGAATAGTGGAGTTTGAGACGAACGCATTTCCGTAACCATCTGTAGTCGTAACTTTTACTGGAACAGCTCTTCAAAGAGTAAAATGACGAAAAATTTTAGTAGATTTTTTATGAACCTGTTCGATTTTTTCGCAAATTTTAAGCTGGGAAATCCACTTCCAAGCCGTATCTTTTGCATTTTTCTCTAAGAATTTGTCTTTTCTCCGCTGCGCGAATGAACGAATTCAAGCTATTTTGGCGGGTCATTTAAATTTTACAAGCATGAGATATTTGCTCAACTGCCTGCATGGAAAAATCTCCTTTTTTTGCTAGAAAATGTCAAAAAAATGTCATGATTTTTCGTTTTGACTCAATTTTTTTGAGATCGAGAAATGCATTTTTATTATAAAACAGTAGTTGTTGCTAAAGCTGTTGTTGTAGCGATCGATGCAGTGGTTGTTACTGTTGGAGTTGCTGTAGCTGTCTCAAAAAGCGCTGGAATTTCTAGAAACAAGATATTACTTGATTCAAATTTCCATTATACTTAAAATTGCTTCTTCATAAAATCTCATCGGGAAAGCGGCGATCCAAGTTGTCATAGTGACGGTCACGAAAACCGAGTCCAAAAAGTCGATGAAATCTCGCGCAAGGATCAGCTCGGTGAAATCAACAACGATGAGGAAAAACGACTCATAAAGATCATTGATGAAAATAATCGCATCTTCCAAAGCTGGAAAAGCTGTTTGAATAGGGCAGAGGAATGCCGCGAAGGGCTCACATTCTGTTCCATAAAGCCCTTTAAGGACGGTTATATAATTTTGTTGGAGGGAAGGAGTTACCGTATTGTCGGAAGTTTTTGTTGTTTTCTTTCGCCAAAACTTGCAAATCGATAAGAGAAAGGACAGATTTTCTTTAGAAATTAATAAAAAATGCTACTGAAGAAATATAAACCTGAAAAAGCGATGGAAACCAGAGAACAGATCATGAATCTTCGGGAAGAAATCACCGATCGTATCTGTTGTCATGAAGAAATTGACTAAATTTTGGATGGAGACAATGATTTCCTCGACGATGATGATTAGCTCGTAGATGTTTGCGGTCATAATTGAGGGAAGCCAGGAGAAAAACTTATCGCCGAGAAATGCCACAAACTAAAAATTATTATTTTTTTCTCTCGAAAATTTTGTTTTCAATTACTTCAATAAGACCAAGAACACCATCAGTTGTGACGAGCCAGTACCCGTTCAGCAAAATTTGGGCGTAATGAATCGTCAATTCTTGAGGATCAAGAAAGCCTCCTCGGAAAATCGACTCAAACTGGGCGTACATATCGTCAACAGCTTCATCCAGCAAATTTGTCATTTCGAAATCGCTCATGATGTCCCACTCAGATTTTTCTCGGTATGATTTTAACGCATGATCGGTCCAAATTATACCACTGAAAGAAAAACAAATAATTTTTTGTCCCTTTAATTTTTCCCGACTTGACGAAACCGGCGACAGAGGCAGAGTTGAGCTCAAACACTTTGCCCATCTCTACAAACGGCGATTGAAAGCCAGTGATGACTCCAACAGAATACTTCTTCTTCATTGTCTCCTCCCAAGTCAGTGGCAAATTGAGCAAATTGTCGACCTTTCCCTTCAATCCAGTCGCTCTAGATCAATTTCAACAACCAACAAATATGATACTTTGTACCTGTAGTAGCCAGTTCCGCCGAGAGCGAAATCAGTGAGGGCGCCGAACTTGTGGTAATCGCCGTCATTGAGGGTTCGGTGGCAGCGATTTCGGAGAAAGTACTCCGCTCGGTGGTAGATCGACTCGCCGAAACCGTAATCAACTGAAAATCAAGATAATTAAAAAACTCAGATTTTCTTCCTTGATTTCTCAAGTCGCCTGGAACTCACCTGGGAAAAGATCGCATTGCCCAAAAACCGCCACAACAAAATTGCTCAAGACCCTCATCTCTGACCCCGAAAAAAGTCTTTTTGGAATCTGATGATTCGCCCTTTCCTATAATTCTACACGTAGAAGAAGGCAAATACAATTACAATAGGCTTCCGGACAACTTTAGATCTCGAACAAAAGTTACGAATAGCCTTATCTTTCTTTCTGTCGCGAGAATGGCAAATTTGCGCTGCTGAGTGCTTTTTTCATACTGTACTTGCTCGAAAGAAAACTTGATAAGGGACATTGGAATTAGCAAATCTTCAGAAAATAGCTCAAGCCAAGGGTTTCTTGAATTTTATTGGCAGGATAATTTTAAAATGCATTAAAAAGTCATTTTTACAGTGAAAATTCTAGACCAGATGCTCAGTTTCTTCAGCTTCAGTCCAGTCAATCGAGTTCTTTTCCTTGAAAATCTTGCCGAGCGGCGACTCTTCCGTCATTCTTCGAAAATTTTTACGAAAAGAAAGATCATTCCTTTTACCTTTTGTGCTTATGAATTCCAAGAATCTTCTTTGAATATTTATAAACAAACGGAATCCAGCACAGAATGATAAAAGCAGCCAAGGCGGAAAGAAAAATATCGAAAAAACGGGCAAAAATTTCTGGGACCCGGATTTCTCCATTTTTCGAAATTCTCTTCAAATCTTCGTTTTTAATCTTTCTTTCTTTTTATCGATGGAAGAAAGAGATTATGAGGGCAAACACGACTGCCGGGAGGAAATAAAAAAATCGCGTCACTCACTCAAAATGGGGTTCAAAAAGGGTTGACGTTTTCGAAAGCAATTGAAGCATAAACTTGATCGCCAGAGGGTATTCAAAGGGGTCGAAATTATCGATTTGATTATAAAAGAGGTTTTTTCATGTCATTACTAATCTGATATGATTTGATATGAAAACGGTTTTAATATTATAAAAATCGTTTTCTTTAAAAATAATTTTACATTATTGCAAAATCTCAACAACATCATTTGACCCGAGTTTACCGAAATTTTACGCAAAAACTTGTTGGGAAAAAACCATCTGGTTGAAAAATTTCAAATTCCTGTTATTAAAAAGACTTGTTATTTTCCGTTATTTCGAAAATGAAACTTTTCCTGTCATTTTTAGCCGGATCGGCTTTGTCCGAATCTTTCGAGGGCCACAAGCTCGTGAAAATCAATGCTGATGCCAGAGAAAATTTTCACTTTGACTTGTTGAAGAACTCCCGGGTTTTTGATGAAAACAAGGAGGAGGTTCGCATGCTGATTTCTCCCAAGGACTTTAAAAAGTTCGAGAAGCTAGTCAAAATCCAAGGAGCTGACTATCAAGTCCTTCAAGAAAATGTCCAGGTAAATGATGGCCAATTCCTTCGATTTGTTAATTTTTTTCTAGAGCTTGATCGACGCCGATCTTGAAAAACGCGCAGCGCGTAAGTTCGAATCTCCCGCCAACTACGCCTACAACGAGTACCTCGACTTCGACGAATGGCAAGACTGGCTCGACCACGTGACAACTAATCATCCTAACGAAATCTCTCCTCAAATCTTCGGCTACACTGTCGAGAATCGCCCAATTACTGGTCTAGCAATCCCCGCGATTCCAGATCCAAACAAGCCAAATATCGTTGTTGATTGTGGCATTCACGCTCGAGAATGGATCTCGCCAGGTAAGACTATTCGAGAAAAGTTATTTTGAATACTTTCAGCTATGTGCCGCCTCTTCATCCACGAGCTCATGAAATGCTCAGAAGAGCACAACTACGATAATAAAGGCTCAAAAAATCTAGAAATTTTTTTTTCGGTAAACAATAATATCGAGAAAATCAGCATTCTCAAAGACATTTTGAGCCTGAAAAAAGATGCGACCCGACTATCCGAGACGAGTTCATGCAGCTCTACAATTGGTGGGTCATCCCAATCTACAATCCAGACGGGTAAGGAGAACAACTCTTAACAAATAACCTCACGTTCAATCTTTTTCAGTTACGCCTACACCTGGTCGGACAATCGAATGTGGAGAAAAAACCGATCGAGCTCGGTAAACGGCCAATGCTTGGGAACCGATCTCAATCGAAATGCTGATATTGCTTGGGGAACTGAAGGCGCTTCCAGCAATACCTGCTCTGAAACCTTCCACGGCGACGCGCCCAATTCGGAGAAAGAAACTCAAGCCGCCATGGCTGCTCTTGAATTCATCAACAACTACACAAACAATGGCAAAATTCATGCTTATGTTTCTCTCCACAGGTCTTTCAGAAACAGCTTTTTCATCGTTAAACTTCTCATTTACTAGCTATTCGCAGATCATCATCTCTTCTTACGCCGTCTCCAAAAACGTCTACCCCCAAGACCCGAAAAATCTCAATCACATGACCCGAGCTGGCGGCCTCGTTGCCGAAGCAATGAGCTCCGTCCACGGCCTCAACTACGGCTACGGCCAAGCCCGGGACATTCTTTACCCATCCAGCGGATCGACAAAGGACTGGATGCTGGATGTCTACGATGTCGACATGGCATGGACTTGGGAGTTGCGAGATACTGGCGATTTCGGATTCTTGCTGCCGGCTGATCAGATTATGCCGCAGTGGGAAGAGTTCCAGGCGGGCATTGTTGCGCTCTTCAAATACTGTCGCGATTATTTGAACTAGATCAATAAAAAAAACAACATTTCATGTTGAAGAAGCAATAAAAATTTTATGACGTAAGACTTAGACGGAAGAACAAATCTCTTTTTCTTTTGAAGAAAAAAATGGTAGAGAAGGATAGTTGTAATTTTTGTTTGTTTTTCCGTTTTATTGTGATTTTTTTTGTTTGCGCCTGTTTGGATGACTATTCCTGGACTGTTCTTTTGGTTCAAATATTGGATTATTTCTTGGACCTCTTTTTCTTCAGTTATTTTTTGCGACTGTCTGCCATTTGAATGCTTTGATGAATACTGTAGTACGATAAAAATAGTGCTCTTCTGGAAAGAATCAAAGAAAACTGATGAAGAGTCAAAATTGATACACGATTTTGTGTAATTCCTGCTTTTTTGAAGCTGTCCCGGCTTAAAAAATGAAACAAAACTGCCAAGAAAAGATGATCTTGTTTCGCATGTCTTTTTTTCACGTGATGCAAGAAATAAAAGTCCACTGAAGTTGAATAATCTGATTTTCTTTTGTTTGCTCTTCGGATAAGCTCAGCATTTGGCATTTGAGTAAAGCTGAAAAGTCGGAGCTGTTTGGCTAGGCAGGAATTTCCACTGCAGTATTGACTAAAACTTCGAAAGAGCTTCTGAAGAAATTTGAAAAAACAAATTTTTTTCTGAAAAAAGATAACTTGAAAATTGAGAGAAATGAAAGATGAAAATGTAAGTTTTTTTCGATTTTATCGAGACTGACTTTTTTCAGCCTCTGATAGTTGTTACTGACCCAAATGAACTCATCGTCATGAAGCAGAAAGAAAACGTTTTCGACCCCGGCCATGCTTGGTCAAAGCAGAACTTTTGCGAGTTCCCAACTTTGGGAAAAATTCAACTTCGGGTTATTCAAGGAACAGATTTAATGGACACCGACCTGATCGGAAAATCTGACCCGTATTGCATCGTCCTCTGCGGCCCGGTAAGTCCTTCTTTTTCATTGAGAAAAAAAAAGCTCTTTTGAAGAATAAATTCGAAACGAAGCGAGTTCCCAACGATTTGAACCCAAAATGGTCCGAGAAATTCGACTTCGACTGGCATGGCGAAGAGTTTTTGCAAATCGAATGCTGGGATTTTAACAAACTTACTCACGACGATTTTCTTGGCTCAGTCGAGATCAGGTTTTTGCTTTTCTTTTTATTTTCTTCAACATTTTTAGTATTCAAAATTTGCTTTCGAAGAACTCATCGCTATCTGATTCTGGACTGAGGGGCTTCAAAAAGGGGCAATTCAAACTGACTGGTAAAGATGTGAAACATGGGAAATTGGACTTGGAAATTATTGTCGAAATGAACAAGCCGGAGGTCAAACAATTTTCAAGGTACAAAAATCCTGCGAGATTATTTTTTTGAGTTTTATTTCAGGCAATTTTCGGTCAAAGAAGATACGCTGTAAATTTCATCTTTTTTTTTGAAAATCAAAATACGAATACAAAATAAATTGAATAAAAAGTGTATTTGATTTCGATTTTAATCAGTAAACCACCAATCGCTGTCCAAATCTTCTTCGTCCTCCTCAAAATATTTGCTTCGTATATATCTAAATTTGATTTTGTGTGAGGACCCAAAATAAGGGGTATTTGGATCTGGACCAAGGCCATTCCAGAGATGTTTATTGATCATAAAGGCGTGTTTCTGAAAAAATACGGTTTTGTCTATTTATTATTTGTTTGATAGTTGCTCACCTCTTGGTTATTTTCGACAGCTTCAAAGTACATTTTTGTGAATAAAGGCTCGTCGAGTTTATTTGGACACCAGTTGCTCCCGAGATATCCGTCCAAACCTGTTTTGTTTCGAAGAACACTAGAATCTTGCTTGAAACAGGGTTCAACAGTGAAAATTTCGATACCTGTCAAAAGAGTAAATTCGTCCAGTGTCGTAGTAGTGCTGCATTTTCTCTTCAAATGGAATTTTTCGCAAAATTTTGGCGAGTAATTTGCCTCCTTTCAGTTTCCCCGTGACCGGAAACTCAATGCCCTTCTGCATTTCTTTCGCCACATATGATTGAATTTCGTCAATCAAATCCTTGTATTTTCTTAAAGTTTCATTCTTCAACGCCAAATTGTTGAGTTCAAAGGGGTCTTTTTCAGATTATAAAGAGAAAACCCAGAGCTTCGAATCATCTCGCCAAATTCTTTGTTCGGCCCAGGATCAGACAAATCCCAGACTTTTCTCATGCTCGTTTGTCTTTTACTCGGATTCGGGAAAAGAGACTTCGTATGCTCATAGTTTGACCATCCTTCGGGACATTGAGTAATTCCGATGAGCTCAGATTGATAGTTCATAAACTTGAAATCTCCAAAACGCACTGCATAAGTCGTTTTCCAGGCAAGATTCTCATCGTCCCATTCGTGTAAAATCGCGTAAATAAATTTATCTCTGATTTGAGTAACAGTCGAGTTCTCGAAAAGCGCGTGTTGGTCAATTCCATCGAGATTTCTTGGCAGCGGTTTATTGTAGCCTTTCGAGAGCTTTGAGAATCGATAAATTTGTCGATACAAAAAAATCATTCTAGAGCCCGTTCCTGTCCAATGAAGTATGGTCGGAAAAAAGTCCATGATGTTGATAATTCCGTCAATGTTTCTTGAATGAAATTGCCTTTCTGTCGAAAAGATCCAACTCGGACTCAAGGTCCCTCCTTCAGCCAAAACACTTTTATATCCTTTGTAGGGAAAGCTACATCCTCGTGGACCTACTTCAAGGCTGCCATAGGCCTGGAGGGCGCCGCCGTTGTCGGAATGAAAAATGATGATGGTTTCTCGGTCGAGTTTTGATGCTTCTTTGATGACACTTTCCATGGCGATGTCGATTGACTTAACAGCAGCGAGTTGCATTCGGCGGGTACTTGGTACATTCGGATAAAGAGCGTCCATTTCATCCTTCAAAACTTGTGGAGCAGCCACTTTTTCATGCGGCGCATTGAATGCAAGATACACGAAATTTGGCTGATCTTCGTTTTCTCTCAAAATTTTGATCGTTCTGTTACTCCAAGTATACGAAGCGAACTCGAAACCGTCCTCAGGAATGTACGGCTCTCCGTTGAGAAAATGATTGAGATAGTTTCTAAGATCACCAGAAGCAACGTGGCTATGATAGTCGACTGCACCACCATAATGCCTTCAAAACAGACTGAAATCAAGAAACAACGAGAACCTACCCAAGGAAAGTGTCAAATCCTCGATTTTCATTCGGATCATTCGGAGAAATGAGTCATTGCAATATCCAAGGTGCCACTTTCCCACTGCATGAGTTGTGTATCCGATCTCTTTCAGATATTCTGGCAGAAGTTTTTCCTTGAGGCTGAGTCCAGTCGGAACTTCGAAAGAAAGAGGGTCCGTTCCGAGGCCGTATCGAAAAGCATACCTACCAGTGAGCAGCTGAGCGCGGGAAGGAGTGCATCTTTCGAAGACTTTTTCATAAAAGTTCTCTCAACGGTCATTTATTCTACTCATTAAAATTCCCTTCCTATGAGTTGAATAAGAGTTTCTCAATGTGCTGGCTCTGCCCGTTTTTATCAAACTCGCCATATATGGCGTTGAATCAACGGCTTTATTATTCCAAGTGACATCTGACCAGCCCAAGTCGTCAGTTAGCACAAAAATTATATTTGGTCTCTCATTTGCTGATACCCACGATTCAGAAGAAGGAAAGGAAGGGTAATCATTTTCTCTTTGATCGGGTTTTTGTCCGAAAGATATTTTTGAACAAGGCCGAAAATTATCTCGTCTCCGTATCTGGTTTTTCTGAGATTTTCATATAATCAGTCAAAATGGAACTTTTGCTGATAGCAAATAAATAAGAAAGTTGTCAGTGTTAGATATATTTTATTGGAAGATCGAAAAATCAGAAGAAATCAGCAAGCTCCCCAAATCCGCCGCTATCACTCAGCGACTCCATGTACATTCTGATGGCGTATTTCATTCTCGCCTGCTTCAAATAATCGTCAAATCTTTCCCTATTGAAGCTTTCTTCAGCGCAGGAGACAAAAACCAAAAGAAAATAAAAAAGAAACCTTATCATTTTTTCGTTCTGTTTTCCCGAGCAAAAATGCCTGTTTTATAGCAGGAATAAATTTATAATTTATTCGCGCTAAACTGATGTAGACTCTATATGACAAGTACTATGTAAGGAGGAAAGGGCAATCAAAAGTGGAAAATATCTTCTAATGCCAGATTTTAATTTTTAATTCGACCGTATTCTTCTTTTCTCTAAAGGTTTCTCAAACTGTAGAATAACAGTCAATTCCAATAAATGGAATAAGATTGAAAATCGTTATTTGAAAAATCATAAAACCAAAAAGGTCGCGCAGTCCGAAATTCACTCCTGCTTCCCTTCGAAAAAAATCAAACAAGAAAAAAAAATGAAACCGGGGAAAATTTCGCCCGAAAGAGGAAAGAAAGAAGATGACAAAGCTCCGAAGCCAAAGCCAGTTGTTATCGATACGACGGTTTATTCGCTGAGTGATTTGGAGAAGAAGTTTCCGATCGAATTCTCTTTGTTTTTGATGCTCAGAGATGCGAAGAAACAGTGTTCTCAGGCGTTGGAGCTTTCGCAAATTACGCTGGTTAACATCAAATCTGTTGCCGCAAATGTTAAATCATTACAGTAAGTCGCGATGGCAAATATCACTTTTATTTTTCAGTCTGATCAACTTGAAAAAGGATCAAGAAGCAACAACATTATTGCACTTTATTCTCGACCAATTGGAACTTGTCGACATCATCATCCAGGTAAACTTACTGTAATTTCTCTTCATCACCCTATTCTCAGCTCCTGGAGCAATTCGGCTACCATCTTGTCGACGAAATCGGGATGATTCCCTTGGCACATTTGATCACCACTCATCAGTTGGTCTTCAAGCAAAAAATCGGGCCCTTAGAAGAGTTTTGGAAAACGAACCAAAAAGCGAAGCAGCTTTTGAATATTCTTCTAAAGAAGACGAATTTGAAGCAGAAATTTATTCTTTACGGAGACTTCAAACATGCGATGACGATTCTAGAGCTGTTCATTCATGATCGAAATGTGGATGGTGATATTGAGCTTTTCAAGTTCCTCGTTGAAGCTGAGCGAAAACAAGGCCCAGTCTGCATTGAAGATCTTCTCTGGCGCTGTTCTTGGTACTACAGTGTCAATATTCTCAAAGGTTTCTCCTGGAAAATCCGCCGCATGGACTTCAACTGGGTTCAGAAAGCCAACGGAAGATCATTGCTCTTTCCGCTTTTGAGAAATTTGACTTATCGCGGCCGAAAAGAAGAAGCTGTCAATCTCTGGATGAAACTAGTCGGTTACATGGAAGAAAACCTCGGCGAAAAGCGATTCATGGAAGTCGTCAATCTTCCCGATTCGAACAACTGTACTTTGCTCATGTACGCCTGCAAGCAAGGATCAGAAGAAATCGTCACTTTTCTTTTGAACTGGTTTGAAAAAATTAACCAAATTGACAATCAAGGGCGCAATTGCTTGGATTACGCGATCGACAGTCAAAACGAGCCAATCGTGAATCTGATTCTGAAAACTAACGATTGGCAATCAGTCATGTCAAACGCTATAATGACACGAAAAGCGATGGCTCCGTTCATCACACCGATGCGAAAACTCGTCGAACAAATGCCCGCCCAAGCCGAGTTCGTACTCAATCGATGCATGCATGTCAAGGGTGTGGAGTTTCAAAACGTCGCGAAGCAAGATTTGGATAAGGACGATTTGCGATTTGATTGCAATGTCACGTGGCTTTTGGATGATTACGGAATACCGAACTGGTGCGCGGAGTATAAAAAGGTGCTTGCAAAGTCGAATGAGATGGATAATGGAACGTCGCTGTTGGATGTCATTCTAGAGCCGAATTATCAAGAGGGGAGGAATGTCATTCAGACTTATCGGGCTTACAGGAAACGGTCATTTTATCAATAAAGAATCAAGGAAATGAAATCAACCTCCGAAATATTGACCGTTTTGAAGCGAAAACACCCAGCTTCTTTACCAAAATCACGTGCTCGCCTTCATGATTCGCCACAAACGAGAGCGTCTTCTTGCTCATCCGGTAATCACCGCTGTGAACAATCATCTCTGGGACTCTGGCGGATTTTGGTATTTTTACATTTCGATGGCTTCGTATTTTGCTTTCTTGTGCATGATCAATACTTTTGCGCTTCTGATGCCGCCGAATTATGCGGTTGATCATGAAAGAACGGAGATTTGTAATTTGAACGGATTGACGCTCTTTTACGTCGGGATCAAGAAAGAGTACCAGGATACTTGGCATCATGGAGATTGCTTTAGTTCTCAAGGAAACTTTCGTCAAAAAATTTTTTAAGATTTTTTTTGAGGAATTTTTGCTGAAATCTAAAATAAGATTATTGCGATCTCGACAATTATGAAAATTTCTGCTTTTCGTTCAAAGCGCTCAGAGATGGATTGGACTGGATTTTGATTGTTTACTCAGCTAAGGGTTAAAAAAATGGACTAACCAAAATGAAAGAGCATTTTTGGATAACCAATAAGATTGCTGTATTTGTCCTGCCGGCCGATCAGAACCCCGATTTTTTTTCAACCCCGATAAAAAGGAATTCGCTTGGTCGGTGAATTGATGAATCTTAGCTACGAGCGACTACAGTATCTGCGAAAAATACCAAACTGGATCGAGGAACGTGTTTTATTTCAACTTTGATTTCTAGGTAGAAAAGTAGCCCTGGTAATTGGACATGATGTTTTTCATTTCGTTCACGCTTTTTCTGAAAAGAGCTGTCGCTTATTTTTTGGTAGAATTAAAAACCTGCGATCCATGAGCATCTTGAGAACGTCCATCTGAAAATCAGGATCCTCGATGACCGCGTCTGAGACAAGCTGAGCCTCAGAGGAGATAAAAAAGCAGAAGATAATTGAAAAGAATCGCATTTTCAGCATATGTCTTTTGAGCCGTCTTTTTATACAGTGATTGTACTGTGAATTGACAGTTTAAGTGGTAACACGTGAACAGGTCGCACTGTATATTTCAACCATTATTTTTGTGATTAATATTGATTCTGAATACAATTTGGTTGAAACCTGGCAGTGGAAATGCGGAGTCGTTGTGATTTGGCTCGCTTGGATCGTGTTTTTCATCAAATTAATGAATATTCCGAAAATGGGTTATTACTTGATCATGATGGGAAAAGTAACGATGACCTGGGTAGGAGCCTTAATAACGAAATAATCACCGATCAATTTCTAGATTTATTTCGGAATGGTCTTCCTTGTTTTCATCTTCGCTTTCACCATCATTCTCTACCTCCTCTTCATGAACCACGCGAGTTTCCACACCCTCTTCCTCTCCCTGATGAGCACTATCTTCATGTTGATTCTTTCCTACAACTGGTCAGCAGTAGTAAAGCCACCTTGCGACCCATACAACAACACTCAAATCACTGAGGGTCCGGAAGCAGAATGCTTTGATTACCACGGAATGTCGGCAGGATATCAAATTGGAATGCTGATTATTGCCACGATGGTGATCGCCATGCCGATCGTTATAGGAAGGTGGTCGATCATGAGCGCATTGTAGAATCTTCCATGCTTTCTGAAACCACCAAAACAGTCAATATGCTGATCGCCCTGTCCGTCGACGACGTATGCGCGGTAAGCCAAGAAGCCAATTTGAAGAAAATCGCCATTCGCGTCCGACAATCGCTGAGCTCTATCTACAAGCTGCCGAACAAATATCGAGTCGATACGATGAATGTACCCGCGATAAAGTTCATTTTGAATCCAAAATACTACCGTTCCTGGTGGGACAAAGTGTTGAACAACGAAATTAAACTTGAAGAATTGGAGCAAAAATCTGTCGTGGTAGAGCTTTATGAAGAAGTGAATGATCGGTCAACGACGGTAGAATCGCATATTTCTGATTTGTCAACAAAAATAAGGAAGGGGTTCGAATTTTCTGCTTTTTTTCTGAAAAAAAAACGGGGAGGTGTCTGGAACCGACGAAAAAATTTCGACAAATTTTACGTGGAAATTTTCAACCAATCAGAAGCCTGTATTGGGAAAACCGGCCAATCAGCAGCCGAGAAGCCGCCCATGCAAAATATGTCGAAATTTTTTTGTCGGTTCCAGACCCCATCCCAAAAAAACGTGGCTTCGAAACTCGCTGAAAGTAATTTGACAGAAAAACTGGACGATCAAGATGACAGATTCAAGTCCTTGTTCACTCGACTGAACAACGGGATTGAGAAACAACGCCCTGGAGCTGGCAGAAGACAACGCTTTTTGACGCATACATAGGGGTGCTCCTGTTCATTTTTGCTTTGAAATAAATAAATTTCTTTAAATCTTTTCATCTCAAAACGTCATTTTTCGGGAATCGTTGATTTTGCAGTAAAAAACTCAGCTGATTCTCGTACGTTCTCCGCACAAAAGACCACGTCGCTTCCGTTTAATTGTTTTTAAATTTTATCAATCTGGAAGTTCGTTTTGTTTCAGAAGAAAAAGTTCTCTTTTCCATTGTTGAACTTTCTGATTTAAGAAGGAGGGGCTTCCGATTAGTTCTAGTTTGAGTCTCAATCATTGAAAAAATGAGGCTCGTATCGTTTTTGGCCTTTGTGGCTGGAACTGTTCTTGCAAAAGAAATTCAAAGAGGTAAAATTATTTTACACAACCGAGAACTGACTTTCTTCTTCAAGCTGAAAACTCTTTACTGGTTGATGAGCCAGAACCTCTCCATCGATTTGCGCGCAGTAAGAGTGGATCTGGAAAGAGTGGATCTCCAAAATCTCCGAAAACGCCAAAATCTGGTAAGAGCTCCAAGTCTCCAAAATCGCCCAAGTCACCCAAATCCGGCAAAAGCTCCAAATCACCAAAGTCTCCCAAAACGCCAAAGTCTCCCAAAACGCCTACTCAACGTCCAACTCGGCCACCAACAGTAACAACAAAACCGCCACGACCCACAACAGTTTCTACCACAACCAAAAAAACAAGACCAACAACTGTCTCAACGACTACTCGAAAAACAAGACCTCCTCCAGTGACAACGAAGCCGACTCGACCACCAACACTAACAACGAAACCAACCAAGCCACCAACAGTTTCCTCCACAACAATCAAGACAAGACCAACGACCGTTTCAACAACAACTCGAAAAAAAAGACCAACAACAGTATCGACCTCAACCACCACCTCCACTACACGAAGATGGCCAACAATCACTCTCCCGACTCTTCCTACTCGCACAACTCCCCCTCCTACCGTTTCAAGTACAACAACAACATCGACCACACGGCCAACTACAGTTTCAACGACAACGTCTCGACAGCCAACAACCACTCTTCCCACAACAACTGAATCATCAACCAGTCGAACCTTCACCCGACCCACAATGAAACCAACCTTCAAGCCGGAAACAACAACGACGGAAAAAGCTCCCCAAGAGCCATGCAACTGTGAGGACAATAATGACGAGGAGCAAGAATTGGTAAGAGCAATTAATAACAATGTTTTTAATACAATAATAACAAAAAAGAAGGTTGACTTTCAGGATGGCATCGTCATCTTCGCGCCAGTTTTGAACGAAATTGAAACGAACATCGACATCGAGCAAAATTTCTTGACCAACATTGACATGGATCTTGAATAAAAAATATTTTTTCTGCAATTTTCTCCCGGCAAGGATTCCTGGAAGGCGCAAGAAATCATGTAATGATTATACATTGCACACAAGCGTGTCCGGAAAACCATGTCCGAATCTGATTTCTTGAACGTGGAAACATTTGTTATCGCAGCTTGGCGCTTCCACTTGAGTAGGACGGAATCCACTTACGCGCTCTTGGGAAAATCGCGAAAGAAACTTTCTAATTTCGACCACTTTCGTTCTCGAAATACCTTCAAATTTGGTACCTTTTCGGACCTCATTAAAACTCCATTATGTTGTTCCCATTCATCCCTTCTTTCAGATTTCTCCTTCATTGACCATCCTCCATTTGAAAGCGGATTCTCATCCTCTTTTTTTTCGCCCCGGTTTGAATTATGAATATGAGAGCTGTGCGTACAGTGAAGTGAATACTGCATAATTAATGAGCTGTAAGTTTATAAACAAGAGTGGAGAAAGACGAGTTTAACTTGAAAAAAAGAAAACAGATGTTGTTACAATATTTTTTCATTGGTTTCAGCTCGGCCCTGTTTGATCCCTTCAAAAATGTTCGAGATGGCAAGACAAGCCATTTCAATGAAGAACGTAAGTTTCCCTTTTCAGGCATTTTTTGAAAAAATTTTTCGAATTTTTTTAATTTTCAGAAACCCGTGGCTACTCGCCGTACTCGATGCTGATGAAGAGCCAGTATTTCAAGCGATCTGGTCAATTTTTCGACTCCAATCCTTCAATCATCGAATATTAGAAAAATCCACCTTTTTACGTTTATTTTTTTTTCTGTTTTTTCATCTTCGCTTTTTTAATATGTGATTTTTTTCTGAGCACAAATGGAAAGTAAAAGTTATTGCACAATCGCTTTTGAGTCAGTTTTCTTCATCTTTATTAATAATTTTTTGAATAAATAGAAATTGCGCTTTGAAAATATGCAAATTTGAAATTAATCCCACAAGTGCGGAGAGCGCCACCTCGCAGGTCCTTGACGAAAACCGGAGATTTCATGATCATCCCAGCGCATTCCCACTCGAGGACGATTGATATCAACCGCCTCTTGATTTTCCAGCGTTTTTCAAGTAAGTCAAACAAGAGATATCCTTATTCGTTGGGTTAGGGTTAGGGTTAGGGTTAGGATTAGGCTAAGAGTAAATGCAAAATTATAATATATATTATAAAAATATATTTTTATAAATATTCTTTGGAGAAAAGTTCTAGTATAGAAGTCAATTATTAATTAACTCTGAGACAATAACAACAGCAAAATTAGGCTTTTTTCTTCCAAAAATTGCAAAAAAGAGCAAAAAATTGTTCTAGATGGGCCGGGTGCACTGAATGCACCCGCGTCACGCATAGGGGTAGTTCTGATGGTCACGCATAGGGTTAAATAAGTACTTTATGGTCTTTCTTTTCGCGCTCTAGAAAAGCCCTTCTGAAGCTCCATCTCTTTCATCCCTTTTCTTATCTTAATTTTAGGTCTCCGTTTTAATTACTGGCAATACTCCAGAATAAAGCAAACTTAGCATCCTCAAAAACTTCAAAACAAAAAGAAGATGAAATCAGCCTTGGTAAGATATTTAGGAACACACACCGAAGGGCCTCGCTGGAACTTCTGCGGACTGAGCATGGAATCACGTGGCGTCTTCCAATCGGCTCATCCTGTTCAGGAGCGGTTTGAGAGAAAATTCGAGCGCTAGAAAAATTTTAATACTAATCTGAAAATCCGGTAAGCTAAGATTATGCGATGGGATCAAGAAATTCGAGAGGGAGATTTTTGGGAGAGGATTTTAGATATCGATTTCGAGCGGGAGGGGGATTTTCTTCACGTGTTTTCCTGATAACAGATCAAAGGTTGTACCCTTAAGTTATTTGGCTTGATCTTCGAATAAATCTACAAGGAGACCTCATATTTTAATATTTTTTTCGATATGACTTTTTTTTCTTAGCTCTGAAATCAAGCCAAATTGAAAGATTCGCCAAGGCAAGGGTCCTCATAATCCCCCGAAAAATTCTTTATTTTAAAATTGCTAAGAGCAGTTGAGGACCCAAGAAAACAGCGTGCAAGTATCGAATCCAGCCGCGCGAAAACGCCGACAATCTCAAGATCAGAATTACTGGTAACGCTCGCTTCTCATTCATCGAGGAAAACGTTTCTTTTCAGATTTGGACTTGCCACGTGATTCGGAAAATGGATGTGCGGACAGTTTGAAATTCGAAAATCAAAATAACACGCGCGAAATTTGCGGAATTGGCTCAATGTTCGAGATCGGTCAGGATTCTAGAGTCGATGCCTTCGACATTTCTATGGATCCCAAAATGTCTGAGGAGGACAAGTCGCTTTTTCAATGGACGAGAATGTCTTCGGATGACGAAGATGGACTCACCATCCTTTTCAATGCGACAAAAGGAGGAAGCTATGGCTGGAGGCTTGAATGGACTACGGAGGATTTTTCAGATGATGAAGATAATTTTCCGCTTTTATAAAAAAAATTCCGAGAATAAATTTCTGTACAAAAAAAAAATTAACACTTGACAAAAGGAGTGGACCAACGTTTTTGTCCCCTCAGGCGAAAAAACTATTTGCAAAAGAAAAAAATTCGAGAAAAAGCAGGACTCGGGCCAAAGTTGCCAACGCCCTAAAATCTCAATCTCTTCGCAAACTACAGTGACAGTGAGCAAATTAAGCTGATTGTGATGTAACTCCTTTACAAGCATTTTTATAGAGCGTTCACAAGTTCGTAAGCGCGCGGCAAACGCAATATTTTTTTTGAAATGAAGCTGTTCGGATCATCAATTCTAGCTGCTGCTCTCGCCGGAGAAGTAAGACCAAGGCCAGATGATCTTAAAAACCCGGTGGCGAAGTGCGAGTTCGATGCAGATAGAGATTCATTCAGCGCTGGAAAATTTCCTGATGGCTTCAAGGAACGGATTTCAAGAATTTTTTGATAAAATTTAAAAAAATAATTTTTTGTTAATCCAATAAAAGTGGTCTTTCGCCACAGCCGCCTACCAGATCGAAGGATCCTGGAACCAGGATGGTAAAGGAAAGAACATCTGGGATACCTTCTCTCAAACCCCCGGAAATGTCTGGCAAAACGACAATGGGAACGACGCTTGCAAATCATACGAGAATATGAAGCGAGACGTGGATAATATGAAAGAACTGGGGGTAAAGGATAACCGGTTTTCACTTTCCTGGGCTCGACTTTGCCCAACTGGCAAATGCGCTACCACTGCTGGTCAAGAACGAAAGGGGATTGATCACTATCACACCTTTCTTGACATGCTCAACGAAGCTGGAATCGAACCCTTCGTGACGCTCTACCACTGGGATCTTCCACAGGCGCTCGAAGACGAGTACGAAGGTTGGGAGGGATCGCAGATCGTTGATGACTTCGGCGATTACGCAAGACTTGTCTTCACAGAATATGGAAACAAAGTCAAGAATTGGATCACGCTGAACGAAGCGGAGGTTGTTTGCGACCTTGGATATGGAATCGGGGTATTTGCGCCCGGAAAAACTGGTGATAAATCGCAGTTTGCTTGCAGACACCATACAGTTCTTGCTCATGTCAAGTAAGTTTGCATTTTTAGAGTTCACAAAACTCAACCGTTCCCACTTAGGGCGTACCATATCTATGATCAAGAATTCCGAGCGGAGCAAAAAGGACAGATCGGAATCACGATGAATACCGACTGGTACGAAGGTCTTGATGATACAAAAGCAAACTTGGATGCTGCGCAGCGATGGATGGACCTTCAGGTTGCCAGTTTGTTCACGATTCTTTTCAAACCTAGATTAAGCTTGGCTTCTGGGCTGATCCAATTTACCTGACGGGAGATTACCCTGAATCGGTTTTGAAAAATAACGATGCTTCTGTTCTCCAGCGATTTACCGACGAGCAAAAGCAGAAAAATCTTGGTGCTGCCGATTTCTTCGGACTCAATCACTACACAACTCGGCTTGTTGAGGATGGAAACAAGAATGGAGGTATCTTTAGCAATATTTACTCAAGTTTATCTTCAAATTTAAGGAGGCATTGGTGTTGAATGGACTGGCTATACCTGCCCTCAATGGCCACAAGCTGGGTCGGAATGGCTATATTCCGTCCCGTGGGGCTACAAAAAGCTTTTGGCATACATTCACCAGCGATACAACTCGAAGACCTACCCAATCTACGTCACTGAAAATGGCGTCTCTTCCCGAGGAAACGGCACAGACGCTAATCCTGAACTCAACGATCAGTGGAGAATAGATCATTACACTGGATATATCGGTAATCCCTCGTTATCCCTTTCTTCGAACATCTTTTCTAGGACAAATGAAGCGCGCCATGGAAGAAGACGGCGCAAACGTAGAAGTTTACACCGCCTGGTCGTTGATGGACAATTTCGAGTGGGCATCTGGCTACAGCGAGCGATTCGGAATGATCTGGGTCGATTTCACTGACGACAACAGAACTACTCACTTCAAGGATTCTGCACGCTTCTACTCTGATCTCATCCAGGTACAAAAATATGTCCGTTTTATCGTTTAAATGAATTTCTAGACGAATGAGCTCAAATGCTCAGAAGGAACTGATACATGTAGCTCTGCAACAACGACTACTGCTTTGATGACTACTGTCATGTTTTTGTTTTTCCAGATGTTTTGAAAAAAAGATGACCTAATAAAATTTGTCTTTTTATTGCAATAATCATCAATTTTTTTCCAATCGTTGTTTACAAATACCTTAACTCGCCGTAAGCTTTTCGCGATCAACGAAAAAGGAGTATCCGCTGCGAAACTCGGAATGAGTAAGTAAACTTGATGAAAAATGAGCTCTTTTTTGAGCTCAAAATTTAAGCTGTCTTGAAGAACACCTTGTGACAACCTTAGGTCCTTGTTGATTAAAATGTCTCTGAATTATCTTTAATTTCTCTGTGGTGAAATAAACTTATGATTTCGTAAATATTTTAGTAGTTATATAATTGCCCGTTAGAGGGTACTCGATTATGCGTTGCCCGTTAACGGAGTCATGTTTTTAAAGGTCAGTACTTGACCTTTGATCAAGTGATAATTGGGGACCGTAACCCGGCGTGTTTTCTCTCCCGGTGGAACTTGGCTCCCGGTGGACCCTGACTCCCGGTGGAACCTGGCTCCCGGTAGAACCTGGTTCCCGGTAGAAACTGGCTCCCGGTTGAACTTCCGGTCGGTTCCATCGCCCGAGAACATCTTCTATTTGAAGAACTTCAACGACATCGAAAAGCAAACGAAGCAGTTAGAAAAGAGCATTGCTGAAAATCTGTTTATACATAATTAAAGTTCTTGTTTCAATCACGTACTTTGCACAGCAAGCCCGGTGACCTCCGAAAGAATTGAACGACTTGACATTAGGGAAATCACCGTAGCAAATGTCGTATGTTCCTTTGCTGGGATTGAATGATAACTTTCTAAAATATATAAGTCAGTCAAGAAATTTTACTTTAGTTGGACCTGTTCGGACGAGCTGATTCTTTTGCAGCTGCTCCTCGTTGTTAACGTCAGCAAATGCGAGCGATTCAAGTTCCATTCGAAACATATCGTTTTGCGGAATCTCAACATCACTGCTTTCCTCATTTGGGTCTCTGCTACTACTTTTTCAATGTCGCTTTTGCTCATAATTGTAGCCAAGAACGCTAAATATCTGCTGTTATTTCAATGCAAAGAATTCTTCTCATACCGGGACTGTTCAAACGAGTCGATGTTGCGTACCAATCCATTTACAAGTTTCACGTCGCACTTACAAGCGAACTTTTTAGGTCTTCGTTTTTGTCGATCAAATCTTTTCCCGTACAGATTGGGTTGCATCCTGGAATCAATGAATATTAACAGCTACTTCTTTCGAAAGCATTAAACCTGAAATAAGCGGGACGTGCACGATGCCGGCTTTTTTCGATGTGAAGCTGCCGTTTTTGCGTTTTTCATCCTCTCCGTATTGACCGCTTAGGAAATCTTTTTGAATGCATAGTGAGAAGAAATTTTGAGCAAGGACGAAATTTCGTCGTCGAATCTCGAACTGGATTTCTTTGGTTGAATTCTACACGGCCTTTCATCGTGTAATGCTTCTTTGCGCACTTTCTCTCGTGGCAAGGATAGCCTTCTTCGTTAAGATCTTCATCTCTAGGTTGTCAGTGGGCGATGTCGATGCAGTGGCCGGCGCGGACTTTACAGTAATATTTATCTTCCGTTTTGTTGTAAATACTTTGTTGTAAATACTTTGAAGGATCGTTTAATTGGGTCCGGGTAGAGTTCTTTGAGTTTTTCTTTTCTGGAAAAGTTTTTACTGGTAATTTTCTGTGCATTGAGACATATGCGTCGTTAGTTTAGAACAAAACTATCAACTATTCACAAAGTGCTTCTCAATTTCCAAACAGTTATTCCTTATTGAAGAGCTCACTTTAACTCATTGGCCGCTCGTTTCATCAATTCTATATTCGAGTATCAGAAGAAGCTAAATGAAGTGACTCACTAACCCCGGCTAGAAAAACATCATAGAAAGGTTGGAGAAGTTCAAGCAATAACAAAACAAAGCAAGCAAGAAACATGTCGGACTTACACTGGCCAAAATCAGCACTTGAGAAGCTACAGGGTCTTCGTCATCGGTAAACTCTCGTCAGTGATCAACTGTAAAAGGCAAGTGTTGAAGCAATAAGTCCGCTTTTTAAGTCTGGCCAAGATAATAACCCTTCTCTTCTGCGCAGAATCGAATTACTTTTCCGTCGACTGGAGCGGACACCAACAAGCCCTAAGCCGATCGCACAACAATTAGCCACTCATTCCGGATTAATGCTTCCTTCAAACTTAAATTACCCCTTAGCCCCTTATCCTTTATATAGATAGGAATTCATTTGCCATATAATGACGCCAAACATTTGCACCGTAGTAATGCGAGTGTGATATTTTCGGCGGAAAAACTAAATAAGATGAACAAACTAAATCGGCAGGGAGCGAAAGCGATGTGCGAAAATCAGAAATTTAATTAAATTCGACCGAAACCACCCACTAGTCGAGGACTTGCCTGTCTATCGAATCGCCCAAGCCGCCCCTGAAATGATTCAGGAGCACTCTTGTCCTCTTGAAGTTCATGAAACTTGCCAAGTTAATTATGAGCTTCCGACCATTCAAATTCAGCAAGAAGACGAAGACTCTTTTCATATTCATAACTGAAAAACCCGATTATGCTGGATTACGAATCAACGGAAGTGAGCGCGGCGTTGAAGGTGAGCGATTGAAAAAAGCGAGCGCTTCGCGCTCGCTCGAGATTTTTCTCTAGATCGCCGATACTCCTCGGATTGGTCGAGCGCGTTCACCTGATTTTGGATCTCCTCCCTCCGATTGGCTCTCATGCCACTGACTTTTATAAAAGTCAGAATTTTTTTAAAAAATTGATTTTTAGAGAAGGAGAAAGAAGAGAAAACAGAGAAAACGAGAAGAAGACAAAAAGGTAAGAAATAAAAAGATGGGTTGGGTGAATAGTATTTTCTCAATTTGAGCACATCACCGTAGCAACTTTTTCGAGTTAGTTTTCGAGCGAAAAAAAAATCGAGTCCGTTATTTTCTAGAATACAACAAATATTCAATGGTTGTTTTTAGATGGTGCCATTTCGATTTTGAACCAAGACCATATGATAAAAGGAACTTCGCTCGGCGGTTCCGATTCAAGATGACAGAAATAGAAGGTAAGCTTATTAAGGATTCTGATTGAAATTTCAAACTTTAATCAACAAACGATCTAACGACAATCTTTCAGAAACACGAATCAGAACAACAAGGGCAACGAGAGCAACGACGCGCTTCCGAAAGGTAATTTTTTCTAGAACGCTTTGAATTAAACGCGACTTTTCAAAATAAAGCTCAGTTAAATTTTCCGCGCTTTTCAAGAGCAGCTTTTCGAAAAATAAGAGAGAAGCGACAAAAATTTTGAAAATAAGAGAACTCACCCAAATTTTTAAGACTTTCGAATTCGAAAGCTCGCCGATCAGTGCACTGGTCTCCAGGGTTCCCTCATCTTCGGAGCGACTCTCCGTCGACTACGGCAAGAAGTCCAAGCTCGAGAGACCACCCGAGTCAGCTCACAAGCTTCGACTTTGCTTTCATGGTAAGACCAAAACAAATCTTGTTCTAGAAAAAATATCGATTTTACAATTTGAACTTTCAAGCTAACCAAATGCTAACTTATACATTCAGGTTGACATCTGTCGACGAAACCTTGACATCGAGCGACCTACCTACACAAATCTTAACAGATCGTCTCCTCCATCACCGCTACCCTGTTCGTCGATCTTACCGAGTTCCAGTCCAAAACTCACTAACTGTAAATTCATGGTGCTCCGCGGTGTCTGTGTCTGTTTTCTTTCTAAATATTTGGGGAGGGAGGGAAATAAAAATATTTTATAGAAGATGGTGAGAATGAAAAATTTTCCCAGGCGTCAAGCCACAGCCCTCGCGGGGCCGCGAACACGGTCACAAAGGGGCAACGACGAGGACAACACCGACCAAAACGTGGAGGGCACAGGCAACACAGCCCCAAACGTCGTAAACACAGACGACGACGTGGTCACAGGCAACGACAACGCCCCATCGGACGGGGGCACAGACAAAGTCGGTCCATCGGGCGAGGGTAGTGGCGAGGACGGCCCATCGGGCAAGGGCACTGACAACGACGCGGGCACAGGCAACGACGACGCCCCATCGGACGAGGGCACAGACAAAGACGGTCCGTCGGGCGAGGGCACAGGCAACGACGACGCCCCATCGGCCGAGGGTACAGACAAAGACGGTCCATCGGGCGAGGGGACAGTCACTAGGACTAAATCGACATGGAAAGGTAGGTCTTATATTTCACAGGGGTCACAATCATCAGCAGATAACTGTTTTCCCTGCTTATTGCTCGTCATTCGGTAGATCTCTTACAGAGAAGTACTCCTCTGGTGAGTACAGAACATCAGTGCGTCTGTAACCCTTAGGTGGGATGAATCCCCCACGGAGCAGCGGCTGATGTTCTGGACTCATTAGAGGAGTTCTTCTCTGTAAGAGATCGACCGAATGGCGAGCGATAAGCAGGGTAAATAGCAGTTTTCAAAAAATTTTTGTCGGTAGCAATCTGCTTTTACCCTGATGATCTTACTATCAGCTATAGAGGGTCCTAGTGCGTCTGTCACCCATAGGTGGGATGACTCCCCCACGGAGCAGCGGCTGGTGATCCTTTACAGTTGATAGTAAGATCACCAGGGTTAAAGCAGGTTTCTATCGACGGAAAATTTTTGAGAACTGCTATTCTCCTGCTTATTGCTCGCTATTCGATAGAACTCTTGTAGAGAAGTACTCCTCTGGTGAGTTCAGAACATCAGTGCGTCTGTAACCCATAGGTGGGATGAATCCCCCACGGAGCAGCGGCTGATGTTCTGCACTCATTAGAGGAGTTCTTCTCTGCAAGAGTTCTATCGAATAGCGAGCAATAAGCAGGAGCAAATAACAGTTTCTCCTGATAATTGTGACCCTACAGACAGTATAATAATATCATTATTTCAGGGAAACAGAAACGCATCCCTCGAATAATTTGGGACAAAATTCTCGAGATGGAAGAAACGCCGGGCTCCTTCAGCCTGCAATTCAAACGTGTCATCAATGTCTGCTCCTCGTACGATAAACACTGGCGCGTGGTGGCCAACCTTGTTAAACACCATGGCGACCTTCTACGGGTATGTGGAAATCCCGACGCGAGCATAAAGGTAGGATAGAAAACAAGAACAGAACAATAATCGTCTTTAGGACATTCAAGTCCGTATCGCGCGATATGTGACATGTTTCCCCTTCAGCCAAATAGGGAAATGGCATCAAGGGGCCCTATTCGGGTTTCAATTTACACCCGACAATCTGCCCGCCGTTTCTCCCGAGTACGAATGCTCGTTATCGGGCTCAGACAGCACATTGAATAGCCAGGACACTTGCGACTCGATAGTATCAGTAGACAACGCGGTTTCATGGTTTGATAGAGAAACCGCCGGCGAACCTGAGACCTACGAGCCTGAACGAGCGCTGCGACTGCGTAAGTTTATTGACAATAAGCACGATTCTCATTTATTTTTTAGAGATGCAGAAAGATCTCGCCCCCAAGAATCCCGATTCGCGCGAGTATTCCCCCCAGGACCTCGTGCTCACTTCATACAGAGCGGGAGGACGGTGGAAGCTATGGCTCCAGACGCTGCAAGCTCATAACGAACTCAACAAACGGGCGTCGAATAGCATCTCCAGAGGCACCGCAAAACTGAACGCGCAGCAACCACTCCTCCCCTTCCAGAAACACCGTTACGTCAGCAGATGTCATTTGTAAGTTTAGACAAACAAACATATTAATAAATATTTAGCTATCTTTTGAAACGACGTCGCCGCGAGAAACGGAAGGCCCTGGTTCAAATGCTGGCGTCCGCCGAGCCCTTGACTTTCCAGAAATGGCGGTAAGTTTTTTAGGTTCTTCACACTTTTTTATTTTCAATTAAGAGACCGAGCAATCTGGATGCAGACGGAAAAAGACAGGACACCGGAGGTCTGGGAAAGCAAGTACCACTATTACCAGGAATTAGAGGAGGCCTTCGCCGTATTCTTGGGGAAGATCCTCAAGAAAAAAAGCTGCCTCGGCACCGGGAGCAAATATTCGATGCGAATTGTAAGTCAATGAATTGAAAATCGTTATTTACAAATATTATTTAGCACAAGAGGAAAGATCAGCCAAAGACGACGCGAGACGAGCCCGCCCCCTCCAAGAAGAAGCGAGCTGCCCCCTCCAAGAAGAAATCGGGACCCCCGAAGAAAAAGAGTGGGCCCCAAAAAAAGAGACTCTAACTGCCCCAGCCCCTTTTTCCTTCAATAAACATGTACACCAAGGAAAAAAAGAATCAAACGGTTATCAATCGTTTGAAAGTAGTTTTGTTGATCTGCAAGTTGTTAGGTGGTAAGATGTCGCTCGTGTAGTCGGTTATATATTCGGTGATTATAGAGATATATGCAAAATATGAAAGTCAACCAAAAAAAGCAGCAGGCTCTTAAAAAACAGCAAAAAGATATAAAAAGAAGACTTACTGTTCTTTCTAAAGAAATCGCAGTACTGAAGAAACAAGTTAGAGAGAGAGCCTTTAGACTTCATCAACGAAAAGTGAACAAGATAACAAGCATGTTCAAGCTTTTAAAAATCTAGACGCGTTAACCTTGTACAGCCTAGGTGTCATTTTTGGCCCCTAAAACATTTTCTAGGTGTTGTTTTCCATTTTTCGACATTCGTGACAAAGCCCTTGTAGTTCGAAATTTTAACCTTGTAAACCCCCGCTCACCATTTCATGCTCGACAGCCCCAACTTTCCAAGAGTATAATCTCGATCATCATCGTTTCATTTCAAAATGGAGACCATGAGAGAATTAGTCGGGAAAATAATGAACGAATGGAACAAAAGCTGCTCTAATATCGAGGCCTACGGAAAGAAACTTAAACAACAGCTCGAAAAGGTTCATCCTCGAGATGAAGCAAACTCAACCATTCTCATTAGTATATTCCTTTGATATGGGAATAAACTTAAAATCAATCTAGACTCGATGTTTAATGTGTTGAGCCAATGTCCAAAAGAATCTTTGAAGAATATACTGGACATACAAGATACTGGTCCCATTACAAACGAGGCTGTCACCGAAATGTATTGGACCAAATCGAATAATGATTGTTATAAAGTAAGATCTAGCATGATATAAAAAAAAATCAATAATCAAAGGGTCCTTCAATCGCTCCAAAGAATTCGAAAAGCTGCATGAAAAGAAAAGGCGAATCTATTGAACGACCGCAAAAAATCAAGCCATCCTTCCGCGCGCTTAAAACTTTCCCACCTCAGAAGGTTCGTCCTTGCAATTTTTATTTAAACTCATAAAACAGATAATCCTTCCTCAAATTAACTCCATCGAAAATCAGCAGCCTGAACAGAATCCTGCTCATGAAGTAAGTTCAATGGATTTATATTCAAAGATAATCGGATTCTAGTCTCAAGAACAATCGATCGTTGTCTGTGATAATCCCTGTCCCCAAACTTATACAGTGAGTTTACTTTTGCTTTTCTCAATTTATCGATAATTCTAGTTTGTCAGTGAACCGAATGCTTCTGTGCCCCAGATTGTGAGTTGAGCTTATCCTTACTATTCTAATTATTTACAATAGCCAGAAAATTTCGAAATTTCGTCTTTTTTTGAAGAAAAACCAGATAAAACAACAGAAGAAGTGAGCTTATCTATGAATTATTCATTAAATTCAATTCTGTAGCCAGCGATAGATGTTTCAAAGAACCTCTCGACACAGATGTTTGTTGCTGAGGTAATCAGAATACAGGTCGCAAAGACATTATTCTTAGTTTGACACAATATTTGGAACCTACTCTACCCAGCAAAATGAAATCAACAATTCTTTCGATTGCAATATTGTTCCATACAAAGGTCTTTTTCATTCATTAAAAATTATTTTCTTACAAAATTATAGGCAACGAACGATCTAATGACCAGCGACAACCGCAAAACATGGACTTTGACATTCAACAATCGCAGACACTTCCACCGCTAGACAGTTTCTTTTAGCCGAGTTTCAAAAATAAAAAATCTCTCAAAAACTTAAATGCCACCAATTTATTTGCCCAGGGGTCAAAGAAAATTTGTTATAAAAACAGCAGGAATAATAAATGTTTCGCAGATACCAAAAAATCGACTTTAAAAACAGTCAAAATACTAAAAATGAGTGGAGATATGCCTTTGTCAATTGACATCGAAAACGAACGGTAAGAAAATTTAAGGAAAAATGATTGATAAATCTGAAATTTAAGCAAGGAAATGATTCTGTTCCTCTGGGAGGTAAAGGACCAGATCCTCGCTGATCGCATCGGCATGGCGATAATCATTGTTGCAGTGGGGATTTACGCGGCGGTTTGCAAGTTCGTCAAGAATCGACGTTCCCAGGGACTCAAGTACACATTAAACGACGGGCGAGGAGACTACATTGTTCGATCAACTGAGGTGTGAACGAGGCGTCGGCGAAAGAAATCTTTACTCTGAATCTTTGATTTTCGTAATTTCAATAAATTTGGTTGCTCTTTACCCAAGTATTCGTCTATTTCATTGGCAGTGATTATCGCAGGCTTCGCATCCGTCTCCATTTTGTCATCGGATTCTTTTATAATAATAAAGTGTTGCAATTAATGTATATTACCGTTTGCTGTATCAAGGTGGTTTCGGAGCTTTTCAAGAACTTCAAAAGCATCAGGGCAGTTTCTGTACTTGAGCATCATTGTTTCTAATTCGAGTTAAAATTTGACTATAGATAATATGAACCTATTTGCAGCTTGAATGCATCGAGCACATCCGGCGAAAGATCAGGTAGCAATTTGATGATGGCTGAGGATCGTATTTTCTCGTCTACTTCTTGAAGCTCTTTGATCTCCTCTATCGCCGACTCTTTTTTTAGCCAGTAGTGAATCGCACATTCAGCTAAATCGCTGAGAAGAGAAGCAAGAATGTTCAATATCTCGGTCATATCGATGATTCAGTTGCTGTTAGTTTGCCAACTTCAATCAAGCTATTTTTAGATAGGAATGGGCGCGCTTCAAACGGTCACCCGGAGGGCGCTCCTCTAGATCAAACCATTCCCCTATATGGGTCATAGTCAGATCATACAGTCACATTCAAATCTCTCAAAAAATGAAAATAACCAAATATCTTTTTCTCTTCGTGATCATCAGGAAGAGAATTCTTCCTGGGGCAAACGTTAAAGAGAAGGACTTGAAATCAACGAAGACTTCTACAAAGAGAGTCTACAAGCATTTTCGTGAGCTGTAAACCGTAACTGTTTCTTTTGATTGTTTTGTCTGTTTGGTGATTTGTCTGGTTGTTTAATTTGAAACCTTGAGCTTAACTTAAGAACTTTTTCAATAATTTTGTAATAAAATAAAAAAAGACCCATTTAGCTTGAAGACGAAATACTTTTCTTCCTCAAGCTCAATGGGTCAACAAAAACTCGCTAACCTCTAAAATTTCAGATGAATAGGTTTGTTCCTTCTGTCGTGTTACCCGGTGACGACACCGAGGAGTCTCCCGAGACTTCCGAAACGACCCAGCCTCTTGAAACAACAACCTCAGTTTCAGAAATCGAGACTTCTCAAAACAACGGTAATTACAAAATCCAGGAAAACAAACCAACGTTCCTATCTAGTCAAGATTCTGCTCGGCATCAGCATCGCTCTTGTTCTTCTTGGAACAGGTACTGTTAGCTTTATTGGTCCCTACTTCTTTTATTTCTTTTAGGAGTGACAATCTAAAGATGGCGGAAGCGAATTCGAACTCACTTCAGAACGCTGCGAAGCATTTTAAACCCTCCATCTCAAAACCAAGGTGAAATTAATCAAAATCAAGCAATAACTAACTACTCTTTATAGCCACTCCACTTCAAATGCTTGAGACCGCAATTCAACGGGAGCCACTTCCATTTGAGTAAACTCTTTCTTGATTCCCGAAGGCAATCAGGTAGAAGGTTTTTTTTCTCGTGCTTTTTGGAATATTTTTTGACTGGGGAAAAGACTTTAGCTATCTCATTGCCTTCGAGAATCACGCTTGCCTTCAATCTTCCTTTGCTCATCTCCCAAGCAGAACTGAAAAATATGACTCTCGGTTGCAATCAGGTAGAAAGAGGTCTTTTCTTTGTGTGCTTCCCGTCGTAAATTGTGACTGGAAGCATGCGGAAAAGACTTTAGATATCTGATTGCAGTCGAGAATCATTTCGCTTCTTACAAACTTCCTAAGCTCAACTTCAATATCTCCCGGGCATAACTGATTTCTTTCGCTTGTGACCGGGAGTTTTTTTTTTGCAACCATCCAAATTACATGTCGACGATTTAATATTATTTTCTATAAATTTCAGAATGCGTGACGACGCAATCCTCAGCGACTACCAAGACTCGCCAGTGTTTATTTCGCTTGCAGGTGAGTATAACGCTATGCTCAACTGCAAGCAAACTAAACTCTTGCTGGTGATGTCGATGGTTGTCATTGGGCTCGTCACTGTTACGCTTGTTACCACCATCATCGCTTATCTACGACTTCAGCGGGAAATGCGACGCACTCCTCCGCGACCCCGGGAAACACTTCAGCTAGTTTAATTCTGCAAAAAACAATTTTCCAAATTATTTTCAAATTTTGTTAGGTTTAGTTTAATTAAATTATCAATTTCGGCCAAAAAACCAGCTAATGTTTGTGTTCTATTAGAGTCATGAACCCGCCCGGACCGAATGTTCCACCTACCCCACCGCCAAGACCACCGCCACCACCGCCGCCAATAACAACACGACTACCAGTTGCGATCTTCGATTTTTTGCGGGGAATGATGACGATCAATGATCCAGTCACCGCAGTGCTCGTATTCATGATCTACTGGATCTTCTATTGCCTCTACAGCGCCTTTCTGATCTACGTCAACGGTAATTTATTCACAAAATGACTGAATTCTAACACAATCGTTGAGACTACGTCAACAGACTCTCCGAAGAGGCTCGACTGCAGCTCTACAATCGTCTTCCATTGCCACTCCAGCAGTTCGCAGCTCAAAATCTTCCAGCGATTCAAGTAAGAGAAAACAGGCTGAATATCAATTTATTATTTTGATAGGCAGTTCTCTTTCAAGACCAACAAGGCGCCCCAGAAATCGAACACAATCAGGCAAGACTTGACTCAAAGGATCTCGGTTCTTAATTATATCTAGCCCCGACGCAATCCACCCAGAGCTCGACGACGGCCAGATAGATTCCAGCATAACTGAACTGATTTTGTTGTTTAGCCTTACCCCCTCACCCCATCGCTAATTTGCCGGGTTACGCTTCGCTTTTGCTCGCTCTTAGAAAATTGACCTTTTGAAATTATCTCACCGCTAGAAGTCCAGAAAACAATAAAATCAAGGAAAAGACCATCATCTTCATTCAATTCAGAAATGGAAGCTTACAAGCAAGCCGCAAAAAGTCTTAAAAAGGCTTTTGAGGAGTCGATGTCAATCCTTGTGGAAAAAGCCACTGCCTTTGTTGGAATGGAGTCGACTCTATCAGCAGAGGAGCGAAAGTTTGCCACCAAAATCAAATGTAAGAGTCCACTCTTGACTAGAATTATAGCTTACCCAAATATCTTTAGGGAGATTACTCGAAGCAATGGAAACAAATGAAGCATCTGAAGTTGTCGAATTCAGTCTAATCGATGAAGATGGAACCATCGATGTCTCTTTTGATCAAAAAGACGAAGATTTCGCCTTCCGTAAGACAACTCTTGTTCGTCAAAATGCTCACTCCACCTTTAAAGTCGACTCCTCTGACGATTTACCTCGGACACCAGAGTTTAAAGGGGTCCCACCCATCCCGGAGAATCCAAGAAAACGCAAAAGATCAGAGGATGACGTTGGAGCCCCCACAAAAGACATCAAACCCCGACGCCTGGCTTTCGACTAAAAAAGTAAGCTTTATTTTGTGAAGGCATGAAATTTACTTCTTTCAAAGTTTCTCCTTCTACAATTGCTCGTTACGACTCTCAGAAGAATTATACCTCATCTCGACAACCATGGAAACCTCAACTCGCGAAGAAGAAATCTTGATCCGCAACCCGTCAAACAGTACTGCTACTCAAACGTCATGGATATCTCATCCGGTTCGCTCAACTCTCAACATAAAAAAACATTTTACTCTATTCCACTTTTTACTGACCTCTTATCTCTCAACCGTGTCGCCTTATCCGATTATAATCAATACAACTCTTTCCACTTGAATGCTCTTGACATGTTTTCTGCATTTAAAAAGCCAACTCAAGGTCAGCAGGTTTTAATGAGAAAATTTGATGTAACATTGGATGATGTCCCTTTTTATATAGTTCTGGGAGAGCTCATCAAATCAGAACTACCGTTAGAGAGCTTCTTCTGCGAAAGGGGATACATACGTGATCAAGAATTTGTCAAGTACGTTTACGACCTATCGCGCACATGTCCGTTTGTCACAAAAGATGATTTTGAGAGTTTTTATGGCAAAAGATTCATGCGAATTTCACTCGATAAAAGTGGAATAAGATTTGTCGATGACGTTCCCTTCTGGTCTCCGTCTGTTCTTTACTATGAACTGCGGGAAAAAGGAGTAAAACCCAAATACAATTATTGTCCATTGTCTTTTGAAGACCTTGTGCAAAACCTACATTGCAATCAGAAGATGAAAAATTGCGAGAATGTTCACAAATACTTTGCCCTGGAACTCGAGAATCTCTCTGTCATCGGTTACAATGGTGCTTTCAATGAGTCTGCGTACAGAAAGATATCAAACGAGTTGAACAAGGAAGTTCATATCTATTCTCTTTCAACTCGACCAGAGGCAAAGCAAAAAAACTTTCTCTTCAAAAGAATCGGACGATACAAGCCGAAAAATAAAGAGCCAGGAGATCCTCTTCTTCTTTACAGGCATGAAGAAACACCAAATACACCCTTCTTAATTTTCAACAGCAAATGTAAGAATATCCAATTATAATTTACTCAAAAGAATTCTAGTAATCGCCGAACAACGTTTTCTTTGCCAATTCAAAAACTGCTTCATGCATTTCGACCGACTTGCTAAATTGAAAACCCACGAAAAAGAATGTGAAAACAGAAGAGGAGTCGTTGAAGCCGTGCCACGTGCTTACGGACAGCCAATAAGTCCAATCGCAAAACTGATAGACCTTGGACTTCTTGATGATGAATTTATCAGTTTTATCAAAAGAAAAATAGGTAAGTTGAAAAAAAAAAACTCAATCTTATATTTATTTAAGTGACCTACGATATTGAGACTTATGAGTCTCCGATCGGGCTAAAAACCTGTGAGACGACAATTCACTCATCGTTAAGATTGCTCTCAATAGCTATTGGTAATTAAACTCTTTAAACTCAAAATTCAAGACAATTTTCAGGAAGTAACTTTGGAGTTGAGCATTTTCTGGTACGAAATGATGACTCGCCAAAGTCAGCCTCTGATCTGGTGGAGAGATTTGTTCGAATACTCTACGAGCTTTCGCAAGGAGAAGCTGGTCAGCTCCCGGATGAGTTTTTTCTTGCATTAGAAAAACTTGAAAGTCTCATCGAGAACGGTATAAAAAAAATCTTTGGATAGTAACGACTCCTATTTTAGAATCACAAATGAAAGCAAGATTGAAGTTGCTGGGACTGAAGAGAGAGCTCAAAGAATACATGAAGCTGAGCGTTTTTGGTTTTAATTCAGGTAAAAATTGAGCAAACGATAAAGCAACTGTTCATTTTTGTAGCAAAATTTGATCTTGCTGTGCTGAGTCCTTATTTGATTCCGATTCTGAAGCAAGAGTATCCGAAAAAACTGCACATTATCAAGAAGGGATCGACATTTTTCTCAATCTCCACTGAACACTACGTTTTCAAGGATGCAATGCTTTTCACCACTCCGATGACTTTGTCAAAGTACCTGAAGCAATCAAAAATCAACGAAAACAAGTCAATATGGCCATACACTTTGTTTAAATCGGTCTCCGACATCGCAAATTGCAAAACGTTTCCGTCAAAAGATGCGTTTTATAATGATATAAAAGACATTCCTGTCGATGACAACGATTATTCGATTGCTAGAGGACAATTCTATGCAAATCAAGCCCTCAATCCAGATTATTCAATGATGGATTGGCTTCGTTACTACAACTTGACTGATGTTGGTCCATTCGCAAGAGCGATTGCTGTGCAGTTTGACATCTTTCATCAAGCATTCAATGTTGATCCTTCGCTTTGCTCTTCGCTTCCGAAATTCGCCATGATATGTCTTTTCGATCTTTTCTCTAAAAAGGCTCCGCTTGCATGTAATTGATGATATAATTTTCATTGTACATAACTCTCCTTTAGATTCATTTTCATCTCTGTCTCCGTCCGAGCATCAGCTATTCAGGAACAATATTGTTGGAGGTCTTGTCAATGTCTTTTCGCGATACACTGAGCTGCGTGACGATATCGACGCACCTAGAAATGCCAAATATGCTGGTAATGGAGAAAGGTTTACAAAAATAACTTTTCTCGACTTTAACGCATTATATCTTTATGCGCAAAATCAGAAGATGCCAACGACACCAGGTAGTTGAATTTTATTGTTGAGTATTGACCAAAATTTAGGTATTCTCTGGACAAAAGGTGCAAAATTTTACAAGCAAACAATGATGGCTAGAGAGACTTCTTTTGCCGCCCATAGATGGTTGACCTTCATCGATGAATACTCTTCAGATCTTATTTCGTCAAATGGTGAACGAGTGCCCCTTCAACATGCCTATTTTCGTGGAGAACATCAAGTGATGAATTGGAAAATCGACGGGTACGCTTGCGTTGATGGTGTTGATCACTTTTACGAGTTTCTGGGATGTTACTTTCATGATTGCTGTCCTGTCTGCAAATCTGGAAAAACTGATACTGCCTGGGAGCTAAAGAAAGCCTATCTACAGAGTGCTGGAAAATTGACATACATCCACGAGTGCGTTTGGAGTAAACGAATCACTCTCAAGCATCATACTCGTTCACTTTACTGGGGAAAGATATTCATGAGACATACTGAAGAACATTTGCTTGAAGAAATCCGTCTCGAGAAAGTTTTTGGATTCGTTGTCGCCGATGTTACCTGTCCGTCAGAGGTTTACGAGAAAATCAAGCATCTAAACTTCCCTCCAGTTATACAAAGAATGACGCTCAACGAAGATCACGTTTCGCCTTACATGAAAACGAGAGCAGAAGCAGCAAATCGCGAAATGAAACAGGAAACTGTTGTTCAAACGTACAATGGAAAGCAACTTCTTCTTATGACTCCACTGGTCGCCTTCTACTTACGCCTTGGTCTCCAGATAACCAATATCACCAAATTCACTCAATATCGTGCTGAACAATGTCTTGGGGATTTCTGCCGCAAAATTACCGATGGAAGAGTAAAGAGTCTTGAAGACAAGAACGATTCACTCGCGAATGCATTCAAAACGGTGGGGAATTGGTAAGAGTCTCTTTTCTCAGAATTTCGACTTATATTTGATTAAGCGGGTACGGTAAAATGGGAGAGATCGTCAAAAGACCGGACACGCAATTCCTCACCGAGGAAGAGCTTCAACGAGCAGTCAAAAAGCCACGTTACAAGTACTCTGAACCGTTAACACAAGAAGATGGCGACTACGAAATAACACAAGTTACTATGGACAAATTGAAAATCAATGATGATAAGCCAATTGTTCTCGCCGTTGCGATTCTTCAGCAGTCTAAACTTCTTTTTCTCAAATTTGTTTACGACGTTCTTCACAAGTTCCTTGTCCCTGGGAGTTTCAAATTGAACTATTGTGATACTGACTCACTGGCGATTTGTAAGTACATTCAAATCAGTTTATGCCTTAAAAATATTTAGCCACAACAAGAACAGCCCCGTCCGACAAAACGAACCGATCCCAGACAATCTCAACATTTTTGCCAATCGTCAGGCCAGAACTTCGAGATCAATTCATTAACGAGATGGATCAATGGTTTGTTGTTGAAGAGACTGAACGAAACAAGAAAACTCCGGGACTTATGAAAAGTTTGAAATTCTCTTATAATTAAGATAAAAATTTTTATAGCCGAATGGTCAACTGAGTCTGGTGCGCTGATTGCTCTTGGAAATAAATTATACATGGGTATAGATCCCGAAACTGGCTTGGAAAAACGATCTAGCAAAGGGATACCTCACAGAGTGAAAGTCGAATTCGATTTCATGCTCGAATGCTTGAAAGGACACACTCTCGAAAACAACACCTTCAACTTGAACGGGCTACGTAAGCAACCTTCAAACCACTTTGTTTGTCGAACAACTGTGACAAAACGTTTCCTGAGTGATGTTTTTTTCAAAATGCGAGTCGCGGATGACAAAATAACTTGCTCGCCGCTCGAAAAAGACGGAAAAATATTATAAAATCATTCATCTGTAAAGAAATTACAATAAATCTCGACGTTCCAACATTATTCAAACACACACTATGCCATTTAACGCAACTGAAAGACTAGAGCTTTATGAACTTATCAGTCAGCAAGAGTCAGCAAGCGTTGATCTCGAAGAAGATGAATTGGAGTTTTTTCGAGAGATGGGGAATCTTCGTCAGCTACGAACCTATCAGATTATAAACCCTCCGAAAGAAGGACGAATAGTGGAAAATTCTGTACTCATTTTTCTCCTTCACCCTGATTTTTCTTTGCGGAGAATTTTTGAAGAGATCTTTGACTTTCTTCAATATCCATATCGAATTTTGGTAGATTTCAGCTTTCTCCTAGAGAATCCTTTTCAAACTGAGATATCTTTACGATATAGATATAAATGGGCACAAAGAAGCACAGCTCTACCGTTGCCAATAAATTTGATTAAAGACGATGAATCGGTAGAAAATTTTCTTGAAACTTTTCCTTCTGAAACTGCTCTCCCGGAAATGCTTGTTACCTCACATCAGAATCAGAGCAACTATGAAAGTAGTGGCTATCAGCTAAAGAAACTTTTAACATGCAACATTTTTCTCACAAAACTTGAGTAGACATCCTTTGCTGTGAACAATAAAAAAAAAACAAAGAATTTATCACCGACATTTATTGATTATAGAGAAAGAAGCAAGAAATATGAAACTAGAAAAGTAAAAAACCAACTGAAAAAAATCGCACAGAAAGAAGGAGAAGATCGTTGACAGGTTTAGTAGCAGTTTTCCTCTAGGAAACAGAACTCAAAGAATTCCAGGTTATGGGATTTTTCGAATTCTGTTGGCACTTTGCGTCCTAATATCATCACTTCGCAGGTTTGAGTAAGATCGAGACACTTTTTGACGGCGTCTTCGATTTCGTCAGCTCGTAGATACTTCTTTAGCTTCATACTGGTCGTACGGTCAGCTGGAATTCCAGTTATGGTAAGATATGCCGCCGAGTTCTTCGTAAAGGTAAGAGAAAAAGAGTTGATTTTTAGTTGCACCATCGTGAGGAATGATTTTTCAAAGCTTATTTTCGATATTTATACGCCAAGTTTTTCGCACATAACTGGATTAAAGACGATTCGCAAAGGTTAAAATACCGCATGAAATTTGGGAGACAGCCAGATTGAGGTGCTTGCCAAAAGATTGACCGCAGCCATTTCATGGTTTTAAAGGATTTCTTTTTCTACGTTTCCATGCTCGTCAATTCCAACTTTGACGCGATGAACGCTCCACATGACAAGCGTTTGGTTTTTAGTCGTACTATTTTTGAAGTCGAGGGATAGATTAAGCCATCCCTGACTCTCTTCAGTCCCCATGAACTCGTGACCAAAGATTGCACAGGTCTTGTAAGTGTCCAAACCGATCGATGATGGACATTTTGTGTTAACAAGACGATCCAGAATTTCCATCAATTTGTAATATGGCCAAATTGGCATTTCATTTGTTATTCGCTAAAGTATTCAGGTTTATTTTTATCGCTTGACTAAATCCTACCTGAGGATATCCCATGCATGATTGACCATTCAAAGTAAGATTTATCGAAGTTAAATCCTGATGGAACCCAAAGCTTGTCGTTTCGAGATCTCCTTGCCCTTGGAATGCGTCTGTTGGTGTCAACGCAAAGAAAAAATATGCTGGGGTATTTCCTCCCTTTATATTGTGGAGAGTAATACTCTCTGTTCCAGATGGAATAGTCCGTGTAGAAACAGTTACTTCATCGTATTTATATGTAATTGGCTTTGATCTAATTCGAGTAAAGTAGTTTCTCATCGAGGGGCTTGAAACGTACTCGCACAGAGCATAGCAATCTTTAATTTCGAGAGGTTTATTGTAATGTACTCCGGTATTTACTTTCTCTCCATCAGGCGACAAGAAATATGTCGAGAAGCCTGCGTTTAGTCTGTTAAATTTCAATTTCAAGCTTGTATTTAGCGGGAGCGGCTTGTTATCCAAACAAAATCCATTACTTGGGAAAAATATGAGCTCGTAAATGTATTTTTTGCTTGCGGGATCATACAAGCATTGAGGGCGACGCAGCTTAGCGACGTATGCTTTATCATCAGCATTTTCGAGATAATTATAGATCTGATGGTCATAATATCCTTCCATCTGAAAACCAGTAGTGATGTAGTCGCGGTTGAAGTTCGCGTATTTTGTAATGAAGTCAGCCAAGAAGTACTCACAACTAAACAAAACTTGACCTAAGGCCTTTCTCTGAATTACTTACGTATTTTTCGAGCTAGCGATAAGCTGCGAATTAACTTCAACTTCCATTACTCCAAATTGTTTGGCAGCGAATCCATTCGAGGGTAAATAGTTTTCGTCAAGAGCTATCGTCATATGGATTGCAATCTTATTCTTTAATAAAAATAAGTTTGGATCACTTTCAAACTCGAATGAAATGAGCTCAGACGATTGAAGATCTTTCGGAAAGTGTTTTTTGATAACACGCTGGTCATATGTTTCCTCCATCTTTTCAAAATTCTCCTCAAAATTGAAAAAAAACTCAGAAGGTGTTTAGTCGATATTATATCTGATGCAAATGATGAAGATATAATTACTGCAAGGGATATAAGGAGCTTGTCTTGCCGTAGGGTAAATTATTCTTTGTGAAATAACAAATTAAAAAAACACCAACATTTATTCGAAGATTCAAAGACAGTTAAAGTTGAGTAGGCTACCAAATATTTTCGAGTTGATCGTAAAGGATTTTATCATTTGCTAAAACAGATTTTGAGAGAGGAAGAAGAGTTTGTTTTAAAGAGTGACTTTGACGGGATAAAATGAAATAGCAGGAAAAGAGCCCACACAGGAATGACTTATTCGACTGTACTTTTCGAATTCGTATCATTTTCTTTTTCGACAGAAATGATTCTATTTCGGACGGGTATTTTCTAAGGCGCAAACTATCGTATACTTCAAATGAGTTGCGATCTTCTCGAACGGCAAACCAGTGTGAACCTTTCTGAAAAGATTTGTCAATATTGAGAATATAGTAGCATGGAAATGAGTAACAAGCCGGTAGAGAATCGGATGGAAAACATCCGATAAAGTTTTGAACACGCTGAAGTCGTTTCAATATTAAATACTGATTCATCGTCTTCGCTTCTTCAATTTTTTCTTTGACTTTTTCGAAACGCTTATTTTTTGAGATTTTCTTTTCTTTTTTGTTTTTGGTGAATTTGCTGATGACCATTGTCGAGTTGATTTTTTTTTAACGCCTTCACCAGTTTGTTTTGTAGGAGACCAGATCTTTTTCCGGTCTTGGAGTGCTTTATTAATTCTTGACATCAGCCTCAGTAATCTCAATTTGCATAAAAATCGTAAAAAAATTAATTGCTGCTTCTTCGATATTGAATTTGAAGCAAGTGCTGGCTAATTGATTTGTCCGAAGAGGATAATAAACAGGTTTTGCCGCAGGGTAATTGAAACCATTTTTAAATAGCCAAATCGAAAGCATAAGAACAACGTAAGGATGAGGTCCCTCTTGAGCTCGAATCCCATCATAAGTGATGTGTAGGAAAGAGTGAGGAGACCGATCAGTTTTATCCCAATTGAAAACAGCACCCGCATTTAAGATGGCAATTTTGTATTCCTTGTTAACATCAAGGTTGATATTTGGAAGTTTGATTGTAGTTGAATTATGTTCGTAAAGATTCAAAATCATCTGCGACCTTGTTCAACTCGTAATAATATTTTATTCCATCAACACGCTTGCCGTCAAGGTCTCCAACTTTATACCAGACAATGCCAGCTCGTTGCCGAACGTCGAGGATCTGATAAAGCTCTGTGGACCAATTTTGAGCGTATCCTTTGTCAAAAAGGCTCTTCTCTAGTTTAAGTCTTACAATATTTCCAATTTTTAATCTTGGAGTTGCTTTCTTGTCGATGTCAGGATACAGAGTGGCAAAGACTGAATCTCTGTTGCTCTGATTCACGTCCTCTGGCGCCATCTTTATTGCAGAGTGTGGAGTTGCATTATAATTTGCTGTGACGTCTTCTAAAATATCCTCCCATTTCTTATGTTTTCTTTTCATCATTATTTTTTCGATTCTTTCTTTAAGAGTTCGATTAACTCGCTCCACCATTGATGCTTTTATTTTGGTTTTGATACTGTAAAGATGAATACCATATCGTTCGAGGATTTGATTGACTTCCTTATTATAAAATTCATTTCCCTGGTCTGTAATCAAAGAGTTGGGCCATTCGCTAAAATCCTGCAAAATGTCATTTAAAGCGTTCGCGCAGCTTGGACCATCTTTACGCTTCACTGGGCGTGTCCAAATAAATTTAGAGAAGCAGTCGATAAGAACAAGAATAAATTTATAACCCTTATTTTGATAATTGAAATTTTGGTATTCAATCAGGTCACCCATGAATATTTGGAATGGATACTCTACAATGATTCTTCGACGAGGAAATATTTTCTTTGTGATTCGTCTATGAACACTGTGAATCTTATTCTGACGAAGAAAATCCGCTATTTTCGCTGAGAACGACGGAATACTTTTTACGTTTTCGTATATTTCTTTCATTTGATCTCTTCTTTTGTCGCCTTCTTCTTTTTTCCCGTTTTGATCTTGATTTTGACTTGACGTAGGAGGAGGAGTCGCTGGACGACTCTGATGAGGAGTCGGAGGAGGAGGAGGAGGAGGAGGAAGAATCACTCGTTTCGGAAGCTTGATCTTTACGTTTTCGTTTCCTTGATTTGACTTTGCAGTCAAGTTTTTTCCATGATACGTTCTTTTCGATTGAGTTCTTTGAAGTCTCTTGCTCCGACGAGTTGGAACTGTCATCTGTGAAACTGTCGTCTTCTTCGGTTCGATTTCTTTCGAGCTCTTTTTTGATCTCGTCTTCATTTTTCACGGTAGCTTCAAACTTTCTCCCCCGCTCTTGAATTTCGAAAAATCGCTGAAAATCAGATTCGTTTACAATGAACCCTTTCATTCCTTCGACTGAATATACAACAGGAAATTCGCTGAATATATCAGTATAGAAACGATAGCTCGAGGCGAAGGCTCTTGGTGATTGATCAATGAGAAAGTAAGGATATTGTTCGTATTGAGTGTCAGCTTCAGCTGCTGCCAAAGCTTTCGTCAGACCAAGTTGCTGACAAACACGCTTATTTATTCGAGTATCAATATAGTTTCGACAAAGAACTGATAGGTTACATTGATTCTTAATATCTCGATTATGCTTCCCGGCAGCAAAGTTATTTTGTGTCATGAGAATAACATTAAGCATATTTTTACCGCTCGTCACTCGGAAAAGATGGTCAATGGCTTTACTCTCTACAGCCTCATCATAACTGTCATCAATAACAATTGTTGTGTCAGGAAGCATTTCATCAATGTCCTCCTGAGTTGGTATTCCAATGCGATAGGAAACAGGAGTCGATAATTCTTCCTCCCAATTAACGGGACGACTTTTTATGAAACAAGGGTAGTAGTAGATAATTCTCTTTGCGTTTTTCTCAAATAAATCTTTCTTTCCCAATATTTTGCCAGCCATATATGTTTTTCCACTTCCACTTGCTCCACTGAGAAGAATGCGGTACGGATAAGCAAATTTAATCTTTGGAAGAATTTCTCCATTTACAGTTAACTTCATTTTCAATTTGAGCGAATGATGATATGAATTTACGATTTCACTTTATATTAATGTTATTTTCCCCTGAGGTCAAGATAGCTTTTGAATATTGTTTAGAGAACACCAAGTCATGGGTAAAGATGGTAACAGTTGATAGGTCAAGCTGAAAATCTGAGAATCACCGGCTCCGCATATAAAATCCGAAGAACAGTAGATACACATCAAAATGTTCGAGATTTTCCAAAAATACCTTTTTTACCGAGTGAAATGAATCAATACGAATATCATGATGTTTCCAACCATAAGTTTGACTCCTGAAAATAACTGACGCAATAAAATTCATTGATATATTTCAGATTTATTTTAATTCAGAAGAGGACAAGTGTTGTGTCAAATTTTTCAACGACGTAATACTTGTTTTGCAGCATTTAAGAGATAGAAAATAAAGAAGAATTTCTGAGAGAGTGCACACATCGGTCTTTTTTATACAGTTTGTCATTTTATACAGTTTATGTGTGAAATAACCCTTTTTGGCATCTGTTTTACCTTTTGTGTAGTGATTCATTTTATAAAGAGGAAAATAGATTAATATTTTTCATTGAGGAAGAACGTAGGAATGAGAAAGATAGACTAGCTCTTGTTTTCATTTTATAAACATCTCATTTTCACCGGCGATAGTATTTCTCATTATGTATCATTTTCAAAATTACTCTTTTCTTATTTCTTCTTGGTTCATTTTCAAAATCATGTCTCAGTTTTTCGGTTTTTGTTATTGTTTCATTTTTCAAATCATACTTTACATCTTTTCTCCACCAGTTATAAACCTAGGTTGACCCAAAGAGGGCGTTCAGAGCAGATATTTTTGGAAGGTCAGGTCTCCTGCTGAGAGCTCACGCTGAGATATTTATAGTTACATCTGGTTCGATTTCAATATTTACTCAAGTGCACTTGGCACCCTCTTTTGGAAGGGTTTCGAATTAAGTACGCTCAAAATGTTACACATAGAACACACTAAAAATATGATTTCAAAATGAACAGCAAGAAGAAGAATCAACGACAGTAAAGAAAATAATTTGAACTTGTTTAAAATGAAACTACATATTTATTAATTGTTATTGTCATTGGCTTCCCAAATACATAAATTATTTAAACTCATTTATGTGTCGATCTTTCAGAAAATTGCAGGTAGATAAGTTACACCGCTTAAGTTTTACCGCTAGCCACCGGGAACCAAGTTCTATCCCTAGATTAGTTTCACCGCTAACCAAGTTCTACCGGGAGCCAGGTTCTACCGGGAACCAGGGTCTACCGGGAGCCAAGTTCCACCGGGAGAGAAAACACGCCGGGTTACGGTCCCCAATTATCACTTGATCAAAGGTCAAGTACTGACCTTTAAAAACATGACTCCGTTAACGGGCAACGCATAATCGAGTACCCTCTAACGGGCAATTATATAACTACTTATTTTATTACTCATTTCTTCAAAGAAAGAGACGCAAAGGAGGAATAAAACTCGACATCTTCTTCGTCTTCCGAGTTCGCGGCAGTTTCACCTAAAAATAAGAATCAAAATTTGGATTATCCGAGTACAGACCTGTTTCCGGATCAATTCCGTTTTTGAGCCACATGTTTTTCTCTTCTCGAGACATTGATTGAAACTCAAGATACTGAAAAGAAAATATAATCAAGGATCTTCAACAAAATTACCTTGAGAGAAGAGGCGCCGGTCTTCAAGCTTTGATCTTGAAAAACTTCTTGAGCTTCTTGACTCATCGGTTCATTTTCCGTCTGCACATAGCCAACCATATGATACGGTCCAGAGGAAGAAGAAATTCGATTGTCAAACACTTCATCATCAACTTTCACTTCTTTCAGAACTTGTGAGAATTCATCGACTTCTTCCAGCGTTTCTTTGTGCTCCTCTTCTTCCGATGGATTTCGGGAATGCACTTTGTCGAGAATAAAATTGTCGAGCAATGATTTGTTCTTTTTCATGCTGCTTCGGATGAAGTAGTAGTTTTTGATGATCAACGCCGGAATGAGCAAATATGGCAAAATGCTTAATTCTGATGAAAATACTCGCATAACGGCCTTACCTCAAATAAATAAAGAAATGCTCCAAAATTCCAGTGCAAGATTTTCTCGTCAAATATGAAAACTCGCCGTAAGTAACAATTTGTAAGCATTTGGAAATATCGACACTGCTAAATTGCAGAGCCATTCGAAATATTGAAAGAATGATAAATATAATCGGCAGAGAAATAATGATGAATGTTTTTGATAAGAAATTTAAAGCGTTCTTGAGCTTGATTTCTGCGTAGTAAGCGCTTTTTTGTTGTTTTTCATGCTTTTTCTTCATATTTTTTTGCGTTGAAAACAACTTGCCTGGAAATGACACTGTAAAGAAGGAACAAGTTATCATAACAAATAAATAAGACGAGAAAATTCGGAAAATAAAATTTGTCCATTATTGCTCTTTGGACAAGCATCAGTGGAATTCGGCTAAAAAAGGTTCAAAGTCCCTTAAGGGGGTAGAAACAGCTTTTTTCCGAAAAAGGCGATTTTCGACCGGCGCTACAGACAAGAGAATCTTACATTTTCAAATTTTCTCTTCAGGTTTAGATAGATACATCTTAGATCTAGGAACAAATCCCTCGAAATTTGTTTTAGTCATCAAATTTTTGAGAAAGCGGGCTCAGAAGCAGCTCATCTCTCCGAAATTCTCGATTTTCGCAAATTTTTAAACACGTATATCTCGAGTCCCCTGATAGTTAAACAAATTTCATTCACATTTTTGTGAAGTTCAATCCCTTTTCTAGGATCATTTTTGAGGAAATTCCGTTAACATAAATAAATCTTATGTTTTCTTTTATGTAGCTACAGTCCAAAATCAAGAAAGCTGTTTCTACCCCCTTAAACACCCTTTTTTACCAAATCAGAAAAGAAGTTCCATTAACAAAAGCGTCAATTCTGACAAGAGCGAGCCCCTGATCCCGCTGCACTTTTTCGCACCATTTAAAAACGACGAAAATTCGCAGAATATCCAAAAACAAGATGATTGCATAAAATATTCCAAGGCCCGGTTTTTCAAGAAGAAAACTTTGAAAGGTGGCGGGAAAGGCTTCGTCGGGAACGAAAATGAAGATTTTGAAGAAAAGAAAAATTTGAAAGAAGTGGTGCACCAGGTCGTGGGGGAGAGAAGTGAGGAGATGGAGGTAATGGTCTTTGATGAGAGTCGTTTTTTGGAAGAGGCGGATGAGGGCGCGGATGATGAAGAAAATGACGATGGAGGAGAAAAGAGCTGAAGATTGAAGTATAAAAAACGAGCATTTTTTGAAAAGAATCAATTGTAAAAAAATCCTTACCAACGATAGTCCCAATCGTCAAAATCGTCACAAAACTCGGCCCGCCTTTGTATTTCATGCATTTTTTCTCTTCACATAAAATCTGCGCAAGATAATGCAGCATTCCCCCCATTTTGCCGCTTTTAAATCAGCACTTGTCTAATTCAACACTCGGAGATACTCTTTTTTTTGTGACATTTTTTACGATGTCAACCTATTCGCTCTTTTGCGCGATCATCATTTGTATGAGGAGAACAAAAGGAAATACAATTCTCTGAAGATGGTAATATATGCGGCGAACACAAGATTTATGGATAAAAATTTTGACTGTATAAGGAAAGGAACCCTGACTCAGGGCCCCTAACCCTAACCCTGACTTAGGGACCCTAACCCTAACCCTGACTAAGTGGAACTTTGGAGTTACAGTTTGAAGGCTTATTTAATCCTGTCCCTTGTCGATGATCAGCTGACTTATCTGATTGAAGACAGAGAGGAAGAATCACACAGTGTTGATTCTGCGTGGGCGCCAAGTTGAGAGTGGCCGTGCTCTGTAAAATATTATGCCAGCGATGGACCGTCCTGTCGAGGAGATCGCTTCTTTTGGTATCTCCCCGAATCTACCTAAACATGGCTAAATCTCAACAGAGACGAAGCCATGGGATCAGATTCGGAAATATCAGAAGAGTAAGTTTCTTATTACAAAAAAATGTAAAAATAAAATTTAAATATAAAATCCGCCCAAAAGTCAAAATTAATTTCTAAAAATTAAAAAAAAATAATATTTTTTAATCAAGATTCTCATTAAAAATCTGAGAAATAACAATAAATTTAATTTTTAAAATAATAATTTAAATAAAAATAGTAAATAAAATTGATTTTGACCCTTTGGCTTTATTTTAATTTAAATTATGTAAGAAAAATTTTTTAAGGATTGAATTTTTTCAACCCTTTTTAATTCCCAATTCTGACCAGATCATTTTTTTATACGGGCGCTGGGTGGTCGCGCTTGGTTCGTGTGTAATATGCCCAGGCGTGTAGTAGTCCTGGAGATTTTGACTCTGCGCGTCTTATTGGCTCGGAAATCTTTTATTAGCTCATTCGATATTGTATAGCCTCCTGTCTTGTTTTGTCTCATATTAGTTCGTATCACAAAGGGCCCGAACGCGGCCGAAAGCGAGAGAATATGCAGCAGAGTTCGGACAATGACGACGAGTGAGTGTTTAACGAGTGAAACAGCTGTTTTTGGGGGGTTTTGGGTATTGGGAAATTAATTATTTCAAATTACGTAATATCAGAAAATTTTCAAATTTTCATTTTTCAATTTTCTTAATATTATTTTCTAGTTCTGTTTACGTCATCGACGTGAAAGAAGACGAAGGCAGCGACGAGCCAGAAGAAATCGTCAAAAGCGAAGTTTCTACCGGTAGTTTCAATTTTCCCGGAACGAATTCGCTGGAGCGTATTTCTGGGACAAGTTTGACAACTCTTTCCTCGAACGCGACTTTGCTGAACTATCCGGAGGGATTGACGATTGGGACGCCTTCTTCTTACTCGAACTTGCAGACTGGCGAGAGCAAGGAGTTCAAGAAATCGACCCTTTCTTCTGACAGGTAAGAATTTCGCAAAAAAAATTTTTTTTTCTAGAAAAATTCTAGAAACAAAAGTTTCTAGAAATTACAAGATTACCACAGACTTATTTTTTTTTTCAAGAATTTTTTCATAAATAATCGTCTAGTCATTTCTTATTGTCGTTTTTAGTTTATTTTTCCATCGCCCGGAATGGCAAATATTCGTTGTGCAAGAGCATACGAAAATTATGCATACAGAAAATTGCGACATTGGAATATTGGCTCCGCGCCCCTCCCCCGTTTTCTGACCTTTCATCTTTTCAGGACCGTGGTGAAGCAGTTCGGCGAATATCTCGCCACCGATCCGTTTGAGACTCTTGGTCTCCCGACAATTCCGCTGGAACGCGATCATGGCGAGTTTTATGTGCTTGACCAGGTTATTGAAGGATTGGAGATTCACCAACTCGACCAGCTGGTTGCCGATTTCTTCAGAAAATACAAAATGGGGGGAGTTCATGGCGAGTCAGAAGTCAAAGTCACGACGCTAGAATGCAGGTGAGACTTTTAAATATCAAGATTTCAATTCAAATAATAATTAAAATATCGTTAAAATCAAAATACTTACTAAAGTCCCATCAAAATTTTTCGTTAGGCTTAAGACCAATCAGATGGGCGGATTCAATCAGCGGGCCAATCAGATTTTAGGAAAAAAATTCAAAAATAATTCGAATTTTTGTAAATTTCGAGCCGCTTTTCCAATCTTATCTCAATTTTTTTGCCAAAAAAATAAATTTTTGAAGATGGTCTGGGCTGAGAAGACAACTGAGTCTGAAAGGAGTTCAGTTGACGAAACACACGGCTCCTTTGGTGTACCAAGCGATGGCGGAACGAAGAAGATATTTATTCAAGAAACAGTCCGAGGAAAAAAAGAAATCAGAGGAAGAAGTAAAATTGCTTCCAAAAAGCAATATTTCTATCAAGGAAGATGCAATAGAACTAGGTACAAACGGAAGGAATTTTGAATTTTCTAAAAAGTGTTTTTAGTGAAATTCTTCGTGAAATACCACACCGAGCTGCCTGAAGTGCTCTCTTGTCTGGTCCATTTCGTGGTGATAAATTACTTGAAGATTTATACAGTCTCCGAAATCGAGAATCTCAAGTTCGGCGATTTCATTCATCACGAAGATAAACATGGCGAGTATTTTCTCCCCTCAAAGCGGCTCCAGAAAATTTACGCCTCAAACAACAGGTTACCCATTCTCTCCTTCTCCCCCCCCTTAAAATCGCCTTTAGCAATGGTTGGATCATCCCCCAGGCGAGCGAGAACGCGGCCTTTCCCTGCCCAGTCGGAGTGCTCAAGTTTTACATGTCAAAGCTCGATCCTCACCTCCAGACAAACAAAGAAAACCTCTCAATAATGGCCCTCCTGCTTCAGACCTCTAAAGACCCGGAATGCATCAAAAAAGGGATTTGGTTTTCAACGAGCTATTACAAACCGAAAAGTGCCTTAGCGAATATTTTCACTCGAGTTCAATCAATTAGCAATTTGATCAACGACCCCGTTAAGGTAAGAAAAGCTCTAGAATTTTACTTTTCATCGAAAATTTCAGCTGAAAGGAAGATACGACAACTCCAGTGTGCCTTTAATCTGCGAGCAAATTTTCGCCTCAGCGCCAAAGAAACACCCAGTTCTTCAAAATCTACATCACAAGTTTGAAATCTACCGACTCGCGTCCAAAACCGAAAAGGAGCAGATTTTCCCGCTCTCTGAAGCTAGAATCGATTCACAGGTACTTTCCGTTTCGTAAGTAAAAAGTCATTTACTCCCTCTAGTTCAAAAGTATCAGCGAAATGAACGCGATCAAACCGCAAACAGCAGAAACCGCCAAAAGTTCCCTTATCTATCAAACTCAATCACCCGCTGCTCTTATCACCACCCTCGCCTCGCAAAACCTCACGGCTCAAAGTATCGTCGATTCCTTGCCCACTCTTCTTCCAGCAATTGCGCCTCGCCCGAGTCAGAATATTTCCCAGAAAACAGGATTGAATGGAAAACGTATTTTTCCGACAGAACTGCCGAAGATTTCAGTCCACAATGTAACAGGTAATTTCAATAACGAGCTCGTCAGCCTGTGTAAAAAACCTGAGTCAGGGTCTGAAAAATCATAAATGAAGAGCTGCGTAGCGGCTTTTTAATATCGAAGCCGCGAAGCGGCTTCGCAAATTAAACTTCGCGGCTTTTCATTTATGATTTTTCAGACCCTGACTCAGGTTTTCTACACAGGTTGCCGACCTGAGCGGCTTATCCAGAATGTCTTCTCATTTTTCTCATTTCAGATTTGACGAATGGAGTCTTCCATGTCGCCAAAAAAGCAAAAGTGATCGACCTAGACGCAGAAAGTGAAACCCGCGATAAAGTTTATATTTGGATGATGGAAAAGATCGACAAGCATGAAAGAACGATTGATTCTCTGCGAAAAGAGCTGGAAGAAGCAAAAGAAGAAGTGGTAAAGTTGAAATCGGAGAAAATGCAAAAAGCTGAAGTTATTTCTGTAAAAGACGATGAAGAAGATTCGCAAAATGAAAATGAGTCGAAATAAAGATAATTTAAAAACATGACTTGAATTGTTGCTAAAAATAAATTGTCTGTAAAAGGCGAAAAATGCTATTTTTGCAACCGCGAAGAATATTTTAATCCTGAAACCGCGCTAATCGCGTATCGAATGACCATTTGAGACTTTGCTTTCACCGCTTCACTTTTCAAAAAATGATTGGTATTTTGTTGCTTTTGCTGAAGTTGACAGTTGCTGAAATAAGAGAAAGAGAAGGAGCGCCAAGTTTATTTACCGACTGTTTCAGGGGAAGTGATCAGGGCGATCTTGGCAGAGTCAAATGGCTTGTGACACCAGGTCTTTTTTCTTTGCTACGGAATTTTATGATTTTTTTCAGATTTTCCTTCGCTCTACAAAAACACCATCTCCTGCAAATGGACGATCAACACCAACTACGGCCAATACATCAAGCTCGTCCCGGAGATAATGGACATTCCTTGCCGAGGAAACAACATGTTAAAGATCATCGACATTCCGGTCGGACAGACGAAGAAAAATGAAAGTCCTCAATATTGTGGCTCTATCGACATTCCCGCGTTCGTTTCAAGCGATGTTTCATTCGAGATTCATTTCATTGTCGACTCCCCCGCGGCGGGAGCGAGGCTCAAGCTCGGATACCAAGCTGTTACTGATCAGAAAGGCATCAAAGTCAACAGTAAATCAATCAACAAGCCTGTTTTCAAAACGACTCCCCGTCAAAGCCGACCAAGCCCGTTTTGGAACAAAAAAATTCCTCGAAGACCCCCGATTCAACCTGAAAACACTCACAATTTGAATTCACAAATGCCAGATTTTGTTGAAACCGACGCTCTCAAAGGGATAATTTTCTCCTACACTGGCTTTCTGATTCTAGTAACAGCGCCGGCGATTTATCTTCTGTACAAGTTTAAAAATGACAAAGGTGAAGAAAATCAATCGATAGCGGATTGAATGAACTATATTTTCCGAAAAAGATGAAATAAATCTTCCTCAAGTGTGTTTTTGTTTATTTAAAGTTCGAGCGGCTCGAGTGAAGCCAAGTATTTTCCGAGAATAGAAAAAAAGGATGAAGGCGAATATCTGTTTGGTTGGAATTGCTTTAGCAACTCCGCTAGATATTTTTAGAGATGTGAGAGAGAAGACTTATTTGCAGATTGAGAATAGTCTAAGGCAGGTATTCTTAATTTTAATTATATTTTAAATTTTATAGCCATTACCGAAATTTGATGAAGAATCAAATCCCAAGCCAAGATTTCAAGCCTTCTTTTGAACTTTGCTCTGATGGCGAATATGTAACACGAGAAACGATGCTAGAATGCTTCCCCTTCGATTTGCAAAATGATGAGTCATCCGTCTCGAAAAACTTCATCTTCAACAGCTGGGAAAGCATTGACCAAGACTTTGACGGAAAACTTGATTTCACCGAGTGGAAGGGCTATATTTTCGCGCTTGGTTATATCAAGTAAACAGAAAAAGAACTTCATCTTCCTTTATAATTTGTTCAAGTTTCAAAGTTATTCATCACGGTTTCGGAGGAGCAGAAGAATTTTCTTTGAATGAAGAAGAAACTGAAAATCTCCTTGATTACGCACACGTTTGTTTTAAATGCTCTTTGAAAGTTTTAATGAATTAAGGCTTGGCTATCGACGAAATCATCCGAAGACAACCGAATATTTTTCGACAATCTCTTCAAAAGCGTAGACATTGATAAAAACCCAAATAATCTGACGCATCTTGAAGCTATTCGTCTGTTTCTTGCGATTCTGACGAAATTTATGGAAAAATAAAAAAAGACCTTTAATTCATTTATTCTTCATTTTCAGCAGGCTCAACGATCTCAGGAGAAAGAGAGCTGTCTTCTGGGCAGAAACTTGACCACTCAAGTGTCTCGCAAGCAAAGGAAGGATTCCAAGTAGAACCAGGAGTCCGATCAGTTGATGGCGATTCCTGAGTTGGAATCGGATCTCTCAGTGTGACACCTGTAATCGCAGAGAAAAAGAGAACGAAAAGACGCATGTTTTGAGTACCAAAGATAAAAAATATCACAAGAAAACGATGTTGTTAACCCGCCCACTTGGGAGAAGTTGTAAAAAAAGAAGCAAGCTCAGCTCAGCAATTTAAATTATTTTGGAGAACCTCGATTTTGGTTGAGCACTGATAAAAAGTGATGAGTTTCAACAACGCTTATCAAAAGCATTTTGACTTAATTGCATCAACCTGAAATAACACTCGAGACTCCGATGAAGTCTCTTTTCAAAAGTCATCGAATTATTCCATTTTTCAGAATTAACGGCGACAAAATCGGAATTTATCGGTAAATAAATTAGAACGCTGATCTTATCGCAAAATTCACGTTATTTGCAATCGGTTGAAAGCGCCAGAAAAGAAATAAGCTTAAAAAATTCAAGCAATATTTCGTAGCTTAAACTTCTGAGAGAAACAAAATGAAGCTTGCATCGTTTTTCGCTTTGGCGACAAACCATTTTGCGAATGCGTATTACTACTCAAAAGGTAATTTTAAAAACCCACCAAGAAGAAAAGATTAAAGCGTCACTTAGATTTCGTGAATTTCGCGAATTTCATCCCCGGCCCAAATGTCCGAATCGGCGAGGAAATGACCTACCGGTCGATTGAAAGAATGTGGCTCAATGAGCTAAGAGATGTGAATCCAGACATTTGCGATTTGAACATTTCCCTTCTCGGAGAATCCAGCGCGGATATTTCTGCTGACTACAGTTATTATTTCATTATTCAAGGTCGTGCTCACAGATTTTTGGGGTTTTCTTAAAAAAAATTTCTGGAGCTCAAAAAGTGATGTACAAGGGAAGCCCTCCCTCGAGTTTCTCCTCTGACGTCTCAGCTGTCTTCCCTTCTGGTTCTCTCCCCGGATCTTCCGAGTACCAAAATGCATGGGACGCAAACCCGGATCTGGAGCTCGCCCCCAACGGAATCATCCACGAAGAAACCTGCTTCGATGATGCAACCGAATGCAGAAACATTTTCATCGACGTCGATTTCTGCTACGACATCCCGATGGAATTCTTCGATATTTCCGACGCTGATGCTCTTGACGCAGCAAAAACAGCTGTCATGACTAATTTCCAGGCTGGTTTCGGCAATTTCACCGATCACAGCTCATTTTTCCAAAATTATTACATCAATTCGGAATTCAACATTGTTTCCGTCAACGATGTTAGCGAAGAAACGGGAGATCTTTACCTCGGATCGAGCTTCAATAAGGCTGGCACCGAGAAAGGTGTTCACGTCAAAGGAACGACGAAATTTACAAAAACGACGTTTTCAAGCGAGTTTGAATTCTGCTTCTCGATGAGTGGACGATTCGAAGAACTCCCTCTCACCGAGACTTTGAGCAAATTCGAGTGGATGACCGGCTCTAAAGGTAACTACAGTATCGTAAATCTTCCTTACCCTCTTTTCAGAATATTTTACGAGCCTTAACAACTACAAGCTAAACTCTGAAAGCTTCGAGTACAGCTACCAATGTGTTGCTCCTGATTGTGAAGCTTCTACTTCAACTACGACAACAACGACGACAACAACGACGACCAAGATCGCAGGAGACTGTCATGATGGCAACAACGGAGGATGCTCCCACATGTGTGCGTCTGGATTTTGCTACTGCCCACCTTGCTGGGAGCTGCTTCCGAATCAACTGACTTGCAGGCCTTCACCTGGCCTTGCTCAGCTGACCTGTTCTCAGGAAGGAATGAAACTCGTTGTCGACAAATGTGTCATTCCAGGAGTTTCTGAGATTGCCCTTCTTGATGATACTTGCGAACCAACAGAAGAAGATGGAAGCTATGTCTTTGAAACTGCTCTTGATGAGTGCGGAAGCTCTCATTTCTTTGATGGAGAGTACATTCGATTCGAGGTTGATCTTCTCAAAAATGACTCTTTCTCGAAAAAAATTCTAGAACACGATCGTCGCCGGCGCCGGATTCGACAACGGAATCATGATCGCCCGACCAAGTCATCTCGATTTCCACTGCGATTTCGATACTGCTGGAGAAATTAATGACCTCTGGCTCAACACTACAAATTATGCCGTTGAAGTGACATTCAATATCGGAGAGGAGGCACCCGAAAAGCCCGCATTCATCTACGATGTCAACTTTTATACTGATGGAAGTTTTACACAGGAATCGTTTTTCAATCAAGAGTCAATATAATTCGAAGATCATGAAAAACGGTTTAAGATTCAAGATACAAACGACCAATCATTTTCGATCGGAGACACGATCTACGCCGCTGTTTCTACAAATGTCGATGTTGATGGAATGATCTTCTCCGTCGACGTAAGCTCCTTTCAATTTGCTCGAGTGATGATAATTCTAGCAATGCACTCTTTACGATCAATCAACCGGCGATTCTTTCGAAATCATCGAGAACAGATGCGGCTCGCCACTGGTCAATACCGTAATTAGTTCTTACTCAGGATCGGATCTTCTTAATTCAAAGTGAAAAATCAAATCTTAAATTTCCATGATCCTTGCTAAAGACGACAAAATCATCAGATTTCAATTCCTTTCTTTCGTCTTTCCAAATTCAGATGATAGCGCTAAACTTTCAATCGCTTGCTCTGTGATGGTTTGTGATGAAAATGATTCCGATTCCACTTGTCTCCAAGACCCAGGAACGTTTTTACTCAATGATCAAATAAGAATTTGAAAAAGAATCTTTTCTAAAACGCTTGAAAGGATGCGGAGCTCGAAGAAAACGACGATCGGAGCCGCAGGAAGCTCTTTCCTTTACGACAAATTTTCTTGATTTTACTATGGAAAAATAAACAAAATAAACACTTTTGAAATAAAAGCAGTCCAGGTGTATTTATGTGAGTTTTCAAGTTCAGTAAAGTCAGTAAAGTAAAAATCAGAAAAAAAAGTTGAATTAGTTGACGAGAGCATCAACGACCATTTCAAAGAGCTTCTGTCGAATGTCCTCGGAAGTAATATCACCATCAGGAGCAGTCTCGTTCATGAAGATCTCGGATGCTTCGTAGGCGAGTCGCTCGGCGGCGAGTTGGGCGAGAATTCGACCCTGGGTCTTGTTGGGAGCGTGCTTGTTCTTGATCGCGAAGGTTTCGGCGATCTTGGTCGCTTCCTAGCCAAAACAATAATTTGTCGAGAAAAAGAGAGTTCCTACCTTAGTGGCAGCGTCAAGAGCTTTCTTGCTGTTTTCGTTTTCCTGCCACTCGGCAGCGAATCCAGCGTCACCGCTGTCCTAGAAATTTTGGTTCTTCATTTTCTCATTTCTCTGAAAAGTTTACCTGTCGATCTTGCCATTTTTTCTCTTCTTGATTGTAGTAGAATCCCTGCTGATACTGGCTCACCTGCTGCTTCTGCTGATTTTGGTACTATAGAGAAGCTTTTTATCAGTTTGAGAAGAGTTATCTTACGTAAAAGCCGTTGTCTCGGGCAAAACCATCGTAGTAGAATCCATCGTAGTAGAAACCATCGGCCTGGTCGTAGTAGAATCCATCAGTTTCGGTCTTTTTCGCCAATTTGGCGGCTTCCTCGGCGGGGATGAAGGAGAGAGGGGCCTAAATAAAACGATTTGAGGTCCGAAAACGGGGTAGAATCTCTGAAATAGAATTACTCACGGGATATCTCGGAAAGCTCATTTCGACAATTGTGCTCTCCCCGCTCAATTTCCGCAAGATTTTATTCACAAAGTTATTTTTCTTTTGCCGGAAGTGGCCTAGAGTCTAAATTTCTAATTGTTATTTCCTGCAATTAAAAAACTTTGTTCAACTTGAAAGTATCAATTTCTCTTTATTTTGTTCAACCCGATTGATTTTGCGATTTCTAGCGCGAAAAAGACGCTGAAATCATGGAAGAGAGAGAAATAGACAAAGTGGAGTAAAATTATAGACCGGAAGCATCGAGCGTATAAAATTAAAAATTTAGACGGGAAGCGTCATAAGAGCTAAAAAATGGGTTTTTATTACAACGAAGGTTTTTACTACAACGAAGCCGAGGGTTTCTACTACGATACGGTTTGTTTTTCCAGAAATCTCCCGGTTTGAGCCGTTTTTCAGAAATTTCTCTACGACCAGCGAGATGGTTTCTATTACGACCAGCAGCAGGGATTTTACTACGACCAGAAGCGATCCCAGTTCCTCGCCGACAAGGTAGACAAATTCAACAAGGACAACAAGGACTACTGGACCACTGGCGACGGACAAGCCCGCATGCTCGAGGTCTTCGACAAGCTCAAAATCGAAGTCGACGAATTCATCAACAAGGAGAACCCAAAGGTAAATGAAAAACTCATGAACCCAATATGCATTTGCTTAGCCCGGTAAAACCGCTGGAGCCGCGATCCAAAACGTCGTTACTACCCAGCTCGTCAAAGAGGTCGTCCGAGGATTCTGCCTCAACACCGATCCAGCTAAATTCCTCGAAACTGCGGGAGAGGAGGCAAAGGACAAGCTTTCCCTTCTCCTCGGCAAAGAATGCCAGCGAGTTCTTTCCGACCGTTAGAATGATCATTTCGTGACAAATCTTTAATTTCTCTCTAGCCGTCGACCACCGAGAAAAATGGCGAGTCGAGGGATCCAAGGCCAAGGAAGCAATGGACAACGTTTCCAAGGAGCTGATCCCCTTCATCGTCACCTGGCTCCAGAAGGCCGAATTCAAGACCGCCAACGCTGGACAGGAAGAAACCCTCCAGGCTCTCGTCGCTCGACGATGCGTCAAGGTTATCCATTTTCTTTTGAACCAAATTTAAAGCCCTTTTTTCAGGAAGCCGCTTACGCTTTTGCCAAGCAGACCAAGCCCGATATCGCTGATGAGCCAAAACAAGCTCTTGCTCAATCGAAGAACATGGCTTCTGCTATTGCCAAGAAAGCTATTGCTGCTCTTGAGTAATTTTTTTATATTACTGACTCATTTTTCGACTGAAATTTTCATCACACAATAAATTATTGACTTTGAAATATGGTTGCAAGAAAATTCATTATTTTTTCTCGTTACAAAAATGTCTACTGCTCGCTTTTCGCGAATGAACTGTTCTAGCGCTCAGCATTTGACATCTCGTGTTTATTGCGAGGTGATTTATTTTAGGGCTTCTTTCTTTATGCGAGCGAACGAATAGCGCGAATGCTTCAAATTTTCTCTTTTTCTTAAAAATGGGTTCGCAAGTTCCTACTTGGTTCTATGCAGTTTTAGTGACAATTTTGTACTTTGGATACATCTTTTTCGGCGGACTTATTTTTATGATTTTGGAGAGACCAGATGAGATACGAACATGTGAAGAAATAACGAAGTTAGCGAAAACAGCAAGGTAAGAGAATGACTTTTAAAATTGGACAAAATTGGGATTTTCAAAATTTTTATAAAAGGCGGTTCCAAAATGAAGCAGCAGAAATGGCAAGAAAATCAAATGCTCTGATTGCTTCTTCAACAGAAATCGATGTTTCTTGCGCAGAAAATGATGACAGTCCTCAGTGCATCGAAATCTCGTCATCCAAAAAACGCGCTGTCAGAGAAACATCGAGAAAACTCGTCGCTTTTCAAGAGAAAAGAAGATTTTGGGAAGCAAAAGAATTTTGCGAAATTCAGGGAATGCGATTGGCGCAAGAAACTGACCAGGCTGTCTTGGAGAGTCAAGGATTTGCGGAAGGAGAGAGCTGGTTGAATCCAATGGTTGGGATGGAAAAGAGCTGTGGTAGGAGATGTTATAGCTGGCATCATTCGAAGTTTGCGGAGTTCAATCTTCATGTCGATCATTGGTCGAAAAAGGAAAAAGCTTCAAAATAAATTCGCATTGAAAAGCCATTTTGCCAAGATGAATTTGTTATTTTGAAGCTTTCTCAAGCCGAGTTTTCGCTACAGGCCCTGCTCAAAAAAGCTTCCATTTATCTGCGAAAAATCTGAAAATCTGAAAAATTGCTCCCCACCAGTCAAATTTAAGGAATTGCTTCAAGAACTGAATGAAACTGTGTTAATCGAATAAGGAGAAGAAATGAATAACAGCTGCAATTAAGCTCTTGTCACGATAATTCAAGCAATCAAAAGGTCTTAGACACAGGTGACAAGTATAAAAATCAAATTGATTTACAACTGCCGAACTTGCTCGCGAAAATGACACCGGGTCACAAATTCGAACAGGAAAGACTCGAAAATATACTTGATCATTTGCCACACATTTATACGGATTCAGTTTTTTTGAGCCAAAAAGGGAGAAAAATACATTCTTGCTGTTCAAACTGCTATTTGGGATCGGATCAAATAATTTCTAAGGAAAAAATGGCAAATTTCGTCTTCAAATTTTGCATCCAAAATATAGCCTGCCGAAAAAACGGCTGAAATCAAGGAAGAAAATCTGGAAAGCGAAGTCCGAAATCACATAAAACGCTCGTTAGGAAAACTTGGCTACGGTCTTGGAGAAATCACAATCGGCGAAGATGAAGAAATGAGTGTTTCGATGCGCTTTGACGAAGCAAAATCGATCGAATTTCCGAAGACGAATATTTTTGAGGGCTTCAATCCCGATCAAGTCCGAAAGCTTGAGGAGAAAAATGATGAATGCCAGGTCAAATTGGAGAAATCGATTCTTTTGCTGAAAGAAGACGATGAAAAGATAGCCGCGCTAGAAGATCACATGACGACATTTTCGAAGACGATTACGAAGATGACGGAAGAAATCGAAAAGGTCGAAGAAAAAATCCATGCCGTGGAAGTGGTCAAGGACAACGAAGTTGAAGAGCACAAAAGAGACCTGATCAACAAACAAAAATTGGAAGAAAAGCTCAGAATGGAGTTGCGAGCAAAAGTAATCTCGAAATTCCAGAACCCTTGAAAGCATGTTTCAGGACTACGAAATCCAAGCGCTCAAGAGTCAAATCCGTGCGTTTGAAAACACGATGGAAATTTTCGGCAAAATGAAGAGCGGCGCAAACAACATGCTGAATCCCTCCGCAGTCGAGATGTCCAATCAACTCCGTAATTTTTTTTTCTTCGAGTCTTTACCCGCGTATTGATGAAAAATACTCGGTCAATTTTGACATCAGAAATTTCTTGTGGCGGAAATTCATGACTATAGAAAATTGAGATTTCTTTGTTTCCGGAGCGTGTTTTGAAGATCTCTTGAATTCAGCGCGAAACTCTTCAGATTCGAGAATCTCGAGACCATCTGATCATCCATCTGAGCCGGATGATCCCACGGCAGTGAACATCAGAATTGAAGATGAAGTGCATTGTCCAAACATCTGGAATTACAGGTAGTCTTCAAAGGGCTTTCATTTTTCTGACTCATTCAGAAACGCTTTCTTTTTCACTGGAACGATCGGTACTACCATTGGATACGGAAATGTTTACCCGAAAACATTCTACGGCAAGGTTGGCGAAAATGAGTTGGCAAAAGGAAACATAATTCTTCAGATGTTCTGTATCTTCTACGCATTGACGGCGATTCCTATCTTCGGCTTCGTGAATTATCACGTGAGCTGTTTCATCAAAGCACGATTTGAAGTAATTGAACAGAAAGTAATTGGCGACTCTCCGACTAAGGTTGGTCTTCCTTGATTTCTTCTCTGATAACCGGTAATTTAGGCGAAAAAGCGACTTTCTTATGTCCTTTATCTTACATTCGGAGTTTTTATTCTCTTCATCTTACCTGCATACGGCTTTAGCAACCTCGAGGGGTGGTCCTTCTCCGACGCTGCTTATTTCACAGTTATATCGCTTACAACAGTCGGTTTTGGCGACTACACACCGAGTTTTGAAGGCGCGGAAGAAACTGGAATCGGATTCATGTCAATTTATAGAATTCTCGTCCTGACATGGTAAACAAAAAGAAAGGATATTTGATTACGAATTCTTGAGGATGCTGATTGGCCTTGCTTGGCTGGGAAGTATGCTCTCCCTGACCTCGGAGAAATTCGGAAATTTTGTCAAAAAAGTTTTTGATAAAGCCTTAAATGTTGAAAGGACAGTTTTTACTTATTTAAAATATGATCACTTCAAATCGTTAAAAACTCAGGAAAGCCATGAAATTCTGGAATCAGACGAAGAAGTGATCTCTGACGATTTCTTGATGGACTCGAAAAATGAGCACCTGAACATTTCTGAACAACTATCCATTCCGAAGGGAGGGGATAACATGATGCCTTCTCCCCTGATGAGAAGAATGAATCGCAATACACTGCCAAATTTTGAAAATCAAGGCTCAAATGGGAACCTCGATTCACCCGCAATAAGTAAGGAAATATAATTCTTTTGGAAAATAATCGAATTAAGCCTGCTGGAAGAAAACCGCTAGAGAAGATTTTTGAGTGCAGAATTCAAATTTAAATTTGTAAATAAATGAGGATGATTAAGGGAAAGCATTTTTTTGACAAAAGTAAATTCTCGTTAAGTTTTTTCATGGCTTGGAATGAGAAAACATTTGCCGAAGGGTGTTTTTCGCATAAATTCGTATCCAGGATGCAGTGGCAGCTGTTCAAGAGAAACAGAGTACGCTTGGGGGAGAAGATACCAACGATTTGTTTGAAGTGCGTCTCTGTTGATATTTTCATTCACTAGGTGCATTTTTTCATCTTTCGTCTCGTAGATAAAATTCTGATCTTCGTAAAACTTGACCATTTCAATGTTCGTATAATAAGGGCTCTTCATATCAATTCGAATCTCGGCTCCTCCGTATTTTATCAGGCTGTTTTTAAGAATATAATGATCGTTCTCGATTCGATCAATAACCATCTGATGAAAAATAGGTTCATCAATTTCATTTTTTCGGGGATCTTCTTTGAAATATACTCCAGTGACTGTAAGAGGTCTTCCATCGAAAACAAAGTTTTGGTTCAGCAAAACTGAAAAAGCCTAGTGATCAAATGTAAGCTCATGCTCTTACCCTGTTTGAAATCAAAAATGGAATCAGGCTCGTGATCGAATCTTAGAATCGACCAACCTTTTTGTTGCAGGAATGTTGGATATTTCAAGCGATTCAAGAGTGTTTCGATCTCGTTCCTTTGAAATTCTACCTCATCATTATTTGGATTTAAATTTATGCCCGCTAGGCTTCGAGGATAGAAAATCATCGTCAGGGTTGTAAAAATATTTTCGAAAGTGTATTTTTCTTTCATTGTTTTTTCATCAGGCTGGAGGTCATATTTGATTGCCCATCGAAGCAAATTGGCGACACAAATTGGCACACAAAGGTTCGTGTCTTTTTGGTCCAAGAGATTCTCAGAGACATTTTCGAATTTATTATAAACAGCTCGGGTAAATCGTTGCTTCAAATAAGCGACATCAACCGATTTGGCGATCATTGGATCATCACATGATAGATTTTGGTCTTCATCAAGAGAAACAATTTTTGATTGCGCTTGAATTTCTTTGACTGACGGTTTTCTTGATTTAAAAATCCATTCCGCATTCGAGTTCTTAAATAAAGTCTTGAATTCTCGAGATATTTCAAAAAAAGAGACCTTGAGAATCTTTTTAATACTCGATTTCATATTTTCATTGACGATCGGATTAAAAAATAAGCTCCAGGAACTAGTCCAATCGCTAAGAATATACACGAAAATATTATTTTCAGTTGGATAGCCTTTCCAAACATTTGTATTTAGCTGAGCACTATTCGAAAAACCAGCTGATCCAGAAACTAAAATGAATTTATTATAAGCATTATGTTTGAGTAATTTACATAAATGAGGAGAAAACATAAATTTTGAGCCTCTTCTACAAAAGCCTAGCTCTCGATATCCGTCTCTGAGTGATTTATCCATGATAATTCCAAAGTCGATGATACGAGGCGAACCGTCTTTGAGCAAAACGTTTTTTGGTTTGAGATCACAATGATGAATGCCTATTGACTCCAAATACTCAATGCCATTTTTGACTCCGACTGCGATCCGTTTTCTTTCTTCGAGAGAGAGAATGTCTTTTATCAGCGCACCACGGAGTTCATCATCACATAACTCCATAAGTGTAATCCAACCAAGACAGTCTTCATTTTTCTCGTCATCTGCTTCGAAAATCTCAATATTTGCATAGTTTTTGATGACGTTCTCATGATAAGGCACCATTCTCCTAGTTTTCTCAGACTTTTCCCTGTCAATCTGATAGTCTGTCGCAGAAATATAATCTGAAAATATCATTCTTGTCACAAATTCCATCTTCAAAAAGTAAATACCATTAGAAAGATGGACAATAAATTTGTAGGTTTCAAGTGCTCCATCTTCAGTGAAAAGTTTCGGGTCAAAAACATGCAATCTCGCCGCAATATCAACGCCGTGAATAGAATTTTTGACGACAATTGCTTCTCCTCCAGATGAAATGATTTTCTCTGACAAATCTTCATCGAGATCCCACCTTCCGTTTTCAGCCTGTAACTCTGATCGTTCAATTTCAGCATCGTAAAATTGCGGATTTTGAATAAGAATTTTATGTTGAAATCGCGACATTTTCCAAGATGAAGGAGTGAAGTCGATTTCCTTCGTGTTCGGATCTAGTGACCATAGTCTTGTCATATTTTTGACAGATTCAGTAAGCGGATAAAAAACTGTTCCTCGTCCTTTTTTGAATCTCGCTTTGGTCCATGACTTTCGGTGATGAACATTATACGGCTCTGTTCTTTCAATTGAAAGGAGCAATCGATCCTTACAATTTCTCGTTGTTATTCGTCTTAGCTTCGGAACAAAATCTCTTAGCCATGTTTTGATCGCTTCTTTTGTCAACTCTAGTGGATGACTTTGTATGGTCATCTTTGAAAAAAATGAGTTTCGGATGGTTTTGCAGGGCGTAAATGTGCGAAAAATGCGATTTCATTTGCTTGCTTTGCAAAGAAACAATGATTTTGGCAAAAATTAATTGATTTTTGACATGAATTCTTCAAATAATGAATTTATTTATTTTATACAGGTTTTTCTTTCAATAAGTAATTGCAAGTGTGTCTGGGTCGACGGTATATTCGAACATTTCTAAGTCGAGCTTGTAAAACTCGGCGAGTTTGCGACGATCGGCGATTTTGACGTCTTTGTAGGCTTCGCGCACTTTCATTTCGGCGCTTTTTGCGGCATTTGTCGATTCATGAGCTTCAAAATAAACGATAGTATGTAATAAGATTTGAGGTTATTTACCTGGCAGGAGGTATTTGTCTGGAAGATTGATGTCCAGCGCGGAAAAGAGGGCTCGAGACTCAACGGAGAGGTGTTCAACTTTGACGACTAAAAACATGAAAAAGAGCTTGACTCAAGTCAGAACTTACAGTATTGAAATTCATATTTACACGGCTGTAAAATTGCGAAAATCGGGTTGATATGATCATTCCCACTCTCTTTCCAAGTTCTTTGATACTTTGAGTTCTCTGTTGTCGAGAGTTCGATAATCACGAATTCGATGAATTCCGGGAAGGTGAAGAAATCGCGCGCTTGGCTCTGGAATGATTCTTTTGTTTCTTTCAAATCGTAGATATTTTCGCGAATGTGGGGATGGCGGTCGAACAGTTCGTAAAAAGAACCTGATTGTTCAGTCCACTTAATTTCGTTGGTGATTTTTTCGAAATATAAATTACCCAAAAAGCAAATTCACGGTCTCTGTAAAGATTTCCTCCTTTGAAGAATCCAGTGTAGGCGGAGTACAGTCGGAGGAAAGGATGTCTTACGACAGCTACTGTACTTCCTTTTTTCATGAGTGATTCTGAAGCGCCATCTATCGAGCTGACCATTGGAAGCAGATATTTTCGTTGATGATATTTCTGAACAATGGTTGATGAAGAAAAAAATTGGAGAAAAACTGACCTTGTCTGTTGAATCTTTCGGCCAACTCGGCTGTGGAAAATTCAAGTATTCAATAATCGCAAACCAGAATTCAGAGCCACATTTTTCCGGAACCGAGACCAAGAAATTATAAGCTGGAGCCACCGCTAGAACGGATTCAGCGATGTTTTATTTTGTTATCTTACCGGTCGGGCCATGTTGGTGAAAATCTTTGTGATAAGTTAACGAAGGCCGAGTAGGAGGAGATTCGGTTTTTTCTTCATTTTCTTCTCTTCGAGCTCGGGAAAAGCCATCATCGTCGACTTCATTTTCATCCCAATTCCATGAGTCCCAATAATCTACGAAAACAGCGTCGAAAACCCCTTTTTCTAGTGTTTTCGTACCTAGTGTTGGCGATTCATACTCATTAAGATCCTTCGCCGTCAGAACATTTTCACAATAATTTTTCACATGTTCAGCTCTTCTTTCAAATTTCAACAGCGAAAGCTTCGACTTTTCCCTTTTCGAGGAGCTTGCCAGATTTGCCGGCTGCGAAATTCGCGTCAACTTTGACACAAGACTTTCTTCTTCCGAAAGAGTCAGTTTTGCCAGCAACAGATCATCTTGGAGGCTAAAATTATTAAAAATTAAAATCGAGTGATTTAGTCTGAAAAAGAGGCTTACCGATGAATTTTTAACAAGAGGGTTGTGATTATGAATGAGATTCCGCCAAGGAGAAGGGTTAAAGCGGTTCCTGTCTTTTCGGGGCTTTAGAATTTTTCCGGTTTGCATTTATTTTTCATCCTAAATTTTTTTCAAATTTTAAGGGTAATGGTATACATCGGCGCGGCGCTGCTCGCTCGATCCGCGCTTCGCCAGAACCTATTTCTCACGAGGCCGTAAAATCTAAACGGATAAAGATTTTTTCAAAATTCAAAAAGATTCTGAATAATTAAAGTCTCTTTTATAAACACAGCAAAAATGGAAATGATTGTCAAAAAGGAACTATCTGAAAATTGCCAGTTTTCTTCAAATGACATTTTCTTCATCATTTCTCATCCAAAATTTTTAAAAATTAGACTGTCTTGTAGAGAATCGTCAGCTCTACAAATGGTTGAATCTTCCAACCTTTCGGTATCCCGAATGTTTCGGGATTTCCCGAAACATTCGCAGTGAAAATGGGCCTTTTTGTCTTCGAACCTTTCGGGGATGATTTTTGAATGATTTCTGTCCGAGAAAATATCTTAAGCAAAATAGTAACGTCTAAGTACATCTTTATTGAAGCAAATGAAGACACGAAGGAAAAAAATAATTTACACGAATAGTTGGATTTATAACTCATGAAGTTCTCTATAAGACAGGCGCGGAGCGCACACATTCTCTTTGACTGCAAATTCACAATTTAAACAAGGTTTGGCCTTCTTAGACCATCGAATTTGACGAAGGCAGCTAGAGTTATCTTTTTGATAAGTAAAATGCCCGAATTCGGCATTTATACCACTTTTTTATAACGTAATCCTCAACGAAATTCCCGAATGATTCGGGCGATCCCGAAAGGTTCGGGAATTCCCGAAAGATTCGGGAGTAATCCCGAAAGATTCGGGAAATCCCGAAACATTCGGGATCCCGAAAGGTTGGAAGTGACGACCTCTACAAATCCTGTTTTTCAGATTTTTGTTTCAAGCTCTTCGGATTTTAATAGGCGACCTTGAAGTCAGCGCTGTGAAGTCGTGGCGTAAGAAATAGAGAGCGGAGAGGCGCGAGAAGAAGTAGCGCTCTTTACAAATTGCGATGTAAAATTAATGAAAGCTTAAAACATAAATCTAAAAAACAGGATTTGTAGAGCTGACGATTCTCTACAAGACAGTCTAATTTTTAAAAATTTTGGATGAGAAATGTTGAAGAAAATGTCATTTGAAGAAAACTTGCAATTTTCAGATAGTTCCTCTTTGACAATCATTTCCATTTTTGCTGTGTTTATAAAAGAGACTTTAATTATTCAGAATCTTTTTGAATTTTGAAAAAATCTTTATCCGTTCAGATTTAACAGCTTCGTGAAAAATTGGTTCTGGCGGAGCGCGGATCGAGCGAGCAGCGACGCGCCGATGTATACCATTACCCTTAAAACGAAAAAATAATTATTTTTTCAGAAATTTTCGCTTAAAATTTTCCTTAAAAAGATTTTCCTTCAATTTCAGAGCCCGGTTTCTTAATTTTTATCCTCTTGTTTCCAGCAAACTGCATTCTCCATTGAAAGCCAAATAGTTGACCCGCTTTTCCAGCGCTTCTTTTTGTTTTCTCTTTTCAATTTTCAATTAGCTTTTTAGTTCGTTTGACTGTTGTTTTTTCCGCGCGTTTCTGAATTTTTTTGTTTCGTGAATATAAAAGGTCAACAGATTTTTATTGCCCAATCCGGCCCAGTCTCGAGAGGCTATAAAAGCGCAGATAGTAAAATTTAAGTAAAGAAAAAACTTGTCTAGAAAAATAACAATTTAAAATTCAAAGATTTCAATTTGAAGGGGCGATTTTTCGTCTTATCTTTTTCATCTCCGATTTAGGCGTAATACAATTTTTGGAACAATTAAGCTTGGACGAGTAGTTAAAGGAATTTCTAAGGGTGGACGACGAAAAAAAGGAACTTTTAAGCTTGGACGGGGAAAAAAAGGAACTTTTAAGCTTGGAAGAGGAAAAAAAGGAACTGCTAAGCTTGGACGAGTAAAAAAAGGAATTTTCGATTTGGAAAATTTTTTTCAAATTTAATTTTAAGGGTGTTAGAGGCCTACCGGCCTAGAGGAACCCCCCTTAAAATGTTCCTTTCGATCCTCTCTTTCATTTAAACGGGGTTTCATTAGGCCGGGAGGCCTTAAAAACCCTTAAAATTTAATTTGAAAAAAATTTTCCAAATCGAAAATTCCTTTTTTTCCTCTTCCAAGCTTAACAGTTCCTTTTTTTCCTCGTCCAAGCTTAACAGTTCCTTTTTTTCGTCGTCCAAGCTTAACTGTTCCTTTTTTTTTCTCGTCCAAGCTTAAAAGTTCCTTTTTTTCCCCGTCCAAGGCTGAAAAGTTCCAAAATTTGTATTATGCCCCGATTTATGGCAAAATATCAAATAATTTTTTGCAGAGAAATAGTTTGCTTGTTTTCTTACCTTTGATGTTTAGAAATATCTCATATAAATATATTTTTCTTTGTGCCAATATTGAATCAATAAAGAGGCGCGAGGGAAATCAATGAAATTTACTACGTTTCTCTCAACCCTTTTTTTCTATCGACTTTGATTGGTTCTTCTCTTTTTAAGTTCACGCCTGAGGCGAGCTTCTGATCTGGGTGAATCTCATTTGATTTTAATCACAGTGCTTCTGTGAAAGAAATTATCGGGGGTTTTTGCGGAAGACTTTTTATTTTAATTACAGAATTCATTATAATTAATCGATCATCGTTGATAAAAAAATCATCAAATGCAATTGCAGCTTTTTTTCCCAATGAATTTTTAAACTCTTGATTCGTTTTCTTGAAGCTGTCATTCAAAGCCAAGTCGAAAGAGCAAAAATTATTGTCTAGCATCCAAAAAATTGATATACCTAGGCGAAGTTCAAAAGTGATGGCTAAGTAAACTAGCAGGTATTGACAATACTTTATTATGAATAATTCTTTTCTGAAACTTGAACGAAGACTCGGAAGATGGTATATAAATCAGATTCACGCTTATGAACCAGAATTTTCCAATCCTATGTCTTCTTGTAGGCATTTATTAGAACGTAAATCCGAGAATGGAATCCCTTCCTCGTTTGTTTAAAAAGAATGATGCGCCGGGCGAAAATTGCATCCCTCCGCGCTTGTCTTTTGACTTTCTTTTTTGAACAAATTTATAAATTTTGTGAAATCTGTCGGTTGCGAAGAAAATAAGGGCCAAGATGCTCAAGTATTTCTTCGCCGCGGCAATTTCTTTTTCTCACTTTGAAGCTGGAACAGGACAGCGCGTTCCGAGTTCGCAGCTTTATCCAACGCAGAAGGTGATTCTAGAGAAAGAGGCGCCACAGTTGACGGATCCGAGGGATGGAAGGATTCTAGAGATTTCGGCTGTTACAGGAGCGGATTTTTTAATGAAAAGAACGCGAGAAATTGATGATTGATTTTTGCTCATTTTTCAATTAAAATTCATCCGCGAAAGTCCCAGAAAATGAGTTTATCGAGGCTCAAGAAAACGTCGGTGATCAAATGTGTCCCGTTGTCAGAACAAGTATGGTTCCTTCAAAAACTGGTCTTCAAATCAAGCCAGTCTATTACACCTTCCAAAGAGAAGACATCGTCGAAGTGGATGTCTTTGCGAATAATGGACTGGTCTTCACCGAGTTTTTTCTTCAAGCAAAAGATTTAAAAACGAACAAAACGAGCGGCTACTGGAAAGTACTCGACTCGTCTCAAGAAGCGTATCGCTGCGGAGAGCGAGATCTCACCCAGCTTTTGGACACGATTCGCTGGAGGACTCCAGGAGAAACGTCAAAAGTTCGCCTTCAATGGGTCGCTTCGTTTCCTGGTCTTCCGCGAATGCCAGAAGAATTGGTCATTATCGGGACTTTCCGGACTGCGACGGGCAATTATGAACACACAGTTTCAAAGACGCTTTATTTGAGAGATGATATTTCGCTGAAAGAATGCTGCGAACATGAAATAACAGGTGAGACGAATTTTCAACTCATCATGTTGTTCGAGTACTCTGCGGGCTTGAAAGAGCAGTAGCAGAGGTTAGATCGGAGCAGCTTGAAGATCGTCGAGTTTTCTTCTCTTTTTTGATGAGTTTCATTATTGGCTCTCTTTTTGAAAGAAATTTTTTTGAGAATTAAAAAAGCATATTTACTTGATTCGAATTTTCGGCGAAGGGACGGAATTGGAGGACATCTCAGATATTGTTCGAGTTCGACCGCGATTTTTGAATTTTCCGCTTAAATATTTATTTTTTTTCCTTGAAAATTTCCCCAAAAAGGAAGAAACCGTAGTGATTCTTTTGGCATTGCATTTCTTCTAGACAAAGATGTTTCTCGCCTCATTGATCGAAGTTTTCCGCCTTAATTTCATAAGAATTGATTACGAAATACAGTAGCTCTAACCTTCTTTGGCAACTTGTATGAACATATAAAGAATAAAAACAAATGGAGAGAGAGTTGGAATAATCAAATAAAGATACAACCAGGGGGTTTCGCTGAGAATCGCGCTTTCAGACTCGGGCATCCACGGCTCATAATTGTTGAATTTTATCGCATCGGCTCCGTAATTACTTGCTGAGGAGAAAACTGATGGAAAGACTTTGATCTTCAAAGTAGGGTCTTCTTTCATTCTTTCTAGAACCCACTAGAATTAACGAGTTACTAGAATGATGTGCTGGAAATTTTTTTTCTAGAAGAGACTGTACCTTTTCAGTTTGATTTATTGATAAAGTAATCTCTTTGACCATTTTTCTCTGTATCGAAAATGTGTGATGGTCAAATATCGAGAATGCGCAGCGGTCGATATTTATCAAGTTGCTGCTTTCTTGTCAGAATTATCCGACGTTTCGATGAGATTACTCTAACATGATTATTATACCAATGGCAACCTCTGTTTTCAGACGACTGCAGCCAAATGTGCACAGCTGCAAACATGGTCGACTCCCTTTCAATGGCAACTGAGTCCTGCAAAATGCAAATTCACAAAGTCCAGCGATGCTACCTAACTGGCAAAACAAAAGATCAATCTGATCCGACAGAAAATGAAATCATCACAAAAACCGATTTCATGCGAAAAGACTGTTGCGCGAAAGAATCAATTGACCAAAAATGTCTTCCTTTTTGCGCGGATCAGAGCGTCTCCGAATGGCCCCTGTTGGTTGGAGAATGTCAGCATACATTGAGACAAGTGACGAATTGCTGGACGAGTACGAGCTGCGTGAATAGGTGTAATGGGCAGTGGAGAGGGGATTACGCGTGTCAATGTGATACAGATTGTACGAGGAGGGGAGATTGCTGCCCGGATAGAGATATGGCGTGTAAGCAAAGTTTGCCCATAGGAATTGGTCAAATAACAATTCAATTAAAAATTGATTTCTTCCGAAATAATAGAAGTCTTCCAGCAAGCGGGGTCCTCTGCCCCTGAGAAAAAAAAGATATCCACTCGCATGGTGTCGCTTTTTTCCAGGGCAACCCCCTAATTTGATTGGTATTTATTTGATTAATCATTTTTTCTGATGTTGTTTTTGACCAAATCAAAAAGAGCTCGAGTACTGGAAATCCAATAAAGTCGACTGCGGCTACCTTCCCGAATTCGAAACCCTCCCTGAAGCCGACCTAGAAAAGCGAATCTCTGAAGCAACTTTTGAAGGTCCCGAAGAAGAACCAATCATTTATGGGATTCAAACGGACAAAGCTTTCGTTCTGAGAATGACAAGCTATTTCTTCGTCCGAGCAAAAGGGACGTACAAGATTTTTATGATGCTCGGGCAGCGGGATACGGCGAGAGTGAAGATTGACAATATTGAAATCTTCAAATCAGGTACAGTAGTCCATGAACAAAAATCTCTCTATATCTAAAAAGGATGCTCCTGGTCAGAATTACTCGATGCAACGATTTACCTGGCTGGCGGTGGACACCAAATCGTGATTGAATTCACAGACACTGGCTACGCGGATCAACTAAAACTCGCCTACTCTGGCCCCGATACTCTTCGCAAACCAACACAAATCCCTTTCGAGCGGCGAGATGATATTCTCTACATGGGCCCGCCTCCAGTCGTGGCAACACCAGCGTCAACGATGACGATGGCAAAGAAAACAACAACGACAACGGCGAAAACGACGACCACAACGCACGAGCTTTTATCGAGGCCGGAAATTGAACATGAAATCATGAGTCAAAATGCAGTGACGCCAAGATATTATGCAACAACAAAGCCAAAGACAGAGCACACTCCTTTTGTTTTCAATCCAATGCATTTTCCGGTATGTTCTTGAAATTTACTCTTTTAAAAATATAACCATCAAAATTTGTAGAATAACTTTCAACGAAAAGCGAAAGACCAATCTGAGGAAGAACCAAAACGAGACGATTTGATCATCAGCGTAGTCATCATAAACGTCGTTTTCCTGTTTATTATTCTCGCCTTTGGATTCCTCGGTTTTCTAAAATGGAGATCGTCCAAGAATTCGAACTCCACAAGGCCCTATAATCCAAAACCATCAGGAAGGACGACATCCGGACAACAAGGAAACGGTGAACCAGCAATAGGAATAGGGGTTGAAAGCAAGTCTTCTCTACCTGGGATATTTATTTAATAGAAACCCTTAATAAGGCAGGAGAATATCAGGCGACAAGCCAATTTCGTACAACGAATTTATCGCCCAGAATTCTAACTTACAACGATTTTGAGATTTTTTCTGTAAAAACTTTTTTGACATCGGGAAATTTTCCTCCCTGAAAACAAAACTGTATAAATCTAATGCATCAATAAATGATTCAATTTACTGGTTCATCTTTAAAAACAGGTCGATTTGCCGAGGCACCTAGCCGAATAGGTTCAGCTGTAGGCTCAGCCGCTTCAGTGACTCAAGAGCAGCTGCTCAAGGATCTCGCGAATTCTGAAACGAAGGTCAAGCCAAAGTCGAATTTGATGAGAAAGCCCTCGATGAAGTCAACGAAGAGTATCATTAGCTCGAGAACGGTGGATTGCGGGGTGGGAACATCTCCTCCAATGGCAAGGAAGATTGAAAGCTTTGATTCTGGAGTCGGTCTACCGGTAGTTCAGTGTCGGGTTCTGATTGGCTTTTGATATTTTTTTACTTCGACCAATGCGAAACCGAATGAGCCCTATTCCTTCCATGTTCTACCGAATCAAATCTACGCAAATCACGAAATCATCCCGAATCATTATGAAACGCTCTCGCTGAAATCCGTTCAACCTCGAAAACTCTCCATCGACTCGGAGTGCCATCCAGACACCCTGGCAAAACTCAACGAAATATCGGAGAAAATCAAGTCTCGCGCGAATTCCAGAGCTCCTTCCGTCAAACATCTTTCCGTGGCAGATGAGATTCAAATCGAAAGTTCCGGAAAAGGAAAAGTTTTTTTTTTTTGTTTATTGTTCGTAAGTTGTCCAGTGAAACGGATTCGTTCTCGGAGGTAGGACGGGAACGCGGTTGAAGATTTCTTTTATGCCAGAAAGGGTCCTCTCGAGATTGATCGGCGAAGTCTGGGGAAAGACGGGGTCAGGCTTTCCAGAGCGCAGTTGATACTTGATTCGTGCGCAGTTCAGGGAAACTCCATTTGGCCATTTTTCGCATAAATTTCTCCCTGAAAAAATTTTGTAATTCTTTCTCTTCGGGAAATTTTTTCACTTACATGATGAACTTTGACCGATCTCGTTTGCCTTCAAAACCGTCAAAAATTGCAGTAAAAAGCTAAAATTCATTTTTTTTTTTTGCTTCCCGAATTCCTCTCTCTTGTCCTTTTTTATATCCTCCGAATTCGATCCATTATGAAACTGGCACAAAAAAGCATGATGAATTTTTAAACTAACGAAAATGCGCTCTGTTTAACTTGAACAAGAAAGTACTTTGAAACTAACTTAAAACGGAGCCAGAAATTACAACTCCGGATTTTAAGAATTAAACCAGGTCAAAATTGAGGTTTCTCGAGTTTTAAGAACATGAATTTTTCATCACAAGAAAAAAACTTTTTCGACAGATGCTTCACGTGACCCTGGAGCAAGTCAGAAGATCAAGCCAATTTCAACAGATGAAGAAAACGAAAAAGACGACGTTTCAAAATCTGTCGGGCCTTTGGCGACAGATGATGAGATCAGAATCAGAAAAACGTGGCACGAGGCGAGATTCAAGAAAAATCTTTCGATGAGGAGTTCCAAGCGCTCGAGGAGGAAATCAAAACATACGGAGGTCTCGTCAGACGCGGATAATGAAACGGAGGATGATTTCAGGAAAGTTTGGAAATGCGAATTTTTGGGATTTCTTCGGTGAAAATGAGCAACATGAACCTTTGAAAGCACGATTCCATCAAGCCATACTCCTCGATTTAGAAGTTTTTCTTCAGAAATGATGAGCGAAAAACCTCTCCGCCAAGCATCAGGTAAACTTTCGCATTTATCATCACTTTCCTTGAACAAAATTGTCCTAAGGAACGTCGTTTGAATTCGAAGACCTGCCGCCACCAGCTCCTGTCCCAACAAAAACCATCACAATCGAACAACCAGCGAAAAATTCCGAGAAACCTCTTCTCTCCAATTTTTCATTTGCTCCTTCACTCGAAGCAAATGATCAAGGAGGTGTAAAGATCGGAATATTCGATGCTCCACCGACCCCGCTTTTCGCGAAACGAGCGCTAGAATTCTTTGCAAAAAAGGATGAAAATTGCTTAGGAATGCAAGCCATGCGATTTCCGAAAACAGAGGCGGAAGTTGAAATCAAGGAAGAGCATTTTTCCTCTTTAGAAAAGTATGACACTTTTACGATCTCAAAACTGGTAATTTTTTTAGCTCGGAGACAGAAGATTCAGCTTTGGGACTCGATGAGAATTCAAAAAGCAGCGATTTGAAAGAAAAAGAAGCTGAAAGTCTTCATCAACCATCGAAAACATCGTTAAGCGCAATTCAAAAAGCCGTTTCTCAAACTGTCACTGAGAGAGTTTTCGACTTGCTTAAAGAATACAAAGCTCCATCACCAAATCAGGATGACAGTAAGGAAGAAGCGAAAGAAGAAGGCAACGTTCTGTTCGAAAGATTGGTGAAAAAATGTCTCGAAGCTTGAATATATTTTGTGGTGCCTGTTTCTTGCGATAAGAGCTGTAATACAGAAATACCCTCAGACGAATTAAATTTTCTAAACTAGGGTCGGCCCTTTTCAAGTGATGACCGCGGACGACTCTAAACGAATTTGAGTCGACTTCAGATTTACAGTGAGATAAGATCAGATAACAGGTCTTATGGTGTAACGGTTAGCACTCTGGACTCTGAATCCAGCGATCCGAGTTCAAATCTCGGTAGGACCTCTCTTTTTCACCCCTTTTCCCAGACATTCTCCTTCCTTCAATTTCTGAAAAACGAAAAGAGCTTGCTCTTCTATGAAAAAAAGCTCTAGATCATCATGTTTTCCTCCTTCATCCTAAGCTTGAAGGTCAGGTTAGCCCCCGGGCTCTCAATCAAATCTCTATCTCTCTCTCTCCCCGTTTTTATTGAAGCGGAACGAATCCAGATAATTGTATAAAAAGAGAGAAAACGAGCCTCTCATTCTTACAGTTATGAAGTTGATGTCAGCTTTTTCACTCGGCTTTTGCTTCGCGTCGGCGAGCATCTGCGATCTTCCAGTAAGTTTTTTTATTAAAAACATCGTCATTTATGAATTCAGATAGACATTGGACCTTGTCGAGCAGCGATGCCAGTCTTCTACTACAATGGAAACTCGAACGAGTGCGAGCAGTTCTTCTACGGAGGATGCCAGGGAAATGAGAACCGATTTTTGACCAAGGAAGAATGCGAAAATGCCTGCAAGTAATTTTCTTTCTTTTTGACTTTACATTTTATCTGAAGATTTTCTTCGAAAAATAAAAAAAAACCTTTCAGCTAATAGCTAGATTGATATAATATCAATTTTTAAGAAAAAAATTTATTGCCTAAAAAATAGAAGCAAGATTTGTTGAGGTGAAACAGTGCTGACTCCTGACAGCTCGACAGTTACCTCCCCGTTTGTTATTTTCCTCTTGAATGTCAGAAACAAAAAACTTTCATTTTTTTCCTTAAAAAATTCGCTCGTGTAAATTTTCGTCTCTTATCCATCAAGAAGAGCGGAAGAAGAATGAAAATTAATTGATGAATTCATCAAGATTTTCCTAGTGATAAAAACTGGGGAGATTTAAACTGAGAGAGATTTATTAAATCAAAATAAGAGCAAAAGAGACTGAATGGAAAAACCCGTCTTTTATCAAATTTTTCTGAGTCTTTTTTTAATATGGCTGTTTGTTTTTCAAATTCGACAAGAATACGAAGAGAAAAGAGAAGCTAACGATATTCTTCAGGTCTTGGCTCTTCAACTTAGTGAGGCCGTGGATTCCTGAAGCCGGATAGAGTTCAAAAAGGAACCCTTAATTTTTTATGAGCCAAAGTAAGCCACATATAAAATTTGTCCTCAAGGAAGATTTTACAAATAAAAACGATGAGAAAAATGCTAATGTACTGATTCCCGTTGTAATTTATGGGCCAAACAATCAGTTTCAAGGGTTCAGGGAAAATCTTCTTATTGCGAAAATTCTTAATCGAAAGGTAACTTTTCTTCGAAATTTGCTTTCGAAGAGAATTTTAGATCGCCATTCCGCCATTTTTTCGTCATTTTTCATCAAGTGGCAAAGCTGTTATTCCACCATCAGAGATTTTCGACACTTCATTGATTGAATCAATGATTGCAGTTGAAAATAAAATTCATGAAAGTTGCCCCGGAAAGGATTTCATACGAACTTATTCCTATATTTAAAAAATACCGCGGTAAATGAAATCTGATGATAAGATAACCGCTTTGAGTTGATATTCAATACTCATAAAAACTGGAAAAGCGAGCGCAATATCAAACAAACCTACAAATATTTTGGCCTAGACTTTGCCACTTATAACAAAACAAAGAAAGTTGATTTACATGTTCCAAAAAACGAATTTCAAGATGAAATTTTCAAGCAATTCTCCCGCTACGACCAAATCAGCTGTGTCATGCTAAAAGAACCATTTCGTATCGTCAATTGGGTAAACATTAAACTATTTATTTTGAACCTTTATCATTGATTTCAGAACGAATTAGCGAAGAATCGGTTAAGAGCCAGCAAACTATACGACTTTGAATTCATCGACATCATTCTCGAAGTCATTCGAAGCACAAGAAGATCGCGAAAAATTCAAGAAATATCAAAAGACTTTCTTCTTTCAAAAAACATTACGAATTTTGCGGCTCTTCACTGGAGATATGATATGGACGATTTCGTGAAAATCAATTCTCGGAAAGAAAAGAAAGATTCGTTATTGGAGAAAATTCAAGCGATACGAAATGATCCATCATTTTTGGTCAAGTGGGTTGTCGACAAAATGAAGAAGAAGGGACAAAAATCAATAATTCTTTTCAGGTAAAAGGTTCGAAAAGACCGGTCTCTTTGCTAAAACTGACGATTTCATGTTGAAATCAGTGTTTGCAGATTGCCAATGATTCTGAATATCGGCGGCTTGTACCTTAGTTTTAGACCAAAAATAAGCTTTTTTTCTTGGTCTCTTTCGAATCAAAAATAGCCCTCCATCAGACTACGACTTCTTACAAAAAATAAGCGACGGCCTCCTTCAATATTATCCAGAAGCTCAGGTCATCCAAGAACAAGAAATTTCAGCCTTCTCTCGACCGCGACTCAGCAAAGATTATTTCGACACCCAGCTCTCTCTTGTTTCCCAAGAGCTTGCTTTCAGATCCGACTTCTTCTTTTATTCAAATCCGTCAAGTTGGAGTGCGAATGTTGTTCTTGAACGACTCGCAGACGGTAAATTCGGCGAGGAAATGATTCTAGACTTTGAAATGCCGCAAGAAGACTCCTGCGAGTTGGGGATCAGAATGGGGAAGAAAAACGAATTCGTGGTCTTCCCACTTTTATCTTTTCCAGGGAGCGGTAACACGTAAAATTGATACCATGGCGGCCCCCTAATTTTTTTAGTTGGACGCGAATGCTACTTGAAAAAGCAACTGGAATCTTCACAGGAAGCATCTACAACGACACCTCTCTTTATGAAGACGGCTTTCTCGGCGAATATGAAAACCCTCTCGACGGAACAACTCTTTTTCAAAAAGCGCATAGTATCGACAAAGCTAGTATTTCCTCCGCGAAGGGTTACTTAATTCTCATCCGAAATCCATTCGACGCAGTTGTCGCCGAATTCAAGCGACGAAAAGGCCATGGCCACACTTCAACAGTTTCAGAATCCATTTTCAAGGAAGAAGAATGGGTCAAGGAGGGAACGAAGTTTTTGAGATGGTGGCATTCGCATATGCTGAAAATTCTCGCGAAAAAAGAAGAGACGAATCTTCCTATGCACATCTTTTATTACGAAGATTTGAAAATTGATGCGATACAAGAGATGAAGAAAATTCTTGATTTCATCGAGCAGCAGAAATATTTTATTGTCCGAGACAGAAAGAAACGACTTAAATGCCTCGAAAAAGTAAGAACAGAGGACTCTGTTAATTTATTTATAAGCTTCAGAATTTAAAAGAAACCGAGAAATTTCATCGAGCAAAAAATCCGCCATCCTTCGAATATTTTACGCAGTCGATGATTAAAAAAGGAAATCAGTACATCAACGAAGTATTTGATCTTTTCGAAGAAAGCAATTTTCCGACTTTTGATAAAGAAAAATACTTTAGGAGGAAAATTTAGCTGTGAAAAAGATATTCTTGCTTGAAATTTATTATTCATATCGATAAATACGATCGCATAAATAATAACACATCCACCGAATTTGTCTTCCATCATTCTGCTCGAACCCTATTTTCTTATTATTCCACCTAAGAGATGAGGGTTAAGAGATGTATTTCTCGAAAAATCTTAATACCTGCAAATATCCGTGTATGGAATATCAGCTCCGTGTAGGTCTTTCATAATTCCATCTTCTTCGTAAGGTTTCGAACATGGACTCACCCAACTCGGTTCAGTATATCGAGAAGTTCCAACTGAAATATTCCGTGCTAAATATTTTACAGGTCGTTTGGTTGTCGTTTTTGGAGTTGAAATCGTTGTCGTTGTCGTTGTTGTTGTAGTGATCGTAGTTGAAATCATCGTCTTTGTTGTTGAAGTGGTTGTTGGTGAACATTCAAGGGTATAACACTATCGATAATTTTTATATCTAAATCTTTACTACCTTTGAGCGACAAGATTGAAGCCACTCTCTATTGTGCTCCATATTCGTTGAACGATCTTTAACTCGTACAACATATCTTTTTGCACAAGAAAATCGACATTCCATATCAAATCCTTCTGGTGAGCATCTTTCAGAAAAATGCTCTGATGGTATTGAAAACACGAGACCAGTTAAAAAACACAAAAATCTCATTATTATATTTTTAAAGCCCAGGTTAACGGTGTTTTGGACTATTTGTTTGTACAGTTATGATTGTTTATTCAAGAAGAAGTACTTTTTAGCGACTCGTTTATTCAAATTTCAAAAATCAGAGCGTAGTATAAATAACCAAAACCATCTTCAAAGTCGTTATTTTCCAAAATTATCGAATGCATTTCGTCATCAACGATCTCAATCTTTTCGATTTCACTAGAAAATGATCAATCCTGTTATCTATTCTAACTAACTATGAGCCAGTAAAGATGACATCTCCTAGATGATACGCGCTGTTCACGGGTTTGCTAGAATCGGCTTGAAGAAGTCGTCCAAAATTTTCCCAGACATTGTTTTTCAGTCGGTAGATTTGGTGCCTTTGGCTTGGAAACATATCCCCGCCGATTGTGAAAATTGATTCTCCGTCTTTTGACATTCTTGATTTCAAATAAAAATCAAGATTAAGGGGTAAGGAACTCAAACCCGTGTTTTGGTGTTTTCATTGTTGATTTCAAGAATTTTTCCTGTAGTAATGGCGTGTCCGTAAATCTCGGAAAGCGGATGCCTCGGTCCTTCTTTCCAACCATCAGCATCAGTATAAAACTCTGTGATTCCACTGCACTCTACCCAGCAATCGCAACCACCGACCGTTGCGAGTTGTCCTAAAAAATATTTCGTCTTCAATCATCCATAACCACCTTGAAATTCGATTAAATCAGACCAATCATGCTCGCCAATGCTTCTTCCGTCCACTTCTTCTTGCATTTCACCGTCGAAGGTCATGCATTTGTCGTCATAGTGCCACATAGCATCGAAACACATGTAGATGAGGTTATTATGAACAGCGCAAGAACCATATGAGCCGAAGACGTATCGATTTGAAAGTTGAACGGGCTAAGATTCTCTTTTTTTTCTCCTCTTTTTTGAAACTAACCTGAGAAACAATTGCGTTGTCCTGAAACTTGGCGACCAATCTGTCGTTAAACCATCCTCCCAAAACCCAAACCTCGCCTCGAAAATTGACTGCGCAAGAATCCTCGATCGAAATTCCGCCGTAATCAATCCAGGCCAGATTCAGTTCATCTGTACCCGGATTGATGGTGAAGCCGTAATTTCCATCTCTCCAGGCATCGTTGAGAATCATCAACGTTCTTGGCTCGTTGCAGATTGGATTTTGACAGTCGGCGCATCCGTTTGGACAGTTGCTGTTACAGGGACAATCTGCTAGACAATCGAGCCAGGTTGCTTGGCATCGTGTTGTACAGGAAGAGTCGTTTTCGGAGCACAAAGAAGTGCAGTCATTTAATTCGCCTGGGCAGATATCTGTACACTTTTTCTGTAAATAAGCGTCTCTAGCGATCAATCAATGATTTATATAAAATTCGAAAGGAAATCTTACGGACACTGAGCCCAGGAACCCGAAAAGAGTAATAAAAAACGCATCACAAATTATTTTCTTCGATAAGTTACGTCACAAAGCACTTTGGAAGAGGAAGCATCTGGAGATATCCCACAAATTTCGAAATCAATTTTTCTTCCAGCAATCTTTGCTCTTCCAGGAGGAGGAGGACCATCGCGGCGGACTATTTTTTCCACGCTCCATGAAACCGCCGCGCCGGATTTTCTTGAAGAAGAGGATTTATTCCCTGAAGAAAAGAAAAGCAAGGATAAAATTATTAATTATTTTTCATCACTAGAATGTCCAAAATTTCGTGAAAAATGCCACCAAAAAGAAGAGCTCAAGCATTTTCGGGCAAGAAGAAGAAAGAACAGCTCCAGCAAAAGAGAAAAGCTTCGAAATCTTCCATCCCATCTCATGCCGAATTTCTCCTTTCTTCTTCCGCTCCTGTAGTTCTAGAGAAGCCCGAAAGCAGAAAGAAAGAAGCCGAAAAAGTCTCCAAAAGCGAAAAATACAAGTTGCTTTTTCAAAACGAAACGAGGGAAGAACTCGATTTAGCGAAAAGGCGAGCCCAGAACGAAACCATCCGACTTGGTCAAACCGCACGTGATCTCTCTGTTGCTGATATTTACAGTGAAGTGATAAATTATCCAAAAAGGCCGGATTGGAAAGGAGAAACGGATGCCAAGAAGATTGATGAAATAGAAAGAAAGGAATTTGATGATTTTGTTGAAAAAATTCATGAAGAATATCAAGGAAAGGCTTTCAATGACAGAAAAAAAGTTGAGACTTTCGTTAAACTGGGGAAAAATTTTTCATTTTGAATATCAAAGGCTTGAAAACCCTCTAAAAGGCCGAAACTTGAGTTATTTCGAGCACAACATCGAAACCTGGCGTCAACTGTGGCGAATTACCGAGCTCTGCGACGTCATCTGCATCGTCGCGGACGTACGTCATCCTGTTCTTCACTTTCCTCCCGCTCTTTATCATCATCTCCGTTCAAAGAAAATCCAAGTTCTTCTGATCCTGTCGAAAGTCGATCTCGTGGCGCCTGAACAATATGCAGCTTGGAAACGATACTTCTCGAATTCATATCCAGAATTACGCGTTATAGGCAGGGTTATCCATTTCTACAAGAACACCTTTATTTCGAGTAAACTCATTTCCATTTGATAACCCTTTTGATCGGATTTACCTGTTTCGACGCTTTCACCTATCGCGAAAACAAAACCTTCCAAAAACGTCGCCAAAGAACCGTAAAATTCGGCAACCAGTTTTCCTCCCAAATTGGACCGCTAGAACTCGGCGAAGCGATCCAAGAAATGTTCCCCGACTACCCACTCGACCAGTGGATTGAGCAGTTGAAGACGATCGCGAAGGGAGAGCAACCTAGAGAGTCAAGATTTGAAGACAATGAAAAAGAAGTCATCAAAGTCGGGTTCGTGGGCCATACGAATGTGGGTAAATCATCGATAATGAACTCGCTTGTCGGCGAAAAGCATTTCTCGATGTCCATTCGTCCAGGAAATGGTTTCAAGAGCGCTTTACAGAATATTAAGCTCTAATCGCGTATGAACAAAGGGGAAAATATTATCTCTTTAGGCTAAAGGCTTTAGTCAATAAACCGCCTGAATATTCGGAATATGCCTACCAGATCCCACTCTTTTCTCTTCAAAAGCTCTCGAAACCAAAGAAAAGGACACACAAAAGAGCTACAAACTTGGAATGTTTCTGAGCATGTGCAGCTAGTTGACTCTCCTGGAATAATCTTCCCATCAACAGTTTCTCGACAGCTCCAAGTTCTTTCTGGCCTTTTCCCTGTTGATCAAGTTCGAGAGCCATATTCTGTCATTGGTAAGTCTTCCTCGATGAAAACTCATTACGAAAATTATTTAGGATACTTGGCAGAGCGAGTCAACCTCGTTTCCGCGTTCCACCTGAAGCACATCTCCGACGAACTGTACTGGACAGCCTGGGACATTTGCGAAGCCTTCGCAAAAAAGAAAAACTTCATGGTCGCGAAACGAGCGTATCCTGACGCGTACCGAGGGGCGAATTTCATTCTAAGAATGGCAGTTTCTGGCCAACTCGTTTTGGCATTTGAGCCGCCCGGATTCGAAGCGGCGGAGTTTGAAAATGACCCGGAAGTAAAGAAGATAAAAGCACTGGCGAATAAGGAGCAGTTTTATCGACGAGAAAATGAGCTGGAAAAGAAGTATGAAAAGCTGAAAAAGGAAGAAGAGAGAAAGAAAGCTCGGAAGAATCAGAAGAAGAAGATGAAGACGATGATGAATTTTCCGCGCCTGTAAATCGTTTTGCGATGCTTGATAACTCAGACTGATAATTTATAGGGTTTTATGTTTAATAAAGTTCATATTCTTCAATACCGGATTTCGGAGTGAAAATTCATCGAAAATGTTCATTATTCAGATTTCATGTCCCTTGAAAGTCATCGCTGGAAGCACATGAAAAAGAAACAGCTCGACTCGCTCAAACGCCATTTTCCGAATCTCGAAGTAACAAGCCAGCGATTCAATTCAAATACCGACAGAAGCGGTGCCGAATATACAGTTCTCAAAGGGACGATTCCAGCGCCATACAAAGGAAAAACCTATAACTACTCGATTCAAATATTGCTTCCACTGACGTTTCCACAAGACCCACCCTTAGCAAAAGTCGTGCCCACTGACGGGATGAGAGTAATACCGTCGGAGTATGTCGCTAGAACCGGTCATGTAAGTTATCAATTCTGATCTGACAAATATCAATTGCTGTATCTGCTCCTTTGCTTGGCAACCTTTCCAGAAACCTGACTCAGATTTCTGGTAAAGCTGGGTAGCATTTGTTTGAAAAATACACGCCTTTTCTTTTAAAGTTGTCCAAAATTGACGCATTTCTTCAGATCTCTACTCCCTATCTCCAAAACTGGAACATCAAGTGTTCGCTAATCGAGCTCTGCCAGACCCTATCAACCCTTTTCTCCCACTGTCCGCCGCTAGTCATGAAGGAAAGCTCCTCTTCTCGCAAAAAATCCCTTCCAAAGCTCGACTACATCCCCGAAAGCGCCGCCCAAACCCAAGAAGCATTCCTCGCTTATGTCCGCGACAACATCGATCTCGTCAAGTTCGAACTCGAGTGCGGCATTTGCAAGCTCTTTTTCAACCGAGAAGAAAGGAAGAGAACGGTGCTTTCAACCTGCGGCCATCAGCTTTGCCAAGAGTGCTCCAAAAAACTGCCAAGGAAATTGTGTCCTTACTGCTCGCAAGAATTTCGTGATGAAAATCTTGTTGTTACTTTTTAAATACAATTCATATTTAATCAATTCATTTGTTTCTGTTTCCAAGCATTTTTTACTGTTAACCTGTTTCACCTAACTTCTGGACACGGCATCTTAACTACAAGACCTTAGTAAGGATTCTGAAAGAGTTGAAATCAAAAGCCGCTAGTTTATAAAAACGAAGTCGCGAAGCGGGGTCTTCAAAATTTATATAATAGAGGGAGCATGGAGAGGATAGCATTGACGAAGCCGCCTCTCGGCTGATGGGTTTTGTAACCCGTTGACGCTAAGTTAGTTTTTGAAAAAGCGGCTTTCCACTTTGACCCTTTCAGTTTCAGTAAGTTTTTGTAGACAGGCTGCAGAACGCATGCCCTGAGTCAGGATATCTCCTTTACTCTTATCAATAATTCATTTTAATTCATAGAATGATTCTTTATATTTCTTTTACTAGAATGAGAGAGTAAAAAAAGAGAAGTATGAAAGCAGAAATCCTCTCTATTTGGAAGTTCTGCGTCGCCTGTCCATCGTTAGCTTTCATTTCCTGTTTATTTCTATCGCTTTGGACGGATTGGGAAAGATCTGTTAACACACAGTGTGTCAAAGATGGAAAAACTCATCACCCGTATAATTTGCTCCCTTCGATTTCCATGATGATATCAGGTTAGACACAATTCTAAGGCACCCAATCATGTAGTTTTTCAAGATCGACAGCCGATGGAATTCATCTGGAGAGCGGCAATCGGTCTACATTCTTTTCCTCGATTATTTCTTGGGTAATTGTCGAAACAAAAATGTTCATTTTTAACTCTTCATATTCAGAGTTTACTTCCGCCAGAAGCACTTGCATCTCATCGGGAATAAAAGCCGCGTGAATCTTATGTATTTCTTTTACTTCCTCGACATTTTGGCGCTGATTGGCCTGACGTATGTTCAATCGAACGAGTGGTTTATTGTCCATGCGATTTCTTTCGGCACCTTTCTTTCTGCCTCTCCTTTATTCATGATTACTGGTAAGTCTTTCGGCATCTTTAGACATTCAAAGACATCAAATGACATCTTCCATCATTAAATTCCCCCCTTTTCTAGCGCTTTCCTGCGTAAACGTTGGCCACGGCGCATATCGATCGCGGAAACGGACATTTCTGCTCCACTTGAGCTCAACATTCGTCACCCTTTTCCTCTACCACCACCACAATTCAACCTGCAACGATTTCGTTTACACCTTCTTCGCGCTCTTCGAATACATCATCGTCTTTTCAAACATTTACTTCCACTTTCTGTTCGGCTCCGAATTCGGCACCAGCACTATTTCTATTCAATCGGGACCCATGTACACTCCGCTGCCTAGATAGTCTTAAGAAATATTATTTTCCTATAAAATTTCAATATTTTTCGCGCTCTAGAATGGCGTCTCCGCAGAATGACATGAGCTTAGTAGTGCTCGGATCTGGGGGAGTTGGTAAATCAGCGCTAACAGTTCAGTTTCACCAACAAGTTTTTGTGCAGGAATATGATCCCACACTGGAGGTAAGAGGAGTCTGAAACTGGGCTCGGCAGCACCAATCTTTTCATTCAATTCTTCTCAGGACAACTACGTAAAACGGCACGACGTAGACGGTCAAACATACAAACTGAGCATCTTGGACACGGCTGGTCAAGATGAGTTCTCTCTCTTCCGCGAGAACTATTACAAAAGCGGCCAAGGATTCATCATTGTCTGCTCCTTCGACAGCAGAGCTTCTCTTGACGAAGTGAGGAAGTTCTTTGACGAAATTCAGCGAACCTCAGAGAGTAAGAAAAAAGTATTAATGTCAGATCTCATTTTTCTTTCAGGAAAGCACGGACCGATCATCATAGCGGTCAACAAAGCGGACAAAGAAGACCGTCAATTCCAAGAAGACGCCGTCAGAAGTATGTGCAACCAGCTAAACTTGCGCTACATCGTTACTTCTGCCAAAACAAACCTCAATGTTGAGAATTTGTTCACTGAGGTACGCTCTTACTCTTGAGCAAACTCTCATTTGTTTCAAGATCGTCCGAGAAGTGGTCCAATACAGGCTGAAAAACCCGCCACCGCAGCCAAAGAAGAACAAAAAGAAAAAGGGCTGTCAAATCATGTGATCGTCGTCATTTTTTCGTCGAAGCAAATTGATTTCCAAAGCCTGTATATTTCGTTTCAATGAAATTTTGCTTCATGTTTTCTCTCTCTGTACTAACCGACTCTAAAAACAGCATTCCTCAAAAGAATTCCATTATTCGGACAGTTATCTAGAATAATCTCTATTAACCAGATTGCCTTCTTCTACGCCAACAAAAATAATGCTAAAAGAACACCGAAAAAGTTTGATTTTGTACCAACTTTTTGATTTAAAAACGCACTTTCCTTACCTTTCTTTATCATTTGTTTCTACTGACCTTCTTTATCTACTTTTGTTTTATTCTTCTTCAATTTTTGATGAACCAACGTACTATAATTTTCAAAACGCATGTTTTCTGCTTTTGCCTCTCAATCTTTCGCTAGTCAACCTGTGTAGAAGGCCTGACTCAGGTTTCTGAGCGAGCTAGACACTTAAGCCAATAAGATCATTTGTCTGTCAAAGCCGCTTTTATACACAGGTTACGAAGCCGTATCTTAACCCCTATTTCACTTCATAACTTTCAGCTGATCAAAAATGGCGACGGGAAGTATTGGAGGCCTGGCAATGCACCAGGAGCGCGGTGCTCGAGAAGAATACACTCAAGATGCCAAGATCTTTGCAGTACAGAAGTTTGCGCCTGTCAAATATGATACTGAAGGGTCGCTGAAAACGTATCACTGTCTTTGTGGTCAACTTTGTCTCAGTAAGTCTCGTCAAAATCGACCTGAATATCATGCTCTCAGTCGTTGATAAAGAACTGGACATGCTGCCGATGCGATCGAAAGACAAGGCCCGAGTTCTCGACCCGAAATTCACCGTCTTTCGAACTCCAGGAATCGTCGCTCATGAAGGGATCCTAGCTTCTGCTGAATCTCCCACTTCTAGCGTAGTTTGCCTGCTCTCTATATCTGGACGAGTGAAGAAAACGAGTAAAGTATCTTTGACGTCTGTATTTCGAGCTGGAGTAAAATAGAGGTTAATTCACGAACTGCGTGAATTACCGAATGAAGAGAAATACACGGCGGCGACCGAGCAAAGCTCGATCTAGATAAGCAAGTGACCTTAGGGGACGAGGGAGTCTAACGAATCTAAGATCCCAATACCCCCCATGAGACTGAAACGTCCTCTAAGGCCAAAGTGTGTGATTTTTGCAGGAGTATAAGCGTAAGATGAGTAACATGGCAGGTTCGAAACGTCGAGGCAGTCTGATTCGCGTTAAAAAACCCTTTTTTGGGAAAAAGCTTGAATCAGATGCGAAGTTTTCGTGATGTCCGAGCGGTGATGACATGAAGGAGTAGCTGCACATGTAGAAGAACTCAAAATACGTCGGCGACGGTAAACTGTGATAATTTCCGTACCTTTTCAGGCCCCGGTCGATGAATAGGGGACCTGAGTGGGGCAGTACTTGCGCTTAGTCGTATGACTGACCCGAGTTTGTGCCGATGTTTAGAGGTTCGACGGGCCTCGTTTCACGGTGTGCTCGTTTTGTATGTTTCGGGAGATGAGCTGCTCCAACTTCGGTTAAAGTCGCATTCGGATCGGCGCCGGCTGAGTATTGACGATCTGGTGAAGACTTTGGACGGGTTCTTTTCTTGCTGTTTTCAGTTGCTGAGCCCTCAACTACTGTTGAATTATGTTTATCGACTGACATATGGCTATTGTCGGGCGCAGCAACCTCCGAAATCACTGTAGCATCAGCTGACATGTCCTCGGCAGTTTCATAAAGAGTACCACCAGAGTACCAGCGATCTGACGGCTCGGCTGGAGCTACCGACGAGTCCAAAATAGATGTAGCGGTTGTATCTCCCAGATTTTCCATGTCCAATCGGCGTCTACTTTCCAAAATAGGTGATAGAGATGATCTTGGCGGTTTTTCCATAGCAACCATCGGAGTCGACGCGACCTGAGAAGATTTCCTCCCCCCATGCGACTTCGACCCGGACTTTTCCATCGGTTTGGAAGTAGGAACAGGCGATTTTTGTGGGACTTTCGACTTAACGATTTCGGTTAAATGTGGGAATACGTACTCGGCCTCGTAGTAATCAATCCAGCGTAAGTCGTGATTTCGTTCTGCGGCGTGAACCACGTGTTCTCGATGGATGAAATCACGTTGTCCTTTTTTATCTTCGACCATGACGACCCAGTCGTTGCTCGAAACGGCTTTCAGGGGACCTACCCAGCGTTCCTTCTTGCTTTTAGCGTCGGTCAGGTTTTCTCGCTTAATGTACACGACAGCGCCAGCGGGGATTGGTCTCGGCTTAGGCTCGTTTTTCAGCCTGTGCTCCATGGCTCGGTCAGCAGCTTCCATCGCAGTTTTCACAATGGCTTCCGCCGATTTCGCTAAAGCTCCAACATTGAGACCAAACACCTGAGGTGTTTCCGCTGTCATTTCTGCGCCAGTAGAGTGGGTGAAAGTACTTTTTCGGCCAAACCAAACTTCTCGCGGTGAAATTTTCGTGCTTTTGTTTTTCACACTATTGAGCGCGCGCATCACGTGGGGAACGCAGTCGGCCCAAGTTTTTCGACCGGAAGATGAGTTGACCATGCAGAATAGACTGTTTTTGATAGTCCGATTCGCTCTTTCTGCGAAAGCGTTTGATTGAGGGTGAAATGCGGTACTTATTGTATGTTTTATCTGGTTAAGCTTACACATTTCGTCAATCACGCTTGCGCAGAAGTGGGTACCTCTGTCACTGTGTAGATGTTTCGGCAAGAAATCCATGGGAAGGAAGACCTTGTAGATGAGCGCTTTTGCAGCGCGGATAGCAGTGTCGGACCGCGTCGGAATGCACCAAGTGTAGCGAGAGAAAGTGTCCGCCACCACCAAATAATACTTGAATCCGCCAGCGGGAGGCATACAAGCGAAATCGATCTGAATCGATTCGCCAGCTGTTTTTCCACGACGAAGGGTTCCAAGTGGCGGTTTGGTACGAGTTCCAGCAGATCCTTTTCTGCGTAGGCAAGGGACGCAGCTGTGGACGTAGTTAGAAACATCGTCTTGAAATGAAGGCCACCAAACGTCCTCTAATCGCTCTAAAGTCCGCGGCTCGCCCAGATGACCGGACAAGTCGTGAGCTAGAAAGAGAAAGTGACTTTTACCGCTTCCGGTACCACCGCCCGCGCGCCAGATTTGAATTGACACATCAAGCACCCGGTAGTGTTATCCAGGAACAGAGCTTTTTCCATCTTGAGTAGAGACGATTGTCGGTGGTCGGAGTCCTTCACCAGCGATTTTATGTCCAGTGGCTCCTTACCAGATTCCAGAAAAGTGATGATTGCACTCAGAGCAGAGTCCTCCCTTTGATAGTCCAGAATGTTATTATAATTCGCTGACACCAACGGAATCTCCATTGGCGCCGCGATAGCCTTGACGTTTACCTTATGTATCTTCACCTCTGATAAAGTGATTTTCTCCGGAAACTGATTTTCGTTCCAGAAAGGGACGAAGACACGTACTGGTGAATTCTTGTCGATTTCGTACTCGCGACCAACGGGAAACTCAGAGTCGTATCCAAGTGATTTGTCGTCCTCGCCAGGTCTGCGGCTCATAAAATCGGCGAATTGATTTTCTGATCCCTTGATGTAGACAATGTGAAAATCGAATTCTTCCAATCGGCTTTGCCATCGGCTTATTTTAGAATTCTTGAACTTCTTTTTGTGTAGGAAGATCAAAGATCTGTGGTCTGTGTGAATCTGAAAGAATCTACCTTTCAGGAGCTTTTCCAGTCGCTCGCAGCACCAGACAATGCTAAACATTTCCTTTTCTGAAGTGTTCCATTTTCTTTCAGCTTTGTTGAAGGTGTGGGAAATCGCGCTTACTAGGTGCACTCTCCCGCCATACTCTTGTAGCAGAACACCACCCGCTGCGTACAGGCTCGCGTCTGTGTAGAGGTGAAAAGACTCGTCAAAGTTAGGAAAGCTTATGACAGGAGTCTCGGAGAGTCGTCGTTGAATTTCCTTGAGCGCCAAATCCGCTTCTTTGGTCCACTTGAAACAATTTGTTTCGTTCGCCGAATTTCGAACATCGTTTATGGGTTTCATTCTGCTCGAGAAGCAACCGGATGAAATAGCTTCGCCCATTTTTGTTTCTAGAAAACCTCGGATCCAATTCAATGACCCGATTAATGAAGCTAACTCCTTTTGGGAGCGTGGGGGTTTCATCTGACGAAGGGCGGAGACTTGCGCAGGGTCCGGTTTGATTCCTTCTTCGTTGATGATTCGGCCCAAAAGTGAGCTTCTGATTGTAGGAAAGAGCACTTTTCGCCCTTGAGTTTAGCGTTAAACTTGCGGAGCGCGATGAATAGGTTTCGGAGAGTGTTGTAATAGCAGCTGAAAGACTTCCCAAAACATACTATGTCATCGATATAAGAAAGCATCTTCTTCCTGGTGGGGCTTGAGTCGAGAATCGTGTTTACGACGCGCGAGAATATATTCCCCGAGCATCGATAACCGAAAGGTAATCTGCAGAAGGCGTAAGATTTCCCACCCCACTGGAAGGAAGTCTTATACCTATCGCTTTTCTTAATAGGGCACTGCCAATATCCGCTCCGCAAATCAACTGTGGCGAAATACTTGTTGCCCGGTCCAATGTTCGCGATCGTATCCTCCATGCTCGGAAGATGATATGGGTCGGATTTGTCGGAGAGGCATTTGTTCAAGCTGTTCTTGTAGTTGATGCAGAAGCGCATTTCCCCAGATTTCTTAGGGATTGGCAGAACGGGGCTATTAAACCCTTTCTGGTCCTTGATCTCTTCTATTATTTTCGTATCGAGCAGTTCGGAGATGTGATCAGTGACCTGGCCATGAAAAGCTTGCGGAATAGGGTGTTGACTGATGTTTCGACTCGTACCATCAGTCGGGATTTCGATCTCGAATGGGAATTCACCCATTTTTGACCGTCGCAGCCGAATCTGTCGTCGAAATCCAAACACAGCTCGGCGACCACCTTCTTTTGCCCCGGGTCGGCGTTTGCTGGTAGGGTAATTCCGAGTTTTTGCTTCGCTAGCTGAATGGGGCACCTGGCTGCGTTCTTGTTAGGTGCGTCCAGCTTTGGGACTTTTGGTGGCGGTTGAGTGCGGGATCGATCGCTATCCTTGACCGCTGATCTAGTAGTCAAGTATTTCTTGATTTTGGTCCGCTTCACTCCGTCCAGCTTCACCACTTGAGTCTCAGTTTGTGTGAAGGCTTCGTTGTAGCAAAATGAGAGAGTACGATTCTTATTGTCGACTGTGAAGCTGTCCGTCATCGCATTCTCTAGTATATCGCGGCCCAGTAGACTTGGGTATTTACTGCCTGGCATAATGGTGAGATTCAGGGAGAATGCAGGGCCACCATTGAATGATAAGCGGCAGGGAAGGATACCCATCGGCTGCTCGGCGGGAATATTTGGGCTGAAACCGGTGACCTTGAAGGGACAGGGCTTCAGCATCTGGAGAAATTCGTCGGGAACGTAAGCAGCGGACAGACAGGAGGACTCGGCTCCGCTGTCGACTTCCATCGATACGTCAAAACTTTTAGAGCCCGTAATGATGGTAGCCGAAGCGAAATAAGCCTTTCCTGGTCGCTTCTTCTTCACTGTGTAAAAGTGAACGTCGAATGGTTGGAAATCTTCAACGTTCTTAGTCGTATTTATCTTCTTGGATTCTGGTTGTTTATCGTCTTTCCCATCCTTAGAATCGTTGCTGGCGCGCTTAGCATTCTTCTTCTTTTGTTCTTATTTCTGTTGAAGTGCTGGGAGACGGTCGCGCTGTCAACTCGATTCTGTCTTGTGGATTGGGCGAGACGGCAGAGTTCGTTGATATCGTAAACTTTTGATAGGCTTGGAAGGATTGCGTTGAAAACGTCTGGTTCTTCTTTCCTAAGATTCAAGTACAGCATCATCGTCGAGAATATGTCAAATATTTCATCGACCCCGGCGTCGGCTGACTTCTCTTGTCGGTAAGAGTTCAAAGTCGCTTGCTTCGCCTCGTTCATCTTTTGCAAGACGTTGGCGGTGTAGTGTGCAAACGGCTTCGAATGGTCGTATTCGACGTCGAAAACTTCGCTTAGCTTCAGTAAGTAGTGACTCTTCGCGGCGAATGATTTCTCTAGCAGCGCCTTGGCCGATTTCCAGTCTTGACAATTCAGAAATTCGGTTCCAAGTGAGCGTTCGATGTTCAAGTCGAAGTGGCTGTACACTGCTGCGATGAAAGGCTGTTCACGTGAAGGTCTGTCGCGGACGTAGGCGCGGTGATAAATGTCGGCTCTGCCCAAGAAGGTGTTGAAAGATGTGTTGCATGCGGCGTCCAGCTTCGGCAAGTCTTGGACGTGACGAGACCAGGTAGTGGCCACCCATGCTTCTTCTCTCATTGTCGCATTCGTAGAGTCTTTTCCTTGATCGAGCTCGCAGGTAAGAAGCGTTGTACTGAGCTGTTCTAATTTTACTCTGCTTTCTGTGATCAAGGGCTCTAGGCTTGGCTTTAGTGATTCGTCATTTCGCACTTGTTCTTCGAGGTAGTTTACTCGATCGTTTATGCTTCTTATTTCGGTGACGGTTTCTAGCAGTGATTTGTTCGCCGCCATAGCTCGAAATATATCGGCAGTAAGGGTTTATGGGCCTTGGATTACCTTTCAGGCCCTCAGAAAATACTGCGACTAAAAGTCGCAATATGATGAGCTGAGGTGCCTTTTGCGCAAACGCCCGACGATTTCTCTGTCCAGCGATTGTCGAAATTTCAAGGTCTGGTCCAAGGGTCGATTCTTCGTAAACTTCTCTCGATTTTTGGTGAAAAGTGGCGAAAGAATTATGTTTTTCTCAGTATTTTAGGTTTTCCCCGGCGTGCGTGCGTGGTTGCGTGGGCGCGACTTTCGGCGCGTGGGTCGTGGTGGCGCTCGTGCGGTGGCGCTCGCTCGGGGTGGTGTTGGTGTGGTGCGGAAAATTCTCTGAGTGGAGTTTCTCCGGCGGCGCGGTGGCGGTTGGTGATTCGGTTCCCCTCGACTCCGCTGACGGCCAATCAGCGTCCAAGTTGCGAAACTTCGGTTGTCGATGGCGGAAAAATTTATCTTTTCTCCAACGGGACTACTCTGATACCACTGAAGGGATCCTAGCTTCTGCTGAATCTCCCACTTCTAGCGTAGTTTGCCTGCTCTCTATATCTGGACGAGTGAAGAAAACGAGTAAAGTATCTTTGACGTCTGTATTTCGAGCTGGAGTAAAATAGAGGTTAATTCACGAACTGCGTGAATTACCGAATGAAGAGAAATACACGGCGGCGACCGAGCAAAGCTCGATCTAGATAAGCAAGTGACCTTAGGGGACGAGGGAGTCTAACGAATCTAAGATCCCAATACTCAGAATAAATCAATTTATATCAAGTGGAAAGATGGATACGAAGAGAGAACGAGACATCTTTGTAAACGGTGTGAGCTGCCTATACTTTATGCTCATACGGAAGGTAAAAACAACCTCTCTGAAGGTGTAAAAATTATAGTTTCATTCAGGTGGTCCTATGTTTCTCTACCCGGACTCGCTAGAAAGCAGCGAGAAGCACGTGAATGTCGCTGGAGAAAAGGTCGAAACGAAGTTGAAACGAGAAATCAAAGGTGATCCCTTCTCATTTTCCTTTCAAAAACTCATGAACTATGCTAGATCTTGGAAAATTCGGAACCGTCACGATCTCGACAATCGACGAAGACGAGGATGAAATGGAAGCGAAGGAAATTGCTGATTCTTACACAGCGAATGCTATCGTTATCGCCAAACAACTTGCAAGAAAAGGTAACGATATCCTCACTCGGGCGCTAGAATGATCGTTCTTCAGGATATTCATCCCTCAAACGCGGCAAACCAAACGAACAATTTGAAAACTCGAAGAAGAAACGCGGAACGCTGCTTGACTACGACTGGTAGCTGATTTATGCGTTTCTGTTTGATTTTTCTGTAACAAACTGCCAATTATGTAACGATGGAAGCTAAAATCAGCGCGTCTAGAATGTCGTATTATCAGAATCGAGGAGGATATCGCCCGCGTGGTCGGGGAGGCTACCGTGGTCGAGGGCAATGGCGAGGAAACTGGCGAGGAGGTCACGGCCCAAGAGGGCCCATGGGAGCTCCAAGACCGCCCATGCCACAACAGTTTGTTCCACATGTACCGTTTGATTTCGTCATTTGTGAAAAGTCTTTCCCAAGGTGAGTTTGCAGGGAAAGGGAATTGAAACGAATCGAGTTCAGAATCCGCCCAGATTTGGACGAAGACGATATTTTTAAAGCACTGGAGGAGCGGGATTACATGATCCGACCGGATGAAAATGACTATCTGGCGCTGAAAGAGCTTCATGATAAAATTGTAGCGGGAATCGCTGCTGTTCAGGTACATTTCTAGGTAGATTTCTAGTCCCTGGATGTCTGTAGATCATTACAGATAGGCTATCTGAGATAGCCCTAAACGTCTAAAAGACTTGACACGATAATGTTTAGCAAACGAACGCGCCGAGTGACTTCATGACTGGAGATATGGACCAGCCAGAGAACTTTCAAATCCTGGAATTCCACACAATCGGTTCTTACACGCGTAACTGTCTTCTCAAAAACAACAAAAGGGTTGACCTTGCCATGATCATTTCCACCCTACCAACACACGAAACAATCGGACAAGTGAGTCGTAAAGTGATGAATAAGATGAAGGAAACAGACCCGAGTTGCAGCGAGTATTTATTGAACAGTACTGATTACGGATTCGATATTACGAAGAAGGAAACGACTACTGTCGCAGTTTGGCTGACGATTCCGTTTGAAAGGCTTCCAGAGCTATGTCCAGGTCTGAATTCTTTTCATTAAATAGCTGTTAAAAGTTATCTTCCTTGAGCTTTTCTTCAATTCAATATTCAGGAACTCACATCTCCCCTGAATTCTGTCAGCTCGCTCAAAGAGCCATCAAGCACACTCAATGGTACTCCTCCACCATCCAAGTCGTTCCTCCTAACGAGTCTCAGGCTCCTCTTTTGACTCGTATTTTCCGCGACTTGCGTCAACGATTCCCTGGCTTCAGGTTTGAATGAAAATTATCCGATCAAACGAATATCTTCTTTTAGCTCACTGAATGTCTGGGTCGCCGATCTGCTCGTCGCGCACTGTATAATGAACAACCCGAAGCAAGAGGAAACTGGCCGCTTATCGCCTCAAAAGGTGAAAAAAATTGGTCATAACAAATTGACAATATTTCAGGTCATGCGTCGACTTCTACAACTTCTCGCTTCTGGAATCTTCCTACCGCACTCTGTCGGTCTAACTGATCCTACTGAGGCCGGATACCGCGTCCACCAGGACTGGTCGCCAAACGACATGGACATGGTCTGCACGACGGCTCAAACGCTCCTCCGAGTCTGGTGCAATGGCGGCCACAGGGCTGTTCTTGGCCTAGAAAATACTTCCAATTTAGGCAAGAAAGTCTTCCTTGACTTCGGTTGAAAAATTGAATATATTTCAGACTCACAAATCTCAATCTGGAATGACATCGTTGTAACTCCGTCTGAATGTGTCCTCAAGCAAGAATAATTGAAAAATAACCGATTCTTAGTTTGAATTCTTAGATAAATTGACAATTGTGCTCTCAATAAATCCTGCCCACATTTTCAAGCAACTCTCCTCTCCAAATTCTTACCGAAGTCTTTTGTAGAAAATGACGTTTAGCTTCGGAAATACGTCAAATAGCACCTCCTCATTTGGGACGACATCTACCTTCGGGAATTCGAATAATAAAACAGGTGGAAGTCTCTTTGGAAACACAGCCACTTCTTCTACAGGTACCCGATCTCTAGATCTATTCCGCCTTCTAGATTTCTCTTGAGATGATTCTCATTCTTTTACGAGAGACAGATCGTTTCCTTCTTCTTTTGAAAAATGCTTATCAAGAGAAAGAAAGACCCTGAAGGTTGCAGGCCGAAATCAAAGAGAATAGAGTAATAAACTTTAATTTTCAGGCGGTTCTACTTTTGGTACGTCAACTGGAGGCAGCTTATTTGGCAACACAACTACAAGCTCGTCGTCAAGCGGCGGTCTTTTTGGCAATAAGAATTCAACCGGCGGAAGTCTCTTTGGAAACACGACTACCTCTTCTTCTGGAGGAGGTTTGTTCGGAAATACTTCGACTTCAACTGGAGGCGGTCTTTTTGGAAATACGACAACGTCGAGTAGCGGTGGTGGACTCTTTGGTAATAAATCGACGACTGGGACGACAGGAGGACTTTTTGGAAACACGAGTTCTTTTGGAGCGTCTGCTTTTTCAAATAATAATCAAGTACGTTTTATTTTCAATTATCAGTACAGTCGTGGTTCAAACAGCACTCAGAAATAAGTTCCGGCTCTTCAGTTTCATCATTTTCGCAATTCTCCCATCCTAGATAATCAACGCATAGCGTCCAATCCAAGTACAATGATTTCAGGCATTTTTCACCAATTTTATAGCAGCCTTAATTTAAAAAAAATAGCTCGATTAAAAACTACTACCTAAATCGTTCTTGTCACAATGCTTGACTGGATAATGCTTGTCGAAATAACATATCCCTCGATCAAGTAAATGACTGATATCATCGCACTCGGCAGTGTTATCGACTGCTCTTGTTGTTGTTGTTTGAAAAGAAGTTAAGAAAGGCCTTGTTGTAGTCAACTGAGTAGTTGGAGCGTCCATTGTCGTTGGTATTGTCGTAAAAATTATTGTGGGGGATGTTGTAGTTTTTGTCGTATGAGAAGAAATTTGGAAAGTTGTCGTCGATGTTGTTGTTGAAGATGTCGTTGATTTTACTGTTGAGCTCGTTGTCATGGTCGAATGGACTGGCGTTTCTGATGTAGATTCCGGCTTAGTAGCTGGAGAGATAGTAATTGGAATCGTGATAGCGGTGATGAGGCAAGTAAGAACAAAACAAACACTTAGGAAAATAACCTCAAATCTTATGTAGTTAAATCTCATCAGTAGTTTAACTCACCCATGGTTTAGCTCTTGGCTCTTTTACTTCTTGAAATTCATCATAAAGACTATCTCTCGATGCGGAGTTAAACAGGTTTTTTCTAAGTGTGCCCGAGAATTTTCGTATCTTTTGATTGGGTTAATATTATTACAATCTGTAACTTGCAGAATGTAGCCGGGTATTAGTTTACTCATTTGAGATAGAGTTGGTGTCAATATCTATTCTGGTGGTGGAGTTATGACGTCATAAAAATGCATTATAAAAGGGGGCCTTCAACTTTGTGACGTCATAACTCCACCTCCACTGGTGCAAATATCACCAAAAGCTTATTTAACACACTACAGACCCTCCCCAACAAGGTGCAAAAGAGAGAATTGAAATATCTCGACTCTAACACCTTCAAAAACGCTCCACCATTTTTGGGCACACTTAAAAAAAACCTGTTTTACTTCTTTCTTCAGACATTTGATTTGAAGATGCAAAAACTGTATTCGAAAAACAGTTCTTTCTGTTTATACAGATATGTTTGAAGACAGCATTTTTGACAGTACTGTCAAGTGACTTCTTCGGCGGCACTTTTCTATCAAAGAGTTCAAGAGATAAAGTTTGTGCATCTTCTTGATCATTTTATCAAGAGTAAGATTTTTTTGTTTATTTTTCAGGTGGGTTACAGAGCTCATAAATATAATCTGGGTCTTCTGATTGCTCTTCTTCACAAAATTCCCAATTTAGCAGTTCAGCGCATAAACTCATGTCCATATAGAGTGATTTTACGCAAGTTCCGTCGAGATGATAACATCCTTAATTTTTAATTTTTTGGGCTGAGAAATATTCTACCTTTGTCATATTTATTACAAGGCTTAATCGGATAGCCTATGTTCAATCGACAAATACCACCTAGTTGTAAAAGCTCATCAATACCGAGACACTCTTTATCATCTTCAATGACTCTTATTGTTGTGGTTGATGTTGTTGTTGACGTAGTCGTTTTTGTAAATATTGATGTAGTCGTTGGAGTAGTGGTTGAAGTAGTCGTTGAAGTAGTCGTTGAAGTAGTCGTTGAATTAGTCGTTGAAGTAGTTGTCAACGCAGTTTTTGGACAAGTTGTTGAAGTAGAAGCGGCAGATGATGTTGGCGCAGAGATCACTGTACTGTTTGTTATCGAAGACGATGTGGAGACGTTTCGTGAAGTTGAAATTACTGGTTTAGTTGAGGTCTGTTTCTCCGCATTGTTAGTCATTGTGGTTGTGAGTTCAGACTTTGACTGGCTTGTCGTTGTTATGTTGGTTATCTGTGCTGTTGTGGTTGTTTCAATTAATAGGGATGATGTCGTTGAACTTAGTTCGCTTATTGGTTCTGTGGTCGGGGCAAGAAGGACAAGTGGAACGGTAACGGAAATTACTATAATGCTTATGAGCAAAAATACCAAAGCTCCAATCTTCAACTAAAATTTTTTTCAAGAATTGACTTTATTGGAAGTTTTACCAAGCGTCTGCCGTTTAAATCTTTCACTTCTTGATAGTTTTCCACAATTTCCGGCTCATAGGTATCTTTATTGATGGAGTCATCGGAATGCGAAAGCTCTAGGTCATTTTTCTCGTTCTTTCCCTCTTCTGGCTTTTCGTTGACGACTATCGTTATATCTTCACCGGGTTCATTTTCCTCGGGCATCTTGGATTCTTTTTTCATTGACATTCTGATTTGTTGTTTATAAGGGTAGATTATTTGTTGATTGCGCAGTTGCAGGGATATTTGTCGAGCTTTTCTGATCGATAAGAAATGATTCTGAGCGGGGCTTTTTTGACATTTGTTCATTTACACATGTCTCCTTTTCCTGCTGGCTATCGGATACCAGATAGAAAGAGAGTATCACGAGTTCACCAAGTGCTATTTTAGAACAACCAGAATCAGAACCAACAAGGCCAGCCATCCAACCAGCTCCTCCTCACTGCCAAAGCCTTGTCCCAGCCTCAACTTTTCGGCGACGAGCGAGACCAAATCATCGGTAAATTCAACACGGTCCAGGCAAATTGGGGCGCTGGAAAAGCTTTCTATTCAAAGAGTGGAGAAGCGGTCGAACTCAAGCCAAACAATCACTTCTGCTGCTTTAAAAATGTTGGATATGCTTCCCTACCGACTGCGAAAGATTCCGGTACAGTGATTTTTTGATGCAATGATTCAGTTATTTCCATAGACGGTCTTGTGATTCTGACGCTGAAGAAAAAACTCGGTCCTGGGGGCGTCGAAAAGTCGACTGTATCTGATGCAATCCACAACGCGATGGGAAAGAATCCAGCGATTTCAGTACAAGTCGAAGGCTTGCGCGCAATCGAGAGCGAAAAAACAGAAGCTACTGTATTTGTCAAGGTGCAGAACAACGATGGAACATCACGAGTGCTTGGCGCTTCGGAATTGTCAAATGGGCTCAATCAACAGGTATTTTTACCCAAAAACTATCGTTAAAAATCCCCTAGAATATCAAATCGCAATTGACAACCGCACTTGCGCTGGAAGAAATTACAGTAAGAACGACATTATCAGAAGAGACTATCAAGCAGATTTGCGACAAACCTCCTGCCTGTATTGACCCAGTGATTTGGAAGCAAGCAGTGGCGAACAATCCCGACCCGAAGAAAATGATTCCTGTTCCTATTCTCGGTAATTTAAGCCTCGTTTTCAAGTGATGAAAGGGCTTCCCTAGGGTTTCAAGCGCTGAATGGACGGCTAAAACTGCAGGAAGAAATGACTCAAGCGCATGAAAATCGATGCGACATGCTCAAGAAGGAAATTCGTGAAGCCCAGGTACTATTTCCCTTGTTTAACATCGTCTTATCTTTCTTCAAAGGAGCGGCAGGCAAATACAAAGTCAAAGATTCAAGAACGCAAACGGAAACTCCTCGAGCTCTCCCACAAGATCCTCGAAGTGATCATCGCTCAAGAAGTGCAACGAAAGTCGGGTATGGCGATTCAAACAGAAGAAGAGCAGCTGAGAGCCCAGCTGGAAGCGCTCAACAATCAAATTCGCGCTCCGCAGCAATTCAGAGGTAACATCTTGGCTCTTTATTGATTTATTTTGTCAATGGTGAGAGATGAAAGGCTTTAAACATTTTCATATTCCCGATACAGTGATTTGAAAGCTTCGGACAGCTCCCCGTTCTCTTGCTTGAAAACATGCATATCGGCAACATCCACAATGGCAGCCATTTTCTCGAGTCCAGTAGTCATTAGATAGTCCATGAATTCAAACAAGTCACGTTTTCTTGTATCGAGAGGATATTTTTTCTCTTCAGCCTCTTCAAAATATATAATAACAAATGTATGAAATTCTCTCTTATCAAACCTCGTTCGAAAAGCGCAAAGAGCTGTTCCCAGTCCTTTTTTCCTACTTTCTTGGTGTGCTCGACAAACTCGTCGACGATTTTTCCAAAATCTAATTCAGGCATTTTTATTCTGACAATATACTATGCTCGGAGCAAGTATTTATTGTCATTTTTCACCTCTACTTCCGGTCTAAACTCAATATCTATTCATTATTTGTTAAAAAATGCTTCCTCCTTGATCTCATCCCTCCTTTTAGGACGACTGAATGAGCTTCTGTCTTCGATCCGGATGCAGTACGAAGGTGATCATCGGCCCCACTTTGAAAATGTCAACGCCAACTTTGATGAAGGAACTATGAAGGCTATTCAAAAACATCTTGGGGTAAGTTTCTCTTCCCCGGCCCTCTATCTATTTTTCTTTAGGACCAGCAGAAGGGAATCCAGCATATGGTGGACAAGATGAAGGTAGCATTCGAAGATCTTGGCATCATCGAAAAAGGACTGCTGGAAGACAATCACGGGCGATTTTGAAATAATAGACAAATTTATGTTCACACTGAAACTTTAAGTTCAATCTCTTTAGGCCACAATTCTTTTAATTTTTCTTCACTGCCCAAATCTAAAAATAAACACGATGGATTTTGATCAAAGAAAAAGTCAAGCCGGTATTATTAGAAAATGTTACGGACGTCGATATCAGGCATCAAAAGAGCCTTTGTCAATTCTAGCGCCGCTCTTGCTCTTCCTGATTACTTGAAGCTTGAAAACATCGATATCAAGAAAAACAAGAACCAACGCTTCCTCGAAGGGCCCAAAGAACGAGGACGTAGCTCTGCTCAGAAATTCGTCGTTTCCGCTTTTCAAGAATCTGACTTTGATGATGTTGATTTCATCGACTTTTTCGCCGTTGAGGAAATCGTCGAAACGCTTCTTGACGATTCGCTGGGCCATTTGAACGCGATCAAGCCCGGCTTTGAGGTGATTTTGAAGTTGATAGGAGTGGAGAAAGAGCGTTTTAGAGGCAGAGACCGTTGGACAGCTGAATGTGCTTTACGATGGCGACCTTTTTGCTTGGAAGATTTGGCGACTTTGGCTGTTAGTCGGAGCATGGTGAAAGCTTCTGTTGCTGGCTGTCCTGAGCTTGTTCAGCCGATCACTCAAGGTAAAAGAATGCAGTAATCAACAGCTGACTGAATTTCTAGCATGCCAGAAAGCAAACCTCATCGCTACATCTCAAAACGAAGTTATCACGATCAAAATTCCCCCAACAACAGCTGCTTCGCGTAAAAAGCTTGTCAAAAACGTCGACTCCATCGAACAATCCTTCTCTCAAAAGATGTTGAAGGTCAAATCCTCCCAGTACTTGAAAGCGATGGAAGGAGCAGAAAAAAGTGAGCAGTATTCGGAGGATTTGGAAGATGAATGGGCAGCGAAGAGTTTGGGGGCTCATGTGATTTTGACACTTGAAGGGATGGTGGATAAAGCTGCGTTCACACTAAGGTAAAGTTGTTTTCTAGAAGAAAGCAATTAAACCTTTTTAAGTAAAACCGCGGAGGCAAAAAGACATGAGCTCTTGGGAACATCTCCAGTTAGCAAAAAGAAGAAAAAGTGATGACTGTTCTGTATTTTTCCCTTTCCTTATAAAAATGTCGTCTTTTTCGATTTTTTAACGTTTACTTGTCTCAAGAATGGAAGTTGAAAAAGTCGGAGCCGTCACAGTCGAGGTCGAAAAAGTCCTTGGTGAGAATGAACTCCCCCTCCCTTTTTTACACATTTCTAGAGCCGCAGTTTGATCTGAAAGACCTGCTTATTTTCGATACAAACGAGTTGACGGGCAAATCCAACGAGTACCTCAAAGACCTTGCCCGCGACAACGCTCAATTGCTCATCAACCAGATTTTCAAGGGCGATGGGCTTGAAACTGAAGGTATAATAGCCACTTCTCCTCGTTGATTTTACTGATTTTTTAGTTGTGAACGACTCGATCGTAACAGAACTGCCAGATAAAAAGTACGATGATGTGTTCATCCAACCACGTGAGAAACCAGTGCCGAAGAAGGCCGCTCAGACGAAGTGGGAAGCTTATGCGACGTTGAAAGGTGCGTTTAGTCTTTTAGAGTCGTGGACTAATGATCAATTTTGAAGGAATCAACCCGAAGAAAAAGAAGTCGAGAATGGTCTGGTGCGAAATCACAAACTCCTGGAAACCGAGATGGGGATACATGAGAGCTGAAAAAGCCTCGGTAAGAAATTGATTTTCAATTCGATGTTTTATTGAAATTCTAGCAATTGAACAAAAACGACGAGTCGAAAGACTGGATCCGAGAAATCAAGCCCCACGAGGACCCAAATGTCGATCCTTGGGAAAAAGAAAAGGCGGAAAAGAAAGAACGAGTCGCCAAAAACGAGCATGCCCGGCTCAAAAACATCGGTAAAAATGCTCATGATATATGCCGATTGAATTCTCGATTCTAGCGCGACAGAGAGGAATGAACAACGCGAAAAAGCAGCAAGACAAGGACGAGCTCCGGGACTCGTTTAGGAAGGCAAAGTACAGTACGGCCAGTTTGGGCAATTTCGACAAGGCAGTTGAAGGCGAAAAGAAGGAAAAAATTGGAGGAAAGAAGAAGTACAACGCGCTCTTTTCCAAGGACGCCGAGGTAAGTGCTCATAGCTCCCTTTTAAAATAAAAAAATACAGATAAAGCGATACTTATTTTCATTTCAGGCGGAGCAGAAACAGATCCTTGACCTGATGTCAGCGAAAAACCCGAAATTCAACAAAAACTCCGCCGCGGATAAAGTACTTAATTTGGAGAAGAGAAAAGCAGGAGGCAAGGTTCAGAAGCGCAACTTCAAAGCAGATGGCAAATCGAGAAAGGGAAAACCGACTGGAAACAAGGTGGCGAACCGAAGACAGCGATAGAAGGATATTGCGTTGTTTTGACTGTGTTTTACTGAATAAATATGGTCAAAAAAGATTGATTTAAAGAATTTCTTTATCTTTTAGAGGAAGAAGAATTCCGCCTTTTATTGAATGTCGTTAGCAGGGCTTTGAATTTAAATTCCTTAAATTTGCAATCAACAAGGTTTCTTTTCCCGTGAGCGACAGTTCAACGGCTTTTGCGAACTAGTTATTGGGAAAAACGAATGTTTTGAAAATTGCTTGACTCTATTTTAAGACGGTAAAAATAATAACTTCCTGGTTTAATCCGCGGCGGCGTAGTGATGCGCCACGTTGCGTTTCACGCTAATCTAAAATTGTCTCAAGAGCTGTTTATGATAAATCTGCATTTTTATAAAACCTCTTCTTTTTACTGTAAAAGCAAGAAATTCATTCGCCGGATTTTGTGTCCATTGAGCAGTTGTCAAGTTCATTTTCTCGAAGAAAAAAAAATGATTAATGAAGAATGAACTGCAGCTGTGCCGCATTATTTAATTGGGATTAAATAATCGTGATCCGGGATCATCCGAATTTTTGCCCAAGAACGGTCAATTAAAATAGAGTCAGCATTCTAAAACCGTTTCTTGACACGGTGACTTTGCTGGTTTATTCGAATATTTCAGGAATTACGAATTTTCTGAGCTGAAAAGGCATCTCAAAGATTGAGTTTGAAATAAATTGTTATGTAATCCCTTTTTTTCTTATTCCAAAAAGCAGCTCAAGTTGACGGATGGTTTGTTTATTTTGCACGTTAGACTGACGCAAAACAAATCGGTTTTTCTTCTTTTTTATTGATTGAAAAAAATGGTCCCTGGATAATAATTTTGGACTGTCGATTATTGAAATTGAGAGTCAGAATTCTGACCACGGAGAAAGGAACGTTGTCAAACTTGTGACAAGTCTTGGCGTGGAGGAGACTCAGAAGCACCGTTATGACAAAAAAGGGTTGTTCAAGTTTTTGGACAAGAGTTTTTGGAATTCTGCAGAAAAACTAGCCAAAAAAGCGCTTTAGTGGCAAAATAACTGTACTTGGGCGAACATCTCCCGATGATGCATCGCGTCAATCAGCAAAATAAACTCAATCAAGACTTGAAACCGCAAAACGGAAAAAAGAGGAGCAAAATTAAAAGCGTGTGCGCGCGGGAGCGCCCTCTTCAGCGTGAAAAACTACCACGGCGGAAGGGTTTCTCCGAGCTTTTCTCAATAGAAAAATAGTTTTTGGAAAGAATATCTTTTTCAAAATTGAGAAATAAAGAACAAAGATAATAAGAATGAATGAAGAAAATGTCTTGACGGTTTGGGTCGGGTCAGTGGAAAAAGAGATTAGAAATGTGAAGAAGAAAACGTCAGCTGGAGGTAATTTTTTTTCCCTGAGCTCGAGAACCTGTGTTGAGAACCTGAGTCAGGTTCTGAAAGAGCTTCCATGAAAAAAAAGCTGCTTAGAGGCTTCGCAATATTACTTTTCCAACCTGTTTTCGAAAATCGAACCTGAGTCAGGTTCTCAGGGCTTTTTCGGACCCTGAGTCAGGTTTTTCACGCAATTTGCCGACCCTAGCTTATTACCAGTGAGCTTGAGTAGCTGTCCCGGGTGACAGGGGAGATAAAAACTTGATTTGCTCGAGGAAAGATGAATTAAATTAACTTTTTTTTCCAGGCTCTTTTCGCTAATAGGAAATATCGATCTGACAAGACTAAGTGAAGGTGTTAAGAAACAGCATTTTTCCAATGACAAAGTTCTGATTGAACAGGGTTTTGCAATTAAAAATGTATGAAGATTGGTTTTATGTAGATACAGCTACTTTATCTGATTAATAAATAAATTAACGAGCTAAATGGGCAATTATCTGACGCAAATTTAATTAAATGGGAGCTACAATGAAAAAAATAAACACTTTGATCTTGTTAGGAACAAGAACTATTAACATCTTTATGTTTTTCATTGAATATTCAAATGGATTTTTCTGAAAAACGGAACCCTGAGTCAGGCTTAGGATCGGCAACCTGTGTAAAAATCTGAGTCAGGTTCGGACGAACTTTTATGGAAAGCCGCTTTGCGGCTTCTTTTGGAAAAGCCGCTACGCGGCTCTTACTATTAAGTAATTTAAGCTCTTAAGAACCTGAGTCAGGTTTTCTACACAGGTGACTGAGCCTCGAAAAGACCATCTGATTACTTGAAGCCGGGAGGGTTGAAAGATTAATCATTTTAACCCTGTCAGGGCGGAAGAAAATGATCCCTGAGGATTCAAAGGGTTATTCTAACGGATCGAGTTTCATGTTTTAATAAATGAATTAATCTTGAGTTTCGGAAGCACATCGCAGTAGCAATTAATTTTTCAAGTGATGATCCCACGGTTAGAAATTCACGTGTTATGCGGGTTTCGCACCTGCTTTTAAACCTGTCTATATGTAGGCTCTCATGAAAGTGAGATTTTTTCCGAGGATTTATGTAAAAAAAACAAGGCAAAAATTGATAAATTCTTAAAAAAAATCGTTGCAAGAAAATCTCAGACTCTTCGATAAAAAACAATGGGCTCGGTCAAAGCAGTTAACCTCGAATTTCCTCTCAGAAAAGATTTGTTGTCTTGTCGAGTTTATTGAAAAACCGAGGCCGATTTCACGGCGGGGAGGAAAGAAAAGGGCCTCAGACGCATCGCGGCGGGGCAGTAGGTGTTGTCGGGACGTAGCCGCAAATTACGCATCATTGAGGGAGAAAAAGTCTACCGCAGAAAAAATGCGTTAAAGACACTTTACTGTTTTTGGGCAAAAACCAATATCGAAAGACTACTCGACTTTGCTGATTAAATTTAATTTAATCAACGAGTCTGTAGCTAATTTTCTTGAAGAATTTATAAAATGACCTTCTTATTTTTTGTCAACAAGAAAGACTATTATCAGTCAGAGTGACCCAAACCGCGAATTAAAAGTCATTTTCAGATGTTATATCCGCCCTTGTCGAAGAACAGCTTTCCTCGATCTTCCAATCAAGCCGGATATCAAGTCATTTGCGTGAAAAAAGTTCTTCCCTTTCACGTTTCGTCAGAAACGAAAATTTCTGCCTCCGACGGATCGGACCTGAAGCACTCAAACAGGAAGACTTAAGACTCGGATCCGCCAAACACAAAAATCTCAAACGAAACATTTTTCGTTCTTATTTTCACGTGACTATCCGAAATGAAGCCATTCGACGATTATTTCAAGACTGCCAAGAAGATCGAAAGAAAATGACGGTGATCATGAACTCCATTTAAAAATTATTAATCGTAGGTTTCAAAAAAAATTCTTTGTGAAAGGAATTTTAGACAAAAATGAAACGGCAGAAGAAGCGTGTCTCAAGAGTATTTTACTTCAAGAGCAGCAGATCGAGCAGCAAAGACGGATCATCTCAAGTTTAGACCGACAAATTGCCGGATTACTGGCGCCAACTTGCCTCGGTCATTTTGATCAGGAGAATATGAATATTCAAAAGGTAATCAATCTCTATATAGACTTCCTTGTTGTACTTTGAGGTGTCCGTTTTTCAGATAGTAGAAAATATTTTTTTAAGAATCTGGAATTTATCGAAAATCGAGCAAATCTCCTCAAATCCCAAATCAACAAACACACTCCAATAAACTCAATGCGTCGATCAGCAACCCTGAATTCCATGAAATCAACAAGGACATGTCGCTGGCCTTCAATGAACAATCTCCTTCGCCCGAGTTTTTCGGAAAACAACTGCTCGAAATTCAACGATTTGAGGGATTCTGATTCCGATACTGGCTTCAGGTTTGAAATTCAGCCGCTCGAAAAAGGCGTTAAAATGATTTTAGTTCGATGGACTCTTCTGATAACGAATATTTGCCTGTTCAAAAAGTTCATAAAGCTGAAACGCTTGTATGATTTTTTTAGAAAAATTTACTGTAAATAAAATGTGAATTTCCGTCTCATTTCCAGCAGAAAATTCGCGCCATGAATAATGTAGTTCTCTCTGAGCAAAAAATCACGATTCCGTATTTATGAATTTGTTTCGCTTGAATTCGCCGGGGTTGAATTATTTTCGTAGTTTTGGAAGTTTCGAAAAGATCGAGGAAAAAAGCGAGAAAACGAATTATGGCTGGGAGAAAAAACGAGCTGCAATTTAGAGAATTCACGCGTCGATTGACTCCACCGTCTTGTGGCAGGAGAACTCCGAATTTTCTTGATATTGTAAGATGAGTTTTAAAAATTCTAGTGGATAAAGGTTCGATAGAAACGGTTGAAAAGAATTTCATTCGAAAATTGAAACTCTGAGAAATACGAAAAATCAGATTTTCATATGACTGAAATTGTTTTATGGTTTTCAGAGTTGAAACAAATCTAACATAATTCAAATTGCAAAGAACTCACAGGAAACAAGCAGTTCGCCGTCAAATTTTACCTTTTCCTTGTAAAAAATATTGATATGAATAATAAATTGCCTTCATTAAAAATTCCCTCGAAAAAGAAAACATAAACAATGATGACTGTCAGTCGAGATTTTTCATTTTGCCGGAGCCCAAATGGCTTTTGTTAGAGAAACAACGATTTATGGCAGTAGATATCGTTTCCAACCAGAAGTTCCTGTTAGCCTTTCACTCAAGGCATCATCAAAAATTTCATCCTTGAACTGATTGAATTTTTAGGTTAATGGAATGTCAAATTCAAACGGAACGGACATCGTTCTCCCAATGATTGGCCAGCACAAGGGGCAAATGATAACAACAGGAGTCGTTCGGAAGAAATCAACGCCGAAGATGATTTCTGCTAAACGATACTTTGAGCTTTATGGACAGGGAGATATCAAGACCCAGATGTTTCTCAAGACGCTTCAGCAGACTTTGGGAGATGATCATTTCGAAACTTATGAGGTACAGAATGACTCTGCTCTACGATAGGTACCCTGTACTGAAACCTGAGTTATGGTCCTGTGTGGCTTTCTGAGGTCTCTCTTAGGACCCTGACTCAGGTTTTCACAAAGGTTCCTGCGCCCAGACAGAAGGCGTTCTTAAGATACTTAATCTTTTGCCAGTCAATTCATAATTAATTCTAGCGATTGCTTCGCGCTCTAAAGGTCTACACGCACGACCGAAATCTCGACCTCCTGTTTGAAAAATTAACGACGTTATTATGCCACCCGGCTGAGGAGTTTATTCTCCATGCATTACGGTATTCCATGAATTTTTGAAAACGTCTTTGAAATTTCATTAAGCGGCTTTTTGCCCACGGCAGACAGACCGAGATTCGACAATTTGCTCAGAGAGAATCGGAGAAAAGAAGACAATAACCACCAGCCACAGCCGATTTTGAAGTCGACGAAGCCTAACCAGCAACCGATTCTTCCTTCAGCCCCACCTGCTATTCCAAAACTCCTTCGTCGTCCCAAATCCGGGCCCCTTCCGAAGGTAATGATTTTCTTTGAAATCAAGGAAGAGAACAAGTTTTTTGTAGGTTCAAAGATTTACCCCTGAGAAATTCGAGCGACCTCGAAGACCGGACCTTGATTTTGAAAGGATGAATAATGGTAATGTCAGAAAACTGGTCATTAGGAAGACCGAATCGGAAGGTTTCGGGTTTACGATCAAGGGCGAATATCCAGTCACTATTTCAGGTAACATACAGTCAAGTTCTCCTTTACAAATTAGTACAGTGAGCCCCTTATTATAATGCTCCTATTCACCCTTTAATCTCTTAAGACATCAAGCCTGGTTCTCCCGCTGAAAAATCCGGAATTCAAATCGGCGACCAGCTCCTCTCCGTCAATGAAATTTCAATCAAAAACTTCAACCGCTCAAAAATCGTCCAGATTTTGACCTCCTGCGGCCCAAACCCCGTCTTGGTCATCATCGACAATGTGAAACTCGGCAAGGACGCCACGACTTCTGTTTCCCCAACTCACCCAAACAGCCTTTCCCGAGCGGATATTTCGCGAATGGAGAGAATCTGCAACGAGTACCGAGGTCACAAGGACTTCAATAGACTTGGGTTAGAACTCGGCGAAGAATTTACCTCATCTGATTATGACCGGACCCAGTTTTTCACATTTTTGGAGAATTTCTTGTCAGAAGAAGAAGTTTCCCGGGTGCAAGGGCGATTTGAAAGAGGAGGAAGAACAAGCTCAGCAGGAAGTAACAGGTCTTTCTCAGGGGGATCAGATGAAACTTCGATGAGAAAAGCGCTTCAGCGGAAAATGATCAGCTCACATGAGTAAGACTATTCATCATTTTTACCCTCATCAAAATTGAAGAACTGTCGATGGAATCAACTTCCAAGCTCCAAAAGCGCGGCACATGAGCGCTAGAAAAGGTAGTGGAAGACGAAAATGCTGGAAAACCGATTCTTCTCCTTCACTTCCGCCACCGGCTACTCCGAGTATTCACTCAGAGGATTCGCTTGAGAACGAAAACGAGCCCACGTCTCCAGGTTCAAATTTCTTTGTTGTTCTTCATCTGACAAAAATTCTAGGTTTTCAGCAGAAGTTGACTTCTTTTGCTAGACCACCTCCTCCACCAAGTCCAGAGCCACTCCCAGGTAGAAAATTATCCTACCGTTTCTTATCACCCCTAACCCAAACCATAACCATCTGTCTTCAGCGGAAACACCAAATAAAGATGGTCGAATCCGATCGATGCTCAAGACAAGTATCAAACCAATGATTCATCATTCGAAGGCGCAAAATCTCTCAATTCTCCTCACTCATCTCAGATCCTCACCACATGATGTCGCTCGATGTTTGATTACCGGAAATCCGGGAAAATTAGACGTCTGTCATCTGAAAACTCTTCTCAAGTAAGCGCGTCCTTTATTTCTGACAAACTCTGATCCTTTCGTCTAGAAACCTCCCAGACGAAAAGGAGTTACAAAAAATCCTCGAAAAGATCCATTCAAGAGCTGAAATCAACGAAGCTGATGCCCTAGCCCATGCATTGATGAGTATTTCTGATGCTCCATTGCGACTCAAATGCATGATTTTCAAGATGGAGTTCGATGGCCGCGGCGGTATGTTTTCAATGGAGGTTTTTTTTCTTATGGTTTTTAGACATAATTCTTCCGATCTTCAATCTGATGACAAAAGCGGCTACATCCTTGAGAAAAAGCGAGAAATTCGGAGAAATTTGCAAGTTGATTTTGACTCAAGGAATGGTCAAAAATTAACTTTGAGACTCCTTTTCGAATATTTTCTGACCCAAAAAGAACACCAAAAACAGAAAAAATCCCGAGCCCTTGATCGAGTCAATCAAAAAGCCCCGCCAAAGTCGGAAAACGAAAATGCTTTCAAACTTCAATATTTGAAGACTTTTATCAAATCGGAGTCCGGGGAATCGGCGAAGGGGGCGATTTTGGATCTGATCGAACGAATAAAGGTGAGTTTATTGTTACTGCTGCGCGGTATCAGAAACTACAGTAAGCAAGAAGCAGGGTGAAGAGACTTACAATAACAGCTCTTGCACCTGATCCTTTCGGAACCATTTTCGCGTCGGTGCTTTAATTCATCTCAGAAATGTTTTACTTCGATTTTTACCTGTAGGCATAGGGAGAAATAAGAACGGAAAGCATCAGTTCTTTCTCCTCAGGAACTGGCACCATTTTAAAATCGAATGTCGGCTCGGGGAAAAACGGTGCTTCGATTCCATAGAATTTCCCGGATGCAAAATGAATCCGGTAAAGTTGACCTTCCGAAAGGGTCGTTTTCTCGAGTCCATTCTGTTCGGAATATCCTCTGAAAAGACAAATAAGACCCTTTCTGACCCGACTAAGGCAATTTTTCTTACAGTTTTTGGGGATTTGACCAATTTGTCCAAGAATGAGTCGCATTTTGCTCCGATTTTCCATCGAAAATTGTCACTAAAATTGATCATCATTTCGGTAGACAGGGTTTGGGGCTGTGTCAGTCACTGGGATGAAATTTGATTGGGGTCAGGACACCGAAGTTGGGGGGGCGTGAGGCCTTAGGGGGGATAGCCCAGGGTACGGTTAAGGGGGCGCTCTAAGGGGGAGACGGACGGTGCCGGTACCAAATTGGTACCCGGTACCAAAATTGGTACCCGGTACCAAAAATTTGGTATCCGGTACCAAAGTCAAGCATTTTTTCTGAATCATCGAAAAACTAATGTCCGCTCCGCGGCTGAAGTGTGAAGAAACTCCATTTATTGACCGAATTAACCTTTTAAAATCAATTTTGGCTCGGTATTCTGACATTTTTTTGGTACCGGGTACCAAAAATTTGGTACCGGGTACCAATTTTGGATTGGTACCGGCACCGTCCGACCCCGCTCTAAAGGACAGCTATCTCTCATATCGACTTTTCTTCCTCTCACCTTCGATTCCATCAGCAAGATTCCCAAGAACACTATCTGTTACCGACAATCTCAGATTCGCTACAAAATAATTTCATTCATGTTTTTATTTACTCAACCAAACCTTGAGAAATTGCAAAAAGCGCTAAAAATAATTTCATAATTTGACCTTTTTCTTGACAACTCAATGCTCGAATGAAAGTTTGCTTGAGTAAGAACTTCTTTTATATCGCCCATTTTGCCATTTTCATTGTCATAAAATTTTTATTGAATGGCCCCTTATACAAAATCGCGTAAGAAACTGACATTTAAATTTTGATTTCTTTTCTCAACTGGATATTTAAGCTTATTGGCGAGGACTTATTGGATTTTGAAGAAGAACTGCAGTTTGTTCCGGAAGCTTCCAAGGGTAATTTTGAACATTTTCGGTTTTTTCTGAGTGCGAGTTTTAGTGCATTTTGGAGCTTTGCGATATGAAATGCAGCGGTACCGAAATGAGTGCAACTGGCTGTCAAAGAAAATTAACACGATGAGAAGAGTGAATTCAAAGGATAATTTTCCGAAGATTATTAGGGACGGAGTTTTCAATTCTTGGCATTTTTTTGATGGATAAAATGACCAACAAGGGGAAATTTTCTTAGTGTTGATTCGAAAAATCCTTTGTCTTACGCCAGAGAAACCTTTGAAAACCCCGAAAAAAGAGAATATCTTCATCAATCTGACAAGATCCTCATCGACTTGGAAATCGCCATGGCTCAGGTAAGACTCCTTTTTTATGCCTTCGTCAACACTTATTCAGGCGAATCGACAATTTTTTCAAACCGCGAAGGCTTTCAGCGAAAACCCGACGGTCATCAAATCGGAAAACTTTTTCAAAACTTTCGCTGACTTCATAAATGATTTTCGATCGACGCTCAACGATGCTCACGGCTCAGACTTGTAGAAACTTTCAATGTGCTCACGCTTGCCTTTTTTATTTTTCTACTGAATACATCAATTCTTTTTTAATAAAAACTAGCGACCAACAGGCGCCTAAGGAAAGATATCGGAGATCGACGATTGGACACTGTCAAAGTTGTCATCCTTATCGAAAGTATAGACAAATAGAAGAGCAAGTTCTTCAGTTCAATATTCGCGCATAACATCAAATGACACCCAAAAGTGCAAGATCTGATTCGAGAGAAAATCTTGATAGCGATTATCAAGAAGTTAAAAATCAAGAATAAAACCATGGGTTGATAATAAATTTGCGAATTGGGATGACAAACTTTTTAGGTTGTAATTGCGAGTGTATTGTTTGTTCTTATTTGCTTGACTCTTGCGATTACCATCCCGCAAACGATTGCACCAGCAACAAAGCCAGATGTCGATAATACTACTTCAACGTCCATTTTGACATATCCAAACGCTGTTCACAGTACAACGATGTTCACGTCTATTTCTCCTACAACTTATTCGACCAGGGTGGAACATTATGGCGCAAAAATTTGAGTTTTGCCGATGCGTTTTTTTATCCAGTTAATAGTTATATATGCTCAAATCGTTCACCTTTGTGGCTCCTAAATTTTCCAAATCTGAATGTTCCATCCTGCTATGAATATTTCTATGGCCACCTCTATAGCAATACCCACCACAACTTCTGGGGCAACTTATTCAACAACCGCTACAGCTTCAACGACTTCTCCATCAATTTCTTCCACAAGATTAATAAAAACGACTTCAACAAACACAGCAACAACTACAACAGCAAAAACCACGACAACAACAACTTCAACAACAAAAACTGGAACTACTACAACTACAACTACAACAACTACTACAAGAACAACTACACAGACACCTACAACAACAACTACTACAACAACAAGAACTATAACAAATACTACATCAACAACTACTACAACAACAACTACAACAACGACTACAACAACAACAACCAGAAGAGTGATCACACATCCTAGGGAGTGCGACTTTATGAATGATCTTCATGAAAAAAATATTTGTTTATTGGATAAATTTTATCCTATAAAACACTGTAATATGTTTGAAGTAGGTAAAGATCGCCAGAAAAAAGCGAAGCCAAAAAAACATTTTTTAGAATGCTATGAAGTAGGAAATACATGCTTGAAATCAACTTATTACAATGTAAGCGCATGCATCAGCCATTTCGGGCTTGAAGACTGTGAAAAAGACGAAACAGATGAGCCCGAGTACCTTCATGAGCTTTGTGAGAATTTCGGGTGAATCAAAACTTGATAAAAACGTTCCTGTGTCTTTCATAATAAATTTTGAAAATCAGTTCTCCCTTTCTTCGATGGATCGCGTCCGGGAATGAGGAATACCATCGCCCGCCCCCGCTACAGTGCGTCAGCCGTTTTTCGCCTCCCCTCTGGGCGCCTGGGGCCTTTTGATAAAACTGAATCAGCTCGCCATTCACGACTTCGCACTTTTTTGTTTGAAATTGAAAAGTACAGTGACAATTTCCAGAAAAAGAAATCCGCGAAAAATGAGATTTGCAAGAGATATTCCCGGCGAAATTGAAGACATTGGTAAGAAATTTTTAAAATAAAAAATTAATTAAAAAGTCTCATCAGAAATTTGCCATATTCGCTAAACTTGTGCTTGAATAATATAATGATTAATTTAATGATTCGAGCGTGAAAAATCTTTACGAGAGGTGATCCTCCTTGGTCGTAAAACAGTCGACATTGAGATCACTTTTTATGGCACTTTCTGATTTTTGAAAGAATTGAATTTTTTGTTGAATTTTTGAGAGACTCTATCATAAAATGCGGATTATTCGAGAGGGTAATTATTTATTTGAATAAGGGGCCCCCTTAAAGGGGGTCAACCTGAAAATAGGGGGAGCTGCTTTTATATAGGCTTTAAATTTGATTGTTTTTCCCGTAATTTTTCGCGCTTTTTAAGGAATTTTTTTTAATTTATTGATCGATTTTTCGTTAAAGGAAATGGGAACCAGCTTATGCAGCTCATTATCTCTCCCAAACTCGGTTAATTAGCACAGTATTTTTCTTCTGAGACGTGAGTCTGGTCCGTGACCTCATCCCCTGGGACGATGTAAAACAGCAAAATTGATCGTTCTCCTTTTTTTGTAGGTTCACAAAATCTAAAGCTGTTTTTTTATTTATTTTTTGCGAGTTTTCATAAAGAGGAATTAAAAATAAGGATTTTTGAAAGATGGCAGAAGGAAGCATTGCTAGAGAGCTCTTGAATTCAGGTTTTGTCAAAGACTTTAATCAAATGAAGATTTTTATGAAAATAGATGTTTGCAGCATTTTGGACTTAGATTTTGTCAAAGATTTTAACACAAAATGTAAAAGTCTTGATAATTTCTTGGTTTAATTACTAAAAATCGATCCATCGATCTTTTTCTTTATTTCTTTCATGAAATATCAATTTCAAAGGGGATCAAAAAAGGGAAAATTATCCCTTTTTCGCTCTTTATAAAGGAATTTTTTCGGCTGAAAGTCATTCATTTCAGAATAAAAAAAATTCTTTGACATTTTTCTGAAGAAAAATAAGTCTCAGCCATCTGGGCTCGGCAACCGGTCGAAAGACCTGTGTCAGGGTCATGAAAGATCTTTGCATTATTAATCAAAGCTTTTCCGGGACCCTGAATCAGGTTTTCACACAGTTTGCCGAGCTCAATTGTAATATGCGAATCTTTATCGATAATTCAGCTTCTGACATCCAAACATCCTACGGCGAAGACTGGTGGTGGCCTGGAGAGGCTCAAATCGGAACACCATGGATCAAGACTGTTGAGGGCTTTGCTGATCGAGTCATGGGCGCAGTCGGCCTCAATGACAAGGCAAAGGTATTTAACACTGTTGGTACTCATCATAGAGTTTATTTTATTTTCATGAGCGGAATTTTTACTTTTGCAGCGTCATAAATTTATAACTTGTTTACCAATTCAGCTGATTTTTTATTTGCCCCAGCTTTCTGACGAACCTCAAGTCCTTCCTCGCGGGAAATGAACTCATCAATCTTCTTAACTTAAGAATCTTAAGGGCGACATCGGCGCTATCTTCTGGATCTGCATCATCCAGATCGCCTTCGCCGTTCTCCCTGGAATTCTTTCTTGCATCACCAACCGAAGTGCTGAAAGTGGTGATCGAAAATCAATGTAAGCGAAAATACAATGGACCATTTTAAACCAAAAAAAACTAGGGCATCTGGAAACGGTAGCTCCTTCTTCGCATTCCTCGTTGGCCTCATGGGTGTTTTGGCCATCAAACTCGACTGCAAAGAATTGCTTGTGGTAAGTCTTTGTTCAGACAAGTAAGGATGGTTTTCAGACTTGCTTTTCGAATGAGAAATTTCGATCGAATCTTCAATTTTTCAGGCTACCACAATTTGCGCCCTGATCTCCCTCCTCTTCACCGCTCTCTTCCTGATCGTCACCGTCCTCGGTATCTTCATCGCTGCTTGCCAAGACTGCGGCGACTCGCTCAAAATCCTCTGCGTCGGCATTTTCATCGTCGTCTGGATCGTCGCTGCCTCCATCCTCAACATTCTGCTCGTTATCAAAGCCTGGCCCTTTGCCTTTGGCGATGACGCCCTTGACGATTTGAAGAATAAGATGAACTAGAAAACGAAAACGAAGAAAAAGAGTCACCGCGACTTTTATCACGAAACTGTTTCTACTGTAACCTGCTCTCACACTAGTTCGAATTCCGAAAATTTTGTTGCATCACACTCCCATCCGAAAGAATGACCATTTTTTTGCTCAAGAAATCAGTTCCAACACACAAATCTCCGCACGTTTCAAGGCCAAAATCGGCCTAAAATGGGCGAATCTTATTGGTTCTTCCAGGACCAGATGGCCTCTGATTTGCGCAGCCAAGCTTTTCTGTCCTCTGATTGGCCAAAAAGTCTCCATAAAGCAAAGAACCAAAGTTTCCACCATTTCAGGCTCGACCATCTCTTTTTTCAATTTGCATCTTACAGAATCATTACTGTAAACAGCTCTACTTCCGAAATTATACTGAAAAAACATCTCTTTTTACATTTTTTTGCTGAATAACACGACGAAAGACCAATATTTCTTTATTGTTTTCCTTTCAAGAAAATATGAAGTCGATTGCGAGATCAATCAAATGACGACCATAAATTTACCAAAATTAGCTGAATTGAATTTCGGTAAATATTTGGCATCAGCTGATTTGAGCCCTTAAGGGGGTGGTGGTCGAGAATCGGATTTTTTTCAACAAAATTAGCTCAAAATTTTTCAAAAAAATTTTTTCTTTTCTCATCGAAAATGGGTTTGAAAGGGTTCAAATTATGTGGGCGACATAGTTTTTAAAAAATTTTCTTTCGGAAAAAGCTCAAAATATGCTTCTAAAGTGGACCTATCTCTTGACAAAATTGTGAGAAAACCCTTAAATTTTTTTCGAAAATTGATTTATTCTTAAGATAGTTCAGACCCTTAGGCGTGTGGGCAAATAAGTTTAAAAAAGGTTCTGTTTCATTTTGAGGTCGCAGAACCTGATTTAAAAAATGTAGTTTTCATAAAAATCGTCAATTTTCACCCAATTTGAACTTTAATTTTCGAAAAAATAACAACTATTCTCAATTATTGCCTATTTATTAGTAAAATCTTTTATCTTGACAATATCACGCAGCAAAAATCATGTTAATATCGGTTTTAGTAAAGGAAATCAAATTTCCAAGTTTCGAAAAATCATAAATTCCCGACTTAAAATCGATATTTTCTAAAATAAAGTTGATCAAATCAAAAAATGGTAGGGACCAAAAATGTTCCTTTTGCATCGAGGAATTCAAAAATAAAATCAAAATTTCAAAAAGTCGAGAAAAGTATTCTCGACTACCACCCCCTTAATTAACTTTCATCTCTCTTTTTTCAGTCGCTAGATGATGTACTAGACTGAATTTTTTTTCTGATCTCGACTCTACTAAAAATGAAGTCTTAGGACACCTTTAAAGAAAACTCCGAAGAATTTTTGACTGGCTTGAAAATTGAAGAGAGCAAAAATATTTATAGCCCAGGAGGAATTCTCCTGAGTGAGACTGAGAAGTCGGTAAGAGCTTCGAAATTTTGATAATTATCAAGCTTCATCTCGAGAAATAAGAATCAGCTGCTTCAAAGCCCGGAAATAAATTTTGGCGGCCCAACTTTGACCGAAATGATTGAAATGATATGTTTGTTGTAAATGACATCAAGTTGATAAATGAAGTAAAAGAGTTTATTCGCAGATCGATGAAGATGGTCCTTTGACGGAAATCGAAATGATATCTGATTAAGTTCAACCAGAACGAATATTTTTTCTTGAGCAAAAATATAATATTTTTGCTTAAGGGTACTACCTTCGATTTCCCCAAGTTGAGCCTTGAATAACTCAGGAATTATATATGATGGCGAACTCCATATGCGCTTATTAATTAGATCTATCCTAGATCCTTACTTTTACAGAGGGGTTTCTCCATTGCTCAAGGAAAAAACCGGCTAAATTTTGGCTTGAAGTCAACGTCTTTGCCGAAATGGCCTATATTTAGGCTTGAATAACTCAAAAACAACCCTGATAACTTTATCTCATTTTATTTTTTATTTATTCTTTAAACATTGATCTTCAAAATGTCAGAAGGATTTTTTCATTGAAAGACTTAAAATACTGAAATTAATTTTTTGAAAATTGTGTCTCAACGATTTTGCTAAAATTTAGCATTTTTTAAAAGTTGCGGCCTTATTTTTCGCTCTAGAATCTGAAATCCTCGTTCTCCTTTTTTTGTAGGTTCACAAAATCTAAAGCTGTTTTTTTATTTATTTTTTGCGAGTTTTCATAAAGAGGAATTAAAAATAAGGATTTTTGAAAGATGGCAGAAGGAAGCATTGCTAGAGAGCTCTTGAATTCAGGTTTTGTCAAAGACTTTAATCAAATGAAGATTTTTATGAAAATAGATGTTTGCAGCATTTTGGACTTAGATTTTGTCAAAGATTTTAACACAAAATGTAAAAGTCTTGATAATTTCTTGGTTTAATTACTAAAAATCGATCCATCGATCTTTTTCTTTATTTCTTTCATGAAATATCAATTTCAAAGGGGATCAAAAAAGGGAAAATTATCCCTTTTTCGCTCTTTATAAAGGAATTTTTTCGGCTGAAAGTCATTCATTTCAGAATAAAAAAAATTCTTTGACATTTTTCTGAAGAAAAATAAGTCTCAGCCATCTGGGCTCGGCAACCGGTCGAAAGACCTGTGTCAGGGTCATGAAAGATCTTTGCATTATTAATCAAAGCTTTTCCGGGACCCTGAATCAGGTTTTCACACAGTTTGCCGAGCTCAATTGTAATATGCGAATCTTTATCGATAATTCAGCTTCTGACATCCAAACATCCTACGGCGAAGACTGGTGGTGGCCTGGAGAGGCTCAAATCGGAACACCATGGATCAAGACTGTTGAGGGCTTTGCTGATCGAGTCATGGGCGCAGTCGGCCTCAATGACAAGGCAAAGGTATTTAACACTGTTGGTACTCATCATAGAGTTTATTTTATTTTCATGAGCGGAATTTTTACTTTTGCAGCGTCATAAATTTATAACTTGTTTACCAATTCAGCTGATTTTTTATTTGCCCTAGCTTTCTGACGAACCTCAAGTCCTTCCTCGCGGGAAATGAACTCATCAATCTTCTTAACTTAAGAATCTTAAGGGCGACATCGGCGCTATCTTCTGGATCTGCATCATCCAGATCGCCTTCGCCGTTCTCCCTGGAATTCTTTCTTGCATCACCAACCGAAGTGCTGAAAGTGGTGATCGAAAATCAATGTAAGCGAAAATACAATGGACCATTTTAAACCAAAAACTAGGGCATCTGGAAACGGTAGCTCCTTCTTCGCATTCCTCGTTGGCCTCATGGGTGTTTTGGCCATCAAACTCGACTGCAAAGAATTGCTTGTGGTAAGTCTTTGTTCAGACAAGTAAGGATGGTTTTCAGACTTGCTTTTCGAATGAGAAATTTCGATCGAATCTTCAATTTTTCAGGCTACCACAATTTGCGCCCTGATCTCCCTCCTCTTCACCGCTCTCTTCCTGATCGTCACCGTCCTCGGTATCTTCATCGCTGCTTGCCAAGACTGCGGCGACTCGCTCAAAATCCTCTGCGTCGGCATTTTCATCGTCGTCTGGATCGTCGCTGCCTCCATCCTCAACATTCTGCTCGTTATCAAAGCCTGGCCCTTTGCCTTTGGCGATGACGCCCTTGACGATTTGAAGAATAAGATGAACTAGAAAACGAAAACGAAGAAAAAGAGTCACCGCGACTTTTATCACGAAACTGTTTCTACTGTAACCTGCTCTCACACTAGTTCGAATTCCGAAAATTTTGTTGCATCACACTCCCATCCGAAAGAATGACCATTTTTTTGCTCAAGAAATCAGTTCCAACACACAAATCTCCGCACGTTTCAAGGCCAAAATCGGCCTAAAATGGGCGAATCTTATTGGTTCTTCCAGGACCAGATGGCCTCTGATTTGCGCAGCCAAGCTTTTCTGTCCTCTGATTGGCCAAAAAGTCTCCATAAAGCAAAGAACCAAAGTTTCCACCATTTCAGGCTCGACCATCTCTTTTTTCAATTTGCATCTTACAGAATCATTACTGTAAACAGCTCTACTTCCGAAATTATACTGAAAAAACATCTCTTTTTACATTTTTTTGCTGAATAACACGACGAAAGACCAATATTTCTTTATTGTTTTCCTTTCAAGAAAATATGAAGTCGATTGCGAGATCAATCAAATGACGACCATAAATTTACCAAAATTAGCTGAATTGAATTTCGGTAAATATTTGGCATCAGCTGATTTGAGCCCTTAATTAACTTTCATCTCTCTTTTTTCAGTCGCTAGATGATGTACTAGACTGAATTTTTTTTCTGATCTCGACTCTACTAAAAATGAAGTCTTAGGACACCTTTAAAGAAAACTCCGAAGAATTTTTGACTGGCTTGAAAATTGAAGAGAGCAAAAATATTTATAGCCCAGGAGGAATTCTCCTGAGTGAGACTGAGAAGTCGGTAAGAGCTTCGAAATTTTGATAATTATCAAGCTTCATCTCGAGAAATAAGAATCAGCTGCTTCAAAGCCCGGAAATAAATTTTGGCGGCCCAACTTTGACCGAAATGATTGAAATGATATGTTTGTTGTAAATGACATCAAGTTGATAAATGAAGTAAAAGAGTTTATTCGCAGATCGATGAAGATGGTCCTTTGACGGAAATCGAAATGATATCTGATTAAGTTCAACCAGAACGAATATTTTTTCTTGAGCAAAAATATAATATTTTTGCTTAAGGGTACTACCTTCGATTTCCCCAAGTTGAGCCTTGAATAACTCAGGAATTATATATGATGGCGAACTCCATATGCGCTTATTAATTAGATCTATCCTAGATCCTTACTTTTACAGAGGGGTTTCTCCATTGCTCAAGGAAAAACCGGCTAAATTTTGGCTTGAAGTCAACGTCTTTGCCGAAATGGCCTATATTTAGGCTTGAATAACTCAAAAACAACCCTGATAACTTTATCTCATTTTATTTTTTATTTATTCTTTAAACATTGATCTTCAAAATGTCAGAAGGATTTTTTCATTGAAAGACTTAAAATACTGAAATTAATTTTTTGAAAATTGTGTCTCAACGATTTTGCTAAAATTTAGCATTTTTTAAAAGTTGCGGCCTTATTTTTCGCTCTAGAATCTGAAATATCTAAATTCAACGATCGATATAGCTGCCAAAATTATCCTCTTGCTCTAAGCTTTGAAATAAGCCCTTGATCAAGAAAATCGAAGATCAAAATTTTTTTCGAAAAAATTCTTGAGGCAATATCTGAAGAAGGATCGAGAATTTCAATATATGACCATAAATTTTAACGAAGAATCCATTTCTAGTTACCGTTTTCTACATTGAGTTCTATAAGATACCTTTTGGAAATCGAAGGTAGTACCCTTAATAAAAATGAGTCTGAAGAAAAGTCTGAGAAATTAAAAAAAAACAAAATTCAGTATTCGGCCCGCGGGGCAACAATACTCCCTTTACCAAAGCCCATCCCTTCTCCTTTTTCCCAAAATAAGACGCTAGAATGTCGAAAAAATAACGTTGCCTAAAAATAACAAAATAATGAAGTCTCTGATATACAGTTATGTTGCGAACAATATCAAATTTTTACGAAAAGCAGCGAGAAGAATGATTTATTTCTCGATTTTGAAGACATTCGTTCTTTTGATTTTTTTAAATTTTTATGATTTTCGTTCGAAGAGTGAAAAGATCGGGAAGCCGAAAAGAGGTCAGAAGATGAAGAAAATCGAGAGAAATGAAACTGCCATTCAAGTTTTTCACAGGTAACATCAATTTTTTACAAATTGAAAAATAAAAGAGCTTTATAAAAATTTAATTTAAGCTCATCGTTGGACAATATTTACCAAAAGGCAAATGTCCGAATCCGAAAATCCGAGGACTATTAGTAATTTGTTACTGCCTTTAATTATTCTTCTGTAAATAAAGATTTTCATCATGAAATGGACTCAAATAGTATCGATGTTTATTTGTTTCTCTTTTCTATCTCGCAGGTCTAAAAGGTAAGAAAAAACAGTGATCACGAGGAAGAAGCCAGATCCGATGAGGGAGCCAGAAATGACCACTCTATCGCGTCGTTTTGCGTCTGGGATGAAGGCCAGAACGACGGTTCCGGCGAGGATGAAGAGGAAGGCGTTGAGAAGGAGATAGGAAGTGCATCTGGTGAACTTTCGTAGGGATCATTTTGAGATTCACGGAGAAAATAAGGTGAAAAGAAGGCAACCGTATTAGGCCTCTACGCCCTTAATTTTGCATTTATTCCTGTCCTTGAGACCATCGAAATAAGTCCTTGCTCCAGCCCAATCAACCTCTTTTAAAATAAATTTACTCTTTCCGAATCTTTTTCTTTGTTTTCCTCTCAAAATTCCAGCGGAAAAACCGACCGCCATTCCGTCAACTTCTCAAATCAGTGTCGCGAGATCAAGGAAATGTCCGAGGACGAAGTGAAAAAATCCGACGTCATAAATATTTTATTTGACTCGAGGGAAAAACGGAAAATGGAAGACGAGGGGAATTATTGCCCATTGTTTCACTTTTGCCAAACTAACTCGATAAATCAAAGCACCCAGAAATCAATTTTAATGACAGCCAATTTTTAAAAGAAAAATGCATCCCGAAAACTTGACTCAATGTATTACATGATTTTTTTTTTCAAATACAGTTTATCATTTTCGTTTGATAAAGAACAGGCGGTCTTTCATATAATCTTGTCTCAAAGGAATAATGACCAACAACTTCTGATTCAACAATCTTATCATCTTCAATTTTTAATCTTGCTACTTCCATCTGACTCAGAGCATTGTCGACGATAAAGACAAACTGTTGGATTTGAATAGAAGAAGCTGTATGAAGTCTCTTTAGACTCAGTTGAGGAAAGTTTTTGAATAATTATTCTTACCGATTTCAAATGACCAATAATTGACCAGTCGTTATTTTTGAGAATCCAAACATCTTTAGACTCTCTTCGATAATATTTCCCACCGGCTAAGATCATTGCTCAGTTTCAAGCCCAATTAATGTGTGCTCTCTTGTATCTCTCGCAGTGTTTGAAAAAAGCCTTAGAATCGAATGGTCGGACGAGCGCGGGCGCGAAGGGTACGATTTTTTGGAAGGGCGGATGGGAGCGGGCATGTAAAGGCCAGATTTTCGGATGGGCGGATGTGCGCGGGCACCCTCCCGCGCCCGCCCGCTCACCCTCCCGGGGCGCTAAATTCTACTCAAAAAAAACCAACCGAAAGAAACGTAAAAACAAAAACCGACCAAAAACAAGTTTTTTTTAAGACAGCTCCTCAACTGTGGGGCGATTTTCAATACCTTAGAGTTGAGATTTTTCGATTCTCTCTTTTGTTTCTTGCTTTAGAAGGTCTGTAGTGTGTTAAATATGGATTTGGTGTAAGCACCATCACTGGTGGTGGAGTAATCAGATAGTCAAAAATACACTAAAATCATAGGAAAAATTGATGATGACGTCATTTCTCCACCACCAACATTGGTGTTGACACCAAAAAACCCTAGGAATTATTTTTACTGATGTGAGGAAGGCCCCTGGTCGATTAGATCAAATCTCTATTGCTTTTTACAACTTTTTAAATTTTTTGGTGCCGTCGATAAAAGAGGCAGGATCGATGAATGATGACGTAATTGCTCAACCACCGATTAAGATGAAGACACCAAAAGCTTATTTAACACACTATGGACCCTACCCTACATGATGCAAAAGAGATAATTAAAATATCTCGACTATAAGATACTAAAAACCGCTCCACAGTTGAGGAGCTATGTAGTCGCAACATGTTACTACGTTTCCAACTCTGGACCAAAAACCCCAACCCATCGACCAACTAAGAGAACGGACGTAATCTACACAGAAAATGGACCTATTTTACATAGAATACGGGCTTATTTTACACAGGTCATCAACGATTTTCTATTTTTCTGTGTTAAATAAGTCCCAATCTTATGTAAAATAAGGCCTTGTTCTGTGTAAAATGAGTCCGTTTTACTTGACAATACCCGGTCCGATCACATGCACTCACGGGCAAGGGGCGAGCATGGGAGGGGAGGGCGGGCGAGCGGGGGCGCATGAGCGGTACGTGCGCGTGCGAGCAGTATAAGGCCTGATTTTTTGATGGGCGGATGGGCGGGGGCAAAATTTGTCAAAATTTTAGGTGGTCGGATGGACGAGCGCGCCCGCCCGCGCCCCGCTCGCCCGCTCGCAGCCCGCGCACATTCTTTTTTCAAACACTGATCTCTCGGATGAGAACCTACCGAAAACCATCCGCTCTCCGAGAAACTTTCTACCTTGCAATAGCTTGAAAAAGATGTTGAGCCGACAGTTATTGGTTTTCCTTTATAAAATCCGAGCATGCCCCACAGATGTTTAAACTTTGAAGCGTGTGTTCTTTTGGTTGATGTTGAATCGAAAATCTCACATTTATTTCCATAATAAGAGTCGAAACAAATAAGTGCTTGAAAAAAAATTAGTATTTGCTCTATGAAATGCGAACCTTTTGAATTTCCCTCAATCGAGAGAGCAGCAGAACCAGAATTATAAGAATTCAATGTTTTGATTTTCATTTTTTTAACTGAGCATCCATCGAGCATTGCAATCTTTTAACAATAAACCTCCGATATTCCCAGTCATGTTTTTCGAGTACCTGATCATTTCCGAATAGGAAAAGCTGATCTTTTATTACAGCGTAAGGAGGAAAAATATGAGCTTGAGTCGCCGATGTCTTTTTTATTTTCTTATCACCGAAAAAAATGAATCTATGGCGATAAAGGAGAATGGTAAAATCGTCCTGAAAATTGAGTTACTATTAACGCTGAATTATTTTAATCACCGGTTTTGGAATGTAGCTCTCTGTGATGACAGGAGATATTGTTGTTGTAGATGTTGTCGTTATTGGGTTTTTCAGAGAAAAATTTTTCGGAGAAGGAGTTGTTATGTTATACAAACTCGGCGAGAATGTTATGACTGAAGCTTCGGATTTCGGTACCGAGATCTTGATGATGGCCATATAAATAGAAAAACTCAAACTCGCGATTCCGAGAACAGCTCCAATAAATTTCAAAGCGAAATAAAGCTTTTTTAGTATCTTATTGTGAGATTTACTCTTGCGCGCTGGTGTCTCTGCTCCTTCGCGAATATGAAAATGATTCTGGTAAATAAGGATATTTTCGGCGATACTATTATTGGTTTTTAGTTTTCCTCTTGTAAAAAGTAGAGTTTCTCTGTCGCTCTCGACAATATTTTTATCCATTTTGGAGCTTTTAAACTTGACAAAAAACCCGGCACAGAAATGTATGTCAATGATTAAGCGTCCTTTCTTATTCATCAAACAAATTTGACTTTTCCTTCCTGTTCGAAAACGATTTTTTTACGATGATTTTGAGATAGAGCTTGCGTAAATATCTTTTTGATTTGTTTTTTTACAAAATTTTATTCTGAATAATACAAAAGATAAATGGCAGTTTGAGCTAAGAACAGCAATCAAAGTTTTTCTTCGTTGTAGTCTTCGGAAAGAATGGAAATATCGCCGAAAATTCCGCCTTTTCCTCCTTTTTCGCTGAATACCAGAATAAGATGAAATCAAGGAAGAAAGACTTACTCGGAAGAGTCCGTAAAATAGCCGGATGAAGCGGAAATTGAAGTTCGTTTGAGCTCTGAGGAATGTTTTGGATAATGACAGCCCATCGGGCTTCTTCTTGGGCCACGAGGGCTGATGATGTTTTCGCATTTTGGTCGATGATGATCTCTAGAATCTTTTTTCTCTACCAGTCGACTTAGAAAGACAAACCTGATAGCACCACCGTGATCGTTGTGCCTGACTCGTTTCCAGACCCAGCTTTGTTGACAAAACTCGCCGTAGAAGATGATTTCTTCGAGAAGTTCTAGCGGCACGAGAGCGCGGTAGCCCATCTTCTTCCAGAGATGTTCCTTTCGAAGGTTGAACTCGCGCCAGCGTTTTTCCCAGTCGCTTCCAAGGCACCACGGGAGAATTTCGTTCTGAATTTTTTGAATTTTTGTTTTGTTAATTCAATGAACCGTTAATTTGGCTTGGTTCGATTTTGAAGATGAAATGCATGGTTAAGCATGTAGAACGGTTTTTTCTCTTTATTGGTACTGAAATGAGAAACCCATATTTAAAAAAAAGAGAAATATTTTCTGAAATGGATCTATTTTTTAAGAAATAGAAGAAGATGTGAATTAACTTCAACCATGTGAAATAAAATGAGTCAATTGGCCATCTATGCAGATTGTGAACACAAGGGTATTTTATGATGGTATATAAAGTTATTAAATATAATATTTATGATTTTCTCGAAAAGCTTGTGAAGTTTTTTAGCTGTTACATAACAAAAATAAATAGAAATTCGAATTCTTCGTTTGTGTCTTTTTTTAAAATTTTCAATTTTTACCTTGAATTCTATGTCCTCTTCCATATCATTCGCCAGATACAGTAAGCAATAAAAATCGTCAATGGTAAGCGGATTTCTTTTCGTTCTGCTTGCATAAATCAGCGTCGTCGCTAGAATTTTTTTTATGAAAAATAAAATTCTTGAAAATACCGAGAAGATATTTATCCGAATATCGATGACATGAATCTGCTTCCAAAAACTTGACGATCTTTTCATTTTCCAAAAATTTTGTGAAATTAGTTATCTCTTCGAACGAAATTTCCATTCTCCATTGAAAACTGTCCATTTTTCGTGCATCAAAAGAAGTCTCAACAACAACTCTAGAAATCGCGTTTTCTTGGCTTGAATCTCTTGAAAGGCTTGAGATACGTCGCCCCTTGGAAAAGAGCCAGAAGCTTGTCTCGCTGGCGGCCAGACAAAAGATCAGCTGGTGAAAAATGAGAAAATCAATGGGAGGCGAATTTTTAAGAAAATTTGCTATTTTGGAAAGAAGCGTAATTTTTTATTTGAACTGGGTGAATCATCGTTTTCAAAACAGTTCTAGTAATAAATTGGTCATCAAGAAATTTTTTTAGATTTTTATGAATAAGGTAGTTTCTTCCTAAATCATTTTTTTTTTCGTTCGAAACAATTTTTATAAGAAAAATGATATGGTAAATTCTTCTTTGGCATTTCTCCATTGACGCAATTGCAAAATCATAATCGTTCCATTTTCTCGCTAACTCGCCAATTTCGCACCTTCTTTCAAAACTTCTGTCTTCGAAACTTATTGCCAACACCTCAGACGGTCAATTTTCAAGATCAAAAAATGATGATAAAATTGATAGTTATAAATATTCTTTTTTCAAAGCTAGAAGTTGCCGAAGCCGGAGTGGCTTGTCCGAACTCGTGGAGTACTTTTGGCGACTTTCACTACAAAGTTTTTGAGAGCGGCAAAGATGGAGTCGGAGAAAAAAGCTGGAATGAGGCGGAATCTTATTGCAATTCGCAAGGAGGAGATCTCGTTGATTTTCAGGTAACAAACTCATTTTCGGCTACTTTAACCTTTATTTTCAGTCGGAGCAAGAGATGCTTTTCATCTACAACCAGCTAAATTGGCAAGAGCGCGGCTACCGCGGCTACTGGATCGGCCTCAACAACCTCGAAAACGTCAATCAAAACGTTTGGGTCAATTCAATGTCGATCGAAAAGCCGTACAACTTCAAATACTGGGGCCCTCAGCAAGAAACAAACTCCGATCCATCCAAGCGATGTACCTTCGCGCTATTCACCGAAAATCTCCCCCAAGATTACGGGACCGAAGGCAAATGGGTCAAGAACGAATGTACGAAGCGATTTAGCTTTATCTGCAAAGTCCAGAAAATGGGCTGCGTCCCTGACTGTCGCAACGAAGAAGGCTGGTACAAGATGGATGTTGGTCGATCTGATCCTTCATGTGTCAAAGTCATTCCTTCGTCGACCAATAGAAATTTCGATTTGACCAATTCAAAGTGCCAGGACATGGGTGGTCAGCTAGTGACGATTGAAAACATGGAGGAGAACGACTTCATCGTCGACCTGATTCAGGATGAAATCAAGAAATGGGACCAAGCAGTTCAAAACAAGTACTACGGCGCCTGGATCGGGTTAAACAATCTGAACGCGCCGAAAAACCAGCCAGACAGATTCGAATGGGTTTCCGGGGCACCAGATTTCGGCTTCCGAAATTGGGCCTATGGCGAGCCCGATGCGGCACTCGACATGTATCCAAGCGCGATTGCTGCTGCTTTCGGCAATCCTGGTTCTGGAGAGTGGGAAGCAGTCATTTCGAGAGAACAACTCTCCGGCGTTTGTCAAAAACCCCTTGGCGGAACTTGCCCCGATGGATGGTCGCTCATCAGAATCAACGATAACAGCAGCAAGTGCTACAAATTCTTCCTAAACGGACAATACCATCAACCCTGGCTCGAGGCGAAGAAATACTGCGAAAGCGTCGGAGCGGAGCAGTTGAGAATCCAAAGCATTCAAGAGCAAGAAGCTCTTGGAAATTATTTCCACGAGTGGTTAGATGCAGGCGTCACTAGAATGTGGCTAGATCTGTCGAATATGCACCAGTCGGTGCCGTTGAATGGCGCTCAGTGCGACATGCGCTACTCTTCTTCCGGCCAATCACCTGGCTACACTTCCTGGGAGGCAGAGCAGCCCAAATGTCTGGAACAATCGCATTCCTGTGCCTACATGAATCTCGAAAAATCGAAGCAAAACTGGATCTCAGAAGGCTGCACTTCTAGGGAAGCTTTTGCTTGCTCAATGCCAGCGCCCTTCAATCTGCGTCCGACGGAAAAACCGACTTCCAATTTGACTTGCTATAATGATGCGAGCTGGACGTTGAATTTTTATTTGAACGAGGATAATGGAATGTGCTACAGCTTTTCGAACTTCTATAATGGAACGAGTCTTTTGAAAGGGCTCTAGAATTTTAAATCTAGATATTTTACAAAAATTATAATCAAGTGAAAAATTGATGTTTTAAGAGGGGGGTCGTCAATATGGATTTTCAGGGCTGATCAAAATCCCACTTATACATATAGTGCCCATATGAATCATATATTTTTGGAATCTACAGGTCCTAACGAGTCTGTTGAGCCTAAAATTATTTAATAAAAATAAGTTTTAGGGGGTTAAATCGAGGAATTTGTGAAAAAAATAACCATTTTTGGTGAATTTTCGCGAAATCGCCTTACTTTGGCGGCATTTTTGACCGATTTTTTCTGGCCAATATTTTTTCTCGATTGCGCCGGTCACGTTTTTACAACCCTTTCTTTCCCCCTAACAATTTGATTTTTTTCTATCCAATCAGGTTTTCCCGCTTTTTTGGTCAAGAGCAACCCCGATATTGACGACCTCCCCCTTAAAGTTAATTCTAGAGCCAATTTCGTAGACATTCAAAGACGACGCAGTAGCTCACTGTGAATCCTTCGGCGCGAAATTGCTTCAAATCCAGACTGAAGACGAAAACGCTTTCGTCATGAAACGAATCATGGGCAACTCCTGGCTGGGGATAACTTTCGGACCTTCTGGCGGACACACGAACCAATACCCTCCGAATGAGCCGCAATTTTGGGACGATGGAGAGCAAATTACTTTTACAAATTGGCGGGATGGAAATCCACAGGCCGATCAGAACAAGCTCTGTGCGCAAATCAAAGGAGATGGTCTCGATGATGGTCTGTGGAAAAACTGCCCCTGTGGGGAGGATAATCAAGGGTTGAAAAAGTATCCGATTTGTATGAGACCAGCTGTTACTGTTTCAACGACAAAGGTATGAAGCGAGGCCTCTGATTGGCTTGTCTTAGACATACTGTCTTTTGATTGGCTGAAGCGCTGTCTTCGTCGTTTTCATGATCGGTATTCAGGACCCAAGCACGATTCCAACTGCAAGTCCTCACGAAGAATGCGACTACGGCTGGCACTTCATCCCGAGCTCCCAAAAATGCGTCCTGCTGATGCGAGATGAGAAGCCGTGGAAAACTGCTCTTGGCGTTTGCGAAGGAGAAGGAGGAACCCTGGCTTCAATCAATTCTCCGGATGAGCAAGAAGAGGTCTTTCAAATTGCTTCTCTCGATCCTGCTGCATCAGGTAATGATTTTTGAATGATTTTTTATATTTTTTTATGACGGCAAAAATATTTTTTTTAATTAATAAACTTATTTTTTCTACCCTTACTTGTGGTGTCTTTCTTGCAGGAAAAAGTCTTCATTCGCAATAAAATCAATAAAAAAAGCAAAAAAAAAACGGTTCAGAGCAACAGACAGTGACAGTATTCCCTGAACGTTCATTAGGGGCGATAATGATTACCTCGTCCTTATGTATTATAAATCAACATTTTCGGCCTTAATCGAACCCCTCGGGAAAAGATGCAAGTCCGAGAAAAAAACATCCGCAAATTATTTAAGAGAAAAAAGGCTTTGAAAAAGAATGTATAAAACAGAGATGCTGGAACAAGTTTATTGTATATTCATTTTTGGGCTCAAAAATCAACTTTTTAATACTTGTCGGAAAATTTTCGAGCCTCGAAAAAGACTTTGGCTAGTGTTTTGTTTGTTTGTTACTGTTCTTATACTGTATTGCCCGAGAAATTGCAGAACGTCTTCATGTAAGTAATGGATAATTTCAAAAAAATTTTTGCGGGTCTGAAAATCGTAAAAATTCTGAAAGTGCAGTTTTGTATGTATTTCGTTGTTGCTGCACCTTCCTAATTTTCGGTCCCATTTTCATAAGAAAATAGAATTTTGGTGATAAGCATCTTATGGTTAGAGATATGATTCTCATTTTTTCACCCACAGAAAAACTAACTTCAAGGACCAGTTTCCCGCTTTTTTTGTCATTCTAGCATTTCTAGAACAAAAACGGCGACCGGAAATGTATTTTCCGGGAAATTGCCGGCTAACCGGTTAATCATTGGAGTCATCAAAAGTTTGACCCATCATTCGACTCGTCTCAACGAGCTGAAGAAAACTGCACTTTCAGATTTTTTATGATTTCCGGACCCGCAAATTTTTTTTTTGAAATTATCAATGATTTACTGAAAAAAATTCTGAGCAGAACTTTTAGCGAAAAATATAAAATACAAGCTTGTTTCCAGCTTTGAAAAAACGCCTGCTTCTTATGTCTGATTTCAATAAAATTCTTATATTTGTAAAAAAAGTTGAGTCAGAAGCCTAATCTGATCTTGTGCATATTTCAATATTACAAAGTAACTCTTCCCGGAGCCTACTGTAAGTATAAGATCTATCTATGCAAAGATGCATCTGCTTGATGAATTAATCACGTGACGTAATATTATGTAACGAAGACAAACCTAAACCGCTCATCTTCCATTCAAGGTTAATATCTGTCAATCTTTCAATTAAAGGTTAGTTACAGTAATCCCTCTCTTTTGCAAGAATAATGACAGGAGGCGAATTTGGAACTCAAAATATCAAACGAAAATTGAGCGGCGCGTTTCTTCCTCATTTCCGCAGCGGGGTGTCTTAGAAAAATATTTTCGCGGAAATTTGCTCGCCATTGAATTTCAAACGCTGTTTTCTTAGGTCATCCAAAATGTCAATATAAGGGAAGAAGGAAAACGCAGGGCTGATTGCTGGTTACTGTAACAGTAACCAACACTCTCTCGCTAATGGTAGCTTCGCTTACATTTGGTAGGGATGAGCGGATAATTTTACGCTCAGCCAACAAGAAAGATTTTTTTCGAAAGAAAATCTCTCCAAAAATAACCGCAAATTGGAAGATGTTTTCACGAAAATAACGAAACACGCGTTACAGCTCCACATTGACACTAAATTTCGACAATTTTTTGACAAAACTATTTTTTCAGAAAAAGTCGCCTTCATGATTTCAACCCTTATTAAATCATTTTTTAGAAAAAAAAAATATATATATTTTTTTCAAAATTTTCGCGATAATTTTGTAAAAAAAAAGTCTGATTATTGAATAATTGTTTGAGATACGGAATTGTGAATTGACTGATAAAAAGTTGATGATGTTTTTCAGTCATGTTCCATGAGAACATACCGTTTTAATTTAATTCTGAAGAGGAAATGAGACAGGCAGTTCGTCATCAAATGAAATTATCGTCTATGAATAAATCTCCTCTTCTGAAAATAAAAACACCTATTTATCGCCTTCTACTGGTGTCGCCCGCGTGCGCACGCATTTGAACTCGCCTGGGGCAAGGCCATCATAAAACCGCGCGAAAAAACTTTCGCAAAGAAAGCATCCCGGACTGGCATCAGTGAAATCATGGAGGAGTACGATTATTCGTCTGATTACTCGAATTATAGTTTTTATTCTGCTGGCGAAATTGATGATTATCTAGAGACATTTTCGACCGGAAATACGAAAAATGAAGCGACAAGGGTTCTTTTGGTAATAATATGTTTTGATAAAAAATTTTCCAAGTTTGATAATTTAGGACGTCTTTTACACGACAACTTTTCTCATCGGAATCATTGGCAACCTCTTCGTTTTGCTCCTAAATAGCCTTGGAAACGACCGTATCGCTGCAAATCCTTCTACCAAAGGTATTTCCCGAGGTAAACACAAACAATGTTGTCTACCTGTTTTTTCGTATTTGAACTGTTTTCGTCAAATTGATGAATCTTAAATTAATGTCTACCTTTAGCATGAGCCGTTAGTTTGAAGAATTTGATTTGCTCTGACGGCTTCTTTTTTTAAAGGGAGTACAGTCGGTACGACTTTTTGTTCATCAGAAATAATAATGCATTTGTAGTCATGGAAGTATGCATAATTACAAAACTAAGAATTCCCCTATTTTATTAAGGGGCGGGTCGACGAGAATCAGAATTTTTAAACCAATTTTTCCGAAAAACCCGATTTTGCAAATATTTTTTGACTTATCACGTGAGAAGAGAAGGGTATTTAGAATACAGCGGCAACGAGTTTCACGAGTTTTCGCAGGAATTTTGTGCACTTCATTACCAAATGTGACAGAAAAAAAATGGCAAAAAAATCGGAAAATTGCTAAAATTGCAATTTGGGGTCCACTTTGAGACACGATTACGCCGATTTTTTCTGGTCAAAATTTTTTCTAGTTTTCGCCGATGTATTTTTCAAACCCTTTTCTAGTCACCTAACCAATTAGAATTTTTCATTCAAAGTTGGTTTTTCCGGAATTTTGGTTGAAAAAATCCCGATTCTCGTCGACCCCCTCCTTGGAGACGGAATTCTTATAAATTTTTAATTTTGAGTCTTTATAAATACTGTTGAAGAGTGAAAGTTCTGGTGTTTAACTGTAGAATCTACAGTAACATAACCTTTTTTGGTTAATTTAAATTGGTATTGAAGGCATAATCTCCCTGGCCGTTGCGAATTTATTCCACCTGTTCTCGATACCATTTCTTCTCATTCCAAAACAGGTAATTACAAATCGAACATTTTTTTCAACCCACAAAACTGCTTACCCACAGTTAGAACCGTAGCCAAGGCTACCAATCATTCATCATGCCTCAAAATGAGCTCAATTAAAAAACTAATTGTCTGCTGATTATTCTCTTTCACAATCCGCCGAGTGCACTCGCAATCACCCTGTCCATGGCGACTCACATAATCAACCAGGGCGAACTTTTTCGGACAGGTTTGATTAAGCAAAGATGTCAAAAAAGTTTGATCACATCTTTTAGTAGAAAATGAAGCTGTCTTTTTTTCGACAGTCTCATTTTGTTGCAAGTTTTCGAGAAAAAAGTAGACTTTAATTTTTTTCCAGAAGCAGCTTCCAATCGGCGTAATTGGCTGCAAAATCCTCCGAAGCAACGATTACATCTCCTTCCTCGCCTCAACCCTCATCCTGGCCCTTCTTTCACTGGACAGATTTGGGCTCATCTGCTTTGCGCAGAATTCGACCATCAATCGCGTTCTCCGTATTTCGTGGCGCAAGTGCTTAGCTTGCTTCTTGCTGGCGACGCTTTTTGCCCTACCGATGATAATCTTTTCTCAATACGATTCGGTCACTAAGGATTGTGTCGTCCGCTTTCCAGATTTGAATTCGAACTCAAAGGTAACAAATGGCTCTGAATTAGACTGGGAATCCATTGGTTATTGCCACAAGACTGGATATTTAAAGAAAATGAAAGGGACTTTTTATGGTTGTTTTTTTGGTCTAAACCAATTTTCGGAAAATTTAATTTTGGAGAAATGAATTTTGAAACGATTAATTTAGGAAAATTGAATTTTTAAACGATTAATTTTTAAAAAATAATCTAGGACCGACTTATATTGGAAATCCAAATCTCTAGGATCCATTTTTGGATGACCAATAAGATTGCCGTATTTGGCCTACCGGCCAATCAAAACCCTTTTCCATAAAATCATTTCAAAAATTAGTTCTTCCCAAATTACTCGTTTCAAAATAGTTTTATCCCCACTATTTGTTCCTAAATTATTTTATCCTCACTAATCGTTTCTCTACTTAGTAGAGTCTACTAACTTCTCCAAAATTAAATTTTCCAAAAATTGGTTTTACCCGTTTTTTTCAATATGCTTATAAATATCCGATAACAGTCGGACTCAAATATGTACAAACGATATTACATTTCAATATTCCTCGGCGGCTTTGTTTCGCCCTTTACAGTGATCATGTTTTGCTACTCTAGAATCATCTACTTCATCAGAAGACAGGAAGCGTACATGCAGGTAAAAATTATCGAAAAAAATCAAAATAATTAAAAAAAAAATTTTTCAGAATATTTCAAAAAATGGAAAAGGCAAGACAATTCGAGTGATGTATTTGGTGGGAGTGACTGTTGTGACGTTTGTGATTTGCTGGACTCCGCTTCACATTTATAACTTGATGAAATTGACCGAGAATAAGTTTATGAGCGAAAGAAGCTGCGTCCTTCTCGGGCGATTGACTTATGTCAAGGATAACAATGAAGATATATTTAATAAAAAGACATTAAAATTGAGTTAGATTAAACCCCATCAGCTCCTGGCTCTCGACAGAATTAGGTCAGACATACTAGTTATTAATGAGTTCAATACGTTTTTATCCAAATCCAAGGCCTCATTTTCCTCAACGACGCTCTCAATCCTATCATTTATTCCTTCATCAGCTCACAGTCACGCTCACGAGCAAAACTCATCATTCAAAAATCTGCTTTGAATCAGAAAAAGGTCTGTTTTGAAGGAGTTTTTCCCTGAATGATAATTTTCTAGTTCTTTGGATTGAAAAATTTCTTCCGAAAAGGCTCCGGAAAATCGCCAAATACGAGTCTTTTGAAGTACAGTAAGACACATGAAGACGAAAGATGTTTGGCAATAACATCGCCTCAAATGTAGAAGAAATTTGTGTAGAATCACTGTAGATAGAAAACTTTCTGTTGAAGAAAATGAAATTTGTTAATAAAAAGAACGATAAAAATGTTCATATAAATCGATATGACGACTAACGATTTACGGATCAGTGCTTCCTCCAGCGTAAAATTTCTTTCTCGAACATAAATTTTTCCCTTGTTTACTTTTATTAGACGATTTCTGAAATGTCCGGCAGGTTTTTACAGGAAATTTTTCTACAAAAAACCTCTTATCAAAAATTTTTTTCGACAGTTAGAGAAAAACAATAAGATTTTTCTTGGATATTTAGGGTTTGACGAGCCGAGATCGTTTGTCGTGGATATCGTAAGTTGAGAATTTTAATCATGAATGAACCCGTTTCTTTAGCAATTGCCACTTGGAATTGTGTTCCAATCATTTGCAGAATTTCACAAGGTGGCAAGGGGAACACTAGAATTTCGCTTCCACGATCGAATTATCAAGGTAAATCGAAGAGAAGCCCCTTAGTTGGAGCTGGATAATTATGATTTTTATCTATTTAAAACTAAAGGATACAGACACGCCATTGATTCTTGGAATGCAAGGAAACGATAAAGTCGAGGTGTACACTGTACAGACTGCATCATGTCTTTCGCTGACGATTTTCTGTAAGACCGAAATTTATTTATTCGTACTTCTGCCCTGAATACGGTATTATATAACAACACTGGATGAACTCACAAGGATAATTGCTGAGGTCGCTTTGTTCTGCGCATTTCTCATCAAAAAATAAATTGCCTCATGATTATTCTTCTTCGTCCAATAAATGCGTGAACATTCAGCATTTCCACAGCGAGTTATATAACACTCGCGAATGAACTCTGACGTTCAGGAGTCTAAAAATCGTCATGTTTAAAAAAATTTATTCGTACAAAAATTTCCTCCGCAAATTCGAATCGCTTATCATTCACTGCGGTTGATCCTTAAATTGCGATCGTGATAGTAGCGTTATTCTCCATTCTGTGAGCATTTGCCCTTTGGGTACCAATTTTTTCGTAACATCGTTTGGGCGCGGCGTCCTTCCATACCGCTTAGCCAATTTCAACCTCTTTTTCATTAACAAGTTTTAATACAGTAGAGATAATAGAAAATAAGGATGAAGAGAGAAAGTCCGAATACAAGATTTAAATTTCCAGTAAAGCCGAGATTTACGATGAGAAATCCGCTCGCGAGGAGTTCTATTGCGAAGATTATATTTTTTATCATAGGAAAAAGGGTCTGGAATAAAGGGTATCACTGCGTTAATATCGATTCAAGTGCCAAAAGAAGGACGGTTTTTTTGATAGAAACATTGAAAAAATAGGCTTCATCTAAATGTCAAAAATAAAAAACTCGAGAGCACGACTAAGGGTATACCCTCCACTATTTAAAAATGTGTCTTAAGTAAAATAACGCTTTAAAATAAGAACTTTAATGATTTTAAAGCTAAAAAGCCGATAATTTTTATTGCTAAATTAATGAGACCGCGATACCCTTAATTTTAAACCCCTTTCAAAGGCCTTTATATAATAAAAATTCTCAACGAAGAACATATCGAGCGAAAGAAAAGCCGCGAAAATATTCGCCCCGGACATTCGCGAGAACTTGGACAAGATTTTTTAGCGAAGCAATCACAGGATCGCGTTACCTATTTTTTTATTTCATGCGGCCGCGCTAGCCGGCGACAAATGTTTAGGATCATAACATGTGGGGAAAATCCCTCTCGATCCGGCGCGGAAAAATAGTTTTTTTCTTCTTTTCAGCTATGTTTCTAGCTGACAAATTGGATAGCCCTTTATGCTCATAAGATGAATAATCGTAAATAAACAAAAGCCTCGTTTTCGCCTTATTTTTAACGTTTGAAAGGACTACAAATTGTACGAAAAACACCGTCGATTTCCGGATTTTCTGATCGTCGGCGCTTCAAAATGCGGAACCAACGTTTTGAAACACTATCTTCATGGGAACCCTTATTTTGTTCACACAAATATTGAAGACCCGCACTACTTCGATAACATGGAGCATTTCAAATCTGGTCCAGAATATTACATGTCGCTGATGCCTAAGGTCTACCCTTATCATCGCGTTTTCGAGAGTACTCCGAGGTTGGATTTTTCTTGATTTTCCATAATTATCATTTTCAGCTATTTTTCTTCAAAACTCGTTCCTGGGCGAGTGTATGATTTCGACTCGTCGATGAAAATCGTCATCCTCGTTTGCGATCCGATTTCTAGAGCTCTTGCGCACTATTTTTCAGCAGAAAGGCTAGGATAAGAATGTTTCTGCACTTAAAATATTTAAATTATATATAATATAATATAATATAATATAATATAATATAATATAATATAATATAATATAATATAATATAATATAATATAATATAATATAATATAATATAATATAATATAATATAATATAATTATTAATATAATATAATATAATATGAAAAATTTTTATTCCTGCGGAAAGCACGAAAATGGAAAACGGCGAAGAACACCTTCTTCCCCGAAATTTCGTCTTCACCGCCACCACCGCCGAAGAAGGCCTCATGGATGCAATCAAAGAAATATTCCCTTCCGTCGTCGTCGAAATGATGCAAAACGACCCTGATTTCAACACCGAGGACGTGCGCGATCTGCTGCATCAATACTTGCACCAAAACGGAGGTAGGCGCGGGTACGGCGCAAATCCGCAATTTACAAAATGTCATCTAAACCGCGAAAAATTCAGATCGAAAACCGGCGAATTTCTTGACTCGCGGCGCATACGGATATCACATTCGACATTGGTTCAAGGAAACGAGTTTTCTTTTTGTGAAATTGATCGAAGCTTGAAACCATAATTTTTCCAACAAAATTTGACCATCTTGAAAAAATTTAAATTCAAATTGATAATCAAGTTTCATTTGAATTATTCTTCATTGGACTGTATTTTGAGAAAACCATAATAACTCGATGAAAAGTACTTTCCACGGGACCAAATCTTGATCCTGAACGAAAACGACCTCAGAAAAGAGCCGTGGAAAGTCTTGAATAAGGTCCAAGAATTCGCAGATGTAGACCAGCTGATCAACATTTCTTCCTTCGTCAAAAACGAGACTTCTGGTAAAATTCAAAACCTCACTCATTTCAACCCTTCTATTCAACCCTTGTCTTCAGGTTGGTATTGCCTTCATGGAAAATCATCAGATCACGTGCCAAACTGCGCAATTTCCGACCCCGTCAATGATTCCCAAAAACGCATCAACGCCGAATTCACGCCTCAAACGAAACAAGTCCTGTCGAAAATCTTCAAATCAGTAGAAGACGATTTGACGGAAGTTTTCGGGCACAAGTTCAAGTTTGTAAGAGAAACTGCTTAAACATCATTGCTCCTGCTGCGAAATATATATTCTTCAATTCAATAAATTTCTCGTATCAGTTTATAAATAATATTTATTAACAAAAAGAAATATTGAAGAAAAGCTAGAATTTGACAGTCGTATTCAGCGCCTGGTCAAGATCGTATTTGACGAGGCCAAAGACGCGTTTGAGAAGATAGGTGGTGCTTTCCGACAAAGAAGCTGTCTTCGAACGCCCTTTTCCGCCACTATGGGCGCCAACGCAATCCGGCTTGTGTTTTCCTGGACTTTGGAGGCAGTAAAACCCGGATGTCTTAATTAAAAAAAAGCTTGAAAAGCGGCCGTAAAAGGCGTTTTACCTTGTTGAAAACAAAATGATTTTCATTCAAAATCTTCGGCGCTCCGAGAAAGTCCTGAATTTTCATGACGACTTGCGCTGGCTTCGCGGCCAAGTCCGAACCGCTGATAAAGAGCATCTGATCGTCGCGGAAATATTCCTTCCAAATATTTATGTGGAACGCATAAGCGCCGCGGGTCACGAAGTTGTGCGGTTTTCGGTCTTCGTGCTTTTCCAAAAACCTAAAAATTTTGACATTATCAATGAAAAAATTCAAAAAAAAAAAATTCGTGACTTACTTCCAAAACTCCGCCCTAGCTGCTTTATGTTTTGGCGGGTTGAACTTATCCGACTTCAAATAATCGATTGATTTCTTGCTGAAAATGTCACCTGTGAGCATTAATTTTTTGATTGCGGGCACAAGCGGCGGCCTACCTAAAACGTCAATTAGGGTGACGTCTGGGTCGAAATGCACTTCTTTGCGTTCTGCATTCTTTGTAATCTTGATCTTATTGGCGTGGACGTGGAGGAAGTGGCTCAGGGCGCGTTTTACAGGATCGCAGAGGATGGCTTTTTTGGGTCGAAGAAAAAGTATCCGTTTTCGGAAAGCGGGAAGGCTTTTATTTTTAAGATCTCAACCTTTCCTATAATTTTAATATCTTTTTTAAACTGCGCTATTCTTCCGGGCACCTTCTTCAGCGTCAAATAACTCGGAGTCTTCTCAAACACGTGATGGAATTCATTCGCCTTGGGCATCATCGACAGATAAAAATCCGCGCCTCGGGCATAATTTTCATCGCTGTCGAAAAAGTGCGCTTCGCCCGGGGCGGAAAGAAGAAACGGATTGCCCTGGAGGAACTTTTGGAGGCCTGTTGTTCCGCATTTTTGAACACCTGAGGGGTGAGAATTAGGGAATCGAAAGTTGCTTTACCTGTGATGATGAAATCTGGAAATTTCTTTTTGGGACCAAGGGTTCTAGATGTCTCACGTGGACATTTTCATGTGCTTCGTGCTTCTTCTGCTTTTCGAAGAATTTTTCAAGATCTGAAGGGTCAAAATCTTCATCAGCTGATCGGTGGTGGCGGACTTTTCTCTCGTCGAACTGTTTTTGCGGGTTCAAAATTCATTGAAAAAGAAGGTTCTCGCCAGGCTCTTTCTTGAAAAACAAGTGTAAGCCCTGATAACATAAACGTAAACGACTCAAAATTGCTAAATCGAATTTAACCCGTTCATAAGAAACCAAAAACAGGGCAAAAATAAAGAGCAAAACCGTCGAGCAATCCCGCTTGATTCGATGAAATATCATTTTTTCTCTCCGCGCATTTTTCAAATTTTCTCTTATTTTTGATTCCCAGTTGATTATTTTTAGCGAGATCGAGTCTTAGTGGAAAAAAACGCCTCGTTTGTAATTGGTGGTGGTGCCGGGGCGCACGTTTTTGGTGCACCACCGCCAACAGAATTTTTTTCTTGGTGATATGACTATAAACAATTTGCTAGAGGGAGATGCTTGCTTCATAAATTATGAATCATAATTCACCGTCTATTTTTAGGACAAAACAAATTGCTAACAACTAAAAAAAATGTTGAGCAAAATAAATAAGAAAACGATACCTCCCCCGTTAAAAAAAAATTAAGGGTATACCGTATACCTCAATTAGACCAAAAAGACCTTCACTTAGCAACCTTACCTTTAACGGCCTGTATAACCTTAAGTTTGAGCTCGAGAGATAATCATAAGGGGAACGGTTGCAGTCGAGGGTTGGATTTAAAGGAAGCAATTGAAATAAATGGTCTACCTATGATAGTTTTTGAAAAAAACTTTAATTTCAGAGCCTCATTTTCACGATTTCTGATACGGGGTTTCTTAACCCAAATTTGCTTGGAAGCCAAAAATTTGTCATCAATTTAAAATTCCGATGATCAGCAAAAAAGCGATTATAAAACTCTTTTTTAATTGTTTGCCTAATTGAGCTTAAAAATAACAAAAAAAGGAAACGGATAAAATAGGTCACTCTTCCGTCAGCAAAAATCTCAGCAGCTTAATCCAAAGCCAAATTTGCAAGATCGAAAGTAATCCGGCAAATATACAGAGACAAAATATAATCGGCCCTCTATTTGCACTTCTTGATTCTTTGACCGCATTTTCAAAATGACAGAGATTTCCGTGACTCCGAGAAGATGGCTTGTCCTCCTTGTTTTTGCCTTTTTCAGCTTTACAAATGCGGTAGCTTGGATTCAGGAAAATTTCTCAAAATTTCAAAGAATTTTTTTACACAAAAAATATTTTTTTGAAATATTTAAAAAGTACACGATTATTCCTCATATTTTCATCGAATACTACCAGACCTCTGAAATGTTTATATCTTGGACGGCACTTTCTTTCAGCTCCAACATGGTCTTGTTTATGGTTCCTTGTTTGCTCTTTCTTGAAACAACGACTCTTCGAAGATTTGTGCTCGTCGGCTCTTTTATCAATTTGCTCGGAAATGTGATCAAATGCTGCGCTGTTCAGCCCGATTTATGGTGGCTTTCCTGTAAGTTATGAGTTCTTTTTCGGGGCAAGACCTATTCCTTCATTCAGTCACTGGCCAATTCATCGTCGCCTGCACAATGCCATTTCTCCTTGAAGTTCCCGCTCGAATCGCCTCCGTCTGGTTTCCCCAAAACCAGGTTTCAACCGCAACTTCCATCGGTGTCTTCGGAAATCAACTTGGGGTCGCTGTTGGTTTCGTTCTCCCTCCAGCTTTTGTTCCCGGCCCTCCAGAAGAATACTGGCCGAATGGGGTCGTACCTGAAGATTGGTCGAACACGACCAAATATTCGGACGCGGCGGAGAAGACGGTGGAAGATGTTGGGAAGCAGATTTTGTTGATGTTTGTTGTTGGAACTGGGCTTTGCGCGATAAGTTTTCTCTCCATCCTTGTCTTCTTCCGAAACGAGCCAGATCGACCACCATCTGAAGCTGAGGCTCTTCGTCGAGCAGAAAATATCACAAAAAACCACGGATCAAAGGATGCCCTCAAAGTCTACAAAAAAGCCCTCAGTGATCTGCTCAAAAATCGTTCTTACATTTTTCTGATGATCTCATACGGCATTAATGGCGGCTCGTACTACGCGATTTCAACCCTTTTGCCGCAGCTGCTCGGGCCGAGTTTTGAAGACTCGAGTCTATCGACTAGCGAGAAGGACACGCTGTTTGGCTGGATGGGGCTTTGCTTCATCGTGGCCGGATTGGTCGGGTCGATTTTGGGAGGACTGGCGCTCGATGCGTCGAAAAAGTTTAAATTGGTGACGATGATTACTTATATTGGCGTTTTGGGAACATTTGCTGCTTTTGCGGGAATTTTAGATCTTTCAAGAAATTGTGCTTTTTCAACTGAATTTTTCTTTTGTGAAATTTTCGAAAAACAATTGAATAGTATTCCAACTGACTATATTCTCATTTCGATACTGGGATTCTTCATGACCGGATATCTTCCGATCGGATTTGAATATGCAGCTGAGCTGACATATCCGATCGATGAGTGCACCAGCTCTGGAATGCTGAATTTCTTCATCGGGATTTTTTCAATGGGGCTTACAATCGGTTGCCAAGAAAATGTTCAATCTTTACTCAGGGTTAAGGCTTTTGCATAGGACCATTGGTCCAGAAGCATTCTATTTTTTGGTTGAAAATTGAACGATTTAAGCGATTTTGACAGCTGAAATCAACAAGGACGCAGTGCTTATCTCCAATTTAATCATCATTGGTCTTCTTTTCTTCGGTATAATTATAAGAACTTGAAATGCTCGAGCTTTTCTAGGAACGATTTTATCCGGACTGACAAAAGAAACCTTGAATAGGCAAAATGCAATGACTTCAAGCGAAAAATACGAAGATGAAGAATTTTCGGAAAAAGGCGCTGTCGAAAACGAAGCGCTAGAATTTTGAATTGACGTTTTTTTAATCAAGTTTATTTTAATAAACCGAGAAGATAATTGTTAGCACATTTTTGTTAGAAGGATTAGTGGCGTTTCGGAACTTGCAAAAGTGGAGAAATTAATAGAAATATTCTAGAAGGCGTTCTTTTGAATGGCGGAGCTAGAATTTCGAGTCTTGAGTTGTTGCGCCGCCTTCTTTTTCTTGCTTTGATTTGAAATCATCGGTCGGTTTTAGGCTCTTGCCCTTTGTCATTATCACGCTAAATTGAGATAGGTAAGAAATTGGACTTGAAATTTTCTCATACCTGATGATAAAGTAAGGAACGCAGACAATAATCGGACTCATCGACATGGTCATCGCAAGACCATTACTCCACTCTGGATAAACTTCTTTTCCATCCCCACTCCAAATCGGGCCGTAGCCGCTGAATGCCATGGCAGTGATAAAAATGATCATTCCAGGGGTGAGCAAGTACCAACAGCTGTAGAAGTACCCCTTCAGGATCACATTCATATTTCCTAAAAAATGAGTAAAATCGATAAATAAAATCCGTCTTACCATTCATTTCCTTCATATTCTCCAAAAATCTGAATGGCTCGGACATGAAGTTGTATCCAAAATGGACACTCAAGCTCAAGAAAAGAGCCAAGAGAAGCAGGCCATAGTAAGCGCTGTAGTTGTCCACAAATTTGAACCAGTAGAGTCCACCGTTGGTCAAAATCGGAAAGCCAAGGAGAAAACCGAGGAAGCAAAAGAAACTGACGGTCAGGAGTCGCTTCCAGCCGTACCGGAGTTTCGGGAACTCGTCGAGGACGCCGGCGATGAGGATGTCGACGAAGGCGAATTGGGAGTCCAGGCCGAGGGTGATCAACATGATGAAAAATAGCACTAGAATTGGCTTTAAAAGGGTTTTTGTTATCAAATATAACCTGAGAAAAGCTGAGATGCTGGAAGCAAACCCATAGCTTCAGGATAGGCGATGAAGGCAAGACCAGGGCCAGATTCGACGACGGAATCCACGGACATGCAATTTCTAGAGCAAAGATATTATCCAATCTCGAAAAAAGTCTTACTTGACGGCCATATGCCCGAGGAAAGAAAAAACCCCGAAGCCGGCGAAAATCGAAGTGAAGCAATTTCCAAGAGCGACGATAAAAGTATCCCGCATAATGTTATTTGAGAATTTGTTGTAACTAGCCATGACCATCAAGCCGCCGAAGCTGACGCCGAGAGAGAAGAAAATTTGAGAAGCGGCGGTTGACCAGACTTTCGGATCAGCAAGCTTACAAGATTTTTTAAGAGAAAAGGGTTGATTTCGCCTACTTTTTCGATGTCCGGTTTGAGGTAGAATTTGATGCCCTCTCCAGCGCCCTCAAGTGTCGCTCCGAAAATAACGAGAATCAGCAAAACCAAGTAGGGAAACGTAGCAGTGACGTAGACGACTTTTCCGACCGATTGAACACCCTTCAAAAGAGGTCAAGAAGAGCCAAGTCTTTCAACAAACCTTGCAAAGACAAGCACAGACAAGGATCCAAGCAAAAAGGTTGCATCCGACCAGATCTCCCAAAACAGCACCGTTGTTTCCAAGACCATACACTTGCTCTCCAGCATCAGTTGAATTGTCGAAAACTCGTAGAACTCGACGGCTTAAAAAGGTTTAATAGATTTGAAATTCAGGAAATCGAGCAAAAAAATTTTAACCAATGAAAATCGAGTTTCCGGTCAACCGACCAATCAGCGTCCGAAAAATCTCCAAGGAGCGATAACCCCGAAAAACCCCCCAAAAACCGGGGAAAACGGTTTTTTTATGGTTATCGAAAAAAGAGACTTACAACCAATATTCTTCGGAAGAAGCAATTTTGGTGGAAACATTGAATACTTGATCAATCTCGTCCTCGCTTAGCGAGTAATTGGACACGAGCACCGGTGCCCATTCATCACGAACAGTGTCGTTTAGTTTCCAAAAGAGCGTTTCGAATTCGTCGGTGTTGTTTGCTTTGCAGTTCATTTGATTCTCGCTCAAAGAGGCGGTAATAGCGCATTGCCCCTTGAATTAAAAATTTTAGTGGCATTTCACGGGAGTTGTAAACTGACCTTTGTGATTGCAGTATTCCACCACTCGTTGCACTTCGTCCAGGGGAGGATTTTCTGCATTCCGGAGAAGAGGTAGTGAATCGACCAGGCGATCACGACGTTGTAGTAGATCATCACGTAGAAAGAGACCAGGATCATCCCATAGCCAAGACCTTTTTCAATGTTTTTAAAACAATGATAAGCCGGAATTATCGAATATTTTTTCACGCGTTGTTGAGCAAAAAAGGTTCAATCAAGTTATTTTCCGCCCGGTTGGTTTTTCATTCAAGTTTCTTGAACATTTCCTTTACACGCTGGCAAGCACTTCCAAACTCCAAGTGTTCCTTCTCCGCTAAACTGGCCCATGCCAAGTTCAGTGTAGAAGAGTGGGATTCCGACGAGGAACAGCATCAAAAAATAAGGGATGAAGAATACCCCTCCTCCGTTTTCATAAGCTAAGTAGGGGAAGCGCCAGACATTTCCAAGGCCGACGCAGTAGCCGATGCAAGAGAGGATGAACTCGATATGACTTCCCCAGGCTTCGCCTTGGCTAGAATCTCCAACCTGGGAAAAGTGGTTAGAAAAAAGAACAGACTCTCGAAAATAAAACGAAAAATGATCAAAATTTTGGGGGAAGTGTCTGGAACCAACAAAAAAATTTCGACAAATTTTGCGTGGAAATTTTCAACCAATCAGAAGCCAGGATTCGGCTCGATGGCTAATCAGTAGCCAAGTAGCCGCCGACGCAAAATTTGTCGAAATTTTTTGTCGGTTCCAGACGCCATCCCAAATTTTGTTCTTCAAAAAAAGCAATTTTGCGATTTAAAATCCTTTTTTTTATGATAAATAAAAATTGATAAATTTTGAAGCTTGGAGAAAAATTACCTTATTTGTCATCGAGTTTTTCTTTGAAGACCTCCGTTCTCTTTTAATCTAGGTCACTGCTGTAGAAAGACTGTCAATGCGTTCGTAAAAAACCGCTGAATTCAGGAAAAACTGTCCAATAAAAGTTTAATATTTTCTTTATCCACTGTCTAGTTTGAAGAAAAAAAAACGTTCACCGCGGAATGTCAACCAGGCCTAGTACGTTCGACCTGGTTGAACGAATACCATGCCCACCGGGCTTTAGTTTAAGCTCTTAAAGGTTTTCGAAAAATACTTGAAGAATTGAGCACCTCGTCATGGCAACATGGACAATTTGAATGGAAGACTTTGATTAAGAGATTATGACTTAGTTTTAGCCGATTTTAAGCGTTTTTCATCGGATTCCGCCATTGTTTGCTAAACAAGGAGGGGTTGAAGGAAAAATAGACAGCGTAATTATGCTCATCTGACCATGCCTGCGGCCGAAATTGAGGGATTAAGACAATTTGAAACAAAGTTAATCCAGATTTTCTTTCAAAAAAGTAGAAAAAGGGTTTCTTGATAATAGGACAAATTTTCAACCAATAAGATTTCAGAAAAAAAATTCAAAAAATCGAAAAATTTTATTGGTTCAAGTCTTTTTTACTGAAATAATATTATCAAATTTTTTTTTATTCAATAAGATTTTCAGGCAAGAGAAGAAATAAATATAATTTTTAAAAAATATTGAAGAAAAAAGGTCGAATAATCATTTTTTATCAGAAAGCGCTAGAACTTGTCGAACCAAGAAAAATTCCTCCCTGTTGCTTTTCCCAGTGCTCTGCTGGATAGTTCATATGCTTTGTACAAAAATTTCTCGTTCGCGGGAGAGATGGTTTCTTTCCCATGTTTCGATCGACCCTTTGATTCCGGCATGCAAACCAAGTTTTCCTTCGTATTTAAATGAACATCCTTCTTGACGCACCAAAATCCATCTTCCCTTTTTCCAAATCTTCCTTCGTAAAATAAACCCTTCCATTTCAGCTTTTCTTTTAGCCGTTTCATCTCTTTCCACGGTTCTTTTTGAAGAACACCGCCGTCGAGAATGACTAGTTGGGAAGGAAAACTTTTGAGAAGGGTTCTGGGAAACTTGTAAGTCGATGTTCGTATGATGCTTCGAGCGATGTCGGTTTGGTTGATGTGTTTTTTGATGCGAGTGTTGACGAATTGGTTGAAGCTGATTTCCTTGAAAAGGGGGAGGGCTAGGGTTGAAAAAACGAAAAAGAACTTACTGAAAATTCCGATTTGTTTCCAAATTTATGATCATTCATTTTCAACGCATTCGGATGCTCAGCTTTGTAGTGCTGAAAATCGGACAAAAGCCTCTTCACCGGGTCACAAACAATATCTACAAAAACGACTCGATTCTTCCAGTTTTCGAACGTCTCAGTCAGATATTTTTCTTCTATCATCTTCAATTTGTTCTGCGGAACGGTTGGCAGGTAGGCTTTGAAAAGAGCGAAACCTGTTTTCGCGATGAGAAATTGCGACTTGTTGTTTTTGATGGAAGAATAGTGGCCAAGCAAGGCTTTTAGGTCTTTCACGATTTCTGTTGTTGGGATAATGTAAGATGAAAGGTCAAGGAGGTAAGAATAGTGCCAGCAATAAAAGACGATATTCATAAAAATTCCCAAATAGGAAACTCATAGGAAAGAGTCCGGTCGTTAGGTTCCCATTACTTGTTTTATTATAAGAAGACTATTATTGCTTGTGTTTAAGGTTAGGATAAGGGCGAGGCCGCGAGGGGTAAGGGTAAATGCTTGTTCATTTGTTGATCCCTTTCCTCCAGTATTAACAAAATGCACCTCTTGTCGAAATCCGCAAATCTGCGGATGTTCCAGCAAAAACGTCATGAGCGTCTTCGTGCCGCATTTTTTCTCGCCAACGATGATCACATCTGGCAGTCGAACTTTTTTCCCACTTTCAATGAATTTATCTAAGTTGGCGGCGCGCCGCTCGTTCATTTCTTTTGCCGCATTTAGAGACGATCGGGGCACGGGATTGAAGAGGACTTTTTCTTTCGGTCTGAGTTTGAGCGTTTCGCTTTGTTTTTGGAGCTTTTTCTGTTGTTGTCTTTTTGACGATTTTAAAAATTTTTATCATTAGCAATAATTTTTTTCCCTTTATTTTGAAATCATTGCCTTTTTTCTTCTTTTTCTTTTTTAATTTTCTCATTTTTTGCTCTCTTTTCTTTGGTTTCTTCGATTTTTTGTTTATTTTTATTTATCTTCCAATTTTGTTTTCCGTTTAATTTATGATTTCTTGTCAGCTTTTTATCCTCATTGCCGAGTTGTAAAACGGCAAATCCGATCAAAATCAGAAACACTGCTGAAAATACGCTTGCTCTAAGCATGTTCATAATTGCCGTATCCATTCATTTTCTCTTGTCAATTTGAAACGGATCGGCGACAAGAATAATTGTCGAGCAATGTAAAATTCTTTTGTTTTGCTTTGCTCGTTGACTATGAATTGCCGCATAAAAAAGGTATTTAATGGGATAACCGATCAGCGTCACGGTCGTAGAGCGAAATAGCCGGATTTTTAAAATAAAAAAATTTATTTCAAAATTAAAATTTTTTCTTAATTTTTTTAAAATAAAATTTTTTCTTTTGATTTTTAGATTTTTTTTTTAAATATTTATTTCATATCAAATATTTTATATTTATTTTGAATATTCTGAGTCGACTGTTACATCAGAAAAATGCAACATACGATAGTTTGACTTCAGATAACATTCAGCATTTTGAGCAGGAGATAAGACTATTTGATGTTTGCTCACGGGTCTGCTCCGGCGGGTGGGATTTCAAAATTTCAGAAGGTCAAACAAGTGCCTTGCAAAAAGAGGGCAAAAAAGAATGGTGTTTTTGGATGAAAATCGCCCCAGATTTCCTAGAGAAGCGGTTTTGCTCCCCGGTTGCGATGACGATTTCGAAGAGCGTAAGTTTTGAAATAGACCAATAAGAAAAGCTATAAAGTACTGACAGCCAATCAAAGTCCAGTCTTGAAAGTCTGATCGTCTTTTAAGCCAACGCTTTCGAGGCGCTATTTCTCTCCTTTGGAATGATCCTCATGGCCGAATTCGCCGACAAAACCTTCTTCGTCGCCTGTATTTTGGCGATGAAGTACAGTCGTGTCCTTGTCTTCATGGGTTGCTGGCTTGGGCTTGTCTGCATGACTGGCATTTCTGTCGCGTTGGCGATGATTTTCGAACACTCCGTCATTCCGCAAAATTACGTTCAATACGCGGCTGGAGCGCTTTTTGCCATTTTTGGACTTCAGATGTTTTACGAAGGGTACAAGAATAGGGGCTTGAAGGCATCGGATGAAATGAAGGACGCGGCGGATGAGTTGAGCGAGGGAGGCAACGATGATTCGTCAATTACAGTTCGTTTCCGAAAGTCTTCAACAAGCGAAGATCCAAATGACCCAGAAGTTTCCGTGGAAATGATCAGCAATTCTCGTCGCCCATCTCAAGCGGCTTCGCAAACATCCGACACAGCTAATCAAAATGTTGGCTGTTTGAAGAAGACCGAAAATACTCTCGGAATCTGCGTCAACAAAGTCTTCCTGAAGGCTTTTTTGCTGACTTTTCTCGGCGAATGGGGCGACAAATCTCAGCTTGGAACGATCAGTTTGGCCGCGACAAATGTAAATTTTCTAGTCAAAAAGACTTATTTACCAATAATTTTTTAGCCGAGTGCTCAACTTATGGTTTTCATCGGATGCTCCCTTGGATATGCTGCTTGCGTGGGTCTGGCAGTCATTCTGGGAAAATTCGTCGTCTCGAAAATTAAAATAACTTACTGTAAGTTCTTCTTTTCCTTCTAAATTATTTTTTCAGTGAATATTGCTGGAGGAATTCTCTTCCTTGGCTTTTCCGCGTTCACTTTCTACAATGCTTTCATGCATCCTGAAGACGATACTGTGTCCGATCTCCACGATACTGAATGCAACTGAAGTCTCGTCGCTGTCTGATAGACAATAGAGAGTAAGGAGCTGGACATCCGTCGGGAGTCTGGAAAAAAATGATTCAGATTGAAGAATTCTCACGCTGCCTGCTTTTTTTTTCTCGAAATTAAATTATTTGAAACTTGAACTTGCGGTTGCAAACAGGTATTAGGTCTCTTATTTTTTATTAATTTCAAGCACTCTTGTGCATTTTGAAGAGGCGTGGCCATCTTTAACAATTAATATTATAAACAAATCGAAATATAAGTTCAGTTATTGTCAATAACTTCTTGAATGAGACAAGTCGTTCGAAAAAGTATGAATTTTTTTCTTTTTGCAACGGTTTCCTGCAGCAGTCTTTTACCGCGATATCTTTGGGAAGAGTCAGAAAAACTTCTAGAGAAGCCGCTATATCAAAAATTTGATGTTTCCGCATTTCTGCCTGAGAAACATGGTGATCTTTTTGATGCTCGTAAAATGCTCTTTTTTTAAGTGAGAAAAATATAAAATATAAAATAAAGATTCTGATGAAAATCGATGTTCCCGAAAAATCTGCTTTCCTTGCAAAAATCTCTCCCCGAATCTTGAATTCGACTTATCCTTCTTTTGATGCACGCTTGGTTATCAAATTTCCCCGAATGACTGCCTGCCCGTTTTAGAAAAAAAAAAGATTCGAAATTTGAATTTCATGTTTATTCATCAGTAGAGAAATCAGTTTACTTTCCCTTGCCCGGTCGGTTTGCGAGCTTTTGCTCTCGTCTTCGTCGTCGTTCTTCCCGTTTTTCGAATCGCTTGCTAAAATAAATAGAATTTGGAAGTTAGAAATAAAATCTAACCGAGCTCTTGTGCATTTTTTCTGACTCCAGGTAGGATCACATCTTGGATCGTTGTTGTTGCCGCCGCCTTGGTTGTTTGGTCGATTATTGTTGTTGTTGTTTGAATTTTGCGGTCTTGGTGGTTTTGGGGCTTTTGATGGTTTAGGGGGCTACGGAAGATGCTAAAATTCGACTTCTTTGGTAAAAAAATTTCTTTTTTTTTTCATATTAATTTGAGCATTTCCTTTGGCGCCTTCGAAGGTTTAGGCTTGTTTGTATGAGCTCCAAGTCCGAAGTGATGAGCTGCTCGGGCAACTCGATGAGTTTCTAGAGCTTCGGCAAGGCCAAACGCCAACACTATCGTCTAAAAAATTTTTAAATCTCTCAAAGACAGTAAATGATTTTACCGGAATTAATCTCATCGTCTCGAAAAAAGGAGAGGAAATGAAAACAGACTGGAAGGGTTTGTCAGTTTCGTCCAACTTTTTTCCCAGCGCGCAAAATGAAAAGCTGTGGCAAATAAATATTGTCAGTTTGAGCGGTTGATTTTGTTTACGATTTTTTTGAAAAATGATAACCTTAGTGGATTATCCTCTAAATCGAATTTTGTTTCTTCAAGTTAAACTTGAAAAAGGAATAGATACCCTTAAAGTTAATAACAAAGGTGGAAAATCGTTGTTGATACCCTTAAATATGCAATATGTAACAAAAGACAGTCTTTTATTTCTCTAGAAAACCTGAAAACGAGAAATTTCGCGCCCTTCCAAAAATCCCTTGAAATTCTGACAATTAAACATTTTCCCTTGACAGATCTGGCAATAAGCTGATTTGGCTTCCAAAACCAGGTTCAAGAAACTCAACCACTTTTGAGATCAATATTTAATTACAGAAATCTCATCCCAAAAACATCGCCCCGGCGCTGGAAATTGCTGACTCCTGCTGGAAATAAAGACCAAAATCCGAAACAGCATAAAATGAGATTTTTTTATTGTTTGGCAGGTTCGTTTTTTTTGTGAAAAATAACTGGTAGTTCGAGGGAAAATGACTCGAGAATCAGGGAAGCTCTGGTTTATCTTCAAGGCTGATGTTCTTGATGTCTTCGATTTCTTTCACTTCATTTGCCATCAAAGAAAGCCGTTCTTGGTTTCTATTTTCAGGATTTCGAATTGGACGTTTCAAAATTAAAAATTTTTAAATTTAAAGTCTCATTCTAATAAAAATATTTGAAATCCCGATCCTTTTGAGCTCTCTCAAAATGTGCTCATTTTCCGGCTGATCTTCCAGCGGCCCAATTTTTCCACCAGCCGGTTCTTCCACTTCGTCCTCATCAGACTCGGAATCCTCCTCCAAAAACGCTCGAGAATTGATTCCAGAAGGAGAGGGAACTTCATACCCGTCATCTTCGACTTCGTTCTTCATTGCTTCGATTTCCTCTCTATCATGTGATTTCGTAATCAATTTTTAAATTTGAAAAAATAAGTTTCGAAACCACGTGACTCATTTCAAGCTCAGCTTCGAATCCGGGAATTTCGTCTTCTCGCGCTTCAAGCTGTGGAGTTATGACCAGTCCAGAAAATTCGGGAATATTTTCGTCGAGTTTTTCTTTTTAGGGGCTCATTTTGAGTCGAAAAAACGGCAATTAGAAGCCGCTTGATACTTCGACCTCAGAACGCGGCTTTTTCTTCGTTTTGGCTCAAAGCCACACGCGGCTTCTCGATTCTCTGACAGCAAATGAAAGCAAGAAATCGAGTCAATGGAACCCGTTCCTTCTCTTCGTGGATTCAAACTTGCAAAGTGCTCTCGGACTTTGTTCAAGATCTTTTCTGTTTCCGTCAATTCTGGTTCCTCCGGTTTTTCATCCCTTTTTCGAAGATTCCGCTTTCGGCCTCTTTCTTTGATTTCTTTCTTCGGTTCATTTTCTTCTTTCTTTGGTTCTTTTTCTGGTTCGGCCTTCTTTTCAGCAGCTGGTTCGATTTTTGGCTGATCATCTTTTCAAATTCAATAAAAAAACATATTTTGGTAGGAAAAATGGGTTTTTTGAATTTCCTGTGATGTCGATTGTTGCTTCAATTTTGCAGTTTTGCATTTTCTTATGTTTTCGTCTTCGCTTATTTTTCGGAGATGGCGTTCGCGGCGGAACTAAAATCAGTTTTAAAAAAAAGGGACCCTTCACTCATACCGAAACCGTCGGGATCTGGATGTTGATGAAAAACAGGTGCCGAATTGTAGACTCTACTGAAGTGCTCCGAACAAGCGCTATAATTGTCGAATTGACGCCGATATTCTCTCATTTTGTCCTCTTCGCTGACGTTTCTTTTCTCCATCTCTTTCTTTTCGGGTTTCATGGAAAATTATCAATAAAAAATTGAGTCGGAAAATCTTAAATTGAAACCCATTCCCGCAAATCAATCAATCTGTTGTGCAAGTGGTCCGCTGGTCTCATTTTCTTCTTCCTCTTCGCCGCTCCTGTCAGTTTCTCTGGCTCCCTGTGAATCCACTCCAGAAATTCTTCAAAATTCATCTTCCGAATTCGCGAAAATCGAAATGCTGAAATGCGTCAGCGCAAAAAACGCGCTTCCTCGCAATCTGGAAATGAAAAAAAATGAAATCTCGAAAAGCGCCGGTTGCGAAAGAATTTTTTTCTAGACTTCAACTTTCATTCATTTCAAAATGATCAGGAAGAAAGCTGAGAATTCGCTTATCGAATTTTCTTTCTCATAAATTCGTGAAATCAAATCAATATTTTTATCATTACTGATGATTCATCAGATACTCCATCTTCAGTCAAGAAATCGAGCTTCTGGCAGTCAGTTAGTCAAATAATAAATTCCAGAAACTTCTAAAATAAACTTACTTCACTTCTTCGAAAAGACTTATAGTCTCCCCCTCCCGGCTGCATTTCCCATCTGACTCAATTTGCAGCTTTCTAAAAGATCTTCTCCTTGCGTCAGTTAAATCCGACTAGTCTCGCTGGATCATTTTTCACTTTCTCCTCGGTGGCGCTGCCAAAATACACTTTTTTTCCCATTTTCCAAAACGAGAAAGATCCCAATCCTCATTCAAACGTGAAAAAGTTAACTACGATTTTCACCTTTCAAAAAGAGAAATTTTAAAACAGAGCTCTAGAATCTCAATTTTGCCAATTTTTCATGGCAAAACTCTTCGCAACTTCTTTGCTCGCCGGATCATCTTTAGCCAAACTCGTCAATTATGTCGCCAAAGCCAGGCACATTCAACAACCACAACAAAAAATCTGCTTGATAGAGCCTTTTTCCGAGGGGATAAATTTTGACTGCGATGGTGAGGACTGGGTTCATAGAACAATTTGCAACGGAGAAAATGAGGACTTTCTCCTCGAAGCTTTGGTTTCAAAATTTAATTTCATTCAGAAATTCTTAAAATGAGAAGCGTTAATTCAGCACTAAAAGAATCCGATATAAATTTTATATCATATAATTTGTTGATTCTAGATTAAAACGTTTAAAAAAATCATAATTTATCTAATTTAATAATGTATCTGAGTTATTCAAATCAATTGTAAACGTAAAAGATAAAAAATATAGTGTAATAGCTTCATTTACTTCGCAAACTTAGAAAATAAGTTAACCTTACGACGACAAAATAACTTTATTATAGTACTTTATTAAAAGAAATTTGAATAATAATTATCATAACATATTCTTGATTAACGGGTACCTCAAAAATATTAAAGACAAATGGTTTAAAATGTCTGTCAATTATCCCCTCTTTTGAAACCGAAATAGCAAAATGTTCCTGTTACCAACAATACTGGAACATTCTGCTTCCACGTGACGAGTGCATCTGGGAATCGAAATCTCTCCCCAAACCAGCTTTACAAACAACAACTCAAATTCTAATAGCCCAATCGACAACTCTTCATCAAACCATCAACAAATCGACAACAACAACAACAACAACATCGACCTCCAGCATCGAGCAAGCTCGGGAGCTAGAAATTTCATCACTGAATTTCGAAAGTTGCCGCCTTTTCGATCTTTCCCCGAATTTCAACTGGTCTTGCGAAAGTGACGTTTTTCTCCACGGGGTCACGTGCTACGCTTCTTGCGGAAGAGGATACCGTCTTGATAAACCAGCGAATGCCAAGGTCACCTGCAACTGCTTGGATGGTGATTTCTGTAAGTGGGAAAATTCTAGAGTCGCCGTGAAAACGGAGCTTTTCAACGGAATCGGAAACGAGGAAGAATTGATAATGGAAGGAGGATCTTCTCTGTTGAAAATGGAGTGTTTGGCGGAAAATGAGGAGGGATGCGCTCTTCCAGGTTCGGTTCATCTTTTCATAATTTTTTAAAAGGGTAAAAAGTTGTTTGAATCGCAAAAAGAAAATCTCGAAAACGGATTTTTCCACTGCCCAAATGGCCACTTTGCCAATTCCCGCTGCCAAATCATCTGCAACAATGGCTTCTCTCTTCCCTCAGGAACAAGATCAGCCGTCAAATGCACTAAAAGATTGGCATGGAATGCAGACATAGAAAATATCCGATGTCAACCGGTCTTTGGTTCTGGTGGAGAAAGAGGGATCGTGATGGAAACAGGGAGTTTTTGCGATGCGCCAGAAATTAGTCAAGAGAATTTTGTCGGAGAATTCGAATGTGAAAGTGGTAAGAATTTTTTCAAGAAGAAAAAAATTTTTTTTTGAAGAAAAAGATCATTTTTTCGCTTCAGGAATTTACGCTGATCGATCAAAATGTCTTTTGAAATGCCCACAAGGCTACGTCTCTCAAACCAAATCACCGAAACAAAACTGGAAAAAATGCCGCTGCAAGAAATCTGGCGAATGTCGCTGGAGCCGTGAGCAGTCAATCGGATGTGTCAAACTTGGGGGCACGGTTCAAAAGCCCGAGACTTCAAATCGACTCGAAGGGCGGAGAAAAAAGCCTTCGCCACCGGTCATAAGCAATCTTCTCAGCGATGGGATCAGAATATTGATAAAAGAAATCCATTGTAAGAGAAAATTTTCTGATCCTGAAAAAAGCTGCGCTCATTTGGAAGAACAACTTGACAAAAACTTCCGGCGACCGAAATGCACCCATGGTTCAGAAGAAAACTCATTTTGCCTCCTCAATTGCAAGCTAGGCAGAACGCTTGATCGCCCAAAAAATGCCTGGAGAAAATGCTCGTGCTCCGATGGAAAATGCTTTTGGATTGGTGATCCTGTCCAGTGCCTTTGACTGCGATATTTCTGTAAATAAAATTGCTTTGAAAGCTCTAAAACGATCGTCTGGCGGCGAAATATTTGACATAAAAATACAAGAGAGGTTCAAATGAGACAGATAATCGAGTTGATTCGATAAAATTTTAATGAGTCCTCGGAATTCACAATAAAAGACTGTTTTTTCGTGTTCAATTCAACAGTTGACGTTCCAATCATGCTCTTTTTATATCTTCTTTCAATCTCAACAGCTTGGAAATACCACGCAATGGATCTTTCTCCAGAAAATAGTCTTCTTATCGGGCAAGAAATCGAAGGTTTGATAAGAAGAGTTATTTTTCTCATAAACTTAAATTCTTAGATGCGAGAAAATTTTTCCATTATGCCCAAATCGAACAGAATAATCATCAAAACGAAGTTCTAGAAAGAAAAGCGTCCAAAATCTTGCTGAAAATAAGAACACCTGAAGAGTTAAACAATTTTATTGATTTTTATTTGCACTGAGATGAATAAATGAACACAAAGAATCCCATAAAAAATATTTTTTTAATTTATTTACAAAGACAATAGAAAAAAATGAGGTTACAAAAACTCATCTCAGACTGCTTCTGGAAAGATTCAAGTTCTTCCTTTCGCTGAATCTGGAAAGCCAATCATAGGACGCTTTAAAATTTTTGTGGCCAAGTTCTTTTGCAAATTGACGGGCAACTTCTTGGATGGCGACTTTTGGGACATGCTCTGGAAAGGGTTGAGCTCGTAGCCACTCTGCGCATTTGTCATCCAAGGCGTCAAAATGCCTTTAATTTTATAAGAATAAATAAAAATGTTTTCTTATAATTACTCTTGTCTCCGAATTTTCCGATCAGGGGGACATCCTCTTGCATAATCGCTCATGATTTGCTCCTTGTTTTTGATGAGATAGAATACTGCTGGGGCAGAAACTCCATATTCCGCAGCGAGTTTTCGATAAGAAAGACCTTCTTTCTCATGTTGGTCTAGAAAGAATTTTCTTTAAGGTTATCAAAAAGATCGATTTACGGATAATTTTGATCTTCTGCTGTAACGACAGTACGTTTCTCTGCTTGCTTCTATCCGGCGGCCTGATGCTCTTTGAAGTACTTGGCAATTCCGGACACATTTGCACAGGAACAAGTGGAATCGATGGTCGGGAAGTAAACTCTAATCCAGCTGTTGGCCCCTCATATTCACCAGCTAGCTCGATCGGTAAGATTCCCATGCTGATTGGGACATTTTTCGGCCTTTCGTTCATTTCTGATTCTGTTTGCGAGGCTTCGGAAATGTCGGAAATTCCATCGTCTTCGACTTGGTTCTCTTCCTTGATTTCCTGGCTGCTGGTACTTGTGCTCGGGGTTTCTTTTCTTGCTTCTGCTCTGATCGCTAGCGCCCGGTCGTGAGAGAGCTTCCATAAACATTCATGAGTTCCGAGCGTTTTGACGATATGCCGATGAACATCGATTGCCAGAGCAAAGCCATTAGCTCTTTCTCCGCTTTTGTAGATGCCATACTGTTTGCAGTACATTCTTAGCTCGCTTTCTGAGCCGAGAAGTTCTGATACGATTTCTCTAGGACTCAGTCGGGATCGGAGGGATGAACAAAGGTATGTCGCCTGCTTGATTTCGCATTTTTCAAGGTAGAAAACGACGTCGCCCGTTTTGAGCATATTCATCGTGCGATAAGAAATTGGGACTTTTGCGATACAAGATTGTCTAAACAAAAAAAGCAGTTTTATAAAATAAAATCGTCTGTCATGTGATGGCCTGAAATTATCGGGAAGAGTCTTTACCTGTCAATGAAAATATCGTCGAACAGAATCTTCCTTTGGAGTTTTGTGTAATGATTGTTGAAAATGGCCATTCTTTCCTCTACGCAAATCCATTTTTTATAAGTCGACATTTTTCAAATATCTCTGAGTACTATCTTACGCCACCTCAGTCAATGGGATCAAGAGAGGATTATCGCGAGTTTGAGATTTAATTTCAAACATCTTTATGAATATTGTCTAAAAAAGTATGTTTATTAATATGATAGAAAATGTATTAAAAAGCATATTCTTTTCTCCCAAAGTTTTTGTCCTCCTTGGTTTCTTCAGTCTTGAAAGCTTCGTTGTATTTTGGCAAAGTTTCTTCCTCATTGAGAATTGAAGGGACAAAGAAAGCCTGAATTTCGCGAAGAGTTTTGTCTTTGGTTTCAGGGACGAAGATCATGACCATGAAAAAGAAAAAGAAATTAAAGCCGCAGAAGATCCAAAAGACATGACCTCCCATCACTGCCTAATAAAATTTTTTGTCAATGTCAAATTTTGAGTATGATATTACCTCGAGCAGGGGAAAACCAAAAGCGATGGCGGTATTTGCCCCCCAATTTACAAGACTTCCAATCGCTGTCGCTCGAGATCTATTATACAAAATTTTTTTATTCATTTTTGAATTAAATTTGCACCTATTAGTATCATCAAATAACTGAGTCGCCATTCCCCATGGAATCGGACCTGGACCGCTCTGGAAAATTGCCGTAAAAACCTAAAAACTTAGGCCTCATCATTCTTTGCCTATCCTCACCAAGACAAAGACGATTGAGCAGATAGATATAGCAGCTTGATTATCAAAATCATCATCGCCCTGGAAAACGCCGAGTAAAAGCGCAATCACTCCAGCGCAAATGCCGATCAATCCGATTCCATACATATGCAGCGTTTTTCCTCCAGCACAGCCAACAAGCCAAAGAGATGCGCCGCAAAAGATGATGGAGACAACACCGATCAGACAAGTCGCTACTTCCGGGTCAGAAACGCCGGCGCTAGTGAAGATCTCTAGGAAAAAAGTCGTTGGATAAGATTTTAAGATGGACTTCTAACGGGTTGAATAAAAGAAAATGGCGTTGATTCCGGTGAGTTGTTGGGAGAGATGAAGGATGACGACGGCAATCAGGGGCTTGATGAAAAGTGGTTCACAGCAACCGAGTCGAGGGTGAACTGGGATAAAATTTGAGGGTTTTTGGCCCAGTTGTTCCGATTTTTACCTTGTCTGTCTTCTTCAGTATCTTTTTCGATCTCCGCAGCATAATAGTCAGCAGCTTTTGCGGCTCTTTCTGGAGAGAATTTCGCCAAGTGAGCCGGTGACTCCCAAATAAATGGAAGAATGATGATTTGAATCGCACAGAAAACGAGCGGGAGACCAAGAGTCAAAGAAAACCTTGAATTTGAGAAATTAGGTTCATCCAAAGTTCCTACCGGTTGATTGCTCCGATATCTTCTTCCCCGACACGGCACTCGAATTTTTCATCAAGTGGTACTTGACAATCCATTGCGCCAGAAACTTGCTTGAGTCCAACAACCCAAACGAACAGTATACCAATAACGCACGTAAACTGGTTGAGATTGCCGAAAAGACCCTTCAGGTTGATAGGTGCTATTTCATTGAGATAAACAGGGGCAATCGCTGTAGTCAATCCACAAGCGATTCCTGAAAAATGAGAATGAAAAAGCTCAGAGTAATTTTACCTGAAATAAATCGCCCTGCAAGAATCAAATCATACGATCCACTGCAATCATCCTCGTAGTTTTAAGGATATTCAAAGAAAAATGGATGCGCTTCCAAATACGAGCCCAGAGCCATCAATCCACAGGTCAAAAACAACCCTCTTTTCCGGCCGACTATTCTCAAATTCGAAACTGGTCCCCCAACAACTGACCCGACTGCACCTCCAATCGTCCAGAGCCCAGTTGTAAACGACCACGTCAATTCCCATGAGTCGAACGCTGCGGAGCCACATTCGTTGAAAAGCTCGTTCAAAGCGTTTTCGAGAGGATTCAGGACGCCTACCGCCCAACCCATGTTCCACCATGAGCCGATCAGGATGCCAAAAGTAGCCAGAAGCAGCCTTTATTCATGGTTCCTTTAATCGAGCTCTCTTAGATATTAAAGTGTCTCTTTAGTTTATTTAAAAACCAATCCCGCAAGTCATTTCCTGTTTTCTTATAAAATAAGCGTTTAATTCTTTATCTGAGAAAAAATGTAGGCCAGGGAATTTTTTTCTGTTTGATGAAATCAATGATTTTTCCCACAGGGAAATTGACAAGCAAAGTTTACAGAACATAAACTGAAGTTCAGTATATTCATCGTACAGTGAAAAATAATGACAGGATTGCCTTAAATTTACAGCTATCAGAAGTCGTTTTTAAAAATCACATTCTTCACTCTTCAACTCGCTTTTGTCCTTGTTTTCTTCATCCTTGAAAGCGTCGTTGTATTCGGGCACAACCACGGCGAAGTTTTCCGGCTCATCGAGAATTGAAGGAATAAAGAAGGCTTGGATTTCTCGGAGGGTTTTTCCTTTTGTCTCAGGGACGAAAAAGAGGAGCAGGAAGAAGAAGATGATGTTGAAGCCGCAAAAGATCCAGAAAACATGACCACCCATCGATGCCTAGATTTGATTGAAAAAGGGTTGATGAGCTTTTTATACCTCAAGGAGAGGGAAACCGAAGGCGACAGCAGTGTTGGCCCCCCAGTTGAACAGACATCCGATAGCAGTTGCTCGGGATCTGATAGAAGAACGGATCATTTTGAACATCATCGAGAAAATTACCTGTTTGTGTCATCAAAAAGTTCCGCCGCCATTCCCCATGGAATTGGACCTGGTCCGCATTGGAAGATAGCCACAAAAGTCTATGAAAAATGATTGAAGGAAATTTCGAAGTTTAACTTTACCAGAACAAAGACAATGGCGGAGGTGGAAACAGCATCTTGATTATAAGAATCGTCTTCGAGGAAAATGCCGAGAAGAAGCGCCATAATTCCAGCGCATATGCCAATGAGCCCGATTCCATACGTATGGAGCGTTTTGCCTCCAGCACAGCCGACGAGACCAAGAGAAGCGCCGCAGAAAATGAGGGAGATCACGCCAATGAAGCAAGTGGCCACTTCTGGGTCCGAAACACCAGCGCTCGTGAAGATCTCTGAGGGAATTTTAGGCCTTGCTTAGGGAGCATTTTCTTACGAGTTGAATAGAAGAAGATGGCGTTGATTCCGCTGAGCTGCTGGGAAAGATGAAGAATGATCGCGGCAATGAGGGGCTTGAAGAAAAGCGGTTGGCAGCAGCCGAGTCGTGGATAGACTGAAATCATGAAAGAAGACGAAAATGAGAAAATTCTATACCTGGTTTGTCAGCTCCGGAATCGTCTTCAACCTCGGCTCCGTAGTATTTTGCAGCTTTGGCCGCTCGATCGAGGGAGAATTTTGCCAAGTGCGATGGTGACTCCCAGATGAATGGAAGAATGATGATCTGAACAGCGCAGAAAACGAGGGGGAGACCAAGAGTCAGTGAAAATCTAGAAATTCGCAATAATAAGAATAATTAGAAAACGGGGTTTCCTTGTTGATTTCACCTGTTGATTGGTCCAATATCTTGTTCTTCCGCCGGACATTCATTATCATCGTTCAGAGGGACTTTGCAATCCATCGAGCCAGTGACTTGCTTGAGCCCAACTACCCAAACGAAGAGGTTTCCAATGACACAGGTGAACTGGTTCAAATTGCCAAAAAGACCTTTCCACTTTTTAGGGGCGATTTCATTGAGGTAGACTGGGGCGATAGCAGTTGTAAGACCACAAGCAATTCCTAAGAATGAAGATTTTAGGGCTCAATTCGTCAGAATTTTTACCTGAGAAAAATCTTCCAGCAAGAATAAAGTCATAATCTCCAGCACACTCATTATAATCATTCGCGTACGCAAAGAAAAACGGATGAGCTTCCAAATATGATCCAAGAGCCATCAATCCGCAAGTCACAAATAACCCTCTTTTGCGTCCAATGAACCACAAATTCGACGCTGGTCCTCCCAAAACGGCTCCGATGGCTCCTCCGATTGTCCAAAGACCCGTAGTAAAAGACCAGGTCAAGTCGAATTCATCGAAAGCAGCTGATCCGCATTTGTCGAAAAGTTCCTCCATAGCGCCACCAAGCGGATTAAGGACTCCAATCGCCCAACCCATGTTCCACCATGAGCCGATTAGGATGGCGAAGGTTGCGATGATAAGACTTTATGTTGGTTTTTTGCGGTAGTTAGATTTGTTTGTTTGAGAACATGGGCCGACTGTTTGTCCAGAAAAGAAAAAAAGTAAATAGTCAGTCAAATGCTAGTAACTGGCTCGAAAATTAAAGAATTTGTTAGGAGTGATTCAAAATAGATGTTATCTATTAAATCGAATTTTCTATGCCGGCGCAAGGCGGCGCAGAGCGGCAAAAAGCGGCTCAGGGCGGCACTATCAAGTTCTTCTCTCTGTACAAAAACCTTTCCCGCAGCCCATTTTCTGTGTTGTTATTTAGCTCTTCTTTTGATTAAGTGACTGCTGCTCTCTTTTGCGAAAAAAGACTGATACTGATAACTGTGTCAGAGAAGAAAGAAATTCGTTTGGACAAATGCAAGTGCCCTACCACAAGGATAATGATTAGCAAAGTTTATTGAGCGCGGTGTGCCAAAATTCCGATATAAAAATCAGCACGCAAACAGCATGCATCTTACGTTCCAATGCAAATTGAATGCTTGTGCAACTTTGATCTCATGTTTTTTGAGAGGAGAATAAATTTCCGCGCGTCGGGAAAAGTGACATCTTTATTAAATAAATTCACAAGAAAATATATAACAGGCTTTAATCGATGCTCAATTCAGTCGTAATTGTCTGGGCGTCAGCGTCTCTTTTCTATAAAATTTCTTCTGAAACGAATCGCTAGAATCTAGAATCGATGCTCTTCTGATTCCACCTCCCTTCTCCCATCACCATTTTCAGATTTCACCGTGGTTACCGAATCCAGCGTTATTGAAAATTTCGTCGACTTGATCTTTGAAAACTCATACGTCAGCGAGCAGTAGAAGCAAAGAAGTGAAATTCCCAAAGACCACTCAAAGGCATCCGTCATATTTGCCCAGAAACGTGAGTAGTCGGCTTCTGCTGGATCGCCTTGTTGAAAAGCCGACACGAGCACTGAAGTCAGATTTTAGATGAATAATTAATTAATATTTTTTTTGCAAAAATGACGCTCTTCAGTTTGCCGCCATAAAAATGATGACCCGAACCAGCAATAACTATTTTTACGATACAAGTCTCCAAGAAAATGAGTTTTTTTTGTCATATTCAAAAATGAAATGATTCGTTACAAACAGGAATTATTATTCTTTTATCGGAGTAAAGAAATAAATAAGACAACCTGAAACACGCCCGAACTTTTTCTCCGATCTTTTATTCTCTCTACTTGCTGCACAATTTTTAAACGAAAACCTTATCAAAAAAGAGAATGCGAGCTTGGGCTTCGGTATTTCAACCCTGTTATTTTTGTAAAATTATTTACCAATAAATTGTCAAAAGTAAATTATCAAATTCTATGAAAAAAATGGCATCGATTCTTACTCATCTAAGAAATGGCATTTTTATGATGTTATCAATTATCTGAAAAAAGCATACTTATGATTCCCGAAGCAAAAGCAATCGTAGTAATCCCAATCCTCGTCCAAACCAACCACTTCGGCGACATGAGTTTCCCCGCGCTCATTATTGAAATACAAAGCGCCAAGGCCAATCCACAACCAAACGCAAGAGTAGCCCCGAAAAAGTGAACAAACCGAATAGACGTAAATTGAAAATTTCCGACCAGCATCACTCCGAACATTTGAATGATTCCAAGAACCGCTGTTGCTTTTGCTAGACTATCGTCAGCGCCGATTGCTTGAGTGTATTTGAAGAAGACGACGGTGACGAAGAGGCCGATAATTGCTCCGAAAATGTCTTCAAAAGATTTCTGTCTGTTGTTTTTTTTCTAAATGAATAAACATTTTCCTGTTGTATTGAGTAACTGCGAGAAAACGCAAGATTCTGGCGGAAATGACCCTGTATTTGAGATTGTCGGCCAATCAGGAACTAGAAAAGCGATCTTTCTGGGGACTCCCTAAATAAATCTAGTCTTACGTCTAACAAGATGCTGGGGATCACTGATTCCGATTCCATAAGTCATGAACCAGCCCCCGACTCCAAGGAGAAATATCGACCCGGGGGTAAAAAGAACAACTTTGCTCATTTTCTTGCGATTTTTGTCTCTTGCTATTTTCTTGTATTATGGTGATTAGCTAATAATGAGTCCGACTGGAAGTGGGTCAAATCCAATATTTGCCAAATGACGGATTCTGTCACTGAATCGCCCTTTCTTCTCCTAGAAAATTTCCTATTGTTGAGAATCTCATCATCTGTTCGCTTAATTCTTCAGCAGAAAATGAAATGAGCAGCATAAAAAGATACAGATATGAAGCTCCTTTTTCTCGCCGCTTTTGTTCAGGCCCAGAATCATGACCAAGAAGCCATGGCCTTCTGCAACAACTACTGCCAGGACAAGCCAGATACTCATTACCCAGATACTGGGTTTTGCTTGAATGGGACCTACTTGAACCCAAAAGGTGACTCGTTTTCGAAAGAAGAGAGTATAATCGTTGTTTTAGATTGCAGCTCTTATTTCCGATGCTGGGAGCGAGGAAGCGTTGGGGACAAGCTTTTCTGCCCGATCGGTAAACTACTTGATAATTGGTGAAAAAATGCACATTTCAGGTCTTGTCTGGAACGACGAGTACAAAATCTGCGACTGGCCATACAATCTCGACTCGGACGATGAGTGCTACGAGCCCTTGAAATAAACAATCTGTTTTCTGATTCTTCGCAATAAAAATCATTAAACTAAAAATGTGTCTTTGTGTATATCGGCAAAATCAAGAAAATAACGTAATTTTCATGACAAAGTTATTGCAAGAAAAGCACATACTTTTGTGACCCCACTACTTTGTCTCTCCAAACTCCCTCAAGGGAATTGTTAATCCCCTAAACACGAGCCTTCAGCTCTCATCACTCCTCTTTTTCCCTCCCCGATTTATATTGCCAAGACTTTGTTATAGAAATTTTGTTTGGAAAGAAAGGTCACGCGCTCTAGAACAAAAAGTCGCAGGCGGTCAATGTTTTTCTGAAAGAGACAGAAAGCAGAAAAAAAGAGAAAAAATGAATTTGGGCGCGCAAAGGTGAGAAATCGAAGCAATAAAATCATTTCTAGTAATTACTGAAGGTCTGAATAATTAATTAGATTGACCAGAAGAATCTTAAGAAAAGCGCACAATTGGTCACAAGCTCTTTCGGACGTAAACCTCGGTAAACTTCTAGCTTCGATTAAAAATAAAACGACTTTTTCTAGAGAATGATACCGATCAGATTTGGTAGCTGCGGCGGCCGCAAATCTGGATCTGAAGCCCTCTCAGATCGAGCGAGCGAGGACTGGCTCTCATTGGTTAAATCCAAGGACACGTCATCCTCACCGCCGCATTTGCCAGATCTGATCGGTATAACTTCACGAAAACTAAGAAATGTCCTTTCAAAACGCGGCTTGGAAGGAAGAACTTTCAATCTTTTCCGAGATTTACGAGAGCGAGAAACTTATACAAAAGAAGAATTTGTGGGAATTATAGAGAAACAGTCAGACTTCGAGCAACAGAGGATTTTAAATGGACTCGTCAACAATCTCAAAGGTACGCCCTTATTTTGTCTTTTCTCAATTATTTTCTAGTAACTGATTGGGAGTCATTTGAAAAATCCTGCGAGGAGATTTTCGACGAAGTTCGCGACCTGGAAATTGATCAAAGCTCAAAACTTGATTGTTCAATTATCGACCGGAATGGAAAAGTCAAAATCTGCCGTCTGCCGGATTATATTCCGCAGCTCAGCGAAGTCGATACTTCTTTATTTGCCGTTTCGATTTGTACTGTTGATGGACAGAGGATGCATCTTGGCGACTCGGATATTTATTACACGATGCAGAGTACTTCAAAGGAAATGGTCCTTAGCAGAGTGACGCCCTTAACAAAACTATTCTTTTTTCGACCAATGAAAAGCCTTATACTTATGGAATCACCCATGCCGCCCTGGACGACGTCCTCCACGAGTTTGTCGGGCACGAGCCCTCCGGCCAAGCCTTCAACAAAATCATCCTCGACAATCAAGGCCGTCCCTTCAATCCGATGATCAACATGGGCGCAATCATGACCTGCTCACTGGTGCATCACGAGCAGCCGCTTTCGCATCGCTTCAATTACTTCCTCGAGCATTACAAAAAGCTCACTGGCAGTCGGTCTACGCTCTCCTGTAATATGCCCGTTTACAAGTCGGAGCTCGAAGTTGGGTTTATGAACAAGGCGGCGGTCAATTATATGATGACGTAAGTTATTTTTCTTTATCCAAAATATTCTTTTTTATCTTCAGAATGGGCTGCTGGAAAGGAATGATCCAATCAGAAGAACAACTACTCAAGAATCTCGATCTGTATTATCAACTCTGTAGTATAGAGGTACAGTCAGTTTCAAAATTAAAAAGAGGCTAGCTTTTTTCAGGTCACGACAGAGATCCAGAGCATCATGTCCGCCTGCCTTGCCAATCGAGGCATCAATCCCATCACAGGCGAATCCGTCCTCCCAATTCGATCTGTGAAACGCGCTCTCAGTCTCATGTTCACCTGTGGAATGTACGACTATTCTGGCCGTTTCGCTTTCAAATACGGCGTCCCGGCGAAAAGCGGCGTCTCCGGTGTAACCGACGTAGTCATTCCTGGAGTCTTGTCAATGACGATTTACTCGCCCTGGCTGTCGATCCATTCTAGCTCGAGTTTGCTGGGACTGCAATTCATTGATGGATTCATCAAAAAATTTCCTTACCACGTCTTTGACAGTAAAGAGTTTTTGTGATTCCGTGTTTTGTTTTGTTGTTTTGCTTGTTTATTTGTTGGTTTTGAAGGTAAAAAAATGCTTCCCTAAATATAAACCCCCAATCAAGCAGACTTTTCTGCCTGGAATTTTGTTTTTTAACCCCTTAATTTTTGCTTATCATTGTTTTTTTATAGTCAAAGCCGCAGAATTGAGACTTGAAAAATAAAATAATCCTTCAATTTCAGGCCGGCAATATGCAAAATGAGAACACTTATTTATTCTGTCACTATTTTTTTCTGTAATAAAAAAATCATCTCTAAATGTAAAATTTCGAAAATTGTGTTTATTTTCAATTGATATGGCAATTTGGAGCGACTTTAGTGGCAGTTAAAATATTTTTTGAACTCAAAAACATTTGTAAAATTATTTGATCTCCAACTTTTTTGTTTCCTTCGCAATTTCTTCTTCATTTTCTTCGACTTCTTCATCTTCTGGGACAAAAAGATCCGCTTCCGATCCTGAAATAAGGGTATCTCTGTTTAAATTATTTCAAATTTAGAGAAAAAAATCTCAAATTAAATAAGGTAAAGCCCTTTTCTTTTCGAATCTTCGACTTGTACTTCTCGTATTCGACGATATCATCGTAATTATCCACCTCGAAAATCGGCACCCATCGTTCATCTTCAATATTGTAGTGGACCACGTTGTTGATGATTCGCCGGGCTTTGATTTTCAAGTTTTCTTTGAGTCGTTTTGGCGCGTTTTTGGGCCGATAAAAGGCGGTTTCGCAAACTGGTTCAACGGCTTGCTGAAGAAATTGTTAAATAGAAGCTGTTGGCTCGAAAACGAGCTCGAAAAAGGGTTTAACAATGCTCAAAAAATTTTGATTTTGGCTTACTTGAGTGGAATGAATCGTCTCGGAAGATATGGTTCTTTGAAGACAAAACCTTCTATGGGTTCTTCGTTTACCATTTCTTCCTCCTTGATTTCCTTATTCGGCTCTTGCTTGACCGTCTTCTCTTCATGAAATTTCTTCGTGTGAGCTTTAAGAGTAGCCTTGGTCTTGAAACGATTTCCACAAACTTCGCACTATAAAAATTCGAAAACTGTTTTTTTGGATAACGAACAGACCTGAAACGGCTTTTTCTTCGAGAAATCAGGGTTTTTCGGTTTTCTTTCTTGCTTCTTCCTTTGAGGGAGTTTTGAATCTTCTGAAGTTTCATCGGACGCATTCTCGATTTTGGCTTCTCGACGAACATCTTTCTTTTTTGGCCTAAGCGTTTTCTTTCGATCTTCTTTTTGGAGAGATTCTCCATATGAAGAATCATCTGGCTCTGTCTTTACATCTTTCCGTGACCCTTCTTCTTTGATTTTCTTCTTGCCTTCCGAATTCTTATATTTCTTTGATTTCTTCTTCTTTGTCTTTTTGGGTTTATTTTTGGCCTCTCCCTTTTTCGTCAAATTATATCAAAAAAAAACCTTCCTGTTTTTCAATTATTTGATCGCCAGTTGCTAAGGCAGTCGCAAAAAGATCGACCTGATGAGACTTGTCGGGGACCTTGTTTGAGTTTTCATCCTTGATTTTCTTCTTTGTTTTCGCTTTTCGCGGGTTGTCCTTTACTTTCTCAGCTATTCCGACAAAGGTGCCTTCTGGCTCTTCCTTGACTTCTCATGAGTTTAAAATTGTTGTTATCAAATTTGCGCAGCGCAAATTGCGCTTATCAAAGAATGCCTAATCAAAAACTCGTTTCCTTCAACTGGCTCTTCCTTTATTTCCCCCTTTATCTCTTTTTCTTTCTTCATCTTGCTAACACTTTTCATCATCAAATTATCTGAAATTCTCTTGTGAAAATATATTTTCGAGCTAGAAAAAATACACAGTAATTCTCTCACAAAATGAAAACAAAGCGAAAATTCAGATTAATTCTGACGAAAGAAAACGACAAATGAAAAGTTTGATGAAAAAACCTCAGTGCAAAGAGTGGCCAATTAGGAAGAAGGGTGAAAATTCAAATAGGCGAATGATATTTTCTAGACTTGAAGCTGCAAGAAGAATAACGATATTTCTCAGGATTTTTACGACCTTTTTGGAACGGAAAATTTTCTCTAGGATTCTATTTCTCTGAATATTATAAAATTCTAGCGCCTGTTATTTGTGTTTTGAGTCAAAATTTGAAGGATAAATGATTTGAGGCTAATAGGTTTTTCTATTGCTTGTTTTTATTCTGATAAGTTGATAGTAAAGAAGAACAGAGGAATGATTGGATTTCTATCATTATTTCATTTTTTGGCAGAATTAGACGAATTCTTTTCGGCCTTGGGAATATCCCGACTCGGCGTACGCAGCAGGAGCTCCTCCTGAAAAAGAACTGTTAACGCGATTTCGATAGGTTTTGGAACTAACGGTAGTCATCTTCGTATTCGTCTTCGTCATCGCCCGAGCTCTGGCAGCAGCCCATGAACATGATGATTGCGACGCCAATGTAAATAGCAGCGGCGATCCAGCCGGCGTAGATAGCCGCGCCCAAAGTCCACTGAGTTCCCTAAAAAGAATAGTTTAGCAGAAGAAGTCCGAAAAGGATCCCTTCGTCCCCTATTCCTTCTTTCATTAACTTACAGCATTGATGCTCATTCCACCGCCACCCATCTGAAGCTGCTTCCATCTCTTGATGATTGAATTCGCCGCCCAGGAAGTAGCCGCGAGGATCAAAACTCCAGCGAGGGAAAACATTCCAGCCGCGCCGCCTGCTGCTCGTCCCTTGTCTTTCTGAAAATTTCCTTCAAACCCGGCTTGGGAAAAGGAAGTCTTACCTTTGTGGAAGCAATATTGACAGAATCAGAAGAAGCAACGCCGGCGAAAAAGCCGCCAGTTCCGAAAATGCAGCCGAGAATGACAAGGACTCGGAAACCGACGATACCGTACTGGGCGAGCTGGGCGATACCGAATTGGCTCAACGACTGGCATTGGTACTGAAAAGGAAGAATTAAAAAAATGAAAAAAAGGATAATTTTTATAATAATTTATTTTCAAGAAAATCCATGAAAAAGGACCATAATCTAAAGGTTTACCGTTCCATAATAATCGCCGCCAGCACAAAATTGCCACAATCCAAAATATCTCTTTTGCATTTCCGTGAAGCCATTATTATTCTGCACGCTTACTGCCCAAAAGGGCGAAACGCAACTGTAAATGCTCGCAATAGTAGCGAGTAATCCGGCAAAACTGGTCAAAACATTGATAACCGCCATCTCTGGGGTGAGAAAAATGCCGGCTGGTGCTCTTTTTTGAAAAAAAAGGGGAAAAAAAGGCAAAAAAGGGATTATGGCGGTGAGTGGTGGGCAAATATCGGAAGGGCGCAAAATTTGAGACAGTAAATATTTGCAATTTACTACCGGATTTTCGCTAGGAGCGCGCCAAAATAATGGAGGAAGACAGAACTTACGTTTCCAGCATTCTGTGGCTTTTCGCAGTACTTCCATAAGCCGAGTGCTTTTTGGTTGGTCGTCTGGATGCCGTTGTTATTTGAGACGTTTGTCGCCCAAAAGGGCGTGATCAGGCAGTAGAACGAAAGAATGGTGGCGCAAAAGCCGAGGAATATTCCAAGGGTTCTTACAAATCCCATATTTTATCTGAAAATATTGCTTTCTATGCGGCTATTTTTGGGGTTTATAAAGAATAAATCGATAAGCCGCTTGCGGTTTCGAGAAATTTAGATGAAAGTCGAGCTGTGTGCGGCTTTTTCTTGTCTAAAATCGGAGCCGCAAGCGGCTTTTCGAATTTTTGAAAAAGGAAGACAAGTTGTTCTTCTACTTAGAAATCACGGAAGACAGTTTAAGACTGAAAAAGCTCTAGAATGGGCGGATTCTCTGAGGCGTAGTAGTGGGTTACGAAAAAAATGGCGCGCTAGATGAGACTGAGTCAAGAAACAGACGACCATTGCAAGCATTGAAAGCAAACACTAATGATCATTTTTTGTTTGCTGCGACATTCGACGCTCAAATAAGACGAATGAGGCCGACATTTTCTACCGTCACAAGAACGCCGCCTTCCTTTTTGATTGTTTTATTGAATCATATTTTGGTCAAAAAGGCGAACTGTAAAAAACGATGCTGAGGCAGTTAATACTCATCTTTGAGGATTAAGTCGTAAGTGTAACTAATTATGCGGTACCACCGAAAGTCTTCACAGGAGCGCCCTCTGATTGAATCATGATATTGCTACAAGCTTTACTTTCAGCTAAGGCATTTTTCATATAAGTTTTAAACGATCCAATATGAAGATTTTTGCTTTCATCACTGCTTTTCTTTCGAGAATAATTGATAATTTCGACAACGAAAATCAAAATTTTCGCAGGTAAGAGAAAAATTACAGAACAAGATTTAATCTTTTCAGTAATTTGAGAAGCCGAGGATACACAAAATTTCAAATCGCATTGCTAATAAATTCGATTGAAGACTAAAATTTGGGCTTTTCTGCTCTTCTTGAGAATCAAATTTACGACTTTCGAGGGAATGATTGTGATTGATTCTGCTCTGTTTTGAAAATACTCCGGAAGATATAATGAGCATCGGGAAAAAAGCCTGATTATCAAGTTTTGTCAACTAATTTTGCATTAAGATTCTCCGCAGAACGCAATCCGCTAAGTTCTTATGCAATGATCATGACTAAGGAAATATTCTCAATGAACAAACAAATCAAATTTATTGATAAATGAAAGAAAATGAAATGATTCAAGCAATTGGGTAACACTTTGGATACTCTGGATATCGACCTTCCCACGGGCAGCTCACTAAAAAAAGGACTAATTATCGAAATATTTCTCTTCAACTGACCATTCCCGTTTCCATATTCTTCGGCCCAAACCATGAATCCATAGTAATACAGCTTCGCGAAATTCTCCCCGCCATACGTTGCAAAAAGATAGACCCTGTTCATGTAGGCAAACGGAAAGTTGCAGAAAACTTCTTGATTCAGCTGCTCATAAGTGAGTTCTCGGGCTCCAATTTTCGTATATTCCCGAGCGTAAGCAGCTTATCAAATAAAAAAATTGCACAAAGGAGGAGCTTACCCAAGAAGTCTTCGTAGAGGACTTCATCTGAAAAGTCAGAGTTCAAGAGATAGTAGGTAAAGTCGAAATTCCTCAGTCCAAAATCAGAGTTGTCATAATCAATGAACAACAATCGTTCCTCCATTGGCGTGCCCTCCGGCGCGTCCCGAACGAAAAAGTTTCCTGGGTGAAGATCATTGTGTGCCCAGACACCAGGGGAAATTGTCGCGTATTGGAGGTCGTAGAGGAATGCCATGTACTCGTCGATATTGGTGATCTTGATGGTTCCAGCTTCGATAGGGTGTTCTTTGATGAGGGAGGTGACGAATTCCCTGGTCTTGGTTCCCCAGTTGTTGAGGGCGGCTTCCATTGCTCTGAGAAAAAGATCGATAACAACAGATCGTTTATGTGGATCTACCTGGTATTCCATGGCCAGCTTCGATAGCAGTAGTCCATCTTTCTCGGCAATTCCTCTTCCGTCACAGTATGCAATTTCGCAAACAGTTTCGCAGCAACTCGATAAATCTCCGGCTGATTCGCCCCCAGTTCTTCAATCTTGTCCAAGCTTTTTCCAAAGAGCAACTCCTCGAATTTGCAAAAGTACGCATCTTGCGGGCAAGACGAGCAATCAGCACAACCTTCGTAGAATGGATCGCAGTCACTCAAATCGCAGCAGTCGATGTCACCGATGTCGGGTTTGTATTCTTCAAAGCCGTACACTTCCGGGCCATTTCCCGTGTCACCCATTGCTTGGTCGACTTGACGCGCGCGATCGGTGTCGATGAAATACGGCTGTAAGGAATGTTTATTAGGATTCTTACAAAAGTAGGTTGCTTACGTTTTTATACATTTTTTGAGCAACGGCTGTTCCAGTCACATCATTGACGCATTTGTACACGACACCCTGAGCTCCTTCAGCAAGATATTCTGAGTAAGCTTCTATTCCGAAATTTTTCTGAAGAAAAAATAGACAACAAGACCTTCTTCCTAAAAATCTCACCTTGCAAAGCTCATCAGCTTTTTCAATCGAAGAATCGCCCCGGGGAAGTTTCAAATCCCCCACCGGCTTTGCCCCAAAACTTCCCTCTGGAATCGGGTCAAAAATCTGAAATTTTTCTCGCGCTTCTCTGAGCAAGTTTCCAGGAAGCAGTCGTTTCATATCCAGCGCATTGCCAGAAGCGAGAGTCAAAAAAGGGGCAATCTTCATTTTCGAAGACTTGGTTTTCTTCTAGTGAACTCTTGTCGAGGCAGAATTGAGGTAATAGAAATGACATTTGACAAGAAATAAGATTTTATTGTCGATTTTTCATGAACTTTGGAGATTTATTTTTTGAAAAAATACGGTAGTTTTTGGCCTTCTTTTTAAAGGTAATAATATCTCGAAACCGACCTCGTCATACAGCTTTTAGCTGCTGATAAATAGCTTAACCAAGATAAATCTTTTGGGTTTTTTATCAGTTTTTTGTCCACATGAGCATTTTTGGCTGAGAAAAATTGACCTTTTATAAGTTGACAAACTGAAAAATTGTTACAGAAAAGCGGGTATAAACTTGACTTGCCTTTCACAGTTTGAACCTCTTTCTGTCAAATTATGCGCCTGCCTAAAAGGCGGATGAGCGGTTAAAAGCCTGTGTTGATCCACTTCATCAACCGCAGATTTTTTCGAATTATTTTCTATTGTGCTAACAGCATTTTAGTTACTGTAATGACGCAAAAATGATATCCCAAGGGGCAAGTTTTAATTCAATATTTTGAAAATAAACTTTTATTTTTCAGGTTAGGGTTAGGGTTGGGGTTAGAGTTAGGGTTCTGATTTGATCTGTTCTAATAAGCCCTTTTGATTGAGCAATCAAATTTGATTCCCAATCAACGAGAGCCGGAACATCACTGATTAGTCGGAAGAAACTGGTTCTCATGATCGCGCATTCTCCGATGGCGCTCATGAGCCATTAATATATAATCAAAGCTCTTAATTGCATTAAATTAAAATTCTTCAAACGATAAATTTGACGATTTAAATATTTAAATCTTTTCAAAAAAGAGAAAAAATCCAAGAAAAAGATGAAGATTTTTTCGATTCTCCAATTTGCTCTTGCTCTTGCGGGAAAAGCAAGAAATAACAAAGGTAAAAATATAAACTTAAAAAACTCTTTTTATTTTTTTTTTCAAGAATTGATCGCTGATGCCAGTGGAAAATTGACAAAACTGAATCAAAGAACACAAAAAATTTACGTCGATTACCTCGCCGATTGGCCAAGAGCGGATAACTACATTCATAAGCTCCACAAGATGCAGGTAAGAAAATGCAGAGGATAATTCACAGTAAGATACAGTTCCTTTTATTCTTTTTCCTGCTTTTCAACAAATTTTTCTTTCAGAAAGCTTTGGCCGAATTCCTCGAAAAATGCGGCTACGACCCCATTTCCATCACGAAATTCGAAGAAGACTGGAATGTCGATCTCAACGGAGACAACATCATCGGCAAGGGCCGCCGAAGAAGACGCCGCCGAGACGAGGATTATGACTGTAAGTCCAGTCCCCATGAAAAACAATGCTAAGCCAAGATTTCCCGATTTATTGACAATTGTGAATTGAGTGTCAATTATCCGTAGACCTTTAGATTTTAAGATTTGGGCTAAGTAAGCTTTTATTCCACAAAAAACTGACAGAAAAAGGCAAAAAAAGAAAGCTCCATTAGCAGTGGCAATCCATTAACATCTGATTTTAGCAACCTCTGGTTCTGGAGATGAAGGCTTTCGAGAAGCAGTGGAAGTCTTATCAGACTACTGGGACGATTTTTTCGACGAGTCCGAATCAGTCAGGCGCAATTTGGGAAGCGACTTCGACTTTCTATTTGGCAATGATGTTGGAGGTAAGACCGGTTTTACATGAGAATCTGGGGGTGATTACAGAGAGTAGTAGCGTCATTTCTCTTCGTTCACCGGCGAGTCGAGTTGTCGATCCAAGATAAGACTTGTCATATGTTTGTTGGACGACTATTTAATCGCCAAAAAGATGGTTGATCTCAATATGCTTCTTTTTTCAAATGAAGCCGGTCAAAAATATGACATAATTGCGATTCCGAATCAAATTTTCAAATTTCAAGTTTTCTAAATTAATTAAGTATTTTAGGCATCCAAAGGAGTTTCGCGGAACATGCTGGAAACAAAATCAAAAAGCTCTTCAATGGGTATAAAAAGTTCACCGCCGTTTATTTGTCAAAATGCAAGAAGATCGAAAACGTCAGCCAGCGAGTAGACAACACTGTAAAGCGACTGAACGGAGCGGTTAGACGATACGAAGACTGGCTGACTGAAGAAGCGATCAAGAAAGAGAAAAAGCAGAAAGAGGCTGCGACTCAGGCGAAGAAAAAGGCCAAAAAGAGCAAAAAGTCGATCAAGAGGCAATTGAAGCTGAGCAATTTCTAAGCTGTTTTCGATCGAAATGAAATATTCATTCTGCTTATTTAAACCTTACTTACTGATTTTACCAATAAAAAACTTGTATATTTGGACCATTCTGCGCTTCTTTTTCATGATGAAAAAAATTCTAAATTTAACTTTTTGGCTACTAAGAATAATTCCTGCATTTCCTCGAAAAAACAAATTTCCGACTCAAAATGAAAGGTGACATGTGACATGTCTTGTCAATCAGACAAAATCTGTCAATCACATTTTAATTCGTCTATTTTTAATTTGAAGTTCATGTTCTTCTCGGTAATAATTGATGAAAGCAGTCTGACAAGAAGATTTGTCAATTAGCAATTGTCGAATTCGTACCGTCGATAAAACGAAGCTGTCAATAAGTAAAAAGAATTGAACGATTTCGACGTCCGAATATCGAGTTTTTCCCAGGAAATGAGATTTCTTGGCCGATTTTCTCGGTCGATTTTTAAGGGGGTAGTGCCTAAACTGCGTACGAAAAAATGGCGAAATCGATGTTGACACCCTTAATAATAGCCCTTCAAAAAATATTCTCGCTCCAATACGCTCATGCCCATCATCATCAAATAAATATTGAACATCGTCAATGATGGAGCATTGGTCGCCTCTAAAGCCTTTTTGATTAATTAATCTGAACATAATTAATACGCAGCTGCATATCGAAATCTCAGTTTTTGAATCTGCCATTGCGTCATTATGGCATTAATCCTGATCATTCTCTCCACTTTGCGGCGTCTTTATAAACCGCAGAAACATATGCAATTGTTGTGGAATAAACTAGGCTTCTAATGATAAGCATCGTCGTTGACAATGTTTCAAACAATATTCCAACATTCCGAGATGGTTGAAACAACTTTAGTTACCGTCTTGAAGTCTGACTAAAAATCGGGCAAAAAATAAATGTAAAATAAAAACATAGGCCTTATTATTAAAAGCTGAAGATAAGCTCTAAAGCAAAATTTTTTATTACGGGGATACCCTTAAGTTTCGTCCGAAAAAATTCAAATAAAGCATTAAGGGGGTAGAACTAGGATTTTTGAAAATAGGCAATTCTAGACCGGCGCTCAAAGCTAAACAAGCTTAGATATTCTTATTCTCTCTTCGGCTGAAGATAAAGCAAACCTAGATCTAACAACATTTTTCTTAAAAATTTTTTTCGTCAACAGATTTCCGCGGTAGAGAGCCAAACGTCCACCCATCCCTTCAAAAATCGCGATTTTAGCCCATTCGCGTCCTCAAATTTCTCGAGTCACGTGACTAGCCAAATTTTTTAAATTTCATTTTAAGACAGTTTAACCCTTTTTCTAACAACATTTTAAAGGAAATTGTCCAATCATAAAAAATGATAACGTAATCGAAGCGCTCGAAAACTGGAAGTCGAAAATCGCGGATCGGCCAAAATCAAGGAAGAAAAATTCGAAATGTGATGAATATACTGACTGTTATCGTCTTCTTTTTACTCGTTTTTTGTTGTCAATAAATTAAATATTCTTTCTTATCAAAAATATGATCGAAAAATATCATTTTTGACGATGACTTTTTGATTAGGATAGCTCGCGCCGTCGCGGGTCGAAAATACTGAAGCAGGGCAGGAAAAGCATCAAAATCTCGCACTTTATAAAATCAAATTCAAATTTTGAAATGAGTCCAGCAGATAAGAGAAATAAAAAAGGCTTTAGACCTTCGTTTCCTCCTTCTTCTAGTGCAAGGTCATCATCATCTTCCAGCTCGAGCACATCTTTTGAAAAAAATGAAGTAAGATTATTATAGATTTGCATTTTTAGATTTTGATAACAAACTTAGACCCGAACACATATTTTTTCTAATACATTACGATCACTAAATTTAGTTTACAAACATGTTTGTCAATTACTTCAAATTGTGCCAGCTTGTCAACGATGTTGTCACCCATTCTCAGAATTGTAGAAATGCGTATTTTCTACCAAGGAATGGGATTTCTAAAAATTTAGAATCGGAGCTTCTGGAATAACCACTTGTTCTTGCCGGTCTTGTATAACCCTAAAAAAGTTTGACCAGTTTGATTGGCGTCGGTTTCAGCATTCAGTTCGCTTGCCAATGCGGCGAGAAGATACAGTTCAAAACTGTTTCTGAAAATTTCAATAGACAGTTTGCAGCTGGCTGCACTGTTTCCGGAATTCGAACAGTCAATGCTCAAAGACTACTCCTGTTTCTCAATTTTGGAGCGGTTTTGAAAAATGGTCAATCAAATAGCGTCAATTTGACTCGATCCGATTCTGCTTTTGGTAAAGTGAGAAAAGATGTTCATGTTTCTCTGATGAAAATTTCTGACGAAAATATGAGTTCTTACAAAGCGAAAGCAGAGCGCCGACTTCAGCTTGACGATCCTAATTCGGGAATCTATTTTGCTGGAGACGGACAATATGAACGGTTCTTATTTATTCGATAAAGTTGTCAAAGAGCATTTTTGCGCTACACTTTCATCTAATGCATTATTTTTCTGGATGTACCTAACCAGGTCTCCTTTTTTCCCATAATCCATGACAATGTATATTGAACCAAATGATAAGGCAAGAGTTTGAAATGAAAATGATAAAAAATCACTATTAGCATTTTACTTTTTTCCAAACTTTCATAAAGTTGACAACGGGATTCAAAAGTTACGCCTGTAGCTATACAACGATGATGGTTCCGCAGAACGTGACCGACGATGATAGACCAAAGATTATCAGTAATTATGTCCAGAAAAGATCAGACACTTCGAACTGTGATGGACCTGGTCAAATCGCACATTGTAAAGCCAGTAAGTTCTTTATACCTCAGCCCCCTAGGTGGCAGGAGAATAAATTTATTCTCCTGCCACCTAGGGGGCTTTTTTGCGTTATATGACAGTAATATTAGATGAAATGGAATATCTTTCTTTCACAAAAATGGCGACTGATGTTCTTCTCCCACTCCATGAAACCACTTCTAAGCCGCTCCGATTCGCGACGGATGGAGACATCAAGTACAAGCATCCTTTGCTTTACACGAAGCATTATTCTCCTGACTCAAAAAAGGCTGGAGATGTTATTCTTTCTGAAGAAGCAATTATTTTTTTTGCGCGACAAAGGTACTTATAATCTTTGGATTTATTTTACTATCAAATTACAGCGCACGTTTTGAAAAACGTCAGTAATCGTGTGGAGACCATTGATAAAACAGTAAAGCTGTTTTATCCAAATTGCTTTGGTGGAAACTGTAAACGACGATTCATTCAAGGGTGAGTTCTACGAAAACATTTTTCTTTCAAATTACAATTCTCACAATTCATTTTGATCGATAAATACTCTTGTTTTCATCAGTGTCTGATGAAAAGTGCGAACACACAGCGTTTTTAGCGAAGTTGGGAAAGACATCATCATGAAAAGCGAAAAACGGGTTGACTTTTGACCTTCAGATAAGTCAAAATAAAACGGTTTTGTATTTCACGCTTGGTTTTTAGAGTAACTATTGAAAATGAACTCAATTTATATTTTTAGCCTTCAAACTCTTATTGCTCGGTTGATCAAGGAAATTGGAGAAGATGAAGATTTTTATGAAGATGAGACGATTCGAGCTCGTTTTCGATATTTCATTCAACACTGCAACAACCAGCATGACAACTGTTTGGATCCAGAAAAATGCAGCAGAAAAATCCCGATTTTTGATCGAGAAAGCGCGAAGAAGAACCCTGATGCACAACTGGCTTCATTCCTTGATGAAATGAAAATTGCGTATTTTGAAAATACCGATTTTTTTAAAATCATGAGAAAATCCGCCTCGACAAGCTTCGTAGAAGCATTTCATGCCCTGCTCACCTCTCGATCCCTCATCGACAAATCAAAGATAGTGACCGTCTCGACCAGAGTTTGAAAAAATGCTAAAATCATGCATAAATATGTTAGCTCGAGAGGCCACAGTCTAATTTTTGTTATGAGCGACAGAGTATGAGCAAGGGTCATTTTATGCTCTTTTCATTTCATCCTTTTCAGGCTGACTTGGATCAAGGAACAAGCTCGAAAGGACGCTTCTTTACCAGAAATGACGCTCAAGGCTAGAATTCACAAATGGCTTGACCATTTTTTCAAACTCTGGTTCCGTCTCTTCTCGCTGAAGCATCAGTGTCTGTTGGTACAATAATTTGGAACGAAGGAGAGGCTAATGCTTTTTCCTTGATTTCAACAAAACTTGGATTTACGCTCAATGATCCTGTTATCGAAAAATTGCAGTCATTGAAGAAAGCTGCTGATGCTAATCGTCGATCACAAAAGTTGACGAAAATTGAAAATAAGTTCAAAAGAAGGGCGACTCTTGGAACTTATAACAAGACAAGTGTTTATCGAACGAAGCTGGAGAAAGAGCGAAAAGCTGAGAAGGAAATTGCTGATCGAGAAGAAAAACGAAAGAAGAAAGAAGTCGAAAATAAAGAAAACTCTGAAAAAGAAAATTAGTCTTTGCTTATCTTTCCTTATTTTTTCCATAAATTAGAATATATAAATAATAGTAAAAATATTTTAGTATATTCTCTATGAATAATTTTGATTTCTAAGCACGTGTTTACTGTAAAAATCATGAAAAAAGATCAAAACTATTATGGCAGGGATCAACGCTCAACGCAGGAATCGATTAAACTAAAATCGTTTTTTTCTCGATTTTGATTGGCGGATGGAAAAAGTTGTAATGATAAGTTTTATTTTGCATGAGCTAAGCTTTAAGAATCTGAAAAGAAAAATTTGAAAATCCGACTTTGAAAATCCTAGTTCTACCCCCTTAAAGATAAGCAAAAATAAGTAAAATAATTCTTCTTTTCCAAATAATTTTAATATATATTTGAAAATAAGTCATTTAAAATGAAATTTCAAGGGACAAAAAGAGTTTTTGATTAAAAAATAGTTAACAATTTTTTTGGAAAATATTCAAAATTGCCATTTGTCTGGTAGAACTGACGTGAACTGAGGTAAAAGCATTTTTTGTCAAATCAAAAAGTGCGAATTCTACGTCTCCGCGAACCAACATTCATTAGCATCAAATTTTGACGGACATCAGTCATCTTTCATTGAAACAAACGCAGCACGTAAGAGCAACAGCTTTTCGCGGTAAAAAACATGCCACAGATGGCGCTCAGCGAACGTTCGTTTTCTATAAAAACGCGACCAATTCTTCTTTTCCTCCTTTGTATTTAAAAAGCAACCAAAAATATTTGCGAAATTAAAATTGAATGAAGAATTTTTTGATCTTTTCTGTTTTTGCTGGAATCAGCCAGGCGATGTTTCCAAGAAGTCCGACGAGGGGAGATGCTGGAAACTTTAATCCATGGAACTAGTAAGTCAAAAATTAAGGGGTTCTCCTCATGAAATTAGGGGAGAAAAATCCGCATGTGAATTATTTGAATGGAAATTTCGATGCTGGATTTTTAAAAGAAATACCGAAGTGATACCCTTAAGAACCCTTCCCCAACCCTTATCCCTCTGAAAAATAACACCCCCGGGGGCCCCTGCAGCCCCTATTCTCAAAAAATTCTTATCGAACAAGATATAATAATGTGATTTTCTAGCGTTTATGAAGATGGCATGTCAGACTCTTTGATGAACGACTACGGCGATTCCGATCCAATGCGATCTTCTTCAAAATTCAAGCCCTACATGAACTTCCTCGAAACATGAAATTCTTAATACTGTCATAAAAAATTTTATTAAAAATAATCAAAAAATAAACTCAAAATCGTCCGTTTTTCCTCATTTTTTTTCTTCTTTTTTTTTTTGATAAAAAAATGATCCCGATTGAACCCACTTCGTTTTTCGGAGGTTTGGCGATGCACTTGACTTTATCGACTAAAATGGATTTTGAAAACTAAAAAGAGAAGATTAGATAATGACCAAGGGCCCTTACGAACAAGACTGAAAATCAGAAAAGCGACATTAGAAATTGATCTTGCTTTTCCATGTCAAAAGATAACAAAAAGACATTTCTTACAAGATGTCTTAGAGAAGAACTAACAACAATGCGGAAAAAGGATGAAAATCATTACGTAAGGTTTCTGTCCGCTATAAATAAAGTCGAATTGACGATTATCTGCAATAATGACAAAAAAATGGGAAAACATAATAATTTCGACCTAATAGAATTGCCCTACTTCGTAAAATTATCAAATCCCCAAGAAACGGTATTCAACGGAATTCGAATATTTTTACTCAAAACAAGTTAGAGCCGCATTTTCGTGATCCGTTCAATCAGACGCAAGAAAAGTGAACTAGAATTGAAAAAAACGAATTTGAAAAAGAAATGAAACTTGCAAAATATTTTTCTCTTTTTTCAAATATTTTTTGCGATGAGAGACCAAATGTAATCATTTTGATTGCAGATGACTTTGGAGTTGGGGATTTCAGAGTAAATCAAGCGAGAGGAAAAGTCCCGACGCCGAATATTGATAGATTGGGGACAGAAGGAGTCAACTTCAAGGTAACGATAAAAATCTCATCGCCGATGAGTCATCGGATTTTTTATTCTAGGATGCTCATGCTGGTTCAGCTCGTTGCGGACCGAGTCGATACATGCTCATGACAGGCCGATATTCCATGCAACGTAAGATATCCCCTTCCTGAACCCTCGTTTCCCTTAACCATTTTCTAGAGGGCAAGAACCGAATTCTAAAAGCCGGCCGCGAACCCCACCTCGGCCAAATGTTCAAAAAAGCGGGCTACACGACTGGAATTTTCGGAAAATCGCAGCCGCTGAAAACTGAAACGCTCAATATGGACCAGACGCCTGAAGAACGAGCCGAACAAAGAAGAAAGGTTCTAGAATGGAAGAAAATTAGCTATAAAAATCCGCAAAGCAGAACTCCTGGAGATGAGAAAAGGCTTTATCAAGTTCCGGGAAATTATACGAAACCGGTTTCGGAAGTAAAAGATTTTGACTACGACTATTCATTTACCTCAGGCAAGCGCTAGAATCGCCATTCTTCTTTTCTGACCCAAAATTTAGGCTCCCCTTGCTGCCAACCAAACGGATATTTCGAAAACGGTCTCCAAACTGAGCCCTTTACTGAATGGGCTATTCAACGGACCTTCCCGGAAGGCTCTATTCGAAACGATACTGCCAGGATTAACAGAGAAGAATTTGGGGTCGGGGCTTACGTTGCTGCTCCCTGGTTCGAGGAAGAAACTTTTGGGGAGGTTCTGATGGGCAACTATCCCAGATCGATGGTCGCGCAAAAAAACTACGATTCTAGGTAATTTTCTTTCAGTTTTTGCCCTTCCGAGCCATTTTCAGAACGATGGACGAGGTCGTTTCCAACAAGCTTTTCGATTTCATCCGCTCGCAAGAAGCCTCCACCACTCCTTTCTTCACCTACTACGGGATGCGTTCTGGTCATCGTCCTTTCAACTCCCCCCTTCGCTTCCGAAACACGACCGAAGCCGGTGTCGTTGGAGACATGATCGCCGAGGCAGACGACATCGTCGGAAATCTCTTCAAAACCCTGGAAGAAACGGGCAAAATCCACAATACTTTGATTCTGCTCATGTCGGACAACGGAGCGGACCATTCCAGCGAGTTCAACAGAATTCTCTACAATCACACTCAAAATGCCATCGACCTTGGAGGCGAGCACTGGCAATTGAAGGGGTTTAAAAACTACAACTGGGAAGGAGGTCATCGATTGCCCTTCATGTGGTGGTACCCAAAGCAGTTTCCGGCGAAGACAGTGGAGGACAAAGTCGTCTCCTATGTCGATGTTTTCAGGTAAATTCCTTTTGAAAAATATTCTTTAATTAACTCTTCTCTAGAACTCTTTCCGACATCATCAACTACTCCCCCTCCTGCAACGAAGGGCCCGACAGCCGCTCCCTCCTCCCTCTTCTGACCGGCGCCTCTGATGAGATCAAAGGACCGCAGTGGATCATGACTCATGCCGTCTACCAAGGAATTCAATCGATCAGATGGAACAAGTGGAAACTCATCCCGGAAATTTCCGAGTTTTATAATCTCGAGCAAAATCCAGACGAAACTGTTAATCAGTTTGAGAAAGAATGGGCAAAGCCGATCATCGCCAGACTTCAAAATAAACTCGATGAGAATTTGAGGTTGATAGAAGAAAGAGAAGAAAAAACTGACTACGGAAGACTTAATCTTTGCTTTCCTTTAAAATGGGCATAATTTTGTCCTGCTTTTTTCAATTTAAATAAATTTCGAACAATTTATTCAGGAGGATTTTTTAAAAACTCGCATGTTATTTTTGTCCGGATGAAGCATCTTGTATCGCAAAACACGGAGCTAAAACAAAATAATATTTGGTTACCTTTTTATATTGATTTTTTACCTTGAGTTTCTTAGCGAAGTTACTGTCAGTATCGCCGAGTGAGGGATTTGTCACCCAGGTAAAAATAAGTAAAGAAAAATATAATCTCATTTAATAAAATCGAGTGTTTCTTCCAGTATGGAATACGTGACCTTATATACAGAGGGTAAATTATAAACACCATTTTGTTATTGAAAAAATTATTGTCGAAAAATCGATTATTATATCCGCAATATTGATAGGTTCTGTCCTTTCTGCGGCGAAATGAACTTCTGTTTATTTCAAGAAAGACATCTTTGAAGAAGTTCTGAGGAGGGATGTTTTTCTGCATTTGAAAGCGGCTTAACAGATTTGAAGAACTTGCACATGAAGTCAAATAATCCATCTCGTATTTCAATCACTCCTTGCGCTCGAATTCAGTAAGCAGATCATTTTCAATTTCTCTCTGCTAGTCATGAACTTACTTATTTTCTTTTTTTCTTTTCAAATTTGTGAGGCCATCGACTCTCCGAAACGATGTTATGAAAAAGCAAAAGAGATCAATAACAGCTGGTATAGATACTCGATCAAGAATGGCTTCTGGGATTGCAAGGATCTTGGGACAAAGACGGCTCTGGGTAAATTGAAGTGTCAACCAAAGTGCGATGATAATTCTTTTCCAACATGGGGGCGAAGCTGGGCTTGGCAACCTGTGAAGAAAACCTGACTCAGAGAACTTACCTGACTCAGGTTTTCTTAACAGGTTGCCAAGCCCAGCGATGTAGAGAACCAAATCTGTTCATCAAGTGCTTTGACGATGGTAGCAGGATCGTGAGAATTAAAAGGTAAAGGAAGATTTTATTTTTTGATTCAAGTTTTATAGAAAAGGTGAAGTTGAAGAAAATAAGCGTTTGCAATGCCTTCATCTCAAGAATTTTCCATGTCTTTCTGAAGCAATGACTATTAACTCGAAACTTTCCGTGAAAGGAAGACTCGTTCCAAGAAAAATACTCCCAAATCGAAACGAGAAAACGAAAAATTATCGCGCGTACTACGATATTGAATGCAAAAATGGCAAAATAAATGGACAAGCCCGCTGTGCAAATGGAAAACTTTCAAAATCCTCTCTTTGGTGGACCAATTCTGATGAGTGGGAGAAGGGCTGTGATTTGGTAAGAGATTTTATTCAATTGAAATTATAAATTTTGTTCCTTAGGGAGTCACGGCCAAGAGGACCTGCATTGAGTTCAAAAAACAGCCCTTTCCACTTGAATTTGAAAAAGCAAAAAAGCGATGCAACCAGATCGGAGGGGATTTACCCTTCTTCAACAATGAGGCTGAGCTAAAGCATTACAACTACATCAAACCAGATCGACGAGAGTGGCTTGGAATGACTCTCGGAAATGATGAAAAATGGTACAATCCGACTGGTGCCGAGAAGACCGTGGAAAATTGGCTTCCTTTCCCCCAACAGCCAGACAAAACGGGTGGAAACGAAAATTGCGCCGAAAGTTTGCGATCAACAGAGTGGGGTGGGCCGTGGTGGAATGATATCGTCTGCAGCAGGTGGAATCATTTTCATTGCCGAGTTCAAGTCAAAGTTCCAATTAATGAGAGCTGCGCACTTACCAAAAATTAGTTTTTGCTGTTGGTTCGTTTATTTTGTATCCAGAAAGAAGAAAATAAAAATAATGATTATTTGAATATTTTCATGTGTCTGTAGATGCTACTTTTGTGCCTATCGTGAGCTTTGTGCAGAGCCTGGTGCATCTTGTATCGCCATATTCGAAGCTTAATATTCATTCAATATTTTTCCTGTCTCGAAACTTACATTGAGTTTTCTAGCAAAATTATTGTCAATTTCACCAAGCCACGGGGAGGTTACCCAAATAAGAATAATCGAGGGAAGATAAATTTTCATTTTAACGAGAAAAAAAAATAAAAAAAGGAACGATTGCTTGTTCTTTGAAGGTCATTCGGCTTCTTATATACTGTGTTTTTGTTATTGAAAACATTGTCATTAAAAAATCGGAGGACGGGTATTGATAGCTTCTGTGTTTTTGCGTTCCATTTGTGTTTGGGTTTGACCTTCTCTTTTTAGTTTATTTGGTACAGGAGAAATTTTTTATGAGAAGTATGATCTTTTTAGCATGCGCATATGCTTTGAATGAGAATTCTTCTGACTGTGTTGGGAGTTGTGTCCAGTTAGTTGCATTTTGAATCGATTTTGACGAAGCTGAGCCAACATAATTTTAATAATACGTCGCCAGCTTTCTTCCTTACCTTGAGTTTTTTAGCAAATTCATTATCAGTATCTCCGAGCCACGGGTTTGTAAGCCAAATGAAAATGAAAAAGGGAAAAAATGAATTCATCAAAATAGATTTCGAAACCAATATCAATTGAAAATTGGACATTTTGCTTCTTATATACAGTTGTTAACATATTCAGTTATTCTCGGCATTGTCATTTATACGTACGGGAAGACAGACCTTCAGGGACAACTGTCAACAAAATTATTTTTGTCTTCAGAGAAGGCCTTTCTTTAAAGTTCAAGCAAATTGTTTTCTATAATTATCTTCAAAAGCAAATACCTTAGCATTCATATTTCGAAAATCTTTATTCGTAAATTATTTTTTGAATGATATTTAGAAAATTCGCATGCGACGATGTGAGTTCTTGTGACGGTGATGGGAATTGTGCCGTGCAAGCCGCATTTTGAATCGCCATTGACGGAGCTTTGAATTTGTTAAACTGAATTTATCCTTTAAATTTACCTTGAGTTTCTTGACGAAGTCACTGTCAGTGTCACCGAGGTATGGGTTGGTTAGCCAGATGAAAATGAAAAAGGGAAAATAGAATTTCATTTTACCCAAAATATTAAAGAATAAGAACGCCTCTTGTTGCTTTTATACGGTGTTGAATTTACTTGATATATTCTGTTATTCAGGATTTTATCGTTTGAACAAATTTGAAATCACATATTGATCATCAATAATTGATGGCTCATTCGCTCTTGTTCGTTAATAGAAGCCAAGTTCAGAAAGGATCGAGTGTATGCTCTGATCATCTGTACTATATTCGGATTTATTCAATCAAAAAATATGCAAGCATAAAAATCATTGCACTCAAGGAAGAAAACCCGGCGGCGCCACTTTTGCATTCTTCTACATCTCTTCGCGGCTGGCAGACAAAGCCAATTTGAGTTCCAGTTGGGTTCTTGTTGCAATCAACCTAAGAGGTCATCGAATAAGCTCCTATTAGAAAAAAAACTGACTTGTTTCCAGTTTTTCGACTGGTTTGAGCCAGATCCACTTTCCATGTAGACGCAAAATTTGTCGATGAGCTTGTCTTCGGTTTCAAATTTGTTGAGCCCGTCTCCGAATTCGTATGGAAGGCAGGTTTTCTAGAATTAAAATGAGCATTTCAAATTTCATCTTTGAAATTTTACCTCTTCTCCAGGAGCATTGCGATAAGTCCACTTGAACTCATCATGATTATTGACTCGATTGAGAGCAATGAAGAAATTGCCAGGTCGGTTGGTAACATTCGTCATGCACTTCCCGTACTCGACAGTGTATGTCATGAGATCTTTGTGTTCTTGCTCGTTTGCAACAGTCGCGAGATTCATGCCCATGGACTCACAGTATTTCTGTGCCTAAAATTTGGGTATTTCACCGAGCTCATCTGAAAAGCTTACCTCAGTCCAGACAGTATTTTCAGCCGTTTGTCCGGGAACAGTTAAATATGCCTGCCATCCTTTTCTCGCAAAATCCTCATTGATTCCACAATTTCCGCCGGCACCGATGCAGTGAAGCTCCGAGTTGGGGTTCGAAATGTCAGTCGGTTTTTCGCATTTTTGAGCGAAAACAGCTGAGCCGAAAATTGTAAAAAATTTCATTTTCTCTCAATATTTAGAATGAAATGATCAGTTCCTGTGAGAAAATGAGCTTTTTAAATGTCGAAATGCTGCATGATGGCAAAGTAAACAGTTGCTATTAGATTTTCTGGTGATATCACAATTGCTCACGCGCTTTTAACAAATATGACCAGAAATCATGACTGTCAATTTTGGAAAGAACATAAAACGAGCTATTCTTACTCATTTTCTTTAACAAATTTTCTTCCATGATTTCAGTTTTGAACTTATAAAGGGCGAAAATTTTATTGAATATAAAAATAGAAATAAAGAAAAGAATCAGTCATCAGGACCGTCAGTAAATGTCTCATCGTCGGACCACTCGTCTTCATCATCGTCATCATCATCATCAAGCAGTTCTCCGTCTTCTTCTGATTCTTCAAGGAGACTGGAATCATCAGGCCCATCGTCGGGGCGCTTGAAAATAGGAGCTCGGAAGTCGCCATTCCAGTAAATGTCCTTCAATCGTAGTTCTGCGCACAATCGCTCGAAGCGACCTGAGAAATATGTAAGAAGAAATGACGAAAGAGAACTTACATTCGTAATTTCCACGATCGCGCTCATTGTCTTCTTTTTGGCGTTTGAGTTTTCGTAGACGAGCGTAAACCTACAATAAAATTAAACAGATGGCAAAACAAGCTGGCGAGCACATTGCCAGGTAGATAGAGTTCGATATGCATCTGCTTCAACAGCTGTTCAGATAGTATAATAGTCAGAAAATTTTCGCTTACCAAGCAAGTTGAAAAAATGAAACATTAATTACGATATTTATCGCGGTAAGATTTTTCATGATTTTTATGATCTTCGTGAGAATATTTATGTAATCTTTTTCAAATTTAGTCTGATGTCCGAAAATTGTATATTTATTTTTATGAAAATTAAAATGAAGCTTATATTATTCTAATGTCAGCACTAATACGGTATTAGTAAGACCGCATTCAAAACTGAATAAATAAAATATCAGAAGTCTTCACTTAAAATTCTCGCAGTACAATTTTCTTCCTATTCAATGACTTTACCTCATCAAGGATATTCTTTTCATCATTCATCTTTTTCTCAATAATCTTCGTCTTTTCTCGATGCTCCTGAATCGACAATGCCATTTTTCGAGCTTGCAGTACTTGTAAAAGATTCTCAAAGATTTCCTTATTAGAATTCAATCTTTAAGAACCGTTTCCTTTTACAGAAAGATTGTCTTCTGATCTTGAAAGGCTATCGTATGGTTTGTGTCGTTGACGAAATCTTCTTCTTGGCCCTTTGTTGCGGCGATTTCTATGAATAGTTCCAAGACGAGAGAAGACTGACCCTTCTCGGCGGCGATTTCGATGATGCTGGGAGCGAGACAATGAGCCCCTAAACGGTTTTTTCTTAAAGAAAAATCATCTTTCTTACCCTCTTGTTTGCCGATCCCTCCGTTTTGTCGGCGGCGGAAATCGTCTAAATCTAGGAGGGCTTCTTCTTTCTGAGTCTCGTAGATTTCCAACGTCTTCTTCTTTTTTGATTTTCAATGTCGAGTCATCCCGGCAAATTGATGGCGTCGACAGTGCCCTGGAACGACCTCTGCTCAAGAGGGAATTTTCATAAGCGATTGCGTCGTTGACAATTTCTTTAACATCCGCTTTTCTCTCCATTTCCGACGATTTTGGGGGATTTGAAGATGATGTTATTGTTGTTTTCCATCGCGTCTAGAGAAATTTCGATACTTGGAATCATCAATTTCAGCTCTAGAAACCCCGTTATTCGAGGAGAAGGAGTACAGTCGAGAGGGATTTGAAAAGCTTCCAAGAGAGTATATACAGTCGGAGTCCAAAATAAGGGACACCAAGATAAGGGACTTTTTGGCTCGAAACGCCGAAAATCTGCGCCCCGTTTTGTATGTTTCTAATGTTAAATTGAACCAATTTAAGGGACTTTTTTTCGCAAATTCGGGACCGAAAAAAGTCCCTTATTTTGGACTCCGGCTGTATAGTACCACTTAAAAAGGTTCAGGAAACGAAAGTGGACGCGAAAAGTATCAAAATTAATTTAAAATGAGTCGAACTCCACACTGTGGTTAGATAAAATTCCGCATTTCCAATTCGCTTCCAATTTGTGTTCAATAATTAAGTCCTTCTGCTTTATAAGAAAAGCAAAAGCAAAGATTGGGAAAACGGCAAAAATGAAGTTTTTGAATTTTGTTTTTATTTCTGGTGTTTTTGGAAGAGCGATTGAGATTTACGATTTGCACAATATTTACAACCTGTGCATCAAAGGTAAAATTTTCTAGGAAAAACCGCCTTATTTTGCTTTTAAGGTCTCCTGTTGAATGATAAGCGATATGCCCAGCTGATGGCGAGTACCCAATCCGATAATTTCTACAGTCTCGAAAACGCCTGCGACAAGTACATCAACCTCATCATGAAGAGAAAGGACCTGAAACCAAAACCAAGTCAAATCGCCCCGACTGAACAAGATTTCGAAAAGATTATGCGACTGTGAAAATTTTGATTGAATAAATAAACATCCTCTGAACCCTCCGGCTTCTCTTTACAGAAAAAACACTGTATATCTCCATCTTTCCTGATTTTTGAACGACAGCTGACAAGTTCCTGACAAGACGTCCGATATTCAATGTACATTAATGTCTTCAAGCAGGTATAAACGTCCGTATTTGGAGTTCTTAGGCATTGAGAAAAAATGAGATTCTTTTCGCTTCTTGCATTTTTCGCCATGAAGATTGACGCGACCCCAGCGTACAATTTACAGTTCGATTCAATGGGCGCATTTATCGATATTTATTTTACATGTGAAAATAGTAAGTAGAATTTTTTCTTCGGAAAACAACTTAACCTTACGCCGCCAAACTAAAATTTCACCCCCCGCCGCCAAATGTGCCATATATGGCACATCATCTTTTCCGTCGTCCTAGGCCCCATATAATGGCCGAACCCGAACCTTAACCAAGATCCGAACTCGAACCAGAACCCGAGCTCAAAAATGAACCCAAACCCAAGCCCAGACTATTGCCCGAAAATGAGTAAAAATGGAAGAACCCGAAATGATGACGGAGAGAAAAATGGGTTTTCGAAAGCCCTTGTGCCATATATGGCACATTTGGCGCGTAGGGTTAAGGAGGGGGTCGACGAGAATCGGAATTTCCGTGACCAAAAATGCTGAAAAACCGGCCTCGATATCAAAATTCTGATCTTTCGAGTGTTAAGAAAAGCGTTCAAAAAATCAGGCGGCGAGAAGAAAAAAAAATTTTCATTCAAAAAATTTGCGAAAAATTGGATCAAAGAAGGGGTGTCTCTTGACCAAAAAATCTCGAAACCCGACTTGTTTTTTTGTAATCAAAATTAATTTACTGATAGTTTAGACCCTTTAGAATCAGGCGGCGACAAGATGATGTAATTATATTTACAGAAAAAATGTCTTAGAGACGATTGAAAAAGTAAGAGGAGCTCGCGCGGCGCGCTCTCGACGCTATTTTTCTCATTTTTCGCTTGTCCCGAGCCATTTTTCCGCCTCGCGCGCCCGAATTCCCAATCTTTGAGTGAAATTTTTTCACTGTTGACTTCACCTTATCGAAAAAAGCTGGGTACCAAAATTGCTTGTTTTTTATTGAGGAAGTCAAAAATGTTATTAGAATTTTGAAAAGTCGAAAAAAATATTTCTCGTCGACCTCCCCCTTAACCCTAGCCGGCCAAAAATGATTTTCTCCGGGTACAGGCCAAGAGGCGCCAAATATGGCGCCGCGCGGCTTTTTTTAAAGAAATCATCAAAATTTTTTCTGAAAATTTTTATATTAATTTATTAAAAATCATTTTTATTAATATAAGCATGGATTAATCGTATCAATTCCAAGAAATTATGAATCCGAAAAAATTTTCTCGCTGATGATCATTGACGAGAAAAAAGTCAAAAACTGATTTCGGATGAAAAACGCTAAATAATGCTTTTTTCTGCTTGTTTTCCGGATGAAAATCATATTTTATCATTATTATGAAAAAAAAAACTAGTTTTATAATATCTATTTCGAGAAAAACTTATCGGCCCGCTGCCGGGAAAAAGCTCGGGTACCGGTCAAAGGACGCCATATATGGAGTACCTCCTTTTATTACCCGGCGCCATATATGGAGCCTTGAGTTCTCGTGAAAATGAGGCTCTGCCAACATTTTGGTCAATCTGAAACGGGTTAAAACCCCTACCAGTCGAAAGGCGATCGAAAAATACTCCTCAAAGTGAATTTCAAATAAAATTTTTTCCTCAACTTTTGAAGCTAAATGCGATCGAATGACCCATGATCCAAAATTGGAGTACCTTGACCGGCTAAGGTTAAGCTTCATTTTTCAGAGAAATTGGATGCGTATGGCGATGAAATAACAGCAGAAATATACGCTGAAATAGAGGAAGAATGCGACAAAGAAGCTTCAGAATATTTACTCAAAAATGACCTTCACTAAAACCATCAATCTCGGAAAAAATAAACGACGAGTTGGAATGATAAGAGCGTTTATTGATAAGAATGAAAAGTTTCGCCATCGTAGCCGTATTGAAGATCAGATCTTTCATCTGGCTCTTCCTCTTCTTGGTTTCTTTTTAAATATGGATTCAGGCAGAGCGTTGCCAAACCAAGGGAGAGCTCGAAAAACCCAAAAATGAAGCCGAGATCTAAAATTTTCAAAAAACAAAATTTCTGAAAATATCTTACAGAGACAAACTCCGAATTCGTATCTGACAGTATTTTGATTTTGCTGCTGAACGACGATATTTCCATTGACGGGACCGAATTTCGTGTCGCTCGAATATGACTTGAGAATTATATCGGTGAAAAGAGACGAAACGATGATGAGAAAAACGCCAGCAAGGAAAAAGAAAAAGGCAGAAACCCGGACAAGGTTTTTGAAAATTCGGGGATTTTCTTCTTTCGACCTGAAAAAGGGATTAAGCGAAAATAATAGGGAATGAAATTTTAACCTTGAAAGCAAATGATTCCAGCCACCGCAGACAAACATAAGAATCTGGCCGATAATAACGAAAACGAGGGCTAGAACCATGAAAAACCTGGATGAAAGGACCAAAGAGTCGAATAGAAACCACGGGACCTCGTAATTATCGCAGTGAAAATTCATCTCATTAGCGCTAGAGGTTTTTAAAATTCAAAATTCATTTTAAAATAATGAATATGATTTTCGTTGTTCAAGAGAGACCCAGAGTTAATGTTTTCAAAACGTGGAATCGGACTCAACTTACAAGGTTTATACAAGGGCTAACATAGTGAGACTCTTAATTTCTCTCCATCAATAAGATTATGGTAAGTTCTTGGATAAGTGGCTATTACTTTTGCTCATAAATAAGAAGGAGGCAGAATGAATCGACGGAAAAATTGGACCAATATTCAGCCAAAGTTACGACGAATCAGATTTGCACATTTGGCATGTAGACCAATCAGATTTAAAAAAAAACGAAATATTTATTGCAACTTTTACAGAGCCGCTTTTTGAAATTGCAACGTAATAAAAATTTTTATAAGGAAATTTTACCTGACACATTGAGCAAAGATCCCCTTCCAATATTCACTTCCAATTGCCAAACTCATGGATTCCTTCCTGTTCGTCACCATCCATCTCGAGCTCAAAATAATGATCCCATTTATGCAGGAACACAGAAATGAAAAATTCCAAAGCATGAAATTTAATGTATCTTTTTCTTCGTTTTTCTCCCTCATTTTTTCTTTTTTTTTTCTCGCGGTTTTTTCACGGACGCGTTTCGCCAGGATCAGCAAGAAAAAATAAACGTGAGAGCTAAGCAAGCAGTTATTGACAAAATGTAAATACGCCGTCTTTATGAGAGAAAATCGTTTTTTTTTTCAAAGATTCCCAATTTAATTAAGGGTTGCGTCAGAAACCGACACAAAAATTCCGAAAAATTATGCGTGGGCGGCTCATCGGCCACTGACTGGCCAGTTAGCCGAACCAGGGCTTTTGATTGGTTGAAAATTTCCGCGCGAAATTTGCCGAAATTATTTGTCGGTTTCTGACACCTCCCCGTATAGAACAGAAAATTGCATGGAAAAATTAATAAGGGTATCACGGCGTTAATTGAAATGTGTTAATATAACGTGTCAGCAGCGAAATTGATCTCTTTATTTATAGACTTTACGGCCAATGGTCATTAATGCTGCAAAATGAGATGTTACATCTGCAAAACTGGGTTTTGCAATGTCTAAAAAGATCATCTCGAGTCTTATGAGGTTAATGTGGAAGTTCTTTTATTAGTGAGAATCGAGGAATCAGCGAATTACTACATCGAAACAAAGTGTTGCAATACCACAATGTTTTATCTTCAATACTACTAACCCGTCTTGATTGAATCCTGATGTTTTCTGCCAACACAGCCGCTTGTTCCCATGTCTATAATAAAGAAAGTTAATTAACACCGGTTTGCGGAGGAAACAGCTTTATTTAGAAACGAAGCTGGATAATTTCGAAGAGACTGTTATGTCTTTTGTTCATTCTTTGAACCGCGGATTTACACTTAAATAATTTAGACCCTCAACATTGTCGCTAAAAAACGCAATACATGAACATTTCTTTAGAATTATGCACCGGTAGGTTTTGATGACACATCAAGCGAGACTTTCTTCTTCTAAAATAACTTTAGAAAACCATAAAAAATTGGTTTAGTTAAAATTGACGAAAATTTTTCAAAATATTTTCTGATGAAATTCGAAATTTAAAAAAATTGATCGATAAGATTTTCTTGTTTTCGTGTTTTCTACAAACCATAGTAATAATTCTGGAGCCGATCAATCTCATTATGAAGTCGTTATTTCGACGATCAACAAAGAGTTCTCTCAAGTTCACTTGCTTTCATTTAAAAACATGTCCATGGCGCGGGGGTAACTTTTTTGATGTGAGCAAAATAAAGAATTGTTGTTAAAGCTCCCGTTTATTTTTGATGATTCTAAATTTCCCCTCGAATTTGATAATTTTTGGCTGATTCGGGCCAAAAAAAAAATTTTAGGATGATTTTTGCAGATTCATAAGTCAAAAATCATTTTTTTCCTAAATGATCCCTAAATCAAAGAAAATTTTCAAAATAAGTCTGAGTTACTTTGCTTTCAAAAAAAAAAATAAATGAATTTGATTATTTTGGTCAAATCAACTTCGTAATCCAAGCGCCCTGAACGTCATTTGTAAGAAAAACAAGCGAACTTGAGATACCCCTGTGTTGACGGTTAAAACAGCCGCTTTCAAATGAAATCGAACATTACACCGAATTTTCTTTGTTTATGGCGTTCAATTTTGACTCTCGCCCGATATCGAGTAAAAATATTGTTTTTTACCTAATTTATTTTACCTAACAGTACGTCAAAAGTTTCCAGAAGACTTGAGGACTTGGTTTCGTCAAGTTCCGTTCTTTCGAAAAACAAACGCAGTAATGAGTATTCCGGATGCTCTTTTTCTTCCGTATTCTCGAGAAGAAGCTAACACAACAACTATCCGGAAACATACAGAATTAAGTTTCCTAATTCGACTTAGAAAACTGTCTGAGCCAAGCTGTTTGGACGCGTAACAATGTCTCACATTTACGCAAGAATTTCCATCCTTGGCGCTTGTTATCGTCTCAAACAGATCCTCAAACGAACATTGCTCCCGCATCCAGGAAAAAAATGTTTTGAGAGTCTGGCGCCGCCGGAGAGCAGCAAAAAATTCTTTATAAATCGCGACAGATCTACGAATTCTTCATCATTTTTCTTCATCAGAGAATTTTTACTAAATATGAAGGTAAGAAAAACTATCAATTTTTTTATTTTTTCAAATTTTCATCGCGATACCCTTAAGGAATTTCGATTTCGATCGCACCTTATTCTTTATTTTCTTACTCAGAAAAAGTTAATTTTTGCGAATTTTTAAAATCAAAATCAATGAAAAAATAAATTTGAGAAATAAGGGTGTCACCATGAAAGCAAAAAACATTTCATTTTATTTATTCAACGACCCTTTTAGGCCTTCAATTTAATCGCATCCATCGCTCTGGCTCGAGACATCCCATCTTCAGACTCATCCGCTTCCAGCCTCGATGAAGTCAGAATCTGGACCCCCGACACGACCGCCCGCGAAACCATCCTTCTAACCGGCCCCGGCGACATTCAAACCTACACGCTTCCAACCGACCCTACTTCTGGCGACTACTACCCTGACCAGTACATTCGAATCAACGTCGAAGCACCCGAGGGCTTCAAAATCGTCCAGACCTTCAACTCCTTCAAGCTCGACGGCGTCGGATTCACCAACGAGTGCGATCAAGACGCGGTGATCATCTACGACGGACCGGACGGAAACGCCGAAGCGGCGAGGCTCTGCGGCATTGATGGACAGGACAACTTCAGCTTCTTGAGTACGAACAATGTCATGACGCTGGTTTTCAAGTCGAATGAAGACATCATCGTGCAACCAGGTTTCGAAGCGCAATTTGAGGCGGTCGAATTGGAAGAAAACGAAATTGCTTGGATCAGGATCATGGATGCTTTCAATACTCTTACAGTAAGTTCCCGGACAGAAAATCTTCTTCGGCGATTTTCTCGATTCGAAACTTTTTTATCGAAATTCATTTCAGTCCACCATTTTCGTCGAACACGATCACAAGAAAGACCACATCCAGACCCGAAAAACCGAGCTGTTCAAGCGAAAATTCAGCTTCAACTTCGCCTGGTTCGAAGAAATGGCTGCCGATTCCTGCACCAACTGGGCTGCCGCTGGGGATTCTGCTGAATTCGTCCCAATTGTCATCGATTCCGTCAATCATTGCGTCTCCATCAACAATTTCATGACTTCGCTCAGAAGTTTCTATGAACGGTATAATTGAAAAATCAAGAATTTTTCTTCAACATTTTCAGATTTGTCTGCTTCGACACCTACGCCGATCTGAAATTCGAAGAACAGCGATTCCGACGACCAAAACTCACGAACCGAAAACTCGACAATCTGACCTACCGACTCGTCGAAAAAAAATTCCACTTGATGGGATGCGACCAGCCATTGTAAAGCGATGATGCACCCTGAAGCCAACTCTCACGAAGCAAAATCAAACAACGATGAAGAAAAAAAATTGTACATTCAACCCTCTTAATCCTTCCCGGGAAATCCTCAAACGCTTTGGAAAATGGGAGAACCACTAAATTTCCATTGTATATTGCATTTTTATACTTTCTTTTTAAATAAAAATTATCAAATATAAATTTTGTTGTTTCTTTCTTTATCAAAATAAGTGTTTGTTGTTATTACGCGAAGTGATGGTCATCAATTGTATGGACTGGTTTTTGATAGAGATCCTTTTTCATCATTATAAGGCTGATGTACTGGTCACAGGCTATTTCAAGGCTGAAGAATGATTGCGAATTCGGTTCCGCCATGAGATTGGCGTATCGCTTATCATTTGAAAGCAGCCCTAGAATTTCTTTCGAGGAATTGCAAAAGAGAATGTATTTACCTTTCATACAGAAATTGAAGATATTATGAAGATCATATACTGTTACTCCTCGGCTAAAAACAGCTGCGAAAAAAATGAAACAAACAAATCTCATCGCTTTTTCGGACTTCCAAGTTTGCGTCCTGCTTTTATTCCTGGAAGGATTGAATTATTCAAAGACGCAGAAGTTTGTCGTTCACGAAGAAGACAATCGCAAACTGTCCGATAAAGTGGACTGTTTCGGGAAAAAAACAGCCTGATTTAGGTCAGTGTCACATCTGTCGAAGAAAGAAATAACGAAAAATCTTGACAGCGTTTTTATCTATTTACAGATCAGAATCGAGAGAAACTGTTGGCGCTCGTAATAATCCATCATCATTTTGAGCTTTTTTCACATCGTTATTTTCTTCTGAGATTGAGGTTAATTTCTGTTTTGTGCTGCTCTTTCTAGAGTTTGATGATCGAGCGGAGATCTGGATTGATGAAGATTGAGGTTTGTACAGTTCTTTGAGGCTCTTTCCCGGTTGGATTTTCAAGCGCTCGGCGGCGGAGAGGCGAGGTTTTAGGCCGCTTGAGCTGGTGATTTGACTCAGGAGGAGGGTTTTGAATTCTTTGATGTCCTAAAATCATAAAAAGAAAAAAATCAAAAAAAAATCTCCCGAGAATTTTAGCAGTTTTTTCGACGCATCTTGTCACCAAAAACTTTACCTTGGGCGATCTTCTTAGACTATCTTTTCTCATTCCAGCACTCTCAATTTTCCTCGGCAGCGGACTGATTCTTTCAAACACTTCATCATCAGAGCTCTCTTGAAGCGATTCTTTCCCGCGGGTCATTAAAAAAACTCTGAGCCTTGAATTCTACAATTTGTTTCCAACAAGTAGCTCGAGCAATTTGCCGCGGCTCAGTGAGCTCCAAAATTGCCCGACAATCATCGGCGAGAGGCAATCACATGAGCTAATAGAACTCTCAAGTGCTGACGCGATCTTTAATATGCAGCTGGAAAATATGCACTTGAGAAACAGGGTTTAATTTATTGATGCGAGTAATTAAGGACATTCATGACTCGCGGTCCTTGGGAACTGTAGAGATATTGTGATTTATTTGCTTCCTCATCAAAGCTAAAAATTTTAAAGCATAAAAAAGAATATGAATCAGACAAAAAATTGCAAATTTGGTGAGCTGAGCTGGCTTAGTGAGCTAAGCATACGCTCAGCTAAGCTCAGCTCCGTGATTTTCAAAAATTATCTGGCCTGCTCAGCTCAGCTCAGACAATAAACTTCCAGCTCAGCTCAGCTCTAAAAAGGGTCTGCTTAAAAAAGCTCAACTACTTTTAGAAAATGCCTGCTCAGCTCAGCTCAGCTCAATAAACTCTGAAAAAAGAACGCTCAGCTCAGCTCAGCTCAATGACATCTGAAAAAGGCCCGATCAGTTCAGAGAAATTTTACTGAGCTCAACTCAGCTCAGCTCAGCAGAAATAAAGCAAAATTTGCAATTCTGATCAGACATATGAAAGAACTCACCTTTTCTTCTTCTCCTTGAACTTAATCCTAGGCCATCCAACGACGACCAAAATCACCATAATCTTTTCCTCTTGAATCTCTCTCAATCTATCATCTCCATCGGCATTTTTCGTTATTCTGAAAGAGTTGCACTTTTTCGCGGAAAGTAAATTCCAAAATCTTTTGTTTGCAAAGCTAATGAGACAAGAAAAAGAGACGCTGAAAAAAAAACAATTGTTAATTGCAGCAAAGCATTTAAATAGTATATCAAAGGATATGCGAACAAAAGGTCAGGAAAGCAATTAAAATCGGTTAAATATAAAAGATTCGGTTTTAAGTTTTTAACGATCAAAAAGGCTTACTTGCTTGATCAAAGTCTCTTCGTTGATTTCAAAATCATCTCTTTAAAAACCGCTCTACATAAGCATTGCCCAGGGATGAAAAAAGGGAGAACTAATTAAATTTCCCAATTATAATCCAGTCGTTAGCCCGCAGCGGGAAAACACAAGCCGCCCTTGGCGATTTTTGGATGGACGAGACTGCCTGCAGCGGCATTGATTTCAGCTCAGCCTCGAGTAGAATTTCATCAATAGATTTATTACTGCGTCTTTCGGCTGGAAAAACGCCAATCTTTTTCGAGAAAAAAAATTAAGAACATTTACTTTTAGTTTTTGGTGCTTTCTAGCAGAGTTCGAAATCTATGGGAGTAAAATTGGGAGCTTCCAAAGGGAGCTCCCTTTTTTGGGAGCACGGAGGGAGCAGGAGCACAGGTTTTCAGGGCTGGGAGTAAATTGGGAGCTCCCAATTTGCTCCCAATTTCAAAAATTTTTTGAAAATCAACAATTTTTAGTCTAGAATCTAATCTGCGCACCGAAAAATGAGAAACGCTAACTTTATAGTTTTTCTCTTAGAAGAGACGTTTTTTTCACTAGATATATTTATAAACGTCTCTTTTAAATTATCATATAAATATCTAGCCAAAATAACATCTAGTTTGACTTTAATAATTTCAACATAATGTATTTTTCTCAGATTATAAGCATAATTATTAATTATGATACCGTGATTGCTCAGATTTTCATTAGAAGAGACGTTTTTTGATTAGATTTATTTTTAAATGTCTCTTCTGAAATTTGATATAAATAAATAGCCTAAAATTGACCTAAATTTGGTTATGTAATTTTAAAAAGAAAATATTGAAGTCATTCACGAAATTCGCCTATTTGGCATTATGCCTATTTATACTTTCTTTATCATTGCTATATAATAACCATACGATGGTTTTGCTACTTAGAGTTTACTTAATAAAATTAAAAACTTTCGAAAATTTTTGAAATTTGAAAAAAGGGAGCAAAATTGGGAGCTCCCAAAGGGAGCTCCCTTTTTTGGGAGCAGGGAGGGAGCAGGAGCACGGGTTTTTTACGAGGGAGCTCCCTTTTTTTCAGGGTGAAGGAGCAGGGAGGGAGCGGGAGCACGGATTTTCTACCAGATTTCGAACTCTGCTTTCTAGAGCCCTGTTTTCGATGATGTTGAAATAAGAATTCAATGATAAAGAAAAGAGGAGAACGCGAAAAAAAGTGAAATTTAGATTTTTTGAAAAAAAGGAAGAGAAAAATTTCATTTCGCCCCGTTTTAAAGTTACCCACTCATAAATTTTTCAAATTCCACGACATCTTCAAAATCTTCGACGTCGAAAATCGGCACCCAGTTTTCCTTCTCTTCTTTTCTCTCGTCCATACGATAGTGAACAACTTGATTGATAACTTTTCGCGCTCGGATTTTTAATTGCTCTTTGTGAAGAAGTTCTAGAGCTTTTTTGTGAAGTTTTCTTCGATGAACGACCATGTTTTCTTTCAAGTTGCATTTGAAATCACACAGCTCGCACTAAACTCATTATTTTCTGTTTCAATAACTAAAAACAAGACCTCAAACGGTTTTTCTCCAGTATGAATCCGTTCGTGTCTTCTGACATGCCAGCTTGTTTGAAACAATTTGCCACAGGTTTTGCATGGTCGCGAGCTTTTTTTCTTCATTTTCATTTCTCGCAGAAAAGCACACTTCTCAATCAACTCTGCGATCGAGTGAAAAATTGGGTACTAACACGATAGTTTCGCAAAATTGGTTCGGCCCGATTGAACCGGTTGATAAGAAAATTCACGAAAATGGTTTATTCTCGTCTTTACAGTTGAATAAAAGCGTTTTCAGAGCTCTCCGCTCATGAATTTTTCGAATTCGACCACATCTTGGAAATCTTCTATGTCGAAAATCGGCACCCAGATTTCTTTTACGTTTTCGTCTTTATCTTCCTCGTCAATGCAAATTCGATAGTGCACAACTTCATTGATAATTTTTCTCCCGCGAAATTTGAGTTGTTTTTGGCTCAGAGCTTCTTGAGCCTTTTTATGTCGCCTTCGTTTATGTTCGTAAAGGGTCCCGGATTGATTGAACTTGACGTCACAGAAATCACACTGAAATGTTCACAAAGCTGCTTTGGGAGACAAAATTACCTGGTAAGGTTTCTCTCCCGTATGGATTCGTTCGTGTCTTTTCACAGCAAAATTTCTATTAAAATGTTTTCCGCAATATTTGCAAATGATTGGGCTTTTATTCTTCTTCTTCGTCTCCTTCTTCATTATTTTCTCGAAAACTTGTGTTTTTCTTTTTTTTTACGCGTGGGAACCTACGAGTGCAAATCTCGCTGAAAAATGAAGCTGACAATTTGTTTAACAAGTTCGGTCCAAATCGAACCATTTACAATTTCAGGCGATATTACTTATTTTTACATAAAAGAACACTTCTTTTTTGAATCGAAATTTTCGACATTCTTTATTACTCGACCTTAAATTGTCAATTACAAATTGATTGAGTAAGCTTATTTCGATGAATACTGTCAGACACCTTGTCTGTCCAGAACCACGAATCCATTTATCTAATCACGTGTTTGACAGTGCCTCTTTTCTGATTACTGGTAAGTTAATTGAAACGATTTTCTTGTTGTTGGCTTAACAGACGAACTTTTTTACTTTGACCCAAGCCAGAACAATCTATTCAAATAAAAAAAATCATCGAAATTGCTCTATCTTGATTTCAAGTTCCATCATTCAAGGTCGTTTAATTTCTTTGCGTCACGAAAACGTTGCGTGACGAAAAGACTTCTATTTGTCCTGAAACGAACAATACATACAGTAAAGAACAAGCCGGCAATTGAATGATTTCAATCAAAAGAACAAAAAAGCAATTTGTTTCGAATAAATCAAAATTGAACCAAAAATAATTCAAGCTGTTAATCAACCGAAATAGATCTTTAGCCTTTTGATCAATGAAAATTTTTGATTGGCTTCTGTCTTTATTGTGATTTTGATGGGATTTTGCGATTTTTGTGGATTTTTGGTGCTCTTTTTTCTATTTTTTAAGATATTGAAAAATGCTCATTTTTGGGTCGTCGAAGAACAGCTTGTCCATCGGAATGCGAATCTCAGAGCGAAATTCTTTTCCGCGTCGGGCGTGATTTCGCGATAAAGTAGTAAACTTCAGGCGCGGTGTTGGCGGCCCGAGGGCGCGCCGGCGCATTTCCCCTTCTCTTTCCTTTCAATCAGGAAATAACTCTGCATTCTAAATATTTAGAATATCAATTTGAAGTTCGATTTTTAAAAGTCAGTTGATTCAATTAATTGGTTGAAATCATGGAAGAGAGCATCGCCCTGGTAACGGGATCGAGCGGCTATTTCGGACAGAGATTGGTGAAGGCGCTGGCTGAAGAAGGTTATGTCGTCAGATGTGTTGGTAAGTCAAACTTAAGGGTATCCCTCTTTTTCTCCATTAAAATCTCCCTCCCGAAAAACGATTTTCTCACATCATCAATTTGAAATGTTGCTCATCGTAAAATTGTTCAGAAGTTTAATTACGAACATCGTATTTATCACTAAGTTATCACGTCTGTTTGGCATAAACTTGATCGTTCTTCGGAAAAAAGCGAAGTTGATCACGTTCGCTCAATAATCCTTTGGCATTTGATAATTGTGTTCTGTTCAAAAGCCACTAAGCACTGATTACAAAAAGCCTTGTTCCATCGCGAAAGCCGTCAATATGGAATATTGATAATTCTCGACTTGACTTCAAGAAAACGAGGAAAACCAGGTTTTCTGGCCGCAGTGTAGACATAAAGACAGGTTGAAAATGTCAGAAGGATTTTCTTCCGGAGTTCTTTATGACATGTTTCAGGCTCTTTTTTCTCCATTGCTAGAAATTTCGAAGGAAAAAGTATCCAACTCTGGAAAAGAATGGTTTGGTTTGGGTTAAGATAAGGGTAACCTAACCCTAACCCTAGCCCAAAAACACCCCCTATAGGCTATAGCCCCCTATATATCAAAACTAGAATGGTTTAACCCCGACCCCCTCATCGACCCTAATTGTTTTCTTTTCCTGAACCCAAAATAATACCACAGAAGAACAAACAAATCTCCAATCTTGCCCCTCCTTTATTTTAATCACGTGGTCAATTATCACAACTGGCAAAAATTATAAACAAAAAGTTCACAATGATGATCTTTTTCTTCAGATTTGAACCCTCCCGAATCAAAACTCCCGGAGAAATGCGTGTTCCACCGTGCGAACATGCTTTCGAAGGAGGAAATGGAGCCTCTGATCAAAGGAGCAGAAGTTATTTTTCATACAGCAAGTGCGGGGATGACGGGGAGCTATCAACTAGACGAAAATTTGAATAAAAAAGGTAAGTTTTAAACAGGAAGACTTGAATCACAAGATAAACATTTTCCTCTTTTTTTCAGTAAATGTCAACGGTACTTCAAATATCCTCAATCTTTCGCAAAAACACAACGTCAAGCGATTCATCTTCACATCATCCTACAACGTTATCTTCAGCAAAAAAGAGCTTGTCAATGTCACAGAAGAAGAGCCCTACCCAGACGATAAGGATCAATATGATTGGTACTCGAAGACAAAGAAAGAGGCTGAAAAAATGGTTCTCGCTGCAAACAACGAGGATTTTAGGACTTGTGCCCTCCGACCGAATGGAATTTATGGCTTAGGTCGGAAAATATAAAAGCATTTACAAATTCTTTTAAAGCAATCAATCAGCAAAAATCTAATTCTTTTAAAAACTTTAATCTTCAAAAACCTCAAAACTCCGATTATCCCTCCTCATCCCCCTTTTCCGAACCTTTTTAAAAGCGAGCACGAGAAGAAACATCTGCCCCGGATCGCGTCTAGAATAGAGCAAGGCGTCACAATCTTCAAATTTGGAATTGGGACTTGTATTCTTGACTGGTGTCATGTGATGAATCTGGTCGAAGCGCATATTTGTGCGGACAGGAAGTTGAAGGAGGGGATTGATGTTTCTTGTGGAAAAGGAATTGGTCATTTTTTCTGTCTGTCAGACAGAAATTCGTTTAAAAATCTGGTAAGGCTTGCGAGCTGCTGATATAAATGAGTAACAGCACTAAAATGAGCACTAAATCAGCGTACAACATCTCCGACGACGCGCCATCCGACCCATATGTTTTTCTTTTTCCTTTGTTCAAAGCCATGGAGCAACCACTACCTCAAATCAGCTTGCCATTTTACCTAGGTAAGCGCATTCCTTCCAATTCCTGCATTCAAGCGTTTTCTTTCAGTATTCTTCTTCGCGTATCTAAGCGAAAAGCTAACGTCATTCCTACTTGTGGCTTTTGGATTTCGCCTCGAGCCCATTGTTACTCGAAACGAGTGCCTAAAAGTGTGTTTGTCGCATTATTGCGATATCACTGCGGCGAAAAATGAGCTTGGCTATCGACCCGGAAACTACAAGGTAAAATTAAAAGCCGCTAGAATTCTCAAATCTGATTTTAAAAGTTTTCTGATGCGGTGGATATTTTGATGAAAGAGCGAAAAACCAAGCGACGCTGGTCAGAAATCATCAACGACAACCGCTACAAATTCTACTTCGCATTTGCTCTAGCCCTCGTCGCAAACTATTTATTCAAATTCATTTACCACGAATGAACATCTTTTCTTCCAGCATAACAGTACAACATGTGACCTGTAGAAAATGTATCTTCATCGTCCCTTTTTAATCAAAACAACTGTTCTTTGAAATTTATGAAAAGCAAGGACCTGTACACTTTGCACGAATCAACCCGCTTTATGAAGAAATGAAAAATTTCTGAAGGCAATAAATAAATTTTTAATTATTTCAAATGAAAAATCGACAATTTTGTTAAAATAACGAGAAATAAGTGAAGAATTCCTTGGAAGAGATTATTCTTCTTTCAATTTGAAATTCTTCCAGTAGGAGGGGTCCTCCAGGCAGAAAAGAAAGAGAAAAATGCTCGCTTGGTGTCGCTTATTCGGGCTTTAGTTTTCAGGGCAATCAAAAATCATTGGTATAAAAGTACTTTTGTTTATTAATTTCACCTCGGAAGAAGACTGTACAAGTATAAGACTGAATACCACGGCACTCCCACTTATGCCGCAATTCAAGAACTCACAAATTGATAGAGTAGGAGCAAAGGGAACTCGCTGGATTAACAGATAGTTAGTTAGAAATAGATGTTTTTGTGCTCGGTTGAAAATAAGGATCCCGCCCTGATTATCATATTAAGGAGATGTCTCTAGAATATAACTCAGTCGCGGGATCCTCAAAAAATAGTATAAAAAGGTTGGTGATAACAGGTTCTTATCACAGGCCTAGGAATAATGGCTCATTTAAGCCTGGAGCATCAACCAATCGGAATACTGTCGGGCGAGTTTCTTGTTGTCCTTGATCAGGAACATGTCGGGGCAGAGGGGATCGTAGTGCTCCTCCAAATCGGCGTAGAAGGCGAAGAGGACCTTGTTCTCATCTGCGAGTGCTCGTTTTTCAAGTCGCTTGCGCTAGAAGGAAGGGTTAGGGTTAGGAAAGGGTCTTCCAGCTTACCTTAGCTTCTTCTTTAGCTGCCTTGGCAGCGGCTTTAGCTTCTTTCTTGGCTTGTTTGGCGGCGGCGCGTCGAGCGTTGGCTTCGTCGCGCTTGTTTTGTCGCCAGGCTTCCCAGTCGGCCTTCTTCCATGCCTTGTTGTCTTCTTTGGCTTGTTTTTCTTCGACCTTGTTCTTGATTTTCTCGTACTAGAAAAACCCGTTAACGATCAATTTTTTCTTAAGATCACTTACCTTGGCCATTTCTTTGGTCAAGTTTCTGGCCAATCGAGCTTCGGCTTTCTCCTTCTCCTTCTCAGCCTGCATTTGCGCGGCTCTCTCGATGTACTGTTCTCGGATCTTCATCGCTGTCTTGTTCCAGAATCCAGCTTCGAGATCGTCGGTTCCGGGGCAAGCATCCTCGGTGGGGACGCACTTGATCTTGCATTCTTTGCAGGCGGCGCGGGAGTTGAACTGGGCGTAGTCTCGGGGATGAGTGTATCGAGAGCAGACGATGTTGTCTTGATTGTGCCACTCGTTGACGGCGGCGACGTGGTCTGAAAAAAATATTAAAAAAGGCGATTCTGAGGATGATTTTGAGCCAAAACAACAAAAACCTTGTCAATTTTGTGAAATTGTCAATTTTTGGAGTCAAAATTTTCGACTCAAAAAGCTAAGAAAACGTCTGAAACGCCATTCGTCTGATATAATAAGGGTATCAGTACATAAAAATTTTATTTTGAAAAAATGAAGAAAGCCGTCGAAAATTTTTAGATCTCTGTTTACCTTCACATTGGCCACAAATATCGGCGCTGGCGAGAGCGAAAAGACTGGCGGAGAGTTTCATCTTGATCTGGGAGGTGGTTGGTTGCTTTCTTTTTTAACTCGTATTGAGTCTTTAAAAAGATACGATTTGGTTCGTTTTTCCGTTGTTGGAAGAACTGGATGCTTTGACACCGTTGCCGCTTGGGTTTATATACATTCGAAGTGGCTGGTAATAGAAGCCCAAAAAGGGGCTCACCTGATAATCCTCGGTGAGTTGGAGCGCGCGCGCCCCGTCGCATTTCATTTCTTCAGACGTTGCAAAAAATCGGCGACTTTGGAGACTCTAAAGACGTATCGCTTACCTGCGCACTCAGCACTTTGAACATGCGCTTTTCTTCTTGGACAAGGGATATCTCGCGATTACTTGGGGAGATGAACAAAATGCGCTGACCGGAAATAACGTTGCCCGTCTTGGCTTTTCTATATGAAAAAATTCTCCAGAAGTAATTTCATTTTTTTGAATCTAGAATTACAATGTAATTTAAAATCTTAAAATTGAATTTTTGTTAAAATGAAAAATAAATTATGAAAAAAATACAAATAAATTTTGAAAAACCATGAAGAATATTTTTAATTATTTATCAAAAAATAATATTTTATCAAAAAAATCGAGAAAATGATTGATAAATCCTCACTTCCCGTAAAACCGACGAGTCAAAATTCAAAAAGTCCCGTTTATTACCGGCTTCAATCAACTTCCCGTCCAAAAATACCTTTTACGATCGCTTTGAGGTTGAACCCTTGGCACTGGGCTCAATCTCTTTCATTTCACTTTTTTCGGCGATTTCGAGAAGTCAAGATCATGAAAATTACGGTGAGAGAAAGAGACTATTTTCATTCGAGAACTTCTTCAATTTAGGCTTGTTTGCAAATCGGCCTCGCTCATGGACTCCTCCAAAACGGCGGCAAAATCACAAGGCGAAAAAGAATCCACCAAATAGACATTCAAAACGACGATCCAGAGTCATTTTCTTCCGACTACTCGAGTTTTGTCCCTGTGACATTTAAGGATTTTTCATCGCACGGGCCAGTGGTGTCCAGTGTCTCCAGTTCGGATTCTTTTGATGATTCGGACTTTGAGAGGGATGAAATCTGCTCTCCTCATATTCCGATCTGCGAGCCGGAAATGCAAACGTGCACCGCGGAAATGAAAAAGGAGGAGGATTGCTCCTGCGACTGTGTTCAGGTAAAGCGAGAAAATCTCAAATTTATGGCTCAAATGACCCCCCTTTTCCTTAAAATTAAGGAGCCGCCATTGCCTTGCGAACTTGACATTGCTGTTCTCGTCGATGTCTGTAGCTGTTCCATCGATGTCTGGAACGCGATGAAAAGCTACCTTCAGGACCGTTTCTCAAAGTTCCACTTTTTCAAAAATTTTTCTCCTTTGAAACTCGGTAAAAGACAATGATCAAAAAAATCGACCGCGATTTCGGAATTGGGCCCGAAAAGGCACGAATCAGCATCATCCAATACTCAAAAGATACAGAAGTCGTTACGAATTTCGTCGAAGCAGCGAGCTACATTCCAGATATGCTGATCAACAAAGCGAGAAATCTGGAAATGGACAAGTTTGTTGCTCAAGGAAGCTACGTTACAAATGGACTGAAAAATGTGATTGAAAATTTTGCCGACGCAAGAGAAAACTCAAAACGGTATGTCCTCCTAGAATAATTGCTTATTGATAATTTTGCTTTTTTGAAGAGTTTTGCTAACAATCACAGACGGCTACAATCACCCATCTGTTTCCGTGGCTGACATCAAAGGGGCAATGAAACTGCTCCATGACGCCATGGAGGTATTCTCCCCTCCTTTGCTCGTGGAAACTCGTTTTTAGGTTGATGTCCATACAATCGCCCGAGGAGACCATTCTATCATGACGGAAAATGAGTGTGCTGCGCACATGACTTCTGCTCAAGCAGTTGAAATTTGCAAGAAACGGGCTGCTACGCTGAGATATCTGAATGGAAATGACCCGCATATTGACAAGTAGGATTTTTCCCCCGAAACCCTTTGTCCCGATTTTTAGGTACACAGATGCATGGGCAGCAAAAACATTCGTCGACAACGTAATCAGCTTGTGCCCCAAGCGCGAAAAAGAGCAAATCCACTGCGACTGCAAATGCCCCCTTCCTACTGGTTGCCAGGGCGAGCGAGGACCCGCCGGTGTTCCTGGCGAACAAGGTAATAAAAGCACATAAGTGTTACACAAGGGCTCCTTGTTCCAGGAATTTCACAAGTTGTAATCGTTGCTTGATCCCGCGGAGTAGACTTCAGCCTGAAATGCAAAACTCCAGCTGCGGCTTTGCCCTTGATCCGGGTTATCCACGCGACGGACTTGTGTTACTCCTGCTGACGAGTGAATTTGAGAGCGTTTCTTTTCTTTTCTTGCTACCATCGAGTCTTGACTTTGAAACTCTTCTTAGTTTTTCTCATTCAGGAAAACGCGGTGAAAGCGGTTGCACTGGTGAAGATGGTCTTCCCGGTGAACAAGGTCCAATTGGTCCCGTCGGCCCGATGGGTGTTCCCGGTCGCGATGGTCAACCAGGCTTCCCAGGACCAAAAGGTGAACCGGGCAAACTCGCTGATCATGGAGCTCACGGACCGAGAGGCGAGAAAGGACCAGCCGGAGAGCAAGGACCCAAAGGACTTCCCGGGTCATCCGGAGAACCTGGTGATTGCGGACGACAAGGGCCACCTGGAAAATCTGGTCGCTGTGGAATTAAGGGAATGCCTGGCGCTAACGGACCAAAAGGCAAAGCTGGCTATATGGACTCAAACGTAAGAAAACGCACTTGATTCTCTGTAAATTTTTTTCAAGGAACTTCGGCGCCAGGTTTTCGCAATCTTGGATCAACTGAAACCGCAATAAGAAAAAACCTCAAAGTATCAAAATTTTTTTTGAAACAAAACTCAAACTTCCTGCAAATCACTATCCTGCTCTTTTTTGACAAGTTAATAAAATATGCAACATTTTACCGAGGAACTTTCCAAATGTGTCGAATGCAAATATTTCGAATGGCAATTCGTCGAAAGTTATATTTTAAAATTTATTATCATCTTAGAAAAAGAACTGTTATTGTTTTTATTGGGCATCAATCCAGTTCTTGAACATGGCGACATCAGTGTAGACACCTGGGTATTTTGCCTGAGCGCAGCCGTATCCCCAGGAGGTGGCACCGACGACCTGGTTGTTGTAGGTAACTGGTCCACCAGAATCACCCTGGCAAGCGTCTTTGCCTCCGACATCCAAGATACCGGCGCAGAACATTCCCTTTAGGATCTCTCCGTCGTATCGGTCTTTGGTGTTGCAGATGTCGTTGGAGATGATGTTGACATTGACGCAGTGGAGTTCGCTTGGGTAAGCGGATCCAGAGGTCGAGGTGTTGCCCCAGCCGCAGACTCGGACCTGAGCGCCGTTTGGCATCCATTCCTCGTTTCTGTGAGGAGGGAGGGAGATTGGAGTGACGTAGGTGTCGACGGTGAAGGCGGAGGAGAAGAGAAGAACAGCGATGTCGTTGATCAAAGTTCGGCTGTTGTAGTTGGGGTGTCGTCGGAAAGTAGAAACGGTTCTTTTCTGGGTGGTGTTCTCGTTGACTCGAATGTTGTGAGCACCTGCGACGGCGGTGACGCCACTGTTATAGAAGCAGTGGGCGGCGGTGATACCCTTGGAGACGAAAGTGCCGAGGGAGCCACCGCAGAAGTGGGATCCACTTCGCTGGAGAGAGAGGATGTATGGCTCAGAGTTGGGCTTGACAATGCTGCCGCCGATGATGACGGGAACGGGGGACAGGGCATTGGTGGCGGCGAGGATTCCTGCGGCGAACTAAGATTTATATGAATATTCTCTAGATACGTTTTTTATCGAATTCGCCTTACCTTCATCTTGTTTCAAAAGATATGCTTGTCAAAGCCAAGTAAAATTGCCGATTCTTCTGCCATACGGAGTTTTTCTCACGAATAAAAGTAATGACGAAAATCATTCAAAAGGAAACGTTTATTGGAAATTATAAAACACATGTTATATCAGAAACTGCCGGGCTGCAGTTTATGTAGCAATACTGCTGCAATGCCGTCTGCTGGACTGTATCGTGGACTGTAACGTTCACTGTGATTTCGAAGTGGATGACCATCAGATGAGGTCCGCTCGCGTCCGGTTGGCAGGCTTCTACTGCATAAGGGTCTGAAAGAGCGAGATAAAGGAGAATAAACGTTGAGAAACTCACTGATTTTACTCGTGACCGCGGCAGGAATGGTCGTATTGAAGGTTCCTTCAGATCTGGAATTCACATGACCAGGTTTCAGGAGCTTATTTGATCCAATGATGACTCCTCCAAAAAGAACTGAATAAAGTCTAGTCAGCGTCTTGTACGGGTATAATCCGACTTGGGTTATTTTTTGTTTGTTTTTCATTTTTTCTGACAGTTCACGCAATTCTACAGATTAAGAAAGCAGCGCGCGTCGAGATAAATCTGCTCACTTTTGACGCACGGCCAGGGTATCGGCCAAACGAATGCTTTATAAAATGAATGATTCAAAGAACCCGAGCCCATTCTCAATTGAAAAAGTTGAAAAAAGAACAAAAAAATGAATCTTTTTTTCTTATTTTTTTCATTTTGCTTTGCCCAGCTCAGGTAGAGAGACTCAAAAAAACTGAAAACTGAAACACTTTCTTTAGTAAATCCGACCTGATCTACAGAATCAAATTCAACCGCCTCCTTCGCAACTACCCTTATTACGTAACAAGCGTTCGCCCTGGTTCACACAAATCTAAGGCGAAAATTGCGACGACTGGAAGAAAACTTGCCGAGCTCAAGAAACGCCTTCTTTTTTCAAGAAGAGCTTTTTAAAAATTAATTAAAAAAAGAATCTTACTTTCAAAATCAACCGCAGAAATTTCTCCTGTTCGAAAGTTGCAATTGTCCAAATGCAATGGCACGGTCAGGTTCATCAAAACTGCGCCATGAGCGTTGGTCGGCTCAGTGCAGGGCGGCTCCGTTCCATTTTGGGGGCAAACGATGACGGAGTCACGGGAAGGTGTGCGCATTGAGACCATGACGACTCGAGGGAGGAGGAAAAAAATAGCGAGGCCTCCGACAAGGCCGCAGACAACGAGGACTACCATCCCGCCGATAAAGAGATTTCGCTTGTCGTTGCGAGGTTTTAATCGATCGTCACTAGAAAATCAAATCGAAAAAATTTCTAGATCAAGAAAAATAGGATCATAACTATATTTTTTAATTCTATTTTCTTGATTTTTTAGTTATGTGTTTTCGCCGAAGTTAACTATGTAAGAATGTCTTCAATTCTAGCTAAATCCCATACCTACAACACCCTATAGGCTATAGCATTTGTGATACCTTGCAGGAACGAGCGCGACAAGCTCATTTAAATTCTTCCTCGCTACTCGCCCGATCCCTTGACAAGTCGGACAATTGGTATAATCTTCTCTTCCCTGAAACTCTTCATATTCCGATATCGTCGATGCACCTCCTTTTTTCTCTTCGAAAAAATTCGGGTTTTCCATTTCTTCCAAGATAGCCAGTTTGCCCTCGCTCATGAAATGTGCGAAAACTGTATTTGCTTTGAATCGGAGTAGAAAAAAACGAAGCTCAAAAAAGCCGCGTTTGAAAAATGACGAAAAGCCGCAAGCGGCTTTTTACAAAGTTCCTTCTTTTCAGAGCTTGTAAATAAATTTTGTGATGAGTCGAGGTTTTAAAAAAGACACGATAGTAATGTATTTGAAGCAGAGTTGTATGTCAACACCTAGAGAGGTCAGAATAAAATCGTGAGAAAAAGTTACTTCTTCTTTTTGGAAAGCTGCGACATGACCTGGTTGACGCGGGCGCGGTGCATCGTAACGTAGTACTTGTGGTGGTTCTGTTTCTGCTCGAAATCGCATCTGAAAGAATATTGCGGGAGCGATGAGAAGAGAGTCCTACCGTTCGGATTCGACTCGGTTGAGGTGCTCGTAAAGATCCTTGACCTTTTCGAGGAGCTTTTCGGCGGCCAAATGGTCGATGTTCAGCGGCTTTCTTCGCTCGGCGAGAACCTTCTTCTTTCGTTCTCGCTCGCCTCGGCCAGTTCGCTAGGGATAAGTTAGAAAAAAGATCAGATAAATCTGAAAGTATTGATGGAACAACAAAATTCTTCGAAAATTTTTCTTGAAAAAAATTTTTTTTTTGAGTAAGGGTGTCAATTTGTATAAAAACGAATTCACCTGTTTTGCTTGAGCTTTGTATCCACCGAAGGATTGAGAAAGAGCCTGCATAGCTTCCTTCTTCTTTCGCTCTTCTTCTTCTTTTCGAGCGGCTTAAATAATCCGTCAGAAACCCCTCTAGAATCGATCTTTTCAAACCTTCTTCGGCGGCTCGTCGATCCTTTTCGAGCTGTTCGGCTTCCTGTCGAAGTCGTTCTCGCTCGGCTCGCTGCTTGAGCTGCTGCTCTCGGTATTCTTTTCGCTTCTCAATTCGGGTCTTGAGCTCTTCGAGTTCTTCTTCATCCTTTTTTCGCTGGATGAAATGAGCCTCGATGATTCTCTTCAATTCAGAGAGATCCTTCTCGAGGCGCTTTTTGACAAAATCCTCGTCCATTTCTTATTCTGTATTCAAAAGAGAGGAAAGGATAAAGAGGTCCTTGTTCCGAGTAGAAAGCTAGAAGCAATTTTGATGAAGAGGAAATTTTCTGAATTTCATAAGAAAGCTGCCCATATTTTTATTGTTTATTTATATGATACCCTTAATATATTCATTAAATAATTTGATGTAGGAATTTTCGAGGATCATATTTTTTTGCGTTGAGCTGGAATTAAGTTTTTTTGAGATTATTCAACTGTTGATGAGTTGTTTATTAATAATAAATTATAATGCATGAAGATAGAGACAATTATGATCGAATGAAATTAGACCGGGTTTTACAGTTAATAACCCGCCAAAATTCAGACCAAGAAGAATCATCTATTTTTTTATGTTTGCCAAAATTAATGTCTAGAGATAATTTTTCAAAGAGGATTTTTTCAGGAAAAACAAATTCTTAAAAATCTACCTGTGCGAGTCTCTTTCTCAAGGGAAAAAGAAGAACAAGCCCGTTGTGAGTTTCGTTCTTCCTCGCAGAGGTGGGGCTTATCGCCGCCCAAGCACTGACTCCCCCAGTGCCTCTGAATACACTTCAGCTCTAGAATCATGCTTGATTTGTGTTGCGCACTTGTCATGACTCAAGCAAACTATTTTTGGGTTATTTAGAGAGGGGTTTTTTGGGAAAAACAATTGTTGAATTTAACTTCCTTTAGATAGATAAAATTAAAGAAAAATCATCATGTATAAATCTTTGTTGAGTGCGTCCAGCGGTTCTACTTACTATTACTTTCTTGATAACGATTGTATTGTGTCTTCTTGTGCATAAGAAAATAAAAAACTCAAATTTATTCAATTCATAAATTATTTATGGTCTTCTATCATTTGAAATATCTGCAGACTATAAATACAAACAGTATTTGTAAAACAGATTTTTTGGTTTTAAATTTGAGATCTGTCGGCTTCCAAGCATCTTCTGATATCATCAATTTGTCGCTGTCGTCTTGCCGGGGCCCGGGCGGAGAGATAGTCCAAAATTTCCATCGGATTTCGGTGCAAGTTATCTTCAAGTAACTATTCTCATTTCTTACGAATAAAAGAATTTACCGGTAACGTTCTGAGTTAGGGTGGGTCACTTTTTAAACATTTTTCGAGCCGCACTTTCTTTTTGTGCTCATTTGAAAGCTCTCACCGTGCTGATCATTTTGAGCACCCGAACACCTCTGTGCACTCCCGGGAAAGTACTTTTACAGACTCTAGAAAATCGTGAAAATCGCGAAATTTGGGCCGAATTTGGCTCAATTTTGCTGGATTTGGGCATTCAAAATCTCAGCAGTTTTTTTTCCTGCCATTTCCCGGGGAAGTTTCGGGTACCAAAATGACCGGCTTAACGAGTTCTTTATGATGATACAGTAAGATCACGTGTACTGTCAGCGGCTTCCGGTGTTATTCTAGAAAAACCGTTTTTTCGACAAAATTTTTTTCAAAAATGAGGGATGAAAAAATTTTTTGATCAGTTTTCCATGGAAAGCTCTTTATTGGGGTAAGAACAAGCATCTTACAAACAAAAATCGAAATCGAAAGACCAACCCTGAAAGTGACCCACCCTATTCTGAGTGGATCCATGAGCGAGCAAAATCTTCACGCACTCAAAATTCAACCCTTCCACAGCATGATGAAGGGCCGTTTTATTGTACTTGTCCCGATGATTCACAGGAAATCCACTTTCGAGGAGGTTTTTTACCATCTTCAATTTTTACTTTTCCGATTTTTTAAACAACGAACCTGGACATCGCCCATTTTGGCAGCCGTAAAAAGGTTCCTGTCGTACATCATATTGAAATCTTTGTAGTGATACGACATTTTTCTTTCTCTTTGATTTTGTTTTCAAGATCTTGAAGTTTTGATGGCTAGTTTCTATGGCGACAAAGAACAGAAATTGCTTCGCAAATGAATTTTTATGCAAATGCTTTAACTTTTGTCGAGAAAAAGCGAGAAGAAAAGCATGAGCCAACGAACAAAACGGGATGACTTTTTGTTTGAAGTTTTGCTCGTCGCGCCCATTGCTTGACTTTTCCCTTAGAAAATGGGGTCTTTCTTGATTTCAGAAGTGTTTTTTCAATAATTTCTCTTCTCGAAAAATGAATGCGAAAGGAATATAAAATGAAGGTTTTGAATGGGGCCGCGAATTGGCGGGCCTGGCGATCATCTCGTCTTTTGCATCGATATAATGCGCGCTAGACTTGCGCGGCCGGATAAGCCAGATTTTCGAAAAGAGATCCGACGATCGATTTCACTAACTAAACCTTTTTTCATCACACGGCGCTAGCTATATATAATATTTATTATTAAAAAAATAAGTTGTGGAGAATTTTCTTTACTAGAATTTTATTGATTGAATGAATAATTTTCCCAAATAAATTATCAAACAAATGACAAAGAACAAGAAAAAAGCTAAAAAAAATTTTCGGTTTCAATAAGATTTTTGCACAAAAGAAATGTGATATCCAAGATTTGGCTAAATTAAGGTCGCGTTCTGTAAAGAAAATCTGTCAGGGAGCGACAAAAAACTGCAACATCTCATTTCTACTTCAACGAATAGTCGACCTTGACCTGGTTTGACATGAGAGGAACATGGATCGTCGTCTGTTCCGAAGAGCTGTTCTTGAAAATGAATGACTTGTCCTCTTCATCAAATCCGTACAAGCACATTGCATGCTTCATATTTTCCAATCCAGTACTAAAAATCATCGTTTTTTGAAATTAAAAGGAAAGAGCGTACTTGACCGGGCAGACGAGGGTCTTTTTCTGATCAATAGCACTGAAGAAATCGCCAACAACGTCGAATTGTTTAAGCTTTTCGGATACTTTGTCATATTCCGTTGGGTGGAAAAATATTTCAAGAAGAGGCTGAACTTGTCCGATCTTATCAAGTATCGGTTTCAGGCTTCCAAGAAGATGAATTCCTCAATAATCGTTGAATTTAATTATAGGAATGAAGCACTGCACCTTCTCGCTGCAGAAATGTCGGTCTGGCGAGTCTTTGCATCACGTGATAGAGAAGCGCTGCTTGAATTTCGCTTTCATTTGCGTTGATTTTCGTCGGAATCACGGTCATCATCAACTCAGATCTAAGCGTCTACAAAAAACAGTAAGTCGAAATATATATTCTTTGAAACCTTGTGATGCGACGGATCATCAAGAACCGCGAAACAACCTTCTTTCGCGGTATCGGAGAAATTTTCCAATCCTTTTGAGCCGTTTTAGAAAAAATATATTCGAAAAATCAAGAAACTGAGTTTCAAAACGACGCCTTTGATCATTTCTCGAAGTGAAGATCGAAGCATACTTGCGGTCGAAAAAGCCCAGCATTTGAAAGAATCACCCTATTGAATAATTCTTATAGTTCGAGTGTTTTTAAACCTGGTCATGGATTGTTTTGCTGATCATTTTCGTCGTCTTTTAAGGATGAATATAACGTAATTATTCAGTTTTCAGACTATATCTTGTTTTATCCGGCCTTTGATAATTCTTCATATGACGTCAAATGACTGATTGAACTCAAGATATTCACCGTTGAAAACGGACAGTTCTCAAAAACCTCTGCTCTTCTCTTCAGATCATTTGAAATACTCGTCTCCGAAGCCTCCAAATCATCGTTGATTCCAAGATCTCTTATCGTGATTTTGCTCTCATCTGTGAAAAGAAGTTGCTCCACCGTCAAGAAATCATTTACCTCCCGGATGCTAGGCCGGACAGCTGGATCGTCCGAGATCATGTTCGAAATGAATTTCGTCAATTCATGCTTCTGAACAATTTTTTTCGCCGATCGAAGGCTATCATTGTCCACTAAAAATAGAAAATTCAAAAACGAACGGGATTCGACTGCTTTACCTGGAAGAAGAAAGAGCTTAAAAGCCAGCTGCAAGTCGTAAACAGAAAAAAGTATCGACATGCCGAGCGAGTAGATATCAGATACATAAGGAATCGATCTGGTCAGCACCTCAGGCGCCATGAATAAGGGTGTACCTCCGACAATTCCGGCCATTCCGAAATCTGCAAGTCGAACAGAAAGCGCTCCAGTGTCGCCCTCTCGCTTCAGCAGGATATTTTCTGGCTTCACATCGCCATGTGACAAATTTTGGTCTCCGATTGCTTTGATAGCCGAAGTGACCTGTAGAAAATAATTCAAAAAGGAAGCCATATTGAAGTCGATCTTGCTCAATGTCGTGTCGCAGAGCTCCGAGACAATGACGAACTCGTCCTTTCCATTTCGATGTTGCAGATAAAAATCGAACATTCGCAAAACATAAGGATGATTGATTTCCCTGGCGATGTAGAATTCCGAAGCTTGCATTGTAAAAAGCTGTCGCATCTTTTTTTCGCGCAACGGGTCCATTAGCTTTTGCGGCGCTCCCTTGATGATTTTGAACAACTTTTCAGTTATTTGTCGATTCGGGATGAATTTCGCTGCCGCCTTTTTTCCATGCCAAGTGCACTCGAAAACGGATCCTTGCCCGCCATTTCCGAGGAGGTTGGTTTTCTCGATGAGCTGGCCAATGAAATACCGGAGGGATGGAATCGCTTGATTGCAATTTTCGGGACACTTTTCGTTGCAAGCAATATCGTACCAGGAATTGTACGTTGTTGTTAAAGGAGCTCCATCGGCTGCGAATTCGGTTACGTATTTTTCAACCAGCTCATCGTAAAGACCAAGTTGCTCGATTTCTTCTTTGTTTTTGATGTATGGGGAGGAAATGAAGAAGATATCTTTCTGTAGTTTGCAATCTTGCAGATCCTCGTGCGCGTCGAAGGCATATTCCGTGAAGTACCAGTTGAAGAAGTTTCCAAAGGAAGGCAAAGTATGTGGAGTAATGAAAGGATTCAAGCCTCTTTGGAGTATTTTTTTCATGAGTGGTTTGTACATGATGTAGGGAGTCTGATTGAAGTAGCTGCAGCAGTTGAACTCGAGTTTTGGGAATGTTTCCAACAGAAAGCTCGAGCATCCATAATAATAAAGCGTGGCGTAATAAGGTAATGTCAGTCCAACTTGAGTTGGAATCTCAAGAACTTCTTGCCCCTCCTCAATCGACAGATCTTTCAGCATTTCTTTTATCAAGTAAATAAGGGTTTCATCATTCGAGAGCTGCATTTCGCGAATTTCATCTTTTGAATATGAACAATTTCCGATGATAACTCTTACGACGAACTCGTTTGGGGCTGTGAAAATAGTGTATCCGCCAATATTGTACGCCCAGTCCATCGTGTCTTAACATAATTTAATCACTTTTTTTATGAAAAAATTTCAGCTTACATTCTTCCCATAGAGAATGTTTGAGAATCGAGAAATTGTAAGTGAAGCTTGCAACAACTCTGAAATGGCTTGGAACGGCACCATTTTCTATGTCAATCTTCATGAGTTCCTCGAAAATATGCGGATCAGTGTTTTGCGGCTTGAACTCATTTTCACGATTGCTTTGATTCATGACCAAATATAGACCTTTGATTGATGTTGATTCAACTGAATAAAGAACCGGTCAAACCTGCATATCCTCCGGGAAGGTAGAGTGTTTCGTTGTTTGGGTCAATGCGATAAAGTTCTTTCTCGAGATCATGGAATAATTCTTCTTCAAGGCAGCCTTCGTGATGTTCGCCAATAAGATCCTTCACCTTTCTATACACCCGTATCGCTAGAATCATATCATCTTTTGAACATCTTGTGATAATCGAGTCGAAAAGGAGGAGCCTCCCAGCTGATAATTCAGAAATCTCTTTCATTACAATTTTTATGAAAATCAGCAAGCTCAAACGCTCTACCAGCAATATCTCGAATGAAGCTTCAGCTCAGAGAAATGGCTTCAGTGTCCTAATTTTACTTATCGATTTCTTCCCATCCTTGATCATTCCAACTCAAGACGAGTTGATGCACTGGAATAGATACTACAAACGATCACCAAAAGACAACTCTCGATTATTTTCAAGTCCTATATATGAATAATTTGAAGCTATTCAAAGAATATTTACAAGTTTATTGTCGTGCTTGAGGTTTTTCAAGCGAAAATGGTTGTTCATTTCATCAAGTGATTGCAAGCTGATATTTACAGTTAAATTTCGAAAATTCTCTTTTTTAAGATTTTTCGGAAAAAGCTCAATTTCGAGGCTTGAGAGTTTGAATTATTCACAGAAAACGCTGAATCGTTTTGGCCACCAGGATCGCTTCCAAGGATTGCAAGTGATTTTTGCATGATTTGGCTGAAAGCAGCTTTATAACTGTAGTTCTGCTTCCATTTTTTACCGTCAGATTATCAGGGCAATAAAAATGGCAGGACATGTCCTCGCAAAAGTAGCTGGCTGGCTGAGCAATCTGGACAGGAAGGTACCCGCATGTTTCTTCGGCAGTTGAGCCCATTGATCTCATTGCTTTCGAATTTTTCTTCACGACGCAGTTGACCCGAGCGCGTCTAGGAATAAATTTGCCTTTTTTCGACTTACCTGTTGATCGCTGGCATTTGATTTGAGACAGCGTAGGCTCCATGTTTGGATTTTCGCACTAAAAGTTTTTTTGTCATCAGTTTTTTTATGGTAAACTTGCTTACAGTGAGATCGCATTTGTCGTTTTTGCAGTCAATATTAATCGACTCTGGCAATTTGAACTTTTTCGTCACGTTACCGCAGCTTGTCATTTCGTTTCCTAAAAAATGTCAGAATCTCGATTAACTCTCTTGTCTTTTGAACTCCAGTTTCTCCAGCCATCATCTATTTTGTCTTTTTTTACCTCTTTGGATGACCTCTTCTTTGATCGATTTTTTCTTTTCTTCCATGCAGAAAATTGGTCGCTAGAATTCAGTCCCTACCTGCGTTATAAACAGTACCTACCTTGAGTCTTTTCGGCACGAAATTCTTCCACTTCTTATTGCACCCGACTTTCGAGACAGAAGGTTTCATCCTTTTTGGGCAGAAAAACTTGCATCCGATTTCGTTGCAGCCGACCTGGACGTTTTTTGCTATCTTGTAGTTTTCCTTCGGATTTCCTTAAAATGAGATTGGGAAGAGGGGATGAAAAATGGGTCGAACCGCAGAAGGAATGCATTTTGGTGAGGCCGACAACGGGACTTCGTTCTGTAGTCGTTGTTGTTGGCGGAAGGGTGGTTTTGACTTCATCAGGAACGACGATCGATTTTATCTAGAAACTCGGCTGATTATTTTTTCTTTTTCAAAAAAGGCCTTTTTCATAAAGATTAAATGCTCTTCAATACCCAGTCGATATAAGAAGATGTCCTGGTATAAACGCCGTAATGCCCAACTCTTGCACATCCAATTCCCCAAGAAACGATCCCCCGCAGCATCGGCTTATCATCTTCGACGCAAATCAGCGGTCCTCCAGAATCGCCCTGGCAAGCGTCGATTCCTCCCTCTGCATATCCGGCGCACATCATTTTATCTTCGACAACTTCGTTTTTCGGAAAAGCCGCATCGCATACTGTATTGTTGACGATCGGCACTTGAGTTTCTTGCAAAATTCTAGCGGTATTTTCCATCTCTCCGATTCGCCCCCAGCCGGCGACGTAGCAAAGCGGCCCTTTTCCTAGTGGGATTTTGTCGATTCTCGAGCCCTTGTCTGGCAGACAGACTGGCTGAGCAAAGACGTGAAAGTTGATGGAATCTTCGAGCTCGAGGAGGCAAATGTCGTTTTTGAGGGTGAATTGGTCGAATTGAGGGTGAAGGTATTTTTCTTTAATATTGATCGTCCTGGCTCCCATGTCAATTTTCGCTCGATCAAATTCGCTGACGGTCACTTGCAAGAATCGATTATCTGAAACTCTTTAAAATGGGTTCGACAAGACATTTTGGATGATTTTCAATGTTACTTGAGTCAATCCTTAATTTTGATAATTTGAAATAGGTCATTAAAGTTAAAGCCTTCCAATTTGAAATTTTCGCAAGCTTGGGAGTCCCAACTTTAATGACCTACAAACCAAATAATCGAATCATTGAAGATTGAGTCATTTTTCGAAGAAATGTCTGATTGAAAAAAAAGATGTCGCGCCCTGCCTGCAACAATGCGCCGCGGTCAGGATCCAGTTGCTGGCGATTATGCTCCCGCCGCAGCCGATTCGAATTTTGACGATGAAGGGCCAGGCTTCTCGTTGGACATCGTAGCCGCCGACGATTCGCTCGGCCAGTCCTTCTTTCACCAGTGGAGTGTGGCATTTCAGTTTTGCTGAATTTATGTTTGTCGAACGATTATTTTTGATAATTGTTAAAAAGGGGTCATCGTTACTAGAGGAATATTGCTAATCAATAATCAAGGTCTTTAAAAATCATCGTAAATAATAATTCAAATAAAAATCCGATACATAAAAGAAGAAAAAAAATTATGGTTTCTTCAAATCAGTATTTTCTTACGTGGTAATCTGTTGGCAATGTCCAAATCGTTTACTGACAATTGTGGCGTTTTTCCTTTTCCATTTCCTTTTTCAGCAAAAGCGTCTCTTTCGGATGATAGCGCGGCAGGACGCCGCTGAATTTTATCATATGTTGGTGGCCCAAGCTCGATTTTCTCCGATTGTTGAAAGCCTTAAAGATTAAAGAATAATTGAAGCGATTATTTTAATTTTAACTGCTATAATGGTTTCATTGACATTTTCAGATGTTTTTTTGTAAGCTAGAAAAATTACTGTAAGAACCTGTAACCAATGAGAGAAGCGCGAAAAGCTTCATCGTTGATTTTCCTCTATGTTTCCTCTTTCTCTTTCTCTCTTTTACAAAACAAAAAATTTTTGAATAAAAAACTTTACAAAATTTATTCTGATTGAAGTTCCGAAATAAAAAGATAAGTGCTGAGGTGATAAGAAACGGTCAAAATGATAAGCGGAAAGGGGCGCTGTTCGGCGCTAGAGAAAGCCACGCCGCGAAATCGGACATTTTTTTCGATGGGGAGGCTTATTCCTGTAGTAAAGAGCTCCTCGGGCCGTTCGTCCTAGGAAAATGATAAAGGCAATAAGTTTGAAGGAGGATGACAGTGTATCACTAATACACTGATATCATTGATACTGTCAGTATCAGCTTTCGAGCAACAGATAAAGGGATAAAAAAGGGTTGAAGAAGGATGAAAATATGATGCTCGCCAAGACGATCATTTTGAGCTATCACAAGCTATTGTATCTTAGACGAGTCGAAAATGCTCGGGCGGGAAAGTTTTGGTACTTGGGACTTCAGTCACGTGCCATGAAGGTATTTCTTCGGAAATTTCATCTTTTTCCGGGCGCATCTGGGATAACTTTTAACGCTCTTTTCAATGAGCAAATAAAATAGGGGGTAAGGATTTCACTCAGAAGTCTTGGAGGTCTGGTTGGCCGACTCACCTTCCATTTCCCCTTCAAAATAACCGTTGGGTAAGTAAAAAATAAGCTCCTTCAAATATATAACAGGTAACGTTGTTTTTTTAATTTTTTTGTGCAGATTAGTCCTAGACGACCCCATGAACCCGAGTTTATTTTTACGTCCAAGGCCCAATGAATCATTATCTGATAAAAATTATAATATTAAAATCACCTTTCGTTATGTTAAAATCAACTGTACCTGATTGATTCGGCACTTCAAGAAAATCGGCAAATTTCAAAACTCAATTTTTGTAAGCGAAATCGACCGTCGCAAATGCATTTTGGAATTGACTTCCGGTCGCGAGTCATGTTCATTTCTTCAGAGTTTAGAATGGCCATCTTCGACGATGTCACAGGAAATGTCCGTCATGCTCAAAAGGCGAGTTTCCGAATCAGTGAGAGAAAAACGGTATTTCTGATGAATGCAATAGTGGTCGACTGTTGGGAGCACCGCGTGAAAGCTGCGAAATTAACAATTACCAATTATACATAAATTAACGCGTTTTTGCTTATTACGGCAGTTTTCCGATTTCAAAACTTGAAATTCGCAAAACCTGATTTTGAAAAGAAGAAAATTGCAATTTTTCTTTTTTTTTCATTTTCTAAGAAAAATTTTTATTTTATTCCTTTTTTTTAAATAATTATTCAATATTCCAGTATAATAATTATTTCAGAAAAAATATTTAATTTCGAAATCAAAAAATTGAACTTTGAAAAAAAAATCGATAATTTCGTTTTAGAACTTAAATTTTAGAAGATCATCTTTCAATGTTAATCGGTCGCCTCTATCCTAGGGCTCCAGAAAGCTTATATTAAATTTACATAAAATGACTGCAGCCCCGTCATTTCATGAATTTTTTGAGGTCAAATGAATTAGGTCATAATTAAGTTCTTTCAATTGAACTTGGAATAGCATTAAAATAAGAAAAATAAGGGAGTAACTTTCTTTCGATTTTGGAAATAACGATTCTTCGAAATTTTGTTCCCTGTTCGTGGCAATTGACTGGATATTCTTGTAACGACTGTTTCAGCTTGAAACAAAAAAGCCACATTTTCTTTTCAAAAAGAAAATTTTGCAGCGCGGGCCTTTCATGTTCCAAATGAGATCTTCGACAAGCCATTAGCGGTATCGATACGAGAGTCTTTTAATGCTCCTTGCGCAATTGCTCACCCGTGTCTTGCTCGTCACGCTTCTTTAGAAATATACTCACCATCTTATCTTCTGCAAAAAAATAATATCATCGTTTGCAAAAGGATCGATGTTTGATCCAAGTTGGTGCTACAACTCTGGCATTTGAAGCGTGATGAGCTTATCAAAACTGACGTGTGAAGATCTCGAAGAAGCCAAGTGGTATTTTGACTGACTGTAACAAGGCGAAAACCGTGAAGTTGGGGTTTTTCGGTATTTGAGCCGAAAAACAAGCATTTTTAATGGAAAAGAAAGATCGAATAAGAACGAGCATTCGGAACATTGAGAAAATTCGGGGACATTCGGGGACATTCGGGACATTTGGGACATTCGAGGACATTTTGGGAACTTCGGACACATTCGGGAGGTTCGGGGACCTTCGGAGACATTCAGAGACATTCAGTGACATTCAGGACATTCGGGGACATTCGGAGACATTCGGGACATTCGGGACATTCGGGGACATAACAAAGGCATTCCGAATAAAAACTGAATCTAACCCATCATTTCGTTATGAAATTTAATGACTTCTTTATCGTCTCTTTCACTTTCATTAGCGTCAATTGTCCGGTTAGCTTCCAATTATTACGTATTCTATGAACCCGTGTCTCATCATCTGTCATTTTGCGGTGCTCATTACGCCTCGATCATAGCTCTAGAAACGTGATTACGCCAGAAAGAAGTCTTAACAAGAATTTCGCCCTTTTTTCGATTAAAAATTCTGAATGGACCAAACGCGAAAATTCACCATGCCAAGCTTGTCAACTGTGGCCAGCGTTCTAAGCTCGACCGTTTGTAGAACCAAATAGACCGGAAATGTTTTTGGCACCAGCTGCCGACTATTATTTCCGAAGGGCCTTTTTTGAAGACCGCTGTGACCAAAGATTTTGACAGGAATTTCGAGGAAAATTGGGCTTCCTCGAAAATTTTCAAAAAAAAAATTTGAAGAAAAAAAAAAGATTTTAAAAGAAATAATTTGGGAAAAAAATTGAAAAATAATTTTTCAAAAAAAAAATCAAAAAAATATTTTTTCAGAAAAAAATTAAGAAAAAATATTAAAAAAAAACCGGGTGTTTTACCCTTTGATAATCTTCTAAAGTTTATGAGTGCAAAATTGACCACAAAATCACGAAACCGAAGACGGCATTAATTAAGACCGTGGACTTATTATGAAGCGGTTTTCTCGAGGTCGATTAGGAGAAAATGCGGGTGTTTATGATTTTCCGCGAGAAGACCTCAAGATCTTTTTCTCTTCAAAGAAATTTTGAGTGCGAGATTAAGGGGATGAGGAAAGGGCGAGAGCGGAAATAATTCCGTTTTTAAGGAGATTAGAGGTGGAAGTGGCCTTGAGTTGTCCTAACAAGGAAGTATTGGGCTTCGATTTCGCGCCCTGATGTAATCTCGCTACCACAGATATTTCACAGCGCAACCGCCGAGCCCATGTTTTCTTCTTTTATAATCCAGACTAGACAGCCCTTTAAGATTTCAGCATTTAAAAGGCTTGTAAAGTCGTGTTCCAAATCATACCCAAGGGTCTTTAATTTATAATGAGGTGTAAAGAGTTCTTCGAAAAATTGGGTGTAAAACAGCAATTATTGCGAATAATAAAAATTTTTCGAGAATATTGACCTCTCGAGAACGAGTTGTTTGTTCAGTCGTATTTTAAACATAAATTTTCGATAAAATAAATCAGAGAAAAGGTGAAAAGGTAAACTTTTATTGGACGAAAAACAGAGTGAATATTTTTTCATTTTAGTCGAAAATGACGATGTTACAAAAAGCTATCGAAATCGTCACAAAAGCAACCGAAGAAGATGAAGGAGGAAACTACGCTAAGGCTTTCCAAGTGAGTTTTGTTCCTTCTAATTTTATTTATTTCATTTTTAGCTATATCAAAATGGCGTCGAGCACTTTCTTCATGCAATCAAGTACGAAGCTCAATCTGAAAAAGCGAAAGAGACGATTCGCGCAAAATGCGAAGAGGTAAAGTCCTAAATGAGACGACTTTCTGAATAAATTTCTTAGTATTTGGAACGGGCCGAGAAACTCAAAAATATTGTCAACAAAGAAGAAGAAAACTCGAAAAACTAGAATAAATTGAAATCATGAATTGTCAAATCTTTTTGATTATTTTAATAAACCAAAAAAAAAGAATAATTTTTAATTGATGATATCATTTTACACGAGTGTTACGAGCTGTTACTGCATTTAATTAGAAAAAAATAACGGAAAAGCGTGAGAAGCGCAAAAATACAGTCTTTTTTGCGAGTTTCGGGTGATCGAATCAGCTTATTTTTTTGATGAACTTCGAAATTACGAGCAAATACAATATTTCTTGTCTCGTAAAAATGCGGTTGATACACAAATAACACCAACTAGGAACAAAAATGACAGTCGACATTTCCCGAGGAATGTTTGGGACCTTTAAGAAGACCCTCAAGTTAAATCTTCACTTCATTTTTGAATTGATAGAATGAGTATCGAAGAAGATGACGAAGGTTCTCTTACCCAGCTGCCAAAGATAAAAATTCAGGTTTCAGATGAAGATATAGATAATCCTTATATAAAAAAATATCAGTGCTTGGATTGCCACTGCTTTGGCGTTTTGAAGCAAAAAGGGGGAAACGTTTATTTGTTTACTGAGGATATTTTGTCGACACGAAGTATTCACACTCAAAAAGCTGATTTAAAAAAGGAAACGTGGAAGAAAAAAGTGACAGAAAAAATGAGCTTGTCAAAACATGGATTCGCTACAGAGAAACAGCAATACAGTTATTTAGGCTTTGGCTCTCTATTCTGGATAACTGTGATGATTTTAGGTACACTTATCTTTAATTCAAATTAAGTTTAATTTGTAAGCCAATGTTTCTTCGTTGGAAAAATCAAGAGGAGTAACAACTTTTCTGACATCGACTTGCAATCGAAATTATAAAAAATGTGTTACGATTGCAAACACTGATTACTGCGGATACTTGATGAAAAAATGCAAAGAAACGAAAAATTTTAGCCTTCCCGAGCCAGTTTCATTGATCAAGCAAGTTAAGGCAAATTCTCCTTTGTTCACCTCCGAGGAAAATGAAATCAACCTTCAACGCTGTAAAAAGAAAAAATTTTACGACGTCAAAATATGCCGGCATTTATGCAAAAAAACTCTTGTTTTGGAATCAAGAAGGATGATTTCAAATACGCCCTGTGAGAGAATGTGCTATCAGCTATCAAGATCGTTTGATTCTGCTGGAGAAGTTTGTCCGTTTGAAAAATATTGCAAAAATGGATGCCCTTGTCCTTATTATGACTGTGAAAAGTTTGAGTCACGCCAGGAGTTAATCCCGGTTTTCGATCTAGAAAATGGTGAAGTGAAGCTTCTATCTGAAAACTCAAGTGAAGAGAATTTATCTATCGAATGGATAACTGGGCGCTGGGAAGGGCGTCAATCACGGATTAAAAATTTTCCAGTATTTCTTTCAAATATGATAAACAATTCAAGCGATTTAAAAATGAATGTTCCTAAAGAGTTTCTTTCTTACGAACGGTTTTTTATAAGAATTAACTTGTTGTTATTTTAATCGAATTATATTCGGGGGCGGATGGTGCCGGTATCAATCCAAAATACTCGTTGTAAGAGTATCCTTGCAGTTAAGCCGAAAAGCGAGTACTTGTTTTTTGATGAGTCAGATAAAATGCTTGACTAAGGAACCATAATGGTATTGGCACCGTCCGGCGCCAATTAATACTAAAAATCACAAAAGTCAACTGGTGCAACATTTCTGGCAGGAGAGCACTTTCTCGTAGACGCACTTGGAAATATCTTGACAATCTCAGAATCAACTGATTCTCCGATATTTATTCAAAACAAAAATATCAATATGTAAAATTTATACAACTTTATATGTCTTCTTTATTATTCTTAAGGAAATATTTTATTTTTCACTTTGGCTCATCGATTGGTACTCATTTTATAGAAATTCGCCGTCCATTGGACAATGGTAAAAAAGTTTTTCCCGTCGTTGTTATTTGATCAAGGTCAAAAAACTCGTCATATATTAATTTGACGACAATAATTTATTGATTTATTAATCTTTTAAATTATTAATCATAAAGAAATTGCTTTTTATAACTCAAATGAGAATTTTTTGAGCATTTTCTAGTTCTCCTACAAAAAGATCTGATAAGTGTTTTTACTTCGCCCCAGATTATAACTTGAAGCGATTTGAGGAAGCACAAGGTTACATAGCAAGCAATCACTTTAATGTAAAAGTGTCATCAATAAGTTTCCATGGCGTCTTTCATCTGATGAGCGTGATGATTGGTGACAGTTTTATCAAGTTATCTACAACAATTGCATTAAATAAAATACGCCGTAGCGAAGAAATCGAAAAAGGCTGGCGGAAAACCGAGATTAAACTTCCAGCAGAATACAGAGATCTTGATCCAGTCCATCTTGTACCTTTGAAAAGGTCATAAAGGATTTTTTTAGCTAAGGATCTCTGTTTCTTAAAAATGATAAATCCTCGGAAGATTGATGATGAGCGTCTTCTTATTCTTTTAATAACTCGAAGCATCGCTCTCTCAAATACGAAATATTCTATTCTATTAGAAGCGGGAGGACAATATCTTACACTCGGCACTGAATGGATTGGCTCACTTGTTGAATACAATAAAACTTCTATCTGTGTTTCTAGCTTGATGGCTTCGAATGATCCGAATTACACTGACCGACTTGGAAACAACAACGATGAATGCGAGTACTATGGGAATGCATTCATTGTGAACGACAAATTAATGATTCAAAACTATGTATTTGATACGACCTTTTACTTAGAGTATGATTTTGGAAGGGATTGACTAAAGAAAGATATTTTAAAAGGTGTTTTTTTATAAAAATGACTTTCTTATTTTCAAGAAAAACTGTTAAAAATTCCAAAAATGAGAATTGCATGAGATTGACTTCATCCAACAAAACTCAAGCATGAAAATGCACGTAACAAGCAACCCTTATTTCGCATTTCACGATGATGTTTTTCCTGCGTTCGCGAAAAATATTGCCCGCCAAGCAGCTTTTCCTTTCTCAACGAAAGCAGTTTTTAGATCATACAAAAAAACAATTATTCCAGACAGTTTCAAGAAGAAAAAATTTTCCTCTCTTGCAGAGTTCGAGCATATATCGAGTCTCAATTTTAATTCTCATGGAACAAAATTCTTCGATTTTGAGATCAGTATCAAGGTACAGTGGTGTGTGGAGTTGGTGCACCCTTAGCGAGTGCTGCGTTGGTGCACCCCTGACCCGCACTTTTTCTATTGTTTTCTTCTAGAAGTAGCAAAAGTGAGTGCTGCGTTTGTGCACCTTTTGCCCGCTATCTAGGGGTGCACCAACTCCACACACCACTGTACGCCAGGCGGAGGACGCAATTTGTTAAATATTCACTATTGAAACTTGAAGACTTTTCTCACGTTCAAACATCAATTAACTTCCAAATCGCGTTCAATCATATCTATTTTTGGAGTTCCAGATTTGAAAAATTACAATCATAAAGTAAAGGCCCGAATCAGATTCAAATCAATTCCGGTGAAGTTGGCCCCGTCCAAGAGGCATATCTGATGGTACTAGGAGTCCTTTTTTTAGCGCATTTTTCGTTCAAGTAACACCCGGGCTAATTGTATACTTTCCTCTGGACCGGGCGTTAACAACGGACTAAGAATACATTATGAAATTATTTACCATGACCTTATAAGATATGCTTTTTTCTTGAGGTGACAAAACATCGGAATCTTTTCAATTTTCGTTACGCTTCTTAAATAAATAGCATTTTTCGCTAACTCCATCTAAGCTAAGTTACTTCCCCTTTATCATCAAATTCATAATTATTTCCGAAATCAAGGCTTCAAAAAACGCTTTGATCAAAAATCCGTTCAGCACATTTTTCCGTTTTGCCCTGAACGGGCAGAACGGTATTCGGGTAAAACACCATCGGGGCAGAACGGCAAAACTGGCAAAAAGGTTGATGCCTATAATGATCCACATAGGATTTTTTTTAGATTTAAAGAATAATCATGTTATTCTAGGAAACGAAATCAAAGTCCAAAAAGACAAACATCATGGAATGGCGATTTAATGACGGCAAAATATTTTTTGGTCTTGGTCTTTTTCAAAATGGCTCCTTTTGGATCTACTCTGATTATAATCCGGAAAAATTTGTTTTTAACACCACTCTTATCGGAAAAATGGAAATGGAAATAACATCGAACTCATCAGAATCCTCAGCCGAGATCTTTATAAAATTCAAGGAAAACAAAAGTTTAATATTTTCTCTCTCTTCGATGTAAATGCATTATTTTTAAAGGGGGTTAGATATAAACGAATTTTCATGAGTGATTAAAATAACATCATACGAATTCTGTTCATCCACATCTGATATCTTCAAATCAAAAATTCCTGGTGTTTCAGTATAAGTGGCATGCACGGGTCCCGCCCCTTCGAAGTTCTTCAAGACAGAGCGAAAACGCTGCCCGATTTTTTCTAATTTCAGAAGGAACTAAAACAAAAAGCTCTTCTTGATAGCGCACGAGTCATTCACGCTCGAAAAGGGCGGCACTCATGCACGCCACTGTAAGGCTAGAGGCATTGAATAAAAATGAGGTTTACATGGTATAATCAGGAAAATTGGGACATGAAAATATAGTTTACAAAATTTTTAAAAGTTTCAAGAACAAATAAAACCTCATTGATGAATCGTGAGAATCGATTGTCGGATTTTAGATAAAATATTTGAAAAATTCCCATCTCATGCTATTGCCTCAATATCTTGATTTTTTTACTTATCTTTGAACACGCGATTACGCAAGGTTTTTTTGTGCAGAAATCTATTAAAAAAGCCCATATAAAAGCTAAGAGTCTCTTTTTTGTGGCAAAAATTGTGTCGGCTTTATCCTTCAAGTTTCGAGTAAACTTAAAAAACCAGAGTGAAAAATTTAGACGAAAACACGATTTTCGGAGCCTCCGATTTTTTTCAATTTGCAATTAAGAAGAGGCTCTGAGCTTTTATTAAAGCTAAGAATCATAACATTTTATTTATGGGAACTGCTTAAAAAAGTTGTACAAATCGGAAAAACTAAATTTTAACGTCACATCATAAAATATGGCCATTTTAAGTGATGTTTTGGGCAATAACTTACCTTTAAAAAAATTGATTATAGATTGATGATTATTTCAAATTTTATAGTCCTTAAGGGGGTCCCCCACGATTATTCGATTTTTCGAATTAGAATATTTTCTCTTCAGATTTGAATTCCTCATGCAAAAAGCTGCAAAAAAGGTCTCTAGCTTTTTTCGATTGTTGTAGAAAAAAGTGTCTAAAATTGAATCTGAAGTGGCCAATTTCGACGAATCTGCAGAAAAATCAAAAAATAAACTCCTATTTACTGTTGTCTTAGGGTCTCTTATGCCATATTTTTTGAAAGGCTATGAGCTCATCTTTCTATTTATACCCGAAAATAAGTGTTTAAGTTATCCCCGGAAGACAATTCACAGGGTTGAAATTTCAAAAATCGTACATTTTTTGATCGTCGTTGTTACATAATCATTTTTTGGAAATTGAAAAATCTGAGAGACGCTTCACTAGTTTAGTGTTGGAACTTTCGGAAACAGAAGGAAAAAAATTTTTTGTAACCCGAAATTTTGGAGTAATCTCAGGTGAAAAAGTGTCCAAAAACGCGATTTTCTGCGAGATGCTCTCCTTCTCTGCGCCGTAGCGCCAGATGTGGTTGGGTTTAAAAAAATCTGAGACACGCTTCACTAGATCAAGGTTTGTTTAACATGAACAAGAAAAAATTTTTGAAAAATATAAGTCCGTGTCGGCGTGAGCGCCGGTCGAAAATGGCCAATTCCAGAAAAATCGTTGGGGACCCCCTTAAAAAAATTTTTAATTTTTTCGTTATCCGAATATTAATTTTGCCCTATTTTAGACAAAAATAGTAAACTCTTGAAGAATCATCAAAAAAATATTGACTTTGAAAGAAACTTCAAGTTTAACAAGTATCGACAAATTGACGAAAAGAAAATTAAGATTTATAAGTTTGATCGGGTTACTGAAATCGTAAATTTCGTCTTTGGCGCTAAAGATTCCACCCAAATAAATGTCTTAGTTACTGGAGATTCTTTCTATAGTCGGGGAAGAGTCATGAGCTATGCTTTACTTGCTGACGGAAAAATCAACAGAGAGACATCATTTTTGTCTTCAATCGAAATTGATGGCTTAACGAGTGAAAACGTTATCCATGGATTTCTTTATGGGGCACAACAAGCTCTTCTTAAAGATCAAGTTTATGTTTTCGGAGGCGATAAGAATGCGCATCAGGTATATTATCTCACTTTTTTTTGATTTTGAGTGGCTTTTTCGTGTGAAATAATAATTTTAAGGACCCCCCCCAATTGGTTATGTCCAAATTTTCATTATTTGTTGATTTTTTTGGGTTGTTAAGAGAACGAGGAGAAAATTTTGTCTTGAAAATTTTTTTGCTGCTATAGAAAATTTTTGCAAAAATTGGGTTTTAAAATTGAAAATTCGCATTATATTTTTTATGAAAATCTTAGATTCTCATTTTAATGCTCTTTTTTAATTAAAATTAAGGGTATACATATCTTAAAATGCATTTCTTTCATAAAAATTATTAAAAAAACATAATTGAGGGCAATTCAAGCAGAAAAAACTGAAAATAATCTCTGAAAATTTGCGAAATTTTTGCTTTATAAATTTTTAAAGGGGCTGCCCTCCTTAAATTTAATGACCAAAAACTCTGTCAAGGTAAACTGTCGTAGCCTACGGCCTAAACTTTCCCTTTGAAAAAAATTAAGGGCATACCTTCGTTAAAACCCCGCAAAAAACCTTCACTTAGCAACCTTACCCTTATCAGCCTGTAAAACCTTAAGTTTGATATCGAAAGATCATCATAAGGGAAATTGTTGCAGTCGAGGGTTGGACCTTAAGGATGCAATTGAAATTAAGGGTCTACCTAAGATAGTTTCTGAGAAAAACTTTCACTTAACAGCCCTTAATTCATGATTCTTGATGGGGGGGTCCTTAAAATTACTCAATAATGGCGCTTTAGATTGTTCGATTGGATGGATGTATGTTTTCTTCACTTGATGTATATCTTTTAGAACAATATAAAAATGGACATGATGTCTTGACAATTAACGATGGAAATGAGGGTAGTCGAAGAATAATTATTTTTTTATCCTTTTTAGCTATGATTTGTTTCAATTATAATCTTCAATACTGGGCAGATCAGGATTCTGGCAAAAATTGTGAAATATTTGATGGAGAGAATGTTACTTCGACTTTCTCAACAAATTCTTCGCATTACCAAGGTGGATTGGCATATTACAATGGTCTGCCAACGGCAGTAGCCGGGCGTGAAACTCATGGCCTTGTTGAAGTGATGAAAGATGATGGTTGGATTCATATTGAGAAGCACCCAAGGTATTTGAACGCATAAACTGAGTATTTGAAACTGAAAATCCGAGAAGCCCTGCTACAAAGACCTTCCAGGGCTTTGATTGGCTGATCAGCAAATTTTGACCATCATATCTGGCGATTTTTGATTTTCTCGGGGATAATTCTTGAAAAACTCTGTAAAATACAGTTAAAATATTACAGAATTCTGTCATGCTTTGACGCAATCGGTCTCCCTTCTGGTGTTTTACTTACAGTTGGAGGAAATGATTTTAATGTTCAATTTGATCCACTTCCTGAAATTTGGCAATTAATGAATAATCAATGGACGATTTATGGCTTCCTTGCAAAGGTTTTGGGACCCAAATTATTTTCAATTTATTTCAATTAATTAAAGAGCTATTATGGCATGTCTCTTATTCTCTTCAATGACAATATTTTTGTTATTCCTGGCGTGATGTTCAGCTTTAGTGCTCGGATTCAACGAATCAATTTAGGTCAGAGTTTTTTTAATAAAAATTATTATAAATAAAATTATTAATCAAGTTTGAATTTATTTTAAAAATTCGAATCAGACTCCGATTTGTTTTTTATATCAACTGATGAGTTTGGATCAGCATTCGAAGGAACATTTCCAGTAGCCTTTGTTTCTCAAAAACCTTCTTTTTGCCTTATCTAATTTTAATTCCATAGAACTTTACTTAGAAAAAATATTGTCTTCTTGTTATTTAAAAAAAACCAAAATTCTTCAAAAACAATGAAAATAAATCATTTGCATTTGTAAGCTTGTCTTGTGTTTGTTCTGTCAAACTTTTGCTACTTTTAGAAGAAAATAGTAGAAAAATTGCGGGCTAGGGGTGCCGGAACGCAGCACTCACAAAGGGTGCGGAAACTCCTCACACCAGTGTATATCAATGATATAATATCATTTTCCTAAAAAATTGAAAATTGAATGTCTGGAAAACTTTCAGGATTTAACCTATGTTATTTAAAAAAACCTGCCTTTAGATTATTAAAAGGTCAGAACACAAGGTAACCGCCCGCAACGCACAAAGACCTTCGCCAACAATGAACCGGGCACACTGTATTCTAAGAGATACTGTCAGAGAAAGGAGACCTTTTTTCGTTTATTTGAAATTTATTTGAGAATCTTGCGAATCTCCCGTTTTTTTACTCTTTGTTTCAAAGCCGCGAAAATGCGAGCAAATACAGTACTCCTTGTCTTTACTTTTTCAAATCTGAAGAGCACGTCACCGGATTTCTCAAACAAACTTTTTCAGAAAGAAAGAAGCATCAAGTTCGAGCTTGATTCAGAGGAGAAAAACTTGAAACATTTAATTTAAAAAAAAAACTTATCAAAATGTCGAGAGAATTGGGAATGACAACTGCAGTCTTGAATTTCTACAAAGAAAAGTAATTCTAGCAGTGTTCGAAAAAGCAGTTATATTACGGGAAATTTTAGCATCGCAAAAGAAGCACATTATCGACTTCTGGCGAGACAGCGGGAAATAGAAGAAGGTACTTTTTAGGCGCTTAAAAAAGACTCTATTTATCAAAAAGGGATGACAGAAGAAGAGCGACTGGCAAAATTCAACTCTGCTCATCAAAAACGCCTCGCTCGGCAGCGAGAAATGAGCCCAAAAGTGGAAATTCCAGTCCTCGAAAAGCAGATCCAAAAATCGGACCCAATCAAGCTTCCTGCGCTTTCGAGAAACGGCGATAATGGCCAAAATGTAAATATCGAAAAAATTTTTCCATAAAAATTTTATTTCGAGCAAATTTTCTTGATGGAAGCAAAGTGCTTATCACGTCATTTTTTCAGAAGGAAAACGTGACTGTAAATCTGATGAAGCCAGTGGATGCAAGTGTCAGGGGCCAAATACTCAACGGCATTTCAAAAGAGGGGCTCGGCAAACACGCTTATCTGGCGTCGCGAAAGATGCTCGCTCCTCAAGACAAATACAACTATCAAGTTCGACACTTTTTTCTTCGTCTTTTGTTTCAAAAAATGAACTCACTATCTCTTTTCAGGCGCTTTCGAGCTGGGACTATGGATGGGATGTTTCTGATGCTCTCAAGTTTCACAAACCTTCTCCTTTTGCTAGAAAAGTAAGTTTACTTACCGACCCCCTTTTTTACTTTTTTTAAGATGATCGTCAATCAGACATTTTATCGAAGAAATGGCGTTCAAAACTCTCCTGTAGAAATCTAACCTTCAAATCATTTTGCTCCTCTATACATTTACTGAAATATACCTAGGGCCAGCGCGTGAAAAATCAGCATGCAGAACCCCTTGAGGTAAAGGGCTGAAACTTCGGGACAATATAGATTTTAAGCGAATCATAAAAATTGTAATAGAAAATTTTTTGGTCTGGTCAAGTGATCACGTGATACAGGCCCTCGAAAACCTAGAAAAGCTTGACGAGCTCGATTTCCTGGTTGTAGTCGATCACATGATAGCTCAAAAGAAAGATCATAAAGAGTACTACCTAGAGAGTCAAAAAATTCTTTGGGCCCGATTGTAGTTAGGCGCTAGAAGCAAGAGAACGCCTCAAAATGGGTCAAATTCGGGTAAAAAATGGACATCATTGGGTGATTTCTGTCAAAAAATGCTACAAAAAGGGTCATTTTTCACGTTAAAACTCTCCGTGCGGACTCACATGATCGCGGGCCCAAGAATTTTTCTCATCCATTCAGAAGTACTTTTCGAGCTCTTTCTTCTGAGCGATAAAGTAATCACCTGTGATAAGGGGATCAAGCTTGACGAGCTTTTCAAGTTTTTGAGGGCCTGTATCACGTGATTATGTGGCGAATTCAATCGAGTTTTTGACAAGTTTTGAACCAATTTTCTTCCCTCGCTGAAGAAAAAAATTGTCTAGAAATGATAAAAATTGAAGATCTTGCCATTGTTTCCGAAACACAGACGACTCCATTACTATAAATCTTTGATTGATCAGTAACGCCGAATTTTTCCAAGTCTACGTTGCTCATTTCAGCAAGAAATTCTTCCGTTCTTTTTGAATTTTCGCCATTTTCTAGAAGAAAATTTATCACCTCTTTGAACCAATTTTTGAACCTGTCAGTACGTCAGTAGATTCCTCTTTCGTTTCACGATAGCTGACTAAATCTCCAGTCTCAACTGCAACAAGATCATTCTCCGAAAATACAAGTTGGGCATTTTTACAGCCGGCGATGCTTGAAATCGATTTTTCCTCTCAAGATCAAAAGAGTTATTACCTTCGTTCCCAGTGGAACCGCGCTTGTTCAACAGAAAATGGCAAAACTTTCTGTAAAGTATTTTGAAGAAAATTTTCCAAAAGGAACTTCAAAATTTCCTCTAAAAATCCGTTTCGAACCGAAAATTTAAATGTACACAACCTTTTCTTGAGCCGTCAACACATCGCTCGAAACGCAAATCGCTCATTTTGACACTTGTTTCTCTGAAAAAACTTAGTAGGAAATCTTATTTTGTTTTTTATTACGTCTTCATTGCTCAATGCGTCATTTTATTTGATCAATACTCAGGCTTTCTTTCTTTTTTTCAAGACTGAGAGATCTAACGAGACACAAAAATGAAGTTCTTTATAATGATGAAAGTTTATTCCTCATTCTACACGAACTCTTCTTTTCTTCCCATTTTTTATCTTTTCAAAACGGGCTCATTTGTCTTCTAAAGAATCTTCTTTGGATCAATCTTTCAATTCTTCGATTTTTGATTGGTTCTTCGGCGCCGATCGGATGATGATTCCCATGGCCAACGATCAGAATTTTTGATTGGCCGAATCTCCTCTTCTGCTGCGTTTTTAATTGGCGCCATCAAAATTCTACTTGTTGATTTTTTTTTCTTCTTCGTAGACAAGTTGATTTAAAAAAGTTGTTCGGGCGAATGTCTCCAGCTAAAAAAATGTTGTGTCTCCAGTGTTGCGGTTTCTTCAGGCCGTATCTTCTTTTCCAGCACCAAAATTCAGCCATCTTTGTACAGGTTGGAAAGAGAGTTTTGACAGAAACCATTATTTTTTTATTATTTTCTTATAAAAATTGAGGGGAGGGGGTGAGATGGTGTTTCTTATTGGTTTTAAAGGGGGTTAAATTTTGTGTGTACGGGTAGGGTGTCCTGCGGACGTAATGTGATCAGTTGCAATTTTCTACCACTTAGATTCGGTATTGCTTGTGGAGCTCCAGATGTCGCCAAGTCCCATGCTAAATTCAGAATTAGTGATGAAAGAAAACAACCATTTCTGAGGCAGATCATATCGAATTTGCATAATTTTTTGATAAAAAATCTAAAAAAATGAGAATAAATTTGAGATAAAAGCTGCCTCAAAAACTAATCAAATCCTGTCTGTCCCAAGAACCTTGGGATCTGATCAAATTTCGTCTCAGTTGGAGCCATTAGCAGTTGGCTTCCGAAATCATCACTGGCATTGGACGAGCTGCTCTCTCGTCGATCAAAGCTGAAGCTAGTCGACCAGGGGGACCAAGATTCAGATTGGTCGGTTGACCAGCCAAGGGCGCCACCTGACTTCTGACTGATAACTGAATCTTCAGAAATGTCAGCTCGCAGCGGGTGTCGCTCATAAAGGTTCAAAATATATCTCTGCAAAAGTAAAAAAATTGATCGAATCGGGGATCGATCCCGTGTCCCTGAGATTAGCAATATTTTATTTTTGAGCCTGTCCTGTGCAGTGCCCTGAGCAACAATCTCAGCCATTTTGGGCTTTTGATTTGGAAGCGGCCATTTTGGTGGGTTGATTTTTTGCTTCTGGACGGTCATTTTCTTCATATTCGCCTCGAGCGAGTTGATTGGATTTTGCGCTGGAGCTCCAAGTGGTGGAAATTCTAGCGGATCATTCGGTGTAACTTGCGGCTGGTTGGCTTGAAAGTACGATTGGATGATTCGGAGGCCTTCTTCTTTTGTCACATTTCTAGAGAAAAAGGTTGAGAAAGGAAAGAGGTAGAAAAAAAATTACCGAAGATGAGCCCGCTGATTATGCTGGTCAATCATTTGTTGGTTTCCGTACTGATGTTGTTTTTGCTGATGATGGGCTTGGACTTGATTAGTCTGGTGCGTTTTGTTGTTCTCAGGAAACTTCTTCTTCTCAGACTTGTAAAGAGTTCGTCGAATTCTAGGGCCGAGAAGAGCGATTCGCATTCCATGAAGATTTTGGTCTCGAAGTCCGCGGCAACATTCGTGCGCTAGAATTATCAGTTGGATGTCAAACTCTCTCTAAAAGGGGTTTTACCAGAATCAGTTGAGTCAAAATCAACCACGGCGCAGGTGGTATTTCCCATATCCGGAATCTGCGTCGCATAATTCCTCAAATCCGCAGGAATCGGCCTTCCTGGTCTAAGAACTCGCGCCAAAGTGATATTTCCATACGCAGAGAAAATGTTCGTAATTGCTTCTAGAGTCGCCCAATCGTCAGGAACGCGGATCGCGAGAATGGATGTCATCGTTCGGCCCCGGCGAAGGTTGTCAGGAAGATTGGCGATTCGTTTCACTCGATTTCCGTCGCTGGAAAGTTCGACTTTGTTGCTCATTCGAAGAGCGTAAGAGGTGACTCGCCAGTCACGAGTGAGCTTTTGATCTTCTTGAAGCTGGTCAGAAGTTTCACGGACAGATAGCCCTCCGATTTAGACCGCAATTGGCGAAGAAGATATTTGTCATTCGCCAAATACGCATCAGAAAGATACTCTTCAACTTGCATACAAATCTGTCGCAAAACTTCGGGCTCTGGAATTTCGCGCTCTTCAAGATCACCAGTCAGGAAGGAGGAGCCGTTGGAGTCGGAGGAGTCGTCGGAGATGTCGTCAAAGGCGGAGTCTTTATTGGAGTCAGGACCGGATTTGTGGCCAGAGTTAGATTTTGGTTGAGCGACAGGAAGGGGAGCTGGAGGCGAATCGACCTCTCTTGTTGGAAAATGATCAAATTCAGCATTCGTTTGGTCGGCCACTGATTGCACTTTTCGCCCATTCATCGCCACCGCATTTGCATTGAGACCTTGGCTCATCAAGGCGTTATACAGACCGGCTTGGGACCGGCTAAAAGCAGCGGCAAGACGCATGTTTTGCTGATGAAGCTGCTGTAGTTGCTGCAATTGCTGATGCTGCATCTGTTGGAAAAGCTGAAACAAAGGATGAGGGGGTAAAAAAGGGAGGTGTTTCACCTTTGATTCCGGAGAAGCAAGAAGATTTTGAAGCGCAGCCGGGTTGATCATATTCTGAAGCTGGCTCAAATCTTGCGTTTGGTTCGTCATATTCTGTTGAACGCCAAATCCACGGGGTGTAAACTCGGCGGCCATTCCGTTTAGCTTTGGCTTGTCAGAAGCCATTTTGTCGGGTAGTCTGAAATGCATGAAATGAGAAAGAGGAGGAAAGGAAGTTGTGGTGCTTCAAAAATGACGGGTCGCTCAAAAATGACGCACGAGTTTTCTTTTTTTCTAAAATTGAAAATTGAAAGTTGCAAATTTGAAATTTCGAGGAAGAGCTTTTTGGAACACGAGTCGTTCTAGAACTTATGTAGCAACGGAATTGCACTTGTTAGACACGTCATTTATACAGTCACCCGAGCCCTTTAAACAGGCAGATGCGGGCGCTAGAATTTCACAAGGTGTCACTTTTGACTTCCGCCCTTGACTTCCCGCAATCGAGGGAAGTGGAGGGGACCCAAGTTCATTTCTAGCGTCTAATTAGACCGCGGCTTATCGAACTCGTGAATATAATTTGAACCGCCTTTTTGATGACTCAGAAACATTATGGTAATTATTTAAAAAAAATGACTATCTTGGAAGGCTTTTGAAGGGTGCCCTGCGGTTTCTAGGGCTCCCAAAAAATCATGAGTCATCGAAATTGCTGGTGGACCTTGATTTGATGCATCGAAAATGAAAGAAAACGAAGCGATAAGTCTCTGTTTTGGGCGCAAGCATAACATTAATGCATTTGTTACTCAAACAACTCCGCCGAAAACATAACTTGACAAAATTCTTTAAAAGCTTTTTAGAAGTCTTCTTTATCAATTTTGTCTTAGACAATTCCTAGTAGGAATCGACTTGTTTGATTCTGGATAAGAAGGTTCACATTATAATATGATTATTTAAAGAAAAGGATAATATTTATTTTGATGGGCCATCTTCCAGTATTTAAGGGTGTCATCGCAAAAAAATTATTTTGAGAAGGAAAAATGAAAGAAGAGATTATGAAAATAAAAAATTGGATCGCTTTTTCAAAATAGAGAAATGGTTGTGGAAAAAATTAAGGGGGTCTCTAAATTAATAAAAATTGTGAAAAATGCAAGTATAAGACATGTTTCGAGAGAAAATTTCAATATAAAAGTCAGAATTTTCGATAAAATTTCTTTGGAATTCAAAAAAAAAATTATTGAATTAATAAGACTCAAGAATCTCACTTTTTATTTATATATTTACTCATAATTTAGATATTAAGATTTTTTTTATTTTGAATGGTGCTATTAAATGTTTACTTACTATTAAAAATATATAAAAAGGCTCTTCTATCTTCTTTTATAAAAATTCTCTGTTTACGCCGTTTCTTCCGTTTTGTTGCGTGTTTCTGAGAAAGTTGGGCTTCTGAGAAATATGTACAAAGCGATAAACTGGCCAGTGGTGTGTCTTGAGCCACTCACGCTCCACCACCACCCGGTGTGGTAGCGCCCCGGTCGGTCTAGTACCATTGCGTCTTCTGCATTTTCTACCGGTGCCACTTCTCCACCACACTCTTCCACTCTTGTCTTTTACGTCACTCTCCCAAAGACGCGAATATTTACATACAAATCTACTAAAAGCCCAAATTCTGCTTTTTCGCCGATAAAAATAAAAACCCGGAAAAATTCAGAATCGAACCAACTGGTTCAAAAAGGCTTTGATTTCAATACAAGCTCGAGTGATTTTCGGCCAACGGACCGAAAAATGGTTCAATTTAAAATTTATTTTTCAATAAAAAAAAATTTAAAATCGCGAAGCCAAAATTAATAAAAACTCACTCAAAAAATTTAAATGATTATATTTGATTATTTTTTAATTTTAAAATTTTTTATAAAATAAAAATAATTTTCAATAAAAAATTTTTGAGAATTTTTCTGGTTTTGGAAACAAAAAGTGATTTATTTTTAAAGAAATAATTTAAAAAAATAATTTAATTAAGGTTTAATTAAAAATATCTTAGATTTGTTAATTATGAGAGCAATTTTTGCAGTGAAGATTTTGACCGGTTTTTAGAAAGATAAGAAATGTGGCTGGTTAAAAGTATAAAAACGGTTTCGCTTTGGAGATAGGTTAATCCGCTCTATTGGCTCCATTCAAGAAAGCTCTCCACCATAGTGATTAGAAGGCCACGTAAGTTGGCGCTTCGGGTGTAGTTATATTGCGATCGGCCGGTCTAGTAGCAGCAACCGCGCGCTCCAGCTTACCGCGCTTTTGGTCTAGTGACTCTGCCTGCCTTACGTAATTGAGCTTAAACCTAGTTGATAGTTAGCGCCGCGCGAATTTATTTCATCAGAGCCCAGATTATCCTCGTTTTTATTCCTTTTTTCAGAATGAACGAAAAACATTATTTTTTAATTTATTTGAGCTCGTTTCAAAGTTCAGTTTTAGCATCATTTTTTTTCTTTGCATCTTCGATTTCATCCAAACTATTGAGTTTATAGGGCCTCTGGCCTCGTAGAACTTCCCAATATCCGGCAACAATGAAGGTTTCTTTCACGAAATCGTCTGACAAAGATCCAAACGCGATTTGATAGCCTGCTTTTCGGACATTTGCGAGGAGGGCCCGAGCGATTCCGACATCCTCATCTGGTTTCAGAACTTTCAAAGGCTTACAATTAAACTGCTTCGACAAAAATTGCTGAACAGATTATTTTCTATATAAAGCCTTTCCTTGAACAATTAGCTTCGGAAAAATCGCCATATTTTCTTTTGTCACTCTTGGAACCAATCCATAGACATTTCGAACCGCGAATTTATACAGTGAATCTCCAGTTAAACCACTATTGTGATCAAAAGAAGCTGCTTGCGGCTCAAAATCAGACTCGAACGAAAGTGGCCTAAAATATTTTAGCAAAAAAGAAAGAGGTTTAAACTGACTTGTATGCGATGATTTTTTCGTTGCCGATTTCTGCGACTTGCTTTTTATCAATACAGTGGCCAAAGAGCCAATCGATTTTCTTCTCAGATGTGATTTTTCGCATTGCTTCGATGTAAGTTCGGGCAGTGTTTGAGTTGAAATTTTCAAAGTAGCCAACGACTGAAAATAAATTTTAAAGAAAATATTCAAAACGAAAATTTTCATCCCCCCTTAGGTTGATTCCCCCCCCCCCCTTATTCGAAATTTTCATTCGTACCTAATGGAACATCTTTCGCTTGAAGTTCTTCCCAATCTTTTTCATTCTCTATCAGCTGCGAAATTTTCCCCTTCTGATTCATCTGCGGCTTCGCACTGCCTGTAACACTTCCTCTACCCTCCGATCCCATGTCCAATTTTCCATGGCAAAAGTCAAAAAGAAATAAGAAGCTAGAAATCTTCATTTTTTTCGATGGGGAAAAATTCTTTTGCGCCGGGATGAAAATAATCTTAGAGTTGCCTAAGGCGAAGAAGGCCATGTTTTTTGTAAAGACTCGAATCTTGGATATAATTTTATTGAGAAATTATTTTAGAAAAATATTTTTTTTTATTTTTTCAAATAATTTTTCTGCTTATTTTTTGTAATAATCCGTTACAGTATTTGATCAACGAGCTAGAACTAGAAATTCCGAGTCAAATCAATAATCAAATTCTGTCTGGGACCCGTAATTCCGCCCAACGCTCCCCAGAAATATGTAAATTCTGTTGTCTGAGGGTATGTAAGGCTGCTCGAAAATTCTTCTTGATCGAGAAATCCGATTTTTGGATGAGCGACGGGAGAGTAAGATGCTATCAGCGAGGGCGAAATCGATCTCATCAAAAGCGAGCTGCAAGGATTGGCCACACTGACCAGTGAAAAGCCCCCTTGCCAGACGCACAAAAGGGCTGATTTAAATTGGATTTGGATTATTTTCTGAGAAAAAAATTAAAGAAAAAAACGAGAAAAGAAAACAAGAAAACTATCAAGATGAAGGTTTTACAGATGCTGATGTTTTTGCTTCAACAGATTTCTGCAAAGTAAGTTCTCAATTTAAGACGAAAAAAGAATTTCTTTAATATAAAATTCGATATTCAAAAAAATTTTAAGTGAAGACAAATGTTACCGAGGCGATTGGTTCGTAACAGCGAAGGACAACGGTACAATGACAGAACGATTTTGCTTTGAAAGTTGCGAAGAACGTCGATTAGATCCGGATCGAAAGACTGTAGATATGATAATAATGAGCATCAAAAACTGCCGGATAAACGGAAAACAGTGCCCAGAAGATCCAGTTTGTCACAAGAAAAAAAGGGAAATTTTTCAGTGCAAATGTCGGGACAGTCGAATAGTCACGCTTTGGGTAAGAAAAGAGAGTTAATGAACGGAAAATATTTATGTTTAGCTATTTGCCTTGTCTTTTGGTGGAGGATTCTTCATCTTTATCAAGTTCATGATCTACTTTTTGTACAAAATCCGAAAACACACAAACAATCCTGACTCGATTTTCAATTGCGCCCGGCACAAGAAACCGCCTCGAATTCTTCTCAAAGATCTTCTTAGCCAATGACTAACTGTTAATAAAATTATTCTTCCTTGATTTCATTAGAACGATTTCAAAAGAATATGATTTCCTGCTGTAGGAAAAACTGTCAGATATTCATTGTGAGAGCTTTCCTTCTGTCAAGAGATACTTTGGAAAGAGAAAAAATGACTTTTTATAAAATGAGTTTTGCTCTAACAGAAAATTTTTCGAACAATGAACTCTTTTCTTACCCCTTTCTGAGAGTTAATGAGAGTTGCATCGACCTTGATCTTGGAGAGCTTTGTGCGACCGATTGTGTTGATGAGACTCTCGAATGCTTAAAATTTTGCGAGCCCGATGATGATGTTTGTGGGAGTTTGTGCATTCGTGACGGATTTCACTGCATCGATGGGTGCCCCTGCCACATTGAGTGTCCTGAAGGGTGTTTGAATTGCCCAGCTGATATTTGCAATCCTCAACCACCTCAGAAGCTTGGAGCAGTCCTACTGCTTAGAAGAGATCCTGATTATGTCAGGATTCCGGATGTGCCGATTCTCGCTAGCTTTGACACTTACACAGAGGATCTGAAGGTAAAGAAATTAAAACAAAATAATTTATATTCACTATAACTAGATATCATGGTTTAATAATGGACCCTATAATCGGGAATTTTTTGCCGAGGAGGGATGTTCAGTGGTATTCAAGGGAAGAAACTATCTCTTTGGTGGTTGGTTCGCTCTTGAAAATGGAAAGAAAGAGTATGGACCACACATTCTTGACGAATGTGATATCGTTAAATCGAGTGGTGCAGAGTTTCACCATAATTGCGCGCTAGGAGCGGTCGGATATTTTCCTGAAGGGGATGATCTCGAGGCTAACATTATGATATATGACGGCGATTTTACCGTTAAAGGGTAAAAATAACTAAGTAAGAAAAATAAACAAACAATCATTTATACGATACGATGGAACACAAATTCTGGATGAGTCTATCAATGGTCCAACCTTTCCTCATGGGAGCACAGGTGGCCAAATTCCTATATATAATGGTAGACCCATTCTCATAAGCGGCTGGGACTCGACGAATAGATTGAACATCGACAAAGTCGAGATCTTTAAGTACGACGTCATTGATTATTTTATTTGATTCTTGCGTTAGTGATCATAACAGCTGGATCGCAGACGATGAGCTTATTTTTCCAGACAAATTCATAACAGACTACACTTCTGTTTGGGGAGAATTCGGTATTGTTGTGTTTCCGGGATCATCAGGGTAATGAGAAGTTAGCAAAAATGAATAAAATAATGTATAAAGATCAAATGTAAAAATTTGGCGGCTTTACAATAATGAGTGGACGACAATCGGTTTAACACGATGGACCGAGAGACCTTGGGCAAGAGCGGTACTTTTTCCGAATAACGAGGTAAAATAAGATAATTTTTCTTCTCTTTTATCCATACATCAGATAATGTTGGTCGGTGGTAACGAAGCAAAGGCTCATAAATTCACCAAATTCACTTTCAACGAGGACTTTACTCATATAACTGCAAGAACACTTCGTCATCCAGCCCTTTACAATTGGGATGATCCTCATGCAATTCTTGTTCCTGAGGGTTTCTGCACCCTTTGAAAAGCTTATTTTATTCAAAGAGGACCGGACGATTTGGTGAATAGGATTAAAATTCTTTAAGAAATTAAAACTGTGCCATGTTGGTTTTGTGACTAAGAAGTGTGTTTAAATACATTAAGATTTTGTTTCGTTGACAGAATTAACCGTCATGCAATTACTCAGGAATTTTCGAGTTCGTCGTTTTGTTAATTCTAACAAAATTTCTTGGCCCGCAAACTTGCAAGAGCAAAATAAACATCGGTTTATATTTTCCTCTCAATGCTCCGAATCAATTTCGCTGCTTTTCAGGAGCTCAATCTCAGCCCTTTATTCGGGAAAATTGTTCTGAAAAACGAACAATTGCCTTTTTCTTTTTATATTTTTTTTGTAATAATTTCGTAAAATGAAAGTTCTGTGCTTAATTTTGGGCGCACGGGCCTTCGAGCTTGTACCAAAACAATTCGAAGGGAGTTTCGAAAATTTTCCAGTTGAGAGAATTCTAGCAGAAAATTCGGACGACGATCTTTTCCACGCTTTTGAAGAAAGATACCGAAACGCCACTACGACTCCCTCGACGACTGAAAATGAGCTGGAAGAAGTGATGAAAATCAAAATGGTCAAAAACTTCATCATGTACCTTCAAGACGTTCCCCGCTTCGGAAAGTACTTCAATTACGGCTGCCACTGCTTCAAAGACAACGGAAAGGATTATTTGAAAAATCCTACTTTTGGAAAACCGCGAGATAGATCAGATCAAGTTTGCCAGGATCATCAGAAATGCCATCATTGTATCAAGCTCGATTATGGGTAAGTCATCCGTTAAAAATCACGAGTGAACTTTCACTAGGAAAAACCTCTCTATTTTCGTCAAAATAACTGTCGTTAATTAAATTTATCGAGTCCAGAAAAAAAGAGCTGGTTATATTTACCGTTATACTTCGAAAATAAGAACATCGCTAGGCTCGCTAACGAGCTATTTTACCATCAACAGATTAGTACTAGAAACTCAAGAATCTCTATTTCAGACATCAATGCAAAGCGACGAAGGGATACAAATTCGAAGCAAGAATGGATTCGCTAACTGGAGTCAAATACATTCAATGCGAAGATAAGGAGGGCTCCTGCGAAAAGGTATGAAAAAAGAGGTATTTTTCCGATAAAAAAATGGCTCTAGAATTTGTGCGAATGCGATAAGGCCCTCGCTTACGATCTTGCCGATACCCAGGGAATCTGGTCGCTGGCGAATCATGTCGAATGGGGAGCTTTCAAGGGAGATCAGAGTTGTGAGAAATGGACGCCTCCGAAAGTCCAGCTGAAGAGTGCGCGACTCATGGCTCAACTCAATCCGGCTAAACATGAATGTTGCGGAGAATACCCAAGGTAAAATGTTTCTTCAGAAAAATGTGATAGCTTATTGTTCTGCTTAGACGATTCCCCTATGTCGCGGATAACGGAGAAGGAGTTGAGAAAAAGTGCTGTGCTGGGAGCGTTTTCAGGTTCTTTTTTTGAATAAAATCTGATTAATTACGACGCTTTTAGTCCTGATTCTCATGAATGCTGCGATGAAGAAGTAAAAGAAATTGGAATGTGTGTTGGCACATATTTCCCTGGACTTTAATTTGACCGATATGAAAAGATTGTCTTCTTATCTTCTGTAAAGCTTTTTTTAAATAAATTTTCCTAGAAAAAAAAACGAAATTTTTTTTGATTTTAATTTTATTAGAAAATATTTCCACAGGAAGACGATGATATAAGCACACTTTCCTGTGTCAAAAAGTTATTGATAGTTTTTTATATGTACAGAGATACAGTATTGCTCAGAGAAAAGAGAGAAGAATCGAGGTCTTCATATTAGTTACATCCCATGTTGACAAATTTTCGCTTTCGGAAGAAGTTCTCCTGTCGATCTAACCTGTTTTGTACCCTAATTGGTCTTTTATCTGCCATCGAGAAAGGAGTGTTGTCTCGGCAGACGAAGGCATCGTGGAAGGTCCTAAGAGCATGAACAAAGGAGGCGACGGATCCGCACTTGTCATTCGTGTCGACGTAGGGAGCGACAAAGGCATTTGGATCGCCAGAGCCAGCGTATGTTTCGCAAAGCTCGAGGCTTTCATCGCGGAACCAGGCGTATCGTTGGAAGATTAGCTGGATGTGACGAGCCTGAAGAATTTCTTTAAAAAGAGAAATCAGAAAAAAAATCTTGCCTTTTTCATCTGAATATGATCTTTTTTGTGGGCGTGAGCGTCGAAAATCATACTCTGAAGTTTTCCCATTTCATCGACAATCTGGAACCACGCTGCTTCGATATCAGGCATGGGCTCAGCAGTGAAAGTGACGGTGAAGCCAGTGAACGAGATGGTTGGCTCGTTTGTTTTGAGCACGAGAGTCATCACGTTGTTCGTTCCTAAAAGATGTTCCCAAACGCTTTTTCTCCGGAAACAAACCTGTAACTGGCGCTTTGGATCCACTCCCACAGTACTCTGTAATCTTCTCGTTTCCATCTGGTCCATCGTAGATAATCGCCGCATCGTTTGTACACTCGCCACTCCAATCCTTTCCTTCAAGATGAAAATTCTCGAAAGAAGCGGTGATCTTCCACAATTCCGGAGCGTTGACATTGACTCGGATGTACTGGTCGTGGGCGTATCGGCCGATGTCGTCGACTGGAACTGTCCAGGATTGAGATGGGGCTCCTTCGGTGAGATCGATGCCGATGATTTCGGTGACATCAGGAGTCCAGAGACGATCTTCTTCAGGGCTCCAGAGATCGGTTGATCGACTGGCGGAGAGGCCAAAAAGTGCCAGCTGGAGCTAGAATTTTATGTTGTAGAAAAAAATACATCGTAAAAACGTCTCTTTTGGCGGCTCTTTTTCCAAAAAATATAAATTCTTACCTTCATATCTTCACTCTTTTTTCTCACTTCAGTGTATCTCTAAAATGAACAGATAAGTTCAATTGACAAAAAGTCTTCCTCTAAAAAGCCTCGGCTGATTGAACCCTTGATGGCGCTCTGGACATCGTATTGGCCATAAACAATGTTTCGATGAGCCTCAACAAGCGCTGGAAAAACCATGTATCGAGAACAAATAACAACCGTTTCCAGCACTCGCGGGGTGTTATTACTTTAAATTTTTGAAAAGAAACGTTTCTTTTCGCACGTTTGAAACTTGTTAGGAATTAGGCCCAGCTGCATGTTTTATGAACAAAATTTGTTAAAAAAGCGATTATAACATTTAACACTTTCAAATTTTACTGAAAAAAGGTTAAAGTCTTGTTTCGCAATTAAAAATTCCTTCAATCATTTTACGTTAGAAATTAAAAAAAAAATATATAAAAATGAAGTTTAAATGTAAAAAATATATTAAAACGAGCTCAAAATGCGAAATGGATAAAATTCGCCATTGGTTTCTAACTAAAAATAAAAATGTTTTATGGATAGCGGTCGTGTTATTATTCACAACGGTTTATTTCAAGAGAAGTAGCACGGATATAACATTGTTTGCACAGCAAAAATGCGTATTCTCCGGATTTCAATTTCCCAAATCATCATTAGCGATAATAAAAGGGCTTTATTTTTGCTAATTTATAAAGTTTATTTCGATTCTCTCGTTCAACTATACTCTTCCTTAGAAAGAACGTCAAAAAATATCTTTCCATTAAGGCTATAACGTCTCTTTTGGCCTCTCTGGAAAACGGACTTCCCTTGGTCGATTTCAAAAATTTAAAGGGCAAACATACTTGTTTTCTCCTAAAAAATTTAAAAATTCCATCAAGAAATACTTTTCTCTGGTAATTTTTGCTCTAGAATCATTCAAAAATCGCCATTCGGTTTTCCGAGAAAACTGGAAGTTCTGAGGTAGAATTTATCCGATAATAATATTAAACAGAGCAAATTCTATAATCCTCACGGAAAAAATTTCAAGAAATTGTCCAAATAATGATTATAGTTCTCTCTTCTTTTAAAACTCTTTTGTTTATAGACTGACGCTTGAGATCTGCGCAGCCAATCAGAGCGCGATGAATCGCTTGACTCACACGCTCGCCAACAGCGCTCTCTTTTTGGCCTGGAGGATAGCACTCCGCGCAGCGCGTCCACGCGCATTTTTATCCTCAGGTGCCAGCATTAACATGGCCCTAGAATGAAAATTTGAAGAGATATCGAAGATTTTTTCCATGGGGATTGTAGAGAAGGCTTTAATCTATCAATTGATCGAAAAAATCTACCTCTGTAATGGTAAAATTCTTCGGAAAACCGATCGGCGTTTTTTAAATGATTGTAAAGTCAAAATTTCAAAAGAAAAATTGATTTTTGATCGCATTTCTGAAATCTACGATAGATTTCAAGTATATGAGTCTTTTTAATTTTTGAAATTGACCAAGGGAAGTCCGTTTTCCAGAGAGGCCAAAAGGGACGTTATAGCCTTAAAAATAAACTCGCACGAAGCAGAGCTGAATTTTTATACATCAGAAAATGAAAACAATGACATCAAACTTTTCCCATCAGATTTTTCGAAGCCCCTTTTTTCTTAATGTGTACAAATAGGATTTCTATTTACAGCTTTTTATGATACAGTGAAAAATTCTTCAGCATTCTTCGCCAAAGTCCAGTAAAGCTCTTTGCATGGACAATAATGATCCGGCACATTCAGGACGAACTACAATTAATTTGTCAGAAGAGCCAACAAATTTCTCTGCAGATTACCTTCTCGACAAAATTTTTTCTGCAAAACACTCGGTAGGGATGAACAATCTCGCAGATCGACAGTTTGGAGGTATTCAAGTCTGACAAAGGTCGACCGGCAGATTTTTGAAAGATGATGATTCGATGATAGATTTATATCTTCAATTAGGGGCTAAGAAAAAGGCTTATCTTTCATTCGGCTTTTAATCAACTTACCGAATCGATGAATAAATCGCCTCCAAGCTCAAGAATCTCATTTCCCGAAAAATCTCCAAACCTCAACTTTTTCATTCCTCTCATTTGCCCAGCCGTCAGAAAGTTGATCTGATTGTTGGAAAAATCCAGAAATTCCAGCGCTTCCAAGTCCTGAAAAGCCCCATCAAGGATAGCTCGGATTCTGGAGCTAGAAATATCGAGGTATTGCAGCTTTCGCTTTCCAAAAGCAACGGCTTGAGTGAGGACGGGAATGTTGTTTTCTCGGAGGCTCAGCCATTCGAGGTTGGAGAGATGAGACAAGGTAAGAAGAGGGATCGTCGTCTTTTGATGAGTTTAAGATTAAATTCAATAATTTGACCAATCAAAATTGTCGGAAGAATTTCTAGAAATTTTTTTGGTTAGTTTTCGTTTTTCAAAAAATATTTTTCTATAAGAAATAAACCCGATTCCTTGAGACCACCAAGATCGACCTTCTTGAGAAGATTGTTATTGTGAAAGAGAAAAGGTGAAATTCGCGGTGGTTTCTTCGCTGGACCGATTCCAACCCCGGTTAATTGACAGTTAGACGCGAAAAGATCTCCAGGTAGCTCTTCAAAATCGTTTTGGCCGATATTCGTCACTAAAAGAAATTTTTATAAAAGTTTCTCTTACTAATTTTTACCTTCCAAGTCGATAAGATTTTCAAATTTCTTCATCAAGTCATCTGTCGAGTTGAGCCCTGAATTCCAAGCAATGAACGTATTCGTCTTTCCTGGAATGATGATCTCGTTCAAATTTGACAAGTCTTTTCTGCTGCAGTCCAGAAAGCTCTCGTTCGTCTCTTGTTGCCCTTCCAGAACTCGCCTGGCGATTTTTTCGTATGAACAAGGGCCGATGTTCGACAAGTCTTCAAGTTGACATTCTCGACTTTTCATTATCCAACCATCTCTACATCAGGGTTCGTAATCGGTCGAAAAAAATCGGTCGACAATTTTGAGATTTGGAAAAACTCGATCGAAAACCCTTTCCTGCAACGATTTTTATTCCAACTCGGAGTTATTTGAATACACCTTCCCTGACGGAGGAAAAAGCCGCAATTGCAGGTACAGCCCCATCCGTTCGGCCCTAGTCGGCAGGATGAGTTCTTTCCGCATTCGTTCTCGCAGCCTTTTTTCGCCTTGCAAATGGGCATTTTTTGATTCCAGTTGCACATTGCTTCCTCAGAAGAGACGTCGCAATCGCATTTGATCGTTTCTTCTACCAAGCCGTTTTCAGTTTCGAACCCTTCATTGCAAGAAACTAAGCAGACATCATCAATCGGGCAATAAATGCTGCCATTTTCCGGCGCAGAGAGAGAAGGACAACTTGGATTTTTTCGGCATCGAATGGCTCTAGAATCGGACCAACGGCACTCGCCATTTGTGCAGTTGCATTTTCGCTTTCCAGTTTCAGAATTGGCAAGATGAAAGCCTTCCTGACAGATTGTCGAGCAGACAGAGCCGGATTTATTATCATCGTCGCACCAGTTGACGCCATTTTTGGGTTTTTCTAGAGCCGGACATTCTGGAGTTTGGATATTTACGTCTTAACACAACTTGTTCTATGTTTCCGAACTGATTTAAAAGTAGAAAATATAGATTTATGAAATTTTTAACAAACTTATGGTTTTTGATTTTTTTGAACCTGACATTTTACCATCTTTTATCCATTCCTAATTCTTCTGAAAAATCAACCTCATCCCCAAATAAATCCCTCAACTCCGCCAAAAACGCCGAGCCAAGAACATTTCTCGATCTGGCCGATTCTGGCATGAAAACACCGCTCGGAACACAAGAAGCGCTTGTTTTCGGCATCCACTGTTTATTTTTACACCATTGGAATCTGCTCTTGTCGTCCGCAAAGTCGAAGCCATCGGAACACGTGACTCGGCAAAATGCAGTTCCATGGCGAAGTTTGCAGGAAAGTTTGCCGTTTCGAGGCTCTTCTAGTGGCCCACAGGGGTTCTTTATTCAGGGATTTTTTTGGAAATGCTACGTTTTCGGAAAAACTTGCAATTAAAAAGCCACAATTAATGACGTCTCATCGTCGAATCAGAGGAGTGCCGCGACTTGCGAATATCATAAATAATTTTACGATCGGAGGCGTCAAGTTCTCCTGCCGGCAGAGCAGCAGACTAAAAAAAGAGTCCCTCCCAAAAAACAGAGAATCGAGATGGTCGCCCAAACTGCTCCTGAGTTGCAAGCTGTTATCGACTTGAACGAGGAAATCTCCAAGCTTGTAACTTCTCTCGGAGGAACACCCTACTCGATTGTTGTCGGTGAGGATGGCCGAGTTGTTGTTCCTGATGAGTTGAAGAAGTCGGATGATTCCAACGATGCCAACAACGATGCCAACGACGATGCCACTGACGCCTCCAACATCGACGACTCCCAAAACAAGGATCCCCAAGACGAAAACGTTACTCAACAAACCCAATGATCGCTCTCTCGAGAAATGAATATGAACATCTTTCTGCTTGACAATCACTTTCCTTCCTGAACTCCTCCGAAATTCAAATAAATTTGTAAAAAAAAAATCTTGATTATGAATATTAACAATTTAATTCAATGTACCAACGCGCGGGTCTTTCAAGTAAAGTGAATATTTCTAAGAGTTTATTTGGAGAAAAGTGAAATAACGGTTTATAACGCCCTAATCTTTCGGGAATCCGCCATGTTTCCACCCTGATTACAAATCATAAAAAAAACTGATCATCTGGCATAATAAAAAAGTGCGATAAAGTCAAAAACAAATTTGCTTGCATATTGTTTTTCGAATAGTTTTGCTCTCATCATAAAAAGCGGATAAATCGCACGACATCCGGTAAATTTACGAGCTTTTTCATCGCTTCCCGCACAAATGAAACAAAGACGCGTAAGAACATATCGTGAAAATCGTCTCATTGCCAAGAGAAAAAAAAAGAAGCTGCTGTTTATTGCTGCCTTTTTGATATTTATTATGTCCTTATTTGAAGTCTTTTATTTTAGATAGTGAGATGGAAGGCGCTCTTAAACTTAACAACATGCTCGCCGATTTGATCGAAGATCTAGGCGGAAAAGCATATCGGATCGAAACTGTCGATGGTCAAGTCGTGGTTCCGGAAGAACTCAAACCAAAGCCCGAACCACAGCCCGAACAAAAACAAGAGCACGAACCAACTAAGGAGGACCCAAAGCCCGAACCAGCACTTGAACCAGCACCGGAACAAGCACCTGAACCAGCGGCTGAACCAATTCTAGAAGAACCCAACCAGGAAGAACCAACAAAATGTCAACTCAATCCCGCTCAAGAAAAAAGTCCAGAAAAACCCAAAGAAGTACCAGCTCCTGAGGAAGAGGCACCAGAAAAAGCTCCGGAAGAACCAATTCCAGAAAAAGAAGTAGAAGTAGAAACATGTGAAAAAAAAGCTCCAGAAGCCCCTGAAGAAGAAAAAGAAGTTCAAGAAAACGAAGAAGTTAACGAGGTTAGCGCTGGGAACTTGATTTTGGGGGTACCATTTTGGCATTTTTACGATGAATAGTAAGATGTATTCAACAATTTTCTGCTCCGATTCGAGGCCGGCCCTAATAAACCTAGATTTTTTGATGACAATAATCCGATTTGTCAATTTTTTTATGAGAAAACGATAAATTACAATATAAGCCTCATTCAGAAATAAAGATTTCTTAGTGACACCCATATTTCTACAGGGCTAAAATAAGAAATTACATCAGTGTCTTGAATCCCTTTTCCTGTCTGTATGTAAAAAGCGCCCACTGTTCCGGCGACATTTTCTCTATCCAGCTGGAAGACGAAGCCCCAAAAGCCAGTGCTTCAAAGGAAATTGCCTGTACATCCTTAACCGAAAGCAAAAGAGAAAAAATCATTGTTTATTTTTCCAATTAATTTTAGGGAGAAGGTCTGCCGTGTTAAAATGCAGGAGTCTGCGGTTGTTATGCAACACGGTGGCGCTCTAGCGAGACCGAGAAATTTGAGGTTTCACGAAAATACGGATTTTTTTCCTTATTCCCGGAAGTGCTGGGGAGGAAGCTTTTGAATTCTGAAGAATATATTTTTCAATTTCCATTTCAGGAAATCAAACAAGCAAAAGAAGAAGGAAAAAAGAGCCGAGAAGCAGCACGGGAAAAATACGGCGCTGGGCTCAAATCCGCTTTCCAGGTCCGAAAATTACGAACAAGAAAACTCATCCACTTCCCATTTAGACAATCGACCAAGACGGAAGTGGCTACGCGACAGTCGACGAAATTACGAAGGCTATGATTGCCAAGGGAGAAGTTTCTCCTGGTGATCGAGAAGCTGAATTTTCAGCCGCTCTTGTGAGTATTTTTTTGCAATTTTTATCAAGGAAAAATTCAAGAAAACCTACATCTCAAAACTCAAATACGACAAAACTCGTCCAGGTGAGCTGAATGAAGAAGAATTCGTCAAGTTTTGGGCCGATTTGTATGCTTTTTTCAACAAGATCGACAAAGATGGAGGTAAACGAGAAAGAAGTTAAAAATCACTAGACTTTTTCAGACAAACAAATCGAAGTAATTGAAACCGTTGAGCTCCTGGAAGCTCGAGCTGATCGATATGGACTCACCAAAGACGATATCATGAAGGTTTGTCACCATTAAAATCTTTTCGTTTTTCAATTTTTTTTCTAGAAAGTCGACTTTTTCTACAAAAACGCCGACTACAACAAAGACGGGAAAATCTCCATCATCGAATTTTTCATTAGCCTGCCCGAACTTGAAAAGCTTCTGCTCAGCAAAAATTGAATTAATCATCTCTAGGCAAATAAAAAGCAACAAAACCATGAAAAGAACCATGTACATTCGGATAAACTATTTTTTCTTTGAAACTTTTTACAGAACAAGTCTTGAAGCAGAAGGTCTTCTAGAGTTGAATGATGATTTCAGGCTATAAAAGACATTTTTTCTAAGAAAATTCTGCTCTAAATCGATTTCACGAAGATTTTTCCTCAGCTGCATGAAAATTCTTTACCTTAGAAATTGAGAGTCATTCTCTATTCCTCTTTTTCTCATGGTTCTGACTCGATAAATCGTGTGCCTCAGTTCCTTCCTAAATTTCTTTCCCATGAAAGAATACAGTAAGCAATTCACAAGAGGATGAAACCAAGTCAAAAATCGAGCAGCGCTCTGAAGAAACTCGCACAATCCCGTTCTAAGAAAATAATTAGCAGACCGAAAGGCGATTTGAAAATGATTTAACCTGACTCGGAGGCCATATGCCCAGGATAGATTTAAGACGTGAAATGGTAGCCAGCAGACGACGACAGCAACGACCATAAGAAAAACCATCAGATTAAGATTTGAGTTGAACTCAGACATGCGCTTTTGTCGGTTATTGTTTTGCATTGTCGAGGAAATCGTCGGTTTTCTGATCGTATTTTGGCTCGATGCAAAATGAAGCGCCGTCGTTGAGCCACTTTCGCTAGAGCAGGGAGATGGTCGCTTCATTTTTGGAGTACTGCCGATGCTTCTACCCCGGGTTCTGGACTCGCCGAGCTTTTTCGCCAAGAATTTCGCGCTCTTTATGATCTTGATGTAGCACCAGGTGATGATGATGACGGGGATGAAGAGCATGATGATCATCAAGTACCAGGACAGGGTTTTCTTCTGCCGAGATGAGGGGCAACCGCAGCGAACATCGATATCTTTCTGCTTTGGGTTGAAAGAGGCAGACTACTCGAAAAAATAAGTCAAAAAGCATTTCAAACCCTTTTCCCAAATCTTATCTTTGCATGGATCTTCTGGTTGGTTTTTCAAATCGCAATCTGGAAATTGCGGCTTCCAAGTTGCATAATGCATTTTCGGATTCGACCAGATCCCCCAAACAAAACAATCAGCTGTCGTGATAGTTTTGATCTTTTCCTTCTTTTCAATTTCAGAGTAATAGAAATTTTCACCGCTAGATGGCGCGCAATTGCAAACTTCCTCCTCGTCCATCTCAGGAATTTTTGCGAGGTTCCAATCTCCTTCTCCTGCTTTCCAAGATTCGCACATGTTTGAGCTAGCTTTTTCGCTAACAAATGTGATCGAAACTAGAAAACGTCAAGTGATGAAGCTTAAAAAAAGTACCTCTAGAAAATAAGGGAGCAGCAGATAAGAAGGCAACAAGCCAAATGGCAAGGCAAGTAAGGTGAACATTTCGTGGGAAGCTTTTTCGTGACCAAGTTGTGACTTTTGTGGTTTTATGTCTGGCAGACTGTCTGATAGACATTTCGCCTGTCTCATTTTCGATAAGTTTTTTGATCATTATCGAGAGATCAAACAGGTTTGAAGCTAGTTATTTTCAATGATTTTGACGACGGCAATTTGTCTGCAAGACGGAAGCTGTCTGGAACAAACAGAAACAAGACAGAACCAATTCCTGGGTTCATCTTTATCGAGCGCCACCTGTCAACAGCCATGAGCGTGACCATCATCATGGAAATAATCGAGGAGACACACTTGACGGGTTGCCCCAGTCCGCATACTTCTACGCCCATTACCCGATTACCAGATCTTAAGTACGGTTTACGCACAAAATTCATTGTCTTTCTGAAAGATTGACAATTGTGCAAACCGGAGTACCCAAAAGGAAACAAAGAAGTGCTGAGAATATTTGCAAGAGTCATGTGGATGAGAAACTGTATTTTGAGTTCCAATAGATTATGTCAGTTTTTCGACAAGAACCATCAATCGAATTAGAAATTAATGAGATAGATCTTTAATATAGAATCTATATCCGATAAATTTTATTAGGGTATGTTCTTTTTAGTAAGAAGGTATTTGACCGACAAACTCATTTTTTGCTCTGAAAAATTGGAACCCGTTCGCAAGGAACTCGACGTTCGATATTTTGTTTCATCTTGAATCCAGACTAACACAACAATCAAATTGACACTTTCAGCCTGGTCACTTTCAAGCGCTTATGACTAAAAAAACAAAAGATTCGTATAAATAAGGACCGAGATTTCCTTATGCCAAGGACCATCATTATGATCGTGAGTGGGTCGTGTTCCTCCATGTTATTCGGATTATCCTCGCTTGAACTTGTGTTGTTCCCAATGTCAGAAATGTCAACATCGGTTTCGTAAGCGGCGGAAAAACATTGCAGCAAAAGTTCTTCGTAGCAAACTTTTGGCTCTTTCCATGAGCTTCTGAAAAGAAAAGACCATTAGATCCGTTTCGACTTTAAAAATCAACCAAATTTTTTTTGTAAAAAGGTGATACAGCGCAAGTTAATTTAAACCTGTATGATAACCGAAATCTTACTGGTCAGTCCGCCGAATATAAGAATTTGATTGGCCTAAAGATTTTAATCTTAAGCAAATTTTTTCCGAAAATAAAATCATTTTTTGGTCCATGCGAACCGCCTTCCTAAAAGTACCTCAAAAGCTCTTCAATATTTTCGCCGTAAAGACTTGTCCCTCTTATACTTTCGTTCATTCTCTGACTTCTGATGAATGTTCTCTTATGCTCATTATTTTTAGCTCTCCCAAAAACGAAATATGATTAAAAAAGTAAAAGACACCAAAAAGTAATTTTCGTCCGCGAGTTCAAAGCGTCCGACATTAAACCGCCATCTAGCGCCGCAACTTACATCCATTGATTTAGAGATATGCAACGATACCTGTTCCTGATGTAGTTGTTGTTTCAAATATTTATCAGATGATGTTGAATAATGAAAAAGGGATGGGGGTAAAATGAGTCAAAAAAGACGTTTTTTCGTCATAAAAAAGACCAATTTTGTCTGTCAATTTAAAAAAATAAACAAAAAAAAATATTTTCTGGGAAAAAATTGGTCTTTTCATTCATTTTTGACTAGAAAAAAGTCGCTTTTTTGATCAAAAAACATGATTTAGTCCAAAAATAATTCCGAAAGACGAACTTGTCTTTCGACAATCGTCAATTGACAATTGTATATTGCTGTGCTTGAAAATAATCACCGCGAACTTAACTACAGTAAGAAAAGTAATCGTCTTACAGCGGTGCGCAAAAAAATAAATAGCTATCCAAATAGCGATCAACATTGATTACCGCCAAGCTCATGCGGATTTTTCTTCTTACTTTCGCGAAGTGTTCAAATTTATGCAATACTATCCAAAGTAGATCTATCTCAAGTGAGTTGGTTTCGCGCTAGAACGGAGGAAAAAACCGTTTGCAAGGGGAAAAACATGCACTAAATTATTAAAATTGGTTGTTTTTGAGCACAACAAACCTATCTTTTCCGTTTCAAAAAGTTTCATCTTCAAGTCATCTTCCCGTCAATTAAAGGATATCCTAAGAACAGCTTTTATTCCGAAAAATTGCCGCGGGAATGATAAAATGAACGGTATTATTGTGGTTTTCAATGAAAATCTTCGAGAATTTTCTTCGTATTTTAATGAAAAGAGGTCAAAAAGGGGGCGAACCTCCTAAACTTGGCAGCGCCCAGCCAAATTAAATATGCCTTGAGGGCCATGTCCCCGCGTGTGATCCAGCTCAAACTGGTCACAAGACTAGCTCGCCTTCTTCATTCACCAAATACGGCACAAAACAATAACGCAGGAGTTATTTTTTCAATTTCTTGAACAGGATACCATATCATTGTTTTTGTAAACTTGACAGCGAAGAGCAGAGAATAGTCAACAGAAGAGGTTATAATGTATCATTTCGCGATCGATAGAGGTGGAACTTTTACAGATGTGATTGTCAAATTGCCAACAGGAGAGCTCAAAGTGCTCAAGGTACGTCGGCGCAAACTCGTGACTTTCTTTGTTTGATCAAAACAGGGCGTGGCCACTCTTGGAACAAAGATACCAGGCCAAGGTCGTGCACTCTCGAACAGAGGTCAAATCCTTTTTGAGAGTTCTTTCAAAAGCGAAAGATTCGTTTTTATTGATTTTTAATGATAATCAAGCTAAAAATATAATTAAAATCTTTCTTATAAAAAAATTTTTTATCAAAAATTTCAGCTTTTGTCCGTGAACCCTGAATACCCAGATGCCCCCCGCGAAGCAATCCGCCGAGTTCTCAACTCTCCAAAAGGTCAACCCATCGACCACTCTCAAATCGGCTCGATCAGAATGGGTACCACCGTCGCCACGAATGCTCTTCTTGAGCGAAAAGGAACTCCTACCGGACTCGTCATTACGAAGGGATTCAAAGATGTGGTCGACATTGGCACTCAAGATCGACCGGATATTTTTGACATCAAGGCTGCTAGGGCAAAACCGCTTTATGATGAAGTTGTGGAGATTGAAGAGAGGGTGATTCCAGTTAGAGAAGACTGCAAGATGGTCAAAGATAGAACTCAAGAAATTACAGGCATGGCTTTCTTCTTCAATTCATTGATTTTTAAACAAATATTTCAAAAAATTCTCAAGAATTTTCTGATAGAGCCAATTAAAAGCATCGACCGGCGAAAAATACATCGTTACTTTAAAAATCTCCGAAGCAGATGTTCGCCAAAAACTCAAATCCCTCCTCGACAAGAACATCAAATCCCTCGCTGTCGTCCTCTGCCACGGTTATGCTTTTCACGATCATGAGCTCTTAATTGAAAAAGTCGCGACCGACCTAGGTTTCGAGCACATTGCCGTGTCTCACAAAGTCATGCCGATGGTGAAAATGGTTCCAAGGGGACAAACAACAGTTGTTGATGCTTATTTGACGCCGACAATCAATACTTATGTTCGAAACTTCCGATCTGGTTTTGCTGATTCTGACAGCCTCAACAAGAAGATTTTGTTCATGAGATCAGATGGCGGCCTTACTCCAGTAGAATCATTCTTCGGTTCGAGAGCGGTCTTATCGGGTCCAGCAGGTGGCGTGAGAGGATACGCCGCGGCGACGTATGAAAGATTGGAAGAGAAAGCGCCTTGTATTGGATTTGACATGGGTGGAACATCAACAGACGTTTCTAGGTGGGATGGACAGGCAGAAATCGTCTACGAAGGGAAGGCAGCACAAGTGCAGTTGCAAGTTCCTCAGCTCGATATTCAAACTGTCGCTGCTGGTGGAGGGAGTATTCTGACCTTCCGAGGCGGACTGCTCCAAGTTGGCCCCGAATCTGCCTCCGCTTTTCCCGGGCCTGCGTGTTATAGACGTGGGGGACCAGCGACAGTTACAGATGCTAATCTTGTTCTTGGACGGATCCAGCCAGACTTTTTCCCGAAGATTTTTGGCCCGACGGAAGACCAGCCATTGGATAAAGAAGCCTCGCTGAAAGTCCTTCAAGAACTTGCAGACAGAGTCAACCAAGCAGAAGGAACAAACAAGAATGTGTTCGAAATTGCAGAAGGATTCATCCGAGTGGCAAATGAAGCAATGTGCCGCCCGATCCGAAATTTGACTCAGGCGAGAGGCTTTGATTGTCGCACCCATGTTCTTTCTTGCTTCGGCGGCGCGGGAGGACAGCATGCCTGCGCCATCGCAAAGTCGTTGAAGATAAAGACGATTTCATTGCATAAATACGCCGGAATTCTCTCTGCTTTCGGCATTTCAACATCCCCGATTGTCGTAGAAAAGCAAGAGCCAGCCGGATCTAGAATCATGGACGAAGCAACGCTGAAATCGATCAATTCGAATCTTGAAAAACTCGCTGAATCCTGCAAGGAAAAATTGAAGCTGAAGGAATTCAAGGAAGACCAAATCGTTATCGAAAAGTTCTTGCGATTGAGATACCGTGGAACTGACTTCCCCCTCATGATTTCCGAAAAAGACCTTTCTGGAACAAGATCAAGTGATGATTGGACAAAGACTTTCACAGAAAAGTACACGAAAGAATTTGGTTTTCATTTGAAAGATCGGGAAATTTTCATTGATGATTTGCGAGTCCGAGCTGAAGCAAGAACCGGCGCTTTTTCAGAATCGAGAAAGAGAAGTTCTGGAACGGCGGATTTCATAGGCAAAGCGGAACTGTTTCTTGATGGTCATTTGAAGAAGGTAAAAATCTACGATCTTCAAGAACTCCCAGCTGGTTCCTCCGTCCCTGGCCCTGCTATCATCCTTTGTGGAACCTCGACCGCGATCATCGAGCCATCTTGGACGGTGAAAATTGACGCTTTTGGCGACATCTTCATGCATTTTTCGGAAACTGAAGTCAACAGCAAAATCATCGAAGAAAAAGTCGCCGATCCGGTTCTCCTCTCGATCTTTGGTCACCGATTCATGTCAATCGCCGAGCAAATGGGTCGAGTGCTCCAGAGAACTGCGATTTCTACGAATATAAAAGAGCGTCTTGACTTTTCTTGCGCTCTTTTTGGCCCAGACGGAGGCTTGGTGTCGAATGCTCCTCACATTCCTGTTCACTTGGGAGCGATGCAACAAGCAGTTCAATTTCAATTTTCTGTTCAAAAATCTCTCGTCCCCGGAGATGTCATTCTTTCAAATCACCCCGAAGCAGGAGGAAGTCATTTGCCAGATTTGACGGTTATCACTCCAGTTTTCATCGATTCGGATCACAAGCCAAGCTTTTTCATTGCCAACAGAGGTCACCATGCTGATATTGGTGGCTTGACGCCAGGTTCTATGCCGCCAATGTCAACGAGTATTAATGAAGAAGGCGCGATTTTTAGGTATTTGCAGTTAATCTTTCTAAAATTTTTTCGTTAGAACCATAAATCTGGCAAAAAGATAATCGCACTGAAATTTTTGGAAATTAAAACCTCGGCATAAAAAAATCAAAAAAATGGAAATTACAAATGTAATATGTACAAATGTAAAAATATGTTTCTTAAAATTGAGAGCTATCTTTTAAGGTCCTTCAAAATCGTCTCGGCCGGCAACTTCCAAGAGTCAGCCCTGATCGCCCATCTCAACGAGCCAGCAAAACACCCAGGCTGTACTGGAACACGAAATCTATCCGACAATCTTGCCGACCTTCACGCTCAAATTGCCGCCAATGTCCGTGGCAGTCAACTCGTCAAGGAGCTCATCGAAGAATACTCTTTTCCGAGAGTGTTGAAGTACATGAATTGGATTCAAGCAGCGGCGGAAGATTCTGTAAGAGATTTGCTGAGGAAAAGTGTGGAGAGGATAGGAGCGAAGGTTTTTGAGGCAGAGGATTTTATGGATGATGGAACAAGGTAAGAAAACCATTCTTAAGATTAATAATAGAAACGCCCTCGTTCAGAATTTCCTTGAAAATTTCCGTTGATCCCGATTCAGGCGACTCGATCTTCGATTTCACCGATTCCGACCCGGAAGTCTACGGAAACCTTAATGCCCCCCGCGCCGTCACCTATTCTGCCGTCATCTACTGCCTCCGTTGCCTCATCGGCTACGACGTTCCTCTCAACCAAGGCTGCCTGAACCCAGTTCAAATCAAGCTCAAAAAAGGCACAATTCTTTCTCCCTCGGAAACTTCTGCTGTTGTTGGCGGAAACGTCCTCACAAGCCAAAGAGTCGTAGACGTTGTCCTCAAAGCGTTCAAAGCAGCGGCGGCCAGCAGCGGATGTATGAACAACTTTTGCTTTGGAGATGGAAATGTTGGTTATTATGAGACAATTTGTGGCGGAGCAGGCGCCGGTCCGGGCTGGACTGGCACTTCAGCGGTCCATACTCATATGACCAACACGAGGATAACGGATCCGGAGATCATGGAGAATCGATACGGTAAGTTGAGGTTTTCTTCATAAAAAACCAGAATACTGATTTTCGCAATGAAAATGAGCAGTTTTCTTGAACTTAAAAAACGAATTAATTTTTTTATAAATATGAACGAACAAATATTGGAATTAAAGTTATTTAATATTATTTTTAGCGGTTATTCTTGAAGAGTTTTCTATCCGAACCGAATCTGGTGGCGCTGGAAAATTCAAAGGAGGCGATGGCGTCATTCGAAAAGTCCGATTCAGGTAAATCTCCTTCTCGAACGCCGCCGTCAACAACCTCTAGAAAACCTATGGACGCATCGCTTCTCACAGAGCGCCGAGTGAATACCCCGTATGGCCTCAACGGCGGCCTTCCTGGCTCCAAAGGCAACAATCTTATCCACAAAGCCTCGACGAATACGATCATGCGCCTTGCTCCCCGTTGTCAACTATCTTTGGAGACAAACGACACGATTGAGCTTCAAACTCCCGGAGGCGGCGGCTACGGAGCTCTAGAAAAGCTCAAAAGCGAAAAACGACTTGCAGAAAATCAACCCAGAAGACGATCGAAGCGGGTTAAAAAGTAATTATTCAATTTCTGTTTCAATAAAATCATATTCATGAATTCAAGGAAAGCGTTTTGAGAGCTTATTTTTTTATTCACAAAAATCAAAATAATGAGCAGGGAAAAATTGTCAATCAAGAAATGTTTTCTTTATGTGTCTTTTTTGAAAGGACTCACGTTGGCGTAGACGTAGCCAACGTCGTTGTATGATTCGTACCCGTTGATAACATCGATTTGAAAGCCATTATAATCATAGCCAGATTCGCTGACAAAGAAAACAGTCACGGACGATGAAGAAAATGAAAATCGCGTTCCCTATTTGAAATGACAAAGAAGTATTTGAAATTTGACCTACTGAAGAATATGATCCGGAAAAAGCATAATCTTCATTCGTGCTGTTGCTGAAGGTCAGGGATTCATAGCTTTGCATGGTAAAATTGTTAAAATTGAAAGTGATTCCATCGGAAGAAGTCGTGAATCTGCTCGTGCAAGTATGCCATGGGTAGTATCCGTTTGGGTAATTTGGCGATCTAAGAATCTATTTAATAATTTTCTATAAAATTAATAAAATAAATTCATGAAAAAAATGTATGTCTGACTTACTGTATGGTTCCAGAAGTCGAAACAGAATATTCATAATGGTTACTGCCCTCGCAAAATTCTACAGTATTGGAGTTGATTGAACCTTGTTGGCAGAAAGAAGAGCTTGGAGTTGGTGACTGATTGTATGGTAAGCTAGTCGTAGTGTAAACGTTTTCGCCGCAGTTAGGTCCAGTAGAAACCGGACCATCAAAGCTACAAATATGAAGAAAAATGAGATAAATGTAAGGAACATACCCGCTACTAGAAGCTCTAGAAATAAGAGCAATGATGACTAGAATTCCAAAAAAGATCACAGGACAGCAAATAATGCCGAGACAAAACTTGCCACATGAATTGCTCGATTCCTCTTGTGGCATTATAACTGGTGAAGGTGGCGGCTTGTAGGATGGAGTTGCTGAATTTATTTCATAATTTTTTTGTGTCGATAATCAAAATTTTCAAAAAAATATCTTTGCTGGTATTTTTAGCTTAAAGCTATAAATTATCATAAGGGCCTTATGTTTCAACTCACGTGATGGTTGGGCTGATCGAATCGGTACAGGAGCTGCCAAAGTAGGAGGAGTGGGAGCAGCATTTTGTTGAATATTCAGGATAACTGGTTGAGGACTTGGTGCTGGAGCGGGCGCTGGTGGTGGAGCTGCGTAGCCGGGCGCACCAGCGAAGGGTGCTGCAGGATAAGGCTGCTGCTGACCCTGTGGTGGTACGTTATTAGGATACATCAATAGCGTGATCTGCGGTTAGTATATTTTCATCAATATTAGAGTTCCTGAATTCTAGAAATTATTTTCAGCACAAGTCCTCGAAAATAGCAAGTACTTACTGCATCAATAAATTTTTAACGAAGCGCGCGAATTTTCTTGCTAAGCAGAGGAGATATTCAGAAGCACGGGATGAATAAATCACCATTCTTGTTCTTTATAAATCCGCAGAACGCGTGTTTTCTACGTGTCTCTCGCTTCACAACTGGAAAAGAAATAAGATGGACTCGTAAGATCAAAATTGAACACTCCCTTGAACTTTCATTTTTCATTTTAAAATTAAGTTCTCATGACATCGACGCGATTATTACAGACAGAGAAGCTGCAGAAATTCACACAAATGGCTTACCTTTGTGAGTTTTTCAAGAGCAAAGTTAGGATAAACGATTTTTAGGCGAATGATAATTGGAAAAATCGTCGTGGGACTGTATCTTTTTGGAATTGCGGTCATGGTTGTCGTCGATTTGTTCTCATACTGCCTGTAAGAAAAAAACCGTTTTGAGTAGAAAAACAGTTTTTTTAGTTTGCGAGATAGAAGCGACAGCTACGCAAAGCAAGAAGAAAAAGAGGATGTCTTTTTTGCCAAGCGATACAATATGAAGTCTTCTTTAATTGAATGTTTTCCGTCTCTAACTGATATTTCTAGCGCTTTCGTCTCGAGAAAAGGAAGTCTTCGGAGAGATCAGAAGACAACGATCGATTCAAAAACCTTGACTTTGGAATCAAAAGCAAAGCATCAATCCTTTTTGAACCCAAAACGACTTTCTCTCCACTCGATTTGATATCTTGAAGTCTTGAAATAAATAATTTTTGTATTCAATTATATGTCAGATATGGGTTTTTGCAGGTTGAACAATTTTCTTCAAGAAACTTGGTCAGGCAGTTTTTGCAAACTTTGTGTCCACATGAAAATGCGTCGTGTTGATTTTCCCAGACTCCTGCTCCGCCGCAAAAGCTGCAGAAAATTTCCTCGCCAAGAAACGCTTGAAGCGCTTTTTCATCAAAAGTCGGCATCGTATGGAGCTCTGAAATGACTCTTTGAGGAAATAATTGGCAGTGGAGACTCGTACCTGGCTCGAAATTAGGATCTATTGACGCCAATTCGGCTTGTTCTTCGTTGACTTCATTTGTCAAGCATTTTAGTTGTCGGATCCCTTCTAGAATCGAGCTCTCAATTTCGACCATTTTTCCCCTCTTTACATTGATGCTCGTTTTGCTTTTTGCAATCCGATTGTTGATGCTTCTTCTTTTGAAAGCTTCCTTCTGAGTTCTGGAAAAGCCATCATGATTATGCTGCGAAAAGAATTCGAAGGTCAAGAGTTGACTGCAGGGTTCTTCTAATGGGCATTGAAAGATCAGGCCGTGATGGTGTTCGCTTTCTCGATGCTGTTGAAGATTCTCGTCAAAGGTGACTTTGCAGTCGTCATTTGTGCATTCTTTATTCTCGTTTTCGTTGAAGCAGTTTTCACAAATTCGCTGAGGACAGATATTTTCATCCTCTTCAGGTTGGTCTTTGAGGTAATGAAAGAAAAGAGAAGCCGTCACTTTTCTGAAAAAAAAAATTAGGAAAAATTTAACAAAAATTCCCAACCTGCAGTAGAAACATGTATTTTGATCAGTACTCTCTGAGAACTGTAAATTTAGCAAATCAATTGGAACACCTAGATCAAAATTTCGCATAATAATTCTTTTTTTACCGCCCCTCTCTTTTGAAATGCATACGGCGGGCAAATTCTGACCTTCCAAAAGGGAAAATTAGTATTTGCTGACCTCCGCTTATGTTTATTCTGAAAGAGCGTTTTTGGTGAATTATATTTTTCCGACTCGAAAACGTCAAAAAGCGATTGCAAAAAAGAGTCTTTCAGTTTTTGCCAGAGTTGCAAATTTTGATTAATTTTTCTGAGCTGACCTGAATAAATATTTCTCTTAGCTGAGCTGGCCTATTTCGGAGATTACTGAGCTGAGCTGAGCTGGCCTTTTTCAAAGGTCATTGAGCGGAGCTGAGCTGAGCAGACCTTTTGTTGAAGAGAGTTAAGCTGAGCTGAGCTGTGCAGACCCTAATTAGACTCTAATTTAGAGCTGAGCTGAGCTGATTTTTACTGTTTTTGGTAGTAAAATTGTATTCAAATTATTGAGCTGAGCTGAGCTGAGTGAAAATTGTCTGACCTGAGCAGATCAGATCATTTTCCAAAATCACTGAACTGAGCTGAGCTTATCGACTGCTCAGCTCACTCAGCCAGCTCAGCTCACTCAGCTCAGCAAATTTGCAACTCTGGTTTTTGCTGATTAATTTTATTATAAACAGTTTGAAATTTAATAAACTTTTTTCTTTTTGAATCATTTATCGTTTCTTGATCTTGTCCAGCGTATTCGTCAACTTGTTTACTTTGTTCAAGTGTTTTCTCACATTGAGACAGCTCAAATCAGTTCGATTCATGAACGGCGACAAGGAAAATGTATTTTTGATGGGTAATTCTGGCAAAGCAATAGCAGGAAAAGGCGACTCTGGCGGACCCTGGTACTGTTTCATAATCGGTAAGTGCATTTTCTCCCTTTTTTATCAAAAAATTTCTAAGGAGTTCAAAAAGTCTTTCGCGTCGCATCTTTTGCTCAGAACGAAGAAGCTACCTTTATCGACGCTTATACCGTTATACGGGTTATGCTGCAGTTTTCACTCCAATCGCTTATCAATATCTTCGCCGCTGGAATCCAACAAATAGGACTCTAAAAAATTACGAAGAGTAAGTTTTTTCCTCTATCTCCTGTCTGCTTATCTGAAAATTCAAGCATGAATTAATTGTACGAAATACTGTCGCGCACAAGATAATCTTAACTTCTTCTTCAACCGTCTCTAAAACTGGAGCAATCAAAGTAAAAAGGAAAGGGATTTGATCTTGACCCTCAAAAACTCGTCAATTTAAATCATCAATCCCATAGAAGCCCAAAATATGACCAAGCTTACAAGGACTGAGCGCGCCAAAGAATAATTGAATTCAACAAGAGATTTCCGCCAAAACGAAGATATGGCACTCAAGAGCCGTTCAAAAGACCAACTTACAAGCAAAACTTCGGCATTCCAAAGAAACCAACAGTTTCTTAGCCAAAACAATATCAGAAAACGCCGTCTTATTCCTGGAAATATTAACAAATAATCAGCATAACTACAATTCGCGAAACAGCTACAAAAGATACCAGCCTCCAGCTCAAAAGAAACCGACTAACAATTGTCAATATCGAAGACTGCAGCGACAGCAGCCTGGAATCACGTGTTCCTGCAACTTAATATCTGTTACACTTACCCTGCCAATATATCACTGATGCATCATTACATTCAAAGAAATTTTTGAAATGAAGCATTCGTAAATTTAAAAAGCAAAAGGTTATTAAGGTTCTCAATGATACTTTGATAGCTTGTTTTGAAACTTCGGCCTTATTATAATCTTTTACATCAGAGGTCATTGAGCATTTATTTGCTTGGTCGTCAAAGGCCATGATAAATAGAACGCTTTCATCGAAAATTGCTTGTTTCTGAAAATGAGACCTGCTCTGTTGATCTTCATTTTTCTTCATCCGGGAGAGTGCGGTTTGATTTTTTTTTTCTATTATTTTTTATTTTTTTAAGTGTCCCCGGGGGCGATAGCTGGAGGCAAAACGCTTTATTCTCTTTATCAAGTCATACAAGAATCGAGAAAACTTTTTGCTGGAAAGAACTGCGATAAAAGTAATATTGACTATGAGACAAAGCTCATTGAGTATCAATTCTCCGACTTCATAAAAAAACAAAAGGCTTGCGAAGATAAATATGGCGCAACAATATGCACATGTCAGTCTTTCGACCATATTGTTCGGTCATTAGCAGCAGACATAAACGTAATTATTTTTTTTCGAATGAATTATTTAAAGAAATATTTCTTCTCAAGAATGACTATCAAGAGAAATGCTCATTTACATGGATTAGACAACATGGCACATATTCGGGCTATTGGTGGCTGAAAATGAGGTGAGTAAAAATACCAGGAGTAGAATTTATCTAAAGGTGAATTTATCTTGTCTATTCAGAAACCCCGGTGCTTGTTATCAAAGTCGCCTTGAAGAAAGAAATGAGAATGTACTTATTAATGGTCAGTTTCCGCATACGTACTATCGATGGGCAGCGATAAAAAATGATGGAAGAGTTGTTTACTTGCCGAGCACACGTTCTGTGGGTATGTTCACTTCGAGCAGCGAATTATGGACCAAACGATCATATGTTCCTTGTATGCCAAATTGCGAGAAATGCCCGCCAAAAATCCAAAGAATCAAACAGAAAATGAGAGATGCCAACACTGCTATTTTATCTTGCTTCTCGAACCTTAAACCATATGACTAATGAATAAATCGTTGTCTATAGAACAGGAAATGATCAAAAATACAGAAAATTTTGACCAAATTCATCTTGATGGGGGGTGATTTTCGCTCAAATTTGGTCAAAATGAACCCCTATTCTCGACTACCAACTGATATCAAGAATTGCGATTTTCCTTCAGACTTTTCTCCCAAAGTTGAAATATTAAAACCCTTATTTTATCCATGTTCCTGCTTATTAATTTTTTTTCGACTCGAAAACATCAAAGAGCGATTGCAATTTTTTTAAAAAGAGTCTTTCAGTTTTTGGCAAAAACTTTTTGCGGATTGATTTTTTTATAAACAGTTTGTTATTAAATACACTTTTTTCTTTTTGAATCGTTTATCGTTTCTTGATCTTGTCGAGCGTATTCGTCAACTTGTTAACTTTGTTCAAGTGTTTTCTCACATTGAGACAGTCCTTGAAGTAATGATCGACGACATGCCACAAATCGTCAGTGATCTTGTGCGAAGAAAATTGATCGCCCTTGGAAGGTTCGACGATGTTGATATCTCTTCTTCGTCTGAAAGGAGCAACGGGCTCAGCCGAACCATTCCATGACTGGCCGAAGGAAGGATTGGACTTTCTGCGGCAATTGTTGAGAAGAGGGGTTTCACCGGCGTTGCAACCGCGTCGGAGTTTGCAATTGGGAGCATCTGAAATTGAAATAAGGAGGACTTATGATCAGAAAACAAACCATTTTTGATGTTTCTCTTCAATTTTGTCACGAATCGTCGAAGTTTCTTTTTCCCCAAATCGATTCTTTGAAATCCCTCATCTCTCATCGCTTCCAATTCTTCTTCAGCAGCGGTTTTTGCTTGCTCCAAAGCATCACTTACATTTGGCGCTAGAAATAATTCAAATTTCGTCTTTCGGGTCGAACTAACGATTGACACAAGTTTCTTCATAATCCGAGCAGCAGAAATCAACATGAAGTCCAATTCCTTCGACGAAAAATCGATCACAGCCGAGAAAGCAGCCGCACTTGAATTCAGCGCTTCCAAAGATCAGATGATTTCCAAGACCGGGCCAGAGGGATACCCACTCGTTGATCTTCTGGATTGTAAAGACGCTGGTGCCGTCTGGTTGGTATGCGTCGTAGTAGAGTTCTGTGTCTGTCTGGCAGACATGGAAACCAGCATCTGAAAAGGAGGTTAATTTAGAAAATTTTGGCCCAAAAAACCTTAGTCAGGTTTTCAACACAGGGTTCTGAGGTCCTTTTTTCATACCTAAGTATCCATTGCCCTCATCCCCGAAAAGATTCCTCCACTGGGCCCTCTCCTTACAAGACCCAGACCACTCTCCTCTTGCCATTTGCCCATCACTTTTGATCTTCAAAAAGTTATCGTAAACTTCATTCGCCAGAATGGCCGGGGCAAAAAGCGGCGCAATTCTCATTGTTGATTATTTCAACTTCTATTTTTTCTTCTGAGCGATTTGGTATGGAGCGATTTATATACCAGTCTGGGGTAAAGCGATTGATGCAGCAATCGGTGGCTAAAAGGATTGCCCTTTCCGGAACGCCATGTCGATTTGTGTGTTTACCACATCTGAGGCTTTCTTTAACCTGTTTTTAAACGTGGTAGTTTGTTTTTTGTCGGATTATCTTTTTAGAGAACAAAGGATGAACCCTATTATATCGATAAAAAATTAATAAAAGCAGTTTTCGAGCCGAAGCCTCTTCTGATCGTTGATAGTTATTTTTTGCTGGTGGATTTGATATTTTGCCTTCACTTCAAGTTGGCATTTTGGTAATCACTTCCGATCCGGTTATTTCTTCACGGGGAGGGATCCGTAGAGGGATGAATTACTCAACATGGAGCCACGTGGGTTCATCATGGACCGTTGTTATTTTCGGATAAAATGATGATGATCGAACAATTTTTTTCGATGGAAATAGGGATTTTTGATGATTTTTTGACAGCAAGCATTTTTCAAATTGAGTTAGTCGGGTAGAACAGGAGAAGAAAACCTTCTTTTATCTAACAGTCAAAAATGACTGCTCTCAATTTATCTACGATTAAAACTCAACGCGAGCCAACAAAGTTCGTCTGAATGATCAAAGAGGAAAGAACCTTTTATGGCGGCAGAATCGGCCGAATAAAATAAAATTAATTGCCCAACGCAAAAATACGTAACAATCTCGAATTCGAATAAGACCTTTTTCATTTCAAGAAAATTCGTAATCGGTTACAATTTCTCGTAACAATTACCATTTTATTGGCAAAAAAACGGAAGCTGGAAAAACGGCGTATCAGAGAACACGACAAAGTCAAGGCAAACAAGAAGCTGGAACGAGAATATTTGCACTTTAAAAAATTTTTACTTGCTCAACGAGAAGAACAAACAATGAAATTTTTACCAAAGAGATATGTTCTAGGGACCAGGGCTTCAAGCCAACGGTAGAAATCTGGCCCGAAACCTGTGTAGAAAACCTGAGTCAGGGTCTCAAAAGAGCTTTCCCACCCTGTGCGGATTTTTAACTTCCCTGACTCAGGCTCTCTGGACAGTTTTTCGAGCCGAATCCTCAAAGCCTTGAAAAGCAATTTTCGGATTTTTCACTACTTTCAATGTCTATTCCCTTCGAAGCAATGTCTCCATCGCCATCGTCGAAATGGTCCAGAAAAATAAAATTCCAGAGACATCAATTTCGTCAAATTCTTCAACTTTTCTCGAGGACACGATTTGTCCATATCCGGAAGAGTCGAAAAACTCAACAGAAGAATACATCATGGAGGAAGAACGGCGAGTGCGATACGCTTGGGATGAAAAGGCAAAGGGCCAGATTCTCGGTTCTTACTTCATTGGATATACAGTCACTCAGATTCCAGGCGCTTGGGCGGGCAGAAAATACGGACATATCAAGATTCTGACAATGTCTTTCTTTGGAGCGGGATTGTTGACTTCGCTTCTGCCATATGTCATGCTTCAGCTCCGAGATTCCGCTGCTGTCAAATTTTTCATCTTCATGCGAGTCTTGATTGGCTTCTTACAAGGCTGCTGCTACCCGACCTTCATGGCTCTCTGGGGGAGCTGGGCACCATCTAGCGAGTTGAGCCGTCTGGTCTCGATTCAATTCGCCGGCGCTGGAATCGGAATTGCTGTGATGTACCCAATCAATGGCTGGTTAGCCGTCGAGTTTGGTTGGCAGTTCATTTTTTATTTCACTGGAGTTGTTTCGATGCTATTTGCAGCGGCGCTTGGGTATTTTTGCTTTGATACTCCAGCTCTGGCTCTAGAATTATCTTTCTAAGCAAACTTAATCAGCTCCTTTTTTCTCTGAAAACTGATTTCTAGAGCCAAAAATCAGCCGATCACAATTCAATCTCAAAAGAAGAGCTCACCCTCATCCTCTCAGACAAAAAAGAATTAACCAACGAACGGCTGGTTATTCCATGGAAAAGCATTTTGACGAGCATTCCAGTTTGGGCAATCGTGATTGCTCACACCGCCGGAAATTTTGGCAGTTACGTTATGACAAGCTACATGCCGAGTTATTTGGATGAACAGCTTCATTACAATATCAAATCTGCAGCGATTTTCTGTTAGTATAACTTACTAAGTAGAATAATAAGGGCGTCACCGTGATAACAATCATTTCAGCCGCAATACCAGCGCTAATTAAACCAGCTATGACGATGATTTCTGGTGTTTTGTCCGATTTCCTCGTTGGTCACATGCAAATGAAGACCATCACTGTTCGTAAAATCATGTCGACTTGTGGCCTCTGCATTGCTGGAATCTCGATTGCTCTTGCCGGCCATGTCGGTTGTAATGCACCGGTGATCGTTTTTCTTCTTTCGATTTCGCTGTCATTTGATGGAGTTACGACAAGTGGGTTCAAGGCAAATCATGTGGAAATTGCTCCGGGTAAGATTTGATTTTCATTTTTTAATTTTGAGTTTGAAATTTAAGGTCTTTCGGGAATTACGTATGCCATGGCAAATACCTTTGGATCACTACCAGGAAATGGTTCAATTCGATTTTGACAACGGAAAATTGACCTTATTTGAGGTTTTCTTCCTTGATTTCACAATTTTTCAATCTTTAATTTTTGAACCATTTCAAAAGGCTTCATCGGGCCAGCAGTGACGGGACTCTTATTGAGCCTGTTTTCGGGAATAACAGGATGGTTCATTGTTTTCTGGCTTACAGCGATCGTCTACTTCGTCGGAGCCGCGGCATTTCTGATTTTCGGCACTTCTGAGGCGCAAAAATGGGCGAAAAATCAAGATGACAAGTGAGTTTTTTTCGCGATTATGAAAAATAAAATATCATTCTAGAGGATCGCTCCAGTTTTTGAGCCGTGAAAACAACGAAGACTGACTTTTACAGATTATTCCTTTTTGAGATAGAATATCTCAAGACTGTTAATTGTACCAAATAAATCAACACAGCATGCAAAAAATTGTTCAAAGTAAGCATAAAACAAATCCACGTTTTTTGGCCAACTTGTATGATTGGATTAGGGTAAAAAGAATTTTCCGCTTGTGAGTCAAATCTTAAGAACTTGTTTTCTTCTTGAGATTTTCAAGAAAAAAGAAGTTCGGAACTGTTCATTTCATATTGAAAGAAATTGAACCTAAGTATAATAAAAACTAACGATTTGGCACTAGTAGATCGTAATTTCGACGAAAAATAATAATAAAAGTTAGAATATAAAATTTTTCTAGTAAAAAAAAATAATTATTTCCTTCTATTCGACAGCTTTAATTCTTAAGGTTTTCAATCATTCTTCCAAAAAACGATTTTTTATTGAATTATCGCCGTAGAATAAGCAGTAATTTTCTCGAAAACTGCCAAGTTGGCAGGTTGTAATCTGCGTTGTCAATAAAATTGAAGCTCAAGTAGAAGACCGATGGTCGTTATTCTGCTCAGAATTCGGCGGAAATAACTGAGAAAGAAAAAGCACTTTATCATGGCAGAGAGCATGAAGGTTCAAAAGCAAGAAAATGAGAAGAATTTGAATAAAGAAGATCGCTGTTGCAATAGATGGTGGCACTGGATGATTGGATCTACGGGACGGATTTTGAATCGATAAGAGTTTTTGCAAGAAAAAGTTTTTGTTCAAAATCCTTGAAAGATAAGAGCTGAAGGGAAAGCTGCTTCATGGATAGAAGAGGTAAGCAGAATGAAGTTTCTGAGATTTCCAAGCAATATTACTATGGAAAATGCTTTATTCTAAGCTGTTGGAAAATTCATGATTAGAAAATCCTAAAATCTATGAATAAAATTTTTTCTGAGAGCAAAAATTTTTCTGACGTATTTAATTTCTTTCGCATAAAACCCACAACGAGAAGGCCGAGCCACAGAAAATGCTCATAAACAGCCATTGAAATTAACTTTAACTGCTTACGACGACAATAAATCTTGAAGTCTTCTCAAGTTGAAGATACCGTAGCTTAGACACAGCATAATCAGCATCTTGGCCTTTCTGGTATTTTTTTGTGGAAGGACCAATCGGATTTTTGAAAAAAATCTCAAAAATTCAAGTAATTTGTTTGTTTAGTCTGTCCATTCGAGCAAAAACCCAAAAAAGGATTCTATCAGTGATAATTTTCGGAATAATTTTGTTGAAAAATAGGTTAAATGTCCTTTCAGAATTGCCGAAAAGTCCCCCTGGACAAAATTCTTCGAATTCAAATGGCATGTCGCTTCAGCGCGATCGCTTATCGTGACGAAGTAAGAGTCTTCCCTTTTTACGATTTGCGGTTAATTTTATTGGTTTGAAGGATCATGTTAGGAGGATTTACAACGAAATCTTTAACCCGGCCGCTGCGATTGACGACAAAAAAGCTCAAAAGTGGAAGAAAAGGAGCTTGTCAAAACCAGCTGTTTATCAGCAAGAACTGAATATTAAAAAAGTTTTCTGTAGATTCAGGCAAGTGTTGATATTTCAATCAAAACGCAGGCTTTGATGATTTCGTAAAGAAATCTGTGGCAAATTAACGGTTTATTAAATTCATAATTGAATCATAATTTGCTTTAGAAATCGTGTCATGAGCGACTTTTTTGATATGAAAATTTGGCGTTAAAAAATTTGGTTTCATAACAAAAATAATTATTCATTATTATCAAAAATTATTTTTTTAAATATATCGATTTGATTCTTAATCTCTTTGATGAAAGAATTAATTTAATTTTATTATTAATTTTTTAATGAAATTATCAATTAAGTTATTTATGAATCTTATCACAATAGTATTATTAGAAGAATAAACTTAATTTACAGTAAAGATCAATAAATAACAACTAATGGAGACCAAATACTTACCGATCCTTACTGTAAACTAGGGTGGGCAAAAATTCTTATTACCGTTATGATCCTTGAGGTCCACAAGACATCTTTCATCACTCCTTATATCCAAGGAGATTAAGTCTCGATACAAACTACTTAGTGACCATTATTTAAGGGTTATTACGGTTTTTTATCGACAACGGTGCTTTTTGAGCCTTAATCTCAGGTGTTCCTAAGTTTCAGAATACTCTTTAGTGGTGACGAAAAACTTGTTTGTAACTAATTTGCACGAACTCTCAGTTTTAAGGGCCTCCTCACTCAGTCTAAGCCCGTCATGGCATCGATTGGTTCTTCCCGAAAGAGATTCTCTAGAGGGTTTCAGGAATTCCCGACGGGTGTGAGCACCTTAAAGTTCCTTTTTTAGAGTCTTCCTTAGATTTTTCGCTTTAGCCGATGATCCGACTCAATTGTCTAATTCGCAAGGTAATTTGCCTCTTGGTTCCCATCCTTAACTACTCAGGATAAATGTAACTTCTCATGTGATCCTACGATAAGGTTTAAGGTCGTTCGAATGAATGGTGTGTCTCGGGACATTTAGTTTTATTGTCTCAGTTCGATAGCATTTAGGAAGAGTTAAATTACTGGCCTAAGAAAGGATCTTCAAGTATCCGTCATTTGTTCGAGAGTCTCAGTCACTCGGAATAATTAATATTATGGTAGCTAAGCATTTTATCTCGAAAGACGCCGGGGGTATGTACTCGTCGAAATCACCGTCATCAGTTCATCTGAGGGTTATGTTATTCGATTCTTGTCTTAGGTTCATAATCATTTTTGAGATTTAATCTTGAGCGCATTCTTTAATGCCCTAAGTTTGTCTGGACTTGCCATGATGTTTTCGAGTGTACGCATTTTAAAGATAAATCATAATCCTGAATCGCGTCCCGCGGCTCTTCCTGAGTTTCCGTTTTATTCCATCTGAGATGTTTTATGGTCCCCTGATACCCTTTCTAGAGAGCGAAATTATCATCGTACAGATTTCTAACCGTGGTGATTATTTTACCTAACTTTGCTATGTCCGGTCTGATTGGGAATTGAATAAACTTAGAAATGGTTCTAAAAATTATGGCCCATTGTATAGGTAGTTGAACCGAGCTTGATATCGTTTCACGTGTTGTTTTCTAGCTTAACACTCAGTAAGATGATTAATAATCCTAAGAATTATAGTTAAGTTACTAAGTCATTTGTTGTATATCAAAAGGATTGTTATCTCGGTCGCCCGAGAGAGTTTTTATGGCATTTTTAATTTCATCTAGGAGACTATCCAACGAAAGCCGCTAAACTAAGTCTTGATCCCAGCTCCGTGTTCGAACTCAGATTGGCCAAAGCTGCTTTCAGGCTGGATCCCTGCGAGAAGCCAGTAGCAGAGGAAACCTTAAGTCTCATTCGGTTTCTAAACTTTTGGATTTCTTTCCCCGTGTCTCAATCGATATCTTATACTCTAAGATTTGGCGTTCTAGACAAAGTGAAGAAGTAGCTTAGTTTAATTAGCATCCTTCGGATCTCTTCCGTCCGTAGATCTTTCTAGTATGTTTAACCAATCAGTTTACAGAAACTAGTGCAATTCTTTATCTTAGTTTATCGTTTGTTTCCCGTAATGATAAATACAAGTATCTCAGTTTTCTTGGCTTTGTTATGGTGATCGATCCTTACGCTAGAAATGCTCTGCCAAAAGTACGAATTATTACCAAAATTATAGGAGTTTTCTCGAATATCCACGTCCTAGTTAAAATATAAGCGACTTCTTCCTTAGTAATTGATATGGTTTCCCCACTATCTCCAGTTTACCTTCTCCCTCGTTCTCATTGTTGTATTCTTCGGTGTCTAAGTTCTTATAGCTAAGTTATGGTGGTGACTCTACGAATAAGTTTCCCGGAAATCAATCTTAGGTTAAAATTATTAACCGCCTATTCCTCAGTTATCTATATGGTTTTTAAATTCGTTCTGAGAAATTTTTGCAAGGGTGGGTAGAGAATTTTCAAATTCTCTTTCTTAGCTGCTTGTTTTCGGATTCCGGTCCGCTTCAAGCGCTTTTTGAGAAAATTTTCCGAGAGGTGTTGATGCCTCTCTGAGAAAATTCAGAATGAAGTGTTTTTCACTTTTTGCTTTAGCGCGGCCCATCCTCAGGAGCGTTCTAGAAATATCGTGACCCGCGCACCTGATTTCAACAACACTCACGCTCGGAACTGGCCACCATAATCAAAACAACTAAGTTATACTCTAGAATTTCGACTACGCCTAAGTTAACCTTTTTTCTCTTTTCTTACAGTAAAGATCAATAAATAACAACTAATGGAGACCAAATACGTTCCCTCTCCATATTTGGAACCCCATCTCAGTGTGGCGTTTATGAAGTTTATTCCCGTGAATTTGATACATGAGGAGACATACAAGATAACATTCCTTAGTTTTGATCTGTCAAAGGTCGTGATGCTGAGTTTCGTCGTTTTCTTCCTGCCGTAGTCTTGAACTGTTCCCCTGTGAGTGACAAGATAACAGCCTGAGTGGAGTCGTTATATCTGAGTAGAGGTTTGCTTTCTGAGTCTTGAAGGATTTCGCTGATTTTTCTATCGTTACGTGTCCAGGAAGTCTTAGTTTTGAATGTCCAGTCATCCTGAGTTGAGTCTAGAATTGTCGGATTTTCTCCATTATACATCACCAGTAGGGGGGCCTCGTCTGAATCCACGTAAAGATAGACGAGCGTGAACTTCTTGTCGAGCCTGTCCCAACGGGCATGAGTGGCGATTTCCTCTTCTAAGCTGTATAGGTTTGTTGCTTCGCCCGTCACGTAGATGTTTGTCTTCTTGTTTGAGAGGCCCGGTTCCCTACAAGCTAAGTGCCAAAGCTTCTTCACCTGTATGTCACTAAGGAATGCTTCTTCGCAGATTTTATGCAGAGTTTTCTGGATTGTCCCTTTCGAGTCGGTTCCAAGGTCAAGGTCTGCCAGTCCGCATTCCTCCTGCGCTAAGTGGATGCCGATTCGTCTCTCCATCTTCTCCAGCTTCTCGTCGACGTTCTTGTCCCTTCTGGCGATCTTGATGATACTCAGTTGTTTTAAACTAAAAAATTTTTTGTATCCCGATAAATCACGTGTAGGTGATCTACCTTTCCCATTTCTCCAGCACAGCGTTTATGTTTGAGTGGTTCTTTACGTTGTGATAGAAAGACTTCACCTCGTGCCAGTCGTAGTGGTGTTTCTCAGTTAAAGTGTCAAGGTGGTTCTTGAACTCTTCTTCCTTGTTTTCGCCATCTCTCACCATTTTCACTAAGTTGTTTGCATACCAGTAACTGGCAGACTGACAGGCCATGGAGACTTGTAAGTTGAGCTGGTCCTTCCTCTCTTCTGGGGCATCACAGGCATCGGCCGGTGTGACTGGAGACCAGATACACCTGAGTGATCCACAAGTGTTGAGTCGTTGCCCTTTTCGGAGCATGTTCACGGATAGCATTCTGAAGATCGGTCTTTGTCAACTTCGGTAATCTTGTTAAATTCTAAGTTTAGTGTCGAGAGTCTCTCAGAAATTTTTCGAAGATAGAAGTTTCCTCCTGATTTTCGGATGTAATTTCTTCCGTCTGAGTCTGTCCATCCGCCATTTTCTTGATTGTTCTCAGTTTAGTTTGGACCATCTTAGGGGGTTCCCAATCCGGTGTTTGTGTCGATCTTTCGCACCAAGCTTTCTTAGCCTCGATGTCTCCCAGTCTCAGTTTCTCGTTTTGTTGGTATATTTTGAAGGCCGATCCATGCTTCGTCGCTTCTAAGTGGTGATTTCTGTAATATCTCAGCATTTGGTCGTCTCTCCAACGGCAGGAGTTGATGATCTCGTCGTCCGCGATTCCTCCGATCGAAGAGTTGAGAACGTATCCCAACCGCATTCCGTGGGCCCGTGGCGCGATCTTCCAGCCCAAGGTTTTCGCTGTCTTTTTCAAAAAATAAGTGACCTTAGCTGTATTCATTTCTTGAAAGACCGGGCCTTTCTTTCGTTTCCCGATGCTGAGTTTTAATCGTTCCATGACTGGGATAATATCCGTTGGCTTAGAAATAAGGATCACACTTTCTCTCCTTGTCTTTTTACTGTTACTCTTGCTTACCCTAATTGGCATTCTGAGGAAAGTGTGATCGTCCTCTTGATGTTCCTCTAAGTCTTGGATCTTGATGTTGCAAATTTCATTAGTTCTGGCTCCAGTAACGTAGCAAATGTAGCTCACGAGCACCACCTTGTGCCGAGTTTCTAAGTTTTTCTTTGGGTGAGGGTACCACATCGTATTCCATACTTTTTCATGTCCTCCCATCCAAAGAAGGGAGGCGGATTTGGCTCATACAGTTCTCCTTTCGCTTGCTCCCGGGTTCTCTTAGTTATGTAGGATCTTAACGTCTGAATTGCACCATTTGTTAGTTGATATCTTAGGGACTCTTCTAGTGCATAAATTAGTTGAGATTGGATTAATGTCCATCCGTAGGGTTTACCCGGGTTATCTATTTCTAAGTTTCCTACTAACTCCTGCATCTTCTCGTCGTCCAATCGTTCTGAGTTGGTATTCTTTTTCAGGCCCACGCGGACCCATTCGTTCACTGCCCAGTCTCGGTCTTTCATTCTAAGTTTCGGGAGAATTTTTAGATCCTGTGGCGTTATATGAGGTATACGTGGGATATATTGAAGATAAGTGCAGACTTTTCCAATTACTGAGCATAAGGAAGGTTTTTCTAAGTAATTCTAAGTTCTCTCAGTTGTCATATTCTTCATATCATCTACTGTTCCATCTTTTGTTCAGAAGGCTGAGCATTTCCTCGTCGTTGATTTTCGTTGTAACCTGAGTTGTCGCGGTTTCTTCCGTGGTAACCTCTGCCGCCATTGTAGTTGCCTGAGTTGTTTCTGTTGTTGCTGCCCCAACCACGTCGGTTGTTGTATCCTGAGTTGTTGTGGTTGCCGTTGCCATTGTGAAACCGCCTGTTGTCATTGAAAGGGCGTTGATCCCGTCGTCGGTAATCGAAGCCCTCCCGGCGATCTCTTCCTGAGTCCCGCCCTGAGTATCGTTCTCTTCGCTCAGTTCTAAAGCCGTTGTCACGTCGATCTGAGTTTCCATGTCGTCGACGCTGCTCTTGGAAGTTGTTTCGTCGGTTGTCAGGGCGGCTCCCTCTCCTGCTGAACTGGAGGCCATATCTAAATCCTAAGTTATGGAAACCGTAATGTTTCTTTTTTCTGAGCTGGTACATAATTTTAAGTCGTGCTAAGATTGATATTCTAATTTCAAGAATTGCGTTAAGTTCCGCATAATTGTTCGTGATTACCTCGATCTTTCTTCCTCAGTTAAATGTTCCCGAACGGGTGCCAGCTTCCGTTGCATCATTTTGGCGACCTGGAAGTCTGCGCGTCCTTGTTTCAGTATTTCATCTCTCTCAGTTGTGGGGTCGATTGAATTGTTCAGATCGTTTTCATATTCTTTGTTTTTTCTTAGTGATTTTATGTGTCGTTGAAGCTCGACCTTGAAGTCCGCATCTGCAATCTTCATTGCCTCATCTAAGAAATCTTGTCTTGAGCAGGTCGGATTTTCTCGGACGAAGTTGAGTACCTCTCCTACTTGTCCGCGATCGTGGGTTCCAGGTTCGCAGGCTTTCTCGTATCTAGGGTTAGCGTTTAGCAGTAATCATGCATAAATGTCCAACAAGATTCATTACATCAGGGTATCGCCTGGGTTTATCTACTGAAATTCTAAATGGGGAGAATTCTTCTAAGTTTTATGGTTGGTATCTTACTTGTAAAGAATCTCAGTTATTTTTGCAAAGCTCATCGTTGTAACGCTCTTCTTATCCATCAAGAATTCCCGAAACTCAGTTCCCATTTCGTCCAGATTTTTCTTAGGTTTTTGTCGTAGTGAGATTGTTCCTCCTCCGATTCTGAAGAATTTACCGTCGCTTTCGTAGGCGAAGGGCTGGCCCAGCATTGTCAGGGAAAATTCTTTCCAGAGGCGATCAGCGTGGACCCACTGCTCTCTTAGCTTAGTTTTTTCTTTATTCTTGGCGTCGTCCAATTTCTTAGCTTCCTCGATTTTATCCGCCAATCCTTCTTCCCTTAGTTCGTAGATGTCTTTGTCTTTACCCTTGAGTAGCGATCCGGATTCTTTGGACTTCTTTAGAAGAGGGAAACATTCCAGTTTCTTCTTCCATTCCTTCAGTGTTTCCAAGGCTTGTGAAGACTCACGTCTTGCCTGCTCCCATCTTTCCTTAGTCTCTTTCATGTCTGAGTAGTAAAGCTTGAAGTCTGAGTTCTTCATGTTTTCTTCGTGGATTTCACGGAATTGTTTTTCATCAATTGCCACTGGTTCGATGAATCTCTGGATGTTCGACTTAGTTTCACCCTTGATCATTGAGTCCCATAATAACGGTTTATTTAGGTTTGTCGTAAATAAGGCCATTCTAAATTCGTTAAATAAAAGTTTGGTTAAAATGAAATTTGTTTCCGTTAACAAGAAAAGAAATTTCTTAGTCGAGGACAGGTGCTGAGAGGTTTGCCTCTTGGGCGAAAGTATAGCAGTCTAAGTGAATGTGCGTTGTCATCTTAGTTTGTAATTTTACGTATTTTTCTTCCATTTCGAGAGTTTCTCTCAGTGTTTCTCCGATGTTGTGTAGGAATTCATATTTCAAGTTGTCCTGAGTTGATAGCAAGATACATCTCTCGATCGACGACATGGAGGTGGTTCGGAAGAGAGGAAAGACTTTCGATGTTGCGCTCAGTAATTCCTCCAAGGATGGTCTCGTGTCGGCCCACTGTTTCCTTGTTAACTTAGTTTTGTAGCCGCTATAAAACTTCGAAGTCCGAATCTGCTCTAGCTGGTACTGGTATCCGTTGAAGAGGTTAACTCTTGCATCGTGCTTTTTGTAGGCGTAGTCTCCCGCTCTTACTGAGGCAACGAACCAGGGGGCCATTCTAAATTTGGAGAGCTCGTTTTCTTGTTGGATAATGCACTAAGATTGAACAGGTGGTTTTGCTTGGAATTTTCCAATATCCCTTAAAGCTATCAGACCACTTTTTCGAAGGGAAGAGAACAGGATTATTCTTAATATTTCTAAGTGTGCTAAATTCCGGGCCGGTGGCCACTGGCCAGATTGAAGAAACCGCTTCATACTCTAAGATAACCAGCGCCCATGTGTTTCGTCTCGCCCGTTCCTTAAGCCAGAAAAAGGCCTTTTCTGTGCATTTCTTGGGCGGGAAAACCCAGATGTTGTGATCCCCGAAGTCCTTAACTGAGAAAAAATCTGAGGCCCACGTGTTATCCTCCTCTCTCCAAGAGATGAAGTTTTTGCATTTCTTGTTGTTCGGGCTGGCCATTGCGTCTAAGGTAAATTTTATTTTGAGAGTTCTCTCAATCTCAGTGAAAGCTGAAGTGCGAAAGATAGCTTCACGTGAGTCGATCATTCTCGAGGCCGCGTCCGCTTTTTGTTCTTTTGTAGGAACCCATTCTATTTCTAAGGAAATATTATTGTCCGCCGCCGTTTCATGGATCTTGCGGATTAGTCTATTCAGGGCCGGATTCGAGCAGCCGTGCTCGAAAGTTCTGACGACAGCCATGTTGTCGTTTTTAAAGCTAAGTCTGCGGTTTCGAAACTTTTTCCCGAAATTTCTGAGTGTGTACAAAACGGCGTATGCCTCTTTTAGGTGTATGGGGTCTCTGCTTATCGCATCACCTTCCGTATAGGGGACATTAATATCTAAGTTTTCCGATTCGATGGTGACTCCAGCCGCATAATTGCTTGCGTCTGTATGTACCTCAGTTATCCTGGCTTTGACAATACCCGGCTTGAGCCAAGATCTACTTTTGGCTACGTATTTCGAGCTGAGCCATTCATTAATTTCATCCTTAATATCCTGAGTCATTTTAACGTAATCCTCTCCTTCCGATCTAACCAGAGCCTCAGTTATCCGTCTTATGTAGAGTCTCATATTTAAGGCGACCAACGCGAAAGACGCCATCTTCCCCCTTAGCTTTTCCAAGTCCTTAAATAAGACTTTGGATTTCTTCAAGATTTCCTTAGATTCTTCAGAAAACTTCTCCCACTTTCCCGGTGGGATCTCAACCGTGCATTTATCGGTGTCCATTATAAAACCTAAAAATTCTATTCTTCTGGTGGGAACCAGCTCGCTCTTTGGTCGATTAATATAAGTTCCCAAGGCCGTCATTATCATCATTCCTAAGAAAGGTCCCTCGGGGACCTTTTTCCCTTTGAGAAGGTCTTCCGCTTCTGTCTTAGTTTTTGGTCTTGTGATAAAAAGTCTGTCATCTAAGTATAAGAAGGCCTGGTGGCCCCTTTCTCTCAGAAAATTAATTGCCACGTTGTTTATCATTTGGTAGACTCCGGGAATCTTAGGGAGACCGAACGCGGCCGCTGAGTAACGAAAGAGTTCTCCCCCGTACGAGCAATATGCCATTTCTCGGCTAAATTTATCTAAGAAAAGTTGGTGGAAACCCGACTTGTCGTCCACTTTGGTCAGCAAGTCCCCTTTTTCTAGGTGATCCAGAGCCATTGCGGCTGTATCTAAGTGGCAGGGTTGTTTGTGCTCTTCACAGAACTTTATGGGGCCCCCGTTATAGCACATTCGATAGAGCTCAGGTCCTGCTTTTGGGGCGATAACTATATTTCCGATCATTAAGGGTCTTTGAACGTGATGCCAGGGAACCCACTCAATACTCCCCGAGTTGGACCATTTAATTAATTGCTTAGTAATAACGGAGTGGTACTTGGTGATGGACTTTGGGTTTCTAAAACTTAAGTTCTCAATGTTTCCCTTATCATTTCTGAAGACTGGGGTCCACACCTCTCGCGGGTATGGGTACTTTTCTGCCCAGACCACTTCCTCCTTGTGGCAAATCGAGGCATTGTCTGGGTTAGTAATTTTCTTAGTAAAAAATGATTTGTTCTTATAAATTATTGGTTTTTTCTCCGATATCTTAGTTAAATTATCGAACAGGTTTACTCCTTTATGAATGGTGTGATAAATTTCGCCGCGGTCTTGGGGCCTAAGTCTGTTCGAGATTAAAAACCAAATTGGGGACATTTTAGAAAACGAACCTGCTTGGAATTCTGACTCTGCTCTAAACCTTATTAACTCCCAGTCGAGTACAAGGTTCCCGTTATCGTATTTTTCTAAGTTATCTAAGCATCTTAATCCATAAGCTATCCAGTCCTGAGTGTTCCAAATCGGTGTATTCTTGTCTCGTTCCAGTTGATCGAGCTTGCATGCTGCAATTTCATCTGAGTTGCGATAATCGAATTTTCCTTCTTTTATTAATTCCAACGTTTTCGCGCGCGCCTCATGAAAGTTATAATTATCTGTCATTCTGAAATGTGGACGTGGAATTTCCTTATTGGATATATTTAATTGTAAAGGCAGATTACATAATTCAACTCTCAGTTGTTTTTATCTCAGTAGTTATTTATGATCTAAGTAAAATTATTCCTTCTTTATAGTCGGGCTCTTTTGGCTTTCCTGACGAAATTTTCGTAGATGTTTCCGGCCTCTTCCTCTGAGTCTGAGTTTTAAGTAGTCGTCGGGATTTCTCCTTCTTCTTCTAAGTCGTATTTCGAGGACGTGGCATGCCAATCATCGATGCCGGCTGCGAGAGCCTCATCTGCTTTATCCAAGGCCAGTGCTGTGAAAACCATCTTCGATGTCTCCGACTTGAGTGGGAAGAGGTTTCTTAGTTCTTGTAGTGCGTTCTGTCTGGTAAAAGTAGGGCTCTCAGACATTCTCAGCCAGTCGTCCATTCTGTAGACGGTGTTATTGTGTCGTCCGAATAAACGTTGTAGGCCATCCTTCGATGTTCTGACTAAGTGAGATAAAGTTCCCAGGGACAGCTCGAAGATGTTTGGGGCCGTGACTGCCCGGAGAAGATCGACGAAGAAGGCTTGGTAGGTGTTTCTAAATAACTCAGTTTGTCGAGGAATCACTAAGTTTGTATTCGTTTCAACTACTAAAGAACGTTCAAGATTTATATAACGAAGATTTACAAGAAATACATTCTAGGGAGTCTACGTTATTTAGTACGGAAAATTTTTGACGGGAATCTTAAAGTGAAGTTTTAAGGTCTTTGAGTACTCACCGTGCTACGATAAAAAGGCCATCTCTCAGATTTAAAGACCACGTTCGTTTCTCCTTGCGTTCGTCCATGAGTTCTCTAAGTAGTGCATTGACGTCGGCAAATTCTTTATAGATGCTGGCGTCGAGTGGGACTTTCTTTACCATTGTCTGTTCTGAGGTAAGATTGGGAAAAAGATCGTACAGGGAGAAACGTGTTGCCGCGTAGAGACATTTAGCTTCTCTTCCCAGTGTTAGGGCCAGCATCTGAGTGTAAGTTGCTTCGACTCTATAAGCCTGTTGAACCGAAATTTCGATCGGTTTCGAGAAACGGCCGGTTTCTTTTTCAATCTCAGTTAAATCGCGTGTGTAGTCTGTCGGGACCACCGTGTCGTTGTGCTGGTGTGCTAAGTGAAGTTGGTTTGCTAAGGTATCCACGGAATTCTCCAGGTGTGCTTGATTTTTGACCACCGAGTCGACAAGCTTGACTTGCGCCTGCAAAGTGATGACTTGTTCTTGCAACACCTTGATCGTACATTCTCCGCTATCACTGAGTTTTTCCTGCACTGAGCCGCTTGTTCCAAGTTGAGGCTCTTGATCTTGCTCAGTTTGAGTTGGGGGAATCGAGTTATGCTTGCGAGTTTTGCTCATTCTGAAGCCTTTGAACCTGAGTATATATAACAAAAATTGCCCTCCAAGAATTCATAACCACCGAGGCCTCAGAGTCACCGACTCCTTCATTCCGCTCCGAAGCACCGAGTACTTTGGGGTCTCCCATTTCACCGGGCTTCTCGGCTGTAATCTGACCACGGAAGTTGTGAATTCTCGGCGTAGCGTTTTTGCTTGTCAATGAGATAAGTGTATTGATAAATGGATACAGACTAAGTTTGAAGTTTTCTCAGTAGAAAGGAAAATTTTACTGTTCTAAGTTATTGGTTTTTTCGGTTTTCAATCTTCTCGGCTCTTCGGGATGAAGTCCTTCCACCATGTTTTAACCTGTCCCTGAACCACTTACTTAGTTCTGGGTCCGAGTTTCAGTTCTTACCAGTTTCTGCATTCGTCTGAGCGCGTGGTAAATAGAGAGCCGCAAAACTGACGGGTTGAAAAAGGCGTCTCTTCGAGTTAAACTTAGTTGGTGAAGTAAGCGTGTGAGTTGAGCGCCGTCTTCTAAGGCAAAACGTGCCAAGTCGTCTTGTGCCTGAGATTTCATTAATTTCCCGAGAAACTTGAATTACTGAGCTACCTGTAAGAGCACATCATCTGTGACTGAGTTGTAAAGGGTCGTGACCGTATAAGCGGCCATTTCAATCCTCTTGACCTGAGTTTCGGACCACGTGGAGGCGGCTGTTTCGACTGCTTGGGCTTCCCTGGTGATTCCGATCTGTCTTAGTCGTAGGATTTCTCGCTCGGACTCGCCAGTAGGTCCCCGGCGTGTAAATCTCGAGCTCTGACCGTAAATGCCGGCTGGAACTATAATTCTAAGTTAGTAAGGATAATTTTGTTAACAAAGTCAACACCATATTTTAGTTAAATTTAGTAGCTGGAAATACCGGTTCATGAAATGCTTAGCGGAACTATTTCAAATGAAATTTTATATCCTGGTCCGAAAAAGCTGCCTTTAATCAATCTTTTAGCCAGTATTCTTTCTTAGTATTAAATGGAGTTTTTATGTGTGTCGTTTTACCTTCTGGAAGTGAACCGTCTTCTTCCTCAGGCAAATAAGACGGACCCTCGTTTTGGTTCAGTTCCGCTGAGTCGAACATTCGTCGGTAGTTCAATCGCTGAATCACACGAACTTCGCTTAGTTGTCGCTCCCTTGATGAGTTATCGGCGAATCTGAATCTTCTCTCGGGTCTCTCTCCACCCGTACCTTGTCTCAGCTGTCTAGCTTCATCGAAGAGCAGATTTTGATTTCTAGGTGTCGGTTTCGAGTCGTTTCCCGAGTTCTCGCTCTTGCTGACGCTCAGTTTGCTCATGTCCTCAGTGATTTCCTCTAACTCTTTCTCAGTTGCAAGTTTTCCGGCTGCTCCGGCGTTCTTTCGTGACCCCGAAAGTCCATCTTCTTTCTTAGTTTCGCCAAGCAGTTCTCGCGAAAGGATTTTCTTAGTTAAATTTTCCCGTTGTCTATCATCCGTTTCGATTCGCTGGACGTCGGAGATCTTCTGGATCGCTTCTTGTCGCCTTCTAAACTCAGTTTGATCGATGACTGTTGCCACTGAGGAATCCGAAGACGAGCCGGAGTCGTCTTCCAGTCTTGGGACCATGACAATCTCATCTTCTTCAGGACTTTCGCTGTTTGAGGACGATGAAGAAGAGCTTTCTGAGCTCATCCCCGCTGCCACATTTCTTTTCGCGTACTCCTGGGCTTTTCGTGCGAAGAAATCCCTCGCTTCTTGCTTAGCTTTATCCTCTGTTTCCTTAGATAAATAAAGGTGAGAAAGTTCGCCAGCTAGCACTCTTGCGTGCCTTTCTTCTTTCAGCATCTCGAAGTATCTTTCTTTGTTGAAACCGCCAGGTTGTTCGGGCTCTGGGTGATTCTTCTGAGTTTTCTGACTAAGTTTTTCGATTTCTTCCCTCATTGAGGCCGGTGGTGGCTCGGGAACATCTTCCAGCTGAGGTAAGTTCGGTGATCCTGCATCCTCCAGTCTCACCAAGGCTGGGGGAATTTCTTCATTCGACAAGGATTCTTCCACGCGAAGGCTTCTTTCTCCATCCTCTGAGTTCGAGTCTGAGTCTGAGCTAGTGTCGGATAGTTCCGATGCTGAGTCGGCTACATATGTAAGTCCCGTATCGTAATTTGGTTCGGGGTCGTTTTCGCCTGAGCTATAATCTGAGCAATCTGAGTCATCGCCCGGTTCCGGGAAACCGAATTTGTCGAGCTTTTTGCGGGTCGTTCGTTGGCGTTTGTGCCAAGTCTTAGAAGGGAAAGGTCTGTTCGTCGGATCCCGTGGGCGATTTCTCGTGTTCCTCGCATCATCTCTGAGTTGAAAGTATCGTTCCATTATCGGGATGAGGGCTCTCTTCTGGCCCATGTATCCTGTAAGATAGAAGCGATTAAAGTCATGAAGAATCTGCTTCAACAGGCGCTTTCCCACTCGGCCGTCTGGCTGAAGGTACTGTCGGATCGATTCTAAGAAACGGCGGGGCCACAACGTGTGACTTCTCAGTTTATTCCAGAGGGTTTCTTCCCGCTGAGCTTGTAATTCGCGTGGCGCCTGAGAAGTTGCCATCTTCTTCTTAGTAATTTCAGGAGTTTCCTCAGTTGGTTTGAAAACTCCATCCTTGTAGATCAACTCAGCTTCTTCAATTTTCCAAAATCTCAGGATGGCACGGTCTGCATGATCGATGATCAATGCCATGAAGGCAACCACCTCTTCTTGTCGTGCCCATTCCGCTCCCTGAGAAGATCCCAAAACGCTCCAGGTTGTGATGCCCATCAAGTTCTCAGGATGACAACCGTTGACGGTGTTTCTTGCGACTGCTAAGTTGCTCAGGAAGTTCAGGAGTGACTGAGATTCGTGTTTGTCCACGGATTTCGGCATTCCAAGATGAGCGCCTTTTTGGACTGGTCTGAGGAAAGTTTTGGTTTGTTTCGATCGGCCATCAAAACGGTCAATTACTGAGAAACCATATACTGAGCCGTGTCCTAAGATTTGTGGGTACTGGGTTCTGGCCCCCCTGTTTTCCACGTCGTCGACCAATTCTCGTAGCAGGAGATTTGAGAGTTTTTCGAATTCCCTGTGTGTTTCGGTCAGGATGGCGATGTCGATTCCCTTTTGCTTAGTGATAATGTCGCGCATTACTTCGAACTCAGGGAGGTAGTTTTCAGCGTCGTACATTTCAGCGAGCTGGGAGACTTGGTCGATGAAGGCCAGGACGTCCACGTGTCTCAGTTTAAACTTAGTTTTAGTCCAGAGTTTCTCAGTGTTGTCGGGTAATTCGCGGAGCAGGATCCCTCTCGAGTAAGATCCCTTAGTTATCTGGACTAAGAGAGGGTCGGCGTATTTTCTTTTGCCATCGTCGTTGATGCTGAGTAGAGGAAAGAGGATCGCCACGCCTTCCGTTTGCTCTTGAAGGCAGCACCAGTGAGCTTTTTCCTTAAGGGTTTGGAAGTTTTCCGCGAAGTCCCTCATATTTCTCAGTAGATTTTCATTATTGCGGTAATACGAGTGGCCCCAGTCTCGTTGAACTCCTGACAGATATTTCTCAGCCAGAATCGCCGCAATTTTGTCGCGGGCGCCACCCATTTCCCTCTGAGTGGATTGAATGTCGATGATGTCGGCGTGGATTTCAGCTCGGGTGTGTGGGTGAACGTCGTTCATGATTTTCGGTTCCGTCCATCGCTCCCGCGCAATTACTTTCTTCTCAGTGGGTTGGGATAGGTCGACGACCATTCTTGAGTCTCTCAGGTTGTCGAAAATCATCGGGAGGGCTTGTCCGCACTTGTTGCAGCACTGAAAGTTTCCGCTGCGTCGAGAACAGCCGATGACTCTGCAGATGCCCGGTCTGTGTTCTGAGGAAGTTTGGAAGACTCTGACTGGGCCGCCGTTGAGAATCTGAGTCGTAAAATCGTATGGGAGGGAGTCAGCCTCGACCGTTTCAATATCTTCAAAGTTGATAACTTCGTTTGAAACCCTCTGCTTTCCTAGGATTTTTCTAAGTCGGGCTCTGGTGACCATGATGTCGTCGTTTGCTAAGTAAATCAGAGTCTGTCGGATGTTCTTCAACATTTGTTCGTCGGTCGAATTTGCCCATGGTTCGATTAACACCCTCAGGTTTCCTTCGCAGTTACGATCGTTAACTTTCTCCACTAAGTTTTTCCAATCATCCGCAGCTTGGCGAAAGCCCTGTCTCTGAGTTGTGGCTATCCATCGTCGAATCGACTCTTGGACTTCTTTCTTGACGCCCATCGTCTTGGCCAGCTTCTGCCAGATCCACATTTCCTGAGTGATTCTTTCCTTATCGTATTCTAAGTTGATCAAAACCAGTTGCAGCGGGGCTGTGTCAATAAGCAACCAGGCCGTCGGGGTCGAAGACGTTTCTTCAATGACGGAGGGAATCGGGCTCAGGTATTCATCTTTCTCCTTCTTGCGTCTGGTCAAATCTGCGCCGTTCTCGAAGAAGAAAAGAGTCTCCGGGATTTCCTCAGTGTTCTGCTGCATGCTTTTGTGCCAGCTGTAACTTAGTTGGTAAACTTGTCTCAGCCATGCCGCGGTGAATCTCCAGAATTGGTTACCCGGGTCAATTCGAATGCAGTCAGCGAGCTTGTATAGCTTTTCAACTATCTCAGGATTCGTAGTTTCTCTTAGGTTTCCGCCTGTTTCTTTTAGTTTCTCCACGTAGTCTTTCTCATACCAGATTCTGCGGGTGTGTGGTCGGGTTCGCTTTATCCATCGAGACGCGAGGAACTTAGTTAAATTTTGGGTATTGAAATCCGCTTGGTCCACGGTTTCGGTCCACCGAAAGATGTCGTCCAAATCTTCCTCAGTGAGCAAGGTGGAGATATCTAAGTCGAGATGGCCTGCCTGAGTATCTTTCTTCATCAGAAGTTTGGTCCACCAGCGGATCAAGGCTGAAGTGCTCGTGTCCAGTAGCTTCTTTGGGTCAGCCGGCGCCGGGGATCTCAGTTTTCCCGCTGGGTCTCGCTCGAACCATTTCCGTTGAGCCTTAGTGATCGCATTCAAGTTCTCGGCTTCCCAAAGACTTATGTTGAGGTCGTCCTCGCGCGGCGAGTCGTAGCAGATTTCTAAGTATTTCGGATTTTCCGCTTCATCCTCTTTGTAAAGACTGGCGAACGCTCGAAGGCTGCAGTTCTTCGCTAAGGAATCATTTCGGGTTATCGGCACCCGAATCTTCGGCAACTTAGAGAGGTTTGAAGACGGTATCAACTTAGCAATTGGATTATCCTTCTGGGCGATTTTGTACGATTCTAGAATTGTTTATTTTAAGTCCACTAAGTTTTTAGTGAATCCTTAGGAATATATCTCTCGGGAGGGCGTTCTTGTTAGAGAACCGAAAATCCTTTACTTAGATATGTAGTTTGTAATATAGATGGCTTCTAGAATCATTATTTTCCCATCTTTTGGGTTAAATCACCGGTTTTCCGGTCGCCTCAGCTTTTATCTGGCCTGAGGAAAGGGTTTAAATATCTCTCCCGGCAGGATGTGTGATTCGCAATAATGGACCTTCTAGAATTGTTTGTTTTTGTAAACCATAAAGGCGCTTTGACATGTTTCCCGGATGATTCCAAATGAATTTACTGAGTTTATACACATATGTGGTTTTAATGATGAATGTTCAATTCGGGTTTCTAGAATTGTTTTTCTTAGAACTTTTACGACAAGGATTTTCTTCAACCTTTCCTGAGGAAGCTTCCACCGTCCGATGGTGCCAATAAGTTCCGGGTTTATCCAGGCATTAAGCGCATCCGCCGTGAGCAGGACCTCAGTCATGCTAAATCATTCTTAGGAAACGTAATTTTGTGGGAATAACTCACTCTTTCGCGTCGTGATAGAAGGAGAGGTTCTTGCCTCCATCCTTAGTTGAAATACGAATCAAGAAGCACTGGTCCATCAGTCGCTTAGTGTTCGTGAAGGTTTCTGTCCGTAGTTCCTCCAGGAAGACGACGCCTTCTGAAAACCAAAATTAACTACTGAGGATTAGCATTCACATGCTCTACCTCCAACGGGAGTCGTAGCCTTAGTGACAACGAGATTGGAGAAAAGCTCCGTGACTGAGAAATCAAAGACGGACATTCCAACCCACGGATTATCCTTCTGTCTCAGCCAATGGGCTACGTCCGTCCGACGAGGGTTGACCTCCGTAAGCATCTTCCTCGTGTGGAATAAACGTCACACTGAGTAGGGGTTTTCCAGAGAGCGTCAATTCGTGAGGAAAAATTTTCAAATTCTCTTTCTTAGCTGCTTGTTTTCGGATTCCGGTCCGCTTCAAGCGCTTTTTGAGAAAATTTTCCGAGAGGTGTTGATGCCTCTCTGAGAAAATTCAGAATGAAGTGTTTTTCACTTTTTGCTTTAGCGCGGCCCATCCTCAGGAGCGTTCTAGAAATATCGTGACCCGCGCACCTGATTTCAACAACACTCACGCTCGGAACTGGCCACCATAATCAAAACAACTAAGTTATACTCTAGAATTTCGACTACGCCTAAGTTAACCTTTTTTCTCTTTTCTTATAAAAAAACAAGAAATATTTTCATGAAAACTCATTTCAGATTCCGAATCGATCATAACTTATGATTCATAAGTTAATGAAAAATTTTAGCCACCTGGAGTACGACTACATTCGGCACAACAAGTCGCGTGCTGACGCGTACATTTGTTACGCGATTGAAAAAGAAATTCCAGGCTGTTTGAAACCGCCGCGCAAAATGATAATTTTGAGCATTCGTGGAACTTCAGAAGTTGGCGACATGGCACAAGATCTCAAAATGTGGCAAGTTAAATTTAAAGAAGAGGCCGACACGCATCCTAAGATCAAAGTTCACGCAGGTATTTTTCGCGGGCAGTTTCATTCTTTTTAGAAAGAAATTATGCTAAATAAGAATCGCACAGTTTCGTTACCTGTGTAGAAAAGACCTCAATAAGGGTCAACCAAGAGCTTTTCAAAGAAAGCCGCTCCGCGCGGCTTCGTATAAACGCTTAGTCAGGACCCTGACTCAGGTTTTTACACCGGTGTATTTCAAGATTTTTAGGCTTTTACCAACAATTTGTTGGCTTGAGAGATCAAGCTCTCGAGTTCATGGACCGAATTAAATCAAAACATCAAGTCGACGAAATTCTTCTTACTGGCCATTCTCTCGGCGGAGGTAAGAAAATTATGTTTTAGCATTATTTTATGTAAATCTAAACAGGTGTCGCCGCCTTATTTGGTTGCTATCTGGCGCGTGTTTATGAAGATGTTAGGATCAATGTTGAGACGTTTGGGTCGCCAAAACCGGGAAATATCGTTTTCAAGCATCTTTTCCAGACAAGGTCGGGCTCATTTTCTCGCAAAAAAACAAAAGCAAGAGCAAAACGAGCCAGAAAAAAGGGTAAATCACCATCTACGAGTTGTGATGCCAAACGATCCGATTCCAAAAGCAATGAAGCGAGGGTCACTGCTCATCCATACTTGTGACAAGGGATCGACTCAGAATTTTATTTGTTACGGCAGGGCTTTCGCTTTTATGAGCAAAACTAAGGTGGAGCTATAAAATTGGCCGTTAATAAAAAATAATTGTGGTCATTTTTTCGTAGCTATTTCAACACAAAAATATTTAAGAAAAACACGTCAGGGGATTTGAAGCGTTCGGGGATTATACTTTTACGTTTATTTTCGGCTCAAAAAAGTAACGGGAAAATCATAGGATTCGTGACGTGTATATTTAACGGAAATTCGAAAAGCCACGAAAAGACCCTACCAATTCTCGAATGACGCATACTATCAACGCTTACATTGAAGGAGTTCATCTGACGAGAAAATACATTTTCCGAAAACGATTTGAAAATTTGGCGAACAATGCGAAAAATCTCAAAGCGTTTCTGGAGACGACCATGGTTTCTGAAGAAAATAAGAAGAACTTTTCTCAGCTGATGAGATACGACTCTGTACCACCTGATCAATAGACTTTTGGCAAAAGCTCGTCTTTGATTGGCTGATAGATAAAATACTGGTCTCTGATTGGCTGAGAGAACCCTTTAGCAACCCCATGTCTACTAAACTGTATAAATACATTTGAACATTAAGGGGGAGTATCACGGATTTTGGGCTAAAGGGGGGTCGGAGATCAGCTCTCATTTCTACGTGAGCTTAGCTTACGCTAAAATTCCGCCTGTGGTAGATAGATATGCCCAATATCTAGTGCTGTTTTTTTTAATTTCAATTAACTCAATCGAGTATCGCAGAAGAGAGCCAAGAGTCAAACCCGTTTTTGAAAAGTCGCGATTTTAGCCTCTCGCAGAACAAAAATTTTCTTAAGAAAATTAAGTCTGATCATGGAATTCTCAGTGGATTTAGGAAGATCATTCCCTTATCTAATGCTGTTTTGGAGGAAATTTTGTGTACCCAAAAAATTCTTACCGAAAATTTTTTTGAAAAAATGATTCCAAATTTGAAGATTTTCATGAATTCAATTAGTATTGAAAGCTGCTAAAATGAAGATATCTTGCTGTTTTTATGTGAGAATATTCATTAAAAACCCATAAAAATGTAAATTTTACAAAAAATTTTAAAAACAAAGTATTCTGAACACAATTTCGACACCCACAGCGTCGCAGATGAATATCAATAGGCGCGGCTAGGCAACTTTCAATGTCGTTTTTGACGGACTTTTCGAAGAAATCAAAAAAAGTGATACATATTTTTTTTGTTAGTCAAGACCAGAGCTTTAAAAATCCAAAGAGATATTATCAAAATTCCGACTTTTCCAAATCCGTGATACTCCCCCTTAAATAAACAGTCATTTATTCACTGATGAGATTTTGGAATAGTCAAATTATTCTCGACAAAAAACGAGGCCAGTTCTCCAACAATCGATCGATCAGGAATAGCCTAAAAGAAAGAACACGTGAGAGTTGATGTACCCCGCGACATGATGTTCCCCCAACGTCCAAATCCGGCGATTGAGAGAAAAAATTGTTATCAATCATTTGCGCTTACCGCAGCCTTTCCATAAATTGCGGCAGCTCCTTCTGCGGCTGCGGCGCCGCCGAGACCGACCAGGACGGAAACTACTTCGCGCAGGTCGGAAATGAACTGGTCCATTACTCCCGGCTGCGTGTTCTTTTATCGAGGATCTCTATTTTTGTTCCACGTAGGAGCAATTCATTCCGCTTTAAGATCCCTGGCAGAGGAGTAATATCAAAATGCACGGCTGGCGGGAATTGCATTCCTCCCATTGTCCATCCTTTTTCGCGCATTTTAGACAAAATCGCATAAATATCAAATGATTTCGACGTAAAAGCCACGATGCAGAGCTTAATCCATGCTTCCACAACTCGTTACTTTCTAAAATAAGATTCTAGCGCGACAAAGTGTCAGCATGTTCCTGAGGGTTTCCGACAACCTCGATGCCGTGAATATTTCGCGCAGCGTCGCGCAATTTATGCGCGGATCCGATCACTCTCTTCGCTCGCTCGACGTATCCTTCTCTTCCCAAGAGGTTCATCACGCCCCAGGCGCAGGCAATATTGCCTCCTGAGCGGGAGCCTTTGACGGATTGGAAATTTTTCGTTCGCAAAAATTGAAATTATTTTTTTTTATTAAAATAATTAGATTTTCCAGGTTCAAAAATAATGACTCATAATTTATTCATGAGTCATAAAATATAACTCATATTTTATGACTCATAATCATGACTCATAAATTATGCTTCTGCTTTATCAGAGTTCAATATAATTAAAACCTGATAAAAATGCTCGTAACGACAAATAAAAATATTTTTATTTCCGAACCGCTCCTTGATAAGTGGGAGTAGCGTAGACTCCGCCGCACCAATCTGTGCACGTGTAAATCGCGTGCGAGCGCAGCTCCCGATTTCGGAACATCAGTACTGAGGCGCCTTTTTACCGAGTTCGAAGGAAGCGATCAACTACCAATTAATGAATAAGAAGATGAATTATCGAGCTGTTCCTTTGGGAGAGCAGCCATATTTGTGAATGTCGGCAGAAATAGAAGTGACGCCAGGGAGGCTAGAAATTCAATTTTCGGTTGTCATTGTTATGATAATATTTACCGGAAGTCGAACAGAGGGAGCGGGAAACCAGCTTCCTCGGCGAAAGGGAGGAGGAATCCACCCATGCAGGCGTCCACGTGACAAGGAATGTTGTTTTTCTTGGCCACTGAATTAGCCATTTTCTGATGTTCATTGCGCAAAATTATAGAAAGTTTGGAAACTCGAATTTTCTCGAGAAGCCGCAAATTTACGTCTTGGCTGACCGATTTTCTTTATACATTTTTCCGACTCAGAATAAAATACGTGGCAAGCTGCCCAACGCATCTTTATTTGTTTACGTTCAATCGTTATTGTTCCTATATAAACTTATCCCACTGAATTTCGTCCAGACTCAAAAATCAAATCGATAAGATGAGACTTTTTTCCGGATTGACGATCTTTGTTGCTGCTTCTAGCGCTCTCCAGCTCGCTAGAACTAGGAGAGAAGAGGAACCTGTTCCTGAACCAATTTACCGTAAGACCTTGTCCTTCCTCGGGAAACTAAAGGGCTAACTTTAGATGAACCCGTCTACGAAAAAGTCTACGCGATCGAGCGAACTATGGGCTCCATGGACGACTCAGAAGAGCGAGGAAAACGACCAACCAAGGAAGACAAGCCTGCCAAGAATGACAAGAAGGACAAGAAGGGCAAAAGGGATAAAAAGAAGGCCGAAAAAGAAGACAAAAAGGAGGGCAAAAAGGCCGAAAAAGACCAAAAGAAAAAGGACCGAGGTAAAAAATAATTTTTGAAAATAAAATCAAAAAATAATTTCCAGAAAACAAAAAAGACAAGAAAAAGGCCGATAAGAAAGATAAGGACGAGAAGAAAAATAAGAAAAAGGAAGACAAGAAGGTGAAAAAGGACAAGAAGCAAAAAGACAAGGACTCGAAGAAGGCCGACAAGCAGAAGAAGAAGGACAGAAAACAGAAAAAGAAGGGCGCGCTCAGAGATGCCAAGAAGAAATCAAAGGAAGAGTCCCAGAGGCTCGGATTGAGATCGCGATCCTTCAACAAGGCCGCCTTTTTGGCCGCTTGGGAAGCTAACAACCCATAATTTTTTTTCCATCTGCAGCAAACTGAACCGTTGTCATCATTATTCTAGAAATGATGCAATTTGAAATTTCAATAGACATTTTTTAATAAAATTTAAAAAAAAACACATGTGTCCTTTTTCTACGTATTTGGTAGGTCTGACTGACGATTAAACAAAATTCCAACATGCAATTATCAAATAAATTCCGTAATATTTTCTTTACCCAAAAACACCAAAAAACAAGACCGCAAGAAGGGGTTTAATTGAGAATTGAGCTATTTCGAAGTAAATATTAGCAATTTTCATGCTCATACCAATTGCCATTTTTCTATAAAGACCGCTGAATTCTCGAGCTCAAGAAATCAGAGTGTAACCAAAGGAGAAAATCAAGGTGAAGAGATTGGCTTAACGATAGTGATAAGCCACGTAGAAGCAATTTTCCTGCAATTTATAATCAAAACAAAAGTCTTGCTTTGGTGAAAAAGAGATCCCATTACTAAGGGTCGAAAATGGAATTATTGAGTTGATTAGTTATTTTGGCAACTATCCACTTAGTTTTATAAGTGAGGACAACTGGATTTGATTATTGAGTTGGACGAAAACACAATTCTGCTTTTTCCGAAAATACTCAATATTTCTATTAATGATCTGTTCAATTGACAGGGAGCTTTTCTATTGGGCTGTGAAATTCAGAAAAAGAATCTCAAATCTGATTGGACAACCGATAAAATACGCAAATCTGATTGGTCGAAAATTTCCGATTTGTGAAATGAAGAGATTTTTGAAAAGATTTCAAAACTCAAAATTTCACTGGAATAGCAGTACTTACACGTGGAGATAGCTTGGATATCGTCGATAAGCCCGTGTGGATAATCCGGCGCGCTGGCGATGATGAGACATGTGTTGCGGTTAATTTGCGCCGCCATTTGCTTCACATTTGCTGTCCAACTCGAGTAGTCATAATCAACCTTTCAGAAAATAATGTGAGCTGGTTCGAAGGTCGCGTCTAACCTTGATCAGCTTTATTCTGAAATAGTGACAGGCTTTGTCAATGCTTGAGTGAGCGGTTCGACACATGATCACTTCGGGCCAGCGGATTCCGCGCGAATGGGCGCGATTTCGAGCGGCGAGAACTGCCAAACCGAGGCTAGAATTTCAGACTTAGAATTTCGACTCCCTTACTGTTTCTTACCTCTCACTTCCGCCTCCAGTCATCAGCGCACAGCCGGTTTTCGGGGCGTTGTACAAATTCAAAACTTGGGAAAGCGCTTCAGCCTCAATTTTCCGAAGTCCTTTATGTAAATCTGCGTGGAGTGGATTCTGCAGCATGAACTGGGGGTAGATCAGGGCGCATAATTTCGTGATTTCGGCGTTGCTCTCGAAAGTGGTGCCGGAAAGACGGCCGCCTCGCCAGTCGATTTTGTCGTAATCGATGTATTCTTTCATCAGTTTGATGAGGTCTTCGTCCTTCATTTCGTCAGCTGGAATTTGACTTTTTTGATTTTTAGACGAATTTTTCGGCTCTAAGAATATCCGATTTGAAAAGTGCTGCCCTCGACAAATACTTTTTTATCAGCGGAAAATTAAGCTTATTGACGCCCCCCGCCGAGCGATAAGATAAGACGAAAAATGAACGTGGGTAAATCCTGATATTAGTAAATCGAAATCTATTGGCTAGGTGGTATCTAAGACACTTAAAATAGAGAAAAGCTCCTTGAAATTGGAAGTTATGCAACGACAAACACGATTCGTCTCTAATCAATCCTGATCCACTTGTCAGCGGCGGTGGTGAGGTTCTTAGCCATCTCAGCTTTCTCCGCGTCGACCTGTTCTTTCACTTTTCCGCTGATGATCGGCAGCGATTTGACAAACTCGAAGAAACCAAGTCTCAATCTTTGCGACAGGGATAGCTCGTGGTGATAGACCCAGGTGTACAGCTTCCAGATAGCGTAGGAAGATAGGGCTGTTGACAGGATAACGCTTTTTGACGTTCGAAAAATTTTCGAATTTTCGGATCGAAAAATTGAAAAAGAGGACATGAAGATAAAATACCAATAGTTTTTTATGATTTTTAGATTATTTATGAGTCAAAAATTATGTATCGAAAAATCATGAATTTCGTCGAAAATTCTTGAAAAAAAAAATCGAAAAATCACTTTCTTCAACCTTTTTCGAACAGTTCCTTGATGAGTCATTCTCCTCCAGAACTTCATTTACTCTGTCTCTTATCATTTCCGGCATTTCTTCTTTCCTGGTCTTTTTTTTGTTTCGAAAAAGTACCCAAAAAAATAAAAGCCCAAAGGCTAAGGCGTTTAGTTTGCTTTTCAAGCTCGTCTGTTCGAAGTGCAAATATTATAGAAAATGAGGTGATGCGATTATTTGAAATCGAATGTTTTGAACTATGTCTAGGCTCCACGCTTAAAAAATCGGGTCGAAAAAACACGTGATATCACGTGTTTTGACCCTTAATTATTAATTGTATGACTATAAGGAACATTTTGTTCCATTACGTGAACATCTCATCTCGATGGGAATTGGGTTAAAATTGGCCCTAAAGTGTCAAAAATCGGCCATTTTTAGTTTTTTTGTCACATGACCCCCTCCACAGCAAGTTATTTTCGATCTTTATATATTTTCTGAAAGAGCATCGAATTCTCTTTCAAAACATATAGGTCTCGACCCTGCCAATTGATATCTCAACCCTTTTTTGAAGGGTTGAAAGTTTAAAAACAGCGTTTTTGGTGACGTTTTAAATGAAAAACAATATTGGGGCTTTTTTAATAAAACAACATATTTCTTTTTGTAAGTTGGCCACTTTTGGTCGGTTATGGCCGGAGGACCCCTTGGAGGACCCCGTGGGTGGAAGACAACTTGCTGGAAGAATATTAAAATTATTCTTTTATTTGGCAAAAATGAGCAAGAACTCGATTCTTATTGGCCATCTTAAAAGAGGACTTCCGGAGAATATTTGCTTGAAAACAAACTCTTGGAAGATATGGTGAAATAAGAAAAAAAAATTTCCGAAAAGAATCATTTACACTTCAAACTGAACGTGACCCTGTACGTGAGGGGAGTGGTGCCGGCGTGGCGCATAGAGAAAAGACTGAGAAAGCTCACTTACAAGCCTAAAGAGAAAATGAGAGTGCTTTTGTTTTTGCTTTATTTTTTGAATCGAAAATCAAAAGCCCAAGAAGATTTGCCCTGTTTTGGCATTTTATTAAACACTCTTATACGTGTTTACGATGGACCCGGAACTGATGAACTCAAAGAATTTTATTATGCTAATCCAGGGATGGGAAAGAGCAAGTTACGGAGCTGGGACAGATTAACGAAAAAATATATTGATGATATCGTCGAATGGATAGAGAAAAATACAAGAACAAATAAAATTTGGTCCGAAAGTGAACGCAATACATGCGTCCTTCGAGAAGGCGATCGTTGGACATCTGAAAAATTTGCTTTCATCAAAACCTACGCTCTGAGGCTCTTGAAAAAAGCTGGTACTGTTCACAAATCTGAGCCAACTTATTTCGGGGTAATCCGAAAGCGAGAAAACAGAAAAAGATCCTGTATTATGGAATTTGTTGACGGAAGTAATGGTGGCGCTTCTGTTTCGGGTATCATATTTAATAAGAATCCTGAAAATGCAAAATTTAAGTCTCCTGTCCTGATTCACGTTCTTATTCAATAACGGCCAACTGCAACCATCCTTCTGCATCCGATTATCTTCCATGTGCAATTAAAAGCCGCGATTGAATTTACAAGCAATCAAATTGACGGTTCTGATTGTGGCCAGCTTACTATTACACCAACTTGTTCTCAAAAGATCGACATCACCACTGAAGATGATATTGATTCCGATCTTGACATTACCCAGAATCAGGGGTGGATATTTTGATTTTAAACCTCATTTCAAACCCTGAAATTTCTGTTCTCAACCAATCAGGATGGCCGAATGGGGTTGAAATGAGGAGTTTAAATCAAAATATCCAACCCTGCCCAGAATGGTGATGAAACAATCAATATTGATAACCAGGATGAAACAATCAGTAACGAAAGCCCTGATAATACAGTTAATGCCCCTGGCACGAATCCGGTTCAAACAATTGGCGAATCAGAACATCCAAAAGATACAGTGAATCTTCTTTGCAAAGACTTATTCACTTTAGTTCAACCCGATAAAGACACATATTCCGATGAAAAGGATCCAAGGGGTCAACATCGTTCGACTTACAGTGGAGTTTCCGGTTGCCTCCCTATTCCGAAGTCTATCCATATTTTCAAATAGATGTGTTTTGATAGGGAGGAAACTGGAAAAGCCAGGCTCGGGGCGAAAATGGAAAATTCAAAAGTTTGGATTTATTATTCACCGCAGAAAGATTCCAAAATATTTTCGATTCAATTGGAAACAAGTGGCTATATTATTGGCGATTCAATGAGATTGGAAATACGACGATATTACGGAATACTCTCAGCTGGTTTAATAACTGGAAAGATTCAATTCCAACACGAATTCAATAGCGAAGCTGTTCACGTTGATAACCTGTTAGAGCCTTCACGATATATCAAAACAAATGAATTTAGGTATGCTTATAAAAGGATGATTTTTATCAACCGATTTAAAGATTGAAAATTGGTAAACTTCATGATACTTCCATTGAAGAACCTTCATCTATTTCAAATACTGTAACTCTTAACAAATTTTCCTTTCGTGGAGAAGAAATCATCGTGTCAATTGACTATGAGAATCCGAAAAGTCGATTGAAATCAAATTTACGTTGCAAAATTACTGACGAGACAAAGCATCCACCTTATATTTATACTATTCCGATAAGACATGAAGAAGAATATCAAGGAGAAGCTGGAATCGCTGGTTTGGTGAGGAAAATTTATTTGTTGATCTTCGGAATCTCAAATTGATATCACTTCTTGTTTTTCTTGGTAAGAAAAATAAAAATCGTATTTATAAAGATTTTAATAGATGAGCCCAAAGATGAAAACGGACAAAAAATATTGAGCCTATCATACAATAAAGATCGGGAAAATGATAGTGAAATTCAAAAATACGAGATTGTTTTCAGAAAGGCAAATATGGATTTTGAAATTGTTCTGTTTTGGATCAACAATCACGGAAAGAAAACAGGAATTTCTTTGTCATATCCATCGTCAGTTTATTTATACAATAAATATGCGACAATTGTGATTGAGCGAAACAACAAAGTTGGGGAACTATTTTTGGCATTGGAAATTCAAAAAAATGTTTTTCATGAAGATGAACCTTGTCAGAGTTGGCCATGCTATCCTATGCCTTTATTGTCATTCTCGAAATCTGTTAGAGTACCAACTGAAGAAAAGTTTTTCGACAGTCAATCAACATTGCTTGTTTTTGGAAATTCTTACATTGTCTCACCTTTTATAAAAAACGCTTATGATTGTGGATATGCTGATAGACTGGATCATTGCTATTACAAGCGTCCGAAATTAGATATTCTGAATTGTGTAGCTGCAGACTCCTGTATCATCCCGAATGAATAAACTGAATAAACTTTCAAAAAAGATTTTATTTATTGGTCTTCCATCAATTTGTTTTCAACCAGGGAGGTCCTCCACGAGGTCCTCCGGTCACAACTGACCCTAAAAGGCCAATTTTCAAGATAAGAGTAAAGATATTCAAATGTAAATGAAATTAGTCTTCCACCAATTTGTTTTCAACCACAGGGGTCCTCCAGAGGGTCCTCCGGCCGAATCCGACCATAACCGGCCGATAATTGAAAGTTTAACCGGGTTTCATACTAATGTGATAAATATAGCTTTTTTTAAAAAAAAATCCAAAAAAAACAGTGTTTTAATACTTTCAACCCTTCGAAAAAGGGTCGAGATATCAATTGGCAGGGTCGAGACCAATATGTATCGAAAGAGTATTCGATCCTCTTTCAGAAAATATATAAAAAAGAAAAAACTGCTTGTGGAGGGTCATGTGATCAAAAAACCAAAAATGGCCGATTTTTGACACTTTTCGGCCATTTTTAAGGGTCATCACGTGACCTGACAATTTCGTCATAATACAATTTTTTGTTCCTTGGAACATGTTTAACTATTCTAAAGAATAAAAACCCTGAATATCAGGCGTTAAAAAATCGAGCGTTTTTTAAGCGTGGAGCCTAACTATGTCACCCTTTCTTTCGTTTCTAGAACATTTTGCATAATTACGACAAAAACCATTGCGAGTGGGAATCTAAAACCGTAAAAGTTTCACGGTAATGCTCGGAAACGTGGGACAACCGAGGTAATTACAAGTTCGGGCATAGAAGGTTTTAACCTTCCGTCTCGGTGGTGGTTGCTTCTTCCGGTCTTCTTTCGTGGCGCGTTTTTAATAATAGTATTGTCTAAAAAGCGTTTTGAACCTCAGAAATCAGAATTCGAAATCTTCGGGAGAAAAATTGGGAGCTACTTTTGGGAGGTTTCTTTCTTGGGAGCACGAAGAAGCATGACACATTTTTCGGGGCCGAAATCCGCCGAAAACCCCTGTTTACTGTTCACTCGAGTGAACTGTTCACTCTGTCCGATATCGGAAAATATAAATTTTTCGCGAAATTTATCTGCGCACGGAGAATTTGAAACACTCATTTGATCGTATTTTTCTAAGAAGAGACGTTTTTGACTCAATTTAATTTAAAACGTCTCTTTTAAAATTAAATATAAATAAAGACCCCAAAAAACCTCTATTTTGACTTTAATAATTTATGAAGAATATATTCATCTCATATTATGAGGAAAATAAACCGTTCAAATGAGTGGAGACGTTGTGATTTTTGCTTGAAAACTCGACCTTTTCATTTTGTCACTTGAAGAGTAGACACAAATAAAATAAAGAATTTGCGAACATCGACCTATTTTCCGTTGGACTTGCTTTTAAATATCAATAAAAGACAGAGCCGGGCCATTAATAAAATCTATTTTCTAATTAATCACTCGAAAACATCACAAAACTATAACTTGATGATTACCGAAATTCTCTTTAAACATCTAGATGAGTTCATTTGATCAATTTATTTGACATGATAAGAACTTTGAATTTCGATGGCTTTCTAGACAATCGGTGAGCAAGATGGGGTCTTTCTCAAGATTCGGTTGAAGAGTTTTTCGCTTTTGCAAGTTTTTGGGCAGAATTTTTCGTCACCCCTCTTTCTTCAACTCGATCAAGGCAGACGTAGTCATCGTAGTAACCAAGAAGGGCGTTGTAGAATGTTTCAGCGGCAAGACATGGATCGGTGATGGCGATGGTTGGCTCAACGAAGTCTGGTGCAAATCCTGGTAAGGGGTTCGGATTTCTGGAATTTCGAGAAATCCAAAAATAAAATCAAAAACCCCTTCCTGGACCAGCACCGGCGGGGTTAGCGCAAGGAGCGTCAACATAGTCACTGAACCAGCCAAGTCGTTGTTTGATTTTGTAGAAGTTCTTCAAGTCGTCACTCTTATGATCGGATACGGCATCGTCAAGAACGAATTCAAGGTAATCAAACTCCTTTGGGAGAAGATCTCCAACGCAAGTTTGGTTCAAAACTTTTAAAATTCAAAAGAAGTTTTCTTTTTAATTTCAATTTTTTGCTTTTTTTAGCTGTTTTCCTGGAGTGACATCGATGGAGAAGCCGGGATATGTGACAGACCCATCCGTAAGGAATGTTATGGTTAAATTGGCCCCTTCGATGAGCCAAGGATCAGCCATGCTGGAAAAAACTTGAAAGAATTATTTTTGAGGTGATTTTACCCGTCTTCCGTGGCATCCGGAAAATCGTACTCCGAATAGGATGAATAAGATGATGAAGATGATGAAGATGATGAAGATGATGAAGAGGAGGAAGAAGAAGAAGAAGAAGAAGAAGAAGAAGAAGAAGAAGAAGAAGAAGAAGAAGAAGAAGAAGAAGAAGAAGAAGAAGAAGAAGAAGAAGAAGAAGAAGAAGAAGAAGAAGAAGAAGAAGAAGAAGAAGAAGAAGAAGAAGAAGAAGAAGAAGAAGAAGAAGAAGAAGAAGAAGAAGAAGAAGAAGAAGAAGAAGAAGAAGAAGAAGAAGAAGAAGAAGAAGAGGAAGAAGAATAGGATGAATAGGATGAAGAGCAAGAAGAGGAACCGGAGGAATAGTAGTAAGAAGAGTAGTAAGAAGAGGAGCCGCAATGAGATCTTCGTTTTCTAGTAAGAATATCCGATTCTCCGCAAAAAGTTTTGATTGGTGTCTCAGGTGATTCAAACGACAGCGAATCGTAGCTGCAACCAGTGTCATCTTTAATTGAATTAATGATTTCAGAGATAAATTTTCGATAATTTTCGATAATTTTGCCTACCTTCAAGAATAAATGCATCTGCCTCTATTTTGTAGCCAACGAAACATACATGAGAAGCCATCGGAGCCTGGAATGTCCACTGACAATAATCGCCATCGTTGTAGTCGCTTGGGTAGTTTGGAGATGTAATTGTCACTGTTTCATCTGTGCCTGTATGATCAGCTCCGCATGTCACTGATTTTGGTCGAACTACTTTTCCTTCCTTGTGGACCTGATGAGCCGAGGCTAAGGTTACAAAAATCCGGCGAGCTTCATCTCTTTTGAAAATGAAGATTGTCTCTTTCGAATTCTGCTAATCCTCGTTTTTATAAATCCCTGTCGACAATCGTTATGCTGCTATCAAGGGGCGCTAACTACCGTCGTTGACTCCTGTTCCGATCGCTGAAAGTCTTTTTTTTTACCCGAGTTACCTCTGAGTACATTTAAGAAGACACACATGGTGAATCGTTTTTTTTTATTGAGATTATTTTTTCCAAAAATTCTGCATGTTGACTCCAAATGTTGTTCCAGCAATGTGGCTTATTTTCCATCATTTTTTGCCGTTTTTGCCAAAATTAAAGCTTCTTATGAAGCGGTCTTTAACCAAAACTTCTTCGTAATGCCCGCAAGGGAGTTTGTCACATAAGAAATTTTAATGAAATTTTTCCAAATAAAATATAAATGGAAATTTCAAATGAATTATATTTTCTTTGCAAAAATTGATATTTTTGGAAAGAACAGTGATGAAAAATATTTTAAATTTTAGAAATGGAAACGCCCAGCCATGTTTTTTTTTTAATTTCTAATAATTGCTATCCGAGGGAAATCTACGTCGACACCACCGTTGACCATGAATCATGGTCCATGATCATGGACGATCCGGGTTAGTCTCTTGGTCACTCGTTAATTTTATCCTTCTCAGATGTTTAATTGCTTCACCAAGAAGCGCATCAAATTAAATCTTCAGCATTTATTTTCCGGTTGTTAAATAAAAATTGGTTTGACGCTGACCGCTGAAAATAAAATATCTTGACAACTTGTCGAAGAAAATCCGAATTTTAATCATCGGACTCAAAAAAATAATCCAAAAGACATTTTATAATTGAGTTGTTTATTCTTTTGAGATAAATAATGATAATTTAAGTGAAGCATTAATCGAATGCTCTTAAAAGTTTTTGATTGAATTTTCGATGATTTTTCCTAGACGATTGGTGAGCAGGTTGGGGTCTTTCTCAAGATTCGGTTGAAGAGATTCTTCGCGTGGGCCAGTTGAGCGGGGACTTTGGCGGCGATCTTTGGTGGAACTCGATCCAAGCAGACGAAGTCATCGTAGAAGCCGAGGAGGGAGTTGTAGAAGGTTTCGGCGGCGAGGCAAGGATCAGTGATGGCGATGGTAGGATCAATGTAGTCTGGTGCAACTCCTTTTACGAAAGCTTGTCGATTTTTGTTCAAGAATTTGTCGATTTTTATCAAAAAGCCTTTCCTGGGCCAGCACCGGCAGGGTTCACGCAGGGACTATCAACGTAGTCATTAAACCAGCCGAATCGCTGCTTTATCTTGTAGAAATTCTTGAGGCCGTTGTTGGGATGATCGGAAACAGCGTCGTCGAGAACGAATTCAAGCTCGTCGTATTTCTCTTCCAGTTGAACGATTGTGGTTGTTGATGTTGTTGTTAAGGTCGTCGTCGTTGAAGTTGTTGTTGTTGTTGTCGTCGTCGTTGTAGTCGTGTTGGATGCTCCTCCTGGGCCAGGTGCATTTGGGTCGCCGTTTTGGAAACCACAAGAGCCTAATCGACAGAGTGACAATTTTTTTCTTTTTATTGGAAAAATAAGAATGAAATCGCGCTCTGGTTCCTATTAAGACATTGCAAATGCCGGTGGTATCGTAGTCATCACAGCAGTCGCCATACGAGCAGCAAACGGCATCGCAATAGCATCCATTGGAGCAAGATCCCCCGTTGCTTTCGAATTGACTTCCACAACACTTAGGATTATCGACTGCCGCGCAGGAACCTGAAGATCGTGCTAGAGCCGTAATATTGCCCCGTTGTCTCTCTGCAAGACTTGCAGTAAAAAGATAAAAAAGCTTCATTTTAGCAGAAATGTTTTCCACGAGTGACCAACGAGTGACAAACATTGTAAATTAAGGCCAAAATCGTTTAACGATCATGTTTATTGCCTAGTCTGAGATTTAATGTTTGGTATGCCGGTTATGGACGAACGGGCTCATCAATCGAGGTTCAGTCGATATCATCTGCGCAAATTAAAAATTCTGCTGACCCCCATCGGTACGAATGTCCATTTTTGAACAAAAAAATTTTTTTTTGTTATTTTTTAGAAAAAATTCTTCAGTCCACATTGAACTTTCTAGGGCTGCCAGTTCTACCGAAGATACGGGGAGGTGTCTGGTACCGACAAAAAAATTTCGACAAATTTCACGTGGAAATTTTAACCAATCAGAATATTTGATTTGGCAAACCGGCCAATCAGCAGCCGAGTAACCGCCCACGCGAAATTTGTGGAATTTTTTTGTCGGTTCTAGACACCATCCTGAAGATACTAACGAAGATTAAGATCTAGCCTAAGATAAAATTTTTTATTGATTTGCGGTCAACCGCGTACAATAAAAATATGGCAGCGACTATTATTCCTCCGCCGCTTATGGCGTTAAAAATTTATTATGTTAACGCTCACCGGCGATGATTTAACCCCACGAGTCTAAGTCGACATTTTTTGTCGAAATCCGGTTTTAATCAGCTGTACTGATCTATCTGTGATCCGGATCGAGCTGAAAAATGTAATGTGTATTCACACTGGTATTAAGCACCTCTGACCAAAAAAAGAGCGCGCTAATCCCTTTTGGTGTCGCTTGGTACCGGATTAATCACTTTCTGCACCAACGTGAAAGTACGTGCCATAACCTTCCGACAATTATTTCGGATCAAAGAATCGGATTTATTTCGTTCAAAAAGGTACATATAGGTTTTCAAATGCGTAGAATTCAAATAAGATATTTACAATTAGATAAAATGAAGAAAAGCTAGTCTGGGCTAGGAATCGAAGTGATGACTTCAAGTGGTGAAAGTTTTAAGAAGGCAGACAGTACAATTCTTCTTCAACTTTTTCAAGAAACTCTGTGATCTCTTCATCGGAAAGAAATCTCTCAGCTTCATTCTCATTTTCATTTTCGGAGTCAGACATTTTTGAAAAACAAGCGCGTAAAGAATGGTAATACAGGAAGCAAAAACGGAAGCATTTATACATCATGCAGTAATCCTGCTAAAACCCTGGCCTAATTAATTGGTTCAGTCTGTTTCCATTCAAATATTGTCATGAAGATTTGAAAATTAGCGCGTCGCTAAAAATAGATGGAACGGTGCTTGTTAAATTGGGTCAGACCAAATAAATCATGTTCTACTCATGCTAGAGAAAAAAAAGACCACCATGTGAAAGAGCACGTTTCAATTAGTATAAGTACTAATTTTCAATAAGTTATCTCATCGGGAAGGCCATTTCGACAAAAAATGTCGACTTAGACTCGTGGGGTTACGCCCTCCGATTGGACTCGTGGGGTTAATATGATGACAACCCGTCAAGAATATATCGCAATAACCTTCTCAGGAAAGAAATTTTCTTTTTCACTTTTTAAAAGTCCAAAAGAAGCTGTTTTGGAAAGAATATTGATAAGAAAATTGATAAACAATTCACGTTCCAATTTTTAATTTTGCCGGAATTTTTCGTTAGAGAAAATTGAATCTTTCTCTTGGAAGACTTATGCAAATCTTGACTCAGAGATATTCACAAGTTTCAAAAATCAGTCTGAGTCGGGCTCATAACGTGCCCGAGGATAAAAATTCAAGAGACCAAAAGTACCTTTGATCAGTGATTTTCAGCTCAGCCGCGTCACGTGCTCAAAAATCGACAGATTACCAATGAGATAAGAGCATCAAAATACCGATTTTTGATTTTTAAAAATAGGACAAAATCCTCAACCTTGTAATTTTTAATTTACCTAGCAAAAAGAGCAAATCGAAGGCATATCCTTAAGGACCCCCCGTCAACAATTTTTTAAAAATTATTTTTCGGAATTTCAAAATTTTGACCCCAGAAATGGATTCTTCTGGTCAAAAAACGATTTTGAGGCTTCATTTTTCGGGGTCTATCTCGACGCTAACACCCTCAAAATCGTATTTGAAAATTGGACTTTTTGACGAAAAATGACAATAAAGGCCCAATTTTGCTAAAATTTTAGATTTTTATTGGTCAAAAATTACTCTGGACAAGTTTTTATGATGTATTCAACTTCCAGGCACACTTAGAAGCCAAAATATGGCTGTTTTGAAATTTTCGATTTTTTGAGGAAATTTGTTGACGGGGGGGGGTCCTTAAGTTACCGTTGTTTCCGCAAAAATCGATTTAAAAATTGACCACTCTAGAATGCAAAAAATGATGTGGAAAGGCTTGTTCCTTGCAAATTGCTCGCGAGTTGACCCTTCTCCATTACCGCAGCTTCTCGATTTCCAAAGAATTATTTTCGTTGCTTTCATTTTTCAGCGAGCGCGCATCATGATTGTCACTTCTGGTTCCGACGGTTCCGATCTCCTATCATCAAGAAACATGTGTTTATGCACGTGAAGATAATTTGTGATCGAAAATGTTTTCTGACGTGACGCACTTAATTCTTTTTTGATCTGTGGGCTCCTCGTTTGTTTCAATTTGTATGTAACAATTTGTCGGTAGTCAAAATATAAGGCCAGCTATTTAATGAGGGATACTTCCGTTTTTCGCAACGTGGTTGGAATTAACTTTAGTCTTTTTTGTTTTCGCTACAAATCGACTATTTGTCATAAAACTTAAAGAAGGGGAGGTGTCTGGAACCGACAAAAAATTCGACAAATTTTGCGTTGAAATAGCAGCCCACGCAAAATTTTGTCGAAATTTTTTTGTCGGTTCCTGACGCAACCCCCTTAAAAACCTTCATAAAAATGGGATTGTGTCTGGAATCGACAAAAAAATTTCGACAAATTTTGCGTGGGCGGCTTCTCGCCTGCTGATTGGCCAGTTTGCCAAATCCAGGCTTCTGATTGGTTAAAAATTTCCACGCAAAATTTGTCGAAATTTTTTCGTCGGATCAAGACACCTCCCCATAAAAATGACTCAGTTGAGTTTGGCTCGAAAATTTTCCCTGATGTCAGCATTGGAATTAGCATTGGTAATGCAAATGCAGTCGACTAACCAATTTCTAAAGCGTCACTTTGTGGCGGCAAACTGACAGGTTAATTATTCGCTCTCCACGACCTTTTTCGAATTTTCAAATGCGCATTTTTTATAAAACTGAATCTTGTTTTGAATGTGAGCTTTCTGCATTCTTCAAATTCTGGAATATTTTTTCTGTTCAAAGTTGAGTTCAATGCTTTCATTTATCTTTCCTCCTGCTTTTTTTTGATGATTTTTGATATTGCTAAATCTTTTCATTATCTCGGAAGCTGTTTTTCCCGCAATAATTTATTTCAAAACAATAAGATTAGATCTCCCCCCCTGCTGCTGAATAACAGTTACAGTTACAAGAATTTGAAACATCAAAAGTTCACTATCGTTCAAAGAAAAAAAAAGAATCAACTTTCGAAATGGTTCGAAAATCCGGTTTTATAATCGAGCTGACAGGGGTCAAGCGTTGTCGAGAAAAGGTTAAATCAACGAGAAAAAAATTGCGTGAAATAAAGTTCAGCGATTTCGAATCAAAAGCTTTTTTTTCGAACGAGCTTTTCTTGGTTCAAAGAGTTCAATTTATAAATTCGAAATCGATTTCGAGCCGAAATAAATGGTCAAAAATTAAATTCTTATCGAAAGATAAGAGACCAAGATCCATTTTTTGGGCTAGTCAGAATTTAAATTAACCATTTAATTTTGCCCAATCTACCTTTTTTCGCTGGAAACTGAATATTGTGCAGGAGAGTAACGTAATGAGCTTTGAAAATCGGGGATTACGCCGATTTGTCAACGGTGCGTTTAGAAATGAGCATCCATCAACATCAAATTTAACGATATTTTTAAAAATAAAAGAATGCCACAAACAACGAAGTAATCCTCTGTCATCCAATTCCGGGTTCACGTTTATTACTCACAGAAAACCCTCTATCGTTAAACCGCAGCTACCGATCGGATTACAATTATCGAAAAATTTTCTAAAACAACAAGGAACATCAACAACAAATCCAAATTTACAGGAATAAAATTGTTTTTTATTCAATCTGGTCAGATTTTGCGACATACAATTCTTTGTACAGTGTTCTATTTACAAGCATATTTTTGCATAATTTTTTTTTCTGGGCGTCTTTTTTTCTTTTTGTTTTTATAATGTCTGCATTGGTAGATGTTTTAATTCATCGAAAGAGTTTTCCATCGAGACAATTGGCATTTCGTGGATCCAGGATGGCAGGGTTTGCCCAGCGATGCACTTTTTAAGGATTGAATTTTTGAAAGAATAAAAAAATCGTTAAAAAAATTAGGGTTCGGCGAAAAATTTCGACAAATTATGCGTGGGCGGATACTAGGCTGCTGATTGGCCGGTAAGCCAAATCCAGGCTTCTGATTGGTTAAAATTTCTACGCAAAATTTGTCGAAATTTTCTATCGGCTCCTGAAAAATCGACTAATTTTTCCCGAAAAATAACCCTTTCCTGATCATCATGTTGATTAACCCACCACCAGTTGGCGACACTTTTGATGATTCTTTTCGGAAAACCGAGATTTTTCCTCTTTGTTACTTCTTTGCAAATTCCGCAAATCATCGTCTCTTCTGGCTGCATATAAAAAGGCTTCTCAAAGTCAGGCTCAAGAAGTCGCCACTAAAAAAGGAAATCATGGTTTGAAAAATCTTAATTCTCGACCACCACCCCCTTAAGGGCGTCCGTTTCTAAAGTGTTCTCTCTCGGAAATCCGAGTTGGTATAGCCTTAACCAGGGATCTAAATTTTTTCGCGAAAATCGCAATTTGCGAATATTTTGCGATTGCGATGCGAAATTTCGCAGAAAATTCGCAATCGCAAAAACTTTTTTGATCTAATCGCAATCGCATCGCAATCGCAACTCAGTTTTCGCTAATAATTCGCAAATTGCGATTTTTTTGGGAATTTCGGTCTTGTCAAAATGCTCCCTTGGTATTCTGACATGAGTGTTTTTTGACTCAGAGCATATATTCTGTGCTCTTAAGGCTTAATTGAAAGCCTGACTCCAAAAAATTTTCTTAAATTCTTTGAAAAGGTACTTTTTTCGCTAAAATTTCGAAAATAGCGACAAAATCGCAATTCGCGAAAAATTCGCAATTTGCGAAAAAATCGCAATCGAATCGCAATTTCCGGAGTATTTTGCGTCGCAATCGCATCGCAATCGCAATTGATTTTCGGCAAAAATTTAGATCCCTGGCCTTAACCACATCCGCGGGTAAACGAAACGTCGATCTAAGAGCAAAGCTCTAGAATTTATTTATTGAGATCATAGACCGCGCTCGAGTGTGCTCACTTTATTTTTATAAACTAACAGGTAGGGACAAATCCAACTGGAAAAATAAATCACAGCGAAAGTGTGATGGAACGTGTGTTTTACCAATGACTTGAGGTAAGAGAGAGACGGCTTTCTAGAGCCGATTTTAGAGGGAAGAAAAGATAGGCGTTTTTTGGAACTCTGATTGGTATAGGGAGCGAATACAGGCATCTGATTGGTCTTAATTTTCAGGTAAATTTTTGTCTCAATTTCGACTAAAATTTTGGCCTTAATTTCGACTAAAATTTTGGCCTTAATTTTGACTAAGATTTTGGTAGAAATTTGACTAAGATTTTGGTCGAAATTTTGACTAAAATTTTGGTCTAAATTTCGACTGAAATTTTGGTCTTAATTTCGACGGTCTTAATTAAGGCCCTATTATCTATCAAAGCCATAATTTGACCGAATATTTGCTTGCTCTCATGAAAACTCATGATCCCGTCAAATACTGTTTCGACTCAAAACAAGCTTCAATAAGCACAACCCGAGAGAAGAGAAAATATGTTGAGCAAGTGTCAACGTGGCCAGTAAGCTCTCTCAGTAAAATAACGAGAGAAGTGACATCGCTGGAGATCAGCTTAATCCTTGTTCGAATGTTCGGAGTTCTAATTCTTTTCGAACTGGCTCCGCGGTGTTTTTCAAAAATAGGATAAATCGTGAAATCCGGCCGAAAAAAAATTGCAAAAAAATTATTCTTGAATGATTTTTTTTCTTTAAAATAGACAAGAAGCCTTTCTTCCACTTTCGATCCAATTTTCTCGCACCTGGTGAAAAGCACTTGAGGCAATTATGAGTTAAATGAAGAAGCTACTCTGTACTTGACGTCAGAAATGCGTTGGCCGTGTAATCAGGCTTGAACCAACATATGCTGGTCTTCTTCTTACCTTGTGATATTCTTCGTAAGCGGTGTCATTTTTATCCAGATAATCGAGATAATTGACAAGTTCTTTTGGTGTCGCAAAATCTTCGACGTGGATGAAGGAGTTTGGAGGAGCCATTTTTGTTACATCTGCTTTATGCGTTCCTGAAAAAATTGCATAATCAAATGGAAGAGCTCGATCCTTGAAAATCGACAAAATTTTTTTTCTAAAAATAGTCATGAAACTATCTAAAAACCACTCAATTTCAAGACCGCGATTCTTCAGAAAGAAGAAGAGCGAGAACCCTTTACCGTTATTATCATGTAATTATTTCCTCAACACACATTTTTATCTCGAATAGCTCAGACATTTTTCATGGTTGCTTTAAATTAGAGCATAATTACTCATTCCCGCCCGTTTTTAAAATATACAAATGACTTCAATCGAGAAGCCGCTTGCGGCTTCGAGATTTCAAATGAAAAAGCCGCGCTTCGCGCGGCTTCATTTTTTCAACTCGAAGCCGCAAGCGGCTTATCGATTCTAGTCGTTTTATTTTACCTGAGACAATGGGAACAAGACCCTGGCGCAGCGAGTTTCTCCAAAATTTTTCGGACATGTAATCCGTGCAGTGAACTGAGTTCTCTAAAGCTAGATAAAATTTATACTTAGCGAATTGTCCCCATTGGACGCCGTTCGATTGGTAGATTGTCCATGGTCGGTCGCCGACGACGTTGTCAAAGCAGTGACCGTAGCCGTCCATTTTTAGACCCTCGGAAATCATCCTGAAAAGAAGATTAGCCCCATTGTGGGGGAAACGGATAAGTCTTTCAGTACTTCCGTCTCGCTGAAATGTAGACAGGAAAATAGACTTAGCAAGGGTCAAAATAATTATTGCTTCCGGGAGTTACTTTCTTATCCTAGCTATCAATATTTTAGAGAGACCGCTCGACTTTTATTGCCCTCCAAAACTTGACCAATAACGATAAGATAGGCCTAAAACTGCGGCTGTTGAACACTTCAAATTTTCACTGACATGAAAGTTTTCAGTTTTGCCAACGCGAAAAATTTTCCGCGAATGTCGATAAGACAAGAAAAGGGGAAAGGGAAAGTCCACGTTCTCACCGGATTATGGAAAGCAGTTTTGAGGATAAGGAGATCCTGTCTTGAGGTGACTTCCAATTTTGCATGACTATCAATTATCTTTGGACATGGACAAGTGGCCGGATGGTCAAGGGCTCGGATGTGTACTTTTTTGCGTTTAAGCACCTTATCATCAATGTTTTGAGGAAAATACTGTAACGACTAAAGTTTATTGCAAATAAACTACTGATGACTAATGCATACAAAATCTTTCAAGACAAAATATTCCTTCAAATTTCAATTGTGATTTTCACATTCAAAAATTTTTCGAATAGCAAAGTGATGCCCTTAAAACCTTGGCAGAAAGAACGCACCTTGTGACGTATTCAAATCGTTGATCCGCGCCACCCGTTTGATCACAGTTCGACACCATCCAAGCCACGTTATTTGCCGACGTTTTCTGCGCCATCACATCCTTAAAAATACATTAGACTTTGATTCTAGATCTCTCTTTTCTGGATTCATTCTGCAAATTTGCGGCTTCAATTTTCAATTTTCGTTTTTGAGGTTTTTGGGAGCTCACAAAAATGGGTTGATTATTGTTATTAACGTTGTTCAGCTCGACTTTTTTTTGGTTCCCATGGAATATAATTTTTACAAAGGAACTTCTCTCAGTTTCAAAATAGCGATGATGATGATCTACCTTGAGATGTTCTTCAGGAGTTTGTCGTTGCGTCCAGTTTCCGTTTTTGTATTTGTACCTCGCATATTTGAGCTCGCTCTCAAAATCACCAAAGGGTCTTGGAATGTCGGAATCCATCCGGTAACTCGTCGTCAAATTGAAAGCACCGTCCCATCCACCAGCCATCAGTTCAACTCCTTCATCCGCCTGAAGAAGAAAAGTGATGAGAAAAGTGATTGAATTTTGAATGTTTTAAATATTTTCGCACTGGTTGGCGCCAGTCGTTTTTAAGAAGAAAATTCATTGTTTTTGAATTTTTTCTTCAACTAACATTTTAAGAAATTGACCTCCCAACAAATCTGTAATTCGAAGTCTCCTCGATTTCATCACAAATTCCCGGATACTTGATTCGATAGAACGTTTTCCTTTTCAAGTCACCGCAGGGCCCTCGATCCGCGCCCTTTCCACGTGGGAAACTGTGGTCGCCGCAGTAGTTGAAGAAGGAGTTCTAGTGAAAGCATTTCAAAAAGAGACTCCAGCAAGTTCTACAGGAGATTGCGTGATAGATTAAGTTTGAAAACGTTTTTCTTTCAATTGATTCGTGGACGGGAAAATTTACTTGTTTCACGGTCATTATCAATTTGTTGATCAGAAAATTTGAAGATTGATGAATGCTTTGACAAGGTGTAAATTTACCAAAAGGAAATCGTGTCGGTCTTGTAGAACGGTCAAAAACTATAATCAAAAAACCGCAAAATGATAAAAAATCAAGGTGTGCTTCTTGTTTTTGATTTTTATATTTGACCAATCAAAAAAAATCTACGATCAAAAATCTTTGTAGAAACCTGAGTCAGGATTTGAAGAAGCATGCTTAAGGGTGTCATCATCGAAAACATGATTAAAGAATTTGAAAATTCCGACTTTAGCAAAATCGATGGGGACCCCCTTAAAATGAAAAAAACTTCGCCATAAAGACCCTTTCAAACCCTGACTCAGGTTCTGCACACAGGTTGCCGAGCTCAGGTCGATAAGATCAAGTTATTTCTTAAATCTAAAAAAGTATTCGCTTTCATCAGATTTCCACGACATTGGAAAATCTGGAAAAAGAATCTTTCCAAAATTAAATTCCTCAGTTAGAAATTTCAAATATCTTCGTGGAGAAATATTTTTCTTATCAATTTTCTTGACATTTGCTCGGAAAAAATGTTGCTTGCAAGTTTCGACTTACCCCTTTGGACGCGGCCTCCCGTGGCCAGAAGATCCAGTACTGGTCGGCATTCCTGTCTTTTAAACTCGGCGGGTTGAAATACTTTTCTTCTAATTTGTCCAAATGAGCATAACGAAGATAACGAGTGTTATCGAGAAGAATGCCATCAGCCGATTTTTCTAAAACAAAGAATTTTAATTTTCAAAGAAACCGCGCTTCGAAACGAAACAGCTTTTCCTCTCTAAAACGGTTCTTTTCACAATTCAGCAATTTTGAAAAAAATAAGGGCGTCACTAGGTTAATTCTTCAAGATCGGATTCACGATTTTTGCCCTGGAAATTTTAAAGTTTAGTTTCGATCAATACAAATTGACCTTCAAGGCTAGTCGTCTTTGTTTTATCAACATTTTATCGACTTACCAAACCTTCCTACCGGTTATTTGCATATCACTATATTCCTTATCCCGCTATGTACATGAACAAAACCCGTGTCCGAACTTGTATCCGGAGACAAGTGACCCGAAAACATTTTTGATCCAACCTAGAAACGTTGTCTTTTCCGACTTGGAAAATAAAGAATTAAGAGATTTTGTATTGGCCTACTTTTCTAGCGCTTGTTCATTTCAGTCGAAAAAAGGATGATCAAAGAGGAACAAAGGCTTTTCTTGCTCTGAAAAGGGCAAGGGATAATCGACTACGTAAGAACTGCTGAGTCTTGAAAAGGGCAGGGTTGAAGAGCAAGATAACAATAAGGGTGTCACCAGCGAGTTCACCGAAGGAGAAAATGTGAACATTGAATGCTGCGGGAATACTTTCTCACCTCGTCTTTGATCATTGGTCAAAAAGCACGCTCCACAAGAATCTGTCAACTTTTTCAAATATGGCGGCGCTTCTTTCTTCCCCCACCAGTCTAAAATTACCACTCCGTCAACATCTGATTCGGGCTCCAGATCTTCTTGATAGATTCGGTAGGTGTCCACGTTTGAACTCTTCTTTTCGGATTTGGCGACTCGTTTTGTACGCCATTCTTTTGTGCTCAACCCCTGAAAAATCAGTGAAATAAGAATTTAAGGGGACACCCTGACTTTTCATAAATAAGGGTTAGGGCTTTGAAAAACTTATATAATAGGTTTAAAATATTAAAATGGCAGTAATTTTGGAAAAAAAGGGAGAATGACTTTATAAACAAATCAGATTCGTGCATTCGGCAAAAAAGCCAATCAGATTTCAAAAGAAAAATATAAAAAATAAATCAAATTTTCAATGAAGAAATCAATTTTGATCCAAAAAGTACTTTAGAAAAGTCATTTTAAATCGACTCGGTTTCAGCCTTGAAGTAAATTTTCTTATTTCATAAACCATAAAAATTGATATATCATCGCCGCAGATGCGACCCTATAAAATCAATCTTTTCAAGAAAGAAAACGAAACATCCTGCCGCAAGAACGCAATGTCGAATAAGCGAAAAAACGCGCGCTTCGTAAAATTTAATTTTACGCTTCTTTTTCAAATCCGTTTTTTCAAAGGCGATTATGGCGATTGGATTTTTGCTGAGCTTTCTTTTTGGAAAAAAAATTATTCTTCATTTTTCCTATCTTTTTGGTTTAAAATTTTGGCCGACAAAAATTCAGAAAAAAATCAGAAACAAGAAAAATTAAAAAAAAAATATTTTTATTTAATTTCAAAATTCAATTTTTATATCAAATTTAAATTTGCTTACATTTACGGAGGCAACAATCCCAAAGTTTCTGAAAATCTTCATTTTTCTTTTTTCTCTATTTTCGAAGAATATTTTTTTTTTTCGCTGAAGAAATTCGCTTCTCTTGTCCCTTATCAGGATGCGAGTAAAAAGAAGAAAAGAAAAAGATCAAACTTTTTTCAAGTTCAGTTTCAGAATTTCAGTATCTTCTTTATCGCCGTTTCTAGGGGGATCGTGGCGCTCCCGTTAGCGCTCACGAACGCTTATTATGGCTTGCGAGCGCCCTCGGAGCGCGTGGACGCGGTGACTAGAGCTCGCGAAAATTAGGGAAATCGTCTAAAGATTGTCTTGTTATCAAGCAAAACGGGTCTTTTATCAAAGAATTTAGGCTCGAATAAGGGGCACCACTTCATTATCAAGGTCTTAAGAAGCGATTGTATTTTTTCTAATTAATTTTAATCTGAAATAGCAGAAACCTTTAAAAATAATTTGTCATCGAGTTTTCGTACATATTTGTCATAAAATAGGCCAAAATAGACGATTTTAAATCGTCTCTTTTCAATCTTTTCACGGATATCAGCGTCATTTTTTTGATTTTGCAAGATCAGATTGTTTATTTTATCTCCAACCAATTCTGTATGTTTTTGTATCGCAATCGTCGATTAGCAATCATTATGGATCAAAATAAGAAAAACGTGAGCTGATAGGTAGTGCTAGTAATCCCTGTTTTCTGAAAACATCGTTGATCGTTTAGTTTCTGTTTTGAGTGAAATTAGAAAATATTCAAAATTGGCACTTTTAACCAAAACGAATTCAATTATTCCCTAATTATGCAATGATAAAAAGAAGCAAAAGAACTTTTTTGTCTCATTTATTTTCGATGAAAATTTCTTTTCTCAAACTTTCATTATTCTTCTTCGTCTTCGCCTTTGGATGCTTTCTCCATAAAACCCAGCGCACTTGACATTTCTCCAGTCACCATACTCATCAAGTTTTTCAGCTGCATCGCGTCATCCTGAAATTTAGTGGTATTAATTCAATTAAGATCGAGAAATGATGAACCTTGAGTTTCTCGTAAGCTTTTTTGATTCGCTCGTTTTCTTCCCAAAGCTTGTCGTTTTCTGCTTGAAGTCGTATCGATTCTTTTCGGTAGTGTTTGAAACCCTTAAAATTAGAATTATCTTCGAATCTATCTTAGATACACCCTTAATTTCAAGGTTCTCTTAATCATGATCTCTAGATCGTTTCTTAAGGATATACAGGCCATTAAAGGTCAGGTTCCTAATAGCAGGCTTTTTGGTTTTTAAATAAGGTACACCCTTAATTTGAAGGAAAGATATTTAATAAGAACCTCGCGATTTTCTTAAGAAATTCTTTTGAAAAATGAACTTTCTCATATCTTATGAGATTTGCAGACAGAAGCTGAGTTCTAAAGAAAGATGAGAGGCTAGAATATTTTCACGGGTGATTAGCGGCGCCTCCAAAATTGTCACCTTAACAACAAGATCCAGCGCCTCGTCTTCCATTTTCATTTTTGACTCCTCCGTTCCCTTCGCGTTCATCAAACTGTTTGTTTCTTGCTTTTCTTCTTTTTCAGGACTATCGGGGATGTCGTCCAGAATTACTTTTCTATTATCTATTGTATTTTAAAGCGTTATTTGGGTTCAACATTTGTTTTGCATTTACTCATCCATTCATGCAAAGAGACTTTTAGGGGCTCACTCAGTTATTCACTAACATTATATTTTTATCGAAAAATGATCGGTAAATGATTGAAAACAGTATCAAATTCGAACATGCTTAAGGTGAACTCTAACATCGACCTCTTTCAGTTTGATACTACTCAGAATTTTAGTGAATCATTGAACCGTGCGGGTTGATTGATTTCATCACAAAACATATTCTAGCGTCACGTGGCACATTACTGATGTGAAATCAAGTTTGAGTGATGCAAAAAATCGGAATCGAAAATCATCAGATTTCAATGATTTTTGACTGAAATTTTGCGAGCCTTGCCCAAGTAGTTTTCACTTCCTCGTCTTTTTCGCGAAAATGACAAAACAAAAAATTCCGCCAAGCTGTTAATTAAGGTCTAATGTTCTGTTTTTGACATTCCCTTCCTTTTCGATTTCTTCTCTAAAAACAGCTGAAATCAAGGAAGAAAACGGGCCTTACCTGGTAGTGGTTTTTCAGCTTCTTTTTTGACGCCGTTTTCCTTCGCTAATTTAATCACTATTAGAATTAGAGTTTTCAATCAGAACTCCTCATTTTCTTAGAAATTCAATAACAGAAAATGCGTTTTCAAAATTTCCGGATTCCGTGAAATTTGAAAATTTGATAAATCAAAGCACAAATATTTCTTGGTGGAGGAAATTTTCCATTGGGGTTCCCTTAATAGCTTTTTCTTGAAAAATACCTTTCTTCATTTTGACTTCACCAAAAAGAGCCGCATTTCCGACTCCAGCTGATTCTTCATTCTCTTGATTTTTCGGCATTTTGGCTCAGTCTATATATTCTGGAACAGGAAAGGTTGAACGAGAAAATTGATAAAAATTGTTTCCAAAGGAAAATTATTTTTGGAATAGTTGCTGAGTCAGAGAGGATCTTTCTCAAGGCTCAGGCGACTTATCAGTGCGGTTTCAGTGCATTTTTATTGTCTTCAGCTTCTTCACCATTTTTTGTGCCAAAAAGAAGGAGGAAGGACTCAAAAGGACAAATTTCGAAGCGGAATGATACTTAGGGATTCGGCTAGAATTGACAAAAAAGAGGAAAAATCAGTTGAAAAGTTCTATTCTGGTTAAGATCCCTAAATTGTCGGTCGCCAAGCATGAAAAAGAATCTTCGAGATAAATTTTGGAGATAGAATCGAAAGCGGTTTAACATCCACGCGTGGAAAGCGAGTATTTCCTCGTCTGGTGGGCTTGATGTCGAGGCGCGTGCGCGAGCGGCGTTTTTCGACTCGAAAAGTGGTGCTGACGTGATAAGTGCTGAGCTAGGCGCCTGTCAGGTCACGTACACATGCGGCTCCTGACCGGCCTTGGCTTCAGTATTACACTTCACGTATTCGGCCGTCACGTCCTTCAACCATTTATTTTTGCGCATCTCTCTCTTTCTCACTCACAACGACAGAAAAAGGGAGCTACCCTAAATAACAGCGACTACCAGAAGGCAGCAGAGAAGACTGAGATACTGATAAAGCGAAGGATTGATAAGCTAGAGCGACGAAAACTCGACTTTCAACCAGAGTTCAAAAACACGCGATAGAGAAGAATTCTGAAAAAAATCGAATAAAAAAAGCTATTCGATTCGAAAAAGAAGGGTTACAGATTCTTCAGAAAGTAAGTTCGACTTCATGTAAATTTTAGGGTTAGGGTTAGGGTTAGAGTGAAAATTTTCAAAATTCTTGAAAACAAAAATTCAAAAGAAAAGCTCATTTATATTTTCTATTTGGGTAAGGGTAAATGATAGATACAGTAAAAGGGTCAAAGATTACACAATAGAAGACAGTAATATTTCTTTCTTCATTTATGAAATAATTTTGCGGGAAGTCAGTTTTTTCCCTCATGTATTTTGAAAACACTTCGGCGATCGGAGTTTATAACTTTAGGAAGGATCGGTTGAAAATTTGCAAAGTAGCAAGTAGTCAACTTTTCCACGAAGAGCTTGTTTTAACCCTTAATCATACCTTTGCCAATTTGGTTCATTGTATTTTGTAATAAGGAATTTTTAAACTAACCCTAACCCTAGCCTATGAACTTTTGCTTCAAAAAATCTTGGACGAAGTGACTAGTTTTTATTAAACATACATCATTAAAAGAAAAACTGAATTGGGAAATTTCCGATAACAGATAGCTGGTCTTTTTTCATCTTATGGGACGGTGCTTCAAGAAGTCACGTCTGGTGTAGAACGTCCTCGGTGAAAAAAGCTCTTGCGGAGCCAGCGGCAAAAGCAATTAGCAAAGCCAAATAAAGCAAGGGTCACGCTATTAAACCCTTGCTCGATTTTCTTCAACTCGAGTTCGTCATTGCAACCGTACTTATTTTCGAATGACCTTCGCGAAGCGGAAGTAAAGGCATTCAAGAACATCATGACATCATAAATTGAAGTACTTGAAGAAAAATTTTTAGCCGCGGCGTCCCCTTATTTTTCTTGAAGCCGCAAGCGGCTTTTTGATTTGCATTATTTCTGCTTTGCTGGAAACATTTGGAATTTTGGCAGTTCTGAGTCTGTCAGACTTCGGAATAGTTATTTTGATTGTGTAACGGAAGAATGAAACTCAAGCGGGACGGTTGAGGGATTTCGTCTTTGAGACACCGTTTTTTCCTTGGAGTTTTGTATATAAGATCGGCGATAACTTTCCTTTCCATCACGTATTTATGCGAGAGAGAAAGAACAAATATCTATTTTCATAAAAATTTAATTAAATTATTTAAGATGACGCTGTATAATTCCTGATTTCGTCAACCAGCTGTTGATTGAGCTCCTGCTGACGAAACAAAATCTTTCGAAAATCTTTCGGAAATCATGACGATCTTATGCGGCTGCTTTGGAAAAATGCGCAGGAGAAAGCCGCAATCCCCATCGCAAGAACAACTGGTTCAAACTTTTGCCAGCAAGGATTCATTAGGAAAGGGATCGAAACACCCTATCACGGACAGCCCTATTTGAGAACGCTATCGTTTCTCATCCCCTCAAAAGTCGTCGAGCTCGCCCCGGGCGACCCATCGTCAAGATCTTCCGACGCGCTTTTCTCGCCCATATCTGGATCTTCCGCCTTCCCTTCTTCTAGTCTTAAACCCAATTTTCGCCCGACTTTTCCGTCAAGTCATCGACAGCGAGGTAAGCCCGATGCGGTGTAATTACTGGTTTGGTGTGAATTTTGTTAGAATCGTAGTATTTTGCATAGTAAGTGCTCATGATGTAGAAATGCTTTGTGTCGAGTAAGAAAAACGTGACTTGAACTTTGAGAGGCAGTCTGGCGATTACCCGCTGATTGGAGCGATTTCGATCGCCCGGCTTGAGATCCTCTCTTCCATGATTTCAGTTTTGCTGAGGCCAGCATTTCCTCACTCTTATTCAAATCAAGAATAATCTCTCAAAAGCACATTTCAGGATATTGCCAGCAAAGCCTAAGCGAATCGTCAAGCGAGCTGACGTCGAGCTCGATCGACTGGAGTCAAAGTTCCAACGGCTCAAATTTCTCGTCGGACTCGTCGAGCTCCGGCTTCCAATTCCGCCCAGAACAAATAGATTTTAACGAATTTGGAAAGAAGTACTTGTCGCGCCCGATCGGAAGAAATCCAATTGTAACTAATGTACAGTTGACCAAAAACGACAAAATGCCACCAGTAAGTCCAACCCATCCGAAAAAAGCTAATCATATTTTCAAGGAAATGCGTCGAAATATAGAAAAATACGAGAAAAACTTTGCGCTGCAGCATCAATCTAAGAAGTGAATCGACTGTGATTGAGTTTAACAAATTTGCAGTTCATTATTTTTTTGTTCTTTCTTCAATGCTTAACGAATCTGTTCATCAAGTTCTCGTTTATTAATACCAAACGAAATTATCCCCCTTGTCTTTTTCAAGGAGCATTTATTGAAGGAAAATCTGGCAGTGGATTTTGGGATCTTTAGTGAATTTTGAGTTTGAAGGAGTTTTCGCGAGAGCCAAGTGAATTTGACGAGGTACAGGTGTAGATTCCGCTATCTTCCAATGTTATGTTCTAAAAAAATGTTCAAGGTGTTTTCTTTCTTTTTTTGATAAAAGAGTGATACCCTTATTTTCAAAATTTCATAATCATAATTTGAGTTCGGGGTTAACCTTATCGCTTTAATTCAAAATCTTGAAATAAGGGTGTCACTTCGCAATTTTTTTGAACGATAAATCTCATTAAAAACTTACTGAAAAATAAAGAAAAGCTTTGTCTCCAACAACTTTTCTTTCCTTCTTCTTTCTATCTTCTCGTACCCAAAAAATTGAACTTTGCGGAATACTGTCAGGAAAGCACTGTAAATCGAGAAAACTCCCGATTCTACGGCGAATTTTGTTTGTGTGCGTTTGGCGATAGATATTGTGCCGTTTGAAAGCGATTATCGGCTTCTTCAGAACTAGAAAAAAATTTGTGAAAGAAATTTTTACGAAGGAAATTACAGTTTTGCACAATATCGACGGAATTGAGGATGTCATCTCCACTGCAGCAGGCTAAACGATGAGCGCAAGATTTTCGAGTCGGTTCTGGAAAAAAGCTCTTCTTTCGCCTAAATTTCCCCGTAACGTCAATTCAATTGTAATGTGTCTTACCTTATCAAACCTTCTTTTTTCATCGGAAGTTCCATCTTTGCCACGACTTTCGAACTCCTTCTGTTTTCATTTGGCTCCAATAAATATCCATCAAGCACAAGTTCAAGAGAGTCAGACTCTGATGATTCATAATATGGCTTGCTACAGCTGACGAGCATGGACTTCTTCATTTGAATGTTGCAAATGCTGTTTGAACAGGGACTTTGCTTTGATGCTTCTTTTCGTCGCCGAATTTCAGGCTGAAAATTAATTAATAATTTCAATTTCTTCTTCAAACCTGAATTATCAAATCTGTTTGAGCAGAATCAGCCTTTTTCTCCGCTCGAAATAATTTTGACATCGACAAATATTCATTTTCCACATTGCAGATATAAATCTGATCTTGCTGAAGAAACGCAGTCGACGAGTTTGAAATCATGTCGTATTCCCATTTTCGAAGCCATTTTCGAGTCCTTGTTGATTCCGAGCGCATTTTGAACACTCGCTGACCGATTTCTGGAAGTTTCAGCCAGGTGATTTTTGGAGAAGGGTAGCCATCAGCAGAGCATGTTGTTTGGTTGGCGGATGTTTTCGTGATTTTTGGTTCATTGAGGTCTTGAAATATATTTTTTTGCAAAATTCGATCGAGAAGTTTTCGAAGAAAAAGTCGAAAATCGAGATTTTTTACATATCTTTTTTGAAAATTATCAAATTGACACCCTTATTTGTATAAAATCAAATACTTACAAATGACTCTTACAGGCTCCAACGTACTTAGTGATTTCGACCTGCACTCAACAATCAAATTTTCCTTTTTGACGTTGTAAAATCTTCCTTTCATTCGTTTTCCGTTAACCGTGACTTGCGTCTTTTCCCGAGGATTTCCATCGGTGAGACATTTCACCCCTAGGCGAGTGCCCGCCAGGACGAGTGTCGCGTTTCCACTCTTCATTACATTCGACAGTTCAAGGTTAATCGACCTAGCAGTGTCTTAATTGTGACGTGATGATTTATTTGTCTTCTGATTTTCTCAGAGCAAAAAGGCTCTTATCAAAAATTCTTTCAATAAAATCAATTAAATGATTGCTTACGTTTGACATCCAAATTAAAGCAATTATTGCTCTTCAACAATTCTTCGTTATTTTTATTCACTTCGCAGCTGATCCATTTTTCATCATCTTCTGCAATCGGAGCGAAATTTAAAATTCCAGTGCACAAATTTGACTCTTCGTTGATTTCGATTTCAGTCGCTTCGACTTTTTTTTGGCCAATTATGAAGAGGATTTCTTCTTTTTTCAAGTTCCAGTTGCAGTTTTGAATGAGGCATTTTGCCAGATTTACGGGTTTTTCGGGTTGTTGACGGACATCGAAATTTGTTGAATGTGTAGCGAATATTTCTACAGTTGTATTCAGTCCTTAAAAGTCTTGTGAGAAATGATGTTGGCAATTTTTTGAGTAGAAAAGAGAAATGTTTACTTATCTTGATTTAAATAATGGGTTAAACCAATTTGTGGAAGTGATTTTATGGATCGGGGTTTTGATTGGCCGACAGGTCAAATACAACAATCTTATTGGTTATCTACAAATACACTTCCATAAACTGGTTTAGTCGAAAATTATCTACCTTTATCGACCTCGAGTAGATAAGAGATTTTGATAAGAATAGTCAAACACAGCCCTTATCTTGATAATATCAATAAATTTGGCGCTAGAGATCTCTTCTTTGGATATTTAAGAAATGACAAAAAAGTTTCTGAAATATAAAATGCCCTCGTAAAGATCTTTAAGTTCTTTATTTTCTTTTACATGAAAAATAATGAATTTTAAAACATTGTTTGATTCTTAAATGAAGCTTTGTTAGAATTTCTAACTTTGAAAACAAACCCTCAACCATCTACTGCTGTTTGTACTGAAATCCTTGTTCTTTACCTCGTACTGAAATCAGAAGACCAAAAACAAGAAAGCCTTCATATCATCTCATTAATCTTCTTTGAGCCTAAATTCTCTGTATTAAAAACCCTTTATGAGGTTGTTCTGAGAATGATGGAGTCGTCTGAAAAAGCTCTGATCCTTCAGCGTTTTGATTTGTTTAGTTTTCCGGGCCAGGGACTCTGCCCTCTGCTTCGTTTGATGAGCCAGTAATTGACTAGAAATTAATTTGAACTGTCACCGAAGCTCTGTAAAATCGCTTTCTTCTTCTCTGGCGCGCAGAATTGAACGAATTGAAAGAAGAAAGAAAGGCTCTAATTGTCGATAATTTGCAACGATGAGCTTGAACAAGCCCTGATTTCATTGATTGCCGCGAAATTTCAAGCCGCTCGAAATTGTTGCGATGCCAAATTTTTTCAAAGCTAAAATTTCAAAGAAAAAATTTTGTTTTCTACCAACAATATTAAATTCAGCGGGTTTGATAAAAATTTTGAAAATGTTGACAAAGAAAATTTTTGTTTGTCGTTTTATTCTAAGGCGCTTCAAAGGCAGAAGAATCGGCGCCAGGTTCCCCTTTTCTTCGCTTTCCTCTCGCCAAGCTCTTTCTTCATCTCAAGAAGTTGGGCTTCGACTCGAAGTTCGTGTTGGCTGATTTCTCGTCGAAGCTGGGAGAGGAGGAAGTGGGTATGTTTAGATTCATTCTTAAAATTCAGCTCGTGTCGATTATAGTTAATTCATTTAGTTTACCATTTGAGTTCTTTTGATTTCAACCATGAAATCCTCTAGCATTCGTACTTTGTCTTCCAAATCTTCGATTGACATCTTCGAAGAGTGACCGTGCTTTTGCCGAATCCCGGCAAAAGGAGGGTCACTCGTCTTCGACTCTTCTGATTTGATTTCGGATTCTTGAAGAGATGATCCTTCAGTCTTGATTTCTTGCTGTTTTGGCTTTGAAATAGCGGAAGCAGCAAATCCACCAAATGGCAATCCCTTAATTTGCGAGATTTGTTCCCACTAGTAGCATTACATTCTAGTATTAAGGACTGATAAGCCTACCTTCAGAATCTCTACACCAACAGCTTCCATCCTTTTTTTAGTCTTCTCATCATTGAAAAATTTACCAGCCTCGACGTAAGACATCTCTCCTCCATCCCAAACTCCCTTGAAAAACTTCTCAGACTTCATGCTTGAAATGAAGAAATAACCCTTTCTTCAAAATCAGATTCGCAAAAAAAAGGGAAAGCAAAAAGACTTAAGTCTTAAAGTCTTTCTAGTCTAGAAATCAAGTTCATGCTAGATAAGTTATCTAGAACTGCCTTTATCAGTTTTGATCAGAAATCTTACATCAATTTATTGCCAAGAAGGCTTATCTCTAGAATGACGTAATTCATGACACGCCTTTTTTGTTTCCTCTTCAGTTTTTATAACAAAATTTTCGCAAAAAAATGGATAAAGAGTCAATTTTGCATCTTCTTCAAAGAGCGAGAGAAGTCAGGAACGATTTTTTAATGGAATAAAACAAATATTACTGTAAATTTTACATAAAATCTTCAAAGAGAAAATGCTTATGCTCCATACAGTAAATTCCGAGTCGGGGCTGCTTTGCTTACAACTGATGGGAAAATTTTCACTGGGTAAATATTCTCATTTTTTCCGTATTATGGAGTTATGAAGTTGTAATGTCGAAAATTTGGCTTATGGAAGTGCCACTTGCGCAGAAAGAACTGGAATTTGCAAGGCTGTCAGCGAAGGAAGCAGGACTTTCTCGGCTTGTTTGATTACTTCGTAAGTTTGCCTGTAACAAGGGATGAAAAACTGATTTTTTCCTAGAGACCTGGAAGACTGGATCTACCCTTGTGGAAATTGCCGCCAAACACTCGCTGAATTCGGCGACATGACCTTGATTTTGACGAAAAACGAAGGCGACGAAACTAAAATCATGAAACTTTCCGACATCCACGGCGGATGCTTTGCGACCATGAATGAACTTCTCAATAAAGAATAAGAGAGCGATCTTCTTTCCCATTGAGCTATTACTTGATTGCTTTTTGGTCAACTTTTGTGATTTTTTCTAGTTAAAGATTCATTTCTAATCTTCTTAGATTGCACCTTTTCTGAATGAATTTTTATTGGCAACTTTTTGCTACTTATAATTGATGAAAGACGCGAGGCAGGGTTCATATAAAGAAGAATTTAAATTGAACTTCTCTTCATACAACTATGAATTTTTTCTTTGCATTTTTCGTTTCAGGAAAGCTTTATTCAAATATTTCGGTTTCAGAAAAAAAAAACAGTTTGAAGCTCTCCATCAGTTCTCGTTTATGCATCAGCAGCTCCAGCTTCAAAAAAATCCAGGCAAGAGGAAGAATGCCGGTACCTGATGGGTCTTGGGCTTGAAGAAGGCCCTCTTGGACGAGGAAAAGTAGACATTTGCTCGATAATTGGCGCCGTACTGCTAGAGAACAAACAGAACAATAATGATTTTTACACTTTTGAATAAACGATTTCAAGAAAACATTTATATCTTTCATCAGAAAAGGGGGTTTCTATCCATTTTGAGCATATGTATGAGCCAAGATTCATTTCAATTATGGCTGTTTTAAGAAGGGACTACGCTTCTTATCCGCTCCAATACATATGACAGCAGAAATGATGTTGTCAATACGATTTTTTCACGCATTATCGTTTTCATTGATTCATTTATTCTTTTTCCACCCAGCAGCACTTTTCACTTTTCAAAACGATGAAACTTGGACTTTTTTATGCAGAGCTTCAAAAAATTCTTAGAAGAGATTATTTGCAAGCAAATTTGGAGCATTTTGACAGACTCTTTCAGCGATCATTGTTTTGATTCTTGTTGCATTTATTATCATGGTCTGAAATTACCACAAGACCTACGGTCTTAAACCCGTGAGGAAAACCTGAGTCAGGGTCCTGAAAGAGCCTTGACCCTCACTCAGGTTTCCCACATGGGTTTCTTGGCCGGTCAAAAACTATTTGAGTATTTAGCCTTCATTTAAGCTTATTCACTATGAAGAACTTGGCCGTGAATACATGAGTTTTGATAAGGGATGAATATTTTTTATCATCTTTTTGACCGAAAAATCGTGTTACGAGGCGACTGAAATATAAATTTTTGTAAAATTGATTATTTTTTCTTTTCGATTCATCCCTTATTTTCGACCAAAAAGGTCACATTTCCAAGTAAGCAGCTGTCCATCTAATTTTGCAACAATTTCTGGCCCGGGCTCGAGTTCAACCGCTCCCGCCGGTCGCATAACTCGCACTCGAGATATTACGTTTCACGCGAAACAAAAATTTTGTGCCGAAACTGAAATTCTAGCTACGTGGAAATGACCGAGGAAGAGTATCACATGCAGATGGCGACGAAGGACTGGACAACGATTATGAGTCTTCCAATGCTTTTACTCGCCATTCAGGTTCGTTTTTCTCTTCCTTGATTTCACGAACCCGATTTTTAGATTATTTTTGGACTGCGACAATTTGTCAATCCAGAGCTTTTGCACCAAAATGAGCGAATTTATCAAACTCCAAGCCCGAGACGAATGCACAAGCGATTCAATTCTATCAGACACGATTTTTGACTAAAAAAAATTAAAAATTTTAATTTTCAAAAAATCGAAAAAAGACAGCTTTTTCTCCAGCACAATCACGAAGAACAGACCTTTTGAAGGAAGCTCCTTTACTTACGAGAAGAATTCGTTGCGTCAGAAAAAAATATAAATTCTGGAAAAAAATCTGTCACTTTTCATGTTTTATCAAGTAACACGTCGTCAAAATGCAGGGGCGATGGTGATTTTGGCAATTTTGTGCTGAATTGAAATGTTAAGGGTTCTGGCGGAAAAGAAACCGCCGAAAGCTGAGCTGGACCTGAGAGTGGCTGCGGCCGCGCTGGAATTTAAAAACGACCCAGCGTCTGGGCGAAACAGAGGGGGAGCGGTACAATTAAGCAGTTGGCTTCGAGGCAATAATAAGAATATTTTTCTTAATGAGTTTAATCTCTTTTTTTTCGTATGAAAGCAAGGACTTATTCAAAGCCAAAACAAATTTCTCAATATATTTCTCTTTATCAATTTATTTTTGGAACATAGTATTAAAGACATTATAACACATATCGATATTATGTAAAATTAAGATTCATTTCAATGATAATATGAAAAAAAGGGGCAGAAACAACTAGTAGGGAAATTAAAAGATTTAGAATATAAAGATGTGTAGACTCATTTTGAGATTTTATCGACATTAGAAATAGGTTATTTCTTGTTTCATTTTAGATTTCTCTCTTTTTTCTTGGCCAGAATAAGATGCATTCGTATTTATTTCAGTAAACAGCTGTTCTTCATGTTTCGGGCCAATTTTACGGCTGGCTTGACCGAACAATCAATTCTTCTATCTACCTCTCGAATTGGAGCATGTTGCCTAAAATTTTTTTGAAGAAAGAATGGCAGAATATTTAAAATATTATATTGAAAATATTATATTTTCATGGCTCAAGAATCGCATCTTTTTGAATCCCGTGAACTTGCTGAGCTAATCCTTCGTCCGCAAATTGAAGCGTGCAATTAACGCTGCTCGGAAGGAGAAGTAGCGTCTGTTTGTTATAGCCACGGCCCGTTGTTAATTTAAAAATCCGTCCGGGAGGTATTATAGCGCTATAAAAGAAATAAGTTAAATATTTGACGTGCTTTAGCTGGTAGCCGAGAGCCACAGCTGGCTCCGAAATTATTTCTTTCCAAGAAGCGAGATTTTTTCATAAAAATTTTTCGGCCTTCAAAAAAAAAATTCAAAAAGTAAATTTTTCAAATCGAAAAATTATCAATCAAAATTAACAGAAGAACCGAGTTTTTCAGAAAATAAGAAAACAAAAGCGCGTGAATTGACGCACCTGTTTATGCTCTTGCCTGGAGATAGGTACAAGGAGACTAAATTTTCAATTCAAATCCGCGTTCACGCCAAAAATCAAAATACACCACACCACAGAGATAAGCAGAAGAAAAGATTATGGCGAATAAAAAGAAGAGAAAAGGTATGATAGCAAAATGTCTCAAAAAATTTATCGAAAGTCTTTTTGACTCAAAAATGAGAATTTTTTTTCCACTAAAAAATCGAAATTTTTTACGAATCTAAAATCGAAATTTTTTTTCGACTAAAAAATCAAAAATTTTTTTCGACTCGAAAATCTAAAATTTCTTTCGACAAAAAATCGAAAATTATTTTTCGACTAAAAAGAGAGCCTATTTCTTTGAAAGTTTGTTTAGTCTTTTTGACTCTCTTTTTAGAAAAAAAATGCAATGAGAAAACCCAGTTCCAATGCGAAGATTCTCACGGCAGCTATTGCATAACTCGCGATTGGGTCTGTGACCGAGTCCCCGACTGCGAAAACGGCTCCGACGAAGGTCGTGTTCCTTAATTTTTAAAAGAAGAAATGCAAATATACTTCGTAATAATCCTTTTGGACCCTCCTTTGTGCGAGAATTTCTAGAGAAAACAAACTGAGCGTCTTTGAAGTCAGATTCTTTGAAAAGAAAAAGACGCCGCAGTTGTAATTTCTGAACACTATGTAAGTGGATTGCGGCTTTCCCGATTCTCCAGCACCCCTGTTTCAGGACGAAGAGAAAAGGTAACTCAGGTTTTTGCCTGTCGCCTATTTCAATAAGACTTGAAACCCAGCCTCGGCAACCTGTGAAGAAAGCCTGAGTCAGGATCTTAGAGATTTATAAAGAAAAGCCGCGAGTCGGCTTTTTAAAAAAGAAGCCGCGAAAAAATGGTTATTTTGGCTCGCGGCTTCGATTTTTAAAAAGCCGCGGCGCGGCTTTTCTTTAAAAATCTTTTGTACCCTGACTCAGGTTTTCTTCACAGGTTGTCAGGGCAAGCTTTACGTCGTAAGCTTTTTTTTACCATTTTGAGCCGAAAATTTCCAGGGAGGAAAAATTCTATCGTAGCATTTTTTTCGGAAGGTACCAATTATGTATTCGGCTTAGCCTGTCCGGAAAAGCGGAAATGCTCAAATCTGACAACGAGTGACAAGCTGTCGCTTTTTCTCATTTTCGTTGAAAGGAGCTTTTTTGTACTTTCGATAGAAGCTTAAAAATAAGATAACTTCAAAGCTCGTAAATCTGCGTAAAGCAGGAGCTGTTTCGAAAAAACGCCAGCGATTTAGAAAGCAGCCACGATCTTTCGCGTGTCATTATCGCGAGCCGAGAGCACTACCTTTCAAACCAAAAAAAGGAGACAAGTTAACCGAAATCGCAGTGCTCATTTTTTTTCGAAAATGTCAAAAATTGTTTTCAGTTTAATTTATTTTTATGATGTTTTCGAAGAAAAAAAAGCGAAAACTTCGATTCCCCCTGAACTCCAAAAACGAGGGAGTCCTCCTTAAGTGGCTTGACGGGCGTCCCGTTGCGTCGATAATCGCCACCGCGAGTCAAGTGTAGCCATCAAGTGGCCATTTTCGCCGAAGATGGCCCTTTCCAGTTCCACTGATTCTAAATCACCTAGAATTCTGAGTTCTGAAGTTTGGAAATTTGGGAATTTGAGACACGCGTTTCCGACTGTTGCCAAAATTGACGCTGCGAGACGGCTTTAAATTTTTCTTAAATCATTCGTATTTTTGGTCGTCGTATTTTGACTGGAAAAAAAGAGCTAGCTTTAGAAAAAATCTTAATATTGAAATTCGAAATTCTTAGTCGCTGTTATCTTTTTTTTGTAATTTCGGCTTCAAGTCCCTTGTCAATTTATTCCTTATTTTTTGCAATTCTAACATTTTTTCAGAAATTTTCATCTCTTTTTTTATCTTTTTCCTTTCAGCAACGAGAACCACGTTTGTCCGAAACATTACATATGCATATCTGGCCAGGTAAAAGCCTCGCTTATTCAGAAAGAAAATGTTATTCATTAAGAAAAAATTTTAAAAAAATCATCAAACATGAAAGAAAGTAAGATCTTTTTTCTAGTGCGTGATTGAGGGTGGATTGTACGACATTCCGGACAGCCGGTAAGCAGGGTTCGAAATGTAGCAGTGTAGTAATGTAGCAATGTAGCAATCGCTACATTTTTGCTACATGTTGATGTAGCAGGTGTAGCATGTAGCAGCGTTCAAAAAGCGTGTAGCAAAGTGTAGCTTGCTACATTGCTACATTTTTCTGGGGGCGAAGATTTTTTTTAACAGAAGAGACGATTTATGGATAGCGAATATATTTTAATGTCTCTTTTGATTATTAGGGATGATGATAAGCTTAATTTCTATCTAGTTTGACTTTAAGAAATTCAAAAACATAAAAAAAACTCATTTATAATTTAGATCTAATCGAAAATGGTAGCAGACCGGCATAATTTTATGTAGCAAGTGTAGCATGTAGCATGGGTTTTTTTAAGGGGGTGTAGCACATGTAGCATGTAGCAGGGACTTTTGAGGGATGTAGCACGTGTAGCATGTAGCAGCAATATATTGCTACATTTCGAACCCTGCCGGTAAGTGTCTTCCACTTTTGATGCTCTTCAGAATGACGAGACAGATCTTCATTTCCTCTTTGAATTTAAATGAAGATGAATTGTTTTGCCTCATAATCCCAAGAATTTTTTTTTCAAATCGTTGCGATTAGAAAAAAGCGAAGGACTGGCTCGTCGTCCGGAGGGGCGGAAGTTTCTCAAGCTCATTAGCGAGGAGCTCTTTAGGGACGCGACGCTGACGTGTTTGGAAATGAAGCACCATCATGACCCGCGCAATGGTTACGGCAAAATGGAAAAGCTGGCAGACAGTACTACCCTTTCCCAAACAGGCACATTCTCAAAATATCGAAAAAAGAGAGCCCATGAATGGAAAAAAGCTACCTTGCGAGATAAAAATGGGCAGCTGCGGATGATCTTTTGAGCTTTGTTTAATTATCAATGATAAGAGAAATTAATCGCTCGTAAATCCGCTCGATACACTGCCTGACTACGTATTCCAATTGATAAGGATAAGGCTCTCACTAAACAAAGCCCGTGCTCTTTCAAATCAAGCCTTTCTTTTCGAGAATTCTAGAAAGAATGCAGTAAAATCCTCAACATCCTGATCGTCGCCTCATCCGTCGTTTTCGGCTCCTTCTTCTTCATCCTTTTTCTTATCCTCTTCAAAAAGCTCTGCTCAAAACAATCTTCGGAAAAGCCGAATTTTTCGGAAGGCAAAAAAGTTCATTCCTAAAAGCTACTGTACATTTTTTGAATAAAAAAGGTTCCTCCTCATTGAATGGCTACTTTATAAACAGGATGAGCATCGATCGTAAGAGAGAGTTTCTAACGCGTCCGGGCGAACTTACTTCTCCCACTTGAAGATAAGCTTATCGCAGAACTCATTAACTTCGATGCAACTTTTTCGCTTCAAGAAACTTCCAAATTTCCGACTTTTCCATCGAGAGGGCTGAAAAGTTGCTTCCAAGCTCGATAAGTTGATCTTGTAAAACAAAACCAGCGCGCGAATCGCGAAAATATTTGTCCGCGGACTTCACCAGCTGCCAGCGTTCAATCTGGGCTCACGTCTATTTGCTCTCCTTTTCTGAACCTGAATGGTCTTCCTTAGTCTCGCTGGCCACAAACTGACTAGCCGCTCGAAGGAATTTCACCAACCGAAATCCCATTTTTTTGAACTAGCGAATCGGCTTTTTGAAATTAGCTTCTTGGTACTGATTGATTATTTCGTCTTCGCCGCGCTTTATGCAGACTGGAAATTGGTTTAACCGCGCTTGAGCGTTTTCAAAAACGAGTTGAAAAAAGCGATTGATTTTGACATGTTATTATCAGAGGCAGCGTTTCTGACGCAAAATAGCCCGAATAGAAATCAATCAAAAAAAATTTAAAAATATTTATTATTTGATAAATTTAATAATTTAATAAAATCAATAAATGAATAAATGAAAGTTTTTAATGAATAAATTAATAAATAAATAAATAATTTAAAAATGATAAATAATATTTAATAACTAAAGATAATTATTAAAAATTTCAGTTTTTTTCTCTTTGCCTTCGACAGGGGTAAAAATCACTCGTAGACATAATTCAAGAAGCCTGGCCAAGATAGTGGTCAGAGCACGTGACTTGCGCACCTGCAGAATTCTAAAGTCGCCAGCCTGGCTATGGAAATAAGATCACTGTAATCGCCTGCCACGCCATCAAGCTAGTAGTCACTTCGCGGTTATTCTTACAAAAATTCTATCTTGACACTTTATTAGTCAAAATTTTCCTTTCTTTGAAACATCAGCGAAATAAAGATTCACAGTCAAAATACGACTCGTGCGACGGCTCAATTTTGCGCTCGTCAATTTCAAGCCCCGTTATTTTCAAATAAACGAAGCTTTTGAGAGAGCCTCAATGTCTCTAAAAAATTTCTTCTGTAAATAGAAAAGGAAATGTTTGTCTGAAATAAGGGTCGTGAGGGTAAGTAGAAGTATAAAAGCGAGTGGAGCTTGAGTGGAAGCTCTTATGCTCCCTTTTTTTCGTGATACTATTGTGGTTTTCTGGCAAAGGGAGAATTCGGGTTCGGAATAAAAACAAATCTAAAAAGCTGATTCTCTATCCGGGAGATATTTCTGAAAGACAGGCACTTTTATCTCAAAAAGAGTTGATTTTTAGGCAATATGGATCGATTCAAATCGCGAATTTTGGCATTTATGCAATCAGAGAGATCTACACATGGCCAATTTTATGGAACAGCTGTTAAGCGCCATATAAACGGTCATTTTATGTATTTTTATCAAGGAAAAAATATCTTAAATGAAACTCTTACGTTTTTCTCCGCGACAATGAAATGATTTTTATCATTTCTTTTAAATACTTTAAAATGAATCTGTTCGAAGATTATCCTTAGAATATTATGCGGAATAATTTATTCCCTTAGATGATTTAAATAAATTCCAAAACAACTTTTTTCATAAAAATCAAAAGTTTCAATATTTATTAGTTATAGAATCTATAATCTATAATAAAGATGATATGCATGCGATCTTTTTTGTTCCGAATTAAATTTTTTATGATGTTAAAAGTATGCAATAAGGATTTGTTTCGGCTCATGAAGATTAATATTTAAAAGATAAAAAGCATCGACCGCAAGATCAAAGGAAAAAGTTTCTTAGCTCGCGAGTCGCGAGTCAACCTCTTTGGCAACTTCCTTATCATCTTACTTTTTAAAATTAAATAAATCTGATTACGTGTCGCGTAAGGAAAACACGTTCGGGCCGTCTTGGTCTCTCCAGAGGTCAGCCGTGGTCCTCGTCCGGGCACGCTTGGGACAGCGCCACCCGGCGCCCGGCGCTTGAACTTTGTGCGCTCTGCGGCGCCGCCTGAATTTTCACGAGCGCGACAAAAAATCTCCATTTTGCTTGCATAGCTAACGGTCTGGCTAGTTTCTTGTAACAATCCCCAGCATCGGAATAAACCGTTGTGTGCCCAAAAGCGGCTTCCTTTTTTTATTCGAGAGAACACCCTTCTTGCGAAACGAACAGCTACGAAAAATCTGAAAAAAAGAACAAAGAGAGAATAAAAAAGAAAAGATGCGCTTGTTCAATGCGATTTTGATAGGCCAGGCAATGGCCGGAGCTGGGGACACTCCAAATCAAAGGCTCAAGAAAAACTTCAGGAATGGATAAGAACTATTTTCTTTCGGGAAATAGCAAGACGTTTAGGTAAAATGAAATAAGGGTGTAGCTTGATTTTCATTAGTCATCTTGATAACTAAGGTGGATACCCTTATTCTTACGGTAAGAATCTTACCGTTAGTCTTGACGAAAAAATAACAGATTGACACCCTTATTTTTTACTTAGATTTTTTAATAATTTTCTAATAAAAATCTTTATTTATGAAAAAACCCGAATCGCGATCATGAAATTTTATTTTAATAAAATATAGAAAAAAAATTTGTTGATTTTAGAAAAAGGCAGATAATGAACAAAAAAATTCATTTCTAACTCCGCGGGTCAATTTTGGGAGAGGTCGAATTCAGTGATGTCAGTTCGCCGCGGAGGTATCAAATTATGACAGATGCATTTTCTTTCTAATCGCCGAACGACCGAAACTTTTTGAATTTAAGGCTGTACCACTCAATAATCTCACTCTTTTATTCGTTTGCCAAAGGGGAGAGATTCGTTTATTTGTTTTTAAAACTCATTTAATTAAAAAATTAAGGGTGTCATTCTCGAAAAAGACAAGGCTCAGAACCTTTGCAAAAACCTGACTCAGGATTTGAAAAAGGAAAAATATGCATAATTTTCTGTAAAACTCAGCATAAATCGTATTTGCGCACGAAAAGAAACGAGCTTCTTAATCCCTTTCTCGGCTTCGCGGTACTTTAGTGTTGCCGGGGTCAGCGCGAAAAGCTCCTTTGGGCCCATTTATCGCGCGTTTAGCTGTTCTTTTCGTTGCCCCAGAAGACCTTTCATTTTGCTGAAAACAACAAAAGCAAACATTTTTATCCATGAAAAAGAAAAACCATCGAAATTGTGGACCAAATGCTTGCAACAGCAGTTTCCAAGGAAGAAGCAGATCGAGCTATTGGAGTTACAGGAACTTTGGCTTGAACGATTCTTGAACTTTTTTTTCTAAAAGAATTTTCAAAAATTTTCGTGGGAAAAATTCAGCGGCGCGTCATTTTGGAACATTTCAGCCTTTTTTTGAGGATTTGGATTCTTTGCTTGTGTAATATGATTTGGCGATTGTCCTTATCGGAATTGAATTTCATCGTAAAAACGCTCGGCGGGACACTCTTTTCATAATCGCGAATTGTGACAGAGATTACTCTTTTGTCAAAATATTTGTTACACTACCGTTTTGCTGATAACGGGTTTGATAAGGGAAGGAAAAGAGGGATAGTAGGTAATTTGGATGAAAAAATTATCGGGATATTATGTATTGGCAAAATGATCATTCTCTTATCGGAGATATAATTTTGTTTTTTAGAAATAAATATTTAAATGGAAGGGTACCTTTGTTGGCTCACAAGGCCACGTCGCCTTAGTGAAGCAACAAATTTTCTTTCTTAAAAAAATAATTTTAACTTTAAAAATTCTGATTAAATTTTTAAATTTTTATTTTAAGATTTTTTTCGCGTTTTTTTTTCTTTTGCGAAAAATATTTTTCCTTTCTGAATATTTGCTATTTTGGGCTCGTTTCTGTCAAACACGTTGTTAGTCTGAAAATTCGTTTAGTTGTCCGCTTGCGTGAATATGCAAAGACGAAACTGCCCGGCTGCGCGTTTTTTAAACAATTTAGCCTTTCTTTCCAAAAATGCCTGATAAGATTGCGATAAGATCCTTTAGAAAGAAAAAGGTGGCCTTTTAACACGTGCCGTTTTTTCTCCCTTTTTTTCCGGAGATACCCTTAATAAGGGAATCCTCCTCTGCGAAAATGTAATAGGCGGTTTGAGAGCTATGATTTATCTGACGTGGAGAATGTTTCTAAAAACGGTGTTTTGACTCGAAAAATTCCGGAAATAAAGCTTTTAAGGACTATTTTTGAGTTTGAAAAACATGATTTTTCCCGTAATTTATTTTAAAAATTGCAAAAATGGGGTGTTTTTGCCTCTGGAATTTGCATGTTTGAGCCCTGCCCCTCCCTATGACGGGGTAAATATTTTTTTGAAATTATAACTTGTTTGAAAAATCCAATCTTTATCGCTCGGATTTAAATATTTGCAAAACTGATTTTCAAGCCAAGAAAAAGGTAATGTAGAGGACGGTGATCTTTTAAGGCGCAGCGAATCGACAATGATTTCCGATCGAATTCACAAGAGCTGGGTCACCAAAATCGTCAAGCAGACCTCCTTCCTCCAGAAAAAATACAACTCCGCGGACTGTCGAAAATACGGAAACCCGAATCAAAGTGATGTCAGCGATGTTTGGGCGGAGTTTGGAGGCAACAAGGAATTGATACACAATTTTTTTATTTGATCATAAATTATTAATTATTTTATTAATAATTTTATTAATCAAGTCTTTTTGTTAAAAATTGATCTAAAAAGTAAAATTTGTAATTTATTAAATAATTTAATTCATAAATTATTTCGTTTTCAAATAAATTTTTTAAAAAATATATTATCATTAATTATAAAAGTTCACATTGAATTCTTCCCCCTCTTTCCAGAATATACAGTCCCTACGCCCCTTATTAAGCCCCCTTTATAAGCCCCTTTCCCAAAACACTCAAAACGTGCTCTCCTACTTGTAACCCTCCCTCCGATCTATTTTCAATTTAACCCGAAACGGAAGGTCCCTATCCCGCCGTTGTCTGATAAGGTTAATCTATTGCTTTTTCAAACATCCGTCCAGGGCCTTCTCTTTTCATACGAAAATTATTCAGGGCCAATTTTCTCGTTGCGTATCACTCCTTTCCAGATCAAGGACCAATACAACCTCTTCGGCAAGCTGATTTGGCCAGCGAGCGCGGCCGACGGACTCCGCGGACGGCAGACGGTTCAAGAAGCGCCGCTAACAAACTTGTGGCTGCAATTCGCCAGATGGCGCTTGTGGATTAACGGAACGGATTTCTAGTTTTCTTTTTACAGCAGATGCTTGATTTGATTTTCAGATCAACCAAAAAATGAAAAATTCGACAACTTTTCGGGGAACTTTTGGATCATCATTTTTCGATGATATCACGTTGATACCCTTATTTTTAAGACAATAAAAGGTGTAAAAGAAGCACTTACTAATTCTTCATTTACTAACGTAACTTGAAAATTGCCAAAACATCGACTAAACGTGCCGGATATCAAACAAGCCATACCATACTATTTTGAGTTGCAATAGAAAATCCGTAACAAAGAAAACATTTCGGCGTGTTATGATGAAAGCAACCCGAAAGCGCAGGACTCGCGCGCTGGTGCTCAACGTGTTAAGGTAAGCTCGTAATGATACGAAAGAGTCATTTGCGCGTGTTTAACTTTATCCTCGAATTTTGCCTTTAGAGGGTTGATCGAGAACTGGCAATTTTGTGAATTCGGGGAAGCCAAAGATTTAAGGTTTTTGAGATCGAGAATTTCGACTCTAAATATTCTCTTTTCCTTGAAAACCTGAGTCAGGACCTGAGTAAGGAACTGAGTCAGTACCTGAGTCAGAACCTGAATCATAACCTGAGTCAGGAACTGAGTCAAGACCTGAGTCAAAACCTGAGTCAGGGCCTTGGTCAGGACCTGAGTCAGAACCTGAGTCAGGACCTGAGTCAGGGCCTAAGGGTGCACTGATAAGAAAGTGACACCCTTATTGTATTAAAAAAAAGGAACAACCGTTCTCTATAGATTTATCTCAATAAAATTCTAGAAATGGCGAAACCGAGCGCATAGAAAATTCGATACATTGGAACTTCGCGTCTGCAAGCACCTGTACAAGGGACTTGTGAAGACGAAAGAGACGGACAATCCGTACAAGGACAACTCCGGATGCGACTCGAGCTTATTCAAGGAAAAAGTCAAGGACGAAAAGAGACGACTCAAACAGGTACGCATTTTGAAAACATGGAAAGAGAGGCTAAAAATGTTTCTTTTAGGAAGAGAGATTAGAAGCGAAAGGCAAAGGGCGCTAAACCAGCAGCCTCGGAGAAAGGTTTTCTTGTAACTGGAAGCAAATGAAAATCGTTCTCCGTGGAACCATAAAAATTACTGGTTTTTCCGCTCCCCGCCGGGCGGTAAAATAATTCGAAATCGAAATGAAACGTTGGAATTGCCTATTTTTGTTGAAATAGAAAAAAATGGCCAGGGCAATTTCAAATGACGAAGATTTTGACGAAGATTTTCATTTTGACTGTATTATACACAACTCTTCTAATTTCCTCAAAAACAAACTTACTGTCTCTCTTTTTCTTTTAATACTGTACAGTTTTGTATTCTACGAAAATTTTTGTTTCGAGTAATTTGTGACGTGAACTTATTCACTCACTTTTTATATCTCACTCTTTCTGCAGTGTACTGTAATTGGCAACCCTTTCTGATAGAGAGAGGGTGGGTCAATTATGATCAGATAATTTAATAAATTCTACTGAATATTTACTATTAGTAAGTTGTTGTTAGTAGTAGTTGTTTAAAACAATCGCTTTTCGTTAAAAATGGCATCGCAGGCGCACGAGTTCGAATCCTATCATGGCAATTTTTTTTTATTTTTTTTTTTTTGAAATAAAATCTTGATTCTTGAAAAAGATATGAGGTTATAAATATGATGTCATTTAGAAAAAAAAATCATAAAAAAAATGCTTCTAAAGTCCTTTGAAGGACGTGAGAACATGAAAATTTAATGAAAACCACGGCTGCGGACAGCTAGAAAACATCATTTCAAAGGTGCATGACATGTGACCTGTTCTAGAATATGACACGTCTTTTAAGATTTATGCGGTTTCCTAGTTTATTTCATGATTTAAAACGAAATGGTGAGTTTGTAAACGTAACTCAAAAAATAAATCGATAGCGATTTAATGATCCATAAAATGGATTTTCTTTAACTCAAGCGAGAAAAATCAGTTAGAGAAAAGGGAAAAGAGAAAATGTCCTCCGACTCGAGCTCCGAATCTGGAGGAAAAACTGCTGATATTTCTCTGAGTGACGTCACTGGTAGAACACCTTCGAATTTTGAACCTCCTGCAGGCCTTAGAAAGACTTTATCGTTGCCAAGAATTGATGAAAATATCGAAAATCAGCTGCAGAGAATCCACACACTCCTTGGAGATATCCAAACTTCCTCAAAATTAGAAATGATTGAGACGAAGGCGAGAATCGCCAACCTTGAAAATGAAATTAAGATGCTTTCCGAAGAAAACCAAAACCTGAAAAACCGAAATGAAACTCTTCAATTAAACATCGATCACGTGGTCGGAGAAATGGAACGCCAGAAATTTGATAGTGAAAAGTTACTTGAGGAGCTCAAAGAGAAATGGGAAACGTCTAAAATTCAAGAAGAAATCGCAAACATCCATAGCGCCGCAAAAAAAGCAGATGGAAAACTGAAAGTTGATATTCAAAGACTGAATTTGGGAATCGAAATGGGCCTCATCGGCGGGTTTCAGAGTTGCAAATTTTGATTAATTTTTCTTAACTGAGCTGAGCTGATCTGAGTAAAAATTTCTCTGAGCTGTGCTGAGCCGGCCTATTTTGGAGGTTACTGAGCTGAGCTGAACATTTTCAGAGGTCATTGAGCGGAGCTGAGCTGAGCTGACCTTCTGTTTAAGAGAGCTGAGCTGAGCTGAGCGGACCCTAATAAGAGCTAAGCTGAGCTGATTGAGCTGAGCTGAGCTGGTTTTTACTGTTTTTTGCTAGTAAAACGTTTTCGAATCATTGAGCTGAGCTGAGCTAAGTGATAATTGTCTGAGCTGAGCTGAGCTGAGCAGAACAGATCATGTTCGAAAATAATTGAGCTGAGCTGAGTGAAAATTTTCTGAGCTGAGCTGAGCAGATCAGATCATTTTCCAAAATCACTGAGCTGAGCTGAGCTGAGCGACTGCTCAGCTCACTCAGCCAGCTCAGCTCACTCAGCTCAGCAAATTTGCAACTCTGGCGGGTTTCATCATTATTATGGACGAGATACCAACAGCATTCGCAATTCGATGAATGATGAGAATCTGCGACGAGTTCTCAAGCTTATATCTCTTGGCCAAAAAACTGTGAACGTCAAGCCATGAAAGTTAAAAATGAACTTGTTTCCTAAAAAATTTGCATATTTTTTTTATGATTCGTTATTTTAAATAGCATGCCCAAGTTTGTAACAGTTCAAAACTATGAAGTAGCAGAAGCTGGCTGGCGAATAAGATTCCAAACTGCAAAAAAAGAATACGGTGGTGATGGTTCGAATCATTTTCTTTCTGTTTCCTCAAATGGTCAGTCTTCCGCGAAATTCAGTGCTGTCGCTCAAACAATACTTTTGGACAAAGGCGATGTGTCAAGAAAACGAGAATTTATGAGCATCAAAGATGGAGCCTGGGAATCTGTCTTGTTCAATGGAGATGCAGACTTCAACTATGTCAGATTCAACATTACCTTCGTTCAAGAATAAAATTAATGTTTAACTGCTAAATGTTTTTGCTTGTAAGAAGGGCTGTAATTATCTCGTGCCTATGAAAATTGCTGTTTTGAAAATGAACCCGCTGTGTTTCCAAAAGTGGTGCTAAAAGGCTCCGGTCGAGCACGTGTCTCGTTGTGGTTGTGGTTGTGGTCCCTTATCTAGACGCACGGCGATAACCGCTTCTCCGTCTCCCGCTGGGAGCCCTTTCTTTCGTACCAACCTAAATCGCGACTTATGCAACTTGCAAAATCAAGCTTGCAAAATAAGATAAGCAGCTAAGAGCTTCTATAAGCTCTTTCCTTCCTGATCCCGTTTATCGTGATTCCTCATTTTTTCAGGCAAAGGATTTTCTTGAATAATATTAAATTTAATCTCAGTACAAAATAAAAATTTTCCATACAAAAAAATTTTTTTAAAGAGTCTTCAACCAACAGAATTTAGTCCCTCGTCATATTCCTTCAAAATCATTTTCGCCGATTTGGGATTTTCTTCGTCTGAACTTTCATCCAACTGCGATGTTCTAAAATCGTAAATTTTCAGTTTTATAAATTTGCGGGCTACATAATTAATCACTTTATCGCTGAAAGGATTTCGGGGCGGCGATTGATTCGATTTGAATCTTACCTCAGAGCGAATCTGCTTGCTGTGCCGGGTCTTTCTTCTCGCCCGGAACCGTGGGCTCTTCTGCCGCGGTTCAAGGGCTGAGGATTGGGAAGAGACGGGATCACATTTTTGGCACTTTTGGATGGCGCTCGGCCGGATAATGCAGCGTCAATTCCTTCCTAAATGAAAAATTATATATAAAAAAATTGAAAATTTTCATAAAAATTCTCTTTTTTACCTTTTGAGAAATTTTCGGTCTGCTCATCAATAATTGCGCTTTATAAGAAAGTCCATTTTTCGTCGGCCTCTGCAAAAACGGTCGCTGTAGCAAAACTCCACCACCAGCCGATTGCAGCGAATTCGTCACAGAAGGAGGTACCACCACAGGGAGAGAAGCATACGAAGCTGTTTCGGAAAAAGAATCGTCATTTTTTCCTCCGCGGCTTGCTTTTTTGATCAGTCGCTGAAAATTTGGTTGAAAAATGAAGTGAATAATCTTGTTTTTGCTTCGTTGGTTTAAATTTTGACGGAGAGTTCTAAAAGGGGCGAGACTCGCATTTTCCGACTCGTGCATTTTGTGACTCTTGAAATGCATCCGAAAGTGCTACTGTTGACGCGAGCACTCAAATTTGCCCCTTTAGGAAACGTTTTCTTTTTGCTCCGGTCACAGGAGCTTCGCCTTATTGTCTTTTTACCTGTAGTTTTTCTTGTTGTCTTTGGAGCCTCTGTTGCTCGGCATGAGTTATCGCAGCTGCTTCTTTGAGTGGAGTAAGAGCATCATCAGTTGAGTTGAGTTTCACCAACGTTTCGCCAATACTCGCATTTGAGCCCATCAATCCATTCGTCTTTCCTAAAATCGCGGCTCAGTAAGTCAAGTATTCAACAAAAATATGCGCCAACGCATAAGGAATGCCCCGCAAGAAAACGAAGAAAGTCACAAAGAACTCTCGGAATCCGACCTTGGCGACCTTGTCCGCCCTCCTGGTCCTCGAGGAATTCGCAGCGCATTTTTGAAAAAAGTGTTCTTTAAAACTTTACCATGCGAAGAAATTGTAATGTCCTCGAAAGTCGCTAGAGCATTGTTGAAAGCGGCTAGGGCTTCGTCAAACTTTTTCATTCGCTTCAAGCATTTTCCTTCGCCGAGATAGCATAAGCCGGCCATTTCTAGGTTTCCATCGAGGAGGTAGCCTTTTGAGGCGGATTCGTAGGAGGAAATGGCGTTTTGGAAATCGCCGGTTGAGGCGAAATTTGTTGCGGCAAGATAATGACCTGAATAAGCATTTTCGACTGATATTTAGGAATTTTTATAAAAAAAAATAATTATTTTATTTAATAATTTTAACTATTTTATTAATTTATTTAATAAAATAATTATTTTGCAAAATAATTTATTATCATTAATAAATAATTAAAATAAAATTATTTTTATTTAAAAAATTTCTCATTGAAAAAAAAATTTTTTGTTTTTAAGTTAAGGGAGTCAAATATAATTTTCTAACTCGTACCTCTTGGATTGTTCTTTGCTCCTTTGAGCGTAACATGGGCGTCTTCGTACAACTTCGCCTCTATCATTGCCTCTGCCAGTTGCGTCTTGTGTTCCGTTTTCTCTTGGTCGTCTAGGAAACAAAAGAGGCTTATTTAACGTTGAATTTATTATGATTATTATCACCTTCTATTTTGTCAGACATGAGCGCGGCATTTTGAAGAGCACGTTGAGCTTTTTTCGGCTCGTCCGTGGCCAGATTGACTTTTCCCTAGTCCAAGCTCACGAGTTTGTCGAAACACGAAAAGGGGATGAACGAGATTTTTATCGCACGGAAAGAGGTTAAGATCGCCAGATTAAAAGTTTTGTTTCTAACGGAGAAATACTCCGTTCAGTTAATTTCGAGAACTTTTCCTCAATAAACCACGCTTGTGCCAAAGTAGCATAGTCCCTGCTCGCCTCAGCTGCTTTTCTAGCAATCGACAGTTCTTCCAAAGCTTTGTCGAACTCGCGCATTCGTTCCGCCGCCTAAAAACGGCTAGATTTCCCACGAATGTGAAATTTATATTTTGGGCGGTGTTTCTGATTTCGTGTAATTTTCACCTTGCCGCGCGTAATTGCCGCCTTCGCGTACAAATTCGGATTGATGATCTTCTGCATCACTTCGAAACAGCTCTTCCAGTCGCCGATGTAGGCCATGCCGATGCCGAGGTTGTAGTACAAGTGCTGCTCGTTGATGACTTTAGGCTCGTCTCCGCCTGGGAGAAGACTAGAATTAGATCGTTATCTTAATTTATCGCGATTTTGAAGATATCATAGTGACACCCTTACTTCACAATGATGGAATATCTAGGTGGCGTCAAAAAGCGACGAAAATTCGACAAATTTTACGTGGGCGGCTTCTCGGCTGCTGATTGGCGGGTGAACCGAATTCAGGCTTCTGATTGGTTAGAAATCGCCACTCGAATATGTCGAAATTAATGACCAAATTATTGAGTTCGAAAAAAATCTGAAATAAGCCCTTGATAACTGAACCAACAGCCTTGAGAATAATTCCCAAGTACGTGCAATTAACGCTGAGACTGATAGAGCTCGGCAGGAGAGCGCGCCAACGCAGGACCGATAAGCGGGAGAAAACTGCGAAGATAATTCGCCGAGCCCCGGCTAACTCAAGTCCACAAGGATTTTCAAAACATTTTCTATCCTAGTTTTTTTTTTGCTTACCTCAGCATCTTGAGCAAAATTTCAACCCCTTTTCGTGGCTCTCCGGTGTTTACAAGGGCTGTGCCGAAGTTGTAGCCGCAGATGAGATTGAGCTGCTCATTTTGGCTCGAACGGGCGAGTTCTAGAGCTGATTGGTAGGATTTTTTAGCACCATCGTGATCTCCGACCTCTTTTTTAGGGTTCATCTTATTGGTTAAACTAGAATTTCTTATCGCAAAAATTAAACCCTTCCTTCTCGATTTTCGGCGAGCTCCAGAAGCTTTTGAATTTCAGCTTGTGCCATTTTCGAGTCGAAATCTACTGAAGAAAGTGTCGAATCAGCGATTTAATACTGTTATATAAAAATCCGTCGCATTCTAAAGTTGGGATAGATGTTAGGAAAGAAGGGACCGCGAAAATCAGCAGCGGTCTGGGATTAACTGCCCAGCCCGCAAGAATATAGTAAAACCCTCAAGTCCGGATGAGGGATAGTTCAATATTCTGAGAGGCTTCTTCCAAAAGGCCTTGTTCGATGAAAAGAATATTGCTCTGTTAATTTTTATTTCAGTGAATTTCTGGCAAGTTCATAAAAGACGAATTTTAGCTGTTTCTTGATATTTGAGGTTAGTTTTTGAACTTTTCAAAATAAGGGTGTCGGGTGATTAAATAGATAAAGCTTGGAAATGGAATGCTTCGGGACTTTTCTCATCCCCATTTTTTTAATAGAAAATCTTCTTTTCAGACAAGATTAGGGTCCTCGGTCAACAGATCCATGGAAGCAAGGGCAGTTTTGATTTGATTGAATCCGGACTTGAGCGACTCGTGATATCGCCATTCGCTCGAGGGCGGATTTGTCGGAGGCGGGAGAAGATTTTGATTCGTTTCTAGCGCTGCGGAGGAAAGATTTAGAAACTTTTCGTATTCTTCGATCAGGCGTTTTCGATGGTGGGGAGATATTATGACGCCAGTGCCAGAGCGAAGAAAAGCTTCAGCGTAAGTCATTGGACCAGCATTAACCTTTACAAAAGGGTCAATTTTCAATCAACCAGAGAAATCCAAACTCCACGTAAGAAAAAAAACGCTCCAAAACACCGCTTGTAAGACATCATTTCAGACATCATTTGTTGATGTTCTCGACGCATTGAAAATTAAATCAGTTGACCCTTGCCTGAACCATGACACTCCCTTGTAAGCAAAGATGTAATTTCTTCACATCGACAGGTTCTCGTACCACTTCTTTGAGGTCAGAATTTTTCTTCTCCAAAGAGATTATGGCGATTTCAGGAGGCTGAAAATTGGGTGTCGAATTTTTGTTTAACGATGTCTACCCCCTTATATGAAAAAGTCTGTTAGACATTGGAGATTTTCTAGGCTTTTTTCCAGTCATTTTCGAGTCGAAAATTTCGACTGTATCAAAATTCCCGCGGTGGGGTAAAATAACTTTCAAAACCACTCGCTCCCGAAATTTCCACTATCTTATCTTTCCGACTAGAAAATTTTAGACACCCAAAACGAAAGTTCTATTTGATGCTCTGCGGCAACTTGAATTCTCTTTGTGCAGTACGGGAAAGCGTGTTTTGTCGAGATGATCGTTTTTCTGATCCATTGCTTTGTTACGTCATCGGTTCGGGCTCTGCCGTCCTTGGTGAAGGGGGTTTCGTAGGAGAACGATTTCAGGTTGTGGTTGATGGAGAAATCGGTGGAGAAGGATGGTGTTTTGGCGGAATAGGGTTCGACGGATGTGAGTTGAAGAAAAGCGGTCTTGGAGTCAAGTTCTGCTTCGGATATTGGCTTTTGAGTGATTTTGTTTGGTAAAAATGTTAGGTAAGGTCGTTCTAGTACTAGGCTATAATGGTAAAAACGAGAGAACAATAATTGCAATATCGCTTAATACTTATTCAAGCAAAATAAACACAAAATTATGGTTTCGGAAATTATTGCTCTTTTTCTAAAATCATTTCCTTAGAATCTGTTATAATCTCGAAAGCACCCGGAAATCGTCTCTTATACAATTCTTCCAGCCTCGCTCTGACTTCATTGAGCTGCGTAATTTTCGGTTCTTATCATTTGGTTCAACAATCATTTCTTTATCGCTAACGAGCAAAAACTGCTTTTTCTGGTAAAAAAATAACGAAAACTTTTCTTTTTTTTCGTAACACGTGTTGATTACTAATTCGTCACGTGAGCAAGTGGAAATGTGAAACATGATGATAAGAATATTAAATGTTCGAACCTTCCCTTTGTAGATGAAAATCTTTGATTGATCATCCTCCCAGTGAGATCCGTAAAACGCGACTCGGTAGTACTTTCCCAGAAATCTTTTTTTCCTCAAAAATTCATTGGATTCTTCCGCGGCGAGTTTCATTTCTCCAAAAAGCTCGGCCAAATTTTCATAATCAAAATCTCTCTCCACCAGCGGCGTGACCAGTCTGAGCAGCTTCGGCACCAATTCAGGCTGATCAGCTTGTCGAGCCAGATGCGCGGCTTTTCTCAAATTAGCCGTCACATCGGCGGGCGAGTACAGATCCTCCTCGTCCTCTTTTGGCTTTCCCTCGTCGCGCGCGATGTTTTCGGAAATGTCGTGAAATTCTTTGCATCCAAAGTCGAGCACCTTTTACACGGCTACTAGAATTCCAGCTCAACCAAAACTACACTTGTTGGGCTCGGGATTTTGGTTTTATAGGGTTAAACGAAGTTTTCCAGCCAACTTCCGCCATATAGACCCCCTTTTATCATTCCTTTTTAGAATCAGCAGAAAATTCTAAGAATTTTGACCATTCAAAATTCTAGAAAACTCCACTTCCGGTCGATTCTAAAGCCGAAAGTTGACGAAATTTAGGTGTTAGGGTGAAGTGTGACCTATCAAATTGATGCTCAGACGACTTCCTATCATTTAAGAAAAGAATCAACATCAACGGGGATCAAACCAACCGGAAAAAACTGAGAAAAAAAAATTGATAATTTTATGCCTTTTTTACATAATTTTACCCGTCGGTTTGATACCGTTTGGGATTATTTTTTCTGATATATTGATTATAGGATGAGTCAAAATCTTCTGAGCATCAATTTGATAGGTAACACTCTAGCATTACTCCCAAATTTCGTCAACTTCCAGCTCTAGAATCGACCGGAAGTAGAGTTTTCTAGAATTTTTCTCTAAAAAGGTATGTTGTTAGGGGGTCTATAGGGGGGCGGGCGGCCGCGGTACAAAAGTGAAATTTGTACTGCGGGTACAAATTTTGTACTGCCGGTACAAAAAATGATAATTTTTTTGGCGATAAAAACCGATTTTTACCCAAAATAATGCTCGTTTTTGGACAGAACTCCACCTCAGCTATACCAGTAAGGAGTTTCCTTCAATTCTAGCGCGAAGCGCACACTTTTTCTCGGATTTTATTTTTGGCTTGTACCGGCGGTACAAAAATTTTTGTACCGGCGGTACAAATTTGTAACGGCGGTACAAATTTGTACCGTGGCCGCCCTACACCCGGTCTATATGGCCAAAGTGGGCTGGAAAACTTCGTTAACTTTAAAAAAGCACGTCTTAGGCTCGTTCGTTTAACAAAAAGTTCTGAACCGGACACGTTTATTGGAATCAATTTTGAAACGTATTTGAGCAAGAGTATGCTGAAGGTGAAATTATTAAAATACGTCTAAAAAGTGTTATTATTGAATCAAATTCTAGATAATCTTGTTTTATAAACATCAAAAAAATTTCATCATCTTATGGTCCTTAAAAATTAGATCAAAACTTATTCTTTTGACGAAAGAAATAAAAATGAGACATCGAAACTTGTCCCTTCAATAAGAAAGTTCAGTACTAAAATTTCGTTTAGCCGCTTTCCTTTGCTTTATTTAGAATCTCGGCGACAAGCGCGGCAATATGCGCGTAGCACATCGCCGCCTCAATTCGATTTCCGTTCTCTCTGTGGCGACGCGCCATTTCTTGCAGCCACGTTTTCCGATGCTCCGGCGAGTCCGAATAGCTCTGCGCCATTGTATGCTGCAGATCGGAGAACTTTTCGGGGTCGTCTTCGTGTTCTTTCATTTGCTGGGTCGAGACGAGGACGTTTCGGATTTTTTTGATGAGGTCTTTTACTTCGCCAGAAAATGACCTGAAAAAAGTGAAAAAAAAAGAAAGTGAAAAATTTCTGAGAAAAATATTTGAGAAAAAATTTTTGAAAAATTTTTTGAAAAAAAAAATTTTGAGAATTTTTGTTACAAACTTACGATTTCGCGAAACTCAGAGCGCTTGAGTAAGTATCATTTCCCGCAAGTTGCTTCAATCCAGTCAGCGCCAGTTGGAAGAGTTTCTGGTTGACTCGCTTTTCCGAAATAAGACGGAAGATCGCGCCCATAATCTGAAGAGAAACTCACGTTGAGAAGGCTCGGGTGGTGGTGTTTGGGAAAGTAATTTTCTTCAAGCAGAATACCTGTATTTGGGAGCGTGGGAAGCCACGGCGGCTGGAATGCGGATTGTTGTTTTCCGTTTGCATCTTTTTTGAGGCTCAGAGTTTTTCGTTTCTATGGATTATATGAACCGTAGTTTGAGTCTTGCGTGGGCCCTTTGTATAATATTAAGGGTGTCAACAAAGTTCTATTTTAGAGCGACACTTGATGATTAAAAATAATGATAAATTCAAGAGTCTCTTTGAGTAGCTCAGTTTTTGACACAATTTCGCGAACCCTAAGCGCGGCTTTTGCTTTTTGTCGAAGCCGCAAGCGGCTTTTTTTTAAAGAAAAACGGCATCATCCCGTCTGAAAGTCATCTAAGCCTCTTTCCAGAAAGAAGAGCGTGGCACTGGCATTTTGCCTGATCGCGGAAATCCTCGAATTGCATGCCTTGAGCAGTACAAACACGATTCGTTGACAGTAGTCCGTCCGGTGCACGAATAAACTTTGTCGATTTTCCTGAAATAATAAATTTGCTTCATCGACTTCCGTGTTTAAATTTTCAAGTGTGCTTCGTTTCTCTCTTTTTTATTGGATTTTCTTGCGGGGAAGCTAATAGATCAGACGCAAGATAACTGTCAACAGATTTTGAGCATTTGTGTACTCTCGCCTGTTGCCCGGCAACGAAAGGCACTTATGGCACATTGAAGATGCCGAAACGATCTTGTTTGATGGATCTTGCCTTAATATAAATCCTCAGCAAACTGAAAGCATTGTGGAGCACCAAAGTAGGTTGGCAAAAATCGAGCAGATCAAGAAGCAATTCGAAGATTTTCTTCTGAAGCTGGCTGTTTCCCCGGTGGCGTTCGGCGACTGTACTTCGCGCTCCAGAAATGTACAAGTGAAGGAGGTCGAGAGAGATGAGGGAGAACTCGGCGGATTCGTGTTTTGCCCAGTCGTCATCAGTTGGAAGACCTAAATTATTTTTTTCCGAGATCTTCAAAAATCCATGATAAGGCTGGAGTCATTAAATGTCATGAAACCAGCGTTTGAGAAGGAACTAATCTACTAAAAGTGCCACCGCGCTACGTGGGGTCATCTTAATTGGGGGCAACTTACTCTCAACAGGGCGGTTTGTTAATACGAGGGAGCGGTAAACGCCCGCTCGAGAAACTGAAATTCGTTTTTAATTTTCGTTTTTTGAAAATTTTATTTTCTTACAGTTCTGCTTCTCAAACTCTTCAGATCTTCTGTCCATTTTCCGCTGCGCAGCACTTAGAAACATGTCCTCAAAAGGTCGCGTTTTGAGAGTGGGCACCCCTTGCCCGTTCGTTACGTTTTTCCGTTGTACCTCTTGAGTACTCGTGGAACTGACACTACCGGCGTTATTTCCCTGATAATTGTCCTTTGAATTGCTTGCAATTTGGAAACTCTTGGGCAACCACGATGCTGGTCGCGGTACTCGAGAACTGAGTCCTGAACTTTCTGCCAGGGAGAGGATATTTGTGATTCCCAGTTGCTGAAAAATGAAGGGTTAGGGTTAGGTTTAGGGTTTGCTTACCTGAGAAACTGGTCTAGAAGTTTGAGTTGATTTTTTCCCGAGTTTCGGAGAATCGTTCGGGCTGTTTTTAGTTTGAACTATTGTCGCAATATTTCTGACTGGGAAATGACCCTTGTTTGAGGTTTCCTATTGAAGAAAAAATGAAAATTGCGTTTGCACATTATTTTGGTTATTCAAGCAGGAGTAATTTTGAACGTTGTTGATTTCCGTAAGATTCGGAATTTTGTTTAAATGACAGTAATGAAGGTTATGGAAAAATGATTTTATTGAAAAATGCATCCGAATTTCGCCGAAATTTGAAATAAGTGCTTCGGTGTGCCGAACGATCAAGTGACGAGTACCACCCGTTTTTGGCATTTTTTTCGCCCGGTCACGTGGTCCCATTCCTGCGGTGCGCCTCATGAATTTTCCATTTTTTTCCTCATGAATTTGTGTTTTTCAAAATTCAAGAGCTTTTTCGCGATGGGTTTTAGTTAGCTGTTTCGAGCAAAGTTTCGGTCAGTAAGTGCAGTAATCAACGAGTAATCAAGGTGATCGCACGTGTTTGAAAGAAAAATGCGTCGTCATTTTGAACGACCGCAGAATTTTTTAATGCGCGGATTTTGTTGGAGATGATTTTTGAGCTTATGATAGTGAGGTTTCGTAAAAGAATGAGGTGGACTTTTTAAACGAGCACTCGAAAATCAGGGATTTCGCTGACTTAAGGCTCTACCCGTCATAAAGTTAAACTCACTTTTTAAGGGCGTCACTATCATAAACCCAAATTTGATCAATCAAGTTCATTTTCATGCAAGTTTTTTGGTGACTGTTTTCCTGAGACTGACCCTTAAATTCGACGGCATTCTGTCAAAATTCTTCTTCGCCTCCTTAAACTTAAAGAAATGCACTGCCATTGAAAGGATAGTGAAGAAGTTTTCAAGCTCCGAGGCCGAGCATTGACCCCAGAAATCAGCGATGATGTCTTCATTTAGATTGTTGGCGATGTGGAAGAAGCATTTGAGCATCATTTTCAAGGCATCTAGGTCGAGAGAAGCTGGATTGAGATTTGGCATGGATCGCATTGAAGGATTGCGCTTGAATTCGGATAAATCGGTGAAGCCAATGTTGAGCGAATGAAGATTGCGAGTCACGAAGCCGATAAAAGGACTGTAAAGCTGGTCGATGCGGCTTTGATCCTTTGGCTGAGAATATCTTCTATCAAGAGTGTGTTTCGTCAGGAGGTTGAGAAGAGCTTCTAGTGATTTCTTTCTCGCGTAGGAAACTGAAGAACTTGGAGAAGAAAGACCAAATTGAACCATTCGAAGGAGTTCAGCAGCGAGAAAGTGTTTTTCGACGAATGATTTTGTCAATTTCAAGCTTTTTAGCGAAGTGTCCGCGAAGTTGGGAAAGTTGAGAGCGACAAACGCTTCGTGCTCGCTCAGATTCTTCAAAATCTCGAGTCGCAAATTGAGACTCTGTTCGTCCAAATTTTGGTCGAGAAAGAACACCTCATGGTTGATGGTAGAGGCGACCAGTTTGGAGACAAAACCAACTTCGAGGCTCCAGTAAATCGACTTATAAAAGTCGGTGAGGGCCAAAGCAGCTGCGCGGATTATACGGAATTTCTCACCACCTTCAATCAAGGTGTCAAAAATGCGACAAACGTAAAGGGATAGGAATTTCGGACGAACATTTTAAGAAGAAAAAATTCAAAAAATAAGGAAAGACTATCCTTTCAACCGGCTGATTAATTCAAAAATAAAGGTTATCGATAATTTTTGAGACCTTTCCTGAAGGATTACGAGCTCTAGATTGAAGAGAATCATCAACAGATCGTTCCCAAGGAGAATGATTTTTCAGTCGATGCATGTGCTCGCAAGTTTTGTAGACAAATCGTTCAAGATTCGTTAAAAAAATCGAATTGAACATTTCGGACTTCCTCCTCACTTTTCGCTGATTTCGATAAATTCGCTGAAACATCAACTTCGCCAAAATCTTCAAAAACACGTCCAAATAAACCAAAAGCTGTTCCTGGCGCTGCTTCCTCGGATCATTCGACATCAAGTCCTGATCCAACAAGTTCACGATCGCGGACAAGACCGAATCGAACAAATTCGGAAGCTTCGGCAAATCCAGCTTGTTTTCGATAAATTTCAGCAAATTTTCTTTCTGCTCGTTTTCGACCAGAATCGCAACGATGTGGACAAAAGTCGAAAAAGCAGAGTCAGCGAATCGTTCTGATTTGGTGATCATTTCTGGCTGCGAATGGATTGATTCGATGACGTTGAAATGATGGTTCGAGTTTTCATCTGCATCTGGACCTGCTCGCGTATTTCTCTGAGCAAGAGGGATCATTTTCGGCCGCTCGACGATCTTGTCGCTGGCGGTTATTTCCAACAACCGGTTAATAATCAGCGGCATGAAGTGAATCAGATGAATCGGATCCTCCCCCGGCAGAGCCATGAAATTTCTCAAGTCAAACGGGTTGGAGAGAAACGAATGGATGAGCTTGCCAGTGACTTGGACAGTGGAGACAAGGACGAGTTCCACTTCGAGGAGTTTTTTCATCCCGTCGACGTAGTTTCCTGATGGATTTGTCAAGTAATGATTTGGAAGAGTTTTGTTTTCGCCGTCGGTTACGAAAACCGGGAGGTCATATTTTTGCTTCAAGTCGAATCTTCCGTCGATTTGCCGGAGCCGAATCCAGCTTGAACCAATTTCTGTCAAGACGGATTCGGGAGCTCCTTTCTTGCTTGAGGGAGTCTTTTTCGGATCGACGGAGACGTGGTAAATGACGATTTTCACGTGATGTCCGTCGTGAATATTTGGTGGAAGTTCTACTTTTATTTCTTCGTAGAATTGTGGGCACGTTTGGTGATGAGTGACTGCCGTGTGTCTTGAATAGATTCTAGAGTGATAAGCGCTAACACCAGCGGGGTTCTTTTTAAGGGCATAAGCTTTTACTGATAAGGGATTCGGTATTGAGAAGTAAGATGAATGTGGCCTTTGTATTCCACCATCATCACATGTATCTTAGGCCAATTGATTTTGTATCAGTCATATCAGTAATGAAAAATTATCAAAAGAATCAAACAATGTTTATCTTATGGTTTTTGGAATCATTCCTTGAAGTATCAAAAATCAGCCCTCTCGTTTCCGGCCTCGTATAAAACACGCATAATTTTCTCGAGCTCGCGGGCTCATCTCCATTCCACAGTTCGCAGCTGATCGTGATATTCCTCGCCTTTGGAAAGCTCTTTTGAGTATCGTACTTCAGCGAAATCGGGCGAATATAAAGATGATTGAGGTAATTCTCAAAAGGAGCGGCAATATGTTGAGGAATATCTTCAAATGTGTCGATTTCAAAGTATGGATCGGCTCCAGCAGCGTGATACGGCTTCACTGGCTGGAGAGAGCTAGTCAGAACATCGACCAACTGCTCGTTTTCCTTGAGAGGCTCGATGATGACTGTAAGCAAGGAGAGATTCGGAGGGCGGTAGATTCGGTCAAGTTTGTCGAGATTTTTGCCAGATTTGCCGATTTCCGAGAGAAAGCGGAATAATTCCTCGTCTTTTAGTTTATTCGCTTCTTGTCGATAAAGATCTCCAAACGGTATCTGAAAGTTTTCCTGTTCCTTGAAAGAAGACTGAAAGCCACCAGGAGCGAAACTTCCCTTTTTGTCAAACAGAGAAACGGCTCCCCAGCAAAAGGGCATCCGATGCTCTGGAATTCTGTTGCATGCGCTTTTGACTTGCTTGATTATTCCGTTGACGATTTTCTCCGAATCAGATTTTTCACAATACGGCTGGGAAGTTTTCGAAATCGATCCTTGCAAAACTCTTTCGATTTTTGCCACGAGATAAATTTGCTCATGAGGTTGGTAGACATCGAAAATCGCTTGCTTAGGGTTTTCGATCCAGGAGTAGTTGATCTTCTTGCGCTCAGGTTCGCCAAACATCTGATCGACGAAGTCATTGATGCCGACTGGATTGGTCAGGTTTTTAAGGGCTTCATCGTTCATTTGGGCATGGAAATCCGCCGAGATTTTCTTTCTTTTGAGAGTTCCGAAATTAAGTTGTGGTGTAAGAAGAAACATTTGCTTCAATTTCTTATTCCTAATCAATTGAAAATTCTGTATTTTAATTCCAAATAGAAAAATAGAGGACAATATTATGGTCCCTTTTTTAATTTGAAACTCTTCCTTGATTTCGCATCAAAAAGCGCAAAAGTAACAAAAAACGGCTCCAGATTTGAAATGTCAATATTTTGCTCCCTTATTGCTCCTCTCAGATGAAACTGCAAACTCGCCGCTCTCAGAACAAATCTCACTGGCTCCAATCGATTCTCCGCGACTTCAGAGATCTCCGTCATTTGCGAGTTTTGTGATAAGTTCAGCCCTTCCCGCTGAGATGAAAGCGCAAGAATTCGATTTCGGTTCCGCTTGCGTTTTCGTGTCAGATCATCGTATCGCTGTGATTCTTTGAGGTACGAGTAGATCGAGTTATTTTGAGTGGCGGAAAATCTCGATTGGATTTTTTCCTCGTCGATGATGTCTTCCGGGTCTGAATCTTCTTCTAGTTCTTGTCGCTTAGAGCAGGCAAGGGCATCGTTGATTCTTGAGACCCAATCGTCTCGGTCTTCTTCGTTTTCAGCGACAAAGACAGCATTGACTTTTTTATGATTTATAAAATTGAAAAAGAGGCCATAATGTTATCGTTTCTTTGGAGAAAAGGCCCCTTTTTACCCCTTTATTCATTGAACATTTATTCTTATCATCCTCTGACTAGTCAAGTGTATCAAATCTTAATATTATAATATTGATTATATAATCATTCCTGTTATTTCATCTTTCTCATCCCCTTCGGAGTTCTGCATCCTGAGCTCAAACCCAAATCTTCTCTTCTGATCCTTACTCGTTTCATCAAACGGAAATGCTTCGAAAATCGGCTCTGCCAAGAAGTACGTCACTCCCTTCGCATTCTTTCCCTTGTGCTCCTCCTTCTCGTCCTTCAGACATTCCAGTAAGTACCCCGTCGTATCATCTCCTTCTTGAACTTTTCTCAGAACCGCCCATCGTTTTTTGCCATCGCGATTGAGCTCCTTCAGGGAGAATTTTTCGCTATTTTCGACTGTTGATTTCAGTTTCAGGAGCCAACCTCGCTTATCGCTAGAATCAGGGCTCTAGAAATGGGAAAAGAGAATTGATTTTTATTCAAAAACCATCTGAAAGGATCAGAAAGGATGAAAAAGATTCTAGAGCCCTGGCTTGGATTGATGACTTCATTTTCTTTATCAATATCTGGCTCGTACTGGAGCGGGAAAATATTCGACTGAAGGTCGTTCGGCGGCAACTGCTTGTAACTCCTTCCAAACTGCGCCTCGTGAATTCTAATTACAGTCGAGCTCGGAGCAGCATACTGTTCAATCGCAGACAAAACAACTGGATCAATTTGAGTCGGCTCATAAGCGGGAATTTCTGAAACAGCTGTTCGTTTTTCAGCTTCGCGGATTTCTACGTAAGGTTCTTCGGGGAGCTGAAGAAGATGTTTACAGGCATCGTTTTGTATTTGAAATCTTTTTCCAGCCAAATGGCGCTCGAAATCTATCGGTTCAACTGGGCCAGGATCGTCGAGAAGAGTGTTGATTCTGCTTCGATCGGACATTATTGAGAGACAATCGATACTTTGGGACACATCAGTTCCAGAATACGCTGTTGACTTGCGCTACAAAAAAAATATTACCACGAGAAATTAATGAAAAAAATCAAATTTTCATGAATTTTCTTTCTATAAAAATTGAAATTTTTCGTCTAGAAAAATGACTTTGACAAACCCTAACTCGCAGAATCTCGTCCAACCTCGAAAACTGGCTTTGCTCCTCAAATCTCGAAAATCAAAAATTTCAGGGTCAAATTTAGTAATCGAGTACAAAAGGATTACTACCCGTTTAATGCTATCGGCAGTCCGCGGAGCGTGAAATTGTCCGATCTCCGATCTCCGACGCCATTGGATACAAAAATTTTTTGACCCCTTCCCGACTAAGGCGATCGAAACGAAGCCGCTCGAAATTTAAGGAGATCTTGTCAAGTTGAATCAGTCTTTCTAGCTGCTTTTTAGCGAGTTTTCAAAGAAAAAATCGAAAAATTTAATGGAAAAAATGATTTCTTTTTCTGAAAACATTCATAAAACGGCATAAATTCTTGAGCACCAGGGCACATTCTGAACTGCTCAAAATCGATGCTCGGAAATTGCGCGATGCTCTCTCTGAATCGCTTGTGAAACGCTTTTTCTCTTTTGGAACTTCTTGTTGATGAATTTCTCGAAAAAACACTCCCGGAAATTTGCTCCTCCCCCATTTTGGAAAAGGAAAATCTGAATTACCGGAGGAATGACCGGCAAGGGGCCGAAGTTAACAGTCGAGGTGGAGTAGCTCCGCCCGATCGGGACATTCCACAGCTGATGGTGGATTAGACTCCGATTGGAACCGCTGTTGAATTGAAATCTATCAAGTTTTTTCAAATGAAATGCAAGTTCCATCGATTTCGAATTTTCTCTGTCCAATTTGATACTTTTATCATTTTCATTTTTTCTCTTTTTCCCTAATTTAGGGCTGAGCGCTAGAATTTTTGAAGAAAAAGAATTCGGCATATTTTTTTGCGTTGAAAAGAAATGACTTGGAAAAAAAAAAGTCAAATTTAGAATTCAATAAAGAACAAAAACTCAAGGAGCAGAGTCAGGCTTAGCCTTTTGGTGTCACTTATTAATTAAGCAGTCCGAGTGTCACAAGGGGAGAGGGAGCATTTAGGCACACAGGAACAAGAGAGACAGATCACGTGTTAAAATTGCGACCAGTAGGATTAGGGAATCAAACTGTTGCCCAAGAGGGCTTATCATAAACAAATTTTTGAGAGATGAGTCGTCATTGTGAAAAATCATTAAATCATTACTGAAATTTGCTTTCACGAAGGTAGAAGGGTAAGGTGGTCCTTTTGTATCTAGTTCAATTCGTTATGAATGAAAATTGTCTGATCGAAGTGAATAAAAACCATTTTATGATCCCTTAAGAATCACTCTAGAAAAAAATCCTTAATCGAGTTTTTGGCCATCATCCTAATGAGGTCAATCAATCAACACGAGATCAAAGTTCAAATGGCAAACTCCATTTGAAATCAATAAATTAGCAACCTCAATAATCACTCTAAGAAGAACAATCATTTTGAAGAGCAAAAGAACCACTTAGAAAATACCATCAGAGGAGTATCAGAGGATATAATGGGCTTATGACGTTTGAGTACTTTTCAGCTTTCCCAGGGTGCTCAGAATTTACGACTTTCATGTATTTTTGCCCTGATAATCAGTTTTTGAATGAAAAAATTTCAAGTAGCTCGAAAATTTTTCGGTTATATAAGATTTGAATTACTTTTATAACTTAGCTTTTACGAGAAAAAAAGGCTTGAAAAAGAAGATTTTAATTAAAAAAAGAATAAGAAATTTCAATAAAAGAAGAAAAATTAATCTTACCTGATTTTTTGGTCGATAATTTTCAGAAATAATTCTTATTTAAAATCTCTTGTTCTTCTGAAATTCTTCTGAGTACTTTTCTTTTCTTCCAAAAACTGTTCTTTTGTCTACTCTGCTGCTACTCTCTGATATTTATTTCCCGTCGTTTTGTTTTCCCCAGACAAAGGAGAGATGGCCCGCCCGGGATTTTTATCAAGTCTTCCTTATCTTCTCTTTTGAATAATGAATAATCAAATAGTCGATCAGGATGATTTTACTCTTTCCTCTCTCGGGAGAAAATAAAAAAAGGGGTTCAAGTTGAGCGGACTAGCGGGCACACAGACACAGACAGACACGTTCCAGCAGGCACTCAATAAGCGGGAAATCGACTGCCTACGCTTTTCAACCTTTTTTTGAAGTTCACCCGGTCGATACAAAAAAGGGATGATTGTTTGGGAAATTTCGCGGTTTTTCAGAGGAGAAACTTTTACGCGATGTTTTGAATAATTTTGGAAGAAAGCCAAAATGATGGATGAATATGCCCCGCGGGAAAGTTCCACAGCTTTTTCAGAAGTTCCGAATCGAGGAAAAATTTTCGCCGAGAAAGTTTATTTTAATTTTGAGAACATTTGTCAGGACTTATTTTTTAGTCAGAGAAGATTTGTTTGATTCAGATACTTCCTCGATTTTGTGGATCAATAAAAGCTACAGACTGCCTTACTGGCGGCTGGATTCTTAGTTCTTCTGATGGCATTTCTTCTTGAAAACTACTTTGCTGATTTGGCATCGTTTGGGGGGTCGCTCTTCTCGACGGAATATCATTTACGTATTGATTGCATTGATGGTTTTTGCCGATCTGAAATCATGAAGCATGCATCGGAAAAAAATACTTACTGTTGTGAAATCTGGATGGTAGCTGCAGCCATTCCAAGTGTTTGGTCCATTCAACGAATCTCGACCTGCCAGTGGAGGAATCGGCCCAAAATTACGTTCTTGGGCAAAATGTTGCCCGATTCTTGCCTGGTGCTTGATGGATCGGATTTTTCTTCGGCAGAAATGACTGCAGGCGGAGATGAAATCGGCGACTAGAAACATGACATCGGAAATACTAGTTTTTTTACCTGTAAGGCACATTGAAATAAGGCAGGTGATGTTCATGTAAAACAAAGAGATTTTCTTCTCTGATGGCTTTGAAAATAGTTTTCAACAAAGAAAGAAGAGGGACTGTACCTTATTGACGTAGCAGAGAATATTTTCATTCTTGTTGCACCATTGTCTGACATAAACATCATTGACAGGGCAGTAAAAAGTCGCTGGAACATCAAAAAGTCCAGCGAAAACGGACTGATGATCAGCTCCATGTCGACCAATATTATTCATGTTCACCTGAAATTTGCAAAAAAATGACCAAAAAGTCGTTCTACCTGGATCATCATCGAAAACGCAAAGAAGGAAATCTCGACGCACATTCTGCAAATCAGATGGACCAAAAAAGCAAATCGAATTTTTGGGCTCCAGACGACTTCCACAACCTTCTTTCCCATCACCCTCAGTTTTCGTTTTTCACTTCTTGCTTTCATCACTTCATGATTCGTTCTTCGTGAGGCCTCGGATACAGTCACGTCATCTTCAATTGTATGATCGGAGCCAACAACTGTCGATTTTTCTTCTAGCTTTCTTCTTGTTACATCTCAAATCGAGATCGTAATGAACAATCGAGGGGGAGGGCCTTAATCTTACCTAACCGCCGTTTTCCATCTTCGAGGTAAATATAACTCGTGAACAAAAAACTTGGAAAAAGAGCCGCAATCTTACGAATGATTCAAAAACGTGCCCTGAAATCAAGGAAGAAAACGAAATTTTGAATCACTTTCCAATTGAATCTGCCAAAGTTTGTCCAGTCCAATCGGCATGAAATTATTATAACAAGCATTATCGCACCCAAACAGAACTGTATCGCATCTGAACTCGCCAGAAGCGCCTGTCCAAATTGCCGGACCAATTAAAGCCGCCATTCCTAGTCGAAAACCGCATGTCAACGCGTACCACAAGATACCAAGACGAGTACTGTACAAAATCGCTAGAAAACTGTCCCGGAAACTGTCTTTGTCTCAAAATAACAACCTGTATTAGAGTACTCAATCAGCGTTTCCGCAAGAGCCAGCCCCATCTTCGACTTTCTCTAAGGCAGAAAAAACGCCTGCCATGGCGAAAAAAAGCATGAACAAAAATGGTAGATTAGCGCCTCAAGTGCAATGCAGAAAATTGCTTGACCTTGGTCATCTGCCCCGAAGTGGGTGGTTAAAAATTTTCCAATATTTTCTTCTGAAGAAATGTGAATCATATTTCGAATGTTTTCCGTAACAATTCGACTAAAATCTTGATTTTTGGCTAAATCAATAGTAAGTAAAAGTCATTTTCATCACTTTTATCGAAAATTTAGGCATTTTGACTTGAATTAAAATGACTATCTAGTCGAAAATGCCTGAATATTCGATGAACGTGATGAAAATGACTTTTACTTACTAACGATTTAGCCAAAAATCAAGATTATAGTCGAATTTAATTCATAGATGATCCATTTTTCAGAAAATAGCTCATCATCTATCACAGGTCCCGAAGGGATGAATAATGGTCCGATAATGTTTTAGGTGCGTGAATTGGCTCGAAAGTGGCGCGCTCGACCAATCAGCAGCGGCGACGACTCGCGACGCCAAGGCAAAGAAAAAAAATCGCGCTCGGGAGCTCGAGGAAAAAAAAAGAGAAAAAATCAGAATCGGGAAAGAACTCTGAAAATCCGAAAAGACAGAGAAAAATGCCGATTTTCTGTGACTTTTCAGAAGTCGAACATTGCTGCGTCCCAAGCAGGGAGAGCGAACTTCATCCGCGAAAAGTGAAGCTTGCTGGAGTTTCGCGAAGACGATTTTATCGGAGTACTGTAAGTCCATTTCTGAAGTTGTAATAATTACTTTCAAAGTTTTTTCGTGAAGAAAGCTTTTCTTATTCCCGACTTTTTACATAAAATTCGCATTTTTGAGACTTGAAAGCAGAAATGTTTTTTTAGAGAAATATTCGAATTTTGCATTCTTTCAAAATAAAGGTGCGAATAACAAATTCGTCCTTTGTTGAACCTTTTAGGCTGATTAAGGATCACGCGTGTGTTAATCTCATTTGTGACGCCGATACCAGGAACATGGGCCCATGCCAGTCATTGATTTTTTTGTTATTTTGACATGTTTCGGCTTATTTTCGAAACGGTCAAGAACGGGTTTTTCTGGTTCTAACCGGCTGTCGTCGGTGACGCCCATTTTTCGTTGAGATATTTATCTGCTTATTTGCTGAAATTTGAGTTTATTTCTGACGGCGCGTTTTTATATGATTTTTCGACTTATTCTGGGCTCGGCGACCTGTGTAAAAGACCTGAGTCAAGATTCTAGCGAAGCCGCTATTTTTATGAAAGCTGTTTCCTGTCCCTGACTCAGGTTTCTTATACAACACGTCTGCAACAAATAGATATCAGATTTGTCAATTTTAATCAATATTTAAAATCTAAACTTGTCTTCTTTTTCCTTCTTCAACATCATCCGTTTTTCAGAAAGGTCTTTTTCCAACAAGGTATTGTTAATAACGGATTGGTTTATTATTGATGCCCGGCCATCAAAAATTGCATAATTCTGGTGTTGAGCAATACAACCAGTTCGCGTGATCGCGGTTTGATTTTATGAGTTTGACTTTTATGAGTCGAACTCAGTGGAACTTGTAAAATAACCACTTTTGCAAGGAGGCCTCCTAAAAAGACCTTCTGGCTCAAGCCTGCGAGGAAAACCTGACTCTAATATTCTTGAGCTTAAAAATATGGGCGTTTACGGGGTCATTTGACAGGGAAACGTAAAATGCGTTGTTATTTAAATATATTCATAAAATAATCGCAACTCAGAGTGCAAATATATCGTGATTTTGTAAAGGAGAAAATATTGCTGAGCGGAAATGACGGAACCGCAGCTATGTTTTCAGAAGGAGAGGTCTTTTTTGATGGAGATTTCCGTATTTCTTGATTGAATTATCGAAATTCAACGATTGAGTACTCTCAAAGCCATTTATTGGTGAATGCTTTTCTTTCTGATTGCACCGAATTGACTTGGTCGATGATTTATTTCATTATTTCGCTTATTTTTCTGTTTTATTTTAAATTGCGTTTTAGCTCTTCCCGTCACAACTGATTTACTGCGTCTACCGTGGCCTCCTCGCTGCGTACTTTGTCGCCTGGTTTATTGTCCAGATTGTTTCCAAGGCTTTGGAAGGTAATAAAATCACCAAATGAGTATATACCCATTTACCGTTTTTATCACTAGGAGAGCAGCCTAAGCACTTCATCTACCTGACTACATGGGCGGAAACTGCGCTGAATCTTCACCTTATCGCCTCGTTTCTCACTTGTCTCTATGGATACCTCAATGGTTCGTTTTCTTATCGCGTCTAGAAATCTTTCTGAACCTTGATAACCCCCTGGCAACTTTGCTGGCAACCTGAGTCAGGCTATGAAACTATGAGGCCCTGACTCAGGTTGTACCTCCTCCCAAAACCGATCTCGGAGCAGGGTTCCCTGTTAGTGACTGATTGTAACACTCTTTTTTCCCTAGAAACAATCGACACAAGCGACAATCCCTCTTCTACCTCGTCTGAAATCGACCTCGGCAACGAAAAGTCCAACGACAAGCTCCTCTCCGCGACTGGCCGGGCCGGTCAGATCTACTCCACCGAGCAGGACGAGCTTCTTTGGTTCCACAAACTCAGCTGGGTCCTTTATACCTTCGCGATTGACGTCGGCTTGTCTGTAACGATTTCCTTTTGGGCGTTGCTGAGGACTGAATTTGATGCTTTTTCCTGGCATTGCCATTTAGGAACCGAGTTTTATCTCATATTTCATAGAATTTCGAAGCTGTAGACGGCAATCTGTGAAGTAACCCTGACTCAGGTTTCTACACAGGTTGCTGATCTCAATTTTGAAGATTTAGGGGGAACGTTTTTGTTCGAAACTCGTTGAAAGTAAATTCTGTAGGAATAATTCTCGACCTGGTCGTATCAGATGTGCCTATCCGACTTCTTCATTTCACCTGGACCTGGATATTCGGCCTTTCGTATATCCTCATGACCTGGCTTCTTCACAAGTACTCCTCTCTTCCGTACATTTACGAGGGAGTACTTGATTGGGGCGACTGTAAGTTCTTCACTCAAACTCTTCGATAACCCCTCTTTAGACCGAATGATAACATGTTTCGTCGTCTTTGGCGTCTGTTTCGTCCTCGTCCCGGGCTGCCACACCATCGCACATTGGTTCCAGCGCGGGCGAAATGGAATTTTGCGGAGGCGGTATCAGAAGCTCACAGATTCATCTCAAGATGTCTCCGAATCGGACGGATTCGGAAACACTCCCCTCAAGGACCTCGATCTTGAGGAGGGGCCCAAGATCGTTGGGCCTCCAAGGAATGGATTTTGACTATTTTAGATTGTTTTTACTCTTTTGGAAGTCATTTTATATGAAAGAAAAGTCATCGAAATCCTCAAAAAGCGCTCGATCTCCCGCGAAAAAGCAGCGTGGCCGGACAATCTCCGGCAACTACGCGAAGCTTGAGAATCTGCCATGCTCTGATGACATGTAGCTGCGTGAAAACAACATCCTCTTCATTCAACCCGGTTCTCTATACTCCCCCCATGTAATTTAGAACAAATTACTAAATGTATTCCAAAACAAAATACTTCTTTTTTGATTCACAAGGTAGCCAATTAAAGCAACGAAATTAAAGAGATAAACTAGAATTTTGCCAAGTCGTATTTCACACGCTCCAATTTCGCGAAAAACATCTTCAACCTTTTTATCTTTCAAAGTTCAAAGAAATTATTTAAAAAGGCTTCAAAAGATCATCCTTTTCTCACCCTGCTTGCATGACTTTCTAGCGCTTTCGAGCTCTAGAAATGAAGGAAATTTCAATCCACTCTTGTAGGGTTTTTCTTTTTCGTCGTGTTCTATCTGTTCAACCACCCTTACTCCTCCTGTAACCCCCTTTGTTGTTCAAAATTTTCTTTCTTACTCCAAATTCAATGTTCACAGTCCTGTTTTTGTTCTTTCCTGACGAGAAAAGCTTCATTCCTTCAAGGAAAAGGGTGGAGATCAATCTTTTCTTCTGACAAAAGAACAAGTATTCATTCTTCATATTCCTAGGCTCACTAATTTTAATAAACTTCAACAAGCTCTTCAATTGTCCGCCTCCTTTTCTTTCATTTTCGTTGAAAAAACTGATTGTAAGCAAGAAATACTGACTTTATCGACAAGTTTTATTAATTTTTACAGTTCTAGATTTATCTTTTTCTGAAAGTCGAAAGATCTTCTTACTAAAGCTGCTCTGTCAAAGGATTTTGACCTTGCTCGAACTGGCGATTTCGGCGTAAAATCATCGTTGACTCTATATTTTTCGAAGGACTTGAGCTTTTCTACGAGCGTTTCTCGATTCGAGAGGACGGAGAAGTACAGCAGTTGGTGGGATAATTCGTGGGTTGAGAAATAGATGCCGATGTTGTTCGTTGAATTCACCTAAAATCATATTTTCTTTAGAAAAGGCGGTCCGCCATACTTGGAAGATTTGGGAAATTTTGTCCTTTCGTATCAGCCCGACGAAATTTTCGACATCTCTTTTCGATCGTTTGAGACCAACCGATTTCGTCTTCGTTTTCGTCAGAATAATCATATCGCTCATAAGATGGAAATTGATCCTAGATTTTCCCTTTGAAAGCCTCGATCTTTCAATTGTAATGTCTTGTTCAACTATAAAAAGTGAATTTTATAAAAAGTGACTTTAAAATTGATCAAATGGTCCTTTCTTACCCTGTACTGCGCCCGTTTCCAGCAAAATCCTGTCCGATGAGACCAAGCCCTGAGGAAAGTTCTCGACCGTCGTTGCTAAATTGAGCATGCGTTGACGCCCTTCATCGATTCCTTTTTCTTTATTGAGCCGTTCCAGAATCAGTTTCATTTGATCAAAACTCATCTCCACGATGCTACTGTACTTCGATTCTGCTTTCTCCAATTCCCTGTGGAAATCTTTCAAAAGAAGAAGAACAGAAGGAAGTCGCTGTATTGGCCGGATTAGGAGAGCGTCAAGAGGGCGACCATCTCCCTTCGAATTGGAAATTTGACTAGAAATACGGTTGAACTGGCTCATTTGACGATTTTCTACAATGGCGTTTCTTGATAACGGAAAATTTCATCGATCTTGTGATTGGCCATATAGAGAGCCATATAAGACCTAGTTTCGTAGCTCCACCAATCAAAAGAACGATAGAACAATTTGATATCGAGAAAAGAAACTGTAGAACATCTTTAGCAATCGCTCAAAAAATACCTTGACAAGAAGCTTGAAAACTTCTCATTTGATTGAAGATTCGCCAATTCTTCCGTCTTTCGATCGTACGAGTTCATATACAGAGTGTAGACTTCAACAATCTCCGCGGTATATTTCGAGTACAGAAATTTCTCGAGATCCTCTTCTCCCTTTATTTTCCCCTTTTGAAGAACAGCTTCCATGTCCGTGAGAATTTTTTCGTGCAGCGCTAGAATCGCGGGGAAGTTTTGAAAGATCGTTTTCCACGAGTTTCGCGTCATGAAAGAATCATCGTAGGAGAGGATGTTTTCCATCGGGTCTGCGTAGACTTCTTTGATGACGCGGAGGGATTTCACGAAAGTTTTTTCGGTGGTGAAGATTTCATTCGCGATGCAGAAGGATCTGCCAGAGATGGACTCTTCTTCCTGGACGATTTTTGAGAAGCTCCTGGAGTTCAAGATTATGGTCGGAAAATTACTAGAAAAGGGGGCGGTGGCTCTAATTGAGAAAAAATACGACGATGAATTCCATTTTTTCTTGAATTTGTTTGACCTTCTCACCGAAAGGAGAAATCTGATTGGCTAAAAATTAGATTACAGTTGTCGCATTCTCGTCGATTCAGGCCACTCCCCGAAAATTACCAGAAAGAATCATCAAGGACGAATTTGTTTCGATCCTTTTGCGGAAGCTTCCTCAATTTTCTCTGGTAGGAGATTTTCTTCCTCTCCCATTTACACTCATTTTCATTGTAAAATTTGAGCATTTCTCGCTTTATCCACTACATATCTCTTTTAATATTATCTTTCTTTTATGGCAATGAATGCTTCTCAGAGCTCGAGTCTGGGAAAACGCGTGGCGGAATCGAAAGTTTCAGGATTTTGATCAAGAGCATTCTAATCTCGGCAAACAATGCCTCATCCAGCTGCCAAGGCAGCGAAAAAAATGAAATAAAGGGCGCATAATGGAGAAAACCACAGAATGGCTGTACCTGACTGTATCTGCAATTCGATGAAAAATCATCTGAAAGCTGAATCGTTGAATCGTCTGATATTGAGTGTATTTCGATTTTTCCAAATGATCTTCCAAGTTTTTCTGAAGAACGTCAAAAGCACAGGCCCAAGAAATGATGCCAAGGAGAACACTGAGCCGGCCGATTTGAAAGCTCCTGTCGATGAGATACATTACTCCGGCGAGAATATGCAGCGATACTCCTTCGGGAGCTGTCACGGCGTTTTTCAATTATTCAGAAGGTTTAATCAACTTGAGTTCAATTCGACTTGATTCAATTTTCAATTTCAAAAGAAAATCGGAGCCCGGAAACCTGTAAGAAGGGCCTGAGTCAGGGTCCTACGAAGCTCTTTCAGAACCCTGACTCAGGTTTTCTTTACAGGTCGCCTATCATAGTTAATGTAACAATCCAAAGAAGATTTTGCATCAATAAAAAGCCTTCTGAATCTTGAAAAGAAAACGCAGATTCCTTTTGAATAAGCCTTTTGTTGCGTCCAAATCGCCAAAATCCTGACAACAAAGCCGAACGAGCTTAGACTTGAGCAGAATACGACCAGAAGCGTAAAGACAATTTGAGCGACAGCATCTGATCCAATGTGTGATTGAAAGAGCTTTTGAACTTGGCTGAATCGGATCTTTGTGGTTGACGCGTACAGATTCTCATGGCTCATGTAGGAGGTCATTAAAATTTTTTAATTATAAAAAAACTAGTATCAAAAACGGGCGAAAATTTGAGTATGAAAAAATTTAATCATTATTTTTTCGACAATAATAAAAAATGACCTCTTCCTTTCACTCTTTTGTTTGACCGCCATTTTCTATGTCTCCAGTTCTTTTATCCCTTCTTCTCGCCCTTCTCTTTTGCTCAGTAAATAGGAATACACAAAACACACGACAGTAAAAAAGAAAGGCGCGACTCGTCCTCAAATCTCTGAGTCAGCTTTCAATCATCTCACCAGGCCATTTTCATTAACGCACTTGGAGATTTACAGCAGTGCGCCCATTGATGAAAAAAAAGAGTGCATCGATTTTTCGAAGGGAGTGGAAGATCGAGCAGCTGAGTGGCTACGGGAGATATGAAGGCGTGCGATTGCTTACTCAGCTGGAATCGAGAGGGCAATAAATTGGGCTGATTCGATTGTTTCGCGCGAAAAGTTTTATTCTTGCAAAGCAACTCATATCTTATAAGAATGAGAACTTGATATCAAGTCCGTTCATTTCAGAACAAGATGACCGCACAAAGTCTTGGGAAAAATATTTCAGACAAGAAAATTTAATCTAAATCATAAGTTTTATACGGACAAAAAACGGCTAATTGTCAGGACGCCAGGAAGTCAAGCAGAAAATCTTAGTTTATCCTCGTCTTGACGCGGTAAAAGATATATAACAAATGCAGAGCAGATGTATTTCACAAAGAAAAAATAATGAAAGGGGGTTATCTTATTTTTGTCCTTGTTGTTTTCTTGCAAAATGGAGAATGCGGCAGAGACTCAAGGATTGATGTCGTCGGCGGAAGGATTCGAAGATCTGTTGATTCACCGGTAAAGCCGAAAACGCGAAAGTCTGAGAAAAGCCCGAAATCCGCAAAATCACCGAAATCAGAGAAGAGTCCAAAAACAGCAAAGTCGCCGAAGTCCGAGAAAAGTCCCAAAACAGCCAAAACGCCAAAGTCAGAGAAGAGTCCAAAAACTGCAAAGACACCAAAAACTGGCTCACCAAAATCACCGAAAACGCCAAAGACAAAATCTCCAAAAGCTTCAACTACAACGACTACTACAACTTCCACTATAACTTCTTCTGCAACAACGACAACAGCTTCTTCGACAACAACATCAACATCCTCGACCGCTACGAAAACAACGAAAACTACAACAAGAAAAACAACTTCAACAACAACATCGACTACAACCATAATCACAAGCACAACAACAACAACAACCAGTTCGACTACTAGTACATCAACAACTACTTCGACATCAACGACTACGATAACCACGACAGAGACAAATACAACTTCTACTTCAACAAGCACAACAACGAGTTCAGCCACAACGACAATCACGACTACAACAACTTTGACCACCACTAAAACTACAACAACAAGTGAAGCCTCCACCACATCCATAACAACGACTACAATCAAGACCACAACAACAAGTACCTCTACCAGCACGACGACAACTTCAACAACGACTTTGACTACAACAACGACTCCTTTACCAATTACAAACACAACTCCTAATCCAACCGTTCCGGTCACAACAACAAAGAAGCCCAAACCAACTCACACAACCCACGAACACACAACAAAAGTACGAGTATTTCAATCTCTTACAACCTCCTTATGCCATTTAGACAAATCGTCCATCAACAACACCAGGTCAGCAGCCCCCACAGTGGACTGCAGAAACCGTAGCTGATCTTGAAGATGGAATTCAAGAAAAGTATTCAGCCACAATTACCGTTGAGTACAAAATTCACGAAGGCAGCAATCTTCCTGCAAGTCATTTGCCTGTTTATCAACCAGCTCCTCAAGTAACAGAAACGGATCTCATTTCTAAGTCAAAAGAGAAACTTCAATGAATCAGGGAAGAGAACCGTTTAAAAGATGCCAAAGCCGAGCTAGAAAAATTGCAGTTACGCTGGGAAATGATGCTAGAGCAGTGGGAATCTGCCATGTCAAGAATTCTAGAAATTTCAGCCGACAAACTTCCCGAAGCAACTTCGACTCAACAAACTAAACCAACCGAATCAACAACGGCTACACCAGCAACTACGAAACCCCCACCATATGACACGCCTTATTGCAATTTGCAAATGGAGCTTGACCGCTACTGCTCAAGAATGAGCAGATTCGGCGATGGCGAGTTCAATTGCCCAAGAGCAGAAGGATTTGAGGGACAAATGGTCGCCAGATTCGGACTCAACAAAAGTGGAAAACAAGTAACTTTGAAATTCAGCTAAAATTTCAAAATGAAATTTAGCCTGGTTACAGATGTTATGGTGTTACTGCTCCGATGAATTTAACAAAAGCATGTGTGGATGATTTTGGTGAATCAACGAGCATTGATTGTAGCGATCCGGTTCCTCTTTCAGGAGTTTACTGTAATAGACAAGAGGAAATTGAAGATCTGCTTGAAAAGTGGAAGTACAAACGGCACTTTCAATTCTATCTAGGGCAGGATTTCTTTTTCGCTATCATTCAAGAGCTATGAAAATGAATATTATCCTTTGAAAGACAATTTCTGCCAATCCCTTACTGCAGATTCTTGTCAAAACGTCGCGGGCTACGAGGGCAAAATGCTTGCTCGTTTTGGACCAGGTCCTCCAGGAACCAAAAACAACTGGCGCTGCTATGGCGAGTTCAAAGAAACAAACGAGCAAAAAGCATGTCTTGATGAAAACGGAGAAAAATCCGTCGAAAATTGCTCCGACCCAGACCCTGTTCCTGGGACGTTTTGCTACAATGGACGGCTTCAGGAGATAATCAAGGAGATTCGGGATGGCGCCTGTCCGGAGGTTCTAGAAAAGGCGGCAGTGCAAGAAGTATCGACAACGACCGCATTTACGACTGAAACAGAAGAGATAATTGTAAGACGGTAGATTTTTTCTTAAATTATTGAATTTTTAGGAGACTGATTTTGGGATCTTGATTCGAAAGTAAACAATTATCCAAAAACTTCCTATATTTATTTCGCAAAATAAACTGCATGAGTATTTATCTCTTGATCATGATATTTTATTGCAGAAAAAAATTCAACATAAATCAAACAGAAAAGAGAGAGAAGGCCGCTCATTAATCGAATTTTTCCGTCTTCTTACTTTGTTGACTTTGTTGTTTGCCTGTTCTGCGCTGCAGCGACTCGAACAACAATTTCTTGAAAAAAAACATAGAACAACTTATTGCTTTTAAAGCAATAAAATGCTCTTTATTCTTTTTAGATGTTTCATTTCAAATTTGACACCAATCTAACTCATTTTGTCCATATATCCTTCCTTCCAGCTGGGGTCCAGATTCTTCCTGGCAGCTGAAACGATAATATCTTCATCACAACAAGCATCTGTCTTTAATCTCCCTGATCAGAGTAAAAAAGATCAGAAAGATTCTCCAAAATTTCTTTCGAGAATATTCTCCTTACTCATCAGAAAACATGTTTTCAAATGAAAATATCCAACAATACGGCTGACAAGAGTTCCGGACTCGAGAATCGCTTACCTTGAGTGAACTCACCTCGATCTATTACCCGCTTTCTCGAAGAACATGTCAGAAAAAACACACTCGAAAAAATGCGTCTATCGTTTTTCTTGCGCGCTTGAACAAGAGGGACTTGATATTCCGAGTTGAAACATCTGAGCTAGCCTTTAAAAAAACCGATGAAGAGGACGCTCATGAAAATTTCTTTTTGTAACGATTAAAAATGAAGATGAAGAGAATCAAAATTTTGTGCATATTTTTGGTGGATATCGTTGTTTCCCAAGGTATGATTTTTATGTCGACATTTCAAATTGTAATGGAAATAAAAAAAATCTGCCGAAAAAGCGTCGTTTCCGGAGATTAACACCAATTGCCTCGATTCCTACAATTTCTGATTTGATTGCTTTAGAGAGTAATTACAAATAGGGATCGTTGGAATCATTAAATATAAAAAGGCCAGCTGACTTTTTGAGAATCAATTCGGAAAAGAGGGAAAATGAGTTGACTGTTCATATAAAAATGAACAATGATCTACTTATCCATCAATCCGAGAATTTCTGTCATTTTAAAATCTGCTTTTTTAATCGACATATACCTGTACTTTTATTTAAAATGAGATTTGTACTGTAAGGACATCGGTTCAAACAAAGCAACGTCGCGCAATTCTTCATTCGATTCGTAAAAAAAATGAAGAAAAGAAACATTATATTTATCATTTTAATGAACGATTTTGTCTTTACTTATGGTAAGAAGTCATAAAAATTTAGCCTTTTTTATTGAGAAGCGTACATTTCCGTCCATTGGTTTCCCGTGTCTGGCAATTAAAACCGAATAAACTGTTTTTTTTTTTCTTTGAATTCCGACTTGATCTAGACGACCGTTCGCGCACGCCTGAAAACAATTTATAGCTAGGGCCGCTAGATGATCTCATAAACTGCAAAACTATCATAAAAAATCTTCGTTGTCGAATTTTTCGATTCATTGTTTCTCTCTGTCTTTTTTCTTTTTATTCAAGGGCGGCATCATTATAAACAAAATTGCACAAAAATAAAGACAAAGTTGTTGATACGATCTTTCGTTTAGGAGAGAAGCTGAAAGGAGAAATGATCTTCGAAGAAATCAATAACGATACAATTGCGGTTACTTTTTATGAAGCGCAGCAGAATGTACTGGATACTTACAGGTAAGAGTTTTACCATAAGAAAATTTCAAGATTTTTTTTTTTTGATTTTTCGATTTAAATTTCTTTTTATTTGAAATTCAAAATAATGTGTATGATAATTAAAAAATAGAAATTCTTAAATAAGTGAAAAATTTCAATCAGAATTAAAAAATGATAATCCCTTAAAATTTTTCTTGCAACAATTTTTTGAGGATCGTTTGACAATCTTTGACATCAAGACATTTATGTTGTTTAAGACATCGTAATACCGCCAAAATAACAAATGATTGAAATTTTGTCTTCATAGGAAATTATGATACTAAAGATGTTGAACTTCTTTCAAAATCATCATTTAGCCACGCCGAGCATCAATTCAAATCCGACATCTGGCGCGATCCCCGTCTTTTGTTTTCCTACTTCAAGCGCCCTGTAGGAGATGAAACTGAGAAGCTAGTCCTTGCAGCGGATATGTACACCCATTCGCTCGATCTCATCAAAAACTCGCGAAAAAATCCGCGACGGGTTCGGAGGGAAAGAGTTGACGCAACAGGTCTGGTGGTGAAAATCAATAGCGATAACATCCATTTTATTAAGATCAATTGAGCCGTGAGCAGCAGGACGCGTTGGTGGCCTTTACGGGATGTCGAGTCAACGACATTTCGCGAGTTTGCCCGACAGACCTTATGAATACCAAATATCAACAGTAGTCTAAATATAAATCCTTTCCCTCCTTATTTTATTTCAAGAATAACGGGAACCTGCAATAACCAGCGAAACTCCCACTGGGGCGCTTCCAACATGCCCCAGCGACGAGTGCTCCCCTCGATTTACGAAGACAACATTTCCCTCCCCGTCGGAATCGACCCAGCGATACGATACGCCGGCGGAACTCGTTCCGCTGATCAAACTCAAGGGCAACCCCTACCGTTAGTGAGGGCGGTGTCGAATTCTTTGGCGAGAGTTGCAGAGGCAGATGTAATTTCGGACATTCAGTACACGCATTTGCTTACTGTTTGGGGACAGTATATCGATCATGATCTTGGAATAACACCTCAGGAACGTTTCAGAAGAAAAAAATATTTTTCTTTCAAAAAATATGAAACCAAAAAAGTCCAAATCAATCTCCTCTTTCCAAGGCAACACTCGATGCGAAAGTACCTGCGAAAATCTCAATCCCTGTTTTCCGATCCAACTTCCCGCTGGCGACCCAAAACTGCTCCTCGGCCGCCAATGCTTGCCTTTTTTCCGATCTGCTGCGATTTGTGGAACAGGCGCGATCGTTCCGGGTGGCCTTACCTGGCAGCAGCCGCGAGAGCAGGTTAATGCGAATACGGCATTTCTGGACGCTTCGACGGTTTATGGATCGAATTTGAAGACGAAAGAAATGATCCGGGATCCAGAAAGACCTGCGTTTCTGAAAGTCAACGCTCAGTTCAATGATAACGGCCGCGCATACCTTCCTTTTTCCGGCGACAAATGCGTCCAAGAAGTAAACTCAACAGAACCCGACGTTCCTTGCTGGCTCGCTGGAGATGGCAGAGCAGCAGAAGTCATCCCTCTTGCAAGTGTTCATACCATTTGGGTCCGTTGGCATAATTTTCTAGCCGAGAAACTGATCTCGCTTAATCGTCATTGGTCCCAAGAGCAAGTTTATCAAGAAACGCGAAAAATCGTCTCTGCCGTTCATCAAAAAGTGACGTTTTATGACTACTTGCCGAAGATTATCGGACAAACTGCATTCGACGCGATAGGTGTCAATTATCCTGGTTATGACGAGACGATAGACGCGACCGTCTCAAACGTATTCACCACAGCTGCATTCCGATTCGGCCACGCCGCCATCAGATCAACACTCTTTCGACTGAACGAAAATTTTCAAGAACACGAGCAATTCAAAAACATTCCTCTTCACAAAAGTTTCTTCAGCCCTTGGCGAATCGTTCGCGGAGGAGGGTTAGATCCTGTTCTTCGGGGTCTTGTGTTTGGGCAAGCAAAGGCCGTGGCACCAAGATCGGTGATGAATGATGAGTTGAGGGAGAAACTCTTTGAGTTGGAGAACAAGTCGGGATTCGATCTTGCAAGTTTGAACTTGCAGCGAGGAAGAGATCATGGGCTGCCCCTTTATGGCGCTTGGAAACAATTCTGTGAAAGCTATCTATCCACGGCCGCCCCTACCCTTGCCTACTCTGCCAGTACTGCCTTCATCACCGATCCTGACGTCATCAATCGCTTGACCGTCTTATACGGAGACATCGATAACACAGACATTTGGATCGCTGGTCTTCTGGAAGACATTCCAACCGGCTCGCGCGTCGGACCAACTTTTCAATGTCTTCTGATGGAGCAATTTTCGCGATACCGAACTGGCGATCGTTTTTGGTTCGAAAATCCATCGACGTTCTCCGCCGCTCAAACTCAGGCGATCCAAGCAGTGGATATGGGCTTGGTTCTTTGCGAGACGAGTGATATTGGAAGAGTGCCCCCGGATGCGTTTGTTCAAGAACCAACGATATCAACGATGATTCCTTGTGGAGCAAAAGCGACGATGAATTTGGACTTGTGGAGAGAAGATGGAACGAGTGGGAGCTGCGGGGCGCTTCCGCATCCTGAAAATGGATTGTAAGTTTCTTCTATCGATTATGTAAGAAACAGATAATGATGTTATTTTAGCGGTGTTTTCAATGCGCAGCGTCAAGTGGAGTTTTTCTGTAACCCAGGATTTCGATTTCGCGATGGCTCTCGTCAAGGTTCTTGACCTTCTTTTTCTATCAACTTTTAAAACCAACAAAATTCAGGAACTCCATCCACGTGTTTCTCTGGTCGTTGGGATCCACCGACGCCTATGTGCTTGAATATTAATGAGTGTGAAGTTAACAATGGTGAGTTTTTCCTTTTTCATTGAACTTTTATAATTCTGATGAAATGAAATAGTCATTCATCATTTTTGACGGACGAAAGTTCGACTTTAAATTTGAGGTGGCTGTGGAGAATTGAGTTGTAGAGATACACAAGGCAGTTTTGAGTGCTTCGATCCGATGGATAACGGTAAGATACCCTTAATTTTCGCTTTTTTTATTTGAAATTTCAGAAGTAAGGGAAGAAACAGGAGGATTAAACACGCAAACGCGAATTCTCATCATTGGCTCCGTGACTTTAGGATGTCTTGTTTTCATCGGAATATCCGTGATTTTCTGTTATTTGAGAAGAAGACGATTCAAGTAGGGCTAGTGTGACGTGATTTTGATTTATTTTCTTCTTCAGTAAAGTGGTGTCGAAAAGTGAGATTTTGAACAAATCCGAGCCGCCGCAAATAAGCTCTGTTTCTTCTTCAGAAGTTGGGTCGACAACTTCATTACAGAAATCTTCCTTGAAATAAATTCCAAAAGACAATAAAGAAAAACTCCCGTTTTCATATTTTCTAGCGAAGGCTTCGTATTATCAGCCGTCGAGCTTTTTAGAAGCTTAAAAATGAGAGTGTTTATAAAGCGAAGCAAAAAACGGAAGTAATTTTGCATAAAACCGTGATCTCTCGCTTCATTCCATCCTTAGTTTTCCTTAGTTTTCGCTTATATCAAGCAATTGAAATATTTTTGAGACGATGACTTACGTACAAAACGCTATGGCACTCTTGATCAAAGTTTTCAAAAAGCATGCCGGCGATGACCAGGTTTTAGGAAAAGGAGAGCTGAGAAAATTACTTGATGGTAAGCAATATTCTGATATCACATTTTTTTGGAATTCACATATTGCTATACATATCATTTTAGACGAGTATGGAGCATTGCTTGGAAATGCAGTAGATCCTTCTAAATTAGAGAAAATATTCAAAGACTAAGACTCTGATAGCAGCGGACATGTGGACTTTGTTGAGTTTGCCACGATAGTTGCATGCATTACCGTTCTGTGCAACAATTATTTTGTTGGGTGAAGAAGAATAACTCAAGAAAAAGTGCTTTCTTTGAAATCTATAAAATGTAATAAAATAGAAGACTACAAATTTGCCCTCTGAGTGAGGTATCGGGTTGGTGACTAAAATCGACAAGAAATTCAAAATTTTCAATTGTTTGTTATTTTATAGGCTTACTGGACAAATGCGTTCATCTGAGAGGTCAAAAATTTGACCAAATTTTTGGTCATAAATTTCGAATTTTCTATCTTCCTATCCCCTTTTTTATCAACCTTTTCGCTCTAAAAAGGTGTCGTTAAAATCCAGTACGATCTCGTGCTCGCGGGATTTCGCACCCCTTTATTTGGAAAATCACGAAAACACACGAGGGTGTGTGTTTTGTTGATATTGTCTAGCATCATTTCTCCCATCATTCTAGTGCAGAGAATTTTAGCAAGAAAAATGAGAAATTCACTTTTTCGAATTCCCGCGAGATTTTTGAGAAAGACGCCGTTATGGAATCTTCACAAAGAGCAAAATGCTACAATGGCCGAATTTGCTGGTTTTGACATGCCGATGATTTACAAGGTTCTTGCCTTTATCGCCAGATTTGTTTATTTATCGCTGTATTCAGGGAGTGTCGATTCCTCAATCTGTCGAACATACTCGCTCCGTCTGCTCGATTTTCGACGTGTCGCATATGCTCCAGACGCGGTTGACTGGAGAAGCAGCAGTTACCGCCATTGAATCTGTTTGCACTGCTGATGTTGCTGCTATGCCGGATAATTCAGGGTCTTTGGCTCTTTTTACAAATGATCAGGTAAGAATTTTCGATAGAGTTGAAGGTATTGAGACTTCTCTTGAAAGGGAGGAATTTTGGACGATCTGATTGTGAACAAAATTTCAAACAATGAAATCTACATCGTTTCAAATGCTTCTATGGCGGAGCAAGATTTTGCGATTTTGGAGACTGCTGCGGCTTCTTTTGGCTGTCGATTGGAGAAGATTGAGACTGGGCTTATTGCCGTTCAAGGTCCTAAGGTAATATTTCTGCCTTCACGGTTTTAATTGATTAAAATTATTAGTGGTAGTTTGTTAGAGTCAATGCTTACTCTAATTCGTACCTATATACTTATCCGAAGAAAAGTACAATTATTGTTTTCAGGCCGCGGAAATTCTTCAAAAAGGAACTACAACAGATCTCTCCACCCTTTCTTTCATGCAAGGAGCTGATCTTTCCCTCTTTGGAATCGACGGTATTCGCGCAACAAGATGCGGATACACTGGAGAAGATGGCTTCGAGCTTTCGATTCCGGCAGAAGCAGTTGAGAAATTGACGAAAAAACTGATGGAGGATGGAGCGCTTTTGGCAGGACTTGGAGCGAGGGATACATTGAGATTGGAAGCAGGATTGTGTCTTTATGGGAAAGGGTTGAAACTTGATAGAGTACAGAATCTCTAGAATAATAAATGAGGGTGTCACTTACAATTTTTGATGTAACTTACATCATGTAAGAATCAATGTTTTTGAACCCCGAGGAGACCTTATTTTGATGTTACAATATAGGGTAAAATATTCTCAAGCATCATCCCTGTTTCAACCCTCTTTCTAAGAAATGATATCGACGAAACGACGCTTCCACCATCAGCTGTTCTTCTTTTTACCGTCCCGAAATCTCGCAGAGCTCAGGGAAATTTTCCTGGTTGTGCGGAAATCGTGGCGCAGCAAAAGTCAAAGCCAGACGAAAAACGAGTTGGTTTGATTTTTCAAAAGGGAAAACCACCTGCCAGACAAGGAGCAGAGCTTTTCAAAGACGGCGAAAAAATCGGCCGAGTCACTTCTGGTGGCCCAAGTCCTACTCTCGGCCTTAATATTGGAATGGGATACGTCCCGCTCGAATTAGCCAAGCCAGGGACACAACTTCAAGTCAAAGTCAGAAAGAATGTTTTCGAAGCCGAAGTTACCAAAATGCCATTTATCAAATGCAACTACTATACTGCGAAAAAATGAAATAAAACACAGCCGCACATATTTGAGCAAGAAAGTCTACCCAAAATAAGTTTTGTGGGTCAGTATACTAAACCTGTTTTATGCTAAGCCACACTTTCTTATCCCGATTTTACAGTATAAATGCGCCATGATAAATTATCCTCATTACCCTGTTTCTTAATGATGACAGAAATCGGATTCCAGTCAATACCACAACCAGGATATAAAAAGCAATGCATATTCACAAATAAGTGCATAAAAAAGTGTCATTATGAGATTTTTGTTTGTATTTTTCACTTGCCATTTTGCCTATCAGAACGATTTTTATTCGCTTGTCCACCTGACATGAGTTTTTCCTTGCTCAATGTACTGGACTCTTTGTGACTGTAACATATTTATTTCACAGTGGGTAAAACACTGGGCTTTGCTTGAGTGTGTGTTTTGTAGAGAAACTATTGCATGAGTGAGTGATCCTTGCGGATCGTGCACAGAAAGGGCGAGGGAAAACAGCTGACAGGAAGTGAGAACAGTTGATTCTCGGCGGAAACGGCCTTATCTATCTAAGCTCAACGGGAGACCGATTGAGGACATCATGTCACTCACATCACCCACCCCCAGCTTTCTAAGGTTGTGCACAGTTATAAAAGGTTATAAGGTTATACACAAGATTTGACTGGATCTGGTATTGATTGGCATAAGCGGTAGTTAAGGATATCGGATAAGTAATAAAAGTTAGCACTGAAATGTGGAGAGAATATTTGGGGTAGGTCAGAGGACAAAATGACTTATTTTGCGAAAGTCAGATTCTTTGTCTCAAGAATTCTTCCTCCCCCCTTTTCATGACAAAAGGATAGAAAAATCAGCATCTTTAACATCAATTATAAGTTCATCATAGGTTTGGTACGCTTATAGATAAAGCAGGGAAAAATTATCATTATGAATAGGTTAACCTTCATTTACTATTCAAATTAATAAAGCATTTCTTGATAAAAAAATCTAATGATTCCCTAATTACATGGCACTTATATCCGTTGTCCATTTTTATTACCTCGAAAACTCAAAATTCAATTGGCCAAAAAAGGTGAAATTTCAGTGCCGGACATATCAACGGTCTTAGCTTACTAGATCACAAGAAAAAGACAATATTTATAGCCACCCCATGACGCACCCCCATGGCCGTAGCAATAAAATGTCAGGCTTTGATAATGGCTTTGAGGACGAAAATATTTTAGACCTATTTTATCAAGAGCAAGCATCCTAGCGAAGGTTTATCAAAAAGCATACCATAGCACAAGTCCTAAAGAATAGTCAAAAAATTTAACTAAGAACTATAGATGAGAAGAGAAACGCATTTTCGGATCGGTTGAGATGAAGAACAGGACCTGCTCCATGTCGTGTTCGTCGGGGGTCACGCATCCCCTGATCATCTTTGACGAGTCGAGCTGCTGCGCGTACTTGATTTTCTTTCCAAGTCGAAGGGTTTTCTCTTTTTTCAGATTTTTGTTGGTTAGCAAGAAGATCGAATTCGGCTCCGTTGAGATGAAGAACAGGATTAGCGCCGCATCCCGTTCTTGCGGTTTATCATTGACAAGTGAACAACGAGGTTCCCGCGTCCTCTTTACTGCTTGTCGTTGACGTTCTTCATCCGAGTCGAAGGGATCTCTCTTTCCAGGTTATTGTTTTTTCAGTCGGCTCTTCGGGGCGTGGCGGGGCTCTTTACCCGTACAGTCACCAGTGACATGAGTTTTTCCTTGCTCAATGTACTGGACTCTTTGTGACTGTAACATATTTATTTCACAGTGGGTAAAACACTGGGCTTTGCTTGAGTGTGTGTTTTGTAGAGAAACTATTGCATGAGTGAGTGATCCTTGCGGATCGTGCACAGAAAGGGCGAGGGAAAACAGCTGACAGGAAGTGAGAACAGTTGATTCTCGGCGGAAACGGCCTTATCTATCTAAGCTCAACGGGAGACCGATTGAGGACATCATGTCACTCACATCACACCCACAATGGATGTCAGAACAGCAGAAAATGTGCAAGTTAGTAACTAACGGTTTCCCGCTCGTGAAAATTTTTTTAGTGGTCTCAAATATCCAAAAAGCAAATTTTCGCTGAGAAGAAAAGTTAGACTCAGAGGTCTGTATTATTATAATGAAAATTTAAAAACTTGCAAAGAGCACAATAAGAGGACTTTTTTAGGAATCTATCACTTCTGCAAGCATGTGGTCGAAGAGTGAAGGCCATATTTTGTCGCCATATTGAAAATCTGTCATGTGACTGTCATTCATAAAAAATAAAAAGAAGCCTTCCAAATCTGTCCTTACTCCATTTTTTTTTCGGCAAAAAGCCATTTTTTGATTACGAGATGAAAATCACGCTCTTCCAGCTTTTGGTCTTTGCCTTTGGCTTTTACTCGACTTCACTTCCATATGAAGCGAGCTTTTTCGAATCCACAAAGGCGCTTCCAGAGCTGCACCCTAACCACGTTTTTCTCCCTCAGAAAACACAAGATATCCCAGTTGACAAACTCTGGGAACTGTGCGAGAGATTGAGAGACGATGGCGATTATTTCAACAGAATCTCAAAGTGGCGCTGGATGCGAACACTTGTTCATTACTGTAATGTACGAATAAATCTATAAATCAAGCAGAAACCGTTTTTTATTGCAGCTAATTTGGATTGACGATTTTTCAAAATTTCCCCAAATTTTGAAAATAAAAATGAAAAATAAAGAAAATGGAGATTTTTAAGCTTCAGCAGGAGCAAGCTCATCGTCGCACATGACTTTTTTGATGAAGTCTTCGATCACGATCTGGCCGTTTGATCCTTCCATGCCTTCGATAAGGTCATCAAATTGGGCGCCAGTCAATTTTTCACCTATAAAAAGGACATAATTTCCATTGAAATCAACAAGGACTCACCAAGAGAAGTAAGAACATGACGCAATTCAGCAGAGTTGACAGTTCCGTTCCCATCCTTGTCAAAGACTTTAAGACCTTCGAGGAAATCTTCATAGCTTCCTGGATCGGCAGTGTTGGAAATCGCCCAAAGAATAGGAAGAAAATCTTCGAATGGAAGGGACTTTGTCGCCATGTCTTCTTTTGATGGGAGGTTTTCTTCGTCTCCACCAGCGAGAAGAACTAAAATTGTGTTTTTACTGTCTGCTCATCACTTTTGCAGACTTCCTCTCAGCTCGTTCTCACCATTTTCCCATTACACAACAAGTCAAGATTATCGCCAATCAACACCCTGTCCCGAAAATGTCAAATAAATGTTTGATTTTGATAAACGCGGAAGAAAAGTTCATAAAAAACGTACCTTGAACTGTATATTCAGCAGGATTGTAACCGAAGCATCGGGCCAAGTTGCAGCATTCTTCCCACTTGATCAAGCCCTGACCGGTTCGGTCGAAGAGCTCGAAGGCATCCTTGAATTCTAGAGAGATTTTAGGAGGGAAAAGCGAGGTCCTCTATTATAGAAAGGGTTAATAAAAAGCTTACCAGCAACTTGTTCTTCAGTAAATTCGTGAGCCATTATTTCTTCTATGCTTTTTCTGCAGAAAAAAAGAGTCCTTTAGGAAAATCAGGCGATGGTCGACTGAGAAGATAAAAACATCGAGCAGCGGGGCCGAGTTTCATTGACACCTGACTTTCGCATTCGCACATTTTTGATTTATCCCACTGTATTCTGCTGAATGCTGACTCGAAACTAGCGTCAGCGGTTATTTCAATGCATAACAAAGAACTTTTTTAGATTTGCAAAAATATATTTATTACTGAAAAAATATGCAGTATTTACAAAAGAAAACAAAATTCAAAGGCTTGGATCGCCGAATCCATGTTTTGCTTGAAGCCCTCGAATTTCTTTGTGAAGAGATGATGACTCGTCAAGACCGAGTTTCATCGAGTACTTGAAGCTCTGCTCAGCCTCGACTTTTCGATGTGTTCGGAGGCAAAGGACGGAGAGATAGCCCCACACTTCTGGGCTCTTTGAGTCGAGGAGATTTGCTTCGGCCAATGCGTCTTCCGCTAAAAAAAATGAGATGAAAATTGGAAACCATAACTTTGCTTTTTGTATGAAAAAATGTTAGTTTTTTCTTAATAAAAATTTCTGAAGAAATTAATAAAATTATGATATTGCCTTCTGCCGTCGCGAAATCATTCAGATCATTTACCTTCCAAAAGTCGACTCATTCTCAGACTACAAATGCCCACTCCAAGCCAGGAAATCGATGTCGGACTAAGTCTGCATGCATGGAGGTAGTAATTTCTTGCTTCTTCCCATTTCTCCTCGGCGGAGAAAATATCGCCAAGCTGAAGGCACACAAAAGCTGGATCTTTGCAAGGAGTAGTGTAAGAAAGACAACGGGAGAAGCACTCTTTTGCTGCTTCTTCGTTTCCTTGAATGTGCAAGATCTCGCCCTAGAATCGAAAATCAGTCGAAGGACGAGAAATGGGAAGCAAACCTTTAGCGCCCAAACATTCGCATTTTTATGATCAGCTTCCGTCGCTTGAATAACTGTCTCCATCGCCGTATCAATTTTGCCAAGCTGAATCATCAGTCGAGTTCGGAGAAGCAAAGCAGCTGTTGGAATCGGCTCTTCAGCATCGAGAGATGAAAGGTATTTCGCGAGAAGATTGTCCGAAACTTCGCAGAAGCCAGAATCGAAGAGTTTTTCAGCCGCTTCGAGGAGGACTCCCTCGCCAGGATGAGCTTCAAAAATGAGTTCAAACGGTCCAATTCTCCGTTTTTACCTGAGTTTAAAAGTTTTATCAGCCTCTTTCCCTCCAACTTCGTGAATTCGCTGAGTCTGTTTTCCAACTGTTCTTCATGAATTTCCGAAAGGAAGATGTTTGAAAGCGCGCGCTCCATGAGCCTCGATTCTTTGCCACCCTTGGTCGATTGATCGTTGTAGTCAGGATTGGCAGCTGCGCGCTGGAGGATGAGTTTTGCTTCGTTGGGGAATCCTTCTTCTCGGGCGAGGAGGGAGGCGAGGATCATGTACCAGGGTTCGGAGTGTTCTAATGAAACAGCTTGCTTGAAAGCTTCATATGCTCTTCCAATATCTCCTTTTCTGTAGCACACTCTTCCATAGCCCGCCCAATTGTCCGAATTCGCCTCGTCACGGGAAAGCAGCTCCAGCCAAGTCGCTTCCGCTTTTTTCAAATCTCCAATTTTTTCCGCGAGAAGGGCCACTTTGGCGAGCTCCTCGACAGTAACTACATCTGGAATTGGCTCTTCGTCAGTTTGCTTGACCACTTGTTCGTTGATTGCCACGTGCATTTGTTCTGAATTCGGGTTTTTTCGCCGTCTGGTAGACAAATGAGTGTTTTAGTCATAAACGGGAAGAAAAAATCCTTTGTTATGTAATCATGTCCAAAATTTCGCCTTCAATAATCAATATTTTTTCAGTTCCGCCATGTTAACTCAACCTGAAAACAGGGTTAAAAGCACTGACATAAAAAGTCTCAACTCGAGTGCCTAATGAACCGTAGATTGGATAAGCCAGGCGGCATATGTTTTACCGGTGTTCATTTCAAACTCACAAATTTTCAAAAATGTTGATGAGATCACAAATTTTGAAGGTTTTTTGGCTCTTTTTCATTGTAAGAGGTGTTGATGGAGTAGTGAAATCAAGGAAGAGATCAGGAATTCGAGAAGTGGAAGAAGAGAGAATCGATGGTCGGGGATTTCAGGAAAATATTTAAATTTATTTTTATTATAAAGTTCTGTTGTTACGCAGTTCCAATTGATATTTTGAGGTTGTCGCCTGAAACTGAAAAGGAAAATTTTTAAACGAAAAATCTCGAATGATTCTTATGGATTTTGTGTTTTTGAACCATTCGAACTTATTCGTTAATTTCACTCTTAAATAATTAGCAATGATGAATATTGTTTGAAAGAATCTTCAAGAAGCCGAAGAATTCTCCTTCCTTAGCTCGAATGATTTTCTACTTTCTGAATTGGTCAAGGAAGATACAAAAGCCGCTATCGACTTTCTCCAAAACACAAAGTCGAGATTCCGCCGATCCGCGTTCAACTCAAACTTGCTCAAAAAGCTCCTCGTTATTCAAGCGTACTCAAAGCCGAGAAAAAGAACCGCTCGACCGATTTATCAGCGTCCGACGGTTTCACGCGTGCGAGGAAATAGACCAATTAAAACTTATGTTCCCGTAATGAGCGGAAGCAATTCCCAACTGAGGGATGAAGAAAGTGACTCGCGAAAAACGAGACAATCAAGTGGAGAGCTTGACAATACGCTTTTTATGGTGCTGGGGAAGATGATGACGGAAGGGAGATATTCTCAGGAAATGCTCTAGATTTTAATAAGTATGCAAGGAATAAGGATATCAGAACGCTTTTCAAAAGCATTGAAAAAAGCAAGGATTTCAAGAAGGTCTTGAAGACCTGAAACCTCTTCTTTTATACGATTGTGCAGAGAATTCTTACACAGGTAAAATACATGTTTAATACAGGTTTATCTGATTACTATTTTTCATCTCTAGAAATCTCAAAATGCCGCCGCCAACAGCAAGAAATCCTCATCGTCCTCCTCGCACTCCAAACCAACAATCCCGCCCTCACCCTCCAAAAATACGGCCTCCTCCCTTTTGGCGAAACAAAAAACTTTCAAAAAATCATTTCTCAAAAATAAAAAAGAAACCCATTTGCCTATGAGAAAAACGTAGAGTTGCTCGATGAATTCTTTCTTTGCTTCTGGATCTTCAAAGTCTTTCTTTTTCAGGAATTTCTCGCGGACGACGCGGATGATCGAGTTTTTCAGCAGTTCGTGGTATTGTGCGTGTTTTCCAGTTCTGTTCAGCTGAAATCAAAATGGGGCTCTACTCCTTATGCTTCTTTTCTTACCTGATACAATAATGATTTTTCAAAAGATTCTCCTTTAGTCGACGGCGCAAAAGCTCTGATCTCCGCGAGAACTTGTTTCGCGACTTCTGTGATTTGCTTTTTATACTCTTGAACGCTAATGTCAGCTCCATATTTCTTCCTTGGGATTTTCGGCCGCATTGGAATCAAAGTCGCGAGGTTCTTGTCCAGGTCTTGAAGAGTAGCGCGATCGACGAGGGCGCGGGAGAACGAGATTTCGAAGAAAATTGACGAGTTCATTTCTTTGTAAGGAAGCGCGTCTTGGGCCATTTGTCGTGATTCGGGTCTGATGTCTGAAGCGCCGCCGGCATCAGAACTGTCGTTTCTTGAAGTTGATCCCATCGATAAAATCGTGCCGCTGTTGCAGGAACTCGCTGTGATACTCTCTCCATATCCAGCGCGAATAAGTTGATTTTGTGTAAACGGATTGAGCTTGAATTTGCCAGAGACGGATTTTACACCGGGATAGAGAAGTGACTCGAGGTTGATCAGGGCGATTCCGTGGTTGTGGAGCTCACCATCGTCAGGTTTTGCTTTTCCTTTTGCTTTTGCGTCTTTTTCAAAGGGATGATAATGAGCTCAACCTGAGCCTCAAGAATTAGGGAGTCAATTTGAAACGTACAAAAGACAGTCCTGTCATGGCAACCTGTGTAGAAACCTGAGTCAGGATCTTACCCGGCTAATCAGCTCTTTCAAGATCCTGACACAGGCTTCTACACAGTTTTTTTGGCTAGAAATGACCAATCAAGTAGAGTTTCTTTAGCGAAAACTATCTCATCCCTTTCCTGTATCTTTCACTTTCGAAACCTCAATCGGCAACAAATTTGATACCTTCGCGATTCTCGCCTCAAAAGCTCTGCAATCATCTTCACTCATGATCATCTTCCTCTCCGAAGTAAAAACAATCGCATTAGGGCATTCTCCATCCGCATTTTCTTCAGCTTCCGCGCTGTCTGGAATTTTGTAGTTTTCCTTCGCGATGATTTTCTCGGTAGTGTTTTTCAATCCGCTCCAGAAGAGGGGCAATTTTTCGCTTGTGTTGAAAGCGTTTTCTGCTTTTCCGGAAAACTTGATCGCGGCGGTTTCGTTTTCTTCTTTTTGAATGGGAAGGCAGGCGTTGAAATTGTTTCCGACCCATGAATCGGGGACTCCAGAAGCGTAGATTAGGCGGAGGGTCATGATTCGGTTCTTTTCCAGGAATTCGGGTTTCAGCTCTGAAAACGATTAAGAAAACAGAAAAAAAAGGATTGTTTCTTACCTGGACTTATGGAAACAGAAATCTCCAAATTGACCTGAACATTTGGCGCTTCTTTTGAAACCTCCCGCACGCTTTCGGAAATCTTCCTCTTTCCCTTCAAAAATGGCGAAAGATCTCGGTGCACTTCTCTGTGGCAAATAATTTTATCTTCTTTTTGCTTCTTTTCTTTCGGCAGCATTTCGATCAAGCTGACTGTCAAGGGGTATCGGACCAAATTGTCGAAGAAGGGAGTGCTCGTGCCGGAGATTTCTTCCTTGATCGCGAGTTTGACGTTGGAAGCTTCGGTTTTTGCCTCGACGTATTCAGATTCAGCGGTGAAGGAGCCGAAAGACAGGCGAATGAACATTTCAGAACCATCCTAAATTTGGGTTGATAGGATTGAGAAAACAAGATTGAAAGCAGAAATAACATTCTGACTCCCTTATGATGACACTGATCGTTTATAATTTTTAAATGGCAAAAATGAAAATATTTATAAAAATTTTTATTAATTAGAAATAAAAATCTCTCGGTAGTCGATTGACCATCTTTTATAGGATTAAGGGTGTCACTAAGATAAGTCAAAAAGAAATTTTCATTCAAAATATTTCGTGAAAATATTTTTTGTAGCAAAAAATTAAAGAAAATAATTTTTTGAAAGCAAAAACTGACCTTTGTTGCTGATAAATTCTGTCCACCCTTGATATTGAACGAAATCACCGTCTCCTTCATGTTCGGATCTCTCTGTACCGCTGGCGATTTGGCGAAACTGGCGCGGCTCGTCGCCTGACTGGTGCGTCTGCTCATTCCGGCGCTTTTCAAAACTTCGGTTCTAGAAAGTCAACAACACTTAAACTTGAGTTTTTCAAAAGCGAGATTTAGGATTATCGCTTTCTTTTGTGACTCAGAAAAGTATTCAAGCAGCGGATCGGTAAACATAAGCTCGCGGTTTCCATGGCGATATTTTTTCCGATTTTTATTCGAAAAATAATTAAAATTCAAATATGAGACAATAATTTTTTATTTGTTTTTTTCGAGGTCTCAAGTATGACGCTCTGTTAACAACATTATTAATAAAGAATAAATGATTATAAATTGCTCGAAAGAGCATTTTATAATAATTTCTTCATCATTTTTGCTTCATTTCGACAAATTTATCAATTATCTAAAAAAGTTTCTCTATTTTCTTTTTTATATGGATAAGCAACTGATTTTTTTTGAATTCATGATTTTCATCAGAACTCCGATTTGCATCAGCTGTCAGGTGAGTCGATATTTAACATCAAAGAATCAATAAAAAAGGAAAATTTTTTATTTTAATTAATAATCGTCTTTGAAATATAATTTGTTTGACTAGAAGGGATAAACAATCATTGTCCTCATATATCATCAAACTTCAGTTCCGGAAATAAAACCTTTGAACTTATCAATAAAATCGAGGGAAAAGCTTTCGTGACTAGATTTAAATGTCTAGTCATTCTAACACCATAAAATTGAATGTATAAAAAGTACGAAGATTTTCGTATTTTCGCATTACCTTTACAGTGAACAAAAGAGAGAAAACTTCATTTAGACAAAGAGTTATTGATCATAATTGCCTCCAACTATATAGAAAAATCGCAAATTATAATCAGACAATATTGATAATTTTGTTAGTTCTTTTTTTCAGACTTGATAAATGATTCCCGACTTATTCTTTGCAAACGGAACCAGCGCGATTGAAGCACACTTGCAAAGCGCATTTGAAAAAGGGTATTCACAACACCGTATAATTTATACTGTGTTAATTTTATGGGTTTAATTATCTTTTGTTAGTGCTGAAGTCGCTTTATCAATCGAAAACACGTTCGTGAGTTTCTTCTCTAAAGATCTACCCAGGTTTCGAAATAATCTAGGCGAATTTGCCACTAAGGTGAGGCTTGGCGAGACTAGGCTAATTCTCGGCTTTACCTAAGCAAGAGAATTTTCAAAGCAAAAAGAAATTCCCAAGCCAAGCAGGCGAAAAATTCTGTTATTGAAATTGCTCTGAATTACCTCTGGAAAATTCTCCTTGCTATCATCATGATAATTTTAATCTACCCGCTTATCAGAAGGGCTTTTTTATACTTCATCAAATACTTATTCAAAACGTAAGTCGAACCGAAGTTTCTTATACTCAAAAAGTTTAAGCTATGGAAAAAAGTTCACGAAGAAACTCAAAAGCTACCATCGATCCAGAAAGGACAACAAAAGGGACGAGCTTATCATGCTTCAAGTGCAGAACAAGCCGCCAAAGAAGAAGTTCACCATCAAAAACAATCGAATCAACGATGAATCAGTGATTTTAGATATGTATGATTACAAATAAACGCGGCTTTTTACAGAGTTTACTCTTCTACCTTGTTTTCTTTCTGAGAAAAATAAAGGAGAAACATAAGAAAACAAAAGGAATTAATTATAATACAATGTTATCTTTATTTAGTCTAATTGAAAACTTGCTCGCAGTAAATATTCAGTGCTAAAAAAACTAGTCCATATTGCTGTAGTTTCGCTCTCGGTATTTTCGGAAAAGGAAGAACGCCACAAAGATGCCTATCAAGGTGAAGATACTAATACCGACGGCAGCGCCTTAATTATTTCTTTGAAGATATGGCGTAAAAAAATTTCCAACCTGCAACTGCTGATAAATTATCAGCGATGTTTTGCTCAAGTTTGTTTAGGCATCCTTCTTCATGAATGTTTCCGCCCTCAAGGAGGCCGCATCCGTCTTTTTCAGCTCACAATTACTCTTTTCAAAACTATCAAGTGGATTTCTATTCCAGAAAAAAGTTTGGTAAGCCCTTCCGGAAATTTCCGCACAGCAGGAGCTTGGAACTGGAGTTTCAGAAAACTTTGTCTCTGTAGATGTCAGATTGTTCAAGTGTGCATAACCGTAAGCCCAGTATTCGAAGTCTTTTGCCTTTTCGGACCAGTCTTTTGGACTTGTGATGCCGCAGCATTTGTAGTATTTCTAGGGATTTGATAATTGTCTTCCATGTCTTCTCTCACCTGAATCGAGTCCCATGGCTCTGGATTGGAATGACACCAGTGTTTGAGCGAAGTAGTGAGCTGACCTTCAACATAGTGATCAACGGCATCCCTGTATAAGTAGCCGAAAATGCCAGCCAACAGCAACGAGACCATCGTGAGGAAAAGTAAAATTCCATAAATTAGTGTCATCGTAGTTGATTCCTAAAATTGATGGTAAAACTTGCTCCAATGCTACATTTTTCGCCTTGCCTTGACAACACCCCAGCAGCCAAAGAAAGTCACGAAACTGAGGATGACCCCCGCGACTCCGACAAATACTGGCAGTGCTGTATAATTGTCCTGGAAAAGCTCGGCCAGGCCATTCGCCGAAGCATATTCAGCAGAAACCGTAAAACCTTCATTTTTTAATAGAAAAACTTCTCATAAACGTCTCTACCTGTGCTCATGAGAACAATCCCGAGAATATAAATAAGCAGATTTGAGAAAAACAACGAGTACTTCAATATCCTCGATGTCATCGGCAATTTGACATTTTGAAACGGATTCGACATTTCTCTAGAAAATGGTGACTCGTGAGTCATGAGCCGTATTCTTAGTGCATTTTTAGTAAAGAATTACAATCAGAAATGGGTAAAATGAGGTGAAAGTTCAACGAAATCATTGATCAGGGAGTTTTAATTATGAGACAAAAATGAGAGTTTTACCGGGATAGAACGAGTCTGGGAGACATATTAGCACTGAAAAATTTCTTTGAGCTTTTGATTCAATTTTTTAAGATTTTCAAGCTTTTTTATTTTATTAAAAATTTTTATTAATTTTTATTAAAAGAATTTTTATTCGAATAAAGCTTATAAAAACCATCCTCTTCACTAATTACCCAATTTCTCTGACCCAACCAGGCGTAATTGAATCGTCCTCCAAACTACTCGTGTCCATTCTGTTTCCTTCTCTTTTCAAAAGCTCTTTTGTTGGCAAAATGGAAAAAGAAAATGTCGCGCTGGGAAATTTTAAAGCTGGTCTTGTCCCTCGCGCGCTGTTTGGATACGAGCGATGAATAATGATTTTTTTATGTCGGGTTCGTAATCGTGACATTTCGGATAAATAAACGCGCGCAAATTTTGAAATTCAATTTTGCCGAACTTGATTTCGGGAGAGTTTTATTGCATGCACAGAGTTTTTAAGACAGTATCTGATGATTCATTTTCCACCAAATTGGGGAATGAACGATCCCCAACCGCCTTGGCCACAGGATTGAGTGTTGCATGGAGCGTCCTTGTATTCAAAAGATCGTGGGCATGCAGTTCCCGTGCAGTCTCGGCGAAGCGACATTGATCCACCGCCACATTGCTTGCTGCATTGGCTGATTTGTTGCCAATTCGACCAGACTGGCGCGGAGCATGTTCTGATTTCTTCTTCTTGTGGGCTTTCTGGTTTACTTCGGGTTCTTTTTTGAATGGAATGCATACAGGAAGACCAGGAGGACCAATTTGTCCACATTGGCTCAACTGGAGTGGGTGGGTTAGTTGGTTGAGGGAAGGAATTGCGATTTCCAGGAAACATTTGTCCATTTCTAGCTTGTCGATCGACGCATGGAGAGGCCTCACAGCACCCTCTCACAGATGCCTGAAGACTTGGGAAGCTCCAAAGATTCATCGTTGCAGGCAAGTTCCAGGGACAGTTCAAGTTGGTGATGATAGGACTTCCCCACTGCTGGGTAGTGTAGTGTTGTTCGTCCCAGCAGCACCCCTTTGCTCGGCAAGATTCTTTGAGGAGCAATTTCTGGGAGAAATCGAAAGCTTTGATTTGCGTAGACACCATGCAATTAGAGCTTATTTCGCGCGATGGGCAAATCTCTGCGTTTTGGTTTCCTCCGAATCCTGGAAAGCCACCCATTCCACCGAATCCGGGAAGTCCTCCCATTCCGCCAAGTCCACCGAGACCACCCATTCCTCCTAACCCTGCGTTGCCTCCCAGGCCACTCAGTAAAGCAAGATTGGCGAGATTGTTGTTATTGTTATTGCCATTGTTATTGTTGTTGCCAGTGTTTGTCATGAGAGCAAGCATACCAAGGTTGCCAGCAGCGCCAAAAGGATTCGCTTGTCTGCGATCCCGAGCATTTCTTCGTTTTCTACCGACGAATGGTGGAAGACCTCCTGGTTGAGTTGGCTTGAGAGGTAAACCGGAAGAGATGCTGCCTCCCTTTCCTCCGATCGAAACTTCGTCATCGCCGAAAACTCCTTTGTACATCTTGTACTGCATAAACGAGTTGATTCGGTCTTTTCCGAGCCCAGTGCTGAGTGGAGACCCACAAGTATTGCTGCCCTTATTCCAGCAGCAGCCGATCAAGAAGCATTCATCTTCGAGGATTCCTGACCAGCCGCAAGCGGGACTGACGGTTTCCACGAAATCCGCGTATCCATCATTGTCCGTAAGTTGACTCATCAGCCACCAGTTGTTTCCGACAACGTTCTGGATAAAGCCAAGCTTTGAGTAGTCGTCATCGGCTCGAGGTGGGCAGCCAATTAAGCTTCGTGATTGCATATTTGTCTGAGAATAAATTGAATATCTTGTTTTTAATAATAAATGACTTACGAATGCATTCCTATTTGCTTGCTTGACTGTATTGACAATCGAGCTGAGGAAATATGGATTGTAGTTCATGGCAGTCAGCTGGTTGAAGATCGGGTTGTCGATCGCTCTGTAGCAAAGAGGAACTCCTCGGAAAAATGCCGGTCCAAAGGCTTGGCGGTAGACAAAAAGTGTCTCGTCAAAACAGCAGCCTGGATTAGAGTAGCACTGGTAAGCGTCGTTTTCGAGGGGGCTGACGTCGAGAGGAGTCATTGTGCAAGCCTGACGCTCGCAAAATGGCACGTTGAACGGACAAGTCATGAATTGACCTAATCCGAAGCCTCCGCCACCGATGCCGGAGAACATTCTAGAGTTAGTCGACGCAACGGATGGAGCAGCCATCGCTGTGATGCCGATTCCGCCCATGCGACTGTTACTCGCTGGATTGATAGCTGCTGTCGTTTGCTGGCTGAGCTTCATGTTTCCCATGGCAGCGGCTAGGGCATTGGTGATGGCAGAATTGACTCCTGGGCTGAGCATGTTTGATCCGCTCATGGCTTGGTCACATGATGATCCGGTCCAGTTGCACATAGTCGCGCCTCTACATTCCTAAATTCATAACATAAAAATTGAATAAAAAATTTAAAAAAAAATAAAATAATTTTATTTTCATAAGAAAAAATTTAAATTTTCAGATGATTTTAACAATTTATTTATGAAATTTTTTGATTAATATAAATACCATCTCATTATTATCAGCACAAAGGGATGCCATCTGGGCTGTGGCACTCCCAAAAACCAGGGATGAAATCTTCATCGCTTCTCTTTTTTCAAAATTTCTATCTCTTGTGGAACTTTTCGTTCTGAGATATGAAGGGATGAGATGCGGGGGCCCCTCATTTAAGTCTGAAACTCTGAGTTTCTTTCGCCTGGAGCAGGATTAGTTACTCTGAACTCCTCGACTGCTGAAAAAGCTGAATAGGCTTCGCCCGAATTTCGGGGCCCACGCGATTATCGCAATTTTCGAAATAATATTCCCTAGAATCAAATTTTAAACGGTTAATTAAAAAGTAAGGGTTTCTTATTAATTTAATTAAAAAAATTAAATGAAAGAGGCAAGAACAATAAATTTCGTCTTCAGAGAGAAAGAAGATCTAAAAATGGATTGCCCCGTTGATTAGGCCAAGTCTGAAAGGAGGTGATTACCAGATAGATATTTCGAATCAGTAGAGGAAAAAATTGGCAGCAGGATTTACGAGCACCCCTCGCGATCGAGCCCCGCAGAATACCTCGAATACCTTTTTACGAACGGCAGGACCATCTAGCACGTTATAAAACATACACTTGCCAGATCTTCAAATCTTTCATAAATAAAAAAAAAACGAGAATGCTAGAGTCTTTCTAGAGCGCATTCTTTTTTTTCTTTTGAAAGGCAAGAAAGAGAAAGAGAGGAAAAAAGACGCTTGAAAATGAGAAGAGAAAAGAAGAGAAGCTAAAAATATGAGTTTGATAAAAGAAAAGATTGATGAACTTTGCCAGAATCAATGCAAAGTTTTTGAGCCACCGAATTATGTTCAGGAAAGGTTCTCTATCATCTTTCTAAATTGATTCAAAATTTTCTCAAAATTTTTGCCGAAATGGTCGACCAAAAATTGACAATTCTGGTCGCCAGAAATCCCATAAAACTGTGTATTGCAAAATTATATTTTTCTTATTTATTTTCTTTCGATTGACTTTGCCTACATCATTTTATGTTAGAGTTAGGGTTAGGATTCCTAATGTTGAAACATTGAGAATTTATTTACAGAAAAAAATGTGAGCCTAAAAAAAGATTTTCCGCGTCGTCCTTTGGGTAAATTTCGTCATCACAACCCTCATATCCACAGTTTCTATCATCAATATCTACCGCAGCTGGGTCAAGGTAATCACTTATTTGCGTAATTACGTGTTAAGAATTTATTACTAATGAAAATCTCATGTCCTAACCAGACATTTTCTTCCTTGATTTCGCGTTTTATGGCCAGCCGGCTTGGATTAAGTTTAACAAGGTTATAAATACTGACTCTAAGTCGGCCTTTCTATACGTTTTTGAACTCATAAATAAAAATTAAAAATGTCATTCGCTTTAATTGATGTATTTTAAAACAAGGTGAAACGACAAAATCCAGAATGGCCCTATTCAAAAAACTGTTTATTCAACAAATTACGATGTCTGCCCCGCTGGATCGTTGGAATCGTCATTTTCTTCACAGTCATTCCGGTTCTGATGGCGGATTTCTTCGACATTTTCTTTGACACGAAATATTTTAACGATCTCGCGTTGTCTAAGATGTTTGACAATCGGATTCACTTAGGAAAGCATCACATGTTTTTTTGACTATTGGGGGAAGCAGAAAGGTTTTGATGCTTTTAAAGATTGGAAGATCTTTCCTGTTATGTTCACCTTTTTGATAACAGCAAATGTCAAAGCTTTCGCTCTTGGTGTCATTGCTGTCAGACAGGTAGGGCTCAACAACCCCTCTTCTTAAGGGTATCTCCCTGAGTTCAGGTTCGACCGAACGTCCCAATAATTCGCCAAACAATCAATCCACTTCGCCCAAATGTCGTCAACGCTAGAATTTCCAGCGCTCAAGATGACGAAGGCAATTTGCAAGACGAAAACGTCTACGAAAAACTGAAATATTGGCGAGATATTTTGAGCTTTTTGCTTGAAGATGCAGCTGAGAGCTTTGCCCAATATTTTTATGTTGATAAATTTGTCGGAGAAGATAGCTGGCTCGTTACAGGTATGAGAAAATGGTGATTAATAAGGGTGTCAATCGCTTTTTAGTAAAAAGCGTCATCATGGTCGTCTTCGCCCTGATTTCCTTCATCCGCTTCCTGCGTCACGTGATTCCTTACTGGAAACTCGTGGATACGATTAACGAGCATCTTCGCCTCTTTTTTATGGTTTTGATTATTTTCTCAATCCTCGTGGTTCACGCCGTCCGTATTTTCGCGGTGTTGACCTTCCCCGATGATCCAAGCTACATTATGAACTGTCTCGAGAAAAAGGTGGATTTTTATGACGACTTGATTCAACCAAGAAACGAGACTTATTTGATACAAACGCCGTTTACTAGCAATTGTCTTCGAACCATAGGTATTTTTCTCCTGTAATTTTGCAATAGTAGCTAATCCCTTTTTCTAGATAAAGCCCTAATAGTTCACCTCATTATCTCTTCCTTGATTGCAATTTTTGGACTGGTCGCCGGGTATTTCTGGAATTTCAATGCGGTTTTCGAACAAAGTCACTACACTGGAAGAGCGGCAATTTTCTCAAGCTCGCCAAGATCATCCGACGAGCCACCCAAAACAATCACAGAAAGTCTAGGAAATTCCAGCGAGAGCTTTTAACTGCCTCAAATATTGAAATAAAATGTACAAATTCAAGATTCAAGCCAAAAATGGGAAGAAATTTCGGCTAATCAGAGGGTTCAAAATTTCCTCAGAGCCAATAAAAAGCCGTTTTGCCGTATTTTCGCTATTTATTCGTAAAAATAGAGCATTTTCTTTTGAGAGCGATCGAATTTGATCGACTGAACTTCAATTTGAATTTCTTCATTTTCAGAAAATCGTCCAGTTGTAAACTCAATTTCCTCTCCAATCGCACCGAAAAGTTCTATCGTCAAGAAGCTCCCATAATCGTTTATTTGCTTGATTCTCTAGAAATAGAATTATACCTAGGAAAACAAAAAAGACTTCCTGACTTGCGGACTGAGATAACTCCATTTGCCCATCTCCCCAAAAATGACAAGCTTCTTTCCATTTTCAAAGCATTTAATCGGCGCCGAATACAACAATCCCCACCGGTTCGCCACTTGAGCAGGGATTGAGCGCAACACGTGCGCGATAACGAATTTCATGCAAATCGAACAGATGTATTTTCAAAAGTGAGCTTTTATCCCCGTCCCTGGCAATTTGATTGATGCGGCGGATAGACGAACTTCTAAATTTTGTTCGGGATATCCTTCGAAAATATAGCTTTTTGAAGGCTAAAATTGAGATTTGACTCAAAAAAATTGAAAAAAAAAATGAAATTTTGACTCAAATGATTTTTCAATTTTTTTTTATTCAAACGGGAGTTGTTAGCTCAAAATTAAACTTTTTATAACGGATTATGTCGCATTTGCAGCAAAAAAGAAAGAAATTCTTCTTTTTAAAACTATTTTGTAAAGAAGAAAAAAACAGGGCGGCACTGTGTTTATCTCAAATATAAATTGTCCTGAATTTCCTTCCTTGTATCCCCTTTAATTTTAGCCCGTTCCTTTCAGAGTCCATTTCCAAATCTTCGGCATTCGTTTCATACTCCTCCAGCAAACTCGCGTACAAAACAGCTGATCCTTCAAATTTCCCGAATGTCGACTTTGCCGACCAAATTTGAGCGCCGAATCGGTTTCCGAAGATGTGGAGATTTTCTCCTGGCTCTTGGCTGGCTGGGCCGTCCCAGTCATTTCGCGCTTTTCGCTGCATTTCGGAGTTGATAGGTTTCATGGAGTTGCCGAGGCGGAGGATGAGGCCGTCGGAGTTGATGCTTTTGTCGATGAGAAGACGATCCTTGCCGAGGGTGGCCATGATTTTATGGTGAAAATTATGATTTTTAAAAAGGATTAAGAACCCCTTTCCTCGAAGCCGATTCGATCTCCAGGAACAACCGGGCCTGAAAAAAAACATAACGCCCTAGATTCTTATCAGTTACTTTATCTCTTCATAAGCTGAAATAATCCTCAACGCTTTTTTCTCCCTCTAAGACGGTCTTCGAACTAACCGGAGGAAAAAGTGGAAACAGCAGCATGTAAATCCGGAAAATGTTCATTGAAAATGTCGCCTGGAACATCTCCATCCGCCTCTACTTCCGGCTGGACATGAACCGAGTGGAACGTGTCCTGAAAATATTCTCATCCCGATTTTTTTCGTCCCGTTTTTCTCAATACTTTTAAAACAGCGAGACCGGCAGCCTCTCCCCAGAGCGACTGAAAGCCGATATTCCACTGGAGGAAGTTGTAAGCATAATCTGGCGAGCCACGAGCGTGGGAGACGTTGTCAAGTTCAGTTGAAAACAGGACGAAACGTGGAAGAGTAAGACAGTATTGTATATCCAGGTATTTCAGCTCAGCAGCCCAGTCCATTTGCCGCCAGTTATCTCTGAAAATTGTTATTCAAAAGTAAATTGAAGCGTAGTTATCGTCTTACAGACTCATATCATGACGAGTCATAAATTATGACTCATGAATTATGATTCATAAAATATGACTCATAATTTATGGGTTATATAATATATAACTTATATTTTATAAGTCATGAATTATGACTCATAAAATATAACTCATAAATTATGACTTATAAATTATGAGTCACAATGACTCATCGAAGAAGAGGGAGTCTTTACCTTCCGAGAGCAAGGTCTTGTTGAGTCGCATTCATTCTATTTATTTGAACGTCCATCCAATCTTGCTCGTACGTTTTGAGCCCCCATTGGCGCCGATTAGCCAGAAAATCCGGCCAAAAACTCGTGTCGTCTAAACAGATCAAAAATTTATTCCTTTCTGATTCGTTTTACTGGGAAATGAATATGGTCCTACTCCAGAGCCTGGTGGGCCTATTGGAAGATCGACTCTTTTTCCGTGATTTGAATAACATAAATAAAATGGAAAATCTTGCATTTTATCACGTTTTCTATTGTCTTCAAGAACCCAATCGTAATCGCCCCCGTTTTCTTTGGCATAAACCGCGTCCGGTCCAAACCACCGGTTGTGGGCCACTATTGGGACATTGTGATTTGCATATGCTGCCTCGCCGCCGTCTAAAGAACATAACATTCCATACAGTACTTCAAGTTTTTACTCGGAAAGTATCCATCGTCAGTTCGAATTTCCCATTCTAGCAATCCATTTCCCTCGCCATGGGGGTAGAACCAAGAGTCATACTGAGCGAATCGGATCGGAAAACTGGTTTCATCGGCGTATTTTCTAAAAGAAAAAGTGTGGCGGAAGATTGGGGATTAATGATTTCCTTCGAAACTCCTCCCTTCTTACCGTATATAATCAAAAGTTTCTTCATAATTCAGCCCTGGCTCCGTGTTATAATAATAATAAGCTCCGGCGTCTGTATAATATCCCAAGTATCGCATTTCGAGGAACGCGTCTCTTTTTGCCGAACTTTTTTCGTGAAATTTTCTGAAAAACTCGCCCCAGTTTTCGATTCCTTCTTTGATTCCATCGCCTCCGACCAGGACGGTTCTAGTGATGTGGCCAGCTGGAATGTGTTTAACACCTCCCATGGTTCCGAAAGACATTGTTTGTTGATTCGTGATTGGATCGGTGAGAATCTGGATGTATTGAGACATCGGCTCGGATAGAGAAGTCCAAACAGTCGAGAAATCTTTCGTAAAAATGGTCGCAAATCCACCTTCACGTCCGTCCATGAAGGTCGCTTCTAAGAGAAAGTGTGAGGCGGATAATCTAACCGTAAGCCGCACCGTTTTCGGAGAGCGTTTCTGGAAGATCATGCCACGGCCCAAACGAGATACGTGTTGCACCTTTATTAACCGGGATTAGCATTATTTTCTTCAATTCGAAAAAAAGCACGAAATTTAAGCCTTTCCCATCATATTTCCTCCCGGCGTTATATATCCAAATCCTTCATCTTCCTAACCTTCAAGTTCAACATCATCGTGAAAATCCGGCTCAAAAATCAATTTTGCTGAACCAAAGCTTAGGCACGCGAATCATCGGAAAAGCGGTGCAAATCGTATCCATCCCGTCTTCTTCGCTAACAGCTTGGCTATCGTGTCCGGAGCTATTGAATTCGCCCGATAAAAAAATCACGTTTTTAGACGGATCAGCGCGTTTTTTCGCGCTCGAATTTCGCCAACTTACATAAAATGTTGTTCAAAAACGATGATGTCTCTTTTTTCATAATTTCTGATGAAAAATTCGACCAAAATTTCCTCTTCCTCATTTTCCGCCTTTGCTCGCCATCGTAAAAGTTCATAGTCGCCGAATTCATCCCTTAATTTGAAGAAAGATTTAAAAAACAAGCTTTTCGAAAAGTTATTATCCTTATTTCGGGAGAGCAAAATTCACGTTGGAGAGGCGGATTTGGGGTCTGTGATAATTATTTAATTGTAAACGAACGAACCTTCCGGATACCGTATCTTCTGCGTACACTTCGAGTGATCCATCTCCAAGGTGAAACTGAAAAAAATGGACTTCCGTCAATATCAATTTTTGAGTCAAAAAGCGTCTTCAAGCTCAGACAGATGATAAAAAAGAACTCACCTGGCGTCCATCAGCCCAAAGAAAACCGCCGATGGAGTCAAAGGCCGCATCGCCCCCTAAACAGAAAATTATGCAAAACCAGTTTTGAGGCCAGCAAAGCTGTTTTCTCCTCTAAACAAGGGGCCTTGTTTTGGCAACTATTTGTTTTTACGTGGAGAAAACAGGTATACGTTCCGAAACGTGTGGAAAAATTCAGATGCCGTTTTCGCTGTATCTTTTCAACGAAAAATTTTTGAAAAAAATACATAATTTTCCTTTTTGATCGATTTTCCCACCCGATTTCGGCCAAAAAGTGCACGCGATTGTTAATATAAAACCATCTCTACGTCTTTAAAAATGAATATTTATGAGGCTTCTGTGGATTTCCGGGCAACTATTTTAGGACTCTTTTTGAAATATTCACTTTTGAAGAGTTCCCCGAATTTAGACATGCCGTGTGTGCTCTTTACTACCTCTTATTGTAAATTCGCCTTTCGAACTTCCATGCTCGATTGTAAAGGCATTTAGCAAGGGGAGCAAGCCTACTGCTCTCATTTTTTTAGATAAAAGATTTGTCTTTTTGATTTGGCGCTGGAGGTCAAATATGAGCAACTGTTGCTTCCCATGAGCAATTCTTTGAGATACCCTTAAGTTTACTCAATCAAATATTGCTTCGAATAACCTCATTCTTTTCCAGCCAAAAGGTCATCAGACAAATTCTAGAAAACCAGAAATACTGAACCGCGCGCGCTGGTACCCGCGGATTTGCGCTGGTGGCGCTGTACCGTTATCATGAAAGTTTACGCTCGAAAAAGTAAACGTGTTCGGAATAAAATTTTGCAATTTTTTGTCGCTTATTCAAAATTTCTGAAGAAGCAAAAGTGATTTTCTAACAAGAGAAGCAGAAAAAGAAGTCGATGAGAGTCGATTGGTTCTGTCTTTTTGGACTGCTAAGGGTGTCAGCAGCGATTCCCTCTTTTAGTTCTGGGTCGACAGCGGCAAAAGATACAGGAACGGATCGAATTCTTCAGGAAATCTATGACCTGGCTAATAAAGGTATTTTTTGACAGTGTTGAGTGCAAATAAAACGAATTCAATTCGAACAAGTTGATAATTCTGCCGAAAGTGCACCGGATGTTCTCCCAATGCAGCATTGTGGTAATTGGGATAGGATAGGTTGAACTTTAAAATAATTTTTTCGACAAACTTATGAAAAAACTTTTTTTTTGTTAGAAATATTGATGTTTGCTTTTCAAATAAATTTGAAAACGTTTTTGGAAAATCGCTTGGGTGGATAATTTTTTATCAATCAAATTTTTCATTTACGCAATTTTCTTATTGACCAAACAAAATCTAACGGCCATCTGATCAGTTTAACGCGTTTAACCCTCTAAAGTACCTCCGGTGAAATCTCATCAGAGCACCCTTACGCCGCTGGATTCGGATGTATGTACACTGTCACATCTCCAGAACCGATCGAGTTTCGGATCAAAAAGATGGAACTCAAGGTAACTCAAAATTGCTTGTTTGATAATATTCAGCTCTATGATGGACACAAAGAACTTGGCTGGATTTGCCAAGAAACGGTTCCCTAAGAAAAATGTCCCCAAATTCGAATTTTTTTTCGCAGAAAATTTTTTTTTTTTGAATTTTTAGAAAATATTCGAACCGTCGAATAGCGGATAATGAATTCATGAATTGGACAAATGTCGATTCGGGCAACTTAGGGGTCTATTTCGAAGGCTATTCCGGGAAGCACTATGGCTTCGACCTTGAATGGAGATCGCAAATAAAAACAACAACGACAACTACAACCACAACGACAAGGAAAAAGAGACAGAGTCGGAAAAAGAAGAAAAAGCAAAGGGTTAAGGTCGGTTTTATCGAAACAGTGAAGAGAAGATATGAATTGCTTATCAAAAGAAGAGAGCAAGTTGGAGGAAATCAAAGTCTTCAAAGGTTGAAGAGAAAAAAATTAAGATCTCAACCTGTATTAAGCCGTATCATCGAAAAATTCAACAAGCTGATCACCCATGTTTTTGCCGATCAAGATCGAAAATCAAAACTTCGTCCTTGTTATCTCCCACAAGGAAGCTCGCTTGAAAACAGCGACATTCCGCCACTTTTCTTGAATCAGATCAATTCCGCGACAACATCGACCAAAATCATGTCGATTTTGACGGCGATCATTTCTCGACAAGATCAACTTTGTCGGCAGACTTCGCGGAGGAGAGTGACTCATCCGAAAAGATGGCTTCAGTGGTTCGATAATAGGTCGACGAGGCTGAAGGAAAGAGAAAATCTGCATTTTATATAAAGTTGAAATTGAAATTTTGTATATTTCTGTAAATATAAAAGCTTGTTCTCAATTAGTTTTTTCCCCTTTTTCATAACTCTGATGTTCCAACTAAAAATAGATTTTGATTTTTCATCAAAATATACCGCAAATCAATTTCATCTCCGACTTGATATCGCATGTCCGACGCTTTGGCCGAGAAATATCAAGCTTGATAAGTGAGTTTTCTTTCGATTATTGCAGAAGTCAGAGAAAAAAGAGAGAAATGAAGATATTAGGCTGCGTTCTCGCATCCGCAAGGGCTTGGAACAAGGGCTCTTGCTACGAAGATGGAACAAAACCAGAGTCGACGATGCTTTGCAAAAATTCGTGTTCGTTTGATTGGCTCGGGCGGGGAGATAATGTCATGTACAAAGACATGGGGAAGAGTGAATTTTCTTTCACGGCGCAGATGGTTGCATTGAAATGGGGCTTGCCGTATTTGAACAAAGAGGATGGATATGTTGGCATGCTCAGGTTTTTCTTGACTCTTCTTTTTACCTCTTTCCTTTCTCTTTAGATTCGACAGAACTTACTGTAAACGGCCGATCCTCCGTGCAATCGGCGACGGAACCATCACCATCAATGTCTGGGATCGTACCGATGATAACTACTTCACCGAAGCACAGTACTACGAGCTCCCCGCCGACGGATCCAAAACCAAGGAAGCTGCAGTTGTTCAATTCCGACGATCACGATTCCTCGAAGGCGATTTCCTAACAAAAGGAAAAGATCGATTCTTTTTCACTATGAGCGGAGTTGACCCCGATTTCGATCCACTTGATCCGCCAAATTCAAATGTAGTGCATGATGACTACTACCAGTGTTTTTCGAATGTGGGAATCGCCACAATGGCTGACGATGATTTTGGTTTCGAAGAAGCGGACTACTCAAAATGCTATCTTTATCAGCGATATCTTCAAACGCCGGATTGGGATGAAGCTCCTCAGCCAACAACTACAACGACATCGACCACGACAACAACATTCACGACGACAACGACGAATGCCCCCGTCGCGCCCCCTACGTGGGAGGATAATGGAGCGCATTTGCCTAATCAGATGACGTGTCACAATCCCCTAGACCCCGCTGGCTATGGATCCGTCAAGGGAAGACCTGGGCCCAAGATTTTTGGAGGATCTGAAGCTCCTAGGTAAACTTCAACAAAGATCACTTTTGATGACTTATTTCTAGAGAGACCTATCGATGGCAAGTACCCCTCTTCGACCCAACCGGAGAATTCATCTGCTCAGGTGCTCTTATCAGCAAAAACAATGCTGATTCTCCTGATTGGGTCCTCACTTCTGCCCAATGCTGTGATAACAGGAACACGATCATCGCAAAAGTTGGAGATTTCAACCTTCAAAACTACGATGCCGGCGAAATCACGATAACCAGCAGCAACATTTTCATCCATGACGATTACCTCAAATTTGGCGAGTGGACTGGAAATGATGCTTGCTTGATCAATATTGGAAAAATCACTACATCGGGTCAATCAGTCTACGAACCAGCTTGCATCTCAAATGATATGCCGGAAGATGGTGCTATGTGCTACGTTTCCGGCTGGGGATCGATAAGAGCCGCATCTGAGAATCTTCAAAATCTTCATGCTTCTCCGGTCAACTACTTTCCGAATAACTACTGCGCCGGGCTCGGGTATGGAAATATAAATGAGAACTCAGAGTTCTGCGCTGGTGTTCCTGATTCAATGTTTGACGGAACAAAGGACATCTGCAATGGTGATGTTGGAAGCCCTCTTGTTTGCGATATGGGCGGCAAACCCGTTCTCTCCGGTCTTTTATCTTGGGGAACTTCAGGTGAATCATCGATCAGCGATTTTTCTTTATCATTTTTAGGATGTGTCGGGCCAAATCGACCATCAGTGTTCACAAAAGTGTCTTCGATCGTCCCCTGGATTCTCGATATCACCAGTCAGGAAAGGATTTGGCAGCAGAATTTGTAGCTATTCTTTTACTTAGTATATCCTTTCATAGGTTACGACGACCACAACTACAACACAAACTTCAACCACGACTACGACAGGTCCAACATCAACATCGACAACAAAAACCACTACACCAGCTGGTCCAACTACGACGACAACAACGACCCCTGGTCCATCAACAACTACAACAACGAGTACTTCTGGCGATCTTAACTGTTTCTCTTTGTCCTCGGAGCAATATTCGATGGAAATCACGAATTTCTGGGAAAACTCAGGAAACTATCACTTCCAAGCCCGTCCGAATATCCCGCTTACTGGCATGACAGATACCTTTTTGGTGAAGGTCAATTTCAAATGGCCCGTGAATTCGATCGAAACATGGGGTAATACCGTAAACAATCCAGGACTGAGTTTTACCGCAAGTTTTTATTTTCGAATGATCCTAAATGAAACTCTATAAAAGACCCTGTAACTGCGTCAGAAGCGCTGAATTGGGATATGCTTTTCGACAACAAGTGGAACGTCAACCCGATCGAATTCGTCTTCGAGGGTCAAGTTGCTTCTTCTTACGTAACAGAGGCGTCACTAACTGCACTCCTACCAAACAGCCTAAAGGTCTGTCTGCCAGACGGCGTCTATCCTGATGGAAACTTCCCACCAACGACGACTACCACCCAAGGGCCAACAACAACTACAACAACGACAACGACCACCACAACGCCTTACACAGGTCCACCAACGACAACAACAACGACCACCACCACAACTGGTCCACAAGACTGCAACGGCCCTCAGGGAGTTCTTCCTCCAAGTCCTGCTCAGACTTCCGTTGGCTCTACAAGCTGGCTTGACTATCAAGGTGCTCTTGAGAAGAGCATCCTCTTCTACGAAGCCCAAATGGCAGGTCCCTTGCCCGCCTGGCATCGCGTCCCTTGGCGAGGAGACGCCACTATCACTGATGGTTGCGATGTCGGAGTCGATCTTACTGGTGGATTTTACGACGCTGGTGATTTCGTCAAATTTCATTTCCCAGCTTCAATGGCCATGCAAACTCTCGGATGGGGTCTTCATCAATACAAAGCCGGATATGAAGCCGCCGGTGAGTATGAAAATGCCCTCCGAGTGTTCAAATGGGGAGTCGATTATTTTGTCCGATGCCATATCGCGCCCAACGAGTTGTACGCTCAAGTCGGTGATGGCAATCTCGACCACGCTTTCTGGGATCGCCCTGAAGAAATGAACATGGTTCGACCAGCTGTGAAGATCACCCCTTCAAACCCTGGATCAGACCTTGCCGCTGGAGTTTCATCACTTTTCTCCACTGCTGCGCTAGTTTTCTACGACTCTGATCCTGCTTATGCAGCGGATCTCCTCAGCAGGGCGCGTGAGCTGCTTGATTTTGCAACAACCAATCTTGGCAAATACTCCGAAAACATTGTCGGCGCCTCTCCATTTTACGATTCCTGGTCTGGATACAACGATGAAATCGTTTTTGCTGGAGCTTCCATTGCCCGAGCGAGCTACGTTGTCGATAGTGCATCATTTAACTCCGACGTTGCGCAGGCAAAATCTCTCTTTTCTTCCTTCAATCCAGGTTCGGCAAGTGAATTTTCATGGGACAACAAGGGAGAGGGCGCAAATGTCATGATGTACGATGTCCTGACTCTTGCTGGCGATTCTGATGCAAGCACTTATTCAGCCAAGATCCAACAATTCTACAATGCCCTACAAAACAGACCCTCAACTCCAGGAGGTCTTGTGCATATTCAAGAATGGGGATCTGCGAGACATGCGTGCAATGCAGGCTTCATTCTCAAGGTGAGTCTTCCATGATGCCAATTTTGTTAATTCTTTCAGGTGGCTTCCGATCTTGGTCTTTCTGCTCAATACGGAACCTTCGCAAAGAGCCAGCTTGATTACGTTCTTGGAAACGGACCAAACGGACATCCGGTGATCGACGGAATCCAAGCCTCTCTCGTCGTCGGTCATGGTCCGAAATCGCCCCACTCACCCCACCATACCGCTTCAAGCTGTCCTCCTTACCCCAATGCTTGTGGCTGGAATAACTTCCACTCTTCCGGTCCAAATCACTGGACTCTCTATGGAGCTCTCTGTGGAGGCCCAAGAACACTGACTGATGTTTTCGTCAATGATCGATCGGATTATGTCGCGAATGAGGTGGCAATCGACTATAATGCTGGATTCCAGGGGCTCTTAGCTGCTTTTTCTCTTTGAACTTGATGACTTTTATTGAATAAATATCAGTAGATACAGAACTATACAATTTTCTTTCGTGCTTCTCGGGAATCATGTGAGCTCTCTGTCCACATAGTCGCAGCCTGTTGGTTCCCCGCTCGTAATTTAGGGAAGACCCCCGTCGCGCAAGCTCCACCATTCTCCGCCATTAGCTGAAGCAGTTCTTTCTTTGTTCCAGGGTCGAATTCGGCTTTTCCACTTGGCTCGCGTCTTTTTTCTATTCCACACAATGATTCATCCTCATCGCATTCTTGAACGATGAAAAATTCATAAAAATGAAATAAGCGGTTACCTTTGTAGATCATTTTCAGTTTCTCGACATCTTTTTTCATTCTTTCATGTCCATATCTGTCGATCTTCTCCCAAAGAGTTTTATTGAAAAATTCATAAATAGCATAATCTTGGATATTGTCTTTTCGAAAGGTTTTCATTTGTTGGTCCGTGAATTTCGCATTCGAGTTCTTTTCCTTCAATCTTGGCATTGAGACCATCCTATCTGTCGAAGCATACAGTGTTTTGAAACTTGTGCAAAGTTCTTCAGCAAGAAGAACAAGGGATTCGAAGAAATACTCTTGAACCATGACGAGGTCGAAAATGTCATCGAGTCTCAGAATCTCATCATAAATGTATTTGATGTCGAAGTTGTTGTGATCCATTCCGAGCTCGAAGCCTTGAAAATTCTTCGCTCGAAATAACCAAGGAGTCTTCTCGTCAGCTGGCAGTCCTTTCTTCTCAACGACATCGAGGTATTCAGCCGCTGAAACGTTCAATTTACCGACGATCGAGCGAAACGGCTCGCCCCAGCAGCCAACAGTGCACCAGCGCTCCCGTCGCTCCAAATTTTTCTCGCTGAAAAATTTCTTTACAAATAACGGAAGCAATTTTACTTGAAAAATCTTCCGTAGTGGTAGTTAAAATTGCTCTTGAAGGCTTCGAATGGCTCTCTTATAGAAGTGAAGAATTTCGCCCCGGGAAAAAGCCCAGGCTCGATATCAGGATTGAATCGATGGTGGCATCGGATAGATTGGTTGGTGAAAATAATCGGAGGTTTGAAAAATTGAGGTTGAAAACGGGCTGGATATCCGCCGCCGTAAGAGCCGTAGTAGGGGATTGCGGCGCCGATTCCATTTTCATCGCCGTATCGTTTGAAAATCGTCTTTTCGGGGATTTTTTCCGCTAAAAATCTTTGCTTTCGATCAGCTCTAAAATCCTCCCTGGAATGAACTCGAAGCGCATTTGTGTTTTTTCAGGAAAACATAACTTTTCAAAGGCGTGCACTTTTTCGCTGACGTCGAAATTTCGTTTATTTCTTCGTTTACTCTCTCTATCTGCGCTATTTTGTCAACTGAAAACTCGAATTCAAGCTCTTTAAATTCAAAAATATAAACGATAATTAGAACAAAAATTGAAGCAAAAAAGTTAGAAAGATATTTTTCATCATGTTTATTTTTTCAAGGCGCCTGAGCAATGGCGGAACTTGGCAATTCAGGACCGGCGGCGAAATAAACAATAATTTCGATGCTTTAAATAGTGGCGTTGTAAAGGAAAATTGCCAATTTTCTTCTGAGCGCAAGTATAATTACGGAATAGCATGTCGGAATTTATGAGACTTGATTTATGTCTTGTTTGTTTTCAAACTAGTAAGGATGAGTTTTTATTAATGGTTATTTTATTGTAGCTTTTCAAGAGTTTTTATAGAAGAATTTTCTTTTTATTTCCAAATAAAGCCAAAAAAATTCAAGAGATAATTCCCTGCGATTCGTAAAAGTCAAAACCCAATCGTTACTAACAAATGATATTCAAAAGCGCACTACAAGCAGAAAGTGAAATAGCAAAGTGTCAAAATGTCGAAGTCAAGAGCGACTTTGAAATTTTCCCTTCACAAACTCTTTCAGAATCGAAATTTATGCTACTTTTTAAATGGTGATTTCAAACGAGAAACAATCGGTTCCGATTTACCAAAAAAGAGTTCAAGTACAGTTTATAACTTATAGCAAGGATTGAAAAATAAATGATTGACTAAGTTTTTTTAACCAAGTGATTAAGTGCTTGGACTGTCAATGTATTGGAGTTATAAGAAAGAGCAAAAATAAATATTACTTGTTCCCAGAAGAAGTCCTGTCGACTAGAAGTATTCATACTCAAAAGCATGATTTGGAAAAGAAAACTTTTGTGAAAAAAATTAACGAAAGCGTTAGTCTTGCTAAGCATGGATTCGCAACTAACAAGCAGCAATACACTTATTTGACTCTTGGCTCTCTTTTCTGGATCACGATCATGCTTATCAGTAAGAGAATCGAATGGGTATTGAAATTTATGTTTCCCTAGCAAATTACCAGTCTTTGGAGAGATCACGTGGCGTTCAAACTTTTCTTACTTCGACCTGCCACCGTAATTACAAGAAATGCGTCCGGACTGAATCGATGGACATCTGTGGACATTTGATGAAGCAATGTCGTGAAACCAGAAAGTTCGTCCTCCCCGAACCAGCCGTTAAAATCCCTGATGAAAAACTTGAGCCCGCTCAGTTTACTGAAGAAGACAACAGGATTAACTTACTCCGCTGCAAGAAGCAACAGTTTTACGACGCGAAAATTTGCCGTCATCTTTGTTCAAAAACTCGTATTTTGGAATCAAGAAAGAAGAATCTACCATCTCGATGTGAAAACATTTGCTTTGAGCTCGCAAGAGTATCTGATGCTGCTGGAGAAATATGTCCGTTTGAGAAATATTGTAAAACTGGCTGTCCTTGTCTCCATTACAAATGCGAGATAACTCAGTTCGATCAACAGATGATTCCTGTTTTTGACCTACAGAAATCAAAAGAAAATTTAACAGGGAAGTTTAAAAATAATTTTTGAAAAAATACATGTAGTTATTTATTTTCTCTTTAAACAAATTCATTAAATTTAAAAAGAAACTTATGAGAAGGAGAACGAATTAAATTTAAAATTAATCACCGGTCGAATTCAAGACCGTGAACGTACAATCAAGGAGTTTTCTGTTCAATTTGCAGATTTAACAACGGGGATGAATCAAAATAGCGAAAACCTGATCAACGGTTCTTTCATCCTTCATGAAGGTTTTTTAACACATTTAATCCCTACCGTTGATACTGTATCAATGAGACAAAAAAACCTTGAAAGTCAATTGGTGCAACTTTTCTCGAGGGAGAGCATTATTTGGTTGACGCGCAAGGAAATTTATTGAGACTAACCGAAAGTCAATCATTAATGATTTCTGTTCCGAATCGATATTTTAGACAGTAAGTCTCTATAAAGAAATTCAGAATCTATCATTCTTTTCAAAGAACTGGCTTTTTGTTTTCCACTTTGGATCATCAATTGGTACATTTCAAATCGAAATTCGACATAAAGAGAAGGATAAGCAGGTTTTTCCTGTTGTCGTTATTTGTGCGCCAACGGAAAGAGCAGATCGATGTTATTTTTATGCTCCTGACTACAACCTTGATCGGTTTGAGGAAGCACAGGGCTTCATTGCCAGTAACCATTTAAACGCAAAGCTGTCTTCTGTAAGCTTCAACGGAATTTTTCACCTCATGAGTGTGAGGTTAGGCGAACGGTGGATAAAATTGTCAACAACTATGGCGCTCAATCGAATTCGTAAAACGGAAGAACTTGAAAAAGGGTGGAAGAAGGGCGAGATCGTATTGCCTATTGAATTTCGAGATATGGATCCAGTACATATTGTTCCAATGTCATGGGTTAAAACTTCTAATTCACTTCTGATAATGGTGATCTTTTTAACCATACGAAAGATTGATCTTGGTCGACTTCTCCTCATCTTAGTTACAAGAAGCATCGTTCTCTCAAATACTCAGTACTCCGTCTTAGTAGAGAGTGATGGAAGATTTTTGACTCTTGGCAGTGAGTGGATAGGATCGGTCGTCAGATATGAACAGAGATCGATATGCTACTCGGCGATCTTTGCACCAAATGATAAAAATTCACCGATCAGCTTGGAAGCAACAATGACGAATGCGAGTATTTTGTCAACGGAATCATCAATCAAGACAGACTCTTTCTTCAAAATTATGTCTTCGATACGACTTTTGAGATAAAATACAATTTTGGAAGGGATCAAACGAATTTTTTACCGTTTTTAAATTACTCCTTGATTGTTTGTTCAATTTTACAAAGATATATTCGAACTTGACTTCGTGCAACAAAATTCAACAAACAAGATGTATATAACAAGCAATCCCTTTTTCGCTTTTCACGACGATATCTTTCCAGCTTTTGCTAAGAAGAGGGTTTGAAATAGGCAAATAGCCCACATCATTAGGCCCATATTGTATGGGCTTAATTCACTCCCTATTCAAGTAAACTAGCTTATTACTGGTGCGCGTCATTAGTTACGGTTTGGAGGGTTTGCGTCAGTAGCTACGGTGGGTTAATAGCTAGGGTTAAAAATGAATCATAGGGACGATACCAATTGACACAAAGTTTAGGGTGGGCATCAACCAAGGGCTTGCCGATAATTAAGAAAATTACAAGAATCTGAAGCTATCTAGGTCGGTCGAAAATAGAGTGTGGTCACTTATCGCTTAAAAAACAAGAAATAAGTCACAAAGTTGGACTAATGTGTATAGATCCAAAAATGGTTTTTTTTTCATATTTTTATCATTTTTGCAAGCAAAAAAAAATACCACACTCTCGTTATGACCGACCTAGATAGCTTCAAATTGTTCTAATTTTCTAAATGACTAACAAACCGAACGTTGGTTGAGGCCAACCCTAAACTCCGTATCAATTGCTATGGTCCCTAGGAATCATTTTTTAACCGTAGCTATTGACGCACCGTAGCAATTGACCCAGCCGTTGCAAGTGACTCAAACCCCCAAACGATGGTTAATGACACGCATCCGCTTATAACCTAATTGAGAACGCCCTGATTCAGGGCCCCTGAAAACAAAAAATTTTGAACCCTCTTGAAGAATATGGTTTCGCAGCGCATGTTTAGCAAGTCTGCTAACGCAAATTCGCCCTCATATGCAAAAACAATCATTCCAGACAATGCTTTTGTCTCTCTTCAGGAGTTCAATCATATTTCAACGATTGAAATGAGGTTCGATGAATATGAGATTTTTCAATTTCAAATCAGACGAGTTGACAATATGACGAATTTTCATGAAATTCTAACTTGTGAATTTACCAATGAGCAGGTGTTCTTTCGTCTAAGGATTATTTCGAATGACACGGTTGTATTCGAATCCGATTTTCTCAAGAAAAATGTCGTTTTGATCAATAATTTTTCTCTTCAATCGGAATCAGAGTTGATAATTAAAATCCACCAAAATAATTCTATTGACTCAAAAATTTTATGACTTACTGGTGAAGAAGAAATTCTATCAATTCTTTTATCTATTTATTTCTATTTTACGAAATTTAAAGCTCTGATAAAAGTGGACATCTATCAATATTCGCCTGAAAAATAATCATTCAGATGACAAAAAAATGACAATCATAAAGGATCGTTAGAGATAATCTTAAGAAAGAGTATAGAAATTCCAAGAAGAGGCGGCATCTCCGATCAAATCAAGCTTTGATGATTTTTAATGAGTGCCATATTTGAATATTTCTTATTTATCTTGCCCAAAAAGAATGGCGTGGAAATTTTCTCATTAAATATACAATTTGATGAAAACAAAAGCGGAAAAAGAATACGAATCTACAAGTTTGATCAAATCTTCGAAATAAAAAACTTCTTTTCTTCGATATTCTATCAAATTATGGTCATACCCAGATTCGTTCTTACAGATAGTACAACCAAAAAGGAAATTCAAGAAAATCGGCCCTACGGGTTGTTGTCTGACGGATCAATAAACGCGAATTTGAACATGAAAACCCCACATGACACTCGCGAAGCAGTTCAAGCTGTCATTAAGAACAAGCTTTATATATTTACAAGTGAAAGTTTCCGTATAAGAGTAATGCACTCGTTGTCATTTAATTGTTGCATAAAAAAATTCAGATCTCTATTTTCAACAATTGTCGCTTCGAAAAATTACAGTACAGATTAATTAATGGAAATGGTTGGACTAGTGGATATCTTGCGACGTCAACTTATGGTGGCGGTGAAGGTAAATCATCATTACTCATAATTCTTATAAAAAGCTGTTATTTGCTTGCCTTCGGCCCATGTAAGATTTTTCTGCGAAGAATTTGACGGAGTCAAATCAAGAAGGCTTCCGAAGGCACTTTATCACCACGAAAAGGGAGTTCTTGCATTGTACGAGTACCGTCCTGCTCTCATTGCAGGTCAAGATGTCGACGGTGCATCAGAATATCTAAAGACAGATGAAGATTGGGTTCCTCTTCCTGATCATCCAGGGAGGTAAAATTGGAAGAGCTTTTCAAGGAATAAAAAAAGCTTGTTCTCTGGTCTATGAAAGATGATTTGTAGGCTTACCGGACTAAATTTCAGCCATTTTTTCTAGCTTAGTTTAGCAGTTATATGGCCTATTTTTGGAAAGCCCAAGACCTAGGCCAAGAAAGCCCAAGACCTAGGTTTGTTAGAAAGCTCAAACTCTGAGCTTTCTATAGAGCCCAAGAAATCTGGCTGCCAAGGGGGGTTTGTGACAATCAATAATCAATTATAATGTCTATTATCCCCCATTTTTGGCACTTTTTTTGTGGAATAGTCTCTAATTTTAGCGAAATTTTGGCACCAAAATTGGACGTCTAGCGCTCGCTGGAGGCCACAGACCGACTGGCAGCTAGATTTTTTGGGCTCTTTAGAAAGCTCAGAGTATGAGCTTTCTTATTACTCGACTGTCAAATGCTCTTGATCGCCTTAATGCATCGAAAAATTTGATGCAAGAGTTCTAGTGCCTATTTTTGTACTTCCGGCCTCAAAAATTGCCTTGCGGGCATGACCTAACCCCCTCGATATGGGTACCAAATGAAAGCCCAGGTCTTGGGCTTTCCAACAATAAGCCATATTTCTTCTAAACTAAGCTAGAAAAATGGCTGAAATTTAGTCCGGTAAGCCTAATGATTTGTTGATTTTAAGAGATTTGAATTCGGCATCCGGGCTTGCTCTTCCCATGGGAGCACTTCTTACTATTGGAGGATGGAGGGAGAGAGGTATCTGGAGATTGAAGGATTTGTCATGGAGTAGACTTGGAAAACTTAACCAGGTTCTCACTTGATTTTCTTTGTTATTTTCATTTTGTGTTCAGAATATGTATGACCATTCATCAATCTATATTAACGAGGAAATCTTCGTCATTCCGGGAACGGCTTCTCATCCCTTTAAATGGGACGGTAATTCTATGGCCGAGCGAATAATACTAGGAAAAGATACGATATAACTCGACTAGATTAAGAATTTAAACTAAATTATATCTTTATAAAGATAATGACGAGGTTAAAACGATAGAACTCATTCACTCCACAAATAATATGGGAAAATACTGGTGGCAACCAATTCTGTACGCGACAACTGCCAATATGTGTAGCAAATAAATAAAACATTGAATTAAGTTCACTTAACTATTGACGTAAATTATTGACATTTAAATTAATTTCACATCGATTCGAAAATACAAAAAGATCAATTCTCAGATGATAAGTTCACAATTTAGCACCGTCAATATTTAGAAAGTTATATTTATATCCGGCGAATAAAAGCTATGTCTATGCATGCGTGCCACTGTTTATCTGACGCGGCTTAAACAATTTGGCCAGAGCGCCGTTTTGTTTTCTGCCAGGACGCGAAAAATTTTCGAAAAGTTTGGCTTCCGCGGTCGACAATCCTGGACACGACTTTTTCGACGGAAGATTCCGTAGTTCCACAAATTCTGATTCTCGAAGTCTCCGTGAGTTATCTTTTATCATAATATCGATATCAAAATTCTAAAAACATATGAAAATCGTAATAAAAGCAAGAAAATGTCGTTTACATAAATTGTTCTTGAGATCTCGCTGAAAAATTGATCCATTTTTATCTGAATACAAATGAGTTTAATTAGTCCAAAAAATTTTCGATTTATCAAAAATTTGATAAAATTGATAAAAAAATGGTCATCCTCGGAAAATAGAGAAACCAATGCAGGCAAGTCAGATTCTACAAAGGGGTCTTTCAATCATGACTAGGCCGATTTTCAGGATTGACCAATCAGAGCGCAGAGAAACGCTTAATGATGAGAATTGCCTTGGACGCTGTGGGAAGACCGCCTTGTAGTTATTTTTCCCTTCTAAGACATTCGTAAAGAATAATATAAGGGACTATTTTCAAAAATGAGCCAGAGAATGATTATTATTCATTGAAAAAGATGATCTCCATCAATATCCGCCACATATTTGTGTCATATGAACCCGAATCTTCAGAGTTATGGCGGCGCCTCTTCCAAAACGGAGCACCGGTGATTTCACGGACGTTTGTTTCCAGCATCATTCAATATTCATCATTCACCTCTCGGGACGGATTAACGAATCTTTGTTTTTTTTAACTTTCATTCATGAGAACTGTTAAGAGATTTTCCGTAGAGAAATGTTGATCAAAGAAGTAGGCTTCAATACTCGCTATTTTCATCAGATTTTTAAATCTTTACCTAGTGAAACCCTTATCCATATTTATCTGATCGCAAAGTCTAGAATAGAGAATTTTTGATTTTAATTTTATAGTTTGAATTTTTTAAGTAAAATGAAAAATCAAAGTAAGCTCACTTCGATTCTCGGTCATTTCTACCAAAATTTGATGTCATTTTCCTTATTAACTGATTTTGCCTAACCACGTTCTTAATCCAATATGAAGGTATCAACGGGTATAAGTCACGTGTCGATAAGGGACGGACTGATCGATACTCGACTCGATGAAATTGCAAAAACGGCTCGTTTTTGGCGTTGCCGTTCTCTGCGGCCTGGCAACGGCCCAGTTCGGCGGCAGCGATGATATGGATTACGCGTCCATGTTCGCTGCTCCAAGCGCAGATGTTCTTGCTCAGCTGATCGCTCTTTCTGCCGCGAATAATTCCGGCTCAAAGAAAAAGAAGAAGAAGAGACAGCCCAAGACCCAAGCCGCTACGACAACTCCTGAGCCAACAACAACCACTGCTGCTCCAACAACAACTCAGGGTCCAGTTGACGAGTGCGCTTTGAGCATGGACGACTGCTCCCCCAACGCTTCCTGCACTGATCTCGAAGACGGCTACAGCTGCTCTTGCAACGCTGGCTTCTCCGGCGATGGCAAGTTCTGTGACGACGTCAACGAGTGCGCCAACTCTCCTTGCGATGCTAACGCTAGCTGCAGCAATACCCGAGGCAGCTACAACTGCTCCTGCAACAAGGGCTTCTTTGGCGACGGTGCTTCTTGCAACGACATCGACGAGTGTTCGAACGGTGAAAACAACTGTAACGCCAATGCCTCGTGCAATAACACGCCAGGCGGCTTTGAATGCAGCTGCAATGCTGGATACGACGGAAATGGAGTCCGCTGCAATGACGTGAATGAATGCAAGCGAGGCGAAGATCGATGTGACGAGAACGCTAGCTGCAGTAACACTGATGGCGGATACACCTGCTCCTGCAACAATGAATACGAAGGTGACGGATTTACCTGCCAGCGAATCGACCACTGCGCCGTGGGTGACCACAAGTGTGATGCCGACGCAACATGTGTAAGCACTGTCGGCGGATTTGAGCGCGGTCGAAAGCGAGGACCAGATGATCTCGGCTACCTTTGCCAGTGCAATGATGGATTTGAAGGAAATGGATTTAAATGCACTGCCATCACCACTACAACTACTACTACCACTACCACGACAACCACGACAACAACAACAACTACCACGACCACGACCACAACAACAACGACAACTACCACAACCACCACCACAACGACCACGACAACAACGACAACAACAACTACTACTACTACTACTACAACTACTACTACTACTACTACCACTTCTACTACTACTACCACTACTACTACTACTACTACTACTACTACTACTACTACTACTACTACCACTACCACGACCACTACCACTACAACGACCACTACTACAACCACGACAACAACAACTGAAGCTGCTGTTGCCGATTCTGCTGAGTTCCAGGTAGATATTCACTCATTACTTTTGAAATTATTCTTGATTTCAGGACAGTTCCAATGTCGAACTTGCCGCCGGTGCGAGCGATGACGTTTCCGGATCAGCTGGCAGCTCTGGACTTAACACATTCGAAGGAATGGACCTTTCACAATTCGACAACTACTACAACTACGACTCCGCCGGTGTTGATGCCACCGAGTCAAAGAGCGAGGCTGCTGACTTTGACTTTGGTGACTTCGATTTCGCCGCTGTTGAGACCACCGCTGAACAGTTATGAGTTCAAATTTTCGTTAATTTGTTACGTAGAAATATTGATTAGCGTTATTTAACAGTTGTCTTTCCTGAAATAATTTTTTGATGTTAATTTTTTTTGATATCTTCAATTATTTCTTTAAATCTGCAATTTTTGAGTTTCATTATAGTTTAATAATATGTTGCAAACGGACAAAGAATGCATTTTGATTTACTTAAACTCTATGTATTTTTCTTGTCCTGAAGATATTTGTTTCGTATTCTAATTTTTAATGGAATATTTTTATTATGAACAAAATGAACCATTTCGAAGACAACAACCACCACAACGACAACCACTACAACCACAACAACGACTACGACAACAACAACTACAACCACAACGTTAAGAGTTCAAAATTTTTTTTTAAATATCATCTCACAATCAAAACTCAAGTAATATATCTATTTAACGAAACAAAGTCATTGTTTATTTATTTATTTTACTGATTCTTACACTGATTTTTCTATTTTCCGAATAATTTATAAACAATTTTGGTATATTTAAACTCTTCAATATTTGTCTTTATTATTGACATTCTACTAAAAATACATATTTTTCTTTATTATCGATTTGTAATTTAATATTTAAATTTTTCTCAAAAGCTTGATTTATTTTTTGAAAGATGATTTTTAATATTATTTATTCTGAACCACTGAAGACCACAACCACCACCACAACAACAACAACAACAACCACAACTACTTCAACAACCACTTCGTTGAGTTCCTTAATTTTGCTTTTTTCGAAGCTTTTTGCTTGTTCGATTCAATTTTTTTCTTGTTTATTTTTCTGTTTGTATTTAAATTTGATTTTTCTTAGAATTCTTTGAATCTTTATTTCTTTTCAAAAGAATATTTCAAATATTTTATTTTATTTAAAAATTTTTTGGAACCAAGGTAAGACAACATCCACCACAACAACAACCACAACAACAACAACGACGACGACCACAACGACAACTCCTGAGTTTAGTTCGCAAATTGTTTAATTATTTGTTTTTCATTTATTTTGATTTTTTTACGATTTTCCGAGTTTTATTATTTCTTATTTTGCTGTCATTGAATTTTTCTATTCTTTATGTGAACAAATATCAGCCAACAACGGAGCCCATCACTACAACTGAGCTCCAGACTTCCACTGCTGAAATCACAACGTTAAGTTCACAAATATTCGATTTTCAAGATTATATAATTCTTTATCAGTTTTTTCAATTTTCCAACATTCTATATATTTATCTCAGCGTCGTGATACTTTATTAACAGTTATTTTTCTATATATTTTTTTGTTTTTTAATGTGAACCGTCGAAGACGGAGGAAAGTACCACCACCACCACCACAACAACAACCACGACAACAACCACTACAACAACCACTACAACAACCACTACAACCACAACTACAACAACAACGACTACCGAGCCCCCAACCACGACGTTGAGTTCTTTAATTTTTTTTACAAGAATTTATTTTTCCATTTTTACTTTCATTTTTTAACAAACCAAAAAAAAACATTTTTTATCTGCTGATATATAAAATATATCAAGTTTTCACATTTTTAATGTTTTTTAACGTCTAAAAGACATCAATAACAACGACAAGTACTACCACAACAACAACCACATCGACAACCACAACAACAACAACAACAACAACAACAACAACAACAACAACAACAACAACAACAACAACAACAACAACAACTACAACAACAACAACAACAACAACAACAACAACAACAACAACAACAACAACAACAAGAACAACAACAACAACAACAACAACAAAAACAACAACGGCAACCACATCAACTGAAGAGATAATTTTTACAACCTCACTTTCTTCTCTGAAAGTTGAGACGATGAGTTCTTTAAAAAGTTCTTTATCTTTTTTATTTCAATTTCTTTACTAAAATGCATCGAGAGACAAGTACTCATGCACTAATCTAACGAAGTAAATAATTGCGATCAATTATTTGAATACAGATTTTTTATCAATAAGGCTATCTAACAAAAGTGAACTCCCTACAGACCACAACAATGGTAATTTTCATCCTCGAGAATTTCTGTACAACCCAAGTTTAGGCCCCAGTAGCTGATGACGCCGAACGAGCCGAGGACTACCAGCCATACATTCCATCTGCTCCATCTTCCAATCCTTACGGTTCCTACGATTACGGCCTTTCCAACATTTTGAGCTACCCAAGCTATGACAATACCGGATACGGCTACAACACTGGATCCAGCGGCAGCTACGATCCCTACCAGAACTTCGGCGAAGTCTCTTCCTACGGATACGTCAGTGGCCAGAGAGCTGCTGCTCCCGATGCATACGCAATGTGGAAAGCTGATTACGGTCGCCACTGGGATGGAAAGGTCCACACTAACCATTCCGACCAAGCCGTTGATATTGGACACGTCCACAACAACATGGAGAACTACATGGGTAAGGAGCAAAAACATTTCTATCAAACGAGATAAAGAATAATTAAGGTTGAGACTTAATAATATACTTTTAGGTGGCATCCAAGACAAAGGTGTCTTGAGCGACTTCGACCAAGACGACCATGCTCGTTATCAGGGATCATGGATCTCCGCTACTCATAACAATGAAGCCGGTGATGCAACTTATGATAAATCTTGGGAACTTGGACTTCACCCCAGTGATGCCCGAGCATTCAGCGACATCAATGATGAAGCAAGACTGCAATGCAAAGTTTGCAAGATCGACTTCCAAGTTATGTGGGACACGGACAATGATAAATTTGTTCTCAAGCAGAAGAACGGATGTAAGCAATGACTCGGATAACATTGATTTCAAATATATTCAGCTGACTTTTACACTGACGAGGCCGCTGCTATCACCGCCTGTGACGCTGACCAAGACGGAGACGGAGATGCGCCAACAACGTTCTGCCCATACTCATCTGGTGTCTGCTTTGTTGAAGAGCGACGACAGTTCGGCTTCTTGGTCTCCTTCGAGCGAGGTTGCAAACAAGCCAAGGCCTGCTACATGCAAAAGTACCAGAACTTCCTTGTCAAGGCTGGACGACAATGCTGGCCTGTCGATGCAACTAACACCGCTGAAAAGATTGCCCGACGACCATATGACATTAAAGCTGATGAGGTGAGATATTATTTTAAGATCAAAGACATTTACTTATTGTTAGTGGTATTACAATGCCAATGGAAACCACGCCGACTCTCATGATAAAACTTTCACTGATTTCACTGACGGTTCTCCTGATTCTGGTGGACTTGTCAGCGGACTCTACGTTGATCCAGACTACGTTCTTGATGGCTCGAGCAACTTGAACTACAATTCTCTTCACATCATCCATGGCCACTCCGGCGCTTACAAAAATGGAATGAAGGAGACTTCCAGGAACGATTCAGAAATCATTAAATAGCAACTTACAAACAGCATATTTAAAACTAGAAAAACTTCTCTGAACCAATTAAAAAGATGCACCCAGTGTTGTTCAAACGCTGACAACTGCAACGCCTCATGGAGACCACAAACTGAGACTGATTGGGCTGCCGATTACAGTTCTACTGCACCCGGACGAAAGTAAATAAATCCTTTGATTTTTCCTAAAATCGACGCTTGGAAATGACAACCCGATCCTGCCCAACGAACAAAACTTTTATTTAAATTACTTCTTTCCTTATCCTCTTTCTGCATATAGACTGAAAAGGTTTCAGTCACGAAAAAACTCAAAAAAAAATGATTGAATAGATAGCACCAATACTGAGCTTCTATTGACAAACAATAAACTTGTTAAATAACAAAATACCGCTGTTTTCACTTTTAACAGTATCAGCAGTTCGGAATGTCTTGAAGACTCTTGAAGACTCTTGAAGACTCTTCAAGTGCTGAACTTACAAAGTTTACCGTAAGATTTGTTTATCTAATAAACAAAACAGTATTTGAGTTCTCTTTCCTACCGGCAAGCCACTTAGCATAGGATCAACTAAGAACAGAGATTCTTAAAAATGAAGTTTTTTACAATTTTTGCCGCCGTTTTTGGCCTTTCTTCTGGCTTCTGCTACCTCGGGTACGATGATCGATGCTTGACAAGATGCGATCGAAAGCTTCGTCGATGCACCCAGGAATGGACTCATTTTAGGAAGAATTTTTTCACAGAAATAGAGAAAGTCCAAAAAAAGAACGCCGGAGCTGGTCAAGTCTTTGTCTGCCAGACAGCTCGAGAAGCCTGCGGAGCCAATTGCGCCTGCTAAGACCTTTCCAAATAAAATTGTGATCTTTATTGTTATTTTTTCTAGAAAAAGAGACGTCTTCCAGATTTTTCTTTCTTCTCATTTTTCGATTCAAATGACTGCCTGTTCGACTGAATCAGCTCAGCTTCTAGCGCTGCCATGTCTTTCTTGATTTTGCTGAAGAAAATAATTTTGTCAAGGTCGGATTGATTTTCTTACTTTCGCTTGATTGCGATGACGTTTTCTTCATCTTTCATGTGTTCCCGGTGGGCTTTCTGCATTTCTTCAAGTTTTCTTTCTCCTTCGGCGATTTTCATCCGCCGCTCTTGGAGTTTCTTTTGAAAGACTGCTTCCATGTCCGCTTGAATTCGTTGGAGTTTTTCTTTGTGCCCCATTATTTCATCCCTTGAGAGTTTTCAATATTCAAATTTTCCGCGAAAAACTTACTTGAGCTCCTTGTCAAGACGTTTTTTCAGCTCTTCGGTCGTTTCCGGCTTCTTTTCTGGAAATTTAATTGGGTGCTTTGTCAACCAGTGCTCGCGAAAATTCCCGTATTTTTCATTTTTTGTCGAGTTGACAAGATCGACAAGATGCGTTTGAATCATCAGATGGCGCAAAATTCGCATATCGGAGTGCTCGTCGTTTTCGATCTCGCATGCTCCGAAGGTATAGCGTCTCATGGCGACTGGCTTTGATTCGGGCTCTTCTTTCTTTTCTTCGTCGAATAGAGAAACGCTAGAATTGCTTTTAGCACGAAAATTTTGAAAGATGACAACTTTTGTTTTCCGATGGAATCAGCACCGGCGTCGATCATTCTTCCTCCACTGATGATGCTGAATGGAGATTTTCTTCTCATTCGTCTTTTTTCCGTTCAAATTGATTTTAAAAGTTGACGTTCAAAGTAGAAGCAGTTCGTTTTTATCAACGAGCCTTTTTGTAGGTAAAAAAGAAGTTCAATGATAATATTGAGATATAATGTCTACAGATGTCTTAAAATGTCAGTAGATGTCTATAGATGTCTACGGATGTCAACAGATGCCTAGAGATGAGTCATCTCAGATGACTTAAGATGTCTATAATGTCTATCGAATTAAAAGTGGAATTCTCCATTTTAACGAAAAATTCACTTTTTCTAACAATTTTTTGAACAAATTTCCTGATAAGCGCTGCTTGACTATCATCAACATTTTCCGGAAATGCATAGCAACTGATTTTATTTTTTTCGAAAACACGGAGAATTTCCTTTCTCAACTCGTGTCGCTCGTCCAGCGTCAAACTATCAGCCTTCGCGATGATTGGAATAACATTGACTTTGTTGTGGATCGCTTTTAGGCACTCAAGGTCGAGTTCTTTGACTGTCCGGCAATTTGGCGAAAAGAAGACTTAAAAAATTCATTTGCACTTCGAAAGAAAATAAACTCACAGAGACAGCAGTGGACAAGCTCATCATCATTTTTTTCAATGTCACGGTCGATATCCATTTCTTGGTCGAATTGCCGTCTGTGTCTACCATCCAGATAACTGACAATAGTTGGCACTTGGTTTGAATTGTCGATGAAGGCGCCATAACCAGGACAGTCGATGACTCTGAATTCTCGTTTAATAAGTCAGGGGCTTGACATATCTCTCCCTTCAAACCTGAGAATCAGTGGAACACCATTCTCTTTCAGCTTCAGGTCAAATTCTTGGACAATCAGCGAGTCCGAATTGGCGATTCTCTGAGTTGAGCTGACAAATTGCTCGTTGTAAATTTCCGATTTGAAGATTGTATTCACTGTCGATGTCTTTCCCAAACTTGGCTCTCCAATCGCCATTAGATTGAATCTGAAGCCAGATTTGAGCGCTTTTCGGTAAGCTTGAGCCGGGATTGTTGCTAGGCCAGGCTCAAATTTGCGCTGATCGACTTGAATTTTTTCATCTCTTGGTGGCATTATTTTTAATAAAATGAAATAATCCGCGCTGTTCAAGAGGTAAGAGAGAGTTGTTGATGCCGGCTGGAACACGCTGATATTGCTTATCGGTCTTTTCGCTATATTTGGCGCTAGAAAAAGATCTTTCGATGCATTTCAAATAAATTAAAATTCTTTCCATAGGGAAGCCACTAAACCTTTTGACTGGGTTCAAAGGAGGTGCAAAAGTTCATTTAGAGTATAATTGTACAAAAAAAAAAGAACCTCTAATTGCTTCGATATTGTGCTGATGTCGACGGAAATTGACCTGTCCGTCACTTTATTATTAACGCGATTGGGGCTCGGGATTTTAATAAATGTTTCGTGGCACCTGTCCGTCAACACTATATAAATCGCAAGAAACAATATTTTGTCACTCATTTTTCTTGTTTTTGCGGAGAATATGAGACTTCAGAATTTTCTTGCCTTCGCTGGATGCGTCCTTGGTTACGGTAAGTTATTGATAGTGCGTAATTGGACATTAAAAAATCATTTTTTTAAGAATTGGTGAAGAATAAACTCTGCGAGGCGACGAATTGTTATAAATGCGCGAAAATTATTCAATTTTCTTTTATGAAAAAAGATGATTCCTTCCAAGATATGGAGGACAAATGCCATTTGGTAAGTTTTCCATTATTTTATCATTTTTAAATGTTCGAAGCTCCACCGATTATGCTGCAGAGAAAAGAAATTTCTGAAAACAATATTGTAATAAATCAAGAATGCTGGTTTATAAAGATTGGTTGTTTTTATTCAACAGGAAAGAAGTGAGTCAGTGAAGTAAGAATTGAGCCAAGAATCGGACTCTTTTTCTCCATTTTTCTCTTCCGGCATTCCCATTTTTGTTAGAAACGGTAGACAACTCGTTAAATTTAAACTTTTTGCTTTATTTTATCGATCTCAAATGAAATTTCAGAAAAAGTCTTGCACAAAATTGGGTTCATGTTTTTGCTTGAGCAGCGAAGTGTATCTTCACATGTCTGGTGGATCATTCCAGTCTTGAAAACTATTGTCAAATTTCGAAAATATTTTTTTTCATTTTTTGCGGGCTATTATTATTGAAAAGTAATAAGCATGACATCTGCTTTTTTGAGAAGTTTCTTTCGATCTTTACCGACATTCTTTCATCATTTTTTTTCTTTGATAATTTATTATACAGGCAAGAAACAGTTTTTTTTTCTTACATAAATTTAGATGAGATGCGACTTCCAGCATCTTTCTGGCACTCATTTTCTGTAGGAGCTAGAATAGCTTCCTGAGCTGTTGGAGCTGTAGCTGTAGCTTGAGCTTGAAGAGCTACTAGAACTACTAGAACTGCTGGAGCTGCTAGAGCTTGCGCTAGAATCGGAGCAGTGGCCTTCCAAATCGTCGGCGATTCCGACTATTTGTGATGCTTGCTTCTGCCATTGGTTAAATGTTCTTCTTGGCAACTCGTGGTCATCCATACAAACAAAGTTGTCCAAAAACTGTTTGGCATTGTTGGCAAAATTTTTCAAATTCGAGCATTTCGAAAGACCTTCGTCGAAATTTTTGAAATCGAAAGATTGGTACTTCGGGGTGTAGTATTTCCATTCGCATTCGCCTTCGCTCTGAAAGTATTCTTCGGAAATTTGAATGTTGCTCCAGAATCGGGAAAGAGCTTTTGACATCCAAGGTCGACGGAATTCCATTTGATAGATGAGTTGATCGTAAAAGAGCTAAAAGGACATCTTTGAAGCCGGAATGATAAGACCGCCCTGGTTAAAGAAACACTGCGGTTGAACTTGTTTGCATTCCCTGATCGTATCTTACCTCCATATGATCATGAAATCCAGCGGCGCTTTCAAGAGGTCCGGAAGCGGCGGGCCCGGCTGGATTATCAACAGACTCCCAGGAAAGGGAGAAACCATTCTTTGTTACAGAGCCGTCGGTCTTCCACACAAGCTCGGTGGATTCAGAGAGAACGTAAAGCGATTCTTGTGGCATCTTCTTGTTGCCGAATCCTTTGTCTTCAGTGCCACAGTGTTTTCGACCGTTGATTGACAGGAAGTCGTATCTGCATTCGAATTCGGACTCGACGTCGAACTGATCGAAGTTGATTCTGATGATCTTGCCGGGCTCCGCATTAAGGGTGTATCTAGAGATATGGTTGAAAATCATCGCTTTAGCCCTTTTCTCACCTGCAAAGCTCATTGTTTCCGTATCTTTCTGGATAATTCGTGCTGCTTAGAGATCCGGAACCAGATTGAACTTGATCACATCCTGTTTCTTCGATGTTGTTGTCCTTTTCAATTCGAAGCTTGAATCCTCTCAAAACGACGGATGAATCAGTTTTGAAATTGATCGTTGCTGTATTTCCTTCAACCTAAGATGCGAATAACTTATCTAGCCAGGAGAGAAATTTCTTACTCGAAGTGGTTGGGTGAAATCTCCAATGTATCCAGAGCTCGAGGATTCATGTGTTCTGCCGCTTCCGGAAGCGCCGAGAACACCCTTAACTGGCGCTCGTCGCTTTCGTTTGCCAAAGGAAGAGCTAGAGCCGTAGCTATAGTTGGAGCTACTGTATCCGCCAGAATCGCTGCTACTGTAGCTCCCAGAGTAAGAACTACCGTAGCTACTGTAATAGTCTCCTCCGCTTGGATAATCGTAAGATGTCGACGTTGTTGATGTCTGAGTAGTTGATGTTGTTGGATAGTAGTCTGATGTGGTTGTGTCTTGAATTAAATTATTATTACAATTTTTAAATCAATAAATGAAAATACAAAAAAATTCAAAAAAATATAGAGTCAAACTCACAATCACTCGTTGAAGTAGTTGAGTAATCGGTAGTACTGTATGCCGGCGAGGAAGTATATGGCTCCAAATTGTCCCAGTCAATATCAGGCGAGCAAAATTTGAAGCTCGAGCTTCCAAAGCTTATGTTCAGTGAGTCGTAAATACATTGGTCTTGATCTTCGACTTGGAAGAACTCGGGGTAAATCGTGAAAGCAGAAACGCCGGGAATTTCGATTTCCCAAGTGCAGTCGAGGTTATTTACGTAGTGTCCCGGGTCTTCGAAACCGGGAGAGGTGATGATGCTGTCGCCGGTGATTCGGCCGCCGCAGACGGTTCGGGGAGCATCGGGGTCTTGGACGAACTTGGCGGGTTTCTTTGCGCCAGGAGCGGCGGAAGTGAGGACGAAAAGACTGGCAGAGATCTAAAAAACGTTGACTGACATACAAATTTAGGAGTAGTATTTAGCAGGTTTCGCGTCAAATTTAAATTTAAGCTCCCTATAACCTATAAGTTATATAGGCTATAACGGTGATATACAGACAGCTTCATCAAGAACAAAGATCAATCTCAAAAGTTCCCTTGTTTTTCTAGAGAAAATCTTTTGCCCCGCGAACCATAATGCTCATATTATTTTACAGGGGCAGTCCAAGATAAGGGTAGGGTCAGCGCGCGAAAAATCAGCCTCTTGAACCCTTTGAAGTGAAGGTTTGAAACTTTGGGACAATCGAGTTTTTGGACAAACGAAAAAAAATCGTATTGAAATTTTTTTGGTCTGGCCACATGATCACGTGATAAAGGCCCTCGAAAAGCTTGAAAAGCTCGTCAAGCTTGATCCCCTTATTACAGGTGATTACTTTATCGCTCAGAAGAAAGAGCTCAAAAAGTACTTCTGAATGGATGAGAAAAATTCTTGGGCCCGCGATCGTGTGAGTCCGCACGGAGAGTTTTACGTGAAAAATGACCCTTTTTGTAGCTTATTTTGACAGAAATCACCCAATGATGTCCATTTTTTACCCAAATTTCAGCCATTTCGAGGCCTTCTCTTGCTTCTACCGCCTAAACTACAATCGGGCCCAAAGATTTTTTTAACTCTCTAGGTAGTACTCCTTATGCTCTTTCTTTTGAGCTATCATGTGATCGACTACGACAAGGGGATCGAGCTCGTCAAGCTTTTCTAGGTTTTCGAGGGCCTGTATCACGTGATCACTTGACCAGACTAAAAAATTTTCTATTACAATTTTTTTGATTCGCTCAAAATCTATATTGTCCCGAAGTTTCAGCCCTTTACCTCAAGGGGTTCTGCATGCTGATTTTCCCCGCGCTGGCCCTAGATAAGGGACACCAAGATAAGGGACTTTTTGACGAAAAATGCCGACAATCTGCGCCTCAAAAAAATCTAATTTAAGGGACTTTTTCAGACGAGAAATTTTTTTTATTCAATCGACAGCAGATAAAGGAAATCAGTTGCTTGATTTTGTTTTAGATCTTTCGAAAAATGAAGTGATTTGTGATTGAGAATACGTAATCGCTTTAGAAACCGGATTCGTAGAGACAGAAACAGCATTTTCAGCTTCTTCAATAGCAAAAAACTCATCTCGAATCTCATCTTCTTGTTCTTTTTCAAAGTAGAACTCCTCCAAATCATCCTCTTCTTCCATATCTTCATCATTGTCCAAATCATTTTCAAACTCTTCTTCACTTAGAAGAGTATTTGTCCAAGCTTTCTTGAACAGCGCAGCGGACAGGCCTTCAAAAATTTTAAGAGTTTCTTTAACAAGTTGCTCTTCGGGAACTTTCGCATGATCATGCTCGACGAGAAACTTGTCCAAGAACTGTCTGATTCTTCGAGCTGTCTGAAGCGAGGCCCAATATTTTTTCTCATTGAAAGTAAGGCGAAATCTCTCTTGTTTTTTACTTGACATGATATGAGTGATAGAACGCTTATTGAAAACAACAAATTAAAATCTGCTCTAGAAGATTTTTGTGAAAAATTGCGCTGCGCCCGAAAATTTTCCTTCATGACCCAATTTAAGGGACTATTTTCGACAATTTTGGGACCAAAAAAAGTCCCTTATTTTGGACTCCGGCTGTATTTAATAATTATTAAATAATTATTTAATTATTTTAGTAAATTTATGTTTTGTAAAAGTTTACAATTGTCTGAGATATTTTATCCGATGTGTTGTTTGTAAAATCCACGTTCCCTAATGTCTGAATAGACTAATAAATTGTAATCACGATAATTAAGGAGTGGGTCGACGAGAATCGGGATTTCCGTGACCTAAAATGCGGGAAAATCTGATGAGATAGCCGGAATCTGAATTAACTGGTGAATAGAGAAGGGTTGAAAAAATTAACCGGCGAGAAGTAGAAAAAATTTTTGCCAGAGAAAATTGGTCAAAAATCCCGTCAAAGTGGGGCCATTTTCGCAAAAATGCACCAAAAATGGTAATTTTTGTTAATTTCGCCCACGAAAACTTATTTTTATCACATGATTTTAGGCTCAACAGATTCGGCAGGATCTGTAGATTCCAAAAATATGCAATTCATATGCAGACTATAGGTAGAAGTGATATTTCGATCACCCCTGAAAGAAATTTTCGTCGACCCCCCCCCTCCCAAATTCAAATTGAATTGAATGTTTTATACTTTTATGATTACTGAACTCAAATTCGACGTGGTATCTTTCCCAAGTTTTTATTAAAAAAAAGGATGTCTCTCTTACCTTCATATCGAAGATTTTCTCTCTCGTGAATAAATTCACTCAAGACGAGACCGTCGCTTTAGTACGCAGTTCGTAACCTAGGTGGTGCACTGTTGCGCGAGCACCAGACTCCACCAACTTCGAGACCGCGCAAAGCATCGCGAAATTGAATAATCGCTTCTTCTTAATCGGCTTTTTGCAAAACCTCGACACAAAAACTCGATTTTCTAAAACGTTTTTCTGCATTTTTACGTGGCCTCGTTTACTCAATGACTTTTGAATAATGAAATTTTAATATATTATCAAGTTTTAAAACTTTTTTAAATGACTTATTATGCCTTATTCAATAAAGCTTATTTTTCTTTTGATCGTTTTTTTTATAAAATAATTTACTCTTTAACTACGGACTTGAAAAACGTGAGGCGAAACTTCTAACGAGCTTTTCTAATGAATCATTAGTAATGATCTTCACGGCTCTTTCCGGGGCTCATTTCGGGGCTCAAGATCACATTCTTTATCTTGATCTTGATTTGCGACTTTTGAAAAAGATTTTTGGCAAAAAATAACGACCAAACCTAGTGCTTATTCTGATAAGATTTTAAATAAAAAAATATCTTTTTCAACAAAAAAAAATCAAGAAAACACGTCAAGATCAACTAAATTTATTTTGATCTTTGGTAAGCTGACGACAAGTTTACTCTCCGCTTGGATTAATTATGTTATCTTGCTTGGATCAGACGACTGTTTTCACATCAAACGATTTTTGGATTCCGCAAGGAACACACTTTCTACGAAACTTGCGACGCAGTGTATTATTTAAAATCCTGATTCTGAAAGAAACGAAAATTAAATTGAGACGTTCGGAAATAACATGTTTTTATAAGATTTTTTCGCAGACTTGAAGCGACATTTTTTCGCGGCTTATTTCGCGGTGTTATTTTGGTTCATCGAAATTCAAGTTGCGCAACTATTTCGTTAATAATTATTTCTTAAAAATGTGTCTTCAAAAGCATTCATACTCTTATAAAAATGAAAAGAGCAAAGTTTTTAGAACAAAATTGTGCCCTAAGAAGAAACGTCATCGCTTCCTGATTCAGGAAGTCGGAAAATTAAATGATCCCCGATTTTCCGATTGACAACGAATCCAAACCCGCGTATCGAAATCTGCAAAAAATAACTTTCGCTCTTTTTCATCTTTGTGATTTTTTCAAATTGACACATATATTGAAACTTTATTATAAAGAAACTTTCAAAGTTTGCATTCTTCGATACTCAAGGAATGTAACTGGATCTCATCTGATAAGTTCCGCAAGACGTTGTTTTACATTCCTCTTGAAGAAACAATCCGCAGGTTCTACGAAGCTGTCGATGTTTTGTAATTTATCCGCATAGGCGGCTCACAAAAAATTCTGTTATGTCAAATCTATTTTCGTTTCAAACAAACTACAAGAGCTGATAAACGGCGCCTTTTTCAACCCTTTTCTCGAACTAAAAAAATAATTTTTTTTTGCCGATAAAAAAATGATGTAAGACAAAAAAATGAGCCGAACCAAGGTGGTCGAATAATCGGTTTGAGGTTAGATTTTGCTCAACGAATTTCCGATTTTGACCTCGTGTCTACCAGCTTGCAAAACCTGAGAGAAAAAAAGATTCTGGCTTTATCTCAAACCGAAAGAAAAATAAAGTTTAGTGGCTGCACTTGACAATAAAATCTGGAGCTAAAATAAACACGTCTGCGGATAAATGATGATTCAGCAAAATTCTTAATCGAGAGTAAGACTTTGGGTCAGCAGGTGAAAGCCTTTACTCCTTGAGATACACATGGTCAAAAATATAATACGGTATTATTAATACCTCACGTTTTCTCTTGACCCCAAGGATAATGTATCTTTCCTCTCAATTCACAAGGTATAAATCGGGTAAGTACAGTAAGAAGCAACTCCGCACATATTTCCGGCGTTTCTCGCCATTCGCATGAATCCATTTTCTCCCCACCCGGTTCCCCAGGAGTTTTTCAGGATCCAATAATCTTTTCCGTCTTCAGTTCCGTAGCCGACGAGCGACATCACGTGATTGCCATGATCAGTTCGGCATTTCGGCTCGGAGTAGATTCCCGAAGTGTATAGCTGAAAAAAAAATTAAGGAAGGGAGGTCCTTAAATTTCTAGTGAAACCTGAAAAGATGGATTTCCGGCATCGACAACTACAGACATCGTTCCAAACTTCGAAAGAGCATAAGCAAGCAGTTTTTCGTCAGTTTCTGGGTTCATCATCTAGAAATATTTTTCGAATGAAAATTCTTTGCTTTGTTCTTTACCCCACAGCCCTGAATATTCGAGCAATTGCAGAAGGGATCGTATTTGCAAGTTCCCGGCTTGCAATAATTGCTCGTCGGGTAGCACTTTTCGCAATTTGCGCCCTTATTCGCAACTGCTCCGGCGAGGAGGCAGTCTGGCCCGGGATTTTCGGGGAAGGGACAATCTGCGCAGTCGACGATGTTTTGAAGTGATATGTCTTCTCGGACATTGTCTTGAATACAGATAATGCTGTCTTAGAATGGTTTTGAAAATTGCTTAAGATTTTGCACAAACCCTGACCTTTACTGATCAAAAGCCTTTCCTAAAACATCTTTGACCGCGAGCGCTGATGAAGGTCCACATGCGCTCTGATTAAAAACAGGTCCGATACAGTCCTCTTTATCCGGCCCAAAAGCTCTGTAATCGAGCGATTCAGGCACATCCCCATCGATTTCAATCTTCACCGGCGGACACCCATCAGACCTTTTAATTTCATTCTTTCGGAAAGGATTTTGATCCGCAACGGAAGTCAGTCCAAGCTCAAAATCGTAGTTTTCCGCCTTTGCGTTCATCCATAATTTCGCTTTCTGCCAGTCGCCAAATGCTTTTCTCTCGACTCGCCAGTCTGGGTAAACTTTGTGGTGCTCCTCCGCCCAGGCTTTGAAGTCATCTGGAAGGGTGTACTCGCCTTTCTCGGTCAAGGCAGAGGTAGTGGCTAAAATTGTTGAAAAAAGCTTCATAATTTTTCTATTTTTTCAATTTTTTTTTTTGTATAATTCATGGAATCGCCCCCAGATGGCTGGATTCCCAGTTTGCTACTCATTTTTGTGTAAATAACTGACTATCATCATCTGTTTATTTTTTATTTTAGAAATAATTTAATCCGCTTCAGAGCACAAAAGATCATATTCATCAAGAGAAAAATCGCTGTCAGCCTGTCAAATCGGTTAAATCATCATGTCAAATTCTTGAAAGTAATGTCAATATTGCATCTCTGATTTTTAACCGAAAACTCATCATCCTCTTCATCAGATTCACCTTCTCTGGCATATTCGTAATCAAGGCATTCAACCATATTCTGCTGCAGTTCGAGCTCAAGATATGCAGCCTCAATTTCACCATCGCCCATTTTTGGGTCGTTTTCGAACATTTCATGGCACAAAATATCGACTTGCCGTTCGTCCGCGTCTTTTTCACCAAAACCACTTCAGCAAAAAATCAAATTAAGGAAGAGATTGTCTTACCCGTCATCATCATCAGTTCCTCCGTCGTCATCGCCATCATCGTCATCGTCGTCGCCGCCCTCATCCGCTTCTTCTTCTTCCTGGGCGTTGACGATTTCGAGATCTTCATCCTGAAACTGTTTCTCTCCATCGCCACTTTCGCTTCCAGAATCGCTGCCATCATCTTCTTCTTGTTCGAAATCGATGTTTCCGAACAAATGCTCACTATTCGTCCTTTTGTCAATGAAAAAAATATGTTTTTTGATGATTCATCGAATATTAAAATTGTTTTTTTTTTCATCCCTTCCTCAGTGTGTCCTTATTTTTCGATGTTGAAACTGATTCTGTAAAATCTCTGAAATCTGATCTATTTTCTTTTCATCGTTTTCAAGAATATTTTTTCTATGAAATCTGTTGTTCATTGTCGAATTGATGAACGATGTCTTGCTGAGGTGGAGTACTGTGGATGACTTTGAACGAAATTGAAGCGATATAAACCCATATATTTGACTAAAAGGCTCAAGAACGAGAGAAATGCTGTTTTATGCCGCTTAGTGCCGCTTTGTGCCGCCTACGGTAGCCCAGTTTTTTCAAATCTGAAGGAACTCAGACTTTTTTGCGGGCAAAAGGCGGCACAAAGCGGCACATAGCGGCACAAAAGTCTCGATGCAAGTTCATCTGCTTCTATTATTTTGAGCTTCCTTTGACGGCTTCTTGATTCTCCAACTGATTCTCTTATTCCCAGGAATAAAAAACGGATCTTTGACGATGTCAATCAAAATCGTTTTCCAATTCTTTTTGTATCTCCCCGGTTTAGAACAAGAAATCAGCTGATAAGAAGGAGAAATAAACATTTTTCTTTTTCTTTTAAAAATGTTCTTTTGAAAACGCCTCTTGGTTCAAGTCTTCAAGAAGCCTCGATAAATAAATTAAACGCAAAACAATATTAACACAAGATTTGTTTAGTCGCTGACATTTTTCAAAGACAGATTTCTGTCAGCTTTCGCATCAAACAAAATACATACAAAATAATTTATTCAGAACAAGATTAAACACAAAAGGCTTCAAACATGTACTTTTCAGCAGTGGTCGTAGGCAAAATCAGAGTGGAAAACTCCGAAGAAAAATGCCCAACCTAAAATTCAGCGTTCATGAGTTTTCATGATAAGAAACTTACCATATGAGCAAGAAGAATCGACACACAAATCCATGTTTGAAAAGTCATAAAAGCCAACATCAGCGCATATGATAAAATATTCTTAAAATTTGATACATTTTTTAAAAATGAGTCTTTCAATTGAATATTCACCTGAATGAGAGATAAGATCGTGTTGATAATGTGCCATCTGTTGCAAATCTTTTGGCCGTAAGTTTTGTTCAAAAACTGTCCGGGCTTTGTCTTGTGCGTGAGTTTTTGACGAGCGGCTTTTAATCCTTCGTTGATAATGGCGATTGCGGCGACGGCAACGCAAGCTATCGCCAAGTGTTTTTCGTCCTTGATTTCCCAGCCAGAGAAGAGTAGAGTTTGGCCGAAATTGGATGTGAAGGATGAAGCCTGGAATAATTCAGTAAAAAATAGATGATAAAATTCCACAAAAGCGAGTAGTTAGATCAAGATTAAAATGGAATAGAAAATAGACCGGAAGCTAGGATGGTATAAAATCGACCCTCGCTTTTCCCACTTTTCCATTTACTTATTTTAGTAAAAACCCGTAAGAAAAAACATGTCACGACTTCAGGGAGCAATGGCAGCAAATATTGAAGTGTTCTACCAGCATGCCGGCCCAGATAAAAACTTCAAAAGAAGAGTGCCGGAAATTACTTCAAAGTAAGCGATTGAATTTAACAATTACCTAAAGTATACTTTAGCTGAGTTCAAGGGCCTTTTGGAACTCGGGCCCGATTCCGTGTTGGATGACATTTTTCGTACAATGGACATGGATGAGAGTGGTGACGTGAATTTTCAAGAGTTTGTCACATTGATAGCAGCACTTGCCTGTGCAATTAATCAAGTGTTATGCGAAAAACAGTAGCTGAAAAAAATTTTTTTCTGCTGAAAATTTGTGACTGAATCACAATTTTTTCGGCAGTTTTTCCCAAAACCAAAATTGACAACAAATAATAAAGCTTTCTGATCACTTAAACTCACGTGTCCGCTCATAGAATGAGCTCCATGATCTTCTTGATAATCTCCTCCTACTGTTTCTTCTGACTGTGGAATTTCATGATGGCCGTGGTTATGATGATCGTGGTTCATTTTTCTCTTTCTATCAGTCTTTTTCCGCGGTTATTTTCAAAAATTCAAACGTTGACAAGGGTCTAAAGGCACGTTGTTAACTTGAAGTAAGTTGGTATTCAGAAGGGATGAGACCCCGGGGCACGACGGTCTGTTGAATACCCTTACCAATCGAAAACCAGCTTTTTTTACACAAATTTCAATCAGAACTGATCTAGAATAATGCTTATTGTTCTTGAGAATTTGAGTTTTTATTATTTATACAGCACAAAGTTGAATAACAGTATGGTACAGATTTCAACAAATTTCAATTGCTTCCTCCAAATGTTAACCAAGTCGCATCATCATATTTCCTCCTCCTTCAGTTGGGCAGGTTCCAAAAATGTCCTATTCAAAATCATGATGCTCCTGGATCATAATTTAAGGCTCTACCCGTCGAAAGAGGCAGAGAGAACAAAACTCAATATTCGTTTTGAATATTCGATTTTTTGACTCAAATTTTTCATAATTTTGAAAAAAAAGCTGGCAAAGAAATTTTCGGGACGAAATCGCGACGAAAATCAGTGCGTAGCGAAATAATCTAGGCATGAAAAAAAAGCGAAGCGAAGCGAAAGAAATCGGAGCGAAACTGGCAAAAGCATTTTTGGAGCCCTACTCTGCTGTCGGCTTCTCTTCCCCGGGACGGTCTTTTCGAACGAAATCGGGGGCGATTTGGCGGACGGAAATCCACTGGCGGGAAATTGGATCGCGGAAAAACTTGACTTCTTTTGGGCAGGTGTCTGGGATTTCACAGGCGCTGGGCTTAAGATTCAATTAGACAGGGAAAGACCGTTTGTTCCTGCAAACCTTTGGTAAGTAAATTCCTAGTGGTTCGAACCAACCATCATGTCCAGTCGGTCGATTCGCTCGAAGAGCTGCCAACTTTTCTTTCTTCAGTTTTTCCATGAGTTTTCTTTTGTCAACTTGAGCTTGCATCGCATTTGCCTTATTGGACATAGAATAATGATAAGTTTATTTTGTTCGAAACCTGGGCAGAGTAATCGAAACCATCATCTTCTTGTTTTGCGAAAGGATCGGGTTTTTCTGAACGAAGACTTCCTCCTGCTTTGTAAACCTGAAAGAAAATTAAGGGGGTGGAAATCAATGAAGCGATTTCGAAGATTCGAAGAAAAAAAATTAAGATAGTGACACCCTTATTTGAAATTACAGTGGCGTTTGCGGTTGCCTCCCTGTTGGAGCGTCCCTCGTTGCCTCCCTATCCAGACGCTCTTCTTCTATAACTTATAGACTATAAGGGCGCATTAAATCGAACCAGAAATCGTCCCGCGTTGCCTCCCTCTCTAGAAGCGTTTGGATAGGGAGGCAACCGCAAATGCCACTGTACTGAATAAAAGAAAACAAAATTTCTCCCACAATAACCATCTAGTTGGAACACTTCCAGCAATTACTTTTCAACGAAATTGACAATTTTAGCGCTCATCCGTCAGCTGTCAAGTGGTCAGTTCTCACTATCTCCCACGTTATCATCAAAAACCCCCGCCCAATCATCACCCACCTCCATCACTCTTGAGAATTTCTTTTCTCAAAAAACTGGTGACAGCTCTGGAAAAATGCTTTAACGAAGTGTGAGACCAGCATTAGGGCGAATCCTCTTGGTTACAAATCATTTAAACTCAGCAGAATGCATCAGACAAGCTCTGATAGCATGATCATTACACTGTAATCTGTTTTGTCTAATCGTCCGATACAATGCTTCGCTTTCAGGTGCTTCGATTTCGAAAGACTTACTAACCTTTTCTTGGCTAGCTTCAGTTGAATTTGTGGAAATTGGCTGAATCGTCGCTTCTTCTACTGGCGATGATGATCGGACAGTCTTTCATGATTTCAAAAGGAAAAAATTTCAATAATGATCTGAAGAATTTTCGAAAATTTCCTGTTTTTGTGGAAGAGAATAGCTCTGATCGGAAGTCGTTGAAGAAACAGCTGGGGCAGTAGTTGCTGCTGGAGCTGCTGGTGTTTCTTTCGGGGCTGTATTCGTGGTAGAAGCGGGACTTTGACTAGCGGCTTGTGGCGCCGCGGAACTGACTTTCGCTTCGACTTTTGGTGCAACTTTTTCGAAATTAAACATGACCGGAAAATCTTATTTCTAACCTGCTGCGGTTCTCATAACAAGAGGTTTTCCACCAGGACCGAGGAGCTCTCCATTTGGTCCACGAAGAGGTTGACCATCAAGACCAATAAGTTCGCCATTTGGTCCAAGAAGCGGTCGTCCGTCAGCACCAATAAGTTCTCCGTTGGGTCCAAGAAGCGGTCGTCCGTCAGCACCAAGAAGCTCCCCAAATCTTCCACGAAGAGACTTACCATCGGGGCCAAGGAGTTGCGAAAATTCACCAATACGGGAGGCACCAGCGGCATCAAGAATTTGACCAAATTTGCCAAGAATAGCATTTCCGTCCTGGCCAAGAATATGCTGGAATTGACCCAAAAGGGCGACTCCTCCTAAAAAATGGTCGTTCAAAAATGACCAAAACTGATATTTTGCCAGTTCTGATGGCCTACCTGGCGCAAGAATCTCTCCATTCGGTCCCAAAAGACTCACTCCTCCCGGACCAAGCAACTGTCCAAATTTCCCCAAAAGCGGCTTTCCATCGGGACCAAGGAGTTCTCCAATCGGTCCAAGCAGCGCACATCCATTTTCTCCCAAAATTTCACCACTTGGTCCCAAAATCGCATTACCATCTGCGCCAAGAATTTCTCCAAATTTGCCCAAAAGCGCTCGTCCATCTGGTGGCGCAAGAAGATGACCAAATTTTCCAAGAAGAGATTTTCCATCTGGACCCAGTAATTCGCCAAATTTGCCGAGAAGAGGTTTTCCATCAGGGCCGAGGATTTCTCCATTTGGTCCAAGAAGCGGTTTTCCATCCGCGCCTTTATTAATTGCATATTTTGTCCATATATCTTAATTACCTAAAAGCTCGCCATTTGGCCCAAGAATCGGCTTTCCATCAGGACCAAGAAGCTCTCCATTCGCCCCCAATTTTGGTCCTTCTTCAAGTAACTTTTTAACCTCTTCACTTGGTTCAGGAACGACAACTGAAATAATCGCGGTTTGGAAGAGAATATTTCAAGAGACAAAAACAATCAAGAAATATTCTAGCGCTATAAAAGAGAGAGGTTGATATGAAGATCCACGCTTGATCTTCATAAGGGCTCCTTAGTGAGTAAGGGACGAACCTGGTGGAATTTCCACTTTGATTTCAACTGGCTTGTTTTCGACAGGAGCGGGTTTGACTGGCTCAGGTTCTGCAGGTGGCGGTGGTGGTGGCAATTCAACCTAAGCGAAGAGGGAGTTTTGAGAATTTTTTATTTATCATTTCTATTCCTAACATATTCGAAACATCTTATTTCTTTTGAAATAAGAAGCATAAAGCATGATGTATTTGGGCTTTATAAATTGACGAATAAAACCTTTGGAGGAATGGGAATTTCTACCGGCGCGACCACTTCTTGCACTGTTGACTCCGATACAGCTACAGGCGCATTTGATAACTCGTGCTGATAAGAGTTATCGTAGTTATTCCAGATCATTTTCAATGTGCATGAAAATGAGAAGCCAAAATGACATTGAATGTTACCTGTGGTACTTCCACTTGTTCTTCTGTCTAAAATAAGGATGAATTAAATACAAGTATAAAAGAAACGTATTAGAAAAAGGACTGCTGATTACGAGGATTGACATCAGAGCGATAAATCGCTACTTGTGACGGGGAAAGACATAAATTCACAGGCCATATTTCCAAAGTCACATAATAAACCCATCATTTCAACCCTCAAAAGCTCTCAAAATTGTACCAAAGGTTAATTGCGTTGAGGTTGCTTTGGAAGACAGTTTTTGTAGTGGATAAAACACTGATCTTAGCGCATCAACTTCTTGACCGGGTCAAGACGAAAATAAAATAACTGCTCAATTTTAACTCCCACTCATCATTCTCAACCAAAAATTACCTGTTCAATGATTCCAAACAACTTTGCTCTTTCTTCCTCCGTTAGGTTTCCGGCCTTTTCGAAATATGTGTAGATACCCTTGATGAAATTTCGAGCCTCTTCATAGCTCAGCTCTCCAGAATTATCAGCGTCGTATTCTTTAAAAACTCGACCGACGTATTCGTTGACTTCTTGTTTTTTTTCGGCGCCGAAAATTTCACGAGCGAGGTCTTAAAATATTATTTTGCATGTTATCTTAATTTTGACTATAATTTTAAGTATTCTTAAAAAATTAACAATGAGATACCCTTATTTCATCAGAGATTTTATCAAAATTTATAAAATAGATACCCTTATTTCATAAGAATTTTTTTTTAATTTAACAACGAGGGGATCGCATTGAAACCCTTTACGAAGACCCTCATCCTCACTAATATATTTAAACCTTACCTTCAATCTCATTCAGCTCTAGATATCCAGATCCATCCTTGTCGATTTTGGCAAAATACGAAAAAATTCCAAATAAACCCATTTTTGATTAATCTCTCCGTTTTTTTTTCGAAATAAAAGAATGTACGTGTAGAAGGTCAGAAAGGATCGCTAAGAGGAGATTATGCGGCGTGTTGGGCACGCAGCGCTGTTCTAACTGCTCAGAACATTTTCTTCGGGGACAGGGTGTTAATTGCAACCTATCAGTAATGATCTTGTGCTCATCGACGGTTAACACTTATATCTGTAGATTCTTCAGAAAAGGCCCTTCAAACTCAGGGAACCTTTTGAACCCCGAAGGATTTTTGTTAAGACCTTCCATTCAAGACAATAAGAGTTCGAATTAAATATTTATTTGAAAAGAAAATCGGATTTATCAAAAAAGGATGAAAATTTCTTGTATTAAATCTAACATTCTTGTTGAAAACTTGAGTTTGGAATACCAATCATCAAAGCAGTAAATACTCAACTCCTGAAACGCAGAATAATTTACCTTCTGACGAAAGAAAGACTTCACGCGGGGGAAGCGAAATGTCATTTCTGAAACGTCGATGAAAACATGAATGATGGATTGCGTGAAAATCGTTTTTGAGGAGGGCCAAGTTCAACAACAAAGTTCATGAACGATCAAATCTATTTTTCCCTCGAAACAAGTTTTCAATAAGTTTATTGACAATATAAAACAAATGAATCAAATCGATGCTTATTCATCAGCAGTGATGGCCTTCTTGACAACTTCAAAGATTTCGGCTCGGATTTCATCAGCAGAGAGATCATTAGGAGCAGTTTCGTTCATGTAAATCTCACAAGCTTCATAAGCGAGTCGCTCGCCAGCGATGTTTCCGAGGATTCGGTTCTGCACCTGGTTTGGCGAGTGCTTGTTCTTGACGGCGAAGATTGAGACCTTCTTGGTGGCCTCTTTTTCCGCAGCATCGAGGGCGCGCTTGGCATCGTCGTTTTCTTGCCAGGCGGCGGCGAAGCTGGTTTCGCCGTCGAATCTGTCGTAGTAGAAACCTAATATGATGGGATCAAGGAAGAAGATGGTTATTGTGTACCTTGCTTGGACTTTCTCTGCTGGTCGTAGTAAAATCCCTGTCGGTAAGGCGAAAATCCACCAAATCGCGGCTGGAACTGAGGAGCCTGCTCTTCAACAGGAACGGCGTAGTAGAAGCCTTGCTAAAAATATCTCTTAGGAGAGTAAAAGGGGGAAGAGCTCATACGTTATTGTCGTAGTAAAAACCCATCGTGTTTGTCAATTTTTCTCTCAAATGAGAAGAGAAGAGGAAATTAATCTAGGCTTGGAGTGATTTTTAGACCGGAAGTTTTGAGCTTGTCTAATTTTTTTATTGGTAAATTAGGTTATCCCTATCTTTGATTCTGACGATTTTGAGGGAGAATATCATGTGCATGTTGTCGTTAACGATTCATTTGGAGAATAAATGATGATTTCTAACGAAAAACTAACAAACAATGCTGTTTTTTCAGGTAGAAATGACAGCCGAAACTATTTGACTATTCACGAAATAGTGACTTATCAATGGGAAAAGATACAGTAAGAGCAAACGAGAATAACGAATTCCCGTCGTCGTGTATTATCCACTTGATCAAGCGAACCTAATCCCCTTTTTCTTGCATATAAATGCCGCCCTAATATGCTTTTCTGTCAATATCAATATCCAAAAAAGGGACCGAAACACGGATGAACCTTCTTCTTTTTCTCGTTTCCGCGATTTCTGCGAGAACAAGGTCGAATTATGCCGATTTCAGTGATATTCGAATCCCTGATGCTGGTAAGAATCAATTTTTTTTGATAAAAAATTATGGTTTTTTTAAAGTGAGAAGATCGTTTTCGCCCTATTCGATGCTCATGAACAGTAATTATTTCAAGAAACGAAGTGTCAACGAAAATGGTAACGCTCTTATAAAAGACGTTTCTTTTTATACTTTTCAGATTATTCTCAGCTTCTCGAAGATTGGGCCGATCTGCAATAAATGTTCTTGACGATAACAACTTCTGAGTCCTGATTTTATTGAATAAAGTGTTGTTACTCTGAAGAAATTTTTGAAGAATCAATATTGTCTATTTTTTCTGATCGCAATTTGCAAGGCATTCGGCAGCCGTAACCTAAAAATATGAACATAAAACTTTCTTGAAAGTATCATTGCTTGACATACCGCTAAGTCTATGAGACATTTGAAGAAAATATCTTCATCCTGGTCTCCATCCCCAAATCCATCTTCACAGTCAGCAGCGCCCGTGTACTCCATCCCTGGAGCAATGCAATTTTCCCAACACCTATCTTCTACTGGCAAAGTAATTCCTTCTTGAGTACATTTGTGAAAGTATTCTTTGAAAAGATGATACTCTTCCGAATCGTTGTCCCACGAATCGGAGCAGGATCGATTTCCTCTGATGATGGCGCCAATGCAGTGATAGTTGCAAATTGGTAAATTTGAAATCTCGAGTGCAGGGTATTCAGAAAATATCGATAAAATAAGGAAGCGCATGATTTTCTGCCTGTATTTTATGATTTTCTGTTAAATTAAAATAGAAAATACACATGTTTTTTCTCATAGTCCAAAAGTCGTAGAATTATGTTACATAATTAATGTTACATAATTTGTTTTCCTGTATTTTTCTGTCAGTAAAGTTGAAAAGAAAAAAAATTAAAAGCGTTTCTAGAACACAGAAATTCCAAAATGATTTTGCTTTCGAAAAAAATTAGTAAGAAAAAATGGAGGTTGTAGTGCCTGCTGATGCCGGCGTAAACGAAGAAGCCGAGATTCCTGCTCCTTCTGGCACAGGTATTATTGATTTTGTTCACAAGTTTAACAAGTCAATACAATCATAGGATACTATCAGGGGCAGCCCGGGTATGCAGCCCCTCCTGGGTATTCTGAAGGTCTTCCAGGATATTCAACGGCTCCCGAACAGGCTTGGGGCCAAGACCAATGGCAGACTCAAGCTCCAGTTCCCCAACCCGTATTTGGCCATGATCCTGTCTACTGCAATTGTCCATTTTGCGGCCATGTGGTAATAATATAACCGTTTTTTTTTCGAAAATACTCATTTTTCTAAGGGAATGTCGATGATCGATAAAACAGTCGGATCAATGACTTGGATTGCTTGCTGTCTCATTTTCCTTTTGATGGGTCCATGCTGCTGCATTGCCTTCATGATTCCAAATTTCAAGGTTAACCCATGTTATGTAAATGATTGTTTAAAATATATTCTAGGATACCACACATTACTGTGTCGCTTGCAAACAGCAAATTGCTTTCAAGGCCGCCTAATTATGAGACTGTCTTCTTACTGAAATATTTTTGATTTCCTGTTCGTATTATTTTCGGATCAGCAGTAGGTATTTTATATTTTCTCAATAAAAATATTGATAAAGAATAATTGAAGACAGTGTTTGTTGAAATCATTGCGTCGAATTGCGCTGAGAAGATTTATTTTTGATAAAAGATTGTCAGCTTCTAGAACAAATGATGTCTTTATAATATTTTCTCTCAAAAAATTAGATCATAAAAATGGGTAAAGTGGCGCCTGCCGATTCTGGCGAAATAGAAGAGGCCGAAATTCCTGTCCCTTCTGGCACAGGTATTCAAACTTCACATAAATCATTTGGCAATCGTTTATTCAAAAAGGATATGGACAGGAACTGCCTGCTTATGCAATGCCTCCTGGTTATTCTGAACCTCCTCCGGCGTATTCTCCAGCTCCCCAGGAGAATCCATATCTTCATTCTCAAGCAGCACCATCGCCAATCATGCCACCTCCAGCTCCCCCATCACCGTTGCCTCCACAACCTGCGCCATCACCAACTCCGCAGCCTGTGATCATCAATGTCCAGCAAAATGCTCAACCAACACAGGCTGCTCCGGCTCGATCTCCGATTCCCGAAAAACAACCTGAATTTGGCCACGATAGTGTTTTCTGCAAATGTCCAGTTTGCGGTTACCAGGTAAAAAGAAACTTCGCAAGTGTTTATTATCTTTTTCAAAGGGAATGTCGTCGATCGAGAAATCCATTGGAGGATACACTTTTCTGATCTTCATAATCCTTCTTGTTTTTGTCTGGCCGATCTCCTGGATTGCGTTTTGCATCCCATCGCTCAAGGTTAAAATATATTCAAATGTACTTTTCTTAAGAAATTTTAGGATACAACTCATTATTGCGCCGCTTGCAATCAACAACTCGGTTTTAGATACGCCAGTGGAGCAACGAAATAGGGTTTTGCTTAGTTTTTATTGATCAATAAAGTTTATTTTTTTATTTTTCAGCAGTAAGGATGTGGTATTTTCTCGACAAAACGAGAAATCGCTTTGACTTGTCTTGTTGTTTTCGTATCTTTGCAGGCGTAGTTGTTAATCCAGTGCTTGTAGCCTTCCTTCATAGTTATTGATTGAGTGCACTGGTCATCTGATACAACAGTTTGAGCGTTCCAAATGGCAAAGTCATTCTGCAAGTAAAGCTGTTTACCGTAGGGAGCGCTGCAGTTTTCATCAAAAGTTGAGATAGCGTTTCGTTGGAGTTTTCTGCTTCTGACTGTAAATTTATGAGCTCGACGATGTGTGGAGAGAATATTTGATGTTATATTGATCCATTGTTGGAGTGAGAGAAGAGCTTGATCGTGGGAGAGTGGCGGGAGAGTTGTTGTCGATGTTGTTGAAGTTGATGTTGTCGTTGTTGTCGTCGTTGTTGAGTCGTATGCCGTCGTAGTTGTTGTCGTAGTGGTAGTCGAGGTTGGAGTAGTTTCATCGTATTCTGTCGTCGATGTTGTTGTCGTTGTTGTCGTAGTTGTAGTTGTTGACGATGTTGTGTCATCATACTCTGTCGTCGTCGTTGTAGTTGTTGTTGATGTTGTTGTAGTCGTTGTGTCATCGTACTCTGTTGTTGTAGTAGTAGTAGTCGAGGTCGTTGTTCGGGTGGTACTCGTTGTTGTTGAAGAAGTTGTTCCTTCAGCGGTCGATGTTGTTGAGAAGTCAGTTGTCGTGGAGAAGTCTGTCCCAGCACTTGATTTGCACCCGACAGGCCAAGAACTCGACCATACCAAGGAGTTCCGCCGGCAAATGACTATCAATGGATGATTTATTGGTTGCATTATGGTCCCCGGAAGACATGAAAAAACACAGATCGACATTTCGTTGTTTCCATCTGAGCATCTCACACTAGAAATATTTTTAGTATCGTATTTTTGCCCTTTTGGTACCTAAGATTCTCTATGTCAGGGATTGGCTCGCATTGTTGAGCATTAGCAGCTGAGAAAAATGATATGAGAAACGTTAGAATTTTCATTCTGAGCCAAGCAATTTTATCTCAATTTTTGACTCGAGAATAAAGTAACTTTCACAAGCTACAGTTCTTTTTCAACGGTATCGTGGCGCTGTTGAGCTTTGCATGAGAAACGCAAAAGCTTGTCAGGATAATCCTGGCGTCGGTTCACGATGTCAGAAATTGACGAAAACAAGCTCCACCCGAAAATTTCTCTTAGACAGTTAAAAGTAGGGTTCCGCAGGATCGGAGGACCCAAATTTCAAAAACTTGATTGGTTGAATTTCTGTGTTGTTCAGATGGAAGAATCTTCAGTCTAGAAAAAGTCCCTTGCGCAGTTGACCAATCAGAGCGCATAAGCTTATTAAACTTGGTATTTTTAAATAGCCTTAAAATGACAGAAGAAATGGCTTTTAGGAAAAACTAGGATCGGGAATGAATTCTACTAGTCATTTTTAGTAGAATCTAAAAATTTTGGTAAATTTAAAGTCTCTGTCCCAATCGTGCGGAACCCTAACCCTAACCCTAACCCTAACTATTAGTTAAAAGGGAGATTACGAGAACTACCGTAGAGTCTCAAAGCCATAAAAAAATTTGAAGATTTAAAGCCAAATTTAATGAAAAGATGATATTAATTCAAGAGTAAATATTTTTGAATTATAAATTGAATAATAAATATCTTTAATTATTAATAATAATATAACAAAATTCCTGAAAAATAAGACCAACAGAGAAAAAATCATTGAAAAAAGCATCAAATTTCAATGATGGGACCACTTATCTTCAGTACAACAAATTCTTGTGGACCACACCAGGTGCAAATGAAAAACCGAAGACAACATTTTTACACCCGAAACGTGGCTTCACATGCTTCACATGCTTCAGATTGTGGCTTGTTTTTGCTATCCTCGGTGTTTTCATTTTCGAAGTAAGAATAATATGAATTTATTGAACGGTAGGGGGAAACAGATAAACAAGTAAGGTCAGTACATCATCGCAGAGTTGTAGCTTGAAGAAGTCGCAGAGGTGGAGTTCGAGCTCTGCCCGAATATGATTTCGCCAATTGACAATCGACTAAGGATTGTCGTTCATATTTTCGAAATTCTTTTGAAAATACCTGGACGAGCTGTTGTTTGATCGATTGAGATTGGTCGCCTTTGGGCTTGAAAGATCTCCAGTGCTCATTGAAAGCGAAGGCTCGCTCGCTGCTGGCTTGAAAATCTCCTCGGAGTCCGAGTAGCAGATCAAATCGCTTCGTGGACGCTCGACGGTGTTCGATGATTTTGATCGTCCGAAGCGATTTTCTTCGTCGGGGCTCATCCTTGATTTGAGGTTAAAAAGTCGAATTGAAAATTTGAGCAACCTGTAGGTAAAGACGCCACTTTTGAGTTGCAAAAAGCGATCAGAAGAAGGTGGTGCACTTCCTGAGCATTTTTTGCGGTTTCTAGAAACAATCGTCGAATCTGAATATTTCGACCGTCGACTGAGGGATGATCCGGAACTCAAAGTTGAGGCTGAGGAGCGAGAAGTGCATCTGAAGGGAAATAGCTGAGTGCTTTGAAAAAAATTTTTACCTCAATCGACGCTCAATCGATCCAGTGAGAGACTGAGTATTACGCGGGTCCTGACGAAAATCGAGAATCGAGCTCGATGGCGAAAATGTTGAGTTGAGACTTTCCATGTCATCACCTCGCTCGGACTCGGGCGCTTCTGTTGTAAAGGGATCTTTTGGTGGTTCTTGCGATTCTTCTGGAACGCTTGGGAGCTCCTAAAAATGATATTCTTTTCTGGAGAATGAAATGATTTTACCTGTGTATTTTCAGAAGCAAACATCGCTGGCGAAGAAATCTGCTCATTCGTATCCCCTCTTGAGCTGGATTCTAGCGAGATCGATTTTGACATGTCAAAATAGGGATTCTGAAAGCCGAATTCTCGCATCGTTACGTTCGCATCCGCTGCTTCGCCGCCGACAGTCATGTATTCACTGACAACTTTTCCCGGAACAACTGTCTCTTCAGTTGTGCTGATAAAAGTGGAAAAGGTCGGCTCGGCTGGTGGTTCTTCATGGGGTGATTTTCTAGAAACGCCAATGTTCTCAGAATCATTCTCTTCTTCGTCTTCGTCTTCTTCGTCGAATATCTCCAGAGAAGAGCGCTTGACAGGTTTCGCCTCGACGGGTGCCATCAGATCATGGATACCCGTGTCTCTTCGCTGCAAGCCTTCAGGATTGCTCTCTCCTGTTGATCCTCTTCTCGGGATCGGATCAAATTCATCGGCAATTTCAGCGCTACTCAATTGTTGCTTGAATTTTTCTCGAAGAGTTTGGCAGGAAAGCCTTTCAGAATGAACGACATCATCTAAGCAACTTGCGACAAGATCAGTTGCTATGTTGTCAAGCATTCTCGCGAGCATGTTAATCTCTTCTTCTCCGTAATGATCGAACTCGTGATGAGGAGAAAGATCTTCCTGTTTTTCTGAATGTTCATCTTCGTTCGACTCAATGTCCGAAATTTTCTCCACAGCAGTCTCGTTGGAAACAGAAGTCTCAATATCCGAATCAGGGCTGAAATCCCGCTGCATATCCTCTAGAAATTTGTCAAATTGAGTCTCTCCAGGGGGCGCTTCGCACGGTTCATCGACAGAAAATGCGACGGAGTTGAGCTGTGCTTCCATTTTTTCAACCAAAAGATCGGCCACGGATTGTTTTCGCTCAATCGGATCGTAGTCGTATCTTTTCTTGTCCACTTCCGGTTCTTCTTGAGGAATCAGTTCAGGAGATAAGGTTCGGCTGCAGCCGTCAGTGGGTGTTGGCGGCTGAACTTGCACCAGGTCGAAATCATCACTGGCTGGGTAATTGCTCTCTACTTCGCTTTCTGGAAAACCTCCGTCTTTCAAATTAATGATCGACGGAGAAGAGCCGGTTGAAGTCGTTTCGTCGATAGTTCCGTCGTCAACGTTTTCATTCTCTCGCTCGATAACTGTATCGAAAGAAGCGATAGAGCTGGCGATTTCGAAGTCCATCGTTTGATCTTGATGCTGAGATGTTGATCCTTGAGCTCCTGATCCTGTAATAAGCTCTTCTGCTTCGTCATCTTCATCAAGCGTCGTTGAGAACCAATTGAACCCAGCACGAGGCTGAATTGGTAGCTGTTCGGTCGAACCCTGTTGTTCTGGAGTCTCGATTGGACCGTCGTCCAAATCCATCGTCGATGATCTTGAACCAAATGGGAATGGCGTGGTACGCTTTTGGATTCTATTAAAAAGCGGAGATGTTCCGATCGATTCTTGAGCTGAATCATCGTCGCTAGATCTCCAATCCCGGGACTCTTCCCTTGTCCAAGCCATTGCTCGATTCTTGTGATTCTCGCCGGAAAGGCGAGAGGCAGGGGGCGTTGGTGATTGAGGGCGGAAATAAGGAGAATTGTTTCCACCAAGAAGCGATTGAGATTCAACATCTGACAATGCTGAGTCTGCAGAGCCGGTGTAAGAAGGTTGATGCTGCAGGGAACCTTGATGAACAAACATCTTGATTGGCGATTGAGTCATTGATGATTCTTCTGTGTTGTTGAAGTACTCGGCGATTTCGACGGATTCTTGACCGTATGAAACTGTTCTATTGGTCGAGGCTTGCTCGATATTTTGCATCAAACCAAGGTTGTTCGAGCTTGAGCTTCTTAGCGAACATTCCGAGTGCTCACTCTCTTCAGCGATCGAATCCAATCGGAGCATGCCGTGGCTCTCGCCAGCGATCGAGCTGCAGTTTGATCCAAGAGAAGTGTAGACAAAATCCGATGGATCAGGCAATTCGTTTAGCAAGGTGGCTGGGCTTTCTCGATCGTCAGAGTCTGAAGACGCCATTGAGTTACGATCAGAGTAGAGGTCGATGAGCGATGAATTGATCGCTTTCGAGACGAGTTTTTCAGCGGTTTCCTGCAAGATTCGCTCTGCTTTAGAGATTTCTTGGTAGAGTTCCTTTTTGCAAAGAAAATCGCATCTTCTGTAAGTGCTACTGCTTCCGATTCGATCAGACTCTCCAAATCGTCATCGTCCATTTCCGGCACATCGTCCAAGTCCACACTGTTCGCTACTTTGTAGCTGTAGATCTTACAGCTTCCGAAGGACACTTTTCGAAAATCATCGCTCTCATCCTCTTCATCTACTGATGCGAAATTAGCTGAATGACGGTCTGGGCAAGTTCGGCTGTTACGTAATCGAAATTGCTCGCAAGAATCGCGCTTGAGAAGATACTTGCAGGGGCCTTTTTCGATCGGCTCGTCGAGCTCAGGAGCGCCCTCAGAGTCGCTTGAGCTAGCGATTTCGTAGCGAGCTTCGATGGTCGTATCTTCTGAAATTTCTCGATGAAGATGACACTTTTCTTCACGCTGAGTTTCTTGCGGGGAGTCGGATTCTTCCTTTGATTCTAGAATCGCTGAGCCGATGGCGTCCAGGACGAGCTTGTTGACGCATTCTTTGAGCTGGACTTGTCGGACAAAATCGTATTCGCGCTTGATTTCAGTGATGGAACTCATGATCGCGTTATTGACTAAGGCTTCGACCAAGTTATGCTCAGCTACAGCAGTTTCTGTCAACGATGTTGCTTGATCAAAAGACCCGTAGCTTTTCATGTCAAGAGGGAGGGTTCTTGTCACGATGGATTCTTCGTCAGATTCATAAGACGTGTTATTTTCACAGACGGAATCGCACTCGTTTTCCTCGCTCTGATTGCGCCAAATGACTGTATCAACGGATTGGCCCTTGTCGTTCAGCCAATTTTGTACCATTTCGCTTCGATCGATTTTCGCATCGTTTTCCTCCTTGATTTCTTTCACGACTGAAAGAGTTCATAGAAAAAATCACGCATAAACTCACCAGAAGGAATGATGTCATCAAGTAGATTCATTGCAGCTTTTTCGACGGAGTCAATTTGTGAGATTTCCGTCTGGAGCTCTTCAATCGAATCCTGGATAATCTTCAGCGATAGATCCAGTGCTACTGTATTGAGTTCTTGCTCAAAAACATCGTCCATTGATGAAGATGAGCTTACTGTCATTTTCTTGTTCTGTCTCAAAAAATAATTGCAATAGGAATTTTTAACTGGCGTAAGGAAGAACTTTCTTCAGTTTTCGGTAATTTTCGAGACATTCCTGAACATCATGATCAAAAGTTGAGCATCGATTCGGCTCTGGGGGACAGGATCTCCAAAAAGCGCGGAGAACGAAGCACGCGTTTGCTGCTCTATGAAGTTCGAGTCTGTCAGACACGGAATCGGATCGCTCGAGTGACGGGCTCGGGTGCTTTGCGCGGACTTGAGAATCTGATCCTCGATTGAGCCGATATCTGGATCGCGAATATCAGAAACGGCGGTGTTGTACGACTCAGAAGTATTTTTGCTGCTGTTTTCTCCTGTCACTAAAAAAATTTTATCCCTAAATCATAATCCCCGGTTTTAACCTGTATCAACTTCATCTGATTCTTCCCCATCATTCCTCTCCAAAATCTTTTGAGTATGATCCCAAGCTTCACCCAGCCGTGTTTCAGCCGAGGCGATGATATTTTCCGCTTCGTCAAAGGCTGTTTCAGTCATTTTCATCATTTCAGGGATGGTTTCTGCTGCCTTGAATTCGGCGATTTCTTCATCCTCGCCCTCAATCGGCATGTCGGAGTTCATGGCGAAGGGGTTGACTTCTTCAAGGTCGGTATTTCGATTTTCCTGAATGTAATGTTTTGGATGTTTAGTAAAAGAATGGAATTTATTACGAAGAACTACAATCGAGTTAATAATTATCTTCATTGAAATTTATTTAAAAAACTTTCAATTTCAAAATTAAATTTAAATTAAGACTTATGGTTTCTTACTTATTCAAAAGGTTGTTAAAGCCTTTTAAGGATATAGCCTATGAAATTGAACTTTCATAGCGTCTAAATGCCACGTCAGATCATTATATTTCAAAAGCAATCCTATCTAAAGATGTACGTAGAACTCGATTCTGGTACTTTTTTAAAAATTTTCATTTGATTTTTTCTCTTTAGATCGTTTCGAAATCTTACGATCGCGATTTCTCGAAATTTTTACATTAAATCGCTAAAACTAAACCAATGACTGCATTAGCAAAATACTAAACTAGAATATTGTGGCTGAAAATTTCTCAAACTCGGGCAAATTATCATTCTAGTGTTTTCCTCTTTCATGCTCCTATTTTTCTTCCTTGCTCGTTTTTTTAGGTCTAACCAATCAGAGCGCTCTTTAAAACGCGCACTCTCTCTCGGGAAAGAGGAGTCGAGAGATTGAGCACACAGCGCGGCGCTTTTTACACTATTCACGCGCCGAGGAAGCCTCACGGAAATAGCTCTTAAATCGGTTTTTGTCGGGATAAGAGAAAACCGAACCCACAATATTGTAGATAAGGGTCTAGATTAGTTTTTTATCAAAAAAACTCGACCGATTTAATGTAAATATTTCGAGAAATCGCGATCGTAAGATTTCAAAACGCTCTAAAGAGAAAAATTCAAATGAAAAATTTTAAAAAAGTACCAGAATCGAGTTCTGCGTACATTTTTAGATAGGACTGCTTTTGAAATATAATGATCCGACGTTGCATTTAGGCGCTATGAAAACTCAATTTCATAGGCTATATCCTTAAAATGAACAAAAAATAAAATCTCTCACCTTGGTTTGGGATTTTTTCTCGTCGGCCTCGTCGTCTGAACTAAAACGCCACTCTCCCGTCTCGATCGATGCAATTCTGTCTTTGATCGACATCCTTAATTTACTTTATTCAACATTACCGCTCGGATTTCGTGACGCAAATCGAGCCGAAAATTGTCACCAATATGCCACACATATGCACTTATCCACGGGTTCATACCTCTTTTTCTGCGATTGGCTGTTCTCGCGGATGATGCTTTCGAATGTTTCGTTGAAAATTTCATTCGCGGTCTTTGCGATCAGCCGCTCTTGTTCTTTTTCTTTCAGTTCTTGCTCGACGCGGGCTTGGAAGATACCGGCGAGTTTGGTCATTTCCGGATTTTGGGAAAAAGATGGCGCGCCCTCAGGCGAGCGTCGCTCGTTAAACTTTGATCGAAGCTTTTCCATTTCTTCAAGCACGCCATGTTCATCTTCGTTGCAGATTGTCCCGAAAACGGAGTCCATCAATTCTAGAGCGGATTAGTCCCTAATCGCTCAAGAAATTGAAATCATACCTGTATTTTCATCAATTTTCATCGGCGTGCCCACAGGTGTGCTTACTTTGTAGCCACTCAAATGCATTTCTGATTGGCTACAAGTCATACCACTGGTCGATCCTGATCTGCCCTCAAGCAACTGCCTGACTTCGGCAAGTTTTGACTTGACCTCTTGAATGTCGCGAAAAAGATCATCTGGTGTGATTGGAGGCTCTTCTTCGTCGCCCCCGCAGGATCGTCCACGGTCGGTTTCTTGATGCTCGTCATCCGAAACCTCAACTGAAAAAAACTTTATCAAAATTTAACCAAAGAGCTTTCGTGGAAGAAATCAACATGGATTCAATTGAATAATATTCATTTGAAATATTGACAACAACGAGGAGACAAATTTGTACAAGACAATAAAGTTACAGTTCCGTTAAAATATCAATACTGTCCATACTTGTATCAGGTGGCACTAGATAAGTGTACGTATTGGAGCTATGAACTGACACTGTATCAAGCTGGCATTCTTCTGGCGACTCTTCGCGGTTGTTTCGTACTTCGCAGTTGAGCCCGCAAATAGGCTCTTTTCCGCCGCCACGTGGTTCAGGGTAGAAACAAACGCGGAAGTCTAAATTGTCGCCAGTTGTTATAGAAGGCTTGAATCGGAGATTGAGCTGGGTCTCTTCAAATGGATGGAAGGTAAACCATGCTTGTCCCTTTTGAGCATCGTCGGAGTGTGGAGAAATGTCGCCAATGACGTCGATCCAAATGCTCGCATCTTGATGAACTTCGATTGGTTTGCTTCTGGCGAGTTCTACAAGGCGAGGATCAGAAGGAGCTTCGTTTCTTGTGCCGCAGATGATTGTAAGTCGAACTTCGCCAGCAACCTTTAGTGGATTAAAACAAACGAAAATGCACACCATAATCTTCTTATCTTTTTGTATTTTCTGAACTTTTCAACATGCTTATTTTTGATTTTGCTCTTGATGTCATGCTTATATACTTGTGATTACCAACTTTAGTGCTCTTAATTTACTTTTAAGTTATAATGTATAACCCTTTCCTGATCAATGGTATTCAAGCAAACAGAAAATGTCGTCATGTACGGTATTTTAATCGCCTCTTTATAAATTGCCGTAGCGAGCGGCTCGAGATCTGGAATAATCTCTGGATCGAGTACTTGAATCGCCCAAAAGCGCGCTGATACATTTGTCATGAAGCTCAAGCATCCATTCTTCGTCACGCAGAAATCGACCGAATTCGTCAGATCCTCCCATTCTGCCTGTTCATTTCCCTCCGTCAAGCTGTAAAGAAGCCTAAGCCCAGAAGCATGCTCGTCCTTTGCCGGGCTCGGAATGCTGAGATTAATGAGTTTGTGGAATTTCCGACGTCTAGGCTCGACGGTCAAAACTGCGCCGCAATAAAGCTTTCCATCTGCATATTTTTTCACGACTTCGGGATTGATGGGGAGCGTCTGAAGCGCGACGCGGATTTTTTTCACCAAAGCATTCTCGGGAAACGAGGCGATTCCGTCTTTATCCTCTGCGCGGATAGAAAGTTCACCGCCTTTTTGAAAGGTTTTCATTTAAAAACTTGACCGTGAAAACCATAAAAATAATATTTTTCATAAGTTTTTCTATTCAACAAAAACTTCGCTTAGCGAAATATTACCGCGATTCACATTCGTGAGTGACCAATTCAAAAATCGTTTGAACATTTCCCTGTGCTAAAACATATGTTAAACCTATAGGACTTTTGTTCAAACGTATTACAATAGAAATTGATTCTGGTCAGTCAGAAATGTGAATCACGGTATAATAATGTTCTACAAATTGTCTTGGAGCGGCACCCACTAATTTATGAAGAATTTCTCTGCTATGGAAAACCTCTTTCCTTCTGGTCCCATCATTCCATACTCCACAGTTGGTCGTGAAACAAGAGCGAAGTATTTCGGGAAATCTGTTGTGATAATGCGATGCACGAATTCCTTTGGCTCTTCCATGTCTGAAGCAGAAGAATGATTAAAAATTCAAAAAAACAGACTTTGCGGCATCCTCGCTATTGCTTCGTTTCTAGCGTCGCTTGGAGCCTCTTACCTTCGGGAGAAATGGACTCTTTGAATTCTTCGCTGGAAAGGGACGGATGTTCATGCCATTTTAGACCGTCGTTGCTGGATAGGACAAATACTTCTCTTCTGCCGCCGACTGTTGTGCCGAAATGTGGAACATCAATTGCCACGGGGCTTCAAGGTACAGTAAGATAAGGAAGGTAAATAAAGAAATATTCAATTCTTCTTTTTTAAGATGTCTGGCAGACGATACGACAAAGACAAATGAATTACCCTTGAAACTGCTGAGACGGGGACATGTGCAACAATGGAGCACAGACGCCTTCGTCTTCGCGAACTGGCGGTATTCTAGTGATTCATTTTAGACAGAAGCAAGGAGTAACAGAGATATTAAAATAATTTGATAGCATATTTAAAGCATCAAATCAAATCTAGCAAAGTCAGCCAAAAGTGCCATCCACATTCATTTTCGATAACAGTACATGAACGACAGTACCTTTCGTAGTGCATTGGGTGAGGAGCAACCTCCACCACCGAAGTCGCCTGGTTCTCTGCTTCCGATAGTGGCGGTTTCGTCGATCTCGCGATTCTAGAGTTATTATTTGTATTCCGTTCTGTCAAAATTGCGTTAATCATGAATCATGAAATAAATCTCTTGGAATCAAGGAAGAGAATATTTCTTAAGAAAAAAAGCCTAAATGCTCGCGCCAATGTCCTGAAAAAGAGTGATTAGAAGGAGTCTCCTCTGGAAAAGAGGTCTCGTTGCCCATTGCGGGATATTGATCGCAAGGAAAGAGCTACTCTTCTTGCGCTGCTATCATTTATTCAATATCGGCTGAATTTTGCACGAGCCTTTGGACTTTGGCGGTGAAAAGCGGGGCACTATTCTGACAAGTGTAAAAGACAAAAGGTCTGAAAAGGTCTTTCATCAATGGAAGTAGGATAAGGGCTTCATCAATCATTGATTGATAATCAACCTTTTTGAAAAAAAAGCTTTCTCTTCAATCAAGTTTTACCTGCAAGTTATTCTCGTTGGCGCTGGACAAGAGCCCTCTGGAATAAAAAATTTCAGCTCCGGATGTCTTCTTGAAGAAATAATTCCGCCTCTTGCGTCGACTATGAAACTGACAAGGAATCCAGACTGTTTTTCCTCATCGTCGATGACCTCGTCCAACGGGTCGACCCTTCGGGAATATTGATTCAGGCTCTTAGAATGCTGCATTGAGTTGAGAGAGTAGGATTTGCCGAGAAGGGAGTCGTCAGTCATCACTTTGAAGTCTTGTGGTGCTTCCTCCTAAAAAGATAATGAAATCAAGGAAGAGAATTTCTAATAAAAACAGCTGCCTGACTGAAAATATAATGTACTAACCTCATCATCAGACAGCTGTTTCAACTCATTCTGGAAGGATTCTTGAAGACTCTCTGGTATAATCATTTTGCTTGAAGTCGCGGACCATTGGTCATCATTTCCGCCCTCGCTTGTCGCTTCCTCTTTATTCACATCCTCGAGGTCGAATTCAGCAGCAATGGAAACATAACCAAGCCGCTTCGCAATGTCAATCGGACGCATTCCAGAAGAAGAGACAATGTCTTGCCGAGCTCCAGCTTCAACAAGAAGCTTGTAAACGCCGAGATGGCCTCCTTGCGCGGCATGGTGAAGCGGGGTGAAATCAGCGTCATTTTTTCTGTTGAGTTCATCGTCATCAGCGTGTCTGAGAAGCTCATCGACAAGAGATTCGTGTCCATAGTGAGCGACAAGATGGAGAACAGAACAGCCAGATTTTGTCAGTCCGAGCGAGCAGCCTTTGTCCAAGAAGAACTTGACGCATTCGAGATTTCCCACTTGCCCTGCGAGATGAATTGGAGCGAGGCCATTTTTCGCGGCAAATTCTAGATCAGCATTGGCATCGACAAGAACTTGTAGGACATTTGCATGGCCACCGAAAGCAGCGAGATGGGCAGATGTGAAGCCCTGTTTGATAGTCGAATCTGGTTTTGCGCCGGAATCAAGGAGGAATCGAACAATTTCTTCGTTTCCAAGTCGGGAAGCAACATGCAACGCATCGTGGCCGGTCTTTTGAGCTTGGAGAGAAATGTCGATTCCGACTCCAACAAGATCTTTGACCACCTCCACGTGACCATAATGCGCGGCGATGTGGAGTGCAGTCAGACCGCCAAGAGCCACTTCATTGATTTGCGCACCTGCTTCCGCCAAATATCGAACCAACTGACGGTGTCCGTATTTTGCGCACATATGGAATGCGGTGAAGCCTTTCTTGGTTTTTGACGACAGGTCAGCCCCCTTAATCAATCAAAATTTATTTTTTCTAATGTCATATAATATGACTCATATTAAAATATGATATTTAAATGTTAATACACCTAAATTTTACCAAGTAATTATCATATGCGAAAAGATTTAAGATAGTTGACCATGTACGAGTTATTAAGAAAATTCACTCACAGTATCTTTTCTTCCATATTATGGTTTTCCTAAGATATTTTCGAAGGCTAAGAGCTTTCGTTACTTTTTCTAGAATTATATCACAGGGTATCACAAGATATAGATATTTCAAACTTTGCGAATAATTTTTATAAGATCATCGAGATCTTTCTTACCTTCGAACATAGAAGTTGCACCATCTCCAAATTTCCATCCTTGCTGGCATAATGAACCGGCGCATATCCAGAAGACTCAACCTTCTCATTAATCCTCGCCCCAGCTTCGATCAGATTCTTGACGGAAGAAACGGAGCCCGATCGCACTGCCAAATGAATGACTCCATTAGCATCCTCGCCGCGCACATTGACATCCGCGCCCAATTTCACTAAATGATCGAGCACGTGATTTGTCTTGAGCTCATTTCTCGCTGCCACATGCAACGCCGTTTCTCCTCGAGAGTTTAGGGCGTCGAGGGCTATTCCAGCTTCGGTTAGGACCTTTACCACGGCCAAGTTGTCCGCATACGTCGCAACCATCAGTACAGTCAGGCCACTTTCAGTCACCGCTTCAATTTTTGCCTTGTTTTCAAGCAGCAATTTCACCACTTCGAACCGATTTTTCTTCGCAGCAACATGAAGAGGGGTAAAACCATTCATCGCCACAGCATTCGGATCCGCCCCTTTTTGGAGAAGAAGCTTGGCAGTGGTCAAGTGTCCGCAATGGGCAGCAATGTGGAGGGGAGTCAACAGATCGTGCGTTTTCGAATCGACAGAATAGCCGCATTTGATCAGTTTTCCCACGCAGCCTTCATGGTTTCCTTGCGCTGCCATATGAAGAGGAGTGAGGCCATTAGCCGTGACCATGGGTTTCGCTCCTTTGTCTAGAAGAATTTCCGCCACTCTCAAATGACCGTGCCGAACTGCACAATGCAAAGGAGTAAGCCCATCACGTGTTGTTGCAGCTATACTCGCTCCTTTTTCTAAGAGCATTTTGACCACTCCCACGTGACCGCGCTTTGAAGCCACGTGAAGAGGCGAGATGCCGTTTTTCGCGACGAAATTGACTCCAGCGGACCGGGAAACAAGAAGCGATGCGATTCCTAGATTTCCATAATGCGCGGCAATATGAAGTGGGGTAAAGCCAGACTCAGTCGTTCTGTTCACAATCAAAACCTCTTCCGTTTCATTCTTTGGTTCATTCTGCAGCAAAAGAGCAGCAGCCTTGACATCATTCTTTCGGGCAGCGATGTGGAGGGCGGGAAGTTTTACTTTTCCCTTGACATCGTCTTCTAGAAGGAGATTCACGACATCGTGGCGGTTTTCTTGGAGGGCAACTGCAAGGGGAGTGAATCCATCTGTTGTCGGAATTGACTATGAGAGGGTTAATGATCGAAACTCTCTAGAAAAATGTCGTCTAAAAACCATATCTTTATTTGAATAAAACGAATTTATAAATTTTCTCGAATCATAAGAGGTGAGTCATACAATTAACCCGTATTTACTAGACAGTTACCGTCCGTAGTACCAATATAATCATTTGTCTCATGATAACTCAGCTGTTAAAATGACTCTGATGAGGAACATCGATTGAACCCTTTCCTGGTTTGCTTTGGCTGCTAAGAGCTGTTTGACAATATCGGCATGTCCTTCCTGCGCCGCCATATACAGCGGCGTGAATCCACCGTGCGCCTGTAAATTCGGATTCGCCCCTGCTTCGATGAGTTTCTCCACGATCGAGTCCTGTCCCGCTAGACTGGCGATATGCAGAGCTGTGTTGCCTCGATTCGTCGTCTTTTTATTCGGCTTTTACAAATTTGCGATTTGGTGAAACAAAATGCTTTTGAAGGTGTATATTAATTACTTATACATTTGATCGATTTTCGCTCCGTGTGTCTTCCGAAGAAAAGGGATGAACGGATTAAAAGACCGGCTTAATTCTTCAAGAAATGTCTGAATTCAACCTTTAGCTACAGTTTGGTCTATTATTCACGACTCTGAAAAAAATGAAATGCGCAATTTTTTTTCAGAAATTGAATTCAGAAATGAAATGATTTGTCTGATTGAAAAAGCCTGTTCCTTGTTGACGTCTACTTTTAGCGAGAGTAGCTCGATTACGATCGTTTGATGACCCTCCTTACTTGCGAGATGAAGTGCGGATAAACCATTTGTATTCACAGTGTTGATATCGACTAAAAAAAATTCAAAATGAGGCACCATAATTGATATTTAAAACATACAAACTAGAATTTTTATGGCACCCTATCTGTTGACAAGATAAAATTATCAACCAGGCATGGCTAGAATACAACACGATTTTACTCAATAAAACTATAAAAAAATTTTAAAAAGATTATAAAATTGAAATTCTGATTTGAATAACCATCTTTCCTATTTGAAAAAGACGCATTATGTTTCTCTCATTTTTGGGAAAATTAACGATGAATACCTTTTTCTTCAACATAGAATTGAAATTTCTCCACATTTCCAGATCTTGCCGCTCGCAGAAAATGTGCATTCTGAATGAAATTTATAAATCAGAATAAAAATACAGTCTCAAATAATATCATTCGTGTTAAAGCCGGCCAAAATTTCTTTCGCAAAAATATTTTCTTACTGCTTCTGGCAATTCAACCGCTTCTGTGCTCCCGCAAAAGCGGAATCTCGGTTCTGTTCTCGTCATCAAATTTTTTGTATTCTTGTTTTTCTTTTAATTCATTTGTTTTGAAAACGTTTTATTAATTATATCATTCCGCGATGCTTGTTCTCGATAATACTTTTTTTCGTCTTCGAGCGCGTGCAAAAAAGAAAAGAAGACGAGAGCGACCCCAATCTCTGGGGAGTATTCTGGACGGGGCCCTGGATTCAGCGATACGTTGTATTTCAATTGATCGGGTGAGCAGCTAGACGATATTTTTTTTCGCCGAACTGACAGCCTGCTCATCACTCATTTTACTCATTGATGCTCTGCCCCCAGGGGAGTGCTCAATCAGGTGGCCTAAAGTGAATAAATGCATTTTTATTCTATTGGTAGATGAATTCTTAATTTTGATTCAAAGTCAAAATATTTTTCAGAATTATTTTCCCCAATATTATGAAAGTGAGATCCTTAATATCATAATGATGACATTGAATCTTTTGAAATCGAAAATAAGGGGAGACGTCAAGAATCGGCAAAAAAATTTAGACAAATTTTGTGTGGAAATTTCCAACCAATCAGAACCCTGGATTTGGCAAACCGGCCAATCAGAAGCCAATTAGCCGCCTACGGAAAATTTGTCGAAATTTTCTTGTCGGTTCCGGACGCCATCCCGAAAATAAAGAGTCGATTATTTGCCAATTTAAAAAACAATCAATCAATCAATTAAAAAAAAACATAAAGCCATTTGTTTTTAAATCCATGCAAAAAAGCACCCTTATTGACTTTTCCGAATAAACACTTTCTTCACCCTTCTAATTACCCTTTCAAAATCGATTTAATTAAGCCCGTACCTTAAATTTTTTGCGCCGGTGCTTGCGCTCCTTTTTCGCCTGCAATACGCGCTGGTTTGCGATCGGGTCAAAGCCCACTACCTCGGTCAGTGATTTTTTTCCAACGGGGATGGCAACTTTGCCCTCGTTGCGAATAAGTGGTGATTTGATTCTAATCAACGGTTTTTTTTCGAGAATATTTTTGTCAAAAATATTTTTTTATTTGATAAAAAATATTTTAATTATTTAAAATAAAATTTTTGTCAAAAATATTTTTGCGAAAATTGAGCGAAATTTCTTATTTTTCGACTTTTTCCCAAGAATCGCCGGATTTGAGAAAGGATGTCAGAATCTTTATTGTCCTTAAAACCGTAATTATCACGGTCATTCCTCGAAGTGGCGAACGAGGATATTGTATGCGCCGCTCTCATTTCAACTTATATTCTCTTCGTTGTCTCCAAAATCACGCTTGACACTTTTTTCATACTTTTCGCCGCCTCTATCTATATTCAAAAGGGATCAAACGCAAATTGCAAAATAATTGTACCATCTTGTGAATATGCCCTTATACAAAGATCTGCAATCTGCGAATAATACAAATTCTTAATTGCAGTGAAAAAACAGCTCAGGCGGGACAAGTTGACCTTTTTTAATCTCGCATTATCGGAATAAAAAATAACAAGAACAAAAAATCGAAGAAAAGAATCGTCTCAAAAATCGGTTGCTGCGGCTTTTACGAATGCCAGGATCAATTTACTCATGCTTGCATCAATTCTTTGAAAACGAGTACCGCGAAAACCTGCTTTTTTCGTGAAAGAGAATCTGTCCCCTCTTTACTTACCCGTTTTTCTTGTGAAACCTTTCGCTTCTTTCTTTCTTTCGAGCTTCTTCTAGAGCAGCCCCTCGAGCTTCTTGAGCTTCTTTCTTGAAAACTCTCGGATTTCTGAACAGCGCCATCTGGAGCCTCTCGTTTTTCGCCTGTCGATGGGGACGCTTTATTTTCTTTATCTTTCATATTTTTAGAAATCTTTTGAACCTTAGAAAGGTCTTACTCTTATCCCTGAAATCTATATTACAAATTTCTAGATTTTTTTAAAATTTCCTTCGACTGCTTTTTCTGTCATATCTTCACTGAATTCGGCTCTGTTCTCAGTAGGAATTTCTTTTCCGTGCGTCTGTGTTTTGCTTTTTTCGAAAGAATATTTAAGTAAGTATTGACTGTGTAGGACAGAATATTGGAATAAAGAGTTTTGGATTTGATTAGAGACGGCCGGGCGGGTTCCCTTGAGAGGCCGATGGAGAGTGCTTGCGGGAAAAGATGAGGGACAGAAAAAGGAGGACCCTCGGACGCGCCTGCTTCATTGACAAAGCTGCTTTGTTTTTTTGCGGATTAATTATTCATGGGACTTGGCGGACTGATTTGTTTTATGCCACCGGAGTTGCCAAAAATCTTGATGGCCGTGAAAATAAAGCATTAGACAGGACACTTTTTGATTAATTTTATTAAATATTTGAAGAAAGTAAACCATTGAATGCCTAAATCAAACGGCAAATAGCTGTCAATCAAATCAGGGAAAAACAAAATATTGCTTTTCGGACGAAAAAAAGGATTGGAAATTAGAAAAATAAAAAGAAATGATAACAAAATTGTTGAAATCACGAGTTTGACAATCAAAGTCAAACCTGAAGATAATTGGATAAGATAAAGAAATTGATGTTGAGTTTACATGTAGTATTTGCGATTTCAAGAAAACTGCATTAGTTAGTTACTAATAGTAACGATGAAACACTCTTGGGCAAATAGTAAAAACGCGATCTTAGTCAAGCTCAGACTCGTTCATCTGGCCGGCAGACCCTCGCCGCAGATTCGTAGCTTGAGAAGAGACATCTTGAGAAGCAGTCGAGATTTCAACTGTCGGGTTTTCCTGATAGATTCCAAAGTTGAAGATTCGACGATTATCTTGTCGAGGAGTTTCCTGCCGAGGAACTTTGAGTTGAGCCAGTAGAAAAACAATCATTGCTCTTTGAGTTCGATTTTCATCAGTCAAATTGTTGTTTTGTTGCCGAAGGGTTTGCATAATTTCCGAGTTTGAAGTCCGATCATCTCGCTGAGAGGATCGCCGAGTTGAGTTTCTAGCAGGCCTTTGGTTGAAATAATTCCGGTTTGTTCGCATTCGCGTTTGTAGTCTTGGGTTGTAGTTGTTGAATTCATCATGAAAATCTTATAATATCAATAAATACTGCCTATTTATTAGTTATTCTTACCTGTTGAGCTGTCAGTCACTGGCGACTCCGACTCAGGAGTCAACCCATCATAAGTTCTCAAGTTTTTTGATGTCATTTCGAACAAGTACTCACATCGGAACTTAAAACTACATACTGACAGTGTTACATCTGTCATTTCCAAAAAATGGGTGAAGGGAAAATTAAGCAAATATTAATTATTAACATGTTATCTTTTCCCTTTTCTTCTATAAGATTTATGAAACTAAGAGAGATATCTTTCCTTTTTTTACAATCAAGAGTCGTTTCATTTCATAATTTCATATTCATATTTTTGTATTTAACATTGAAGAGTACTCATTCAGGACATGATTCGCTTTTGCCTTCGAGAGATGATGATTTGGCTTTTTCGATCCTCTTTGACTTCGCGTTGCCAAGGTTTTGCTCGATTTTGAGTTGTGCAAGGGCCACACTTGACGTCCGCTGATCAGTAATAATCCTGTCCATTTTTGACATCATCAACGACATCTTCTCTCGAAGAGCTTAAAACAAGCATTCAATAATTCGCTATTTCATCATTTTCACCTTGAAGTTCAAGATTTATCTCATCGTTTCCGGCTCGAATAGCTTTGACACTGTCATGCACCAAAAGATACCCCTTTGAATATTGCTCGATGACATCTGTTATGTCATATGGTCTCAGCGCTTCCTGAAAAAAATCAGGAACAAGTCATTTTCTAGGGCTTACTCTGAATTGTTTTCGAGCAACAAAAAACTTGACTTTTGTTATAAATCTGACTGCTTGAATTTTGGCTCCTTCAGATGCATTTTTAAAATATTCTCCAGAGTCACTGCTGAGAAAGCATTCGTCTTCTTGCCGGTTCTTGATTGAAGATAGGATTCCTGCAAAACCTACAATTGTCAAAGAATGTCACGTAAAAATCTCGAGAATCAAACCTTGAATAAAAGCCGATGGAGACCGTTCTTGTTGAATTTCTGGTTGAGTATGAACTAGATCATGATAAATTTCATTTTTCTTCTTTCTGAAGGAACCACGTCTAATTCAACAAATGAGAAAATTCAAATAGAATGCCCTCTTACTGGCTGCGTCTGCATCTTCTGAGCATACTCTGCTCAGCCGCGTGAATCTTCCAAAGCGTTTGAATCAACCTCGCCGCTGGAATTCTTCGTTTAACATTGTGCTTTACTCTGTGCTGCTCTTGAACTTTCAGAGCGAATCCAGTGCCGAGGATTCCAGCAGGTAGGGCGAAGAAGCATATTCCGATGATGGACAGGATGCTTGAGATGAATTTCGCGATGCCAGTTGATGGTACCTTATCGCCATAGCCGATGGTCGAAAAGGTTGATACGCCCCACCAGAGAGCATCGCCAAAAGTACCGAAGGGGTCAGTTCCGTTCTAAGAAAATTTGAAAGGTTGATCCTTATTGGCCAGCAATGAAAAAACGGGCCTCTTTTGATAAAATACCTGTTGATTTATTCCACTTTCGAGTCGATAAATCGCAAAAGACGAAAAAACCAAAGTCAGGGATCCAAGATACACCGCCGAGAGAAGCTCTTTCGCGTGAGTTAGAAAAACGCTTCTTAGCAACTTCCAGCTCGTTCCACAGCGATCCAGGCGGAAGACCCGGGCGATTTGGAGAAAACGGATTGATCGGAGAGTTGACGTCGCGGACAACGATCGAGATGATTCATTGTCGCGGCCAAGTGCGAGCATGGAGAAACCAACGATGATGACGACCAAGTCCAAGATTGAGAAGATTCGGCAGCAGTAGCGCAATCTTCCGCGCATTCCCCTTAATTTATTGGTGATCGCGCCATATAGTAAATTAGCAATTAATAAGGTCATTAGATCAAAAATAGACACCTCTTCTCCGGAGCGGAAGCATCCCATCCGCTCTTTTTTAATCAAAAAATGTGTTGCTGGGATAACGACGAATCAAGAGAATTTTTCGCCGCTGCAAAGAAAAAGTGGGATGACAACTTTCCAAATCTCATTGTTGAGCTCAAGAAAGCCTACGTCGCCCCGTTTCCTCAAGAGCGCGAAAAAGCGATTCGTGATGTGAAAGATTGGATTGTCCAAGACTGGCTCCTGCAAAATAATCCCGAACGGTTCAAGCGAGCGCTAGAAATTGGCGAATTCGACCACTTGGCGCAAATCATCGCACGAGAGCTGATTTCTAGAGCTTTTGCCTACTCCGATTCCGTTCTTTTTCACGGTGACCCAGTGCTGAAATGCGAGTCAAGCGTTGCGGAAAATGAGAAATTCTGGAAAACTGAGCTCGGATTGGAACTGATTGCCGAGGCGAAAAAGGGAGCAGAGAAGATTTTCGATGATGAAAAAATTTTGGGAGATGTGCTAGAAGAGTTCCGGTTCAAGACTTCACCATGTAAGTTATCTGAAAAATAAGGGTCTCATTTCGCTATTTTTAGTGAAATATGAGCGAGAATCAATCGAGAAAATCAAAAAGGGTGACAAAATCATTCGAACTCAAGTCGTCGTCAATATGGCCAACCAAATGGTCTGGGAGGTAGAAATTCTTTTTCCCTTTTCTTTTTCAAGTTGTACCCAGGCAAAATGGAGACAACAAGGAAGTCCCGACAACACCTCAAAATGGACTGACCCTGAACTTATCAAAGATTGGGCGGGAATGCCGGCTAAGGACCCGCAAGTTCTCATCGCTTTGATCACCCAAGCGACAGAGTATGCAACGGGTCACATGATCGATTGGGTCAAAGTGAGAACTAGAAAAATCCAGAAGCTCCTGAGAAAAAATGAAGCTGTTGACATCGAAATTGAACGCTTCAAAAATCAATTCCAGTAAGCACTTTGGTCATATGATTTTTTGAATATTTTTGAAGATTGGATTTTTTCGGAAGCTCGTTGAGTGATGCCGAAACCGCCAAAAAGGTAAGAAAATGCTTGAAATGATGACTCATCGTAATTTTAGCTCAATGGGTTCCTGGAGCAGCAGCTATTCCGATACCTCGAATGGAATTATAGAACTCTTAATCTTATCTGCATTTTGTAAATTTTGTTTCTTGTCATATCTTTTATAAAAAATGATGCTCGCTGAAATACTCTTTCTTCAATATTCTTACCTATATCGTGTTCTACAGCCCGAGCTCCAAACTCGCAGAATGTATTCCAAGAAAAACTGGACGATCATGATATTTTCAATGAAATTCAGCGCTTCTTCGAATCGTGGATCAGCATCCATCGTCGAGAATACCGTCAGACAAAGACAGGCAACCACCAAAATGAAGGAGAGGAAGTGGTAAAGGGTCGAGAACCGGCCGAGGGTTCCTTCGGAGGGACGGTCCAAAAAGTTGTGAATCACCTGCTGGTAGTATCGGTAAACGATTTCTTTGCGGCGGCAATTTCTTCTGTTTGCCTTTAAATTGATAAGTAAGTTGGCCAGGCCCTCCAATCTTATCCCTCCTTACCTCATATCCAAGCTCAATCGTATCCATCCTCCCAAGCTCCTTCAAACTTATCTGCCTCCTAACACTGCTCCCAAAGCTTATCTGTCTATTGATCTCTCTCCTGTTAATTTGGTCCTCTCGTTTTCTGATTTTCGAAAAGATATCTTCAGTGTCGCCCATTTCCTTTCATTTCAATGTTTTCCGAAAAATATTCTGACCTGCAATTTTTGCCAACAGAAGCGCGCCAATTACGGGGCAATTAACGAATGAAATTATAATTACGGCCTCATGATCCTGTTTTTGTTTTTGCCCCATTCTTGAACGAATTCGTAAAACCTTTCAATATCCTAAATAATTTATAAGTAAAAATCAATAATTGAAGATGTAAGAATTAATTTGAGTGCGTCTGAACTCATATAAGAATCAGTTTCGAACTCGAAATCATTAAATGATGAACTTTTCGTTTTTTCTTTTTTGCATTGGAGCTTCTTTTGGATCCCTGATTTCAGAACTTGAGATTTTTGAGAGGGAATTCCTCGAGTTCAAGCTATTTTTTGATGAGTGCTTTAGAGGTTTGAGACCTTTTTCATACAATTATCACCCTTTAAGATGGCCTCGAGGATGAAAATGAAACAAGAAAAATCGTCGAAAGTGGCGGATCTCTTTCAGAGATCTGCCGAAATGAAGCGATTGAAGAAATGGTGAAAAGTCATCTGAAAAGCGACTATCATCGTAATCTTGACCGATCAAATTATGGACCTGCATCAAGTTTCATTCTCTAATTGCTTGAATAAAAAAGTCTGTCTGTCATGGAATATGTGATTTTTGGGGGTGCAATGAAGAAATTAATGAGCTCCAAATTCACTTTTTCACCTTCACTCAAGAGTGAGGTGAAAAAGTGAGGTTTGGTGAAAACCAATTTTCGAAAAATTTAGGTGAGGTGAGATGAGGTAAAAATTTTCACCTTCACTCACCTTCACCTCAGTGAATCTTGGGTAAGTTGAATTTGGAACTCTGCACTTGAACTTCTGTTTCTGAAAATCTTGTCTATTCATCAATAGTTACATTCGATAATCGAAGACGTCAGAATTCATCAGAAGATAATACGTCTTTACTCGTAATTAGAATCAGTCTCAACAGTGTTGTCAACACCTAGAACAACATAAAAATGAAATTTTTCTTTTTTCTTCTTTTCATTGGAGTTTCCTTTGGAGCCCTGAATGCAGAATTGGAAAGGGAAATTCTTGAGTTCACGCTGCTTTTTGATGAGTGTTTCAGAGGTTTGACACTTTTTTATCTTAAAAATTCACCTCTTTAGATGCTCTTGCAAACGAAATCAGCATGAAGAAAATCTTCGAAAATGGCGGTTCTCTTACAACGATCTGTCGAAAGACCGCCATTGAAGGGCTAGTCGAAAGTCACCTAGAATCGAACTATCATCGAAATCTCGACCGATCGAATTATGGACCTGCATCAAGTTACATTCTCTAATAGCTTCAGATTGAATAAAACAGTATCTGTCTGTCACGGACTTTGTCGGTTTAGCATCTGGCGTTGAGATTTTGACTGCTATCGCGCGTGACAAAAATTCCTTTACTAATAAATTTGAAGAAAATATTTTTATTTTTTTTTGTTAATGGACATTATGAAAGAAATACGAAGCTGCGCATGCAAAGAACTTAGAATTGATATTTACAGAAAGGTACGTTTTTGATGATAAGAAGCTCAATTAAAATTATTTTTGATTCGAAACTAATTTTCGAACTTGTTTTTTTTTCAAAAATTAATGAGACTGGTACCTGGTATGTCCCTTGAGCAAATACTTGAATTCAATGATGTGCAAAAGTGTGTATAGTCATTAATATCAGTACAGTAGTAGAAGTAGTGTCAGTTGTTGATGCAACGATGCATGTTAAAATAAACCTCCTTGCGTTCGTGTTTCTTCGGGCGCGTTCGGGCGCACAGCGATTTCGGCCGTACAGCTGCTGATTTTTAAATTGACTCTGGCTACGTTCCCCGCCTTCTGAGTTTGACAGATTTTGAGAAAATCGACGGACCGATTCCAAAGTACAAGTCGATAAACCCAAGACGGTCCAAGAGAAACAGAAAGAAAGAGAAGGGAGAAAATAATAAGATACAAAGGGAGAAATGAACAGAGCAGAGAATGGAGGTTTTTGCTTATCTATTTTTAATTTGTAAGAAAATGTTAAATTCAAATGATTCTAGGCAAACTGCAGCTTCCTGATGAACTTCAAAAAACCTGTTGAGCAAAGTGAGCTAGCGAATATTTCAGGAAGGTGTTTAAGCCACTAACACAAACCCAGACATCTTTTTTAGCTCTAACCCTAACCCTAGCCCTAACCCTTACCCTGAATAACCGAAGTCTACCTCGTTGACTGTCTCCGACCCTTCTTGACTACCACCATAATTCTCATAAATAACAAATTAGAAAACACCTTCCAGACTCAAATAATGGGTCTGAATCTGACTGGGTGAATAAATTTGATACGAGATGGCAGGACTACTTCGTCGCCCTGATTATCGTGATTATTGTCAAGGAATACGCAATATAGATTGATTCTCCTTATATAAAAAAATGATCCCATAATGGGATGCATCATGCAAATCCTTATAAAAAGCGATTGTTGGATTGATTGGGCACAGTCTTCAGTTATTCCTCCTCAATAACAACAAAAGCTGGACATCATCGATGGTCAGGATAAATTCGATTTTCGCGATTTCGTATCTTGTCATTACTGTTCCAATCGACGCTTTTGTACTTGTCTCTCCTTCTTGGAGTCAAGGATCATTGGTAAGAACTTCTCAAATTCGAGGCCCCAAAAACGATGCTCAGCATTAATTTCTTATTTATTCAGATCTGTAAAATTGGAATGACCTGGATTTATGTCTGTTCTGGAGTTTCTATCTTTTCGAATCTTGCAATGGTCATAGGTATTGACTGTTAACAGCATTATTATTCAAATTTATTTACGAAAAGATCGGTCAATTGGCATCATCAGTCCGCTAAAACGCGAAACACTGACCAGTTTCTCATGCTATAAAAAGACGGGTCATTCACTATAAAATGAGCTTCAACAGCATTCTGCTTTAGATTGATTTAATTGACCCTGGATAAGATATGATCCGCTTTGTCGTGATTTCGTTGCCAGTGCTAATGGCCTCGCCCATTGGCTTCTGGTACGACGACATCTGTGGAATGTGCATGCCAGGAAATGATCCAAGACGTCATTTTTAGACGCTTTTTCCTGGTCAATCACCGTTAATAAGGATAAGTCGATCCAGTTTGACCGTTTTGACTCGAAAAAGCCCTCCAAATTTCCGAAATGCCCTCGATCTTGATCATTTTCAGCCTCTTCCTACCACAAAATCCAGCAAAACTACAAATTCCTCCTCTTTTGCTGCTTGTACTTGATCCCTTCTTTATGCTCTTTACTGGCGCTTGTGGTGATAAAAATATCATCGAACGATTTCAAGGTCAAAAAGAAAAAGGGAAACAAAAGCACGTCTAAAAATCTGATTCAACGAAATGTTTCTCGACGGCACATGTAAATTTCTCTTGAAAACAAAAAGTCAAATAATTCTAGAGGTCGTTCGGAAAAATCAGGTTCTTCGTTGATGACGATGCTTTATCGCTACAACATGTCCGACTGTATATTGTTCACAATTGGCTGGTTCCCAACTTATTTGATTGATATTTCAAGATCCTTTGCGACGAATTGGTTTCTTGAGCACGTGATCATTAGTTGGCTTCTTTACGCTGCTAGGGTTATGGCTGTTTCGTATTTCTCCTTGACTCCAATCGCATATTTTCACCATTTCAGATTATACTCCAAGGTAACTTTGATGATTTCTAGTTCAATTAACAAATGCCAATCAGTTTCGAACCCGCCAATCCACAGTCAATCACTCGCAACCGTACTCGACTCATTGGGGCGGGCAAAAGAGCATCGACTCGAAAATGGAAGCTGACAACGTTTTCATCAAGCAAATAACCGTGGTGAACTTTCCGACGTCAATCGAAACTTCTATCACTCTGAAATCTCCGAGAGTGAACAAGAGGGAATTTCAGGCGAAATCAAACTTCTGCAAAGAAAATGAAAATTCTGTTTCTTATTCTTGTGATACCGATAATTAATACAGAGAAAATTCATACGGTGTTATATTTTGAACTCAGATTTGATCAAAAAATTAACAAGAAAATATGCTTGCCAGAGAAAATTGAATATTGATGTGGTAATGTTTTAATTTCTAGGTCAGCGGTCAACGGTTTCGAAGTCTGAAAAACGATAGAATTATTGCATAACTGTCTAGATTCAAGGCGAATGTCTACTAGATTGTTTTTTGGAAAGGATAAGAAAACAATCGGATCGATCGCCAGTGTACGCGTCGAGGCGAACGAGGTCTTATAGACTGAAACTCAAGAAATACTTAGTTCGCACAATACGGACACCCTATTTAATTGTCTGATATCCTTATTGTGACGCCTCTTTTTTGCCCCTAAGAGAAAGTTCAATTTTTCTCAGCAGCTTTTCTCCCATAATTTTGAAAAGAAAAATCGTTTTTTTTTTCGAAAAGGCTTCATATTTATAATTAATTTTAATTCTAGCTTAGCATTTTTACTTTAAACTTGACTTGCAGTAAAAGATTTCAGCTTCTTTATTATTAACGATAGTTTCTAAATTAAGGGTGTCCATATGATATGGATCATATCGCTTATTATTTAGTCACTGCCTAAATCGCTGTTGACGACCTTAAAAATGTCAGGTTTCCACAGAAATAACGTTATTTCGCGCAGTTCTAGCGTCAAAATAATGACTCATTTGGTGCTCATTTAACACGAGTTACTTGAATTCACTACGATGTCATTCAAGTTGAGCTCTTTTCAAAATCGCCGAGGCTCAATTTTAACAACTCCGCGGAAAGAAGTTACGTAACTAGTCCAAGCGCCCCTCTGGCGATTCAAAAGTTCAAGCTCGTTCGAATTTTATCTTTTTTTCGCCTTTTATTTCAAGAAATTTGAAAGTTTTAAAAGTTCAAACGGCCCTTTTCGACTCAAAACATCATTTTGACCTTTTGTTGGGCCGAAAAGGGGGTCAAATCGAGGCAGATTCGAGTCGAAATTGAACGGTAGAAAAAATAGACAGCAAAAATATAGACAGCCAGAAAGGAGAGCAGCCCGTCCCGATGATATTCAAAGGCCCCAGACCTTTTCAAACAAGCACTTCATTTCACAAATTTGAACTTTTTCAAGAAAATCGAAAAATTTAAAATCCGAAAAATCGAAAAAACGGTGAAAAAATGGAAAATGAAAGGTATGAAAAAAGTGGGACAAAGAGAAAGAGAAAAGAAAAGAGTTCATTTTTGAACTCGTAACTTTTTCAAGTTATTTCAAGTCATTTTATTGACAAAAATGTTCATAATCAGATCGTGCTTCTTCAAGAAATTAAAAATTTAGGGTTAGACGCAGGAATCCGAGATTTTCATGGAAAGAGATTTCTTTTGATGTTCAGCCGTGTTTTTATCAATAAATTTCAACTAAATTTCGGAGAAAAATCTACTAAAGAATCGTCATTTTCGATATTTTTACCCTTAAATTTTTCAATCTTTCAAAGTCATTTGTAAATAAGCAATAAGTTATTCTTGTGAACCCGAAATAAAAAATTATCGATGTCTTCCAAAGTTCATACCGCCGTTTCATTTCGAGTGTGTGCACATGGGGGAGGGCGCTCGGGCGCAAGGCCCAGGAGAAATTTCGCTTTTGGACTTTTCCAACTCTCGCCCAGGGCGGAAAGTGGCTCCGGCGTCGGGCGCTAATCCCTTCAAAGAATCCCCCGGTCACATTTCACAGCTGAATAATTACCCAAAAATTTGTTTCCTGAGAATTAAATAATTACAGAAAATAATTTGTGGAATCGTTCTTTCCATAAAACAACCAATATTTTAATACCAATCATCGTGTAATTTCGATAATTTTTTACGAGCGATGAGAATCAAAAATTGTTTCGAATGCAAAGCGGCGGGCGCCTGGATTTTCTAGACGTTGTTATTGAAAATTTTTCTAGATGGGCCGGCTTTATGTTTTGAAAAATCATTCGCTTCTGAGACTTCCCTTGACAACCCAGAGACATTTTTCTGTAAAATTCTTTTTATTTTTATTCGAAACAGTTAGATTAGAATAAGCAGTAAAATGGAGACACAGAGGAGCAAGGAAACAGCAGGGGCAGAGATTTTTCGCCAGATTTCGAACTCTGCTTTATTCCTTGAATAATTTTTAACAGTTTTAATTTATTTTCCTTACCTGAAGACGGCGGCTAGCTGGGCTCGGCAACTTGTGTTGAAAACCTGAGTCAGGTTCTGAAGAGCTAAAATGAAAAGCCGCTACGCGGCTTTTTTGAAATCGAAGCCGAAGAGAACGCGGATGGGGGAAAAAGTCGATTTTTGAAAAAAAAGTTGAAAGCCGCAGCGCGGCTTTTTCAAGGGACAAAAAAAAACTGCCATAAAAAACCCCGGAGGGAAAAGACGCTGCGGCAGTATCGCAGAGAATTTTTTTTAAATAAGAGGACCAGGGGCGAAAAAATTAAAAGCCGCGCCGCGGCTTCTTTTTAAAGGGGCGAAAAAAAACTGCAATAAAAAACCCCTGGAAAAGACGCTGCGGCAGTATCGCAGAGCCTTTTTTTAAAAAGCGGGCCAATGACCAGTAAAATTAAAAGCCTCGCCGCGGCTTTTTTTTTAAAGGGGCAAAATATGGGCGGCGGTAGAAAAAATCTTTTTACAGACTAGGTCGATTTTTTTTTCTAAAATCTGATTTGTCTAAAATTTTTCCAAAATAAAAGCCGCACCGCGGCTTTTTACTTTTGCTGACTTCCATAGGCGCCTCGATTAAGAGGAGTTCCCTCACGAAAATGGCCATCACCGCGGATGATATCCTCACACCGCCGCTCAAAACCGGCGCAGACTCTATCAATCTGCTCCTGTGGAATTTCATTCCACGCCTGAGCAAGAATCGTTTTAGCTTCTTCTAGGCTTTTAAAATATCCTTGAGATCCAAGAATCATTTTTGCTTTTCGCTTAAGTGTATTCCAAATTGAATAATCCATAGGATTAATATCTGGACTTGAAGCTGGCCACACTGTCGCTGCTTTTTCCGCCAAGTCTGGTCGTTTTTTATAAGCTTTTGTTTTCGTGATACAATTTTCAAGGCCGATCTTATCATCAATAAAATCCAGAGTTGATGAAGCCGTGTGTGATGGGGCCCCGTCTTGAGCGTAAAATTTTCCGTCTAATTTGTTATTTTTAATCATTCCTTTAGCCTCTAAATCTCGAAAAAAGGGCTCCAAAACGATGTTTTTGTATTCCGTTGACCCACATGTAAGGCTTTTGTAAATTGTTTTTTCAACGCCCTTTAATGTTCTTTTCGATTCTTCTAAGAAAAAAATTAATTCTGATTTATAATTTATCGACACCGCCGCCCAGACCATTATTGTTGCAGAGCGCTTTACTTTAAACTCGCTAGGAGCTAATATTTCGCCCTTCTGACGCCAGGCTTTGAAATTTTGATCATTAGTGCAATTTAACATAACGCTACATTCATCAGAATGGATTATTTTATCATGAAAATTTCTGTCTTTTGAGTATTTTTCCCGGACCCAGTGGGCGAAATTTAAACGTTCAACTCGAGTTGACTCCGGTACGCATGGCTTGACAGGCTCAAGATTGCCGCATGTCCATTTGCTCTGAAGGAGGATTCGATAAACTTTATTGTATAGAGAAGTGTCATCATAATCAACTCCCTGTCTCGAAAGGGCTAATTTAAGGCTAGAACTTTGCCTGTAACTTGTCGCTCTTTGCGCAATGAGATCGTTTTCGACATTTGTTACGAGTTCTAAAAGCGATGGGTCATCTGGGATAGCTCGCTCTAGCTTGGTTTTTTTGTTAAAAACAGATTCGAGTTTTGGTCTATCCCTTTTTGAAAGCCACCAGATTTGCCTGTTAGAGCTTCGGATAACGAAACAATGATCTTTAACTTGCCCAGAAAACATTTCATGCTTTCTGTAAAGTAAGCGTAACTTTTTATTAGCATGTTCTTCAAACATGGCTGGTCCATACTTTTTATATTTATCTAAATTATCGAAGAGGGCTTCTCTTTGAATTTGACCCATTTCGGTCGTGTGCAGCTCGGCAAAATCGGCTCGGGTGTTTAATTGTGGGAGAGGTGGAATTTCAAAAGGGTCTAGCGCGTCTGCTCTTGCTTGTAATTTTGGATCGAGCCAGAAATACTCTTCTTCTGAATCTGGTGGAAGTTCAGCTACTGTTTGATTTAATTCTTGGGCATTGACTGTTTCGTCAAGCAAAAGTGCCTCTGCTTTTCTTTTCTTGGAGGCTCTAGCTTCAAACGCGTTTTTTCCCTGAGCGATGATTTCTCTCGCTTCAGAGCCACGATTTTCAAGCGAACAAGAAACAACGGTTAAAGAGAGAATTCGGTCTTCATAACCGTCGATTTCGACGGCTTCTTTCATTAGTTTATGAATTTTATCTAATTTTCTTTTATAATTCTGTCTGGCATTCGCAGAAATTTTAGTTCCTCCTTTCATCTTTGGTTTTCCTTTCCTGATTGTCTTCTAAAACTTACTCATGGAGGAATCTCGTCGAGCAGCATCTTCTTCTCAACTCTCTTTATTTTCTTTGAGCTCTCTTTTTAGGTTAAAATTCCAAATTAACTTTTAAAAATTACAGTTTTTTGACTTCCGGACAAGAATGGACTTCTCGTGGAGTATTTATGTGCAAGGAAACCACCAAGGTTCGATCCATAGCTGTTTATCTTGATAAAATTAGCTATTTCCGGACGGTTTTAGCTACATTCGCGGCGGGAGATCATGCCCCAGTTTTACTCCAAAAGATCGATATCAAGTTTTTGGTACCATAAGAATGCTGGAATCACGCTGATTAATATGATGGTATTTTTACTTTCAAAATATTCATAAAATAAGATTTTATGCTGGAGTTAAATCACGATCCGTGAAAGAGGGATTAACATTGCCGCCGGATGAAAAGGCTCGAGGTACGCGCTCGTGGCCTGGGAACTTGTGCAACGCCGACGCCGTCGATTTTCTGAGGTGACGCGGAAAGTTAAAAGAGGTGCAAGAAAAAAGAGTTCACTTTTTTCGTGACAGAAAAGGCTTGATTTTTGTCACCAAAAAGAGAGTGCACACACTCAAAATGAAACGGCGGTATATTCTTTGAAAAAAGCACGAAAAACAGCCAAATCGATTTCGTTCGCGGTAAAGATCATCCAAGGTCGCGGAATAAATCGTCACCCGGGCCAAAAAATAGACACGAGGTGACCTGGGCATTATTTGTTGACCCAGATACGCTGAAAAAAGGAGACACGATGTCGTCAGCGAATTATCGATCCAGTAGCATTCTGATGTAATCCAAATTTATTCAAAAAAATTCTTTATGAAAAATTTTTTTATGAAAAAGGAAATCAAAAAGAGTTTTTAGTGCAACGACAAAAAATCATGTGAAAATCCAAGAATCGGAAATCCCCGATTCCGAATGGAAAATGTGTCGAGTTTGCGGCGACAAAGCAACTGGATACCACTTCAATGCAATGACTTGCGAAGGATGCAAGGGATTCTTCCGGCGATCGGTCAAAGGAGGCAAGCGGTTCGCTTGTGCTTTTGCGAAAAACTGCGAAATCAGCAGGGTCAATCGACGATCCTGCTCGTACTGTCGCTGGGAAAAGTGTCTCGCAGTTGGCATGAAGCGAGAATGCATCATGAGCGACAACGAAATCAAGGAAAAACGAAAAGTGATCGAGAAGAATAAACTTCGACGGGCAGTGCTTAGCCAGCCAGCGCTAGAAAAGGACGAATTGGATTTGGTCAGCTCAGTTGTTGGAGCTTACTTGGATGCATTCGTCCATTTACCCGTTTTGCCGCATAAATTTCGAATCATCAGGAGACAGCAAAGCCTTGAAAAATTCCCATGGGTAAGTTTTTTCTTCTGTTCTCATTAGGGAAAATTTTAGGCTTCCGATTGTCTGATAGAAGACAACTCGATGAACCAAATCCTTTTCCGTCTCCTGCCTACTCCTCCAAAGCACCGGTCGGTCATCAAAATCGCCACGAATAATGGAAGAATTGCTGATGCTAGAATCTCTTTAGTGGACGAAGAAATCGGCTCCCGTAAGAGATAGATTCGTATCTTCAAAATTATTGAAATTTTCAAGTTCTCAATTCGCAATATAATGGATTGAAAAGCGCGCTTCTCGAGGATTATTTGCAAATAATCGACTTCTCGGTAAGGAATTTTTTCAGTTCTTGAGGTTTAATTTTGTCTGCTAGACACGAATTCAAAGCTTGGAAAAAGTACACCAAGTCGATCAGCATATTCTTCTACGAGGCTGTCTTCTCGAGATTTTTATTCTCAAGGTTTGCCGCCGTTTTTTTAAGAAATAATGTTCGTTTTTAGATGAATACGAGATTCAATGCAGCAGATGAGTCGTTTTTGTTCATGGACAAAAAATTCAAGCTCAAGGCAGATTATATCTTGACGCCTGTAAGTTGAAAAGCAGCCGATTAGGGGGCTGTTTATATTTTTAAATTCAGGAGATCATCGACAGCTACCTCAATTTACACCAGAAACTTTTTCGACTTCAACTTCGAAAGGAAGAAACCGCGCTTTTATTCGCTCTCTGGTAAGAATTTTCAACAGTTTTCTTCCTCTAGCTTCTTTTTAGCTTATTTTCCGATGACAGGCGAGATCTTGTCGAGTCCGAAACAGTCGAAGAAATTCAACATCAACTAGCAGTTGCTTTTGAAAACTTTTTCAAATGCAAGAAAAACGCAAGAATTCGCTCTCAACTCATTCCGGTAATTTCTTTTTTTCCGACAATTTGATTATTTTTCGTTAGACTTTGATTTCCGTCATCACGAATTTGCGCCAACTAAAGATTCGACTACTCCATCAAAGCTTCAAACTCGACCAAGAGAATTCAAGCAACAGTGATTCATCTCTATCCGGAAGTATCGCCTCCTCGCCCTGATGAAAATGGTCGCTAGAATATTTAATAACTTACTGCTGACCTAACTGCCATAAAAAAACTACATGTTCTCATACGTAAACAAATACTTCTTGTTTTCTTTTTCCAAGCACCAATTCTTTGTATTCATAAATTTGATTATAAATAAACTTTTTCCCTTCGATTCACTTTCATCCCAAAAATTTGCAAGAAACGCCGACTCAGGTTTTCTACACAGGGTCTTGAACACAGATGCAAGCTTCTCCAAGGGTGGCTCAAAGACGAAGTACCGTATTCCAGTTCGCGCTTGCTTAATTTCCCTGCTAGTTATTAAATATAAATCGCTACAAGTACATTCTAAACGCTTTCAAACAAGCACTCGAATGCGGAAAACAGGAATCAGGGGACTATATAAGCCGCCTGGAAGCTAAAGTTTTCAAAGAACACGAATCGAAGATTATGAGAGGTCTTTTCCTGTTTTCGACGATACAAGTTGTAGTGGTTGCAAACTATCTTCCTCTCCCTCCGCCGACATCAGCGGAAATGGCGATGGATGAAATGATACTGGAAGAGATGAGTAGGGATGAGCAGGGAAATCTGCTTGAAACTGATCCAACGAAGTATTACCAGGTAAAGCTAGAGCTATGTTAAACTACATGGCCCATGTAACATGGCCCATGTTACATGGGAATATCGGAGTCTACTAGATAATAATCGTTTTTTTCTTAAAGATGCTTGGTGGATTCTTTGGAGTCTGAAGTTACTCGTTTATGATGAGAAATCTCCCAACTGTTCATCAAACTAAAACTGTGTTCACGAACTAATGAATTGAATAAACATGATTTTCAAAATACTTCTTTTTTGTTCTGCTTCTGTTAACGCAGACTGGCGAGAAAACTTTAAAGAATTCGGCGACTGGGTTCTTCGCCGCGCGGAAACCCTACCAGCCGCTTGTCAAACCATGAACGACGAGTTTTTTCCCGCTTTCTTGGCTGACGCAAAGAATAAAGCGTATTTCTGCCTGGCTTTTGAAGGAAAAGAGAGTGATGAGCAGATGAATTCCGTCGGCGAAGTGTTCAGAGCCCTGTATTGTCAGGATTCAGCGGATTTGGGGTATCCTTGCTCGCCGGATTCAAGCTTGATTTTGGCGAAAGCGGTATCGGTTTTGCCTGATCGGGTTATGTACGGAATCGAGGTGAGAAAATATTCAACAATTTTCTTTAACAAAAAAAGGTCTCACTTGGAATCAGCACAAGAAGAAGGCCAAAGTTCATTCATACAAAGTGGAATATTTCTCATTCTGATCCCGAATTCGATTTCACCCCAAGATCAGAGGAAGTCGACATCGCCCGGTTAACGAAAAACGTAGCTTGTGGCAAGGCAGACCTTTTGAGAGACGCTTGGGTTGGCGATTTAGGCACACAAATGGCTAGTAAAGGAGGGTAAGGAACAATTAGATAAGACGGAAAGTAACTTTGCGAAGGTCAGAAAATGTGCATATTGCTATCACCTGGTGCGATGAAAGGAGCGTTTTGTTTCCTTGATTTCTTGAAATAGATTTGTTTTACAAAACATCTAAAAAGGTTCATGACGGATTCTCCCGAACAAATTTTCAACCGTGTTGGATTCACTATCTACACTTCTCCTGACAACGAAGCTGACGCTCTTGATCTGAAGGTACTCCCTCTTAACTTTAGAGTCTAAAGGTTTTTCCTTGTTCATCTGCAACTTTCAGTACTTCTATCACTGGGACAGGGACAACTTGCGATCGAGACAGGTGAATTCATGGAAGCCCTTTTTGTTTTCCCAATGCTGCTCGACTTTCGTCATCGCGCCATGATTTGTTCATTTGAGCTCTTTATTTTAATAAAAGTTAAGAATAACTGTACAAAGAAATTAGATTTTCTTCCTGAGTTTCGTCCCAAGCCGCGTTTAACTTCTTGAGCTGCGATTTCGCTAGAAAAAGTGATGATGAAAGAGAAGAAAAATGATTCTCCTACGTAGTCGATGAATATTAACGGCTCTGATAAATCCATCCTGGTCCTTGACAGTGTCGAATTGGTAGCGAGTGTTTTTAGTTCGAACAAGTTGCTCTTCGTTAACATCGGCCAAGTCGAATTCTATCACTTTTTGCTCTTCAATAGGGACGTCAAGGGGATGAATACAGCTTTCTCCGTTTTTGTCTGACACAATTTTGCCTGAAAACAACATTTGTGTCGGGTTCAGTCCATAAAAGTTGTCTATTTACCTAACCGGCCACTAGCTTCTTTTGAGAAGACTTCGCCAACTTGAGCGAACATTTCAGAGTTATTGACGTTCACTTCTGCCCAAATGGAGCCCTGGAATCCGTAGCTCTCCCGAGTATCTTTTGTTGATGAAGTCTTGGTCAAATCAATCTTTGCTTCCTGAAGTTCTCCATCAACGACTCGAGCGAGAACATAATTCGAGCTTATTCTCGTCCTAAGAAGCTGTTTTGAAGCACGAGCCAGCATTCTATAGAAAGGTTGACGTCAAAGAGAAGTTTGATAGGGATATCGAGGGATCAGGGCAAAACAATATCTGTAATAAAAGCTTTCGTTGATTTTCGTGTCTTCACGAGGTCGAATTTTACTTTCGCTCCTGCCAGGCTTTCTACTTCTTCTGGGCGGAGATACAGCGGGACATCTTGCTACACACATGGTAAGCACTTGAGAAACGATTACTTTTCTTACCATGAAGAAAACTGTATCATCGTGTTCATCATTTTCTACTTTTATCAAGCCAGGTCCTTGTGTCGGCGTTTCAATAATTGTTCCCATTACATCTTCCGCCAAAATTGGAAAGGTCTTCCCAAGTAGCCAGGCTTCTCCCTCTCCTTCGAGCTCAACTAGAAACAAGGTTAACACGATTCCTTGCAGTCAGAGGCTCTGACTCAGAGCTCCTACTTTCTGTGTACAAAACCTGAGTCAGGGTCTTGAAAGAGCGCCATGCACCTTTTATTAAAATGTCCTGATTCAGGTTTTGTACACATGAAACCGAGCAAAGATACAGAGAAAACTGTACCTGGGAAATTAAGAGACAAATGAGGAACATTCGGCAATTTTGCTTCGACAATTTCGCCGTTTTTCAGCTCGCCGAGGATGAACGAAGAGCTTCTCCTCGTCAAAAATCTGGTTGCTCGCAATATGCTCATTCTACAAACAGCTTTCCTTCAGCACTAGGTTCAACAAAATCGCCCGAAACCAAGATCGGGTTTTATCGGGTTTTTTAGGAGGTCGGGTTTTGTTGGATCGGGTTTTGTTGGATTTTATCGGGTTTTTGTCGGGTCCGAAATCGGGTTTTTATCGGGTTTTTGTTGGATTTTTGTCGGGTTTCCTACAAGCAAAAATAAAAAAAAATCAAGTCAAAAGAAGGTCAATAACTTATCTTGAGCAGATTTTTTCAGCAATTTTCGAGGATCATTAATAATATTATTTAGAATGTGCATTTTCCCATTGTGCATCTCCTTATACAATAAAAACGCCTCGTCTAAAACCGTATTATTAGTAATACGGTAGAATATAGAATAAATAATCCAAACCCTCTTTATATGTTTAGAAAGCTTGGACCTTGCTGAGTTGCAGTTTAGGGGGTTAGGCCTTGCCGAGGTCACATGACTTTAAATAACCCATGGGGTTGAAAATAGTGGGCGTTAACCTAAAAGACTGTTCTGCTAAGGCCTTCAAGCTCAGGCGTTCTCTGAAATTCTGCCCTCGAAATGGATCGCTGATTGCCAGGGACCTCGCTGAATTTCATTCTCTCAATCGCCAGAAGATTATCTTTGGTAAGATTAATGTAAATGTCCTCTAGAGCTCGTTCTATGCCTTTATTCGGTTTTGGAGGCAGTACTCATCTATTTCGAGTGCTTTTTGAGTAAAAAAGGGCAAGGGAGGCTATTTAGACCGACTGTGATTGGCTGAAAAGGCAAGAAAAACCCGACGAAATTCCGACAAAATCCGACAAAAACCCGATCCTACGTCGGGTTGTTTGAAATTTTCAGGATCGGGTTTTGTAGGGTGAAAAAAAACCCGACAAAACCCGATAAATATCCGATCCGATATCGGGTTTTCCGGGCATCGGATTTCGATTTGTTGAACCTAGCTTCAGGATAAACAATCAAAACGGAAGACGGAATTTTATGTCAGTTGAATTTGACCCTCAATTGAGTGAATAACAGCTTTTTCAGAGGAACCATCGAAAACGAGATCGTATTCTACTTCTTTGAAGGCGGTTTCGCAGCCGAATACATTTTTCGAAAGATCATCCTAAATAATAACTTCAATTCCAGCCACTCAGAAGAACTTACCTTGTTGAAAAGATCGCCCAAATGATCTTCATTCTTTTCATCATAAATAAACCCCGTTTCGCTCCCTTCGTCGATTTCTCCCGCGATTCCGACGAGATTTTTCTTCGAAACAGCGTGAATCTGCCCAGCAAAGTAAAACGGCTTCCCATTCTCGCCGGTCATCTTGATTTGGTAGGGAATGCTGGCTTGAACGCCCAGATCAATTTTGGAAACGATGGAGAGTTCTCCAGCAGCTGATTTTTCTGCAATTTTGAATTTTCTTGGGTCGAGTCGGATCGAGTAATTCCGAAGGGAAATGCCAAAACGCATCTTATTTCTTTTTCAAATCTGCAAATCGAAGATGCTTTAGAATTTCTTGTGGCAAAAATTTCAATTATTAGAAAATAAGTGGCGCCCAATTGAACAGGAGAGTGTGGCTGTGCAAAATACTCGATATGTTTCTTTTGAGGGTTCGGCAGTTCTCCAAATATCATGGACATCCCTAGCAGAGAAAAATTTGTGGGCAGGAATCTAGCAAATACCTACAAAATAATAAATAGTAGGTAGAGAACCTTGAACAATTGACAATTTCAGAACGAGTGGGCTGAGCGTGTAGATAAAGTATTGAAAAAAAAATAATCGAGTAGCAGTGGTTGTCAAAGTTACATAAACTGATCGAACGGCATTCCAGGGGGTAAGGACAATTGGGGTACGTTTTGGACATTTTGCATCGCTCCCTGTTGCAACTGCCCGAGTTGGCCTATCTGCAAGTTCGTAAAGTTGGGCATGAGAATCGGCTGGTAAGCGACGGTGTATGCAGACTGCTGTCTCTGAATTTATGGAATAAGCCCTGTGGTCTTGAGAGGTGGACACTTACGAGTCTGGCTTGGATTATTTTATGCGCCCGGAATTGCTCATACGGAACCCATCTGCGTTTTGGTGGTTTACCCTCTAGAGCCGCTAAATGTCTTTGGCTGCACAAGTGCTGATAAAGCTGCACTTCCGAGTTGAGCGTATTGTGGCACAGCTCGCATTTGTACTGGTAGATTGACTTCGGCTTGACAGGCTCGATTTTATCTATACGAGGAGGTACTGGAATCCCTGCGACTGTGTTTTTATGGCGCAGCGAGCCGAGATGCTGTTCCATCTGGGTAGGAGAGTTGACCCAAACATCGCAGTCTTTGCAGTGAAGACTTTTGTCTGAAATATGATCTTGGGGGCATTCAATATTTCATCTTTCCTAGAGCACTCTAGTGCACTCTTAACCTAGGTTAAGAGCTTCCCTACTATTCAACAGGAAAGATTCAATTGAAAGTAGCTTACCTAGAGGCTTGACAGGAGTTCTGACAACGCGTTTGACATAAAAGGGTAGGTTCTCCAGCATGTTTTTGACTTTTTCTTCCATGTCAAGCCGTGCTTTCTTCTCCTCCTCTGTTTCTTTTAGAATTTCTAACGCTTCGAGGAGAGAGCGCGGCTGGTTTGAGCTAGTCGAGCCACTCTCGTTCGCGGTAGATATCGTTTCTCTTTCTTCTTCGTTCTTTTTACCGGTATCGACGTCCCAGTTCTTGGCGACGCCATTTTCAACGCTTTCATACCCTGACTCTGGCCTTGTCGGCCTCATTATCAAAGACATTTAGCCAATGATTGTTATGTCTGGAAGACCCTTCTATGAATATTAACCTGTTAACATGAGAATCCTTTTTTCATGGATAGACCTATTTTGTATCGGAAATAGCGATTGTTTATATTGAGAGAATAAATAGTTTATTGCTCTGAACTCAAAATTACCCAGAATGAAGAAAGTCGGATAAACAAAATTGGAAATTGCACATGAAATGGCTTGCTTGAAAGAATACATGATAAGGGGTAAAATATACAGTAAACAAGACGATACACGCGAAAAACGAAGGAATAAATGTGTAAATTAAAAGCTGTGAGTTGGAGATACTTTTAATAAAGAGATTTTTTCAAAGATCTTCATTTGAGGATGGACTCGATTGCTTTTTGACCAAACTTGAAGATTTCCGTCTGCCGGGCTTTTAGCGAGAGAACGACGTCTGAAGACCCCGGCTGGATTCGAAGCTCAAGAAGGCACCTAAAATGCTAGAAAACCGTCAAACTTTCGTTGACGTACCAAATGCCGTTGGTTAATTTAAACGAGTTGTAGAGCATGTCGACTCCTTCCACATTTCTTTTCGCAACATTGAAAACATTGGCACTCTCCAATTTCGCCGTGATTGCATCTGCACCGAGATTTCCCGCCGAGGGAATCGTTGATGATGATTCATTCTGTGCGGGTATGTCTTTCCACGTCGCAAGGAATACTTTTTATGAGATTTTCAGAGCTCTTCATGGCAAGAACTTCTAGCTAAGATCCACGAAAGCTGATAATTAAACCTTTTCCTTGTCGATCCATCTTTCCATCGGGAGTAAACAAGACCTCAAGTGGAACTTCTGTGGCAAAATAAAACACCTTTAGATTGTTCTTTATCGCTACTTGGAGCGTTGTCAAAGGATCCATCTTTTGCACCTGACCCTGAGTCGTCAGGATCAACTGAGTTGGGACAGTCTGTCCGGCTTGAACAGCAGGAACGGACAGCGGACCACTGGGCCAGAGACCAAATGAGTTTTTGTTGAATTGAATTCCAAAGTCGGTCATCGGTTGCATTCCTTTATTCGTAATTTGCATTTCCATAATGATCTGAAGCAGGGTCTCGAAAAATTGGATGTGGGGCGGTTGTGAGGGCGCCCCCTCTCGCTCTCAACATCGGCGCGCTAGTTGTTCACTTTCAAAAACAATTTGGGCTGGATGTTTGAAAAATAGGCTCGCGCCAAAGGGAAAGTGACGCTATAGGAAAATGCAAAAATGTTCAATTTCGGTGAAACTTTGACTCCAGATATAACTTTTTCCGCTGATTACGAATATGTAAAAATTATTTTGAGATTCGGGCAATTAGTTTTTTTATGATTGAAAAGCTCACAAAATACAGCTTACAGTAACTAGCACATTTTAGAAGTACTTGTTGCCTATGAATTCAATATTTTTTGGTAAAAAGGAAGCTGACCACTTCCGAGAACTGTTTTGTTTAGATCACCCGGTGATATTTGTCACAGTAGGTCAGAGTGTGCACCCACTGAGATTATGGGGCCTTTCGGGGAGCGCCCAAAGCACTAGCGCACTGCCACTTACACTTGAGAAACTGAAAATGAACTGAAAGATGACTGAAGTCATCTGGTCAAACACCGCGTCTACCCGATAAAATCCCTAAATAGGCAGCTGGAGTGATCTGAAATATTTTCTTATGAGTGTTTCTTAGATTTTCATGAAAAATGCCGATTAGAAAATAATATTTTAAAGGTACCGTGGTTTTCCATTTTAAGAGCGTTTTTTAGATGACAGGGTTTGCTCAAAACGCTCTTAAATTGGAAATTTTCCTATCGATATAGGATGACAGTGGTTATTTTCATTTTTCAGGGAATTTCGAAAGTATGAAACAGAAAAGATCTAGAAGCAAAAGTATTTGTATATCAAGATGAGAACGTGAGTGATTTTTTCAGGATTTTCCTCGAGCGTTTTTTCTTAATCTGATCTCTTTCATTCTTCAAAATTTAAACAACGAAAATGTCAGGAGAAGAAAAGAAAAACACATGTCTTTGGCTTAGAAGAAAAAATATGCGCAGATTCTGGTGAAGGCTCAAAAAGAAAGGATGGGAGAAAGACTGTCATGGAGATCTAATAGATAATCCGAAGGAAAATGATGGGGAAGACATGCCTCAGTCACTGAGGCTCAGGGTACATTTTCTAGCCTTTGTAGGAATAGGTAAATTAAATATCTAGGAATCAGATTAAAAGCAAAAGAGCTCCGACCATGATGGTCCGTCGGCGATGGAGATTGAAGAAGAACCTCAAGTTCAAATGACAGAAGGAGCCGACACTGCCAAACCATTGACTTTAAAATGGCCGGAAAAGCAGTCAGAGATTACACGTTTTAGTTAATGATTTATTTGAGTCTAAAAATTTTTTGATTGCATAAAAATCTTCAAAAACGCTCTTAAATTGGAATTTTCGCAGATAACATAATTTGCAAAATGTTGGCGAAAACGCTCTTACATTGGGCGCTCTTAAAATGGAAAACCACGGTATAATAACATCTATTTTGATAAATCACATATGAAATTTTAATCATTTATTTAAAATAGGGACTAAGGGTACTAATTTGTTTATTTCTATTAGGCGAGGACCGCGCACCAGTTGGTGAACAACCGAGCGACCGCTGTTAACAATCGGCTCCCGTTGCGCACAACTCTCCGCGGAGGGTGGCGCAACATCCAGCCCACCGTTGTTTTTTCGCGCAAACATCTAGGGCGCGGGGGTTGAAAGCGAGAGGGGGCGCTCAAACAACCGCCGCGCATCCAATTTTTCGAGACCCTGATCTGAAGGATAAAGAAGAGCTCGAAAATGGTTCGGAAACTCGGGTTACCTGATTGTTCTCCCGTTTGATTCTGCCCTTGAGTTCTAGGCCCATACAAGCTTGTGCATTACACCAGGTATCGAGTTCTACAGGTGGAGCCGCTGGAGTTGAACCGCCCAAACCGCCGAAGATGTCCGCGCCCATACCTCCATAAGGACTTGGTGCTGCCTGAGCTGGAGGTGGAGCACCTCCGCCTGAACAAGGAGTTTGATTGGGGAATAATAAATAACACAAGGGGATGATCAATTAAGAAAGAATCGATAGATTGGTTACCCATGAGATCAAGCAATCCTCCACCCATGGGAGGAGCAGCTCCCATTGGGTTCGAATTGACCGGATTCGCCTGTTGCTGCGGTGGTGGAGCTCCACCACCGATTCCCAGGTCAAGCAAGGAATCGAGCCCGCCGCCCAGGATATCCATTCCTCCAGTTGGTGGAGGAGCTGAGTAACTTGGAGTGGCGGCAGTGCTGCCTCCTCCAAGGTCCAAACCGAGAAGATCGTCGACGAGGTTGTTTGAGGAAGGAATGATGGTAGGAGCTGGAGCTTCGGCAGCTGATCCATTGGCTTCAGCAGCGGCATCAGGAGTGGAAGCAGCAGCTGCTGCCGATCGGAGAGTCTTGACGACTGGTTTTTCGTTCTCGACAAAGAGCGAGGGCGGTTTGTGATAAACACTGGCTAGCGAGGAAATGTGGCAAATGAGCTCGTCAAGGAGAGTAGGTTCGATCAGATCTGTTTCGTCGCTGATAAGAGGTCGCTCGGCGAGGACGACGTCTTTCGCCGCAGCTGGATCGGTAGAGAGAAGACGCCAGTAGATGTAGCCCCGATCACGGAGATCTGGGTTGTCGGAGTCTTGTGTTGCGAGGGAGAGGACGGTTTGGACAAGCTGCTGGCACTCGTTTGGCTGAAAAGAAAGTTGTAGTGCGCTGGGTAAAGAAAGAAGACGGTAAGCTATCCAAAAAATGGCTCAAAACATCCGTGAAACCCGCAAAAACGACGAAACTTTTGGAAAATGTCTATTTCCCTTATTTCTTCCTTCCAAGCAAGCATTCTTTACCTTTTTCAAGAACAATTTAACAATAGCCGTGAGCAGCTGAAGCTGAACTTGCGTCGCTTCATCATTAAATCCATCCAAGAACGATTCCAAAAGCTCATCCGCGTTGTCGATTCGTTCCGCGTACTCTCCGATGATCCAGACCATCGCTGCTCGAGCTTCTGGCTCATCAAGAGAGTCCAAGTTCTCGCAAAGCGTCGCAATGATTGATTCGTACTTGTTCGGGTATTTTCGGAAAACGTCCTTGATGACGACGATTGCTTCTTGAACGACGTAGTTGACTTTTGTCTGGATAAGTTCGATCAGAGTTGACACGCATCGTTCAGCAGAGTTTTCGACTTTGATCGCGCATCTGCCAATAGCTCGGACGGCTTTTCGGACGAAATCGACGTCGACTTCCGTTGCGTACTCCCTCAATTCAGCAAGAACCTGAGCGATGTTGTGAGGAGAAGCCAATCTGATCATAATGTCGAGTTTCTCAAGTTTGACGTAAATTGGATCGTTGTATTTTACGAAGAAGACCTTGATCTCGTGCTTGAGAATTTCAGGGCGTTTCTGGACGATCAGATTGATGTTTCGTAAAGCGACGTATTGTACTTCAGCTTCGGAGCTGAGAAGAGTAACGAGTGGCGGCGAAAGCTTTCGGAGAAGTCCAGTTTTGTAATCGACGTCGGGAATGAGCTCCATGAAGCGCATGAGCACTTTGATAGTGCTGAGGACAACGGCGGCGTTGGCATGAGAAAGACGAGGAGTAACTCGTTCGCAGATGCTTTGAGCTTCTCTTGGATCAGCTGGATGATATTCGGCCACCGCGTCGAGGATGAAAATCTGTCCCCATTCGGTGCACTCGTTTAGCGCGGTTAAAAGCTTGTTGACGACTGATTTTGTCAAGAAATCATCCCTGCCGATTTCGGAGAGTGCTGCAACTGCATTTGCAACGACCATTGGATTTGAATCGCTGAGGAGGTCCTTGAGCGCGTCCAGGAAGCCCTGTTCTTGAACCATGTCGGCGGAGATGTCATATAACTTGGCGACGCAAACTGCTGCGGTTTTCCGAACATAGGGGTCCTCGTCTTTCAGGCATTTTCTGAGCGGCTCGCAGAGGTATTCGGTGATTTTGTCCACTCGGATGCAGCCCATTGTTCGGACAGCGAGAGCGCGGATAAGCGGGTTGGGATCGTCACAGTCTTTCACGAAGGTGTTGACAGCCATAATTGTCATGTCTTGAAGACGGGCTCAATAAAAGCGGAAAAAAATGCTGATCAAAGATAGTTTCGAGTATATATTTGGCCCGAAGAGATGTTTTTTCTTCAAAAATTTAGAATCTAAATACTCAAATCAACTCAAACAGTTACTGTTTAGATGTTCTACTATTTTTCTCTTCAAAAAAGCCCGTGTCCTGGTTGCGTTTTCGCATAATTCATCAAGTATAAATAGACGAGTTTCTTCAATTCCAGGTTCTCAGTTTGCATGCAATTAACGACGTCGGGAAAGAGTGCCGAAACATCCTTTCCGACTGTCATACTCGCGATTACTTTCTTAACGGCATCTTTCTTTTTGTCTTTTCTGTCGGAATTGAGATCTGCTCGCAGCTCGAAGATTTCTCCCTTTTTCGTTGTCGTGAAGTACTTTGAGTCCGTCATGCTTTCTGAAGACATTTTTTTAATTAAAAAATTTGAAAGATTTTTTTTTGAGAAAAAAATCGGGTGATTAAATGAAGGAAAAGCTAAAGAAAATAAGAAAGAATCGGGCGATTTCTCGAAAAGATAAATAAGCAGAGGAAAGAGCAAAAAACGCGAAAAATCAATTTTCCCCAAGTCGATAAAAACGCGATTGGGCGGCGGTGGCCAATGGCGCGCCACATTTTTTGGCGCAGAGGAATTCGGAGCCTGTTTTTTCCGAAAGTCCACTAGTCTATTGGCAATAGACCATAATTACACCTAGAGGATTTTCATCTGGTATTTCGAGAGGAAGTCCGATAGATTCGTGATAATACAATAAAGATTTTAAGGTAGAATGGATATTTGTCGAAATAATTGTAAAATGGCCCATTCTAAATGGGTGATCCGAATTTGAGTCGGCGAAGTCCTGAGCCTGGCAGCCTATGTAGTAAATGATTTACTGTAAATTTCAGTCAGGGTCGGAAAAGCAAAGACGCGCTTTTTTTAAGGTGGTGGAAGTTTTCTAGCCCACTTCCGCCATACCTACCCTGGAACACCATACCTTTTCTGAATCAGCAGAAAATTTCAAGAATTTTGACCCATTAAAATTCTATAAATCTTCACTTCCGGTCGATTCTAGAGCCGGAAGTCATCGAAATTCGGGAGTATGGGCAACTTGTGGCCTATCAAATTGATTCTCAGAAGATTCTCTATCATCTAAGAGAAGAATCAATCTCATCCACGGTCAAATCAACCGCTAAAAACTGAAAAAAATTTCATAAATTTATGCTTTTTTCGTAGTTTTGGCGGTCGGTTTGACTGCGGTCGGACTAGTTTCTTTGAATGAATCGATAATGAGATGATTCAGAATCTTCTGAGCATCAATTTGATGGGTCACACTTTATGCATATTCGAAAATTTCGTCAACTTCCGGCTCTAGAATCGACCGGAAGTGGAGATTTCTAGAATTTTAATGGGTCAAAATTCTTGAAATTTTCTGCGGATTCAGAAAAGGTATGGTGTTCCAGGGTAGGTATGGCGGAAGTGGGCTAGAAAACTTCCACCACCTTAAAAAAAGCGCGTCAAAGCGGCCCTGCGAGATTTTTCTCGAATTCTTTGGAAGCCGCTTTCAAAGCGCAATGCGGCTTCGTTGTAAAAAAGCCGCTACGCGTCATTTTTAGATCTTTTGGGCCCTGACTCCGGTTTACTGAATTCGCTATTTTACTGAATTTCCAGCCCCAGTGAGAATTTTTCATCGTCCTCACGAGAAAATGTTTCATGAATTTACTTGTCGATGTGAGAGATTTGTCGAACTCTTCTTGATCCTGCTGCATTCTTCTCATTACAAGATAGTTTTTGAGAAGCTTCTATTTGCTGAGTTTTTAAAAGAATAAGTCTTGATCGATAAATCGCATGCTATTTCATAAAACTCTCCGGAAAGCTGTTTGATTTCTCTGCCTCTTTTTCATATTTAAAATTGCTTTTTGAATCCATTTTCATGAAAAAAGAATCGATTTTGCTTTCAATTGATGATATTAAATTTGTGGACACTGGTTGTTCCCAGCCCCTCCTTCGCCGGTTCGATAAGATAGATTCTCATCGAGGAGCTTTTACCTGAGCTTGGCTTGAAAAAATCCTCGATAGCAGCAGTCAGCATCGAATGAGATTGCTTTTTGCCGGTTAAAACTGACGATCCTTCGATTTTCTTCATCATTTTTATGCTTTTTCTGCTCTAAGATTGGGAAGAATATTTGTAGTAAGACAGGGATTAGCACCTTTAGACATGCGATCATTTCTAACATTGCTTGTAGCTATTTAAATTAGGGAAGAAAATGAAGATAAATTCAAGTTCTGTTGACTTCAAATCTTTCGGTGTCACTGATAAGGGATTCATTTGGAACCAACGAACTTTTAATTGACTAGAATGTTTCATTTTTCAAGTAGCTTCAATAAGACGATGCAATTATATTTAACCAACAACTCGACCCTTCTCCAATGCGTCTGCCCTGAAGGGTCCTCAAAGCTCATCATGAGTCACATCCGTTCCATTGAATCAACACCAGTCCAACTCACGCGTTACTCACTCCAAACCTCTCGCTCTTACGAGAATCATCGAAAAACATGCGCCATCCTTTCATCATTTTCATTCGTGGCCTTGGCGCTATAAAACGCCGCGTTCATCATGCTAACTTCAGATAAAAGAAAAAAATGGTGAAGCAATTTACCGATTTTGAAATTTTTGAAGAAGAATATTACGACTTTGCGGATTTTCTAGCGCTGGAATTGTCCGATCAAAGGAGGAAAGATAGAGACAACAAAAAATTAAGGTAAATTTTGAGAAAAATTTATGAATAAAATGAATAAAAATCAATTCAGGATGTCTCGAAGATACCGAGTCCCGAATTTCTTCATCAAATCCAGCGAAAAAATCAGCCTTGGACGGGCAAAACGCGCACAAGGAAAACGAATTGAAAAAGAATTCGTCAAAAATCCTTATTACTAGCGAAAACGTCTTCATTTTTCTTCGACTTTTACTGATAAACCTGAGCTTTGAATAAAAGATATTGAAACTGGACCTTTTATTTCATTTTATTTCTTGAAGCAATTCTAACAGCAACAAACACCAGAGCAGGGTAAATCAGGAATACAAAGAGCTTGAGTGCATCATCCTCAAATCCGTGAAATTGTCCGTTTCTTCCTACTTTCAAAGAAATTTTGTGCAAAATCAAAGATGCGATGTTTTCAATCATTTTTCTCTCTAATTAAATTGAGATGAATTTTGTTTCCAAAACAGTTGAACGACAGGGGCCGATTTTCCCATCAGGCAAAGCGGCAAGCAGGCAGCAGCGTGATAATTTGCTTTTGGTCAGCAAGAAACCCCAAAACGAACGTTTTTCCATGTTTCTTTCCTTCTTCCATCGATTCAGAATTGAAGAAAAATGTCGAAAAAGCTCAAATATATCTTTCTCCGAATGCCAATTTACTCGTCAAACTAACCTTCAATCAAAGTCAGAAAGACAAAAAACGATAAACAATTAAATTCACTACGCAACCACCGCCCGGTAGCCTCGTGATTGCTATCTTTAAATATCACGAATCAACTCCGCCAAGAGCAAAAAAGGAAGAAATGAAGCTTTCAAATTTCGTTCTTTCCAGTGCGCTTGCGCAAAGAGATCCAAATTACAAGTACAACAAGAGAGTCGTAGAAGGATTGAGCGGAACTGACTGTAATACGAACAATCTGACCATCGCCAAGTTTTCCGATGATATCAAATGCGCAGAGGGGGAGTTTATACCAGAAGAAAGCATGTGCACCCTGCAATGTGTTTCTGAGGTATTTTTATTATTACCATGAACTTGAAATTTCTTCTTTGAAAATTTAGGGAACCGCCCCAGTTTTCGCCGAGCTTCTCTGCCGAAAAGGCGAGCTCCATCCCCTGGATTCTTGATGAACTACTTCTGGTCCGACTGGGACATGGAAAACGGCCTGAAAGTCAGCTGCGAGGTTCCCGATGAAATTCCAGCGCCGGGTATCAAGCGAGGGATGGCGATTTGGAACCACCCTGATCAGGCTGAATTTGTTCGTCAATACAACACTCCTCATAAAAATCCGGAAAATCCGACGATCGGATGGATCAAATTCGGAGCGCTGAGCCATGTTTGGTGGTCGTTTCAAAACGAAGGGGATGAAGAGCTTTTGGCGGAGAATATGCATGTCTGGCCGATCATGAGCTATCCGAGATGTAGGCAGGATACTGACACGAGATATGGAGATGGAACTTGTGATCAGGAAACTTGCGGTAGTGTTCCATGGGGAGAGAATACTTGCACTCATCCGAAATATTATTTCCCAAGAAGTAAGTGAACCAGCTCGATTTTCCACCGATTTCGGAACTTAGTCAAAAGGCGTACAAATCGCTAGATACAGCGCTAAAGAGTCCCGTTATGCGCAATAAGCGCAGCGGCAGGGTCTCTGCGCGTTTCTCAATGTCCAAAATGCGCTTTATTTCTCTAGACTTACCGCGCCGCAGCGCTTATTGCGCATAACGGGACTCTTTAGCGCTGTATCTACGCTCTCGTAGCACCGCGAATTCTCGCGAGTCAGCAACTTTAATGAATTTTTAGACAATGAGGTTCTGAAAACCGGCGAAAAGTGGATGGGCTACTTGAATGAGCCATACGGAGATAACCAAGCGAATCTCACCGTCCCCAACGCCCGTGCCCTTTGGCCTTCCTTCTGGAAACGAGTGGAAGAACATGCTGGCAATCACAACGTCTCGACCGACGAGATCAAGATTGTTGGCCCTTCGATCGCTTCAAAAGATGGCGCGATGCGTTGGGGAGAGGATTTCTATTTCAACTTGCCGGAAAACATCAGAATTGATGCTCTCAATGTCCATGAGTATAATATCAACGGAGGACAACAGGGAGTTCACTGCAATTGCGAGCCAAAGTTGCTTAGAGACACCCTTAGGAAAAGTTTGAAAAAGGCGCTGAAGATAACTTTTGTTTCCGCAATTTTCAACTTTAAGAAAGTCATTACAAGGCTAAATTCGGCTACCCTGTTTGGCTAGTCGAATTCAATTGCGGAAACGGCTGGTGGGACTGTCCAAACGAGCAGCATCACGAATACATGAAACAGACGCTTCCGATGCTTGAAGAAATGCCCTGGGTTGTTCGATACAACTGGATGGCTTCCTTGACCGAGACTCAATTTGGCGCTCTCAATAGCAACGTTGCGCCTTATCCGCTCAATGAGCTTGGAGAAACTTACAATAGCTTCGTTTGGAACAGGACCAATACTCACAATCCTCAATGGGGTGACAACGCTGGAGGTAAGTTTGATACCAAAATATTTATGAAAGAACAAATATCAACTTAATAATTCTATCATGGTAAGTTTGTAAAAAACGATGCAACTGAAGATGAATGATATGCAAGAACAACATATACGCTCAAATCGATATTTTCTTATTTCAATAAATTTTATTTTATTCAAGATCGTTTGAAAATTTAGTAAGAACCTGCCAGGCAAGAATGAGGTTTCTGATCTTGTTGCTGGTAAAGGAAGACAGTGTAAGAGATAAGACCAAAAAGTGAACTATTTTCTTATGCATTCAAGACTCGAACAAGTCCTTCTCGCCATCCATTTTGCTGGAAACAAATTTAAATATTTTTTTATCTGTCCTTGTTTTTACCTCGCGCATGGTGATGAATTCCAGCTTCTTGTTCAACTTGTGAGCTTCACACATGAAACCCACCTTCGCACATTTAGGCGTGAGCCAGTCGAAAGTTGACGGTTTCCATTCGTTTTGAACATGAATTTGCTCGAAAAATTCAACTTGCACGGGATTTCTCGCCAAAGATTGATTTTTCGCTAGATACGAATCAGTTATTTTTAATTATTTTATTGACTTACTCCTGCTTGTTTGGCGAATTGATCTGACACAGCTCTGATGAAGCCAAGAATACTCAGCTGACTGTCTTCGTCCTTAAGGGACCCGGTTAGTCAACGCCGAGCTGAACTTCACGCGTCCGTAGTTACTCTTGTGAATAAGATTTTTCGAAAATTCTTTTTGCAAATGATATCTGCAGATCAACAGCTTTCTTATCCAATTTTCAGTTTTTGTCTATCATCACTCGTTCATGAGCCAGGTCCGAGAGAGGGAGCGCAACTTCAAAGGGTGTTTGAAGAGCAATCTTTTTCAATCTTCATGAAAGCTGCACCATTGAAAAGCCCATTAAATTCTCTACAAATCTTACTTATCGCGCAAAAATGAAACATTACTAATTGCGGATTAATGACTGATAAACTAGAGAACTTAGCGCGCTCAGCACGCCGCAGCGCTGCAGGACGCTATTTCGGGCTCCCGGGACATGATTCCGCTGGGCGCGCGCTAAGAAGTTTTGTTTATCTGACCTGTATCGCTAATAGATACAGCTTCATTTTTGCGCGATAGGTAAGATTTGTAGAAAATTTAATGGGCTTTTCAATGATGCAGCTTTCATGAAGATTGAAAAAGATTGCTCTTCAAACACCCTTTTGAAGTTGCGCTCCCTCTTTCGGACCTGGCTCATGAACGAGTGATGATAGACAAAACTGAAAATTGGATAAGAAAGCTGTTGATCTGCAGATATCATTAGCAAAAAGAATTTTCGAAAAATCTTATTCACAAGAGTAACGACGGGCGCGTGAAGTTCAGCTCGGCGTTGCCTAACCGGGTCCCTTAAAATCATCAAAAGAAGAAAGAACTGACAATGAATGACATCGATAAAAGCAGGTTTGCCTCTGACTTTGAACTTGACCATGTGTGGATTCGCCTCATTGATCAGAATACAATTGGCGGTAGTCATCAAGGCGTTTATAATTTCGTCTCGATTTCCACTGGATGGCGGGGTGAAATCGCTGTAAAAGATGATCGAGATATTTCGCGGGCCAGATCCCCTCCGACCCACTGCGGTTGATAAGCTAAACTCTTCGGCCCTGGAACCTGCATTCCTTCCGGAATATCCATTGTGTGAACTTGAAGGCCATTTGGAAGAGTCTCCTTCAACTTCATATGTTTCTCCAACTCTTTTGGAAGAACCGAGCCTGGAGGACATTCGACGATATGGAACGGCTTATCGGACATTTCTCTCTATAAAATCGCGCTCGGACAAAATGACAATACAAAAACAAAAGGATATTTTGGGCATTTAAAATCACAGACAAAAATTTCTTCTCGCAAAATCTCAAATTGATTTTTCGCAAACAAAATATAAACAAACTAGAATTGTGAAACAAATTTTTGAGGGTCAGAGCGAAGCATGTCAAAATTATCTAGAGAGATAGAACCAATTTGGAAAAATCATCAAATTGGTTATTTTATTTTATTTATTCAATACAAATTGGTCGGTCAGTGAGAATCATAGCAGCGTAGTAAAGATTAAGGGACTCGTATTCTGGACCAATGTTCGTCGAAAGAGGAAATGCTTCGTCTTCGAGGTTGACTTTTTCGAAATTGCTAGGTTTTCCTTAGATAATTTTTCAATTTACTATTCTTACTTTTCCCCGACGTAAGCGAAGTTGCCGACAATCTTTCCGCTTGAAAAATAATACGAGTATCCCGCAGCAGCAGTCATTTGACCCAAGAATGACCAACTGCCACTTCTCATTCGGAAAACGGAGCGACCCTGGTTTGGTCCTCGCCCGGCAAAAGTATACAAACCAGAAGCGTCTCCAAGAACAAGTCCTCCATAAACTTTTTCAGCCGGATGCTCCGGTCCGGAAAACCACGAGTAGTTGTTGTGAATGTAGTATTCGACGTGATTGTGGCAGGCGGAAAAGTCGTCTGGATCGCAGCCTCCGACGACCCACATTTTGTTGTCATAAACCGCCATCGCAGTCCAATCATGAGGATGCCTTGATTCTTGGGTCAAGATTTCTCGTAGATTATTGAAAAAATGAACACCAAAATAAAAAAATACAATTGATCTTTTTTTTTTCATTTTTGACCCAAAACTTGAAGCTGAAATGTCTGTTTCTTGATTTTCTCCATCGAATCTTTGACATTTTTTCGCCCCTACTCCATCTTCGGAGAAACAAAGATGCGCCTGATCAAAATACGCTGAATAAAAAACAGTGATATTTTTATCAATTTCTGCTTTCTTACTAGTGCAGGATCCCCACATCCCATCGATATGCGGAACCATCAACTCGTCGTCTTGCAATTTGAACTCGCAGTCGGTGACCTTGATTATCGCTCGGGGATTGTAGTATCCGCCGAGAAAGTAGTGGTTGCCCTTGATGTACGAGTAGCAGGCATCGTCGACGTCCATGATGTCGAATCGATAGTTGAAACTCGATTCGATAAAGGTATCATCGGAAAGTCTCAATAAAAGAGCTTTATTATCAAAACTCCAGTCGTAGTTGATCATGAAAAGATACTGCTCGGTTGACTCGCAAACTGGATGCGGGCAGCCATCACAACCGTCTGGGCAGCCAGATGAGCAAGGGCAAGTTTCAAGACAATCCAACCAAACGACATTGCAGCGATTCGCGCAAGTGTAATCATTTCCACATCCACTGTAGCAACTGTCCCGAGCATCTGAGCATTCTGTACTGCAGATTTCGTTCTTGTCCAAATCTCTTGGGAAATTTCAATTGTTCAAAAATACGAAGATTTTTTTTGAACCTACGGACAAAGAGGAGGAGGAGTGACCGGGACAAGAGTCTCTGCAGCAGAAAATGAAAGAGTTGACAAAGCAAAAGATTTCATTTTGAGAGAGCGTAATTGACTGTATCACTCGACAAAAAAAAAACATGTGAGCAAATTCGCATCGAGTTTATTCTTGAACGTAAGGGATTTCTTCATGCGCCAGTTTTTTATTTACAAATTTCAAAGTTATTTTTCGGAAAATATGTTAACGGATGAAATTGGCCGGTTAGGTTTAAGCTTTGTTTATTTTGGTGTCTTATCAGAATTCGTGAAAAATAACCGGGTTGAAAGCTCTCCGTAATAATAATTGGTAGCTCCCTTCGCACTCATCCTATCGTTCGATTATCATCTGTTTTCATTAATTTATCATCAATTGTAGCGAGGCAGTAACTTCCATCGTTTATTCCGATTCCATGAATTCCTTCGTCTGGATGATATTGACATGCCCTCTTTTTCGCCTCTAAAAAAAATTCTTGAAAAGTTAAAATTATTTTAGAAACCTTCAAAATCCTGTGTTGACAATTGAATTGAGCACGAAAGAATGTATCCTGGGAACTCTACAAATTGACATGCTTCCGGGAAGTTTCCAGTGCAATGACTTGTCTCTCTCCACCTTATTAATGATCCCTGGAGATCGATCCTCTTTTTGAGCACTTTTCTCAATGACTCCAGCTCTCCGTCATCTAAAATCGTATTAATCGTAGAATGAATTTCGATAATTTTGACTAAACCATTTTTTCCAGCGGCAATGAACTTCTCGATTCTGTAGTCAAAATAAACGAAATCCATGAAAAATAATTTATAAATCCTTCTTATTGTTCTTTTGCTCACATTTCTCCAGTGTTCAAGCATCTCGTCTACATCGATCGGCTTATTTTTCATCTCTCGGCCCCACGAAGATATTTGTGGAATGCTCTTAAGATTTTGAAATCTGTCTTCTCAGTCAAACACGCGCAAAGCAAAGTCGTTTTCTTCAGAGGCATATTCTTGTTTTATAATGAATTCGTAAGGGATGGCGCACGGATTGCAGTAGGTGTGAATTGACTGCCAGTGGCGGTCTCTTTGTCCATCGAAATCGGAAAGAGCGACAGTTTCGACGAAAGCTTCAAACGAGTATTGATAGGTCGAGTTTTCCATGTTTTGGCGCTCGAACTTGGTCAAATACTACTTGAACTGATTTTCGATCGTCCCAAGATATGCATGACCTTTTCGAAATTTATCCTTCCACGCTGAATAGAGCCTCGCCATCGGATGACGTACTGTCATCAGCGTCAAGTAACCATGCGTTTCGATGCATTTTTTCTGGATATGACCACTCGTTATCTTTTTCATGGATCTTCAATTACAGCTTAGAAAAGCGGGTCAGATTTTATGTTTTTCTTAAATTATATTTTTTTTGGCATTTTTTTCTTATTTTAAGAAGAGGACTCTTATCTCAATTTTAGTGATCCATGCTCAATAACATTGGGACTCCACATTCCATCAGAAAATTTAAGAGAGCTAAGCGCTTTAAGCCAGCTAGTGCTTCCGGTTTTGGTCGGAAGACATGTTCTTAATTTATACTCTAAAACAGGTCAATTAGTAATTATCTCGACTTTGCGACGTTGCGCTTACTTTCGTTTTTGAAGAGATTGTCAGGCAATCCAAGCGGATGGGTAATTGGCTTGCATGGAATATAGTCTTTTCCGAAATTATTTATATTTTTCTGGTATTTCATGAGTTTCAAAGAAGTCGCGGATTTGTCCTGATACAGATTTATAATTTGTCTCAATCGCTCGCAGACGAAATTGATGTGTTTTCTTTTCTTCACAAAGGTTTTGAAAATTCTGCTTTCTTTAGTCGCTTCATCTACCGGAAAGTTGATCACATCTTCCGTATCCGATTCTTGAGTTTGAAAAAAGGGTGCAATGAAATTCTCAGCTTTATCTTGCGGCAGGTTCAAAGTGTTTGCCCATAAAACGACGAAACAAAATATCAAAATAAAAACAAAGTCTTTGACAGAACTTTCCATTTTTCTCTTTTTATCAAGATAATTCAGAGATTCGAACGAAAGAAAAGCTGATATTTTGAAATCGCCAAAAACAAGCTATGAAATTCTCTTGGGATAACCCGGGTACACACAATTTTCGAAATTTTTATTTCAGATTTATCCTTTTTCGTTTTTTTTTGAAAAATGTCAAATCATTTTAAATTCTTGTTGTGATTTTTTGTGGCTTGGTCAATTCCAAAATATTTCTTTTGCCGATTTAACTAGAATCTGTATCATAAACCCCTATGGGACACAGGCTATGGCTTATTTTTTTAAATTTGCAGGAAAATATTTTAATGCTAAATTTGCTCTTTATCTTTGAATTTACGCGAAGAAATACAATAACTCCCTTACTGAAAACACCCTAAAGAAACAAATATCATTTTTTTAAATATGCGAGATTGTTTTATTTTTTTTAAGATATCACCAGAAATAAGGAAAATAAGGAGTACAGAATCATTTTGCCGAGCCAATTTTTTCGTAAAATTATTCACGAAATGAATAATTATGAGAGAATAGGAAGAGAGAAGTCAAGATCGTAGCTGGATGTAGAAGAGAGTCCGTGTCGGTTGGTGAACCAGATGTCGTTGAATGTGGCATCATTGCTTCCGTAAAGCGTCACAGTTGCCGAAACACCGCTGCCGTTGGGAATGGTGAATGAGTTTCCGTCGGAGTTACCAGCGAAGAATTGATTTGGCTTGTTAGCATCGGAGGTGGAGGCGTAAGCAGAAGTTGAAGGGGCAAAGCAAGTTCGGCAAACGGAAGCGATCGAGCCAAGTCGTGGGATTCGGTTGCCGCTGGTGTGCATCTGATGACACTGTGCGAGGTTTCTTAAAGCTTTAGCTCCTGTGATCGAGTTCTGTTGCTTGAGGTCCCAGCAAGCTTGAGCGTTCTTGCAGCCAGTGCAGATCTGGGTCAACTTATCAGCTTGATGACTTCGTCGGACTTCGAGGAAGCAAACCTCGCCATTTTCGCATGGCTGGTTGACCTCATCGTTGGTTTGACCAACAACGGCGCACTTTGCTGGGGTCATAACGTCGCACTTGATGCAGTGTTTAGTGATTCTGGAAGTGGTGGTGAAAGTCTGAGTGGTCGGCGACGTAGTGGTGGCCTGCACAACTCCGAAGTATCGAGCTTCGTCTTTGTCTCGTCCCGCCTCGTCGGCGACAGCGGCATCAGCGTCAGCGGCGGCAGCGTCGGCGTCGTCGTAGTTGTAAGCAGCAGAAAGAGAGTTGTAATCGCTGCCGTAGGCTGAGTCGTAGAAGGCTCCGCTATCGAATCCGGCGTAAGCACTTTCTCCGTAGTCGAAAGCAGAATCCCCGAAGGAGAAGGTTCGTGCATCATCTCCAGCTTCGGAAGCAGCAAAGTCCTGAGCGGAGGCGATGGCCAAAGTTGCAGCGAAAAGTTTCATGATTCGTCGAGTTTTAAGTACAAATCAAAAGATTACTTATACTGAGACTCTTATAAGTTCTGATGAAAAAGACGACACTTTTTTCTTTTATAGGATAACGCTGCCACAATGATAAATAACAAGTCGTCAAGTAACTATGCTTTGTTGATTAAATGAAAATAACACCGTCCTGGTGCCTCTTAACGACTTGCTATTTATCATTTTGGACGAGATAAGAAAATGCCGTCGTTTTCATCAGAACTAAGAAAAATCTCAATATAAGTTATCTAAGATAACTTATCTTTTGATTCTACTTAAAATTCTCGACGATCTGACCCATTTACGGATATACGCCCCGCTCTATCTTATTTCAGAGATCTCTAAAAGGATACACGGCCCGGTTCGCTTATTTTAAGCCATCGTACAATCTCAAGATTGATAAAAGTTTTTGAAAATTAGAGATCTAATATACAATGTAATTTAAAATAATCTTTTTTTTTTCCATATTTTTCATTCTTTCATATCATATTCTTTTCACGAGATATTGAACGGAAGGCGAATGTGAACTGAAAATTGATATAAAGACCGAAGAAATCATCTTCAAAACAAATAAATAGCTCATGAAAAAGCCCGTTTGATTTTGACCAGACTCAAGTTCCCAAAAGAACGAAAAAATTATCTGGAAGCTGATAAGGGGTGAAGTCAGTTGACCCGGGCGCTCGGCGAGACTTCTAAATATCTGCGCGGTCTTAACACTGCAATGGCTTGCTGCATGCTCCATCAACTTTTTTCAGGTAAACTCACATTAGAACACACCGCGCGCCTTGTCCCTGTGTCTAAACGTGGGAAACCTTGTAAAACCTGATAATGGCATCAAGGGTTACAAAGGCAACATGAGCAACATGATTACTCTCCATCAAAAACACATTTTCTGGAATTGTTATCAATAATCGAAATTTTATTATTGCGTTGATTCCCGAATCGTCAGAGTCCTGATTTTTAAGTTCTTTTATTTTTCTAATCTACACATTTATTGCTAAACTTATTTTTAAACAAATAAATTGTATGCTTTTTGATGAGCTGTTTAAAAAGATCTGCCCTTTTACGCAAAACCGTCTTAACCATCTCAGCATTTCAGAATTGCCGAATCGGTAGGTCTGGTTGATTAAAACGAGTCTTCTTTTATCCAATCACAAGCTCTGGTCACCGTACTTTGCTTATCCTCTGCTTAAGAGTCCTCTCTGAAGATCCGCCAATCAGGACCTCTGGTACCGACAGCATCAATGCGCATCATTTTTATCCTCATGATTAAAGTTTTATGGCCACAACGTCTTAAATTAACTTTGATACACTTTGATTTCATCCCGTTTTCGCACTTTTAAGGCTCCAAATAAGTTTCTTTGGTTGAGCACTTGAAGAACTGGGCAAAAAGTCAGCTCACCGGTAGTAAGTCAGAAGGTCCTCCATGTCCGAAGTGGATAATTATTCACCACCACACGTGATTCTCACTAATCTGATGTCGTAGCTAACCGTGGCCAGAGCTTCTGATTTGTCCGTTAGTTTTTTATTGAGTTTGTGCTTCTCAGCGAATTAGAACTTCTGGTCCTGCGACATTTAGAGAGCGTGCGAATAGAAAGCTCTGGTTTTGCGCCATTCTCAGTGCTCGCGAATAAAAATCTCTGGTTAAAATGACCATTGATCGTGATTGGTCAGGTGGAGCACTAGAATATTTTCCTCTGAAATATTCCTCTGCCTCTGACCAGAGATGGTGATTGGTAAAATGAAGTTCCCCTACAGCTTACGGTTGGGCGGTTCAAAACCAGAGTTATTGATTGGAGGGCTTCTTAAATGCTTGTTACTATATAAGAATCGGATAGGGCCTATTTAGTTCATTCACCAGAACGTAAGTCTTTTTATTCTGAGAGAGGTCCGATCAAGAGAATTTATTTATTGATCAATGTAGAAGATTTTTTATCTGAAGATAAATCAAAAATTTAAAGCTTGTCAATTTTTAATATATAAAACATAAATAATATCGAAATTCATGATGCCTGAAAGCATTAATTTTTGCTTTTGAACGCAAATCAGTCCAAATTATTAAAATTGCTTTGTACACCAAAATTTCTATTTATTCTAATTAATGATGATATTAAATTTTCAGACGGCTCGGCTTTAAAAAATACCAAATTAATCATTATATCAAATCATAAATATAAATCTAATGCATTAAGGGGATAGAACTAGATTTTCCGAATAAAAGTGATTTTCGAGAGCCACTTCAAATAAGAAAAAAATAAGATGTTGCTAGAAAAAGGGTTAAACTATCTTAAAATGGAATAGAAAAAATTTGGCTCGTCACGTGAATCTAGAAATTTGAGGACGCGAATGGGCTAAAATCGCAATTTTTGAAGAGATGCGTTGACGTTTCGATCCTTTCCGCAAAAATCCATTGACGAAAAAAATTTTTAAGAAAAATGTTGCTAGATCTACATTTGCTGGATCTACAGCCTAAGAGAGAATTTGAATATCTTAGCTCGCCTGGCTTTGAGCGCCGGTTTCGAATTGGCTATTTTCGAAAAACCTAGTTCTACCCCCTTAACGCATGAATTTCGTTAACGAAAGATCGGACCTTGATTCTAATCAAAGTTCACCGTCTGATATCAAATAATTAAGGATGAAGTTATTAGCATCTGTTTTGTCTGTCGCCGCAGCCGACTATGCGTGCTGCCCATACGACGACTTTGGAGTCCCTCACGATACTTGTATTGAGGTCTTGAGCGAAAAATCTCCATTTTCTCCGGTTGATCCAGCAACCACTCTTGTTCCACAGGAGTCTTATGCTTGCAAGGCTTGGGAAGCAAACGCGGGCGCTGCTTCTGAGTCCCACAAAGGAACAAGCACTGTTCAAAATGACTGGGGAAGCTGCGGTTTCCAGCGACATTTCCCTTGGTACCATTCAAAGGCCGGTGATACCTCTGATAATCTTCATAAACTTGGTCTTTGGACGAGCGGAGCTGCTAACTACCAAGTACTCGCTACTGGTGGAAATTTCGGAGCCAATACTAATCCGGCCGATGTGAACGCTAGTAATGGTTGGAATATGCTCTCCCTTACCAGAGGATCTTTCTCCGGTGAAGATAAGGGCGCTGCTGCCGAGGGAGGCAAGCCAGTTGTTGGAGAAGTTCATCTTGGTGCAGTTTGCAAACTGTTTGTTCCTGTTCAGAAGAATTTCATCCGCCAAGTCAGTGTTGCTGGTGTTCACGTCAATAATGCTCGAGTCGCTGGGGGATCTCTTCGAGCATTCTCGACTGAAATGAATGCTGCTGTTGTCGGTAACTTTGCTGGTTCCGCTGGCACCACTCATTCTGCGAGCTACCATGCTGGTACTGCATACTGCTTCTCAGTTGTCAATATTGCCGAGTTCATGACAAACAGAAAGAATAACATCGCTAACGCCAACGTCGCTGGTGAAGATGAAACTGCCCGTGGAGCAGGCGGCACTGGCAAAGAATGGTTTGGTGACGATGTCGGCTTTAAATACGACGATACTACTGGTGCTGCAACTGCTGCTCAATTTGGTACCATCTGGCCAGGTTTCGACCAAAACACGAACTTCGGCCAGTTGAAGGGAACTCCTGGAGATAAAACTTCTGGACAACACAAAGTCAACATGGGATCCAACTTCGATGTTGTTGTTCACTTTGATACCGCCTGGTGTGCTTCTCACTGGAACATTGTTGACATGCAGAAGAGCAACGATCATGGCTATGGCGAAACTACCGGAAACGCTGTTCCTTCTCCAAATGATAAGCAACAGAATCTCCGATCATGGAACGGTGGAGCTGCGCCCACTTATGGCACTAAGGAAGCCCTTATGGATGCTTGGGATAAGCGTCTTAGAGGTGATGTTGGATCATGTGGTCTCTGCTACGATAAAAATGATGGCGTTCAACGTGGTCCAAACGCTGATGGCCTCACATCGTGCCGAGCCAATAGCGTTCTTGGTTTCACGAAAACTCTCAATGCTGATACGACCTTGAACAACGAACTTATGGACGATAATTTCGGCTTCAATTACAACACTGCTGGTTCCGGCAGTTGCACAAATCTCAACACATACACAAGTGGAACCCGAAGATGGCCAAACGCTGGTGCATGGGCCGCCTTCTACTCATTCATCACTTGTGCTCGCTCTGACTACGTAAGTTCATACCTCTTATTTTTTATCTATATGATATTCCTTACATAAAATCAAATTGATTCAATAATGAATTAAGATGATTTATGGACCTGCCACAAGAAACTTGAGAAAGGTCAATGTCAATGTCATGGGCGGACTTGCAGGAGGTCATTTGACTGAAGACAAAGGAGCTGAAGGCGCCGAAGCTTTCCAAGATGGTACCCACAACAAGCCAGCTGAAAGTGGTGTTGGTAACAACGACAACCGTATGGTCATCGTTGGAGGTTGGCATCAGGATTACCGCCACGGTGTTGGCGCTTGCGTCCGATTTAATCTCCGACAGGTAATTTTTTATTATTTTCTGAAAATTTTTCCAATTTACTTTGTGGTTAATTGTCAATTTTTATTGCTGAAATCTATCTTTTTTAACGGGCGGTTTAAGGTCGGTAACAATGTCGAATATTGTGCTGATGGTGATGAAGAAGCTTTCAATGCTAATGCTTACACTGCAAACTACAACCCTACTGGAGACACCAGCCTCTGGTCGCAAAATAATCCAAAACGATGCACATGGAACTGGAATTACAAAACATCTATCAACAGTAATACTTATGATGCTGAGGCATGGTTCGACAGTGTCGACCCTCTTCACAAGCAGGTGAATAACTAGCAAGACTTAGTCTCTTAACTTCTCTTTTTCATAAAAAATATATTGATCTGAACTTTGAAAATAAAGGTTTGGAACTCGGAAGCATGGATCGATGAGCCTCATCCAGGAGTTGTCAGCTCGCAAGCTCAAAACTATGCTGTCAATGTCGCCTTGGGAGCACTCACTGATACTCTCAACATCAAACTTATGGTTCAAGACAAACGACCAAGCGCAATCAACGGTGTTGCAGTTACTGCCGCCAGCTATGTTGGACCAAATAAACTTGAAATGGATGCTGCTGTCTCTGGCAGTTCCGGCTACCTTAACATTGTGACAGCACCAACGTAAGTAATTATATTATAAGTTTTTTTAAAGGGGCTTCTTCTTAATACTTTTCTTTTCAGTCAGTGGGATGCCGCCAATACTGGTAATTCGCGAACCGATGCTGCCGCTGAAGTGACACTTTTCGACACCACTACTGGAGGAACTTGGGCTGCAATCTCCCTTACCTGCCGACGAGGATCAAGTCCTTCAACAGACCGATCTGACTTCCCTGACTGCTTCTTTGGTGACGAAATCCACGGACAATGGGTTTGGGACACCACCGATAGATTGAAAGATCTTGATGCTGCTTCTGGAACTAGCATCTGGAAGTTCTGGGCCATGATCGATGATAATAATACTTATTAATTTGGATAATTTTATTATCTTGCTTGTCTCTGTCAAATAATTTTACAAATTTTGGAGAAAAGATAACCACCAGAAACGATTGTTAACTGGTTTGCAGGTTTTCTTTATTTGGTTAAATAAATTGGTGTCCAAAGTACGATGTGTTCTTTTTTCTTACAACAAATATGATTGCGTTTTCGTCTCTTACATTTTGCAGGTCCTTGATAACCAAATATAACTTATAAAGGATTCAAAATAAGATAAGGTATCATTTTGTGAGTCGCATACTAGCGCAAATTAGGGGGACGCGGAAGGTGAGTAGGGCATACATGTATATAGGCCAAGATTGAAAAAGATAACAGCTGCGCGCACTTGCATAGAGATCAATCGTTACCTGGTAGTAAAGGCCCTTTACTAAAGGGAACTGTAATCTACACTGTAAATCTGCTACAGCAGGGCACCGAGCAGGGCATTCGCTGAAAATATCCGTTTTGAGATGCAAAAATCCCTTCGAAATCCGACTTATCAAGAGCTAATAATTCATTATGAAACGTTCATCGAAGGTAAAAAAAACCTCGTCGAAATTTCAATTATCGATTCGATTGTACAAATTCTGACTTTTAATCTTCTGACCCTATTGAGGATATTTCTAGCGAATTATGTTTTTTTGTCTTCCATATCTCTGAGTGTTGAGCTTAAAATGATTTATCAGCTCAACTCGCTCATTTTTTTTGTACATCTGCTCAGCCCATCACTGAGAGTAGCCTCGTCACCGTCGAGTTTGGCAGATGTGCTGCCTCTGCGGGTGGTCACCTTGCATCCCCCTGCCTCGGCTTGGTGCCTTCACCGACCGATGGACCATGTTGGATCCTTGGTGTTTGTCGAACCAATACAAAAAATAACATTAAATGAAAATTCTTTCAATTTTCTTGGAGATATCCATACGCAATAGAGCCTGAAGAAAAGAACTCAGAAATTTTACAATCGGAGGTTATTTTACCTAGTTTCATTAGGAATGATTAGCTCTTGATAAGTCGGATTTCGAAGGGATTTCTGCATCTCTAAACGGATATTGTTCGCGAATGCCCTACTCAGTGCCCTGCTGAGGCTGATTTACAGTGTAGATTACAGTTCCCTTTACCATCAGGTAACGATTGATCTCTATCCAAGTGCGCGCAGCTGTTATCTTTTTCAATCTTGGCCTATATATGCCCTACTCACCTTCCGTAGCCTCCAAATTAGAATGAGAATGGAAAAAGCATTGAATGTAATTGCTTAAAAGACAGCAAATTCTGTTTCTCGTTTTGGCTAAAGTTGAAATATCTATCCAAAAAACAAGTCTCATTTGTAATTTTCTCTCGGCTGCCTCCAAAAATATTTTTTCAGATTCGACCCTTGGAAAATGATTCATATTTCTGCAGCTTTTACAAAATCGTAAAAAAAGCTAGTGCAGGTTTCTAAGGCTCGTCGAGACTAGTCAAAAAATTTGTTTAATTTCGTTTTACGCAAAAAATTACCGGTTTACCGTTCGAAATTTCGCGAACACCGTTCGCAATGAAATGAAATTGCGTCGTGAGGATGCGCATTCTTCGCGCATTATCAGGAAGAGAACTCATTTAGTTGGCAGGGGCAGTCTTTCTCTACCGCTAGGACACATTTTGAAATAAAGAAGAACTCGATTTTTGACCGAAATTTATTCGATTTTGGGAACGCCGTTCGTAAATTGCAAAAGCCATTCGCAAAATAGCCTTTGCGAACGAGGCCGCCCGCTTCCCTAAAAACAGTAAATTTTACATTTATTTTGATGTTACTGCACGTTCCTGATTTTTAGTCATCATTAGCCTAAATTAAAGTACATTGATGTACTGATACGACCATCATCCTTCATCCTCGAGAAGAACTGACTAAATATTATGATGAAAAATTTCTGGGTCGATCATCAGTTTATCATTTCTAGAATAAAAACATTTCTTCCGAAAACAAGTCGGTTATCCAGAAAATCCTAAGAGGTAAGACTCATCATTTAATTCGACTCGACCAACAGAAGAATTGGCTAATTTTTCGCGTGTTTCGGCCTCAGACAAAGTTTTCTTAAATCATCATTATCAAAACTTCCAAAAAACGCTTTTTTATGAGGATGACTGAAATTTGTATCTAACGACTTGCATTAGATTTCTTTTATCCTGACTCAAGGTGGAATGCAGTCACCTAGATTTACCAACCCAGAGTTTCATAATGCGCAGCCTGGGTTTACCAACAGGGGCGAACAGGTCTTGCAAAATGCTCTCAACTTCTGAGAGCCTCGGTTGGCAAGAATATAAAAATATAAGAAACGGTATCGCTATCTAATAGATAGCCTATCTATAATCTGCTCTTTTTGCCTTGACACATTTTTCTGGACTATATTTTGAGCAGACAGTACCAATTTGTACCCGAACTTTCTTGTCTAGGGCAGGCTTAGGTGAGTTTTGGTAAGATAAAATTATTTTCGGCCTCAGAATCAAAATCTACAAAAAAAAAATTACGAGGTAAATTACAAGGTTATTTATTTTATGAAATTCCAATTTTTTACTCTTTTAAAACTTCACTTTTGAGCTTATCCTCGGCTTAGCTTGCTGATTTTGAAGCCATCTCAAACCGAGCGTTGCTCGAAATTGGTGCTAGGACCAGTCTCTGCAGGACATCGCAGCAGGTTGCGCGTGTCGGTGGGCCCGTTGCATCCTATTTGCACAGCTTGACACCTGCCTGTACTTGGGCATTGCGAGTTTTTAGCACCAACACAAAGCGGAGAACCCCGCTTATTTGTTTAGAGACAAAGCGTCGCTATTTTCACTTTATCGAGATGGCATAGTTTTTTGACGACTTGTTATTTATGATTGTGGCAGCGTTATCCTATAAAAGAAAAAAGTGTCGTCTTTTTCATCAGAACTTATAAGAGTCTCAGTATAAGTAATCTTTTGATTTGTACTTAAAACTCGACGAATCATGAAACTTTTCGCTGCTACTTTGGCCATCGCTTCCGCTCAGGACTTTGCTGCTTCCGAAGCTGGAGATGATGCACGAACTTTCTCCTTCGGGGATTCTGCTTTCGACTACGGAGACAGTGCTTACGCTGGATTCGATAGCGGAGCCTTCTACGACTCAGCCTACGGCAGCGATTACAACTCTCTTTCTGCTGCGTACAACTACGACGACGCCGACGCTGCCGCCGCTGACGCTGATGCCGCTGTTGCCGACGAGGCCGGACGAGACAAAGACGAGGCTCGATACTTCGGAGTTGTGCAGGCCACCACTACGTCGCCGACCACTCAGACTTTCACCACCACTTCCAGAATCACTAAACACTGCATCAAGTGCGACGTTATGACCCCAGCAAAGTGCGCCGTTGTTGGTCAAACAAACGATGAGGTCAACCAGCCATGCGAAAATGGCGAGGTTTGCTTCCTCGAAGTCCGACGAAGTCATCAAGCTGGTAAGTTGACCCAGATCTGCACTGGCTGCAAGAACGCTCAAGCTTGCTGGGACCTCAAGCAACAGAACTCGATCACAGGAGGCACAGCTTTGAGAGACCTCGCACAGTGCCATCAAATGCACGACACCAACAACCGAATCCCACGACTGGGCTCGATCGCTTCCGTCTGCAGAACTTGCTTTGCCCCTTCAATTTCCGCTTACGCCTCCACCTCCGATGCTAACAAGCCAAATCAATTCTTCGCTGGTAACTCCGACGGACTCTCATTCACCATTCCCAACGGCAGCGGTGTTTCGGCAACTGTGACGCTTTACGGAAGCAATGATGCCACATTCAACGACATCTGGTTCACCAACCGACACGGACTCTCTTCTACATCCAGCTACGATCTTGACTTCTCTCTTCCTATTCTCTCATAATTATTCATTTTGTGAATAATTTTACGAAAAAATTGGCTCGGCAAAATGATTCTGTACTCCTTATTTTCCTTATTTCTGGTGATATCTTAAAAAATAAAACAATCTCGCATATTTAAAAAAATGATATTTGTTTCTTTAGGGTGTTTTCAGTAAGGGAGTTATTGTATTTCTTCGCGTAAATTCAAAGATAAAGAGCAAATTTAGCATTAAAATATTTTCCTGCAAATTTGAAAAAATAAGCCATAGCCTGTGTCCCATACGGGTTTATGATACAGATTCTAGTTAAATCGGCAAAAGAAATATTTTGGAATTGACCAAGCCACAAAAAATCACAACAAGAATTTAAAATGATTTGGCATTTTTCAAAAAAAACGAAAAAGGATAAATCTGGAATAAAAATTTCGAAAATTGTGTGTACCCGGGTTATCCCAAGAGAATTTCTAACCATAAAAATTCACAACGTCATCTTTTTTCATTTTTTATTTTCAAGGATTGTCAGGAAAGCAAAGGCCAGTGTATTCTTTGCCAATAGCACTTGCAATGAGTTTGACATTCGTCTCGTTCTCGAAGAACCCGTCGATTTGTCTTTCAAGTAAAACATTCGCGCTAGGAAAGAAACAGTTAGGCAAGATCTAAGAATGTTTCATTGGTACCTCCACGTGCTAAAACAAGAATAAACAAAAAGCGTTGACAAATAACAAAGCTCTTGTTCCATCAGCGAGATGATATCTCCAAAGTCTTCCTTGATTTCAACGCAATTTTTGAACTCTTCTTGCAAAAATTCCACAAGTAGTTGATCGCTTACGACTTTTTGTCCATCTAATTCTTTCTCAATTTTTTCTAAAAGAGGTTTTTCGTCTGGAGGACTGGCGAAGTAGATTGTTGTTAGGTTCTTCGATTTTAGTGTTTTTGATAGCTCAGTGCCGAATTTCTTTTGATACTTTTCTTCAGACTTCATCTCAATCAGGGTTCAAAAATCTCTCGACAAAATTAACTAGACTCGAGAAATCACGCCCCCGCCCCCCCCTAAGGCCAAAACAAGGGGGCTTCGCCCCCCTTTAGAGTTCCCAGTCCCTAACCCTAACCACTAGCAGAGATTCTAGAGATATTTGATGGCTCGAATGATTACCTCTTTGAAATCAAGGTACGTAGGCAAATTGGTCTTGGTGATTTCGAACCCTTATCTCCAAAATAAAATCCTCGGCCATTTGCCTTCGCCAGTTTTTGTTGTGAATATAGTCGTTCTGAACGCATTCTATTATTCTTTCTCGATATCAATTCTTACATCATCATATCGCCAATGCATCACGGCAATTTTTTCAATTCCATTTATTTCCAAAAATTTTTTCGCCGCTTCTCTGATAAACACTGGCCTCCTTGTGTGCTTGATTATTTCTATCAGTTCTTTGAATTCACCACTTCTTTGTCTGCTTTTGAGTTGAGTTTGCTTCGAAATTTCTTCAGCAGGAATCGTGCTCCAGGGAAATTGTAATTGAGCGCATTTAACATCAGAAGAAAAGTACTCAGCGACTTGGGTGCGGTTGATTGCATCTCGAAACGGCATTTCTCTTGAAAAACGATCGCTATAGATATGCTCTTCCGCGTACTTCAGACCGTAATACTCCATGTTTACTGCATCATGGCCATCGCCATCGTTTCTTGTATAAAAAACAGCGTCGATTTTTCCATCACAAAGCGTTGAAACTTCTGCCGGATCAATTAAGGAGACGACTTTCGAGAGACTTTCTACGTCGACACGCATAGAAGCGTTGATAACTGTTGGCAGTTTTTCCCATTGATTCCAGTTTGGATAGAATATGGGCACAGCGAGTGAACGGTTCAGAGCTTTGGCGATGTACACTGCTTCTCGAAGTCCTTGAAGTTGATTGTTCGGACCCCAGACAAGCACTGGTATAAGAATACGCTTTCCTTTAATAGGGGGTTCTCATGAATTAAAATTCAAAAGCAAGCTGTTTTAAGCTGTAAGAACCCTGCTTCAGTGTTCTTCTCATAATTCGGAATATTCCTTGAAGAACAATTTTTTTGAAAAGTAAAGTTGTTTGGCGGCGATTCTTGTCCTTTCTCTTTTTCTTGTAAATAATTCATTTTATCTTGAAGCTTCTGATTCATTTCCGAAACCGACAATTTCGAGTATGTTTTTCCCAAAAATGCGAAAAATAAAAAAGTTAGAATCAGAATCAGAGTCAATTTTACAGAATTATCTCTTATCATCTTTCTTTTTTGTATTGAGCGAAAAATTCTTGTGGATGTTCTTGGTCTAAGGGTGCTATTTTGAAGAGCTTTCTCGCAATATTTTACATGCGGTTTCGAGTGCACCAGCAGAAACAACCGGCGATTCTCGTCTGCGCCGGTAAAAAAAGAAAAAAAATGATTGCCCAAAAAAAGTTTGGGTTTCTTCTGATTTATTCTTTAATTGTGTTTATTCTTATAAGCCAGAGAATCTTCCTCCAAGAAAAAAGAACAAACAGCTCTAAAGATGAAACGAACCTGAAGTTTTTTATCAACAACGGATCCTACATCCCCCAAAAAACGAACATTCTTCCTTACAAAATTCTTCATTCCCCGAAAGAGCCGCTCGAAGAAATCGAGATTATTTTTGGCATCAAAACAGTTTCAACCAAGCGTCAACGACGAGATGCCATAAGAAGATCTTTCGGAAACGCAAATTTATACAAGCATAAATTCAAAGTCAAGTTTGTCTTCCTTCTCGGGCAAAAAGAAATGGATGAAAATCACGAAATCCTCGAAGAGCTAAAACTCCACGATGATATCTTGTACGGCGAGTTCAAGGAAAACTACTGGAACTTGACAGTCAAGGAGCAAATGTTCTTCTCTTGGACGACGCAAAACGCACCTAATGTTAAATTTGTCTATCGCGGCGATGATGACACTTTTCTGAACCCGCTGAAAATATTGGAGTTTTTTGAGGAAAAATGGGACCTCGCTGAGGATGAGGCGGCAATGTGGGGAATGAAATTTGGCAGTGGATATGACTCAACGATTGAGAAACAAGAGTTCAGAGACAAAATTTAAGGGTATCAAATAATAATGATATAATTATAAGTGATAATAATAAAATAATAAAAAACTTTTAAAAATAATTATTAAAAAATTATAAAATATAAAAACCTTGAGAATATCTAATTTTCAGGGGGGGGGGTCGACGAGAATTTTTTCAAGGTGATCGTAATTTCGCTTAAACACATAGTCAGGATATGAATCTTATATTTTTTGGAATCTACAGATTCTCCCGAATTTGTTGAGTCTAAAATCATTTGATAAAAATTAGATTTAGGGGTCGAAATGAACAAAATTGTAAAGAAATTGACAATTTATGGTGCATTTTCGAGAAAATGGCCCTACTTTGACGAGATTTTTGACCGATTTTTCTGGCCAAAAATTTTTCTAGTTTTCGCCGCCTGATTTTCACAACCCTATTCTATCCACCAGTAAAATCAGATTTTGCCTATCTAATCAGGTTTTCCCGCATTTTTGGTCACGGAAATCCCGATTCTCGTCGACCCCCTCCTTAAATTAAGACAATTGTCAATTGACACCCTTAAAAAGGTGGCCGTATCCAAAGTATCCGGCGTGGGTTTCTGGCTCCGGTGGATTTCTGAACCGAAAAGCACTATTCATGCTCCAGAGTCAAATGCAGCTCATCCCGTTCATAATCATCGACGACGTCTTTGAAGGAATCGTCTTCAAGAAAATGGATTTAGAGCATCGAATTTTCCACGACGAGCGCTTTCTCGCGTTTCCAATAGAAGAAAACACGCCGATTTGCAAACTGCTCAGTGGAATTACTTTGCATTATGCTAAGTTCGACTACGAGTGCATGCTTGACAGTGTCTTCAAATACGCGAGCAAATGCAAAGAAAACCCAAAAATTCGATCGCAGCCGTCTTGTTTCTTTAAGAATTGGTATGCAAGCAGTCTGGAAGCCCCAATTTTCAGGGGGCCGAAATATGCCACACTCGCCAGGCCCGAGTTAGATGAGCCGATCGAGCTGATGCGAAACGGGTCATGTTGTAGCCCTGCAGGGCACTGTGTCGCGCGAAGATGGGACTGCGATTGCCGAAATTGCTCCGATGGTAAAAAATTGCGAGAAATCAACGTTATTTTGAAAACCACGTGACTGGAAAATCCTGCTGCCCGATGATCAAAGTCATTAACACTGACAAGCTTCATCGGGGCATTTATCTTCGGGCGAGTGTCAATGGAACGATTGTCTATCAGTCTGCCAGAAAAGAAGGAAAAATGGCGAAAGCGAGAATTCAGTTTGGAGACCTCGGGGAAGGGAACATGTGGTACGCGTCGATCCTTTTTGGAGATAATTATGCGGCTTACTATGGAAGAGGCTTCTACGCTTGGGTGAAAGACTCCGGCAACGAAAAATGTCCTCCGCCGACGAAATTGGAAGGAAATGGAGGAGAAATCGTCTGTTTTCACGGAATACTCAAAGATCCTTACTAAAAATATTCTGAAAAAAATAACATATACCGCGATTGGCAGTCCTGACTGACTGATTTTTGAAAGATGCACATTGACGTTACAATTCTCCAAAAATTCTCTAAAAACATAGGAGATTTGTAACGTAGATTGCGTAGGCGTCACTGGTTTGACGGAACTCTCAAAGAAGAGACACTAGAGTCAAATTTTAATTGGTTGATTAGCTATTTCACTCGAAAATCAGAATCAGTCAGTCAGAAATGCCAATCGCGGTATTTCTATATAAATAACGACTAATATAATAAATATGATCAAATTTATTTCTGAATGCAGATTTGGTCAACGGCGGCAGATTTTGGCCTGAAGAGTCGGAGGAGATTTCGACCTAAATATATTTGTCCAAAAATTTTTCTTTCTTTTCTTTTAAGGGATCCCCCGGAATCGTCAACTTTTCATTGAAATAACTTTCGTTTTCCCTTATGGATTTTTTAAATTCAATCCGCATATAAAAGCTTATCCCCTAATTACAATTCTAGCGCAGCTTTAGCTCTTTTGGATAAGTGAAACATCCTCAATTTTTGCTTTGAAAAAGACGAATTCCTAAAAAAACGCGTTTTAGGGGGTATAAAGGTGGGAATAACTTTGTTTTGAGGTATCAAAGTTCTCTGATAACTTCTTCAATATGAAAAATGTACCCTCATCTAAATTCAAGCGCAGCTTTAGCATGATTCATCATGTCAGTAAAAAATTTTCTTAAGAAAAACTTTTCGAACCCATTTTTGCCAGTTTTTTAGCTTCAAATTGCCCTCTAGCGCCGAATTACGGCCAAAAATTCTTCTGCGGTTATAATATTCTTAATCAGTAGATTCTAAGCTTTCCAAAGACCCCTTATTTGTCTATTTTGGATGACATTGAAAAGTCGAAAAAAATACGATTTTTACGCTAAGTATAATTTACATGTATTTTTGCGATTTTTGAAGGCCAAAATTTCGGGTTAGGATGTTTGTTAGGGGGTACCATAATATATCAAAATGATCCTCAGAACACGAGAAATCTAAATATCCCACAAAGAGACCCGTTATAAAGCTTTGAAATTCCGGGAGGGGACCCCTTAATACCCTGAAGATAGTTGAACCAGTTCAAGTCGAGGGTGGAAACTACTGTGCCACCAGATTCGTCGTGATTGTAAACTGGAACGATATCAATATCGATATATTCGGAAGGATCTGAATTCGAAAAATGAGCTTTGATATTAAATTTTCTGAGAATTTACCAAAAACACGAGACCCGCATCGGGTTTCTTTGTGTTCCTTTGTCCCACTTTCTGAGCAGTTTTGTTGCATATCTGTTCAAGCTCGAAAATTTCGTTGAATAATGAGAAAAGGGGGATTATTTTAAGCTTTTCCTAGAAAAGTAGGTATGCCGATTTTGAGAGGTATGCGTAAATTGGCGAGTTGGTTGTAAGTTAGTGTCTCTTGTTCGTCCTCGAACGCTCTTTGAAATGCTTTGATGAAGAAATGCAACTCTTTGTCGCTTTCTATCAATTTTCCTCCGAGAAGCTGGCAGGCCTCTTCTGAATCTCGTCTTAAAAAACACATGTTTTCTTTAAACATTCGATTGAAAATTACATCGCGATCCCATAAAATGGATTGTTAACGCCCTGAAAAACCGTCAAAGTGCTGAAAGCTGCATTCTGGCCAAGTTCTTCCCAAGCATTTCCTTTTCTATCCCACGCTTGCAAGATCGAGAAATTGTTAAACATATTCGGTTCATACCACGTAAAATCTTAACAATAAATTTAATAAATCCTAGATTATTTCAAAAAGTTTTTGTGGGGCCCGAAATCGAAAAAAACTGCGAGTGCAGTCTAGGGTCGGCACCGACCACCTACCAAAACCCGACCTGGTCGTGTTTGGTCGGGTTGATTTTGGTATCGACCAACCCAACCTGAGATTTTTATCCTTTATTTGGTCGGTGGTCGGGTTTGGTTGGTCGATGGTCGGTTTATGGTCGGTTTTGGTCGGATTTTGATCGGTTTATGGTCGGGTTGGTCGGTTTTTGGTCGGACACCTACGCATTTTCTTCACCACTCGAGTATTATTTTTGTGAATAACTAAAAGCGAATCATAGTTTGGTTGGATAAAACCGACCCGACCGGACCAAAACCGACCACCGACCGACCAGAAACCGACCAAAAATTAAGGCGACCCGACCAACCAAAGCGACCACAGATTTCGCCCAATTTCTGGGGGACCGACCAACCCGACCTGGGAAAGTCGTGGTCGGTGCCGACCCTAGAGTGCAGTTTTTTCCAGCTCGTTGAGACCAATCGAATGATGGGTCTAACTCCTGATAATTCTAAGGATCGACCGGTTTACCGGCTGGTTACCGGAAAATACGTTGTCACCGGCCGTTTTCGTTCTAGAAGTGATAGACTAATGTTTGACACCGGATATTGTTCCTTATAGTCAGTTCTTCTGCAGGGTAAAAGATGAAGGTTCTATCAATACTCTTAAGAGAGTTATCACTAAAAAGAGAAATTTTTACTAAAATTTTATTGTTGCTGCACGTTCCTAATTTCTAGTCCCATTTTTGCCAAAAATAGTATTTTAGTGATAACTCTCTTCAGAGTATTGATAAAACCCTCATCTTTTACCCTGCAAGAGAACTTACTTTAAGGAACTTTTTCCGGTGTCAAACATTAGTCTATCACTTCTAGAACAAACCGTCCGGTGACAACGTATTTTTCGGAAACCAGCCGGTAAGCCGGTCGATCCTTAGAATTATCAGGAGTTAGACCCATCATTCGACTCGTCTTGACGAGCTGAAGAAAACTGCACTTGCAGTTTTTACGATTTCCGGCCCCAAAAAAGTTTTTGAATCATCCTAACTGAAAATATGACTGGTATCTCTTCTCGCTTACCATCTCTTATATTCTTGTCATGATGGCTTATTGTCCAATCAAACCCATTTTCGTAGAAACAAACTTAAAATTAAAAGGAGAAAAAGATGAATGGTCTCACCAAGAGTCGCGTACAATCCTCTTTCAGGATCGACACTTTGGATTGACCATTTGAAGAGAGAACGTGGCTCCATTTTAACGCAGTAAGGGTCGCAATTTCCATGAGAGTCTCTCACATCGACAGTTAAATAAGAGTACTCTGGATCAAGTTCTCCTAAAGTGTTGCGAGAGATGAAAGAGAAATTATCGAGGATGTTGCCATCGCTGTCCGCCAATTTGCCAATATTGTTTGCCGTCACGAAGCTTTTTGATGCTAGTCAAAGAAGTGGAAAGCGCGAGAAGTGTCTTTGATGGCCTCAAAAGATCGCTAGCCTGACCTGTAGTCCGTCATCGTTCGCCGGTTCAAGTAAGCGACGGTATCTCCAGCCGAGAACTCAGGTCGGTCGAAAATATTTGGCAAAATTTGCATGGCGAAATTGACTATTTTAAAAATCGGCAAATATTATTCCGAAAAAATTGATGAAAAAATACTTATTTGTAGAATATCGTCCTTTGTTTTCGGGCGAGGAAGACTTGCATCCAAAGTTCCGCAAATCTGACGGGCTTCCTGTTTTCTAAAATCCGTTAATGAACAAAATTCTTGAAGCAGGACACTTACAAATCCATTGTGCCTGCATGCAAATTAGTCATTAGCCCCAGACAATTCTTAATCATGGTAATATTTCTGAATTTGCCGTCGAATCGGATTCGCGAAGTGTAAAAGAGCACTGCTCTTGTGTTGCCGTTTTATCGCTTGCTGTCAAGGGGATCCAGCGAGGCACGGCATCGCAAATCATCGATGACGGTTTGCAGGGATTTTTCTGCCAGTCCAGGCCAATTTCTTCGCGGTGAATGGTCAGTTTGGGCAGAGAGTTCAGCTCGGAAAAGGGTGATTCCGAGAATCGAAGATCATTGTAAATTCTGATGTTTTCGAATACTTTTTCGTGATTTGAATAAAAATATAATAAATCAGTCAGTCAGATATGCTAATCGCGGTAATAAGATATACCTAACTTATATGATCACGTTATTTTCTGGTATGTTTAATTCTGGGGTCGGCGACCCATCTTTCAAACAAAGATGGGTTAGGGAAAGATGGGTTTTCCCGAAAGATGGGTAAGATGGGAATGATAGGAAAGATGGGTTTCAAAGATGGGAAAGATGGGTAACCGAAAGGTGGGGAAGATGAGTTCCAAATATGGGAATTATGGGTGTCAGAGAAGGAAATGATGGGTTTTCAGAAACAGGAAATCATCATTATCATTTATCAATGGAAGAATAAAACTGTACATCAGGTTTAGATAACAAGATAGACATCCGATCTTAAAACTGAGTGAAACCCATCTTACCCATCATTTGAACCCATCTTACCCATCTTTGGGAGACCCATCTTTCCCATCTTACAGAATCAGATGATGGGTTATGGAAAGATGGGTTTACCCATCATTCCCATCTTTCCCAGCACCCATCATACGGTATGATTCATACCCATCTTTGAAAGATGGACCGCCGACCCCAGGTTTAATTCAAATCACTTTCATAAGAAAAGATAAACAAGAAAAACACCAAATCCAGCAAAAATAGCAACAGCCAGACCCTTTTTTCGACTTCGCTTTTCTTGCCAATTACTGGTAGTATCCGGTTCGCTTTTATTTTCTTTCTTGATTCCTTCGTTTGTCGGCGCTTGCGTCGCGTTTGTTTCTTTAGTTCTGGAATCAATCATTCTTTTTCCTTGCTTGATATTCTTGCCGTTTAGACCAACTCTCTTTTTTTCTAATTTTCTATCTTTTTCGTTCTCCCCCATATTTATGAGAATGAAATTCGTTTCAAAGCTTTTTGACGGTCGCGTTCCGCAAGATTTCGCGAGAAAATAGGCGCTCCAGATGAAAATTTTCAAAGTGACGGATATCTTTTATTTCTGTAAAAAAAGTGTTGCGTTTTTACATGTTTTTAATTGCATCATTTATTCTATTTTCGAGCTTCTTCGTGTTTCCTTCTAAGTGAACACAGAGATTTTCTTCATTTCTCAGGTCGAGGCAGGCTTTTTCTCGGAGGATTCCGTTGAAAGCCACGTCTTTTCAGTTGTTGAAAAAAATTATATAAACACTAATAGTCTAATTCAATTTTCGAATTCAACAATTTCCTTCAATAGGGATTGTGAGAGCTTTTTTGTCATTTGAGCAACATTTGCCATGCTTCTCGCACTCTCCGCTGTCATGAACGCGCAAGGACCAGCAATGTAGTCCGGCCAGAACTGCTTCGCCCACTGATCTTCCGAAATTGTTATTCCCTTTTCTTTCAGCCAGGGATGATTGTGCGCTTTCAAGTAGAAATGTTCATTTGAAATTTCAAATTTTCCGTACCTTTTGCTTTATTCCATCTTTTGCCTAAAATAGTATCTTTTGCTCCTTCCTCTCCCAATTTCTCAATAATTTTCGCAGGGTAAAAAGCAACATCGTCGTCAATCAAAAGATAAAACTTTGCCGAGCCGCAGAATCGCTCAAAGTACTCATAAGAAGATTTCGTTTTCAGAATGAGATTGTCGTAAGTGTCGTCGAAGTCGCCGATGATCCAGTCGTTTTCGTTTTCTATCGGGGTTTCTGATTTTCCGAGAAGGAAGAAATACGCGAAATTTATTTGCTTCTTCTCCAGCTCTAGAAAAAAGGGGATCAAAAAGCGCGAAAACATCGTTAGGTTAGGGTTAGGGTAAGGGGTTAGGGTTGGGCTTAACCTTCGAAATATCGGCGAAGAAGAAGTCGATTTCCCCGATTTTTATGGGCAGTGTTGACGATTATTATCAGTTCTTTTTCTGGACATTTCGGCGCTTCGATGAAACCAACCTCCCAAGATTCATTTGTTTTCCAATTTTCCGGGAGCGCTTCAAATGTCTTGCATGATTTAAGTTTTTTGACTTCCTTATCGAGATCCTCAAAGTCATTTTCTATGATTTCTTCTTCTTCCGTCATTTCTTGTTCTTCCATCATTTCGAGCCGAGGAATATTCTGATCAATCGATTGATTGCACTCATTTTCGAAAGAATAAATGTCACGAGCAGCGCCCTTCTTCTGGTTTCCGAAATAGTAAAACATTTATTTTCTTGCTTATAAGTTATAAGTTATAACAAACCAGTTCCCAAAACTTAAAAAAGTAAAATAACGGAATAATTTTCAATTTTGCTTCGTTTTTCTTTAGTATTCATTTTCTCTTTATTTTCTTCGTTTTCTCGAGCTTCTTTTTCGCTTGCGGAGCTAATTCATAAAGTCAATATTAATTTTTCTTGTGCAAAGATGATTCTTGTCAATGAGAAATGTAAATGCAAAAATATTTCAAGCTCAATTGGAATCTAGAAAATCTGTTTTCACGAAAGAGATTTGACTTCGAAACGCGGTTGTTTGATTTTTCATTATTTATTATCCCCGTCGGCATTTGACATTTCAATAATCACTAACCTGAGGTAAGCCAATTTTAATGGCGATGGGAAAGGAATTTTCGTTAGTAAAATGTACAAATTTTTCGATACAAGTTGTTTGGATTTTTGAACTACCGGTATTATCGGTTTTCAATTTAATAATATTCTCAACTTTTTCTTGAAAAAACTTACGGTTAGTATTTTTCTCTGCTCGTTTCTTTTTGTTTTTTCCTAAAAGAAGAATGAATGGATGAAGATAAAGAAGGAGGATTAACTTACCTTTTATTTTTCTCGAAGTTGACAATTTACGGTCAATAATTTTTCTCTCAAAAGAGCCTCATTTTTCTTTTTCAAATTTAATCACTTCGAGATAACGACCGTCAAGTTTGGCTGTGAATGTAAGCCCGTTGTTCACGGCCTGACGCATTGATCATGATTAGTCTTTATATAAGCTTGTCATTATTAATTATTTCAAATTTATTCTGCAACAAAAATATGACATGAGCAAATTATTTTTGGCAATATGTTTATAATGAAGGGAATTTGCCCTTTATCTGCCCCCTTTTAAAATAAACTTTTAAGAATCTCTCGCTTCAGTTTGCAAAAATCAAATCAAATCTCATTTACAGGTTTTTGTCGCTAAAACTTAATTTTCTATTACAGTTTGAAAATTCAAAACATGTAACTGATCCAGTTTACCCAAGAGATATTGATGCGGCTAACTCGACAAGATAAATGAAATTCGTAAATTTATTGTGGAAATAACTCAAAAAAGGGCCCATCTTTTTATTTGCCTAAAAATCTTTTTAAGCTTAGCCGGCCAGGGTGCACCAGCTATGGAACAGGGATCAAAGGGGTCTCTAACCGAAGTGATTTTGATTTTCGAAAAACGGAAGAAACTGTAGGGATATTTATCGATTAGCTACCCTTAGGTTACCTATAGTCTATAGACTACCCTTTGTTAGGGTAAGGGTTCGGAAAAAGGCTTATTTTGAGAATAACTGCATGCACCATGTATGGTGCATTGCTACAATAGCGCCGACACCTCTGATGGTGTTTTGGCCGGTAAGCAATATTTTTCCGAAAAATTCGCCGAACAGTCTCTCTCTTCGAATTGGAGGACTCTATCCGATGCTGAAACCAAAACCCAAATCCGAACCCAAACCCGAACCCAAACCAAGGACCCAAAAATGAACGCAGTAGACTTTGAATTGAATTTTTAAAGAAGATACGCAGGTGATGCACCACTCACGGAGCATTAGGCCGGTAGGGTCAAAATGACACTTTGACCGGCTAAGGTTAAAAGCTTTTTAACGAGCCTTACTCGTTCCGCGTACGTTGAATGCAGATGGTTTTATTCGTCCGAGGCGTTATTATTGAAAAATTATCAGTTTTTTCTAGGAAAATGATGAGAACAACAACTGCATTTCTGGCCGTTGCGATTTTTCTCGGAACATTTTGTTACTTACTTTTCTATTCCTGCGAGACTCAAGAAACTTTGGACGTTCGAATTAAAGCCAGCGGAATTTCGAGAGAAGAAGAGAAAATCATTTCGGACGCAATTTTCGAGGAAGAAAAAATTGAAGATTTTCAGCTGAAAAAATGGGACAGAAGCAAATCTATTGGATTTTTACGTAAAGTCTTTCGACTCTCATCGATGCCTGAAACTTTTTAGATTGTGGAAAATGTGGCGGTACATCTATGGACAGAACGTTGGGTCCTGTTGTGAGGAAATTATCGACCAGAGAGGACGATAAATATATCGGAAATTTGCACTACGATTGGTCATATTTTGAGCTTTTTGAAAAAGACTCTGTTGAGCCGATTATTTTGTTAAGAGATCCAGTTGAAAGGTAGATTTTTCGACGGACTAAAAATAAGGCCAAAAACGCCTAAGGCGTGGCCAAAAGGGTGTATTTTTTATCAGACCTTTTGTCAAGGCTGAATGTCTTTTTTGATGAAATTGTCAATAAAAATCAAAATTAAGGTCAGTGTCGAATTATCACTTCAAAAAGACGATTCCTGCCGTCGCAAAAAGCAAGCAACCGACCTACGTAAAATTCATGAAGAGCACTTTCGACACGTTTCTTGAGCAGCCAGAGGTCATGGTCGATTTTGCACACTTGTGGATCGACAGTTTTGCCGGCTTGTCGATGATTGACGGACTCATGTCGGATGATTACTACGGGAAAGGATTTTAGACGCTTGTTTTTTCTTCCTTGATTTCAAGGTTTTCGAAATCCAATTTAAAAGAACATCGACGCGAAAAATTTACAAAAACGATCGGGAAAAAATGGATCAAATTTTCCGCGATCGGGAATTGATGAGACTGAATGCTACTTGGTCCCTGAATTTGGCTGCAGACAGACTTGAGAATATGGGCTGGTTTGGAATTCTGGAGAAAATGGAAGACTCCGAAAAGCTTTTATCGTAGGAATTTATCAAGCTAGATTCTCATCATGATTTTTTCTTAAGAAATTATATTGGAGAAAACATCAAGTTGGCGCATGCTCGAAAGACCGCAGATTTGACCGGGCGAAAACCAAAGGCGTCTGATTCAGGTTTTTAAGGACCCCTCCCCCCCGTCAGCTTTTTTCGAAAAATCAAATCTCGGAATTTTAAAATTTTGACCCCGGAAATGGATTCTACGGGTAAAAAAATCGATTTTCGAGGCTTCTTTTTGGGGGTCTATCTCGAGTCTCACACCCTTAAAATCGCATTTGAAAATTGGATTTTTCGCCAAAAATTGATGAATTTGCCCAAATTTTGACAGGAAAATGGAATTTTCTTAGTCAAAAATTCCTCTAATCAAGTTTTTGAAGCAAGTTTAACCAGAGGACGCAAGAAGAACCAAAAACATGGTGTTTTTAAAAATTATCATTTTTCGAAAAGAAGAGCTGACGGGGGCGGTCCTTAAACAAAAAATTTTTAAAAATAATTTTTAGTTCTTGAAAAATTAAACGCTCTCAAACCGCTTAACAAATGGCTTTACGAATTCGCGAATCGGCTCTTTGATGCTCGAGTCGAATTCTTCAAAACAGGAGTTTACAAACGACCCGTTCGGAAACCCATGCCAGAGATGAGCTGCCTCTGCACTCGGCTGATTATGTACTGCGCTGGCGGAGAACTGGACTTTTGGATAAGCGAAGAAGCGCCCGAAGGATACGAAATGTTGTTCTGGAATTACCTGAGAGCGTTGGGAGTTCAAGTTCCGAATGATAAACTGCCAAGTTCCGAAAAATCTTTCAGCCTCGAATTTCTATAATTTTTTATGTTCGAGAATTTGAATCATCAATTGAGATGCTGATTTTCTGTAAGAGTACATCTTTATTTGGACGAAAATGAATAAATCGGAAGCGAACCTTATTTGCCAGAGCATTTCCGTTCGACCTTGAGCTTGAGACGCGAAAGCGCTCCATCAAACAGATCCAAAGAAGAAATTATCCAAAGCGGAAATCGACAAATCTGGAGTTTGAGTCTCACTGGTTCTTAATGATGATTTGGTGATAAATTTTGGTCAAGAATCGACGAAAAGTTCGAAAATTTTTGACCAAAATTTTGGTCAAACTTATCAAGAATCGAAAAATCGTCTCAAAAAATCAAGTTTTCTGTCGCATTTTTTAAACCAACAATACTGTATTTACCGCTGATTCACGAAAGAGCAATTTCTTGCGATAACAAGCGGCTTCACGCGATGCGATAGCGCTAAAGAAATCAGAAAGAGAGAAAAAATGCGATAGTCACGGGTGAGAAAAGCGAGATCCGGATCTTTCTGAAAGAAAAATGGCCGAAGCGCGGGTATCCTGTGCTGGAAGGAGTTTCCTTTTTTAGAGCGGCGCGCGAGATCGAACAAAACAGATCATTCCGGTGAAAGAGCTTTTCCGAAAATAAATCCCAGGGGATACAGATCCCGGCTCCTTTTCCTGTACGGGCCAGGCCGCAATCACAGAATATCGAATTTGTTTTCGTAGAGAGAATCGTCTTTTGAAGGAATTTCTTCTTGGTTTTAGGTAAGCTCAAGAAAATGAAATATATTATTCGGTAAATATTTGAGCCGCATGCGGCTTTTTTATTTTTAGAGGGATTTTTAAAATTATTCCATTGGGTTTTTTTTAAAGAATTTTGATCAAAAATCTTGAGAGGAAAATTCGATCGAAAATGAAATAGCCGCGCGCGGCTTTTTGCAGGTAAATCTCAATATGATAATTTTTATGTGAAAAACTCTGTAATACGGCTTTCAGATCAAGTTGAATATTAAAGCCGCGTGTCATTAACTTATAATCCAAGCATTCTTCGATAAAATTCATCAATATGAAATTCTTCGAAAATCATTATGAAACAATTTACTCCCTTTTTCCTGGAAATATGATACAGTAAATCGCAAGCTAGACTGTCTGTATAATGCACTACCGCTTTTGCTGCTCCGGGGCCGCCGATTTCCCTCGGGGCCCGAGGCGAATCGATTTCCTTTCGCGCCATACGGAAGTCGCCTCGCTCACTAGCCCCCGGCACGACCAAAAGCCATTCCATCAAAAGCACATTCGATATTCCTCCGCATTTTTAAACCTTTTTCTTCAGCAAAATATAGATCAGAAAAATGGAAGACTCCGGAAACGCCAGCGATAATAACATTGTTGTCATCAAAACCAAAGAGCCGAAAAGCAAAAGTGATTCTTCTTCATCTCCTAATAAAGGTAAAAATTATTGAGAGAAAATCAAACAAAAGCCGCACGCGGCTTTTTCAAATGAACTTTTGATAAAAAAATTTTTTTTTTACAAAAAGATTTTTTTTCAGATTTTAACTAAGATTATGCCTTTTTTGAAGTTAATTATTATTTTTTTGAAAGAAGAATAAATTTTGATGCATCAATAAAAAATATGCCTCGCTTTAAATCTGAATTCAATTTCCTCCCATTCGCGCTTGCATCGATAGATCCCGGAGACGCGGGCTTGATGCATTAGCTCCTGCTCCGATCGATATCCTAACACCTTCTCGGTAATAATGGCGGATACACAGTGTACGCGATTTCTTTTTTCGAAAAGGAGATGACTTTATAACCCTGGCCTTTTCTTGCTCTTGACTCTTCGCAGCGGGAGATCGCGAGTTTTTAAATGAATCGGCTTCCGTTCCATCGCGGGATTCGATTTGCCTCTCCTCAAGCTCTTGGTAATCTTTGCCCTTGAGAAGCTCTCTCGGGAAGAAGGAAGTGGGCCTGAGCTCAGGGACCGGATCAGGCGTCTTCCGCCAGGCGGGATGCTGCTTGCGTGGCGGAAGTGGCCTTCCTCGTCAATTTCGTCAATTTCGACGATCTCTCAACTTCCGCCGCGAGTCTGGATCACTCGAAAGCGATTGACGCATGGCGGAAGTGGCAGACGATACAATACAAAATTGCTTTTTTGAAATATTTTTGATAATATTTAATTGAAAGAAAGATCTGATAAGATTTGAATATTTCCTCGCCCCGGAAAATTTCTTCCGCTTCTGTCGATCATTTTGTTCCGCTGGGAAGGAATTTTTTTCCGGAGGAATTTTCAACGATTCTCAAGTCTGTCATATCAAGATTTTGATGATTTTGAGGAGTACACGCCTAAGATTGTTAGTTTATCGTTCGAGACAGATTTCAAGATAGTATATTTTCCATCTAGTATATTTCTTGGCTCAGATTTCTCAAAAACGCGTTATTTCTGACTACATTAAGCCGGGTCCAAATGGATTCATTTTCAACCTCTTTGACTTTTGGCCCGGGGCGAGAGCTTTGACCGATCGATTTCTTTCTCGCAGCAAAAAAGGAGAAGACAGACGGACGCCAACTTCCGCGATCCTATAAGCCGATTCATCTTCCCCGCCGGAGTCATTGATTTCGGATTACTGCTGCTCTTTCCAGTCTCTTTACTAGCTTATTAACATGGCATAAGGGTTGACTCTTTCCACCGAAGAAAAGTATTATTGATAATTTTGAAAATTTACGAAACAGCGAAAAATTCTCGAAAATCTTAAATTTCATTTTGTTTTGTTCAGGTTTTGACGTGAACATCACTCTTTGGCAATTCCTTTTGGAGCTATTGATGGAACCCAGCTCACGTGATCTGATCAGCTGGACTTCAAAAGAGGGCGAATTCAAGCTGCACCAGTCGGAAGAAGTCGCCCGTCTTTGGGGAATGCGAAAAAACAAGAATAACATGAATTATGACAAGCTTTCCCGGGCACTGAGATATTACTACGACAAGGTAAAAATCAACAACGATTTTTTCGTCTTCCCAAGCTTTCAATTCAGAACATCATCCAAAAAGTCTCCGGTCAAAAGTTTGTCTACCGCTTCGTCCAATTTCCTGAAAACTTCAACCACTCCGAAATCGAAGTCGACACCACAGTCGAAACCCTTCCTTCTCCACCTTCCCTCACTCTTGCTAGTTATCGATTTTCGCCAGAAAAAACAGCGGCTTCTCCAAAGCCGGCGGATTCTCCGGCCAAGACACCTCGCAAAAGACAGCGACCAAAAACGGAGAAGAAAAAGGCTCTACCAGCTATTGAACCGACTTCTCAAGGTTCGTAAAGACAAAAACAAAAAATTCAATCAATCTATTATTGATATTTCTCTTCAGGAGTTCCGGCTGAAACTCTTTCTGAAATCCTGAGCCTAGCAAATCAACTTGGCATGGGAGAAGGAGCCGAGGGACTACAGAACTTGCAGAACCTCCAAACTCTTCTTGGTAAGCTTCAATTAACTGAAAGCCAGCCCAAATTCATTTTCTTTTAGCGCTCCAGCAGCTGCTCGAAATGACTGGCTCCGCAAACAACGAAGAATCCAACTCTGCGACGATCGAAGAAATCGAGCCGGACACAACTTCTTCTGAATATTTTTCGTCGCCGGAAAACCTGACTGAGCAAGAAAAGCCCCTTGATCTCTCGAAACCAAAAAAGATCAAGCTCGATAGCGCTTGAAAAAAATGAGAAAACACTATCTTCATTCATAAATTTCTTCATCAGCTCTTATCTAACTGGTACGCAGCTCCTGTACAAAAATACTATTTGTCACCGACTTTCTTCATTTTCCAAAAATAACTGTTGTTCATTTCATAATAAAGGATATTTACTGAAATAAATTGAAAAGCAGATGAAATGTTCCGGACTAAACTTCTACGCAAAAGACAGAAAATGGCCTGCAGAACTGAGTCAATCGTAATACAGTCTCATTCATTTTTTCTAGAACCAATACTTACCAAGCAAGTTTGTTTTTCAGTAAAATTAGTTTTCGTTAGTAAAGGAGCCTCGTAGCAACAAAAAACGGTTTGATAGCTCAGCCAGCAAAATGCAGCAACCTCCGATGATTTTGAATGTTCAGCAAAATGCGCCTCAACAACGTAAGATTTTTTTTTAATTCAAAATTTTCGCAAATATTCACAATTTAGCTTACTACCAACCCCCACCCTCCCCGCAACCAATGCCGGTCGTTATGCAGCAAAGAAAGTCGGACAACTCATGCGCCTATTTCATCGTCGGCGTAATTTGCTGCCCTTGCATTTTCTTCGTTTTTATGATTATCCTTGGAGGCATTGGAGCAGCTGTTTCACGGGATAAGTAAGTCAAATTTTCATGCATTTGTTCAAAAAGAAATTCAGCTTGGGGCCCCGTAACAACCCGTACAATTTCACGACTGAGTTTTCTGATCAAGGATCGATTAATTCATTGATTGTTGGAATCTGCGATGGTGATAACGAGTACTCTGTTTCTGGCACTGGAACTTTTCAGTGAGTATTTTTTCTTAAATGAAATGAATTATTTTTTCATTCACTTTTTCTTCAGATCATCGAATTATCCAGAGAGTAACTACAACTCAAATTCTCAGTGCACCAACAGATTCTCCTCCTCAACGGATGGACTCACTTTCGACTTCACTTCCTTTGAAATCGAAGAATTTTGGGACAATCTCGTTTTCCGTGATGACGCTGGAGAACAATATGCCTTCACTGGAACTCAATCGGTAAAGACGCTACTGGGGTATTTTTGTCCTTTTCATCGTCTATTTCAGGAAACACGATTCTCCTTCGCTTCGTCTTTCGTCGACGTCCATTTCCAATCCGATCACGTAGTGCAAAAGGCCGGCTTTTCCGTCCAAGTCTCTGACGGATACGAAGAAGATAACGAGGTCTCAATCATTTATCCAGATGTCAAGTTTACCGGAGAAACTCCAGAAAAAGAACAATGAAAAATTTTCTTTATAAAAGAAGCAAAACTGGGCATCATCTGTTGCTTCTTGAAAGAATACCTGCTTAAAAAATAAAAAAATCGAATACTTGGAAAAATCTTTTAACTTTTTTGTGAAGAACAAATATCTTGGCAGTGGAAACTGTACAGTTAAAAAAACGCTCAGAGAAGACCGCCAAGTTGGCTCTTTCCAGGCTCAACATATTTCGTCGTTCGCATCCGGAGAAATTCGCGTTCTCTCTCTCTGTAGCCATGGAAGAGCTTTTCAAACTCCGGAGCGAGATTGACAGTTTCTTTGAAGCGACCAGGGCCCATTTCACCGGCGATTCCGCCGTTTTCCCAAGTTTCCTGGCAGTTCAGATTTTGCGACTAAACATTATGAAAAGGAGCCAACTAGAAATTCGTTTACCGCTCCGAGTAAATCGCGGTTTCCAACAAGAATACGATAGTTGTTTTCCGGCTCTCTTCTTTTCAGACTTTCTCGAAGGATTTTGCACTGTTCTTGGTGCTGGCGGATTGTGTTGTCATCGCCAAGGACTTTTCCGATCCAGTTTTTCATCTTGATTTCGCCTTAAAAATGCATCAAAAAACCCGGCTATGCAAATGCTTACCAATAGTTAAATCGCCGTTCTTGAAACTGTGTCTTTTCACGCCAATGTTGCTGGTTTTGTACAAGCAATCGTAAAGATGTTTATTTCTCGCCATGACCGCGTGGATGCTACTGTAGTTGTTGTAGTCTTCCTCGAATTCCCTATTCAGCGTCAGCATTCGTGTTTTGTCATTGTTAGTTTCGCAGTGAAGCGACAAAAATACAGCCAAGGTGTACTCGCTCGGTAGCAGGTCCATTCGCTTATGCCTGTAGTTGTAGAGCCCGCTATCGTAGCGTTCGATGTTTGGTGCTTGGATCATGACGAGGGGAAGATTCACGCCGTTTTTGTCTGAAAGGAGAGTTGCTCAAACATTATCAAAAGGTGCCTCGGCTCGGCGACAACTCGTTCATTTACCTTCGATCATTTGTGTCTTCCGATAGGGCTTGGCTCTTCCTTTACCACCATTCGCTGATGGCGTGAAAAGAACAGGAACATCGGGATCTTCTTGCGGTTCATTCTTCATTATTTCTTCCGCTTTTTCAATGATCTGTTTCGTTTTCGGCTCTAGAAATCGATAAAAACGCTCGTCAAAGAAGTCTTTTACCAATAATGCAGTATTCCTCCTCGTCTCTTCGCTCCACCCAACTAAACAAGTATCTGACCCTGCAGTCGGGTATCAGATCATCTTCCGCATCCGGGTCTTTTCGATCATGCTTCACCGCCGCCAGTCTTTCATTGTAGCGATTGTCGTCGTAGGCATCCTGCAGCGATAGTTCCAAATGATCCAGATCTTGTGGATACGGGTCTAAACAGAAAATTTGCGAATACTTATAAGCGATTCTTGCCCACTTCTTTACAATCAAAAATTAAATCGAGTTGGACCAAACTAGCGATTTTCATTTCTTACCCCGATTTTTGCGTCTGTCCATTTCTTCCTTGGTCAATCGCGGCTCGTCGGCGGGAACTTCCATTTGAATCCTCTTCACGAAACTCTGCTCTTTGATCGGCTTGTCTGTCCCTCTCAGTTTTGTGGCGTCTTTTGCTTTTCGCTGAAAAACGAGATTAAGGTGTTTTCGAGAATCGGATGCCTCGAGCTTCCGAAACGAAATACACAAGAAAGAAAAAAAACAAGAACATTTTAGGAAATATCTCTCTTACCTTTCGAAACATAATCTTTTTCTTCGAGCACGCTAGAAATCGGATTTTCCGTTTTTCTTCAAAAGAAAATGGATTATTTTAATTTTCAAAATATCGAAAAGAAACTAACATTTATTGTAGAAACGAGCATAATATTTTATTGAGTCCACGAATATGGGTTTTTGACTCTAAATAAAACTAGAATCGTGAAATTGCTGAAATTTAAGAGTTTGAATGAAGAGCGGAGACGAGATGATATTGCATGCATATTTTGAGAACTTTTGCTAGAAAAGAACGATTCGAATTTTGGCACGAGATGAAAACTAAACAGGTAAAGAAAGGGCTTTTTTGAACGATATTTCTGTTTTTGGCAAGAAGCGATATCTTCGTTGAAATTTTGCTAGAAAATGTGGGAGCGGCGGCGATCAACCGCCGTCTTCGCGGATTTGTTTCGTTCGCCGGGAACGGGGTTGCGCAGCCGAATGCCACGAGCTTTGAAAATTGGCTGGTCTTCTTTCAGTTGGCGCACTTCGCTACCCAGCACCTGAATTAAAGCTTGACGCTGACCTCGGTACTCGTGTAGGAAACCTGAGTCAGGGCACAAAGTGGTTACGAGAAAAGCTCTTTCGGCCCTGACTCAGGCTTTCTAAACAGGTTGACCACCTCAAACTGTTTTTTGGGAGTATTTTGCTTCCAAGAATTCCTTACCTTGAAAAAAGAGTGATCCATTGCTGCTTTCGCGCCAATGCGCTTGGTCGTTTCATAAGAAAGAAACTTCTGAAGAAGATTTCGGCCGTGAAGGTCTAATCTCGACGCCATTGTTGAAAGGTCTTCGCCAGGATAATGTCTTGCGTTTTTGCGCGTTTTGAAGCCAACAAGGCCCTTTGCTTCGATTCGATCAGACGAAATGATGCCTTTTTTAATGAAAATGTTGGAAATAAGGGAGGTGAAAAGGAAGTACCTGGCCAAGAATCTTCAGTGGGAGTGCCAAGAACTTTGAATATCTTTTCCAATTGATCGTCTGCAGTACTGCCGGGGAACAAGGGTCGACCAGCGACCATTTCGTAGTAAATACATCCCACGCCCCACATGTCGATCGAAGTTGTGTATTCGACGCTTAATTTGACCGTAGAGAAAAGAAAAGGAGGAGGATCTTCTTACCTTCCGAGAAGAACATCCGGCGGGCGGTACCACAAAGTAACGACCTCGTTGGAATAGGTCTTCGTCGGGATACTCTTCGCTCTGGCGAGACCAAAATCCGCCAGTTTCAATTCTCCTTTCGAATTGATCAAAAGATTCTGCGGCTTCAAATCGCGGTGCAAAATGCGTCGCGCGTGGCAATAACCTAAATCGGCAAATAAATAAGACATAAAGAGGCTAGACAGGCGTACTTAGACCACGAAGCATTTGGAACAGGAAGATTCGCACATCGTTCATGTCGACGCTTTTGACGTGCTCCATATACAGCTTCAAGTCGCAATCGCTGTATTCGAACACTGAAAATCGATTTATAACAGGTTCTTTCTGCGCAAGCTTCGGCCAAGAGAAACGAACCTAGAGTAATCATGTTCTTCGTATGGACGATATCATGAAGCGTGATGATATTAGCTTGCTTCAGTCCTCGTAGAAGTGAAATTTCCCTGATCGTTGTGCAGGAGTACCCTTCTTCTTCGTCCAGCCGAATTTCTTTCAGAGCGACTTTGTGGCTTAAAAAAACAGGTTAACTCCCTTCGTGCGTTTTCCTGTACCTAGTGAAGGGATCCTAGCTTCTGCTGAATCTCCCACTTCTAGCGTAGTTTGCCTGCTCTCTATATCTGGACGAGTGAAGAAAACGAGTAAAGTATCTTTGACGTCTGTATTTCGAGCTGGAGTAAAATAGAGGTTAATTCACGAACTGCGTGAATTACCGAATGGAGAGAAATACACGGCGGCGACCGAGCAAAGCTCGATCTAGATAAGCAAGTGACCTTAGGGGACGAGGGAGTCTAACGAATCTAAGATCCCAATACCCCCATGAGACTGAAACGTCCTCTAAGGCCAAAGTGTGTGATTTTTGCAGGAGTATAAGCGTAAGATGAGTAACATGGCAGGTTCGAAACGTCGAGGCAGTCTGATTCGCGTTAAAAACCCTTTTTGGGAAAAAGCTTGAATCAGATGCGAAGTTTTCGTGATGTCCGAGCGGTGATGACATGAAGGAGTAGCTGCACATGTAGAAGAACTCAAAATACGTCGGCGACGGTAAACTGTGATAATTTCCGTACCTTTTCAGGCCCCGGTCGATGAATAGGGGACCTGAGTGGGGCAGTACTTGCGCTTAGTCGTATGACTGACCCGAGTTTGTGCCGATGTTTAGAGGTTCGACGGGCCTCGTTTCACGGTGTGCTCGTTTTGTATGTTTCGGGAGATGAGCTGCTCCAACTTCGGTTAAAGTCGCATTCGGATCGGCGCCGGCTGAGTATTGACGATCTGGTGAAGACTTTGGACGGGTTCTTTTCTTGCTGTTTTCAGTTGCTGAGCCCTCAACTACTGTTGAATTTTGTTTATCGACTGACATATGGCTATTGTCGGGCGCAGCAACCTCCGAAATCACTGTAGCATCAGCTGACATGTCCTCGGCAGTTTCATAAAGAGTACCACCAGAGTACCAGCGATCTGACGGCTCGGCTGGAGCTACCGACGAGTCCAAAATAGATGTAGCGGTTGTATCTCCCAGATTTTCCATGTCCAATCGGCGTCTACTTTCCAAAATAGGTGATAGAGATGATCTTGGCGGTTTTTCCATAGCAACCATCGGAGTCGACGCGACCTGAGAAGATTTCCTCCCCCCATGCGACTTCGACCCGGACTTTTCCATCGGTTTGGAAGTAGGAACAGGCGATTTTTGTGGGACTTTCGACTTAACGATTTCGGTTAAATGTGGGAATACGTACTCGGCCTCGTAGTAATCAATCCAGCGTAAGTCGTGATTTCGTTCTGCGGCGTGAACCACGTGTTCTCGATGGATGAAATCACGTTGTCCTTTTTTATCTTCGACCATGACGACCCAGTCGTTGCTCGAAACGGCTTTCAGGGGACCTACCCAGCGTTCCTTCTTGCTTTTAGCGTCGGTCAGGTTTTCTCGCTTAATGTACACGACAGCGCCAGCGGGGATTGGTCTCGGCTTAGGCTCGTTTTTCAGCCTGTGCTCCATGGCTCGGTCAGCAGCTTCCATCGCAGTTTTCACAATGGCTTCCGCCGATTTCGCTAAAGCTCCAACATTGAGACCAAACACCTGAGGTGTTTCCGCTGTCATTTCTGCGCCAGTAGAGTGGGTGAAAGTACTTTTTCGGCCAAACCAAACTTCTCGCGGTGAAATTTTCGTGCTTTTGTTTTTCACACTATTGAGCGCGCGCATCACGTGGGGAACGCAGTCGGCCCAAGTTTTTCGACCGGAAGATGAGTTGACCATGCAGAATAGACTGTTTTTGATAGTCCGATTCGCTCTTTCTGCGAAAGCGTTTGATTGAGGGTGAAATGCGGTACTTATTGTATGTTTTATCTGGTTAAGCTTACACATTTCGTCAATCACGCTTGCGCAGAAGTGGGTACCTCTGTCACTGTGTAGATGTTTCGGCAAGAAATCCATGGGAAGGAAGACCTTGTAGATGAGCGCTTTTGCAGCGCAGATAGCAGTGTCGGACCGCGTCGGAATGCACCAAGTGTAGCGAGAGAAAGTGTCCGCCACCACCAAATAATACTTGAATCCGCCAGCGGGAGGCATACAAGCGAAATCGATCTGAATCGATTCGCCAGCTGTTTTTCCACGACGAAGGGTTCCAAGTGGCGGTTTGGTACGAGTTCCAGCAGATCCTTTTCTGCGTAGGCAAGGGACGCAGCTGTGGACGTAGTTAGAAACATCGTCTTGAAATGAAGGCCACCAAACGTCCTCTAATCGCTCTAAAGTCCGCGGCTCGCCCAGATGACCGGACAAGTCGTGAGCTAGAAAGAGAAAGTGACTTTTTACCGCTTCCGGTACCACCGCCCGCGCGCCAGATTTGAATTGACACATCAAGCACCCGGTAGTGTTATCCAGGAACAGAGCTTTTTCCATCTTGAGTAGAGACGATTGTCGGTGGTCGGAGTCCTTCACCAGCGATTTTATGTCCAGTGGCTCCTTACCAGATTCCAGAAAAGTGATGATTGCACTCAGAGCAGAGTCCTCCCTTTGATAGTCCAGAATGTTATTATAATTCGCTGACACCAACGGAATCTCCATTGGCGCCGCGATAGCCTTGACGTTTACCTTATGTATCTTCACCTCTGATAAAGTGATTTTCTCCGGAAACTGATTTTCGTTCCAGAAAGGGACGAAGACACGTACTGGTGAATTCTTGTCGATTTCGTACTCGCGACCAACGGGAAACTCAGAGTCGTATCCAAGTGATTTGTCGTCCTCGCCAGGTCTGCGGCTCATAAAGTCGGCGAATTGATTTTCTGATCCCTTGATGTAGACAATGTGAAAATCGAATTCTTCCAATCGGCTTTGCCATCGGCTTATTTTAGAATTCTTGAACTTCTTTTTGTGTAGGAAGATCAAAGATCGGTGGTCTGTGTGAATCTGAAAGAATCTACCTTTCAGGAGCTTTTCCAGTCGCTCGCAGCACCAGACAATGCTAAACATTTCCTTTTCTGAAGTGTTCCATTTTCTTTCAGCTTTGTTGAAGGTGTGGGAAATCGCGCTTACTAGGTGCACTCTCCCGCCATACTCTTGTAGCAGGACGCCACCCGCTGCGTACAGGCTCGCGTCTGTGTAGAGATGAAAAGACTCGTCAAAGTTAGGAAAACTTATGACTGGAGTCTCGGAGAGTCGTCGTTGAATTTCCTTGAGCGCCAAATCCGCTTCTTTGGTCCACTTGAAACAATTTGTTTCGTTCGCCGAATTTCGAACATCGTTTATGGGCTTCATTCTGCTCGAGAAGCAACCGGATGAAATAGCTTCGCCCATTTTCGTTTCTAGAAAACCTCGGATCCAATTCAATGACCCGATTAATGAAGCTAACTCCTTTTGGGAGCGTGGGGGTTTCATCTGACGAAGAGCGGAGACTTGCGCAGGGTCCGGTTTGATTCCATCTTCGTTGATGATTCGGCCCAAAAGTGAGCTTCGGATTGTAGGAAAGAGCACTTTTCGCCCTTGAGTTTAGCGTTAAACTTGCGGAGCGCGATGAATAGGTTTCGGAGAGTGTTGTAATAGCAGCTGAAAGTCTTCCCAAAACACACTATGTCATCGATATAAGAAAGCATCTTTTTCCTGGTGGGGCTTGAGTCGAGAATTGTGTTTACGACGCGCGAGAATATATTCCCCGAGCATCGATAACCGAATGGTAGTCTGCAGAAGGCGTAAGATTTCCCACCCCACTGGAAGGAAGTCTTGTACCTGTCGCTTTTCTTTACAGGGCACTGCCAATATCCACTTCGTAGATCAACTGTGGCGAAAAACTTATTGCCCGGTCCAATGTTCGCAATCGTATCCTCCATGCTTGGGAGATGGTAAGGGTCGGATTTGTCGGAGAGGCATTTGTTCAGGCTGTTTTTGTAGTTGATGCAGAAGCGCATTTCCCCAGATTTCTTAGGAATAGGCAATACCGGGCTGTTAAACCCTTTCTGGTCTTTGATCTCTTCTATTATTTTCGTTTCGAGCAGTTCGGAGATGTGATCGCTGACCTGACCATGAAAAGCTTGCGGAATCGGGTGTTGACTGATGTTTCGACTCGTACCATCAGTCGGGATTTCGATCTCGAACGGGAATTCACCCATTTTTTGACCGTCGCAGCCGAATCTGTCGTCGAATTCCAAACACAGCTCGGCGACCATCTTCTTTTGCCCCGGGTCTGCGTCTGCTGGTAGGGTTATTCCGAGTTTTTGCTTCGCTAGCTGAATGGGTCACCTGGCTGCGTTCTTGTTCGGCGCGTCCAGCTTTGGGACTTCTCGTGGTGGTTGAGTGCGGGACCGATCGCTGTCTTTGACCGCTGATCTAGTCGTCAAGTATTTCTTGATTTTGGTCCGCTTCACTCCGTCCAGCTTCACCACTTGAGTCTCAGTTTGTGTGAAGGCTTCGTTGTAGCAAAATGAGAGAGTACGATTCTTATTGTCGACTGTGAAGCTGTCCGTCATCGCATTCTCTAGTATATCGCGGCCCAGTAGACTTGGGTATTTACTGCCTGGCATGATGGTGAGATTCAAGGAGAATGCAGGGCCACCATTGAATGATAAGCGGCAGGGAAGGATACCCCTCGGCTGCTCGGCGGGGATATTTGGGCTGAAACCGGTGACCTTGAAGGGGCAGGGCTTCAGCATCTGGAGAAATTTGTCGGGAACGTAAGCAGCGGACAGACAGGAGGACTCGGCTCCGCTGTCGACTTCCATCGATACGTCAAAACTTTTAGAGCCCGTAATGATGGTAGCCGAAGCGAAATAAGCCTTTCCTGGTCGCTTCTTCTTCACTGTGTAAAAGTGAACATCGAATGGTTGGAAATCTTCGACGTTCTTAGTCGTATTAATCTTCTTGGATTCTGGTTGTTTATCGTCTTTCCCATCCTTAGAATCGGTGCTGGCGCGCTTAGCATTCTTCTTCTTTTTGTTCTTATTTCTGTTGAAGTGCTGGGAGACGGTCGCGCTGTCAACTCGATTCTGTCTTGTGGATTGGGCGAGACGGCAGAGTTCGTTGATATCGTAAACTTTTGATAGGCTTGGAAGGATTGCGTTGAAAACGTCTGGTTCTTCTTTCCTAAGATTCAAGTACAGCATCATCGTCGAGAATATGTCGAATATTTCATCGACCCCGGCGTCGGCTGACTTCTCTTGTCGGTAAGAGTTCAAAGTCGCTTGCTTCGCCTCGTTCATCTTTTGCAAGACGTTGGCGGTGTAGTGTGCAAACGGCTTCGAATGGTCGTATTCGACGTCGAAAACTTCGCTTAGCTTCAGTAAGTAGTGACTCTTCGCGGCGAATGATTTCTCTAGCAGCGCCTTGGCCGATTTCCAGTCTTGACAATTCAGAAATTCGGTTCCAAGTGAGCGTTCGATGTTCAAGTCGAAGTGGCTGTACACTGCTGCGATGAAAGGCTGTTCACGTGAAGGTCTGTCGCGGACGTAGGCGCGGTGATAAATGTCGGCTCTGCCCAAGAAGGTGTTGAAAGATGTGTTGCATGCGGCGTCCAGCTTCGGCAAGTCTTGGACGTGACGAGACCAGGTAGTGGCCACCCATGCTTCTTCTCTCATTGTCGCATTCGTAGAGTCTTTTCCTTGATCGAGCTCGCAGGTAAGAAGCGTTGTACTGAGCTGTTCTAATTTTACTCTGCTTTCTGTGATCAAGGGCTCTAGGCTTGGCTTTAGTGATTCGTCATTTCGCACTTGTTCTTCGAGGTAGTTTACTCGATCGTTTATGCTTCTTATTTCGGTGACGGTTTCTAGCAGTGATTTGTTCGCCGCCATAGCTCGAAATATATCGGCAGTAAGGGTTTATGGGCCTTGGATTACCTTTCAGGCCCTCAGAAAATACTGCGACTAAAAGTCGCAATATGATGAGCTGAGGTGCCTTTTTGCGCAAACGCCCGACGATTTCTCTGTCCAGCGATTGTCGAAATTTCAAGGTCTGGTCCAAGGGTCGATTCTTCGTAAACTTCTCTCGATTTTTGGTGAAAAGTGGCGAAAGAATTATGTTTTTCTCAGTATTTTAGGTTTTCCCCGGCGTGCGTGCGTGGTTGCGTGGGCGCGACTTTCGGCGCGTGGGTCGTGGTGGCGCTCGTGCGGTGGCGCTCGCTCGGGGTGGTGTTGGTGTGGTGCGGAAAATTCTCTGAGTGGAGTTTCTCCGGCGGCGCGGTGGCGGTTGGTGATTCGGTTCCCCTCGACTCCGCTGACGGCCAATCAGCGTCCAAGTTGCGAAACTTCGGTTGTCGATGGCGGAAAAATTTATCTTTTCTCCAACGGGACTACTCTGATACCACTGAAGGGATCCTAGCTTCTGCTGAATCTCCCACTTCTAGCGTAGTTTGCCTGCTCTCTATATCTGGACGAGTGAAGAAAACGAGTAAAGTATCTTTGACGTCTGTATTTCGAGCTGGAGTAAAATAGAGGTTAATTCACGAACTGCGTGAATTACCGAATGGAGAGAAATACACGGCGGCGACCGAGCAAAGCTCGATCTAGATAAGCAAGTGACCTTAGGGGACGAGGGAGTCTAACGAATCTAAGATCCCAATACTAGTAAGACTACTTGTCCCCTTGTAGACGACCGCATAAGTTCCCTCGCCGAGAACAACGCCTTTTCTGTATGTTTCCAGTTTTCCGAAGCCAATTTCATTTAGACTCTTTCTTCGATCGACCCTGAAAATAATTGTTTTTCTATTTAATTTTGCCACAACAAGAAAAAAACAAGCCAAGCTAATGAAAAATTAAAGACAGAAAACCGCTCCTTTAATCGAATCACTGTAATGATCCGAGATAAAACAAGAAAGCCAGTCATAAATATTCGAGGCGGATTAGTCTGGATTGACAAGTGCTTTTGCAGTAATTGAAAATGGGATTGGAATGCTTTATGTTTTCTGCGAATTAATTTTACCTAGAAAGTGGCTTTTCCCAGTTTATGGGAGAATCTGGCGTCAGCATCGTCAGGTAAATCGGCGGAATGCGCACATCTGCTGGTAACGACAGCCGCTTGCTGATATTTTCCTGAATAGAAAATCTAAGATAGTTTTGCCGCCTATTCCTAAGTCTCTTTCTAATCTTAAGGGAATCGACTCCACAAACGCGCTCAATCTTGTCATCAATCAAAAAAGGAAGCAAAAAAAAGGCTAGACAACCAACCTGTGTTGAAATCCTGAGTCAGGTCTTTAAAAAACGCTTATACGGGAGCCTGACTCGGCTCCAGCGAAGATTTCCATGCCCATATCTTTATTTTGCTTCGTTTTTGAATAATAAATAGATTAAGCGAGTTTTTGGAGTCAATCACTCAAATTGAGGCTCAATTTGATCTCTGAAAAAGTAAGAAAAAAAACCAAAAACTTTTGCTTTAGACATGATTTCTCTTCAAATAAACTCATTTCAGAGAAGAGATAAAATAATAATTCTTTCTTCAGAGACTCGGATTGTCAATTTAGCCGAGATAAATCTGTTTCTAATTTGCGCTTTGAAAATACCTTTGAAATGGCATGAGTGAGTCTCGGAGGGCGGCTGCGTCTTTCTTTTGATCGCAAAACTACTTTCGCTTCTTCTCGGAGAGTAGAAGAAGAAGAGGACGAGTCTTCTGATGAGGAGCGGCTCGAGGTGGAAGGGGAACGGGTTGAGGAGCCACTGTAGTAGAATGGAGGTTCTAGAGTACAGGAAGTTAGCTAATAGGCGAAAGTTCCGAAGAAAAACGAGAGCTCGCGGCTTCGAGGAATAAGCCGCGGTGTGTCTAGTTATTCAAAGCCGCATATTTGGCAAAAAACGCGGCTTTTTCCCTTTTCCGCTCGAAGCCGCAAACGGCTTCTCGATTTTTCCCACAATAATGATGAGAATTCGTACCTGAGCAATCTTCAGAAGGCGAGAGAGTCGAAGAAGGTATTTTCGCTCCAAGCCCTTCTGTCGGATGTTCTTTGATTTCTTTCAAATTCGTCGAAGAACGCGAAAAAATCTTCGAAATACTTCTTTTCACTTTCTTCAGCGGCATTTTCTTCCAAAAATCGACAGGCTGAAGCAGTTTTAAAGCTTCTTATCGGGTAATTTTGTATTGATACAAAATTTTAGAATGTGCTATTTGAATAATGATTAGAGTACTCAATCATCACCGATAAAAGTCGGAGAAATAACAGTTTTCCACAATTTATCGATTCATAATTTATGATAATTAAAACAAATTCTCATTTATTTAACGAAAAGATTATCATTAAAAATTTTCTTTACCTACTCGATTTGAGAATTCGAAAAATCAGCTGTTTTTCATTTCAGTTTTTCTCCGAAAGCGAGTTTCTCTTTCGCCGCGAAGAAAAAGGAAAAAGCGGGGCGGAGGAGTCAAAGTGAAAAAGGCGCAAGTGGTGCGAGTCCTCCGCGCTGCTGGAAGAAATGGCGCTAGTGGAAAACGAGTTCCGTCATCAGATTTTCAGAACGGAAGTTTTGTTTTTCAACAGTGACTTCCTCATTCAATAATAAATTATAAAAATGAAGTGTAGAGAAAAATTTATCATTGTTGTTCTCGCCCTTTGTTTAATTTGTAAGTACGGTTATTTTGGTCTTTTTTGGCAATTTTTCGCCGATTTATCTAAATATGTCCAATAAAAATTGACGGGCCCTACTCAGGGTGTATAATAAGCGACAAAAATGACCTGCTTCAAATCGAAAATTTCAGCCTCTTTCATTCAACTCGCGATAAATGCACTTGTTCTTCCCGAAGCACTGCTGACTTACCGCCTCTACTGCATCGTGGTTGCTCTGATTGGAATTGTCTCGACAATTTTCAACGCTCTTATGATTGTTGAATGCAGCAGCTACTGCTGTAACAAGCTTAGATTATGTTGTCTTAGGTATGTCGCTGGATTACTTCCCAGAATTGCCTTTCATTGAACTCAGAAGAGAAATCGATTTCAAGACACTTTTCATTTTATGCGCTTATGAGTTCATTCGGTTATATTTACAGTTATTCTAACAATAAGCGAATTATTGACAAAACTCTAGTGTGTCGATTTGGGAAGGGGTTATTGAGCTGTTGCTGTCGATTGTTGCTGGCGCACTGCATTTCCATTTTCTAACTTCTGACAAGTAAGATCAAAAATTATGATCGATTTGATAATTCCTGCGCTTTAGAGTTCCGAAAGATTCACTCGTGGGTGCAATGAAAAATGACGCACTGCCATTTTTTGTCGCTGCTTATGCCAATTTCGTGCAAGCATTTCTTTGCTTGGTTTTGATCATAACAAATTTGGTCACAAAATCAAGGGAGTATCGAAAAGGTATTATCGAGAAAGGAATGGAGAAGGCCGAAATGAATGAACCTGAACTTGAAGGAAAGAAACACGAAGTTGATGAAATTTCCCTCTCTGAAAATATAGAGAATAAGAATTGAGTTCTTCGTTAATTTATTTAAATATTTCCAGAAGCGCGGATGTAATACATCACTCCGACAGGAAGGATATTCAAGGCGTTAAAAACAACGGAGGCGACTCCAGAAGCCCATCGCTCGTGAATTGGAGTTTTTCGCATGGCCACGAAAGCGCAGATGATGTTGATGATGAGAAAAACGATGGAGATGATTCTGGCGGCTTTGTAGAACTTGTTTTCTGAAAAGAGAATATTGTTGAAAAAGTCATTGTCTTCGGAGTAGACTTACGAATTGGCGGCTCAAATTTCCAGTGAATTGACAAAATTGTAAAAATCGAAAGCGTCGTGAAAAAAACCGAAACGCCGAATCTCGAAAGTCCAAAAATAAGATTCTCGTCACATTCCATTGCGATGGCCATTGCCAGGTTCTGGTCTTCGCATGTCTCTATTCTCTTATAGTAGCCACAGTGGTATTCTTCGTAAAAATACAGAGCACTGAGATCGTCCAGGCATTCTCTGTCTCGCTCTTGATCTTCCTCGAGCGCAGCGGTCAGCCCGAAAAAGAGTAAAAAACGCATGTTTTTCTTGAAAAGAGGAAATTGGAGTGATGACCCCGCTCAAAGAAGTTTATGTGCTGCGTTTTTATGAGCATGACGCTTTGGCTATTAATGAGATCTATTGTTACAAGATACGTTTTCGCTCAATCGAGCTAAGAACATGACTGTTATCAACCAAAAGAATGTTGCTGTATCTTGAATTTATTTCTAGTATTATCGTATATTTCTTATAGATTCAAGTCTTGCATTTTTATTAAACAAGAAATTCGTATAAGTCGCCTTCTTGCTCAGCGCTCATCAGTTCAATCAGCTGGGAAGCGTCCGGCCGGAGTCGAGGTTCGATGATCCAACAGTTTGACATGAAAGTACAGGCATCAGGAAAATCACCATTCGGCAAGTCTAGTCTTGTGGGCATTCTTAAATATTCAAAATTCTGAAATTTACCTGTTATCTTTGACGTATTGACTGAGTTGATCCAATTCGACATCATCGTATGGTGTTTTGCCAAAGGAGCACACTTCCCACATAACAACGCCAAGCGCCCATATATCGGCCTCGCATGAATGTTTCCCGTCATTTTCGAAAAGTTCAGGTGCCCACCATCGCCGGAAATTTCGATCGTTTGAATCTATCTGATTGTTGCATACTTTGCCAATCTTAGGAATGTTCTCTTGTGTCAGGTATATCGCGCTCGCTTAGTAACAGTACAAGTAAGCGAAGAGGACACATATTGTTTCTTTTACCTTGCAAATTTCCGTGAATGATCTCACGGCTATGTAAATGCGCAAGGCCTTGAACGATCTGGAAGAGGATCTCCTTTATTTGATTATTTGAAATCTTCGACGCTGAATTTTCCGGACGCAGGCATTGTCGCAGATGTTCGTCTAAGTTTCCCTTTTCTGCTAATTCGTAGCCCACATATAGCTTGTCGAGCTCGACCCAGGATCCGTAATATCTCAGCACATTTTCGTGACGCATTTTCGAAACTAAATTCCCCTAATATTATTATTCTTGATAGATAAGATACTTTGTGTCTCGATTTGAATTCTGCTGTTGATTTCATTTAGCATATCTCGACTAGCAAGCTCAATATCGTGCACGACTGCAAATGCATGTTTTGTTTCACCATTCTTCCTGAGGAGCACCTCACGGTGACTTACAATTCTTCCCGGTTTTATGAAATTTTTAAGAATGACTTGATGGTCTTCCAATGTATGATAAACAGGATCTTCAAGTCTAAAACAAATCAATTTATTCCGAAAATCATGTAAGAAGTCTTACTTCGTATCAGCTGGAACCCAAACTATTTTCGGCTGTGCATACTCTGAATCACTGATTGATTCAGAATCAGTAAGTTCCGATTCCGATGGTAAACTTTTGCTTTCTCCCTGGTCCTCATTTTCGCTGATTTCGAGAACTTGCTTTCCGATCGGCGCGATTTTCTCGAAAAGCTCATTTTTAGAAAATTCTTGCTTCACCTACCTCATTGGCACTGTTCCTCGCTCTGCTCCATAAAATGATGAAAACAATTGTTGTGACGAAGAACAAGGCTGCAAGACAACTCATTAATATTTTGAATAAATCACAGTTTCGAGATTTATCCTCTTTTGAAGAAGCCATTGAAGTCATTACTGAAGAAGTCGCGGCTGTTGAAGAACATTCGATGGGTGCGCAAGGCTCTAAAAGACTCAATTAAGAACAACCATTATTTCAAAAAAGCATTACCACACGTAATCGCTGGAGTAGAACATTCATTTAACATTTCCGTTGCATATTCCGCTGCTGTAAACGAGTCAGTTTTAGGCGTCTCGGTTGTTGTAGCAGTCCTATCTTCTATGTTGAAAATTCCCAGCGAAAAACTATCTTCTCGAGCAATAACTGCATCATTTTCAACGAGTAAGATTTGAACAACCAAATCAATGGAGTTTGAAAGTAAAAAATTTCTTCTTCCAGTGTAAAGAAGCTCAAACCTATCAGTGAAAGTAAATCCAGGAGTTTTTGATATAAGAATGACTTCTTGGCCATCAGCTGGAGGGCTGATGTCAAGTTTAAACGCCGAATGGTCCTGAGTATTCATCACAAAGCTTGGAGAACCAAGTATTTCAAATTCGGCAGATTTTACCGGAGTAGTGACAATTGAAGTCCAGTTTACAACAGGCTCAGCAATAGTTACCGCGACCGTCAAGTAAGAAGTTCTATCAATCCTGTTATCTTGAACAGCTTTCATTGTAAATTCATGCTGGCCAGGGGAAAGAGCAGCGGTGCAAGAAATAGCTGAGCCAAAAAGCTCAAAACTTCTTGATTGAAGAACCTCATATCGAACACTTCTGCTGTTTATCTGTCGATCGCCATCGACAACAAAAAGATCGGAATTCATGGTAAGAAGGGCTTCTCCATCTTTACAAGCTTCGAAAGTCTGATTGATCAGAAGCTTGTCGATGATAACGCAATCAAAATATGACTGACAGCTTTGGTCAATGACAAAAATAGCAGGCAAATCGTCGACATCTTGGATTTCGACATCATCGTAGAATAGGGACCTGATAGATGTACGATTTCTAGTCGCAAGCAGATTACCATCGAAATTTCTGTTAAAACTAATATCGGCATCAGCTAAAAGAACATTTTGAAAGGCCCCTTGAATGCTCACATATTCGATGAAGAGTGTTTCTTGCTTATTGATATTATCGATAAGAGTAATCGCTTGGTACATGTACCAATCTAATTGGATAGTTATCGTGCACAACGGTGATTGTGGAGCGATTTTGAGCCAGTTGCCAGACTCATCCTGTAAGTACCAACGTTTAGCCATTTCTGCAAGACCGGCTTCTTCGCTAGAATTTTTAGCAAGCTCAATTTTTGGGCCAGAGACAATTCTTGCGTTTTTAAAGTGAATAGAAGATGAGATGACATCCCAGAGATCAATAGCCACTTTTTTGCTAAGATCTGTGTCATAATTCTGACACGCGCCCTTATCTAATCTGCATTCATCTCGGATCGCGCAAAATACGTTGTCAAAAATATCCATTTTAAAGAGAGGATTTAGCCCGTTGTTGATCAGACTTGATGTTGGCATCTCAAGATGTTCCAAAATTCTGTTGTTTGGAGTTTTATCGACAAGAGAGATATCAACGTTCAAATCAAACGACGGAAAAATAAAAACTTTGTAGTAAACGAAGCATCCGCCAGAAGTTCCGAGTTTTATCATGTGTCGAGGGCCTCCCAAAAGCTTCATATCCACATAATTTTTGAGCTTCAATGATCCCCCATCGAAATAAAAGAAATCACTAGTCATTTGCTTGGGTTGAATCTCCTCGCAATGCCCGCTTTCACTTCCGAGAGCCGGATTGTTTGTGCAGTATTTGATTGGTTCGTCTACAAGAGCAACAATACCAAAAGTCTCAAGGTCAAGATCATACTTCTGCGCTGTAAATCCTTTATGCATATCTTTGTAATCTTTGAATACTCGCGCTATTGAATCTTTTCTGTTCATCACAGATCCATACAATGTTGGAGTCCCGTTTGACGGACTAATACAGTAGTAAGGGTCATCAACAGGAGCAGCCACGCATTTTCCGTCTTTTTCGATTTCATTATTTCAAAATTTTAGATAACATGAAAATTTTGTTGAAAATTTCCTTGTCTAGCAGGGTATTGAGTAAAAGTACAGGCTTTTTGATCCTCACATAAGGCAACGATTATCAACCCGTAAAGTATGCTTCTCTCCATTATCTCTTTTTTACAAAGGGAAAAGATTCGCCGGAGCGTTTGGAAATTCAGCTGAGTTTAATAATTTGTCAAAGCGGAAAATTTCCTACAATGTGTGGATAAAATAAAAATGTCAAAAGAAATAAAGATTTTATATGGCGTCAGATGACTTTTATACTGAAATTCAAGCCTAGAAAATTGTTTTATGACATGAACAGTCCGAACGCAGATCTCGTAAAAAGTGAAATATTAAACTTTGAAGAGCGCATCATATGCTGGAGGCGGATCGTTCTCCTCGTTGTTGTCCACGTACTCTTTATCAAAAGTAAAGAAATGACAGGTAAAAGCAATCTTACGAGGAGGGTCGCGTGATTCCGAAAAGACAGGGTTTTCGACAGAACCACCGTATTGCATTGAAACAACGGCCAAAAACTGGTCAAAATTCGAAGAACTATCGTTTGAGTTAATTGAGAGATTGTCCAGATATCGATTTATGTATCCATCTTTTCAATGGTGACTAACTGTTTTTCTTCATTTTCAAAATCTTAAAACGAGTATGGTCCGAACTGACACCTTTCTTGGTAACTGTCGGGTTCATTCATTTGATTCTCTACATTTTCATTTCTTTCATTTGAGCACCAGCACCACAAAAAGGCGCAACAGCACGGTATCGAAAAAATGATAATCACGAATATTGCTAGCTCTGCAAAAGAAAATTCGAGACTCATATTCTCTATCCGATTTTGATCTGTAAAATACAGAAAAAAAATTTAAAAAGAAATTGTTTGACTTTCACAAGTCCAAAGATTACGCATTATCCTGCAATTCTGTCGATTTATTCTTTCTGAATTTTTCGAATTCAAAATCATTGTGAGTCTTTAATTCTTTAAGGACCCCCCCGTCAACAATTTTCGAAAAATCTATTTTCGGAATTTCAAAATTTTGACCCCGGAAATGGATTCTTCGGGTCAAAAAACGATTTTGAGGCTGCATTTTTTGGGGGTCTATCTCGACTCTAACACCCTCAAAATCGCGTTTGAAAATTGGGCTTTTTGACGAAATATGACGAAAAAGTCCCAATTTTGCTAAAATTTTGGATTTTTATTGGTAAAAAGTGCTCTGAACAAGTTTTAATGATGAATTGAACTTCCAGGCACACTGAGAAGCTAAAATATGGTTGTTTTGAAATTTTCGATTTTTTGAGGAAATTCGTTGACGGGGGGGTCCTTAACCGATGAAATTTAAGGCGCAGAGCCTTCAGTTATTGCAACAAGTTCAGATGATCTGTCCAAGAGAGATCTGTCCAAGAAAACGCCTTAGTAACATATTTGCGTTTTGAATAATCACTCGTCAGAACAGAAACAGAAGAATGACAGATTAAACAGAAATTTAATCCAACAGCTCTCGATCTTCTCAATTCCCGATTCTTACCTTTGTGTGAAACCAAGCCAATTTGATATTTTCTTCTTCGAGATGAAAGTGCCGAAATCGATCAGATTTTTGACCAAAAAAGGAAAAGACAAGGAAGAAAAAGAGCTGAGGAAATGGAATTCGAATCCTGATTTGAAAAATGAAGCAGTTATTGATGGAAATCCAAAAGAAGAAAATCAAGGGGACATACAAGGTAAGACAGATCTTCTTTCAGCAGGAAAATATCAAAGTTTCAAGAAATATTTCATCGCCAAGTGCCCTTGCGAGCATAAAAAGTCGGATTCAAGAAGTGGAGATAGAGAAAAATGATGGCAAAATATCCCCAGGATCAGCTAGAAAAACAGATGTTCGTGAAAAACCAACGAGGTAAAAATTTCTGAAAGCAATATCGCCTGTAAGAACTTTTTGTTCAGGCCGGTTCCGAAACGAGTTCTCTCCGTCGTCCATGAAGATTCCTCTTCCCGTCAATCCTCTCCTGCTCCAACCACTGCGGTCCCAGCCGCTCCATCTTATAACAACTTTTTCATCCTCGGACTTCTCTTTACCCTCATCGGCTTCAACTGCGCCTGGTTATTCGAAGAAATTCTAGTGCTAATGGAGAGCCAAATGATTATTGAACTTTGGGTCTTCGGAGCTGGAATTTTGCTTCTGCCTTTCATGAAATTTCGAAAAAGGGCGATTGTTTTCTTGAGCCTGGGATTGCAGTGTTTTCTTCTTTTTCTTCAATTCGGGCTAAGCTCGGTTTTGGTCAGATTTGATGATTATTTCAGGAAAAGAGCTTGAAATACCACTTTATAAATTTTAATTTGCAAAATTTTAAGCATTCAAAAGTGACTCATACTTACTGATCAAATGTTCGATATTCACTTATTCGATATTTAATATTGGTAAGAATAATTAAGTTTTTCATTCTCAAAAATATTAAATTTTAGCATTTGGAACGATTTACGATTTTCTCAAATAACCACAGAATCTCAAAATCCATTAACAATCGCCAATTACTGTACAAATAAATCAGCTCATCACGCTTTGTATAAAATAAATTAACTCCGCTTTAAAACGCCCGGGGGCAAATACAGCTGCATTATCCAATCAGCGCCACGCGTTCAATTTAATCCTTCAAATTTGGCGCCTTTTTGAAATTTTCGGAAATTTTCTGCATTTTTTTCTGGTTTTTGGCAAAACATGGGGAAAAAATCAGAGCTGCGTAAAAAGAGAATTTTCGGCTGGGGAAATTTAAACGACACTTTGGAAGGAGGAAGAAAGAGATTCAAGTCTTCGGAAGATTTGCTTGACGAATCGCTGCTTTTTGCGAATTCTAGCGCGATGAGATCAGAACGAATTCGCGCTAAAGAATACGACCTTTCGAGAAAAATCACAAGATCTGCTTCTTTCATCGATCAACTGAGCACAATGAGATCGATGGTAGAATCGACAGAGTTCGCCAATTCTTCTACAAGAAAGCCGATTCTGTCGGTGCTGATTGTCAAGTTGGAAGAATTGATTGTGAAGAGAGGGAACGATTCAAAAGTCTTTGAGGAAATTTGCGAACTTGTCAGGAAGATATTGAAGATTCTTAGGAGTGGATTAAAATTTAATTTAATGTTCAGTCGGTATTTTCGCTTAAAAAGAGACAGTTATTCGCAATTTCTCATGCGCCAGAAAAAGGCTTGCCGGTTAAATGCGTCTCCGTCGCAGTCGAAATTCATGACGGTTGTGGTAAAAAGGGTGGTAGTAACCGCGCTTTCATCATCTTTGTTGTCATCTTGTAAGGAGGCGAGCATTCTGTGACCTCCTCGGCTTGTTATGAATTCCCAGTCAGCATCTGGTAGCCCAAATTCCTCATTGTATTCTTCTTGGTAGTCGGAAATCACATCCTCCTTTTCAGGCGCTTTCGCACGTCCTAATTGGAAGCCTAAACGGATATTATTTTACAATCATCTAGAATTATTAATCTCATTTAATTTCTTAGTTCATCTTTTAAACAATAAATACCTCCATAGAAAACTGAACCAAGGAGAAAAAGGGCCAAAAGTGAAAGACGCCAATATTTTTTTGAAAAAGTAGATTTCTCCGTCTCAACTCTTGCCTCCTTTTGCGAAATAAACTCTTTTTCTTCAGGATTCATCATCACGAAAAAAGATGAAAATTTGAGCAAGCCTCTCCCAAAATTGGCTTGAGTGGCCAAATCATTGTGTTTGTCTCTTTTATGGCTTTTACCCCTTTTTCTGTTGCCAAAAAGGCCGTAAATTAACAATTGAATTACCCACCAAAAGATCAAGTTCCGATTCAAGCTCGAATTCAATGGAAACCACCTTGGTCAGCTGCGCCCTCCTCGTCCCCTTGATCATTTCTGCCGATAAGTCCTCTTTGTCTTCATCAGAAAACGCAGCTTCCAGTAGTCCCGTTCAAGTCATTACAGCAATTTTGCGAATTCTCGGCGAAAAAGTGGCCTTTGAACATTTTTATCGATCAAATCTGAATTCTGACAAGAAGAAAGATGAGTTTCTGCCGGTTCTTTTTCGGTAAGAAGATAAAAAGGGAACATATGGCGATGATGGGTGTTATTAGCGAGAGCAATAAACTTTGAGGATCTTTTTTTTTCAAAAAGACGAATCAATAATAAGCCATTAGCGATTTTAGTTTCGGACCACCTGTTTTTCAAGGTTTTTAGGATTCTCGGGAAGATGCTTGATGGATACGAAGAAACGATGGAAAATGATGAGGAAAGAAGATTGGTTTTTATATTTGGTCATTGTTTAGGAAAGAGTTTTTAAAATTTTAAGAAGAAAATTTTTAGTGAAAAAAATATTTTTTCAAAAGAAAAAAAAATAATTTAGAAATTTTTTTTATAAATAAAGGGGGTAGAAACAGCTTTCTCGATTTTGGACCGTAGCTCCATAAAAGAAAACATAAGATATATTTATGTTAACGGAAATTCCTCATAAATTTTCCAAGAAAAGGGGTTGAGTTTCACATAACTGTGAATGAAATACGCTTAACTATCAGGTGACTCGAGATATTCGTGTTGGCGAAATTGGCGAAAATCAAGAATTTCGGAGAGATGAGCTGATTCTGAGCCCGATTACTCAAAAAATTGATGACTTAAAAAACTTCGAGGGAGATGCTCCTAGATCTAAGAGGTATCTATCTAAACCTAAAGAGAAAATTTGAAAATGTAAGATTTTCTTGTCTGGAGCACCGGTCAAAAAATGCCTTCTTCGGAAAAAAGCTGTTTCTAACCCCTTAAATAAAAAATATTTTTTCCAAAAAATGAATTTAAAAAATATATTTTTAAGGAACATTCACCCTGACCTATCTATAACTTCATCGATTTTCTTTGATGATTCATTTAAAAACTTCTGAAAAGGAAATTTCCTGCTGTCATTGTTGGGCCGAATAGAAATGACCACAGATTTGTGGAAACAAACGATTGTTCTGTCCTCAAGAATCTGTCTCGGCCCCGATTTTCAAATGGAATCTTGGTCTGCGCAGAGACAGCGAAAAGTCATGAAGAAATTTGGCGACATAAGAAGCTGTTTTGTACAATTGATGCAAATTTCCACCGAGAAACTTGGTATGTTTACCTAAAATAAAGCTTTTTGCTTTTTTTTTAAAGAAAAATTAAAAAACCGCGTTGCGCGAAATCGCCAAATTACTTGGCGGATTGCCTGTGATCTAATCTCTTTTCTTTAAACTTGGCGGTTACAAAAAAGCAATGCGTATTGTAGCTTTTTTTGGCAAAGGGGGATTATTATCCTCCTGGCCTTGTTCACAAGCCCAGATTGCATCAATAATCAGCGCCGGAAATCGCATGGGGAGCCATATAATCACCCAGATGACCGAATTTAGGGCCCGAGCGTGAAATTTTTTGGAGGTTGATGATACCCTTGAGATTGAGGAATGCTTTATTACTTATTAATTACTAGTTTTAAATAGTATAACGGACGTAAGAATTACTGAAATTATTCTATTATTAATAGATTTCAAAGACCGATATGCAAAATTTTTCATAAAAATTAGCTTTTTTTCTGAAAAAAATTTTTCTATTTTTCTAAAAAAAGTTATACCCTTATTCGATTTTAACCATATTTAATTTCTAGATTCTTTAGACGAATTCAATTTTTTTGGTTTAGAAATTTAAGGGTATAGCCGTCGATTTCGCCGATTTCGGATGCTTATAAGTTATAACTCTGAAACTCGGCCAAAATAGACGGCTTTACCCTTAAATTTCTAAATTCAAAAAACTGTGTTCGTCATAAAAAATCAACAAATTAAATATGGTTAAAATTGGATAAGGGTATCACTTTTTTTTAGAAAAATCTAGTCTAAGGTGCTTCCTTACCAAAAAGTGCAAATTCAATCCTATGAGTAGACATATCAATCCTCCGTTTATGACCCTATTCGATTCTCCTCCTCACCTCCCGTAAAATTGGCCTTGACCATCTGGCCTATAATTTTTCTCCCCGCTGGGGAGCTTTTAGCAATTTCTGATTTTCGGGGCGCCACAACTACTAGCGCCGCTGCGCATTTTCAATTTGAGAAGCGCATTATTTTTTCACATTTTTAAAATAAATTTTTGAAAACGCTGTTTTCTAAAATGACAAGTGCACGGCTAGACAAGAGATTTCAAAGCACAGCCCTGAGGGCGAAAATGAAAAAACTAAAAATTCAACTTCAAAGTTCGCCGTTTTTCGCGCTGCCAGGTTTTGATAAGAGACATAAATATTTGGACAATTTAAAAGACAGGATGGATTTTTTCGGTAACGAAAAATTTTTTTAGGAAAAGAATGATATACTTGGCTCTTGCGTATATATATTTCTTGGTTCAACTGGTGAAAAAGTCGTCCAACTTATACAAGCTCACTTTATTGAATGATCCTAAATGGATCTTGCACAGGGAAGAGCGCGGGAAAAGCAGCTGATTAAGGTGCGCACAGTTGATAAAGAGCGGAAGTGTGCTAATTAATCTAGGTTGCCCGGGAGATTAATTGAGGACTTTATGTCAACACACATCACCCACCCCCAGCTTTTTAGAGCTGTAGAAGGGTTAAGAAATACACACACACATTGACTGGATATATTTTGACTGGCACGAGCGGTAAAGTTTTACAGGGTAGTATAAGAGTAAAAGTTGAAGAACAGATTTCTTTGATACAGTAATATTTCGTCGTTTTCTTGTATAAGGAGTAGTTTTCTCGTTGAAGAATTGTTCGAGGAAGTTTGCATCGTTGAAAAGGCACACACACACACACAATAGAAGAACAAAGAGATTTTAAGGAAAAGTGGGTTGAGTATAAGATGTCTAGAGCTATTGATAAAAGTGATTATGATATTGAAGGTTGCAATAATCAAAGCGGAGTACAGGGTTGACCAAGCGATTTACTTAACATTCTTTATCCAACATACATAAGTTGAACTGTAAAACGCTAGACCTGGCTAATTTCTAATCCTAGTGTCCGATCAGAGCAATTAACCCCCGCCTTTACCCAAAGGCCGCTCATATGGGTCGGTCAGCGTGGAGTTAGCTTCCGCGATAAAAATAAGGAGTGCTAAGTGGTATCGAGGAAAGTCCGTTCTGCAACCGTTACGTATACAGAGCCAGACTTGCCGTCAACCAAGTCTCTCCCGCCCCCCTCTTTAATAAAATCGGACAAAAAAAAACTCTATTTATAACTAGTTAACCAGGCTCTCCAGAGGTAGGACTCGAAGTGGCTTGACTCCATCAAAAAAAAAAGAAGTTGGACGTGGGTGTGAACTTAACGGTGCTAGCTTACACAAGTGGTTGAAGATGTTTATTAATCGCTTTGTCAAGTCCGCGTACTCGCCTGCAGAACATGCAAGTGAAGAGGGTCAGGGTTAAGAAAGTAAAAAGAATAAGGATACCGTTGGAGATTAGAGATATGGATTTTGATCGAGTGAAGTTGTCGTCCACCACATCCTCCAAGTCATCGAGACGGTCCTCGACGTCATCAGCGAAGTCGTTGTGGTCAAGGTCAACGGCGCTGAAGGTGAAGTTGTTCCTTGCACCTCTGAAGTCGATCTTGGTGTTGTCAGACGTCACAATGCTTGTTTTTGGGATCTTGATGAGCTGCTGCGATCCGGAACAAAAGACTTCCTGGTCCAAGCTTGTTTCAGGGAAATATTTGAAGCCAGTGAAAGTATCGTGGGCCGATCCGATGTCGGACAAGACTGTTCTGTTTCTCAGGATTGCTTTCTCTGCCGCGTAAACGATGAGTCCATTCTTGTCGAAGGCGAATGAGCAGGTTGCTTTTGTAGCAGTTCTCCGGATGTTGCAATTCTGGACATCGCGGAGACAGGAAGCGCTTGAGATTGCTGAGTGCCGGCAGATCATGTTTTTGCGAGCGCTTAAACAGCTAAAGCGGTCAACTTCGTAAAACTCGTTCTGGATCAATGTTGCAAACGGGGCAATGTCCGGGGCGATCAGGAAGTTCTCGTCAGTTGAAGGGTCCATTGTGATGATTCCAAAGGAGTTCGCATGATACAGTCGTGTTGGCGCGGACTCGATGACTGGGAAAGAGAGCTGGATGTGGATGTCGAGAGAGTTTTCAGTGATGTTCAGCCCGTAGAGTTCAGGCTTTAATTCCTGTGGGAATTCTCTCAGCATGTTCTCACAGTATCGCTCGCACATTTCCGGTTCCAGAGCAATGCATGATCCCCAACACGCAGACGTAAAGAGTCTGTTCCATTCCACACGGCTCGGAATCAATCCTTGCTCCAGACTTGCGACTTGATAATCCATCTCCTCCATGAATTTGTCCACGGTGATCCGGGCCCAGTCCTCGAATCGAGCTTCCAACATCCGGTTATTGAGTCGGCAAATATCGTCGTCGATTCTCGCAAGCTGGTCCTGTGTTGCATTGAGATTGACTTGGACGGCGCTCTGGAGCTTCGCGAAGTTTCGTGTGAGTTTATCCAAGTTCTTTCCTTGATGAAGAGATACAGATCGAAGCTTGGCGATGTCGTTCGTATTTTTCAATTTAAGACCCAGGTTGGCTGCTGCCAGAACAAGAGCAGGAGCGCCGGCGAATCTTTTTCCCAGATGCGATTCGTGAGATCTTGCATATGCTGCTTGTGCTTTAAGTGACTGCAGTTCCAATCGAAATTTCCGTTCAATCACATCCAGTAGGGCAAAAGTTCGCTTATCGGCGAGGTTTTCCGTGCATTCCCTCCTGTCCCAACGGTTGGCTTTGTAGTGTTTGATGCAGCGGTCGACGTCGCATTGTCCGGCGTCGACTCCAGGTTCCATTCTCAGGACGTCGAGCGGAAGGGGCCGACTGATGATGATATGATGATGGCTGCGTTGTCGCGACAGGAAGAGTCTGCCAGTCTCCTCGAGGAGAATTCCCCCGCTCAGCACAGTAGATTCGGCAGAGCATCGGACCAGCGCGACGGCAAGGGTGAAGAAAAGCATTTCGTAAAGGTGCACTGTCTGAAAATCGGCGAGTTAACGTTGAGTCACGGCAAAACATCTGTATGTACATGGAGAATAAATCATTTGGAACTGGGCAAGGGCAAAGGTCTCAGAAAACGGATGTTCCTTTTCAGAACGCTCCCACTTGATTCGTCTCTGATCTCATAGACATCAGGGCTGAGCTTCTTTGTGATGACGGCGGTGTTGCGGAAGGAGACATGTAACTTCTTGCACTTTCCGATCCGCATGGGTGCCCAATAGGCGACTCGCTGATCCACTTCGAGCGTGGTTCCATGAAACGGCTTGACGTGATGTGCCGCTTGTTCTTGGTACTTTCCGGCGAGAAACTGGCCAACTTGACGCAGCCATCCAGACATGTAGCCACTCCAGAGAAAGGGGTCGTCGTTGTTGTCGGGCTCAGGCCGGAGGTGAAAGAGCGGGAGTTCCATAGGGCGCCCTGTGAGTGCTTCAGAGGGACTTAAACCGCTCATTGCTTCCGTTGGCGTATTGTTGATTGTGTGAAGGACAAAGCAGACTTGGCGGCTCCAGTCATCGCGGCTGACATTTGCCAGTCGAGCCTTCAATCCCAAGGATCTAAATTTTCTTTCGATGCGGTTGCTCTGAGCGTGAAAAGGGCTGATGTAGGCGACGCGGATGTTGAAGGCTTCCATGACGCGATCGAAAACGGCATTTCGAAACTCTTTTCCATTGTCGCAACGGAGCATGGCCCCTTGCGCGTTGTTGCTCAGCAAAACGTCGGCCAACGCAAATGCCACCGTCTCAGCCTTCTTATCCGGTAGGCATCTTCCCACAAGGTAGCGCGTGCAATCGTCCATAACTCCCAAGAAGAACCGATTTCCAAGAATATCTACTGAGCCGAAGTCGGACAAATCGACATACAATTTCTGCCAAGGCTTTGTGCTTACTTCCGGCCTAGGCGGGTGGAGAGCCTTAAGTTTTGGCCGTGGCTTGGTGCGCCAACAGGTGTGGCAATCGTTGCAGACTTCATTGCATACCCGTTGAAGGCCATTGATAAAGAACTTCCGTTTC